AGAGGGTACTATTGCTGGAGAGGGTACTGTTGCTGGAGAGGGTACTATTGCTGGAGAGGGTACTGTTGCTGGAGAGGGTACTATTGCTGGAGAGGATACTATTGCTGCGCAAACAGAAACCGACTGTCTCCGCCATGACCTATACTAGGAGCCTCCATCGTGCCTTGAGCAAGTCTGGGTCACTCTCCACATGCGCCTTGACTTTACGTACAATTCCGTCCATGTCCAGCCCGAAGCGTGCCATATTCGCTGGGCCGCTCCCACTATAACCAAACGAGCTCATTGCCACCGATGCCGTGCAGTAACGTGCCCAAGTAGTGGACACATATGCCTCTACAGAAATGATGTGCCTGCAAGCCGACAGAACAGAGACCTTGTATGATTCATCCTGTTGCTCGAACAAATCAATACTAGACATGCTCACAACTCTGGTTGGTATATTGCTGGCGGAGAGCTTGGCCGCAGCGGCAACAGCATGTGGCAGATCCGATCCACAAGACACGAGTGTTACGAGGGCCCTTGCTTTCTCAACGACAACATACCCACCCTGCGCAACCTTGAATCGACTCGTAGAGGGCACCACCGCGGGCGCTGGATCTCTTGCGAGCGACAGCATCACAGACCGGTTTTTCACCGAGAGTGCCACAAGCCATGCCCCGATTACTTCTTCAGCATCGGCAGGCCGAAGGTAAAGTAGGTTTGGCATGGCTCGAAACAGTGAATCCAACTCGACGGGCTGGTGAGTTGGCCCATTTTGTCCTTCGGCGATCGAGTCGTGCGTGGCGATATGGATGACCTTTAATCCACTGAGGACGCCCATCCTCACACCTGGCGCTGCGTACAAGTAGAACATGAAGAAAGTGGCAGTAATTGGGACTATCATCTGGTGGCAATACGCCGCGAGCCCGTTCGAGATGGCTGCCATTGCATGTTCGCGAATGCCATATCTGATAACCCTGCCTTGTCGATTGACACTGTCAAATATGCGATGTGACTGGTCGCCAAGTTGATTTGAATTCCACAGATCTGCTCCCCCAGCCATGAGACTAGGCACACGGTCGAGAAGCGTGTTGAAGACTTGTCCATTGAATGTTCTCGTGGCTTGGACAGTCGCCGGGACTTGCATCGATGTCAAAAGATGCTCGAATTCGAGCTCTCCTCGCATCCGCTTCGTTAATTGCTCCCCGAGCTCTGGAAATGTTTGGCAATATTTCTCCAACTTGTTGTTCCACGCTCTTTCCATTGATGCGCCATTAGATGAGCACCAACTGAAATATGCCTTGGAGTTTTTCGAGATAGTGGCTTGGTGTGTTCGAGCTCTCGGCAAAGAGTGCGGCATCATCGTCGGTATAAGTTCCATGGTGAGATTTGAAGGTCCCCGCCGTAGATGTCCCAAAGCCGATAGTTGTGCGAATATTGATGAATGTCGGTTTTCTATCGGGACTAGGTGCCCGAGCCAGTTGGAGGGCGGCGACGATGTCGTCCACAGCGCTGTCACCGCCGAAGACGTCAATCACTTGCCATCCTAACGCGCGCATTTTGGCATTGGTGTCTTCAGATACTATCCACTCAAGAGGTCCGTCACATGTGACAGCGTTGTTGTCGTAGCATAGGATGAGGTTGTCGAGTTTCAGATGTCCAGCGACGGCTATTGCTTCCTGCGCAACACCTTCTTGAAGACAACCGTCGCCAGTGGTACAGAAAATGCGCGACGTGATGATGTCGTAGCCTTCTCTGTTGTACGTAGCAGCGAGCTGCTTCGATGCTATGGCCAACCCGACGGCATTTGCGATCCCCTGGCCTAGTGGCCCTGTGGTAACTTCGACACCAGGGACCTCGATTTCTGGATGACCGTGACATAGAGTCTCCTTCCATGTCCCTGTCTGAGGGTCGACGGTCTTTGGGTTCGCGTACATTTTCAATTCTTCCAGCGTCATGCCAACATATCCAGTGACGTGAAGCATTACGTACAGGAGGATTGCGGCGTGCCCATTGGAAAGCACAAATCTGTCGCGGTCAAACCACTCTGGATTTTGAGGACTATACCGCATCGTGTGTCGCCACAGCGCAACGGCCAAGGGTGCCATAGAAATGGCCGATCCTCCATGACCACCACCATTCTGTCTGCAGCAATCGATCACCAACTTGCGGATCTCACGGACAGCATGCTGGTCGTCGTCATGAACTCGCCCCGACTCGGCCTGAAAGGGGATTTCGTGGGCGCTCACTCCGTTAACCATCGACGAGACACTCATTTTTGCATTTGGTCTACCGAGCGAGATATCCGTAGGCTCCTTGATGGATTTATTGTTATACCGGACGTGTCATCGCCATTGACATTCTGAAGCTACCTCCCCACAAACTCCAAGCCATAAACACCTTCCCACCGGGTATCGCTAACCAAGTCGATCCAACCGAGGATTCGACCTATCCGAGCACCGTGGAGTGTTGCATATACCCACGTCCTTGATAGCCGGCCATGTCGGCAGTCCTTTTTTTTCGACGCCTACACATAGATCAGGCCAGCTTGCCTCACGTGTTTTGCCACTATGGCTTTGAAATCTCCGATTCTGTAGTTAAAGGAATAAGAGACGGTGGGCTAGTGACAGCTATCGGCAACACAACAGCATATAGGCAGTATGATCAGCATCATCTGGCACGCGCGCTCGTTACACAGGGCCTAGGTGAGTTAGACTTTATATTTTGATCCTGCTCTAGATAGTATAAACAGAACATTGGCATCGAATCTCTTTACCTATACCCATTCGCGTCGAAAATGGCCAACCCCGAACCACGATTGATCATCATTGGAGGCGGCGTGGCTGCAATTGCACTCGGAGTGAAATTGAAGACTCAGTTGGGCTTTAAGAACTTCATCGCCTATGAGAAAGAAGCTGGAATTGGCGGCGTCTGGCGTACGAACACGTATCCTGGAGTCGGCTGCGATGTGGACTCACACCTATACTCCTTCTCCTTCAACCTCAATCCCAACTGGTCCCGACGGTTCGCCGATCAACGGGAGATTCTTCAGTATATGGAGGACACTGTGGATAAGTTCGACATTCGCGACCACTTCGTTTTGAACACCAAAGTTGTCGAAGCAGCGTGGATAGAAGAAGAGGCGGTATGGGAAGTTCAGCTCGTCGATCTCGAAACAGAATATCAATACTCGAAAAAGGCAGAATTTCTGGTCTCTGGCTGCGGCGTCCAGTCATATCCCAAACCCTGCGATATTCCTGGGTATGAGAAATTTAAAGGCGCCATTTGGCACTCGGCCAGATGGAACCACGACTATAACCTGAAGGGCCGGCGAGTGGCCGTGATTGGGAACGGCTGCTCGGCGGCGCAATTGGTGCCATACGTGGTTAACGACGCCGCGTATGTCTACCAGTTTCAACGATCACCCCAATGGATCAACGAGCGACCCAACAAAGAGTTCTCAGCTTTCCAAAAGCTGTGCTTCAAGTATTTGCCTTTATGGCAACGGCTCTATCGGTTCTATCTTTGGAAAACAACTGATGCCTTACACGAACTCTACACTTCGGACACTAAACACGCCGTGGCAGCTCGTGAAGCTGCAACGCGAGAGACCATCGCGTACATGAAGAAAATGGCGCCGGCCAAATACCACAAAATCCTTATTCCAGATTTCCCACTCGGGTGTAAGCGTCGCGTTTTCAACCCTGGGTGGCTCGAATGCTTGCATAGCCCTAATCTTGAACTCACCACGGAGAGAATCATTGAGATCACTGAGACGGGACTCCGAACGAGTAAGAGGACAATTGACGTTGATGCCATCGTCTTGTCGACGGGATACAATATGCAGGAATTCCTGTCCCCAATCAAGCTGACGGGACGCAACGGCAAGACACTATCAGAACACTGGAAGGAAACCCGCGGTGCTCAGGCTTATAAGGGTACGTTCGTCAGTGGATTTCCCAACTTCGGAATCGTCTTTGGGCCGAATGCCTTCCCGGCACATAACTCGGTTATCTATACAGACGAAGTCCAGGTAGAATTCATCATCAAGACGGTGATTCAGCCGGTACTCGCCGGGCACTTCAAAGTCATAGACATCAAGGATTCCGCTGAGACGCTGGACGCGAACCACGTCCAGAGGAAGTTACAGACGATGGTATGGAGTGCCAATTGTGTGAATTGGAATCGTGATGGCCGAGGCAGAAACACGACAAACTATTTTGACACTACGTGGATGTTCTGGTACCGCTTGTACTGGCCCGTATGGAAGGATTATACCATCTCCGGCGGCAGAGGTACCCATCCAATCCATCCGCTGTGGAAGCTCGCCGCAAGCGTTCTTGGTGTTGGTTGTCTGGCAGAGGTGGCCTGGCACTTCTCTCCTGCTCTGGTGCAGTCCCTATCGGCACTCTACAAACTGGGTTTCTAGGTAGTAGTTGTGACTCGTATCTGCAAAATTCACGCACTTCATAGTTGAAACACGTTGCATTGCGCGGCTTGAATCTGAGACTAACTTGGTGCCTGAACCACTGCGTTTGTATCGCTCTGCGGCGTCGGTCATCCTTTCCCTGGAGTGAGAAGGCTAGAGCTTCGGGTATAGGCTAAAGAGTTGTCCGGCCGGGTACTCTCCAACCCTTCGGTAACCTCATGATGAATACTGCGGAATGTCCAGCTCGATTGGCAATCCCGTCCACTGTTTAGGAGGGGGCTGGCCTCGGGAACACAAAGATATAATAAGTGCAGAGTGTCCCACGACCAGTCCTGTGCCTCTACTACTAACCCTACCGGCACCATTTCTCAGAAGTGGCCACTATGAGTTCCGGACACAGGCACCAGGCCATGGTGCTTTATGGCGCGCAGGACCTTCGACTGGAGACGGTCGACACTCCCACGCCAGGTGCAAACGAGGTGCAGATTCGACCACGAGCCACAGGAATTTGCGGGACGGATATTCACTACTATGAGCATGGTCGGAACGGGAACTACGTCGTCCGAAAGCCGTTGGTCCTCGGACATGAGGCTGCTGGCGAGGTTGTTGCCGTGGGCAAAGACGTGACCTCTATCACAATCGGGGATCGAGTGGCAATTGAACCACAGCGACCTTGCGGCGGCTGTAAGCAGTGCAAGGAAGGGATATACAATCTGTGTCCCAACCTCAGGTTTACCGGTTCGGCGACCGCAGATCCGCCTGTCCAAGGATCTCTCCAGCAGGTCTACAATCACCCAGCAAGTTTTGTACATCGACTACCTGAGAGTCTCACATTCACAGAAGGAGCTTTGGTCGAACCCCTCTCAGTTGCTATGCACGCAGTGCGCCGTTCTGGATTTCGAGCCGGGCAATCCGTGATGATCTTAGGAGCTGGTGCGATCGGGCTCCTTTGCGCCAGTGTAGCGCAGCTCTCTGGCGCGTCGAGAATTTGTATGGTGGACATCGACCAATCTCGGCTCGACTATGCAAAGACTCACAAGCTTGCCGACCACGTCGGGCTGATGCCGCCGAGTCAAGTGCAGGACCTCTCCAAGGCAGAGATATTTGCACGCACGGCCCAGGATATACTCAGTCAACCCGGATTTGAACTAGCGGATAGGGTTTTTGAGTGCACCGGAGTCGAAACATGTGTCAATGTAGGCATCCATTGCACAGCACCGGGCGGCAAGGTGGTCTTGGTCGGAATGGGAAGCCCGTTGCAATCGATTGATGTGGGAGCGGCCGCGAAACGGGAAGTGGACTTGTTGGGGCTCTGGAGATATGCGAATACCTTTGAAACCGCCATCGCTCTGCTTGCTTCTGGTCGCCTGAACGTAAAGTCACTGGCAACACACCGCTTTGAACTTACCGAGGCGGCCAAAGCATTTGAAGTCGTGCTACAGAAGCCCGAAGGTCTTGTCAAGTGCGTCATCTCATCAGATTAAACCAGACAGGTCGAAGAACAAACCAAAATTCTACTTGCTCAATGGACGGCAGGCTGGCCTCAGAATCATCCCGTTGACCAGTACGACGGACCTTTACTTGGCTTCCGAGGCCAGACTTCTCGCAAATTGAAGTCAATTTTAGATCAAATTCGCAACCTAGACCACGGCTGAGTAGCGAGCCAGTCGAAAGAGCAGACCCTGAATTGGGGACCCGGCTATATAAACGAGCGATGGGGGGATTGGCCTCGTGCCGGCTATTTACACCACATAGCCGGCCCCTTTTTGCCACCAAAGGCCCTGCGAGGGAAGTTTGTGGCCAGGGTCTCATTTGAGATGATGCCGTGACGGGTGGCCTGAACACTAGTCAGCATGACAGTCTCAGTGGAGTCTTGTTGAGCAGGGTAGGTAGTTTAACGTGTAGTAGTACTGAATGCAATAACCCTTGCGCAGGAGCGCGCCCTGTACAGTCGGCGCTACTACACGTGAAACTACCCTGCTCAATAAGAGTCCACCGAGGTGCTGCACCCCGCAATCTGGCGGACCGAGGACTTCAGGGAGAGTAGTCGTATTGTGTTGTAGTGCCCTGGGACTTTCCCGGGCCCGTGCTGTCCAATCCACGCCGCGCTTTGGTCGAGTCCAAGGACAAACTTGGAATCTGAATTTTCGCTGCCTCTCACCCTTGGATTGATGCTCTTAAGAGCTTCCTATCGGTTGCAAAGATATGGCCGCCGGCGAAGGCGTGCGTTGCCGCGCGGCGCGTGCTTGCAAGAGGTGTCATGTTAAGAGAATCAAGTGCGATGCCATTGAGGGCGGTATGCCCTGCACCGGATGTCAACAGGCCGAGAATAGTGAATGCAGCTTGATGCCTTCGAACAAGGGTACCTACATTCGAGCAGGATCCCGACGGGCGAGGCATCAACAAGCGGAAAGGGTGCGTTCTTGCATTCCTTGCAGTACGGCTGTGCCTCGAGATACAGATTACCAACGATTTGTCGCGGCCGAAGCAACGACCGAAGCAACGACCGAAGAACAGTATGCAGACCACCAACCTTCACGGAATCCCGACCCAGTGCCAGGGACTATGGTATCGAGAGGAATCAATCGTGGTGGCAGAGGTCTCAACTCTGCCGCATCGCCACTGGACCGCCGTGCCACCTCGCCCGCATCTGGCGACGATGCCACCAACTCTCCGGTATTGGACCTCGCGACGACACGTCCGGAATCATCTCATCGGGAACCTTCCTGGACCACGATGTTTGACGGGCTCTTTGACAATCTTTCACATAACCAGAAGGCCGCTCTCGACAAATGCTCCATCACCTATCTAGGCGAGTCATTCCCATTAGGCATGGTTCTTGAAGAGGTGAATGAAGGCGGAAGAACGCGCCTGCATCATCCCGGACCGCCTGTTTCCGAGTCCTCGGTGGTAGAAGAGCCATCGGGACAGCGATATCCCTCGCATATGCGGCCAGAAGATATCGCGTACCTCAAAGCAAAGGGTGCATTCACGTTCCCTGATGCTGATATGCTCGATGCATTGGTAACGACGTACTTGGGACGAGTGTATCCCCTGTATCCAATAGTCAATCGACAAGAATTTATTCGACAGTATGAGGCCGATGAGGTCCCGGCCATGCTATTGCATGCTGTCTGCTCAATTGCTGCGACATTTTGCGACCTCGCCCTCATCCACCGTGCCGGATTTCTTTCACGGCTTGACGCAAGGTTAGCATCCTACCGCAAAGCCAAAGCGCTTTTTGAAGTTGGGTACGAGACCGACAAGATTGTGCAGCTACAGAGTGCCGTCTACATGACATTTTGGGGCGGAGGGCCGACCAACCATTGGAACTATTTCAGCTGGATCGGCACGGCCGTGACGATCGCAGAGTCTCTTGGGATTCATCGGTCGATGGCCAATGCTGATATGGATGTTTCTGACAGGAGTCTATTGAAGAGGCTATGGTGGACTCTCGTCAACAGGGACGCTCACTGCCAAAGCCTGGTTGGGCGCCCGTTTCGGATCAACCAAGAACAGGTCGACATAGAGCCCTTGGTGCCAGAGGATTTCGAGGAAGATATGCGGAGCGCCGAGTTCAAATCGCATCCATTACGAACCGCGTTCGGTCTCTACCAAATCCACATGTCACGGTTATCGCTCATCGTCAAAGATATCGTGAACACTCGATTTAGACCCGGTAGACTGCAGTCGAGAGCTGCCGTTCTGTACGACAAACTGCTGCGCTGGCGCCATGAGTTGCCTGAGGAGCTGCAGTGGGTGGATGGTGATGCAAACCTAGACGTCTTTGTGTTATGCCTCTGCACATCTTACAACCACCATTTGATACTCCTCCACCAAGACCAACCGCCCATGGGTGGTTTGGCGTCTACTACCCAAGAAAATCCCTTATTGAAAAGGTCGATTCCTTCGCCCGAGATCGCAGCCAGGAATATTACTTGCCTCGTGTACACGATATACGCCAAGTCGAGCCCTCTATGTATCCCACATGAAACATTCCAAGGCGTGTTCCTGGCGGAGGCAGTAATGTTTACACAGATGAAGGCTTCTGAGCTGATGACCGCGCAGCATGGGAGAGCGGCATTATCCGCTTGTCAGATGCTGTGGCATACAGTCTTGGAAACCTGGGACGCTTCACCTTGGATCCTCCGTCTGTTCGACCATCTGGTCGGGCGTCTCGGCCTTCCAAGCGACAGGCAGAACGACCCTAGCTGGGTAGCGACGGGTGAGTCTTCCACAGGTGCTCTGCACGCCGACGAGTTTGTGGATGACTTCGGGAATACTCTCCCAACCCTGTCCACCTTTCTCGACATGACGCAAGACGGAGGCGCGTTGTCGAATTTTGTAGATTTTCCCATCTTTTCAGGTTCTTTGGGCTTGACAGATCCAAGTCTAGGAATGCAATAGCAGAGCATTTTAGGTGGTGGGAGACGCACATGGATGACTTCTGGTATGATTGTGGGTAGTAAGCGTACAATTGACATCAAGTAGTCTACTCATCTCGCTTCTAACAAGATCATCCCGCAACAGAATAGTTGACTATAAGTCCAAATACAAAGTTCGCCGCAATGAACTTTAGAGGGCCCGGCTATACCCCAACGAAATCACAAGCCCAGAGGTTTCCCTATCCTTGCTATTCGAAGGAAAATGTGAAACCCCCTTCTGCTGGGCCATCGAGATTAACATTAATTCCCCCAAGTAGGCTGTCTAAGAGGAGGTGTATACCGGTTATGTTCGTCTACATACGGGCGGGCTTTTCATTCCGTCAGCTCTGCAGGATACAGTATCAAAGCGCTACGATGATTTTATCGTGAACAGATGGAGAGTTCCTCACGTACAAACCACACTTGCGATGGACTTGGAACATTCATATATTTTCCCAAAATTTAGTGAATTGCCGCTGGTTCCCAACACCCCGCAAGGCTGCCTCTGGGGCTTTTACGATCGATATGGGAAAAAGGATGAAGTAGGGGGTAAGCAATCTTTCTTCACAAAACCAAGTATGACATCAATTGACCCATCCCAAAGCCATTAATCTCCTCACTACCTCCGTGGTAAGAGAGGCCAGCAAGGAAATTCAGACAGGACATCATGTCCAACTTGACTGGCCGCTACATAATCAAGAGTTCCCGGGGTACAATCGCAAACGCTTTGAGCACAAGATCATCGACCACAAACCCCTCGGCATATGTGGCTTTGATGACGAAATCCACATGAATACACAGAGCGGCTCGCAGTGGGACGGACTGAAACATGTAAGTCACAGGTGGCATTTTTCCGCGACGAGATTGTTCGATTCACCGCGACTCATTGCCATTCTCTAGGACGGCTACGGCAATGGTCGCAATGTGTTCTACAACGGCCTGACTTATGAGGAGGCGAGCCGATCTACCACGAACGGAACACATAGTGAGTTCCATCCGAAAACGAGACACCCATGTTTTTGGCAGAATAAAAACTAAAACCTCGGGTCCAGACTGGTGCGAGAGGGGCGGCATTGTCGGTCGAGGCATCTTGGTGGACATGGTAAACTTCTTTTTTCTCACTCTTCAACTGGGTGTTCTGGGGGGATGATTGGACCGACTGACAAACAATCAGGTCAGATTTTACGAGAGGAGAGATGGGCAAGCCCCGGATCCGTGGACGCGGCATGAGATCCCGCTGGAAGACCTCCAGACCGCCCTCAAGGATCAAGGCACGGTGCCTAGGCAGGGTGACATCTTGATGATTCGTTCAGGCTACGTTAAGCGTCACAATGAAGCGAGTTCCAAAGAGCGGGAAGCCTGCACGTTCGGTATAGGTAAACCGGCCATCGGGGTAGCCGCGGACGAGGAAACTGTTCGGTGGATGTACGACCAGCACTTTGCGGCCCATGTTGGCGATACAGTGGCATTTGAAGCATGGCCGCCGTCTCCGGCCAGGGACTACAGCTTCCACAACTGGTCGCTTGTCTGGTGGGGGACACCACTGGGAGAGCTCTGGGACTTGGAACGTTTGGCAGTAGCTTGCGAACGGCATGGCCGGTGGTCGTTCTTCTTCACCAGTGCTCCTCTGCACGTCAAGGGCGGAGTGGCGAGCCCCCCATGCGCGATTGCTGTATTCTGACGGTCTATACGGGCCTCGAAAGGCCCTGGGAAGACGTCAAACCCAGATGGGATGTTGGAGAAAATGTCATATAGCCGATACCGGCTACCCTTTGGTTGACGCATGGAAGATGAGCCGACTCCTGTAGTGCAATCCGGGGTTCTCGACCCAAGTGAGTAGCAGATGTAAAGTCTACAGCAACCTATAGTTCAGGTAGTAGCTTTCAAAAGTCGTGTCACGTCCACCATCATTGTACCAATTGCCAGCCGCAACACAAATACCATCTGGCAGCTACCAAACGTGCTCCGATCGCCATTCGACTCAAAAGAAGTACTCACAGGACTACGAAAGGAACCACAGAGAAGATTCTTGTATTGGTTGATGAGAGCTACAGGCGATCTACAGTGGCCAATAGGCCCGTCAACTTCCATCCCAGTAGCGACCAACATGTAGTGCTCCAGTGACCAGCATCTCAGAGCCGCTCATGTAAGAGCTCGCCTCGCTCAAAAGGTACACAGCGGCGCCCTTGAGTTCGCTTCTGTCTCCCATGCGATGGGCAGGAGGCTCTGTCACAGCAACCTCAGCAACCTTCGGATGAAGCTTGCCATAATTGACGAGGGTGTCAGTGTTGATATATCTATATGCGCATGTGTTAACAGGTTAATTAGTACGAGGCCAGTTTGCCAATAGGCAATGGCATTTCGAGAGCTGGCAGCGAGATGTCATGTACGCACCCTGGCGAAATACAATTGACGCGAATCCCGTCTTTGGAGAGCTCAACAGCCAATTGACTCTTCAGAGACACGACCGCCCCCTTGCTAGAACAGTAGTCGCTCGTGAACTGGTGATTGCTGGATTGGTGTGCCGCCACAGATGCAATCATCACAATGGAGCCAGCACCCGAAGCATTGGGTTTTCGGGGTTGTTGAACCATTCGTGCGACGGCTAGTTGCGTTGCGAAGAAAGTCCCAAAAACATTGATGGAGAAAGTTCGCACCACGCTGTCGGGAGTCTTATCTAGAAAGCGATTGTCGAAGCATACTCCGGCGGCGGTCACTCTGCGATCAATCACCCGCATCAGCCCATAACGCCGGACGGAGTGATCCGTAGTGTGTTCGACTTACAAACCATCAATCCGGCCAAAGTCAGCAACGATACTCTCGAATGTCCCTTTCAACCGGTTGAAGTCGGTGACATCGGACCTGCCATAACGGTCAGTACACACTCGTCGATATTCGTCAAGAAGCGATGGAGATGGCGAACCGATAGAACTTGGACTTGGGCGAGATCTTCAATAGCTGCGTGTAATGCTCGTGCGGCTCTGGCAGGGCATCAACGATGGCGACCAGTCCACCGGCCTCGGCAACGGCGAATGCCAGAGCAAGGCCGATCCCTCTGCCACCTCCAGTAATCACAACGACATTGCCGTTGAGAAGGAACTGATCCAAGACATTGCGCGTCAGATAACGGTCGATGTTAGCCTCCGAATGGCCGTTAGTATCGCCATTCATGATGGAGGCCAGACGACGCTTCAAATCACGAGACAAGTGTTCTGGTGCTTTAGCTGTTGCACGAGGGCGTACAAGACCCAGCAGTGTTTAAGAGGTTTCCATGGGGGCAAGAGTGGGAGTTCGGAGGACCCAGCGGATCAGGGGCCTGGCTGATGCCTTTGCCCTTGGTGAGCTCGCCGAAGCCAAGTCGCGATTGCACATAGCCGGACGAGTATACAGGCTGGATGGAAATGAGAGGCTGGTCCTGACCCCAACGGAGATATTTCTCTGCAGTGCCTTTGTGATGCGAATGCCGACAACTGAAAGAGAGATTGGCTCTTCAACTGAGAATTACTAGGGCAGACCATTTCGCCTTCCGAAAAGGAAGCTGGCTGGTTTGTGACGACGTGGGTACGCTGGCAGTGATGCAACATGAAACCACCGTATGGCACTCTTGAGTTTCTCCAACAGTAGAGGTTAGAAATTCACCATCTAGAACTTGGGGTATCCACAAATATCCTTGAGGCATCAATGCTCGAGGCAGGAGAAACAAAGACGTTGAGCTCTTTGGAAATCTGGAAAGCTCTCGAACACTAAGCTACGATAGGGTGTTCATTCTCTCTTTCGTGAGATCCTTGTCCATTTCAGGCTTTCTAGAGTAATGATTTGGCGTCGGCGCCAGCTTGGGAAACAATGCTGAAACATACACCGCCGGCGGTCCATTACTCGAAATGCTGAGACGTACGGGACGACATACGGCATGTTCTCATGTCATCATCAGTCACTCAGACCCGACTTCTCCTGCCCACTTTCCCTTCTCCCGGTTCTCCGTCCTCAAGCTCCTCCTTCAGCCTCCTCCGCTCCCTTGCCTCCCTGACCATGTTCTCGTCCCGCTCTCTGACCCAGACGCACTCGTCCCGAAACTCGCAAATACGACACTTCCACGCATCAATGACCTCCACGCCACGAGCCTCCCGCTCGCCCTTCCAGAAAGCTAGAGAGGAGTAGAGAGAAGAGGTGAAGAAAGAGGGGTTGAAGAGGACGGATTTGCTTCCTAGAATGTGCGACTGAGCTTCTGCGGCGCCGCTCGTGATGCTGTGATGTTTGTAATTGTGGGAGATGTAACGTGCTGTGAGAATAGGAGAGAGCCGTGTTGGTTGAGACGGCGGCGTAGGGAGGGCGGAGAGAGAGGAGGGTGGTGGAACGTTTGGATCTTGATTTTGATCGGAGGAGTTGGGATCAAGCGGCGCGGACACCGAGGCCGAGCTCGAAGGGATGATAAACGTCAGTCGAAACTGCTCCATCATGAAATCCCACAGACTAGCCAAGGTGTTGTGCTGGAGAAGAATATCCACGGAGTCCTGCGTTGACGGCGGCAGTTCCTGCCTGGCATCGTCACTCTGTTGGGATAATTCATACACCTCTTGGTTAAGTCCGCCAATCTGCGCGATAAAGGGGTCGGAGAATGTCTCGTGGATATCAAACTTGTACCTCTCTGCCAGGTGGGAGAGGGGGAACTGTCCCTGGGCCATCCCTTCCAGCATGTGGTGGTAGAGGTGTAGTTGGACGAGGGTCGGTCGAATGGCTGACCCCGTAGGTAGAGTGGGAGTGCCTCGTGTCTTCACATCGGTGATGTAGATTCGCCTCTCGTCGTCTTGTCCTGAATTCCTCGTCCTCTGCGTCGTAGGCCTGCTACCGGCCTCTTTACTGATATCGCCACTGCCGTTCTTCAGAGCCTCCGACAGTGACTGGCCCTGATCTCGAGTCTCGTTCGTCACAAGGTAATCCCTGATACTGGCCTGGTATTCTGGCAGTGGAGGCTCAACCTCTTTCTTCTCCAGCAGACGTCGACTCATATCCTCGAGCTTCGGGTCAGGACATTCGTAGCTCAACTCGTCAATGACTCCGTTGACGATCTCTCCGCCAATTGATCCCCAGATCTCCAGCTCCCTCGTCTTTCCATTCTCTCTGAGCGTTTTCAGCCCCTGCACGATGTTCCATATTCGGAGGCCCCAGCTGTCTTCCCTCTTGGTGATCTCCACGGGGACAGTGACGTGTATCTCATCCTCCAATGCCTGGTGGACAGCACTGCCTTGTTTCATTGCCGGTGTCCTCCTTTTGCGACCATGTTTGGTCAAGACGTAGTAATATTGTAGCTCGCACCATGCAGGAGAGATCAGATCGGTGACGGAAAGGGCTTTCATGGGAGGCTTGCGAAATCGGTCGAGAGGAGATCGAGCGTGCGACTCGGAGGGTTGCTGCTCCTGCTGAGCATCTCGTCTGGGTTGCGTAGGTTGTGGAGATGTCTCTCTTCCCGTCCTTGCATCCTCTTCATTGGCAGAAGATGGTCTCTGCGAAGCTGGGCGCTGGTCAGCCTGTCAGCGACCAAGGGACTGGGCGTGGCTTTGCACAGCACTTACGACTTTGGTCGAGTACGTTCTGGAGCAGGAAGCCCTCCACAGACCGGGTCTCGAGGTTCCACTGACGCGGTGCTTCGAGACCAAGCACTTTAGGCAGACGAACGCCTCGAGGCGCTTCATAATCTTCAATATCTGTTACGACCAGGGGCGCGATTTTCTGTTCCTGCCTCGAGTTGCCCGTGGCCTCGAGGAGGAGTTGGTCGATTATCTCGAGCGCTTCAGGATCTTCCCCGAAGTCGCTGTACTCGTCGGTGTCTTCATCGTGTGGCGAGCCTGTTGCAGTCTCCGTGTTTGCCAGATCGATTTGCATCAAGAAGCTTTGATGTTGGGTCGACCTTGTTGAGTTGTGAGGGTCGCTTGCTAGCGGGTTGGTAGACGTCATGATTCATTGACCAGCTACGACGACTCGCACAATATGAAGGCAATTCAGAAAGACTGCCCCATTCATCCCCACGTCTAGTTGTGACAGATATATGCCTCGACATAGTGCTGCTTGTTTGTTTCAATTTTCCCCATTAGACCCGCGTTGAAGGGCACATCTGCCTGCTCGTAGGCGCGCTTTGGGGCTTGCTCCTGACGCGTTGCGGGGCCTGGACAACACGACCAAAGGATGTATGATATCCAATCGATGGCATGTTGCAGTGATTTTGTTCTATATTCTACAATCTACCCCAGCATTGCTGCCTGTTGTGCCTGCTATTATGGGAAACATGCTATCTAGGATCTTGTCAGGCATTATTTGAGCCTCAAATGCACCTTGACGTTGACCTCCCAGCGACAGAACCGTATTCGTGAAACTAGTAGCCAATTCCTCCCCGTGTATGACAGATCTTTTCTTCCCACTGAATCGTTCTTTAAGGTCGCTTTGGGTCATTTGCAGCGTAGATATGGACGCCTGGACCGTCCTTGAAGCAGCTTTACTTCGCCACTATGCCCTGCTTCACCACCGGCCTGCTCAGAGTATCAATCTGCGCCTCAATCTTCTCTTCTGTACGATTGAGGAAACTCAGATAGCACTGCCACGCGACGGCAAAGATCCCGGAAAACATGAACCGGTATTGGGGCGGAACGAAGGCGAAAGAGAAGGCAGTCACCGCAGGCCACAGTTTCAGAGAATTGACAATGCTGACTGGCACCGCAGCTTGAATGCGCATGATGATGCCCATCGCATGCTCGCCGGTCAGTAGGGCTTGCATGCCGAAAAAGTATGTGTTGAACACAGGAGTGAAGACAACTTGGTTGACAGCAACCTTTGTCGCGATGGAGGCCATTTTCGAGGGGAAATTAAAGCTCTGACCCAGGAAGAGGAACCTGAACGCCTCTGATGTTAGCTCGTAGTCTCTTGTATTCCGTCTGCTCGAATGCTATGCTCGCGCTCCTCTGATAGAGAGGGTGCCCATATGTTTGTCCATCACTGCAGTTTTGGATTTCGTACCATTTGTAACCTGGTATCGCCGCAAGGGCTCCAATGGTCAACATCCTCAGCGTCCGCCATGGATTGTACAATTCCCCTCCAATATCCTGTGCCAGTAGGTCACCGCAGAGGTAGGTCGTTAAGGTCGTGCATAGTTGCACGGTATATGGTCTCTTCACTTGGTTACGATGGAACCACTGAAAAAATGTAGACACGGGCCCCAGCCGATGATACCACAGCTGTATGGGGATGTCGACAGGATCGAGGGGCTTCGCTGTCTCGCCTACGGGCACTTCATGGAGCGAGTGTGGAGGGAGTTTGTTTTGCGACGGCGACGGAGGACTTGTTGAGTCTTTCGAGGGCCCTGAGTTGGCAGAATTGGAGGACTTTCTCTGTGCATGAGGATTGAGTCGGGCTCGCGGGCCTGGCCCACGTGCCCGAACCCACGGTGATCTGGCACTGAATTTGAGCGCTGCCCGATGCAAAGGGTGCATTATTGAGGGAATGCCATGGTGGATTGAATTGTCAGCTACTTCAACAGAAGTATTTGTCTCTCACAGACACAATCTGCAAATCTGCTTCCTACATCGGCGGGCAGAATTGCCGTAGTCGCATTCGGGTCCGCTGATTTCGGGTCCGCTGATTGTGTGCCCCCGAAGATGCCCGCCTGCAGGCCCCAAATAGGCGTCTTTGCCCCTGGATCGTCACCCACTACCGCCCAAAGAGAGAGCCTATAATAACCCCAATACGCGCCGGACACCTACACCGGTCTCATCAAGCACAATGAAAATCGATGGAAGGATGTTTTGGGATGGAATTACTTTAGTGGATCAGAAGCCGATGTTTCATGTGTTAACCTGAATCGTATTCAGGTTCTATCTGGTTGGTGCAGCGCATTCTGCTGTGTCCATGTCATAGTCATGATGACTGGTATGATGCTGCGTGATGTACAAGCACGAGCAGAAGCAGAAGACGCCAGAAGTCCCCATAACCACCCGTGATCGATGTTGTAAAAGCCCAATACAAGCCCCTATGAATTCATTCCGTTTCGCCTTGTGTCAACTCATGAAAACCCCCCATACTCAAATCATGACCATGATCAACGCTCCCAACCTGCCAGGTGACTGTTGATTGAGGTGTTGCGAATTTCAGCCTATCATCTAGGATCGCTCACCACGGAGACGACGGGCAAGCTGGATGTCCTTGGACTGGATGGTGACACGCTTGGCGTGGATGGCGCAAAGGTTGGTATCCTCAAAGAGAGAGACGAGGTAAGCCTCGACGGATTCCTGAAGAGCACCGATGGCGGATGACTGGAAGCGAAGGTCGGACTTGAAGTCTTGAGCGATTTCACGGACGAGACGTTGGAAGGGCAGTTTGCTGTTAGAATGTTAGCTGGTGCTTCTTTGGCGACGGCCATCAGTGAGAGTGCAAACATACCGGATGAGCAACTCAGTGGATTTCTGGTAGCGACGAATCTCACGGAGAGCGACGGTACCAGGCTTATATCTGTGAGGCTTCTTGACACCACCGGTGCTGGGGGCAGACTTGCGGGCAGCCTTGGATGCGAGCTGCTTGCGAGGGGCCTTGCCACCTATAAGACACGAGTCAGTGATGATGTTCTGAGACGACGATGAGGCAACAGGAGGCTCTTACCAGTGGACTTGCGAGCGGTTTGCTTGGTACGAGCCATGACGAATGATTATTCGATGGAAGATTGGAAGTGGTGATGAATTGTTGATGAATTGGCTGAAACTGGAGATGATGAGTGAGGCTGGATGGGGAAGAAAAGCTAAGTGGACAAAGTGGGCGGGAGCGAGGTATTTGTAGGAAGAAAGGACGGCAAGGCAGACGCTTGGCGTGATCTGATGTGCGGTTGCGGGATGATTTCACCAAAGCGAGTTTTGCAAATGACTCAAGGGCGTTAGGCGGCAAATGATTGCAGGTCAAAACAAAGTGATCAGATCAGGGCTGCCAAAACCCCCATGATTTTGCGGCCTGTTTTGCTGGTGATCCAAAACTCGGCCAAAATTGGCTTCTGATCCCGCCGCTTCGCCGCTTGGCGTACCACATCAAGATCTGAACCACGGCCCTGCACCACGCAACCCCCGCCATCACCTTCAACAACCCGGTAATAATTGATGCATTTTGGATAAACTTGATCGCCAGGTGACATACTGCCATCTACCTGAAAGATCAGTTGATTCATGCTGTTGTGGGCGAGAGATCAGTCAATCAGCGTCGCAGCAGGGGCACAGTGGGCGGGTGATGCGGTTCTCGGATCTGAATTCTGATTGGCTGTGATCCGAGCTGCGCTGGGTTGATCTCAAGGGTGCGCAACAGGCACTCCCGGGGTGCATAAGTCTCCCCCCACCCAGCGCCTTTTCCAACCAAGTCTTACTCTCATCCATCCATCCATTCAGCTACCACAGCCTCAAAGCCATCTTCTCGCTCACTTCATACAACACTCTTCCACTTTCTTCAACACCTTCATCCCTCTATCAAAATGACTGGACGCGGAAAAGGCGGCAAGGGTCTCGGCAAGGGCGGTGCCAAACGCCACCGAAAGATTCTTCGTGACAACATCCAAGGTATCACCAAGCCTGCCATCCGACGTCTCGCCCGTCGTGGTGGTGTCAAGCGTATTTCAGCCATGATCTACGAAGAGACCCGTGGTGTCCTCAAGACCTTCCTGGAAGGTGTCATCCGTGATGCTGTCACATACACTGAGCAGTAAGTCTTGCTCATGAAGCATATGGCCTCGCTTCGATGCTAACAATCTCTTCAGCGCCAAGCGAAAGACCGTCACCTCGCTGGATGTTGTCTATGCTCTCAAGAGACAAGGCCGCACTCTCTACGGTTCGTCTGCCCTGCACCTTTCAATCCTAAACAAGTGCTAATGTGTCTCCAGGCTTCGGTGGTTAAACACTTCATCAATCATACTCCTGCTTGTTACGACACTGCCTTGGGTTTTTCGTGTCTGCTATGGTTCATGGCGCGTCACCCAATCCCTTTTTTGCTTTGAGTTTCGGAGTGGTTGGGCATTCAAATGGGTTTCGATCAATGGGGTTGTGTAAGGGTCATGGTTATGATGGGATGGCAAATCAATCAGAGGTGCCTTCAGTGCAATGATGTATCATACAGGCACAATACGAACAGCCTGCTTCGGCGTTGACAGATGGGCTGAGCCTAGACATAAGCATCAGCACCCAGACATGAAATAAACACTTCAAAGCACTGCTCCAGTGATTTCTGTTGCTCTTCTCTTGACCTTTTGCTTGCGTCGGCTTCTCCAGACTGTACGGCACATATTCTCGTCGCCTGCTTGGGGACCTCTGTTGAGTTGAATGACTTCGTGCGCTCGAAGGCTGTCTTGGCCTTGGGCTTTGGCATCGCACTGTTCCATGTGGCATTCACTCCTCTACCACATTCAGGCTTGCGCCACACGTCCTCGAATCTTCGACCTGTGTGTCTCCGTCCCCATTGTGTACCGCGAGGGATTCAAGCGTCGTTCAAAGAACGTGTCTTGACGTTTTGATGGCGTGCACTGCCCTCTGACCACGATACAGTGTCCCAAAGCAACATGCTTGACGTCTGTCTGTGACAACAACTGGTCGAGCCTCTCAGATCGGTGGCGCTCGAGGACTGCAGATCCCGGGCGAACCGACTAGATGAGCACGAGGGGTGTCGCCTCCCTCGGAGCCCTTGGCTCATTTTCTTTTCCACGGTCATCAGTGACAGGGGTATGTCTGCAGCTTACATGGCGAGTCTTCGTGTGGAAACGATATGTCCGGTGGGGAAGATCGAACACACATATGTACCTGGCTAGATAGCTGGCGGCTAAAGGGTGAATGCTTGTGCCCCCTCGCCTCTCTGTTTGGGGCATCGGAGCCCGTCCGTAGAGACAAGATGTGTGTCCGCCAGAGGGGATGGAACGGGCGAGATTTCCTCACATCCAAGAGCGCTCACTTGTCCCGGGACCTGTGCATCGATCCGTTGATCGAGGTGATGTCCAAGGGAGTTGTTCCGTGGCTTTTTTTTTTTCCTGGCGACCCTTCGCACATACAGTAAATGCATTCCGAAGGCGGGTGACAGTATCTTCTCGAGTCTGCACGCATATTCTCGGGTATAAAGTCGCTTTCGTGGCTACATGTTCCTCCTATTTGATTTCACAGCCTTTCTCTACCACTGTATTCGCCCGCCTAGTGTTTGTCGGGTTCTGCATGGCTGTCGGGTTGTGGCGGGGTGATTCATCGCTCTGTGCGAGTCACTCGGTCCTTTCAGGCTTGGGAGTGACCACCCTTCTGTATCTACGGTGGACATGGGGCATGACAAGTAGAAAGAAGTACAACTCAGAAGCACGAGGTCAATCGCGATAGCCAAGGTGTCGCGGTCGAAGGTGTTGTGCCGGATATGTATCCTCTTGTTGGGGTAATTGTCTGGATATTTTGTATTTTTATTCTGCCGATACAGTAATGGAAATTTAAATCCTGCAAGGCCCGACCACAAACCACAATCCAAAAGCACCCACAAATTCAATGCGCACTCAAAGCATCACAGGCCGATAGACAGTGTCCATTTACACACTATGAAAACCGAGGTGTAGAAACAGGCGACGTCAGTGTTATTTTCCATCTGCAATCCCACCAGTCACGCCCAGCGGTCTGATCACCTAGCGCGCGGCGCAGCAAAGATGCGAATGCGCCCCGCGAGGAGAACCACATCCTTATTCTCCATCGGTGCCCAGGGAGGAAAATGTTTTCGCAGAAAGCAGGTTCCTTTGCGCTGTACGACCCGTACGGGCCTTTTGGAGGGCCGCGATCTCAGTGTTGCTGGGAAGCAGGGCGCAAGGCTGGCCCGCACGCTCTCAATTGCGTCCAAGAGACCCACCTCGCCAGGTGGTCGATTAGGTCAGGCCGGGAGACGGAGACTCGTTGGTAACATGCTTCGAAGACCATTCCAAGATGCGAAATATTCTGTTGGAACTATCTGTCCTACACCTGTCACCCATGTCCCTGCGGGAGTGTAGCCAAGGGAAGGTCGACAACCAACACGCAGTAACGGGTAACGCGAGAATTAAGATATCATGTGGCAAGGCACAGCAGACTAAGAACCTATCAATGTGTGGAAGTCTGCCAGAGCTTCGTATGACGACTCCAAAGGCAACCCAATAAGGCCTCCCCATTAACGAAAAAATGATCCTTTTGGGAATCACCCTACATACCAAGTAACAACACCAACGGGGTCTTGTCATTTGCAACCTCAACCACAAGAGCAAGTTTTACGAACTGCACGTACGGTCTTCCTTCGTAAGCTCCCGTCAACCGGCCTTTCATGCCCAAACCCCCTCGACAAGACACAGACGGCATCATGCGAAATGCAGCCCAGGGGTCCTCAAGGACCTGGAAACCGTCAGCATCATCATAAAAAGCCGACGATGCCATGCTAGCCGCCGGAATTCACTCAATGCCGCTGGAGAGAAGAGAAGCACGACTGTCTCGAGATGATGACAGATCCGGACGTCGTGACTCGCAACTCAGGACTTGTTCAGCCGAGGTTTTTGGGAGCCTCGTTTCCCTTGTCCAACTCCGGAGGGCTGACACAACGCGTGTCGCATGAATAGTTCGGGCCCCGTAGACTCCAGCTGAACAATGTCCGCGAATAAGCAGCTGTCGCAGAAACGGCAATTCTCATTTTTCTCCATCGACCAACAGTCCCAGACACCGACATAACCATGCGAGCTGCCGCAGTCAGCGCGACAGCTGCATGCATGACCCGTGCCAGAAGAAGCGTTTGAAGGTGCGACTTTTTTCGTTTTCAGCTTACACAGACCGGAACGCGCTCGAAGACGACTCGAAGCAATGTGTCGAGGACAAATAAACGTGCAAAGTACAAACATTGGACAATGGTTTTGTCAAAGCAAGAAATGCTGACGGATGGACTTTCCCAAAATGGCATGCGCTATTACCCAACTCCATCGGAAGCGCGGAACCAGACAACCACGACAAAGCACCGGCCTCTGGGGGATTTTCCGGAAGACCGAGATCTTTCCAGTCGGCCGTAGGTATTGCGGGGGAGTCCGCCACATGGGTGAGAAGTCCAGCGGAGAGCTAAGGTGCGCTGCGCCAGATTCCTGTAGGATATTCAGCTCTGCATCCGCCATGACAGGAAGTTGCCAGGTAGCAGCCAAGAATCTCCGCCGACGGAAGTCCTCGTAAAGGCTCGTATGCATTAAAGTGACCCGCTCCAGGTTCTGTTGGTGACACGGATGGCGCGTCTCCAGAACTCAGCTGTTGTCTTCAGATGTGGCAACAATGTGGCGGTGCGGGCATCTTTTGTCGATCATACCTCCACGGCCACACAAGCAGAGCTGATTCAAGGTCACTGGAGAAAAGCTATTCGACCGCCACGAGGGTCACCAGCCACATTCGTGTGTTCACCGCATTTCCCGGGAGTTTGTCCTGCGAGACTCGGGTACCTGAACCGACACTTGGCAATTACCTTAACAAATGGTCGGCGGAGGCGCCGACAAGTGACACGAAGTCCAGACTGGTATTGCAAAAGAACGGCAGTTGCAACTTGATAGTGTTGTGGCTTGGCCCGAGGACAAAAACATACCGAGTACACGAATAATACCTAGGTAGACAGAAGCTTTTCACGAGAAATTCCAAGGAGGTTCAGCCAACCATTGGGCCACATCGGATAAATCCCCGGTCCAGAAGGGGAAGGTCGGTGGCATATGCCTTCCCTATGCAGGCTAGACTCGTCCAAATCTTGATTGAGCCCAGCCCCAAAACGCAGCTGTTGGCCTTGTCCCGACGCCAGCCGACAACGTGCCCCAACGAGGGGAGCCACCTGGTCCCACCAATCAGGCTGCTTAGCTCAGCCAACAGAGTTTTCACGGTGGGTGAGTGCAGCTGCATGGTCGGCTTCTGGACCGCTGGACCGTGCAACGCGATACGCTTTGACCCAGTCCCGACCCCGTTCTTAGGGTTCCAGCCTTACCAGCGCTCCAGCCTAAAGCAATGCAACGGCACTCGGCACGTTCCTGCATTTAGACGAGGAAAATGGAAGTTCTAGAAGGGAACCTTGTGGAACCTATTCAGCCGGAAAGCCCCGCCCAGGACAAATCAAATTGTGCTTGGAGAGTTGCGTCCAACACAATGTCTTATCACAGCCCTCTGAATCACCGTGCCAGATACCGAGAGTGGCCGCTCGATACGAGTTGCAACTGCCGATCCTAGCTGTATACTGCAAAGGAAAGAAAGTAGGAGAGAAACCTGACTCGGGGACACCCTTCGAGACGAGAAGAAACTTCTCCAGTCAGAAGAGAGTGCTACCTTGTACGGGCTATATCGAATGCTTGCACATGCGAGCTGGACGGGTCATTTTAATTAGGCTGATACCATTCAGCAGCCCTTGTTGTGCTGACCAGGGACGGATCCAAGCAGTTGGATTCCAGATCGGTGGCCTTTGTGATGACCTCTACCAGCAGTATTTGGAAACAAGATAGGGTTATTGAGAGAGTTACGCGGGTACCTGCTAACGTAAGTACCTAGCAAGTATATCGCGCGACCAGGCTCTACTAGAGGAAAGGGGAATGACTAAGGGCGGTGGCCTGAGGAGAAACCCTCTACCCCGGCGACCGGCGGCCGTCGCATTAACTTGGCTTCCGAGGAGATTGTGGTGAGGGCTTGCGAGTGCGCTCGTACGAGGATAACGGCCGATTGGGCTTACAGCAGCGAGACCCAAAAAGAGCAGCAAGGAAGATTCTCGGGATCGCTCGGGCTGTCGTCAGCGGTCGCCGGCCATTGGCCAAATTGCAGCTCGATCCAAGCACAGCCACAGTAAATCCCTCATCGATTGGACCTTGTCAGCTCGCCAAGTCACGCAGTCTGGGCCGATCATGACCGTCTTCTCATCCCTCTCACGGTCGCAAGCTTAACTCTTCACGGCAACCATCGCAGACTCGTCGAGGCCTGAGCCATACATAGACTCGATACGATGCTGGTGTTGCAAATGGTTCTGTCTGCGAGGCGCGATGAGGCTCAGTGCAAAGACAGGGGAACAGGCAGCCCACTGTCTCGCGATCTCGAACAACATCGGGAAAGGGCGGCGTGACCTGTACGAGTAGACCTGTACTACCTGCCTTAAGCGGCAAGCGGCTTATGCCCTACTAGTAGTTCAATTGTTGATGCCGGCTCCAGTCCAGGCATCTCACGCTGCTCATCCTTTTTCTGGATGGCACCCAGATGGGAATGGGGTCAGTCGTGTGTAGGGCGCAAGAACCCGAAACACTCTCTTCCGGGTGCGCTTTCCCTGGGGTGTTATGAGGGCAGCCCCGAGAGAAGAAAAATTGGCTGCAGCCCAGTCTTCCAGTCTTACGGTCTTACACTGGCTTTACCCGTAAATTACAGCTACCGGGAAGCACCACCAATCGCCTACAACGATTTACCGAGCCAGGCCTTGGAAGACCTCTTGCTGTTTAACGCTCCCTGAAGTGCGAAGTACTGAAGCCCGGGCCCCACCCCCAGCCAGGGTCGTGCAAGTTGCTCAAGTGCCTCTAGGGTGATCCTAGCCCTGCGTTTAACTCTCGCCGTGACCGCAACCCGGTAATCCCTGTCATCACGACGTCACCTTCCCTCCTCTCCCTCATATCCTTTCCCCCCCCAAACAATGCAGACATCACCACCGACACACCACTCCAGCGCAACCCTGCATTTTCCGCTGCCCTTAGTTGGTCTGCTCCGGCCGACGTCGCTTTTTTTCCTCAACATACTTTAGACGTAACCTCAGCAGCACAGGGACTGCTCCCTTTTTCACAATTGCCCTATTCGCATGCCGCTACTTAGCTGGACCAGCAAATCTTCATTCCCGGTCCCGAAAAGAAACCAAAAGCCATATTTGATCATTACTATTCCGCTCACATCGCCGATACCTCCGATCCTTCTTCCCCTTCCATCCTGTTCGACATAGCTCTGTCGTCAGCCCTTGGGACCTCTCGCGCCCGGATACTCAAATATCCTTCCTGCATATAGATTTGCCACTTCGGTCTCTTGGATCTCTTCCTATCCATCTTTCCCGCAAAGTCCACGTACCTCTCTGCCGAACTCTTCCCAGATTCGATACCCACCTGTACATTACCAATCTCTGAACAATTCTCGCACCTCGCCGACTATACAATTGAATCAAGATCCTCTATTTGAGACGAGGCTCGTTTCTCATCTTTGCCTCCTGCACATCACCTACTACCGCAAAAGAACGCAACGACCTTGATGCCATCACCGACGTCGCTGTTACAGAGCCCTACGATCCGCATCCAGAAATCGAGTCCTACCCCAGTCCCTACAACACAACCGCCCATGCTGGCCCAGAGTGCCCTGGTGGGTGGATGGAACGACGGGTATAACAGCCCCGGGGGTTATCTGAGCGCGCTGCCAAAGAATTTCCAAGACCAACGATACCATAAGAGAGATTCGTCGGGATCCTCTGTAACCTCGCTGGGCCCGCCTTCGCCGCTCGCCCAAAACACTATATACCCACACATTGTCGCCACATCTGACTCGAGTTTTCCACCTTCCTACGATTTCGACTATACTCAGACTCCACACACTGCCAAGTCAGATTCTGCCATGATGTACCCCACCAACTTCGCTGCTGTTGATATGAGGAGGATACACTCAACAGGCGCCGACGAGCGTGCGTCATATGCTCTATCTGCGCCGCAGTCAGTATCGACAATGAGTCACAACTCGCCTGCGACGCCGCATACTACTTATGAGCCCGAGTACGATGAGAAAAATGTCTATGGTGAGAATCCCGAGAAGGACGACGACATGTTTTCCAATTACTTACACTTCGAACCAGGCTACACAAACGCGTACCAGCAGTCTTTGCAAGACGTTTTTCCCGACCAGCATTTCGCCAACCCCATGAGCGCCTACACTCAGGCGCAACCGAACATGCAGCAGAGGATCGCCGTCAATGCCCACAGGCAGAACATGATGGCGGACAGGCTCCAGGCCGCACAACAAGACCACCTGAGAACAGACTCGCCCACCTCGAATCCTCGCGACAAGTCACCCTTCAGGCAAAACTCGCCTTACAGCATGCCGGCGCCAACACAGCGACCTCAGCCCACGCTGCAAAAGCAACGCACCTCGATCTCGCCCAAAGAGCTGATGTTGGACGAGCACGACGTTGACGACCACTCGACGCCACTGTTCGCGGCCGACCAGTCACAATCCATGTTCGCAAACCGTAGAACCCCGTCGAATCTTTCCAGCTTCTACACCGCCGCCAGCGAACCTTCGATACAAATCCCCCAACAATATCCATTTGTCAGTCAGTCGTCGAGGCAAGCAGGCCAGGCCGGAATGCACGACATCAGTCCCGAGTTCCCTGCCCACATGATCTCGATGGAGTCGACCGCAGATGAATCGTCGGAGCCTTCCAGTCAGCAGGCCATGCAAAGGCCTAGACCACAGTCGCAAACTGCTGCGCCTCACCAGCAGTCACAGACTCAGCAGCGGCCAGTCGACACATCATCTGACGCGGGCACCTACTCGTGTACGTATCACGGTTGCCACCTGAGATTTGACACACCAGCCAAACTTCAGAAGCACAAGAGGGAAGGTCACAGGCAGACTTCACCGACGTCCTCCGGATCTGCAAACCTGGCTTTGCGGAACTCGCAAGCTGGACCGCACCGATGCGACCGGATCAATCCTAGCACAGGCAAGCCCTGCAACTCGATCTTCTCTCGGCCGTACGACCTTACGAGGCACGAGGATACCATTCACAACGCCCGGAAGCAGAAAGTCCGCTGCCACTTGTGTACGGAGGAGAAAACTTTCTCACGAAACGATGCGCTGACACGACACATGCGCGTTGTGCACCCCGACGTTGACTGGGTCGGCAAGCAGAAGCGCAAGAGCCAGAAATAAAGTGAAACTACTGGAACATTCACGAAGAGTATGCTATGCGACTGAGTCAGCCATCAGAATGCCGATGAAGAAGCCCGCCGCAGGTGTCGGAACCCGGCCGAGGGCGAGAGAACATGGCGCCCGTTGACTGCAGGATTTTGTCCGGGTCCTAAAAAAGATCTAAGACTACACCTGGGCCAACAAACAACAGATTCATACTACTGCCCCTTTCTGCAGAGTATGGCTAGGGGCGCCAGCATCGCTCCGCGAGCTGTGTGTTTGCCTCTTGGAGTTTGAGGTGGACAGAACAGCGAAACGAGGGATTTTTTTCGGGGCGAGAAATTTTTCTTGAAAAGTGTTGGGCTTGGCTTAGCTCAGCAATGACGTATGACGGAAGGATGGGTGGTTGCGTGGTTCTTTTTGGGCGCTGGCGGGGTTATTGAAGGCCGGCAGGTCTTTCCGGATAAAGCATGGCGTCAGACTCGGGTCCTTGACTCCTTGGGCTCGGTTGGGCTGGAATGATGATGACGACAAGACGAGGCTTCGCGAGGCGAGGCTGGCTACGACTGAATTTGCGAGGGGGTTTGCGCATGTTTGGGAGATGATTTGTGACAAAATTGTGTTGTTTTCTCCTGGTTATTTCTTTTGTGCTTGTTCTATGTTCGCGAAGGGAAAAAGGGGGGAAGATCAAAAAGTGTTGGACCAGGCGACATACTGCACTGCACTGCATTGACCTTTTCTGATATCGATAGACTGTACAACAGCTTTGGGAATATGGTCACCAAGATGTCTGTCTATATGGGGTCACGGATCATCCAGGCGAAAGTGTGTCCTGGCGCTCTGCTTTTCAGATGCACTACTCGCATCGATGCGGTTAGCGCATGATGCCCTTTTGTACAGGAACATGAGATTGTTCATATGTGGAATTGATTTGTTTTCCTTCTTAGTCTTGGTTTTCTACACATATGAAATCTGTCTTGATTGTCTTCGTATGGCGCCTAAACGTCGATGGCAGGTAGTGTGTTACTGTGTTGTATGTACTTTGTCCAGCCCACCACCGTGGAAACATTCAACCACATGACTTCACCTGCGCAGTGCCACGCGCAGAATCTAACCTCTCATCTTAAACCAGAACCCTACTATGTAGGTATCTACCAGCGACAAAGATGGCAAATGCACTGTACTCAAAGCGGTCCTTCTGCTCAGAGAGGCCGGCTGCATCGAGAAACTGTCGACCTGTTCCTGCCTGCTTGCCGAGTGCTCCTCACATGTCATGTTGATTCACACTGACTTCTCCCTTCTAGGGAACTCACTGCCACATGATCAGACTGAAGTGTTCTGCCGCATTCTCATCACCTCTCTCTTCCTCCTTCGCAGCCTTTCTCCTGTCCACCTCCCCCTTTCCCGCGTGTTGAGACAACGAACAACAGACCACCGACACATAGCCCGCGATGGCTTGTCAGGATCAGCCAACTTATGATACCAGAGAAGCAACCACGCAGAGACTATCACTTACAAAACGCGGCTAGCCAGGGATGGTCTGCAGGTCAAAGCGAGCAGCTAGTGACAGCTTTGGTGGTGGAGGGTTTCTCCTTCCAGACTGCCGAGCACCCAAAGTTCCGTGACCTGGAAATTCTTTCCGGGGCTTCTTGTTCACTCAGCATTCGTTCACAGCTCCCCTGGCAGGCTACTCGTCTGGTGATAGTCCGCACAGAGCTCCGCGTTCCCAGAGGCAGGAGGAGCAGCGGCCTTCTCGGCCCCTTATGAGGGCATCGCAGGACTAGCTCTCAATCAAGCTGGCAGGCGACTGGCGGCATGCTGCCCCCTGGCTGCTAGTTGCTGAACTGAGCCGGTTCGACCTCCCTCCCGATAAGGTCAACACCTGATAAAACCCATTGGGCCCGTCCTCTTTGGATCAGTTCGATCGATCCCATGCCGCGTGGAAGTCAATCCTGTTTCGAGGCCTTGTTTCCTGGGAGATCACCAGTGTCTGCAATGCTGCTGGTACACGTAGCACGACAAGAACGGACATTGACCATTATCGACTGTACACCAAAGGCGTCAAATGTACTTTCGCGGTGCAGTGGTCCGTAAGTGGGTGGTTGGTCGTTGTCTGATGCGGTGGCCTGACACCACGGCATTTATCAAAAGTATGTATTTGGCCAAGTAGGCTCGATTCGAACGCCAGGGCGGCCCAAAAGAATTTACCGAATCAAGTCCTCGCACCGGACGTTTGAGAGACAGCTGATACACTGACGGCCATCGCCTATTCCATGCCGTGCGAGTTCAATATACAAGTACGGTAATGTTCGTTGAAAGGCCAACCGTTGGTAGGCTTATAGCAGCGGCCATGACCGTGAGTTTGACCAGATGGAAAAGTAGGATCGGAGAAGCGACTACCACATGTCATACTACGGGGAACGACCTGCAGTTGTTTCCTGCCGTAGCCAAATAGCGGCACAGAAAACAAGCATTTGTGGATCGTGGACGCATCCGTGACTCGGACGAGAAGCCTAGAACAGAACGGTCTAGACAACGACCAATGCGAGACATGTCAGAAAGCTACGACTCGAGTCAATAGTGGTGGTAGAGTTCGAGACGCATCTCGTGAACCTTGACCTTGCCCTCGACTTTGGCCTTCCGACAAGAAACCCGAAGGTTGGAATTTCTGCGAGCAGGTTCTACCGATAGAGCAATCGGGCCCTTTAGACCAGAGAGGGGCCAATGTTCAATCAGCCGACAAGGTCTGCTGCTCTGCTACTATACGATGGGAAGCGGACGAGGATGAAGGATTGATCAAGTGGCAGCTGTACGATTTCGTTAGAAGCTGTGATCTCGCTCACCGGTTCAAAGATGTCCGACTCGTGGCTATCACATCCGCAGAGATGGATGTCGGGTACTGCTTGTAACTGGTACAGTGGATTATGCCCTCGGATCCCAACCACCACCACCACTACTGCAGCTCATTGCAAGTTCTCGGAATCGTTGGTGAGTGAGTTGCACACCATCCGAGGCAGCTTTGGGAGACACTTCCTCAGCCGATGGTGAATCAACCATGGATAGAATTCAGATTTGGCCATTCCGAGTCTTGCTCTGAAGCTAATACTACTGATTCTAGCTTTCAGCACGGACGGATCGGCATGTCCGGTGTCGGGATATTGCGGGGACTAACGGACGTCTATTAGCGAGTCCTCTTTTGGACGTCTTACCCCATCGACATCAATTTGTCTGGCTTACCTGATCAGTCAAGGAAATACTATGTAAAGAATACATTTGGAGAACGCGGGAACGAGAATCCGAACATCGGCAGGCCCTCCTATACGAATCGAAGAAACTTGAAGTCCTTACCAAAGGTTTCAAAGCAGGCAACCAGCTGAGTTGCACCTGGAAGCCTCGGCACCTCGGTCCCGAATGAGCCTTAATCGCCCCTGGGCAGAGAGTACTATCTGCTTGTACGACGAAGTCGTGCTCGATTACTGCAGCGTGTCCTACTACACATACATACTTAGTACATAGTACTACTCCCGGTCCTGGTAGTGACCCTGGCTTAGAAGGTAAGAGTCTGGCTTACCTGGTAAGGCTCTGGGAATGGGGCTGAAGCCTTACGCAGACCCCGCCGATCATTTCTTTCGGTCATCCTTTGTCACCCGCGTGGATATCGATCGAGTCTCGAGGCTGCGGTGCCGCATCCACTGGTACTTGTTCATATGGTGCTCATTTGTCATCGCACCCGCAGGCCTCACAATGGCTACCCTTTTTCCTAAATAGGTACATAGTATGTACTTAGTCTCAGCACAGCAGCAAATACATTGCGATCAGTAAACACTACCTCGGATACTAGCAAACTGATACTGTTTACAGGGGGAGGCATACCAATAACCAGATATAGTATTTCTGTCGATCTATTTACAACTAGTAGTAATTCAGATACTTACTATGTAAGTAGGAGGATCTATGGCCCATTCAATACTATGTATTACTATAATATCAATTAGTACTACATATAGTACTACATAATACCAATTACTTATATATCAGTAATCTCTACATAGTACCGCACTTGCGATTCACGTTGGATCTTTCACGATACATACAGTATTACTATTTTTAACCTACTTAGTATATAGTCCTAAGGGGTTCTGGAAAAGCCAGATAGGCTATAGGTCCTATATTAGATACTATGTAGATAGGCTATAGGTCCTATATTACATAGTAGATACTATGTAGATACTATATATAGACTTAGTATAGGCGTAGTTATACCTACTAGTACTTTTATATATATACTAGCTACATATTAAGAATTACCTAATTAGGCGAAATTCGTAACTCGTTTTAAAAATAAGTTTTTTTAAGAGATTTAACAATTGATATCCTAGTTACATAGAGGATCCTTAAATGGTACATAGTATTAGTGATATATAATTATCTACTACTATATATCCTAACCTAACTATATAGTAATTATACCTAATACTATACTATATACTACTATATATGTAGCTACTAAGTACTATATATATAGAATACTAGGATCCTAAAAGACTATAGTATATTTACACTTAGTACTTAGTATATATAAGTACTATATAGTATCCGAGAAGGAACCTAAGGTTATAGGGGGTAAATACTACTTAGTAAGTATAGTACTAATAGGAGCGACGATAAATGAGATAAAAAGTAGAGAGTATACTACTTTTAAAAATACATATACTTCGTACTTATTTTACATCTTAGGACGATACTATCTATATATGTAACTAAGCGGTTGATATCAGTAAGGAACTTGAATCTGTCATAGCCAGACAACCGTAGGAGAATGAAAACGGTAGTAAGATTTTGCTCCTGGCGAGAAAGAGAGAAATTTGATACTTAGTACTTTGGATAGTCGACGGGAAGAAGGCTATGTACGTCCTTTCTGTACGGGGCCGAGGACCCCTTGGCCGCACTATCACCACTCTCGCAAGTATACAAATGAATCCTTATATATAGTAGAATGTAAGCTTTGCAGATATGTTCAGTATAGTAGCCACTGCAAGCTGCACGTCAAACCCTCCCATCAATTTTAGACACGAGCACGCTCGGGCCGGCAAACAGTACTAGTATAACCTTTTCGTCGAAACGGCAACGCCCATCTCAAACAGAATTCCCTTGGTCTTCGCGTCGCTCCACTGAATATCTACAGTCCCAAGCTCAGTTTCGGATGTCCGGGGTAGTTCTGTGCGTGATTGGTCCGGCTGGCTGGATTCACGCGCAAGAGCTTCTCCGGCGATACTTTCAGGCAGCTGAGAATCCCAATACGAGGATTATCATGCAGCTGTGCAAAACAATCTCCCAGCTGATTGTCCAGTGACCAACGACCAATAACCCGTGCACCTTCCGTACTTTGCATGCTCCTTGTGCGTGAATTTTGGATCTAGATCGTCGACAGGCAAATCGATGGAAGAGGCAATTCAAGTTGTTGGCCGGCCGGGGACGCTTTCATTCCCCGTTGCATGTGCATGGGGGACATGACAAAGACCTGATGAAAGCCAGTACTCCAGTGTCAAATTCAAGAGCGCCTGTCGATGGAATCATGCACGCCGTCACCTGGACAAAACGGACAAAACTTCAGCACTGGCCCAAACCAGATTTATGTGGGTACTGTTGGCTGTGACCAGATCCCCTGTTTGGCGACCGTGACCTGAAGAACCGACAATACTGCAAGTCCGATAGACGTCATGCACGAAGGTCAACGGAATCATAGCTTCAATGTTCAAGTTCACTTGTCCTTCTTGGTGATGCTGTCCCCTGGCTCTGTCCATTGTGGAAATCAAGTACATACTGTACATCATCACCCAGCAGGTTCAAATCCCTTTCTAGACGGCTGAACCATGTTGCGATATGTATGTAGTTCGAGATGAGTTGAAGTTGTTGTCTCCTGCTGGCTGAGTCGTACGCAAGCTGTCGTATGTATTCATCCTGCCAGCATCCCGGAGACTGTTGAAATGCGACCGGAAGTTCGCGGGCTGCAGTTCATTCACGTAGCCGACCAAACAGATTCCTGGATATTCGATATGGCGGCGACGTGCTCGTTGCACGTATGCATCGAGGGGGACGACAGTATACATAGTAGTAGTATGGAAACATCTTCGCAAGTTGGGCGAAGTTTTCGAGGCACGAGAATCTTTCCAGGTTCTCGTGGAGAAGCAGATTCGGGTCGAAGAGCTCGGACCATCAAAACAAGCATTCCGCGACGCCGGGAATCTTCGGCTAGCCTGGACCGACCATAGCTCAACGGGGATCGTGCCTTGGCCCGGCTCCTCGTACGACGTCGCTTGATCTCATGGCTTCGCTCGGCACAGTATGTGAATGCGTTATGGCAGAGTCGTACGGCCTCTGATAACACCGAAGAAGCCAGTGCCTCTTCTCCGTACCGACTCCGTCCTTGCCGGAACGGATATCAATCGGATGAGTACATACTATGTATGTATGTCCGAAAATGCGGTGCTCCGATGTCTCGAACGATCTGTGAGGGTGCTTAACTGGGAATAAATCTAGTCCCTGATGGTCCTGACGGTTCCGAGGCTGTCATGTTGGCCCGGATCTTTCGGAGCAAAGCCCAGCCAGCAGCGCCTCGTTGGCGATCAAGTGAGCAATGTCGTCTATACTCAGCAAAACATTGTGCTGCAACTGAACCATAGTTGGCGACGTTGCAACCAAGCACAGGGCACAGTCGAGACTGGGCCTCGTCTCTGTATCTGCAAGGCAACTGTCATGCACTAAGATGACCGTCGAACGTCTGCTAGCCTATCTCGCAAGCGGTACGGGACTCTCGGTCTCGGGGCTCTTCAATAGAGCAGGCTACTGCCGATCCTCTTGTCCGTGGGTCACAAGCTATACACAACCTGAATCGGAAACTGAGATATTATCCACCAGGCGTCGGATCTTGCTTGTCACCACAGTCGCGAAGCGGCGGGTATGATGGTCGCGTAATCGTCCAGGGAGTCGATGCTGCTTTAGCATGTGGAAAATTACACTATGTGTACCAGATGCATACCGGTAGAACCATACGGCAGAAGGCCCCAGAATTTGGCGAATGTGCTTTTGCGGCAGCCTTGCGCGAACAAGGGGCGCGACTTCTCCGCGGTGGACAGGGATCCGTGTAAGAACTCCGATGGTGAGCCATGGCATGTATCCAACCAAAATAGAGATCCAGGATATGCAGAGACTGGTCCCATGAGATCCGCCGGAATTGTCTCGGGCTATCCATTTAGAAGTAAAGGGATTTCGGTCGTGTTCGTTTCGCGGAAATATGGAAATCCGTCTCGCCCCAATTTTCGTCCCGTCTCGATGTACCGACAGTTTGGACCAATGATGAAACAAGGGGAGACATCGCTGCAGGACAATGCTTCCATGGCGGTTGAATATCGAGGCACCTCTTGCATCGAAAGACGGGACCGATTGCAACGTCGTGAATATCCCAGATAAGTGGCGAAGAAGGGGAAAAGCCTGCTCAGCCCAGAAAAATATTTCAAATTCCGACGGGTCCAGTCAAACATCCGACAGACGATCTGTGAGCTGTGGACCATTGTGGCAGCCTGACACCTGCCTGAAAGGGTTGATGTCGGCGGAGTCTTCCTCCCTGCCGCCCACCCAACGCTGGGACCGGGCCCCATCCAAACTCGTCCATACTTACCCAATATGTGAATGTACGAGAATTCACCGATTGGCCCTCAGTTCAAACAAGCGCGACCGTGGACTTTTGTGGAGCATGGAACATCTTAAGCGGTGGAGGCGTGAGCTCTAGTAGAGGCTTCTTTGACCCAGCGAATGGCGAGTATCTGCAGGGCCAGGCATTGGCAACTCAGTCTCAGCGTTCTGTGTACGACTGTGAAACAACTGTGTGGCACTTGTGGACGGCATATGGTCCCTACGTTGGAAATGCGATGCCATGGAGGATGGGTTTCCTGATAGTGAGAGCGCGCGGTTGCTGCATCAGACCCTGAAGCAATATCTGGCCCCTCGATACATACAGGGCAGCGCTGCTTTTGTACTCCGGTGCTGGCTGACATTCGCTATTCGACCGTCTTGAAGTCCGGACCACTATCACGGTCAGTCAGACCTTGCTCTGCCTTCCCCAGACACTGAAGAATGTCGTCAACAATCTCTCGCGCGATGATTGGAGCCGTCGAGCTCTGTACCTAGGATGCTGTGCTGTATGAATGCACTCGTGCAACTCACCTCATTGGCTTTTGACCAGTCGTTGATCCTGGCAACAGCCTATGACCATCACTCCCAGCACAGCCCACGTATATATGTACATCTATACTTAATTACCTCTGATTCCACGTCGTGATCACCGGCTGTTGTTGGTGCTGGGCTCCCGAGAGACCTCTCTCCTCGTTGTAGACCTCGCGTGACTGCGCCCACAGAAGCTTTGCGGGCTGGTCGCACACGTCGGCCCACCATAGGAACGAAGCCATGCGCTCGAGCATGGTTTCGCTGCCGCACAGCAACTCGCCGCTGTAGTACTCGGCCATCTTCTCGATGTACCAGCCCCGGTGTCTCGTGAACGAGGCGGCGATCCCACCCATGGTCAGAACCCAGAGGAAAAACCCAGAGGGTGGGCCGTATTCTTCGATGTCCAGAATCGGAAACCTCAGACACTGACGCAGCTCGCCTGCCAACCGTGGCTTGATTCTTGTCACCGGACTGAGCGGGAACAGGACCATGTCACTGAAGATGGTTGCGGCTATGCGTGTCATGTTGTTGAGCCTGTTCTCCCTGCTGAGTTCGTCGTTTGTGGAAGGCTTCAGCCATAGTAGTTTGTTCTGCACGGCGTTTCGCTGCAGCACGATATCGGACAGTTCCGGCGGGTGATCCTCTCTTCGGACATGGTGGTCGAGAGCGACAATGAGGTCGCACATCAAGCCAAGAACTCTCCGAAGATCTTTGTCCAGCTTGAATAAGTCGAAGCCGGTACCCAACAGCAAAAAGAGGCGCTCGGCGCTGGCGTCGAGGGCGTGGAGACCAGCCTCGACAAGGCTCGTAACCGGAGTTGGCCAGATTTGAGCTGGCCTTGTGCCCAGTATGGATGAGAAGTAAATATCGGATCTGGACGTCGGTGTCAATTTGGGGCACATGCCAATGAGACTTGATGGACCTACAGCAGAAGCGTATCTCGAACACCATACGTATCTACTACCCCCAGGCCTCCCTTCAACGACACGAGCTGGGCAGCGGCTCTGGCGTGCACTTCAACGACACTCAGCATACTGAAGAGATGGAGGCTCTGGGTTTTGGCGAGAGGAGAAATAGGGTGGGGTTGTGGAAGAACCTGCTGTGGGCGTGTGCCATTGACGGCGAGGATGGTCACCGCCAGGATCATCGCGTCCGTAGGAGGTCCATTCAACGACTCGACGGCGTTTCTGGCGCAGTTCAAGGCCACGCTCTGATGGATGGACAGCGTCTGAACCGCCAGCTGGGACATGTCATCCTCCTTCTGGCCTCTCAGACACAGCATTTGCTTTGTGGTGGCGAAGATGAAGGTATGCAGAACGAGAGGGGATTCCATGACTAATTGCATCCATGAGGCCCTAAACGGTATCACAATCTTATCCAAATCCGTGGGAAGGCACTGCGGCCAGGTGAAACTCAAAGCTATTGAAGGGCGCTATCATGAGCAACGAATTCCTTCGGGGGCCTGAAGGGCCATGGATGCCTCAGACATGGACTTACCATGATCCATGGCTTCATGCGCATAGTGAGGGATGGTATAGTTCGCAAAGGGGTTCGTTTTCGCAGCACTCAGCACCGTGCATGGGTTTGGTGGGGGACTTGTGTCCTCGTCGCTGGTGCTGTTCTGTTTGTCCACGGTGGCGTTCGACGTGTGAGGACACGCCTTTTGCGACGATGGGATCGCTCGCCATCGGTGCTGGAACCTGCGCTGGGCCAACGTTTTTTCCTTACTGTGTCGCGAGTCAGGTCAAGCGCTGCAGCGCGGTATAGATGGCTCTGTACCTTTGCCTCATGCCGCCTGCTGAGCGGAAACCCTCGCTTCCTTACGGTCCGTCATTCGCAGTGAAGGATCGACCCTGCGGCCTGTTCGATGTGAGTGAAGACCAAGGTGGTGTGTGTGTGTGTGTGTGTGTGTGTGTGTGTGTGTGTATGTGTATGGCAGAAAATCATCATCTTGAGCTGCATAACGTGGCGCTGTAGCTGGTCTTGTGCCATCTGCGTGTTGCGGCTTTGTCAGGCGACCGCACTGATCGGCTCGTTAGCGAAGCCCCAGGCCTTCCATTCGAGCGCAGTGGCCTGAGTTGGAAGGTGAAGCCCACGCCGTATGCACCTCGTATTACTCACAGACGAAGTCCCCGGGATCGAATCATGTCGAATCATGTCTCCAAGCAGTGCTTACGAAACTCTCCTTGATTCGGGGAAGGGCTTCTCAAGCCAGCACATGGTACCCCAGGCAATGACTACCGGCAACCATCGCAACTTGGAATGATTGATTGGTCTGTCCACGTCAAGACGGAAAAGGGAGAGCTTCTTGACCTTGTACCTCCTACATTTGTCTTTGTTTTTAGCCTTTGGCCCCCAAAAAGCTTCGTCCGAGTTGGGCTGCGCTGCAGAAGAGGGTTATACCCCGAAACGCGAACGCTTCTTTGTCAACGATGCCTCAGCAATGCTGGCAACGAGAGCCATGTGAACTGCGACCGACGATGCTCATCTCCCCTATCGACCATTTTCCCCTTTCGCGTAACGCCTTTTGATCGATCGAGCTGCTTGAAGTCGCCGAGTAGGTTGACCCCGTAAGAGAAGAGGGTTGCCCAACAGGGTTTATACTCACCACACCAGCGAGGTGCGCGGGTGGTGATGTGCGTTATCAAGCATACCAGGTGCTTCGGTTGGGAAAGTCGATGCTCGAAACGTGCCATCGGCTTCAAAAAAGAGAGTCGCCTTTCTCCGAGCCATCGCTTCGTGGTAAACACCGACTTGTCTCCCTCGCAGCTGCGCCGAATCAGAGAGGCTGCGCCGACCGGAGAGGACACTAAGTCGCACAAGTGCGCAACATGATTGAGTCCGGAAAATTAGCAACTCCTTTCCTTACTCATCGGGTAGTCTCCTAGGCGCCTCTCCTCGGCTCCGCCTATCGAATGGGAATGCCTAAGAGGAAAACCACACTGAGCGACGCAGAGCCCATGCAAACTTCCGCCTCCGGCCCCCGAACAACGGGCACGCAGTAGTTCATGCCTTTACCCGATCGACCCAGGACCCTCTGTTTCTCTTGTCATCCATCCACGTCCTCGGGGACTTGCAGGCCGCAATACGCAGTGTCAGCAGGAATAAGATCCGTCGATGATAGGAGAAGGGGCATGGCAGTGGCAGGTGGCAGCGGGAGCGGAAGTGGGGGAAGGGATTGGGAAGGACGTGGACGGGAGCGGGAAGATACATCAACCACAGCGCGCAGAGCCTTGACCAGCAAGCGCCGGATCAAAAAGCTCAATGTCGCACAAGGGCGGGCAAGAGGAGGTAAGGTAGATACGACGTCGCGTCACGGAGGGAATCAAACACGGCGTCGTTGGTCGAAGCTAGTTCACCTACCTCGTACATCGTCGAACCAGGATCAATGGAACAGGAATACCATATGGTAAGGTATACTCAATGGTATATTTCTGATTGTCAAACACCTGGACAGGCTAGATATCTATCTGCCCAACATCGTCCTCATTCCAACACACACATACAAGAAAGGATTGAATGTCGCCAAATGGCCATCGGAAAAAGAGTGGTGGTCCGGGAAATATCAGTCCAGTAGATCCAGTTTGTTGACATGCTTTCGATATCGTGACCCAAATTGTCCCAACATTTCTTCTGTCTCTTTTGGTATGCGCGCGACCATATATGAGAAACCCAACTTCTATAAAAAGCATCCCCCCGACGCCCACCCCTTGCACCCCTCCAACGCAACCTCACCACCAGGCGGCGGTTCCTTTTTATGAGAAAGTTGTGGTCAACGTAGCAGAAGCTCCCATGCCACCGCAACCACCGCTCGGCGAGCCATCGTAGGTACCGTAGTTGGCACCGGGTTGAGAGCCGTTTTCGCAGTTGAGCAGCTCGTAGCCGGTCATGCACACGTCGCCCGAGGAGCAGACGAAGACGCAGGTGTCCATGTCGGTAGTGCAGGATGGTCCCACGATGCTCATGGAGTGGCCGTTCATGTTGACTTCGCGCGACACGTCGACGACGCCCCACTCGCCGAAGGTGAATTCACCCCAGGTGTTGCTGGCTTGACCGTTGACGAGCTGGGTGTCACTGTAGATGGCGGTCCAGGCGCCAGAGGCACCGTCGGCGAAGGAGACCCAGGTGGATGCGTTGGAGGGCAGCGAGGCGGTGATGGTCGGTTGGACAGCGTTGATCCACGATCCGGCAACACCCCAGATGACCAGGATCAGATCCTCGCCCGAGTCGTTGATGAACTCGTTCTGGTAGGGGCCGTCCTGGCCGAACCAGGCTTGTCCGTTGGCCGAGTATGAGTTGGCACCAAGCGAGGCCACGCCCAGGGAAGTGAGTTTCGAAGCATCGGCATCGGTCAGAGCGGCGTCACGTTTCCTGCAAGTTTGACAAAGTGTCAGTCAGTCCACAGTCCATATAGGTATTTTCGTGTCACGCCAAAATGGGATGGATCCGGCCTTACTCTACATGGTCGTGCCTGCGTTTGGCATGGTTTTGCATGTGCGAGTGAACGCCAGAGACAGTGGCAGCATATGCTTGGCCAATTGCAAGGGTGGCCAGCACCAAGGAGTGGAATGTGCAGCGCATTGTGATGGGTTTGTCTTGTGTGGTTCCTGTCGCGGCTTTGACTCTTGCTTTGGGCGAGGGCTTCTTGAGGTCCGGTCAAGAAGAGATGTCGTTTGGTTATATGTTGTTGAAAAGGAGTGTTAATCGCTGGGATTGTGTGTCGATCTCAGATCGAGAGGCTGGTAAAGGAGTGTGTTGGTATAGAAAGGTAAAGAGAGCGACGACGAAGCCAACGAAGCTTTCGCGTGAAAAGAGTGAACGCGAGCTGTCTGCTGGCAGGGCTGGGGGAGAGAACGAGCGGACGACGTCCAGAAGAGAACGTCTGAATATAATCAAGCCAACACGCAGATCTGGGCGGGAAAATAGGAAGGAGAGCACAAGAGGAAAATCGACAAGGAAGAGAGACATGCAAGCAGAATGGGATGCAACAACAGAGGAGCCCACCGCAGGGGGCTAGGGAGATGGGAGATGCAGCATTCGTCGCACCCAGCCAATTGCCATGGCTGATCCCCTGGAGAAAGCCCACGGCTGTGGCGCGCCGGGTCCCAGCCCGCCCCTGTCAGTTGCCCTGGTGGGCCTCATCCTTGTGCCTGGTGTCGCCCTTTAGGCTTTGAGTCCGGCTTTGTGAAACGCCCTAGCTTCACACTGACTTCTGCCAATTTCCAGGTGCTGGGCGAATGGTGGCCATTGTTTCTCTCGCGTACCTGGCGCCAACGCTGAGCTTATCCTCTCGCCTACGTCAGCCGGCGCAAGTCGATCCGACTTTCATTTCGGGCACTTGGCCACTTTGACGGAAAAGAAGGGGCTTGGTCGTCAGGAACAGGACATGATCTTCCAATCTGAGTTCGACCGTGAGGCTGTCCAGCAACGAAACACGTCCAAGACTCTTGGAGAATGTGCAGAGCGCGATCACCTCCAAACAATGGGCTGAGGTCGTTCCAGGCTTGAGGCTGGTCGATTCAGATTCTGGCCAGCAAGGTCGAGGCGGCCTTTTCTCGCGGCCAAGAAACAAACGGGGCAACTCAGGAATGTCAATGGGGCCAGGACCACAGGCCCAGATGGTTAAAGGCCTTGATGAGTTGGCACCCTACTCGACCCGGTACCCATCAGACAATCCATACATCCCTGTGTGAATATGTGTCACACAGATACCATGTGCAGCGGGAATCCCAGCAGTCTGGCACACCCTGGCTCCAAGTCGGCCAATAGGTTCACGCAAGGATGAATTTGTTTACCAACAGCGGAAAAAATCAACCTGTTTCCATGCGCAGTTCTCGTTCAGACAGTTTGGGTCGGCTGGTGTCAGGACATCGCTGCGCAGGTGGGCTGGAAAACTCTGCTCAGTACTTGCGCTCTATCATGTGGACCCCCGGAATATGTTTTATTGAAAACCTCGAACGGGCAGACTCGGGCAAACATTGACTTTGACTGTACCGTCGTGGTGGGCTGGTACCCAATCGGCGACTTCTTTGCTTTGTGATGCCTTTGCTGAAAATCAGTGGAAGCACCGTTTCCAAGGGCTTCAGATGATATATGACGTACCGGTAAAGACGTTTGATTCTGTTTGCTCGGTTGAACGAGCTTTGCGTTGCAATCACCTTCAGATGATCGAACACTTGATATGAAGAAGCAAGATTGGTGAGTGGATTGATGCCACGCGTGAGCGATGATCTGTCATTCCTCCAGGGGACTTGCTGGGCAAAGTCCAATGCAGACCCGACTATCACCAGAAGTACCGACGAGGAGATCGCAGAAGACCGTCCGGTCTAGCAAACCTAGCAACCCTTTGGAAGGCAGCATGGACCGGGACAGTTGTCATGCACAACTGCTCGACACCTTGCTACAATCGCGGCTCACCTGCCGCATCTTGAAATGTCGGAAAACCTACCTCATTTTTTGGACTATACCGACCCGCCCAATACTAGTACTACCTACCTAGGTACCTCGTAGACACTCACGCACTCTAGTTCAGGTCCCGGTGCCGAGTCTGTCTTGACCTGTCGACAAGTTGCAACATCACGACCCCCATCATCTCACTCCCAGTCTTTGTGTGTTCGCTTCGTCAATTCGATGACGCCTGCCAGATGTGTACTGTTGGTTGACGCTAGGATCAGCTTGCTCCGCAACTATGGAAGGCCTCCGAACTCGCAATACCAAGGTATGCATGCAATGTCACGCACGCAAAGTAAGAGCTCCTCTCCTCAGACGGACGACATAGATTACTGACACGACTGGATCAGGTTAAATGTGACTTGCAAGACCGCACCGATGGGGCATGCCAGAATTGTCAAAAGGCCAACGTTATGTGCAGGTGGGTTGGATTCTAGCGCGTGAAATGAGCGCCCCCAGTTCTGAGCAGATGGAACAATCAACAGGCCTCGCGTGGGAGTTCGGCAACGCAACATGCGCTCTCACCGGGCAAGTGCCACGAGCGCGCAGTCGGCAGAGCGCTCAGAATTGCCCCCGTCTGCGTCGCCTGGATCCGTGGGCTACCTAGGAGAGGAGAGCATGATGCTTCAGAACCCCCGCGCACTCCAGCCCGACGACGAGACTGAGGCGGAGACGGCCGAGTTCTACGCAAAGGCGCTGCTGTCCACCGGCGCAGTAACCTTGCCCTCACAGATGCTGGTCGCCGCACTGACCGACGCTTATTTTGAACACATTCATCTCCACCAGCCCCTTGTAGACCGCTCGGACTTTGAGCGGTTTCAGTCGCCTCTGCTGGTGCACTGTGTCTGCATGCTTGCCAGTGCCTATGGCCACCGGCGAGGAGGCGTAAGCCAGCTAAGTGCGGCCAAGAAGTACTACCTAAAGGCCAAATTGCTCTTGGCTACCGAACATGAAAGAAATAAATTGGTGGTTCTCAAGGCGCTCTGTCTGATGACCTGTCGAAGTATGATCGAGCCGACCGTGATCTGCCTAGACAGCCTCTGGCATTGGCTGGGAGCAGCATCGCGCTATGCAATCCACATGGGTCTTCACAAAGAAGCAACCTACCGCGGCAACCAAGATGCTGGAACCCGTCGAAGGATGTGGTGGCATCTCTTCGTAAGGATAAGCCTTAATACTGTCCATTCCTGACTTGCGGCCTGTCTGGGCGCTGACATTCCTCCAAGAATCAGGACAAGCTCGTCTCCTTTTGCTATGGACGGCCGCAGATGATCCATGTGCATGATACCGACGTTCAACCGCTCTCGCAAAGCGACTTTCCCGAGGAACATCCTGACAACAACATCTTCATTGAGAGGACCAAACTTTGCATGATTTTTGGTCAGCTTGCAGATGGACGATACAATCCCAACTTGAGCTACGGAGATATCGTGCCTATTGGACAAGCCTATGAAACGTGGCTCTGCGAGCTGCCAGCCGAATTGACCCTGCAACACGCAGACTCAAAGCCCTATCGTCGAGTAGTTTCCGAGTTACACATTTTGTATTACGCCTGCTTATTGATCTACCAACTATCCTTGATGAAAGTGGAACCGGTCTCGAGCTCGGCCCGGGCAACGTTCGAAGAGTGCGTCCAGACGGCATCACACCTGATCCGGGTTTTCGAAGAGATCCATTACAGAAACGACGTGTTGTATATGGCACCGATTAACGCTTGGTTTTGTTACCTTGCCGGAGTGGTGCAAATTCGTGCCCGCGCCACCTTTTCGGGCCAAGGAGGCAGGTTTGATGACAATCTCGAAGTTGTCAGGATAGTCTTGCAGGAGCTGTCCGCCACTGTCCCAAGTTCCGCCTTGGTCCTCGGCAACCTCAAACGCGCGGAGCTTTCTGGCGGGACTTTGCCTGGGCAATATTCTGCTCAGTCCGCCAACCCACCTGCTGATGGGTTAATCAATTCTGAAGCGAACAACGAACAAAACATGACAGCCGAATCTGTCGCAGGTCCAGACGGTCGACGAAGTACTTCGAATATTCTGAGTGGTCTCGGTGAGGGAATGGACAGCAGTTCTCTCCTTTGGCCCGCTAGTCTCATTGCAGATGGCAGCGTGACTTTTGACTTCGGGGATGTTTTCGTTGACCAAATATTCCAGTACCAGTGACCTTTTGGTTGGAATTGACGATGCCGACGAAGGGATCAACTCAGAGCACGACGTGTCATACATGGTCTGACTTGACATGCTAAGTCCGGCTCGAAAAGTCTGGTCGCTGTGACTACCGACTACCGAACGGGCGTTAGCCGTTAGCCGCCTTAGTTCGCCAACACCGCGGACTCTCCCACACCCGCGAATATTTGCCCCGAACGCTCTTATTCTCAGGCGTGGACATGGAAAGACTCCCCTGCAGAGAGCTCAACGCGTGGCTCTACCGAATCGCCTACTCGGGAATTTTACCTTGGGTCCCGACCGACAGCACCCTGGTTATCTGCGTGTGTGACTCTTTCAGTCGAGGCAGGAAGAACAGTCGTAATATTTGAACCATCAGCAGATGACCGAATCGCCAAGCATATCGATGTGTTGATATTTTACTGCCACATTGTATGTCACTCATCACTTCAGATCTAATCCAGTCAGCGACAAAGCACTGCAACTACGCTCCTCGAAGCAACCTTCACCCATGGCAACCATGCGTGCAGTCGACATCAGAGGCGAGACAGGACCCGTCTCGGCCTTGTTCATCAATCCCGAAACAGCCATACCCAAGCCCACGCAGGGTCAGGCGCTGGTGAGAATCAAAGCATTTGGTCTCAACCGCATGGACCTCCTCCAGCGTGAGGGCAAGTACCCGGTCCCACCTCAAGCTCCCAAGACGATGGGCGTCGAGTTTTCAGGCATCATTGACTCGTTCGGATCTTCCGATTCCACTCTCGACTTCCGCGCCGGAGACGAGGTGTTTGGTCTGGCCTATGGCGGCGCATACGCCGAGTATATTGCCGTTAGCACGTCTATGCTCATTCACAAACCCAAAGAACTCAGCTGGGAGCAGGCTGCAGGGATCCCTGAGACCTGGATTACTGCCATCCAAGCGCTCTACTTGGTCGGTGAATATCAAGCCGGCCAGAGCGTCCTCTGGCATGCTGGGGCGAGTGGCGTTAGTATTGCTGGTATCCAACTGTCCAAGGCTGCCGGAGCGTCTGCCGTCTATATCACCGCGAGTACACAAGCTAAGATTGAGTTCTGCAAGTCCATTGGCGCGACGGAGGGGTTTAACTACAAAGAGGGCGACTGGGCGGACGCGTTGCTTGACCACACCGGTGGGAAGGGGGCAGACATGATCGTGGATTTTGTCGGCGCGGACTATTTCAAGCAGAACTTGAAAGCGGCGGCAAGGGATGGCCATATCATCAATCTGGGTTGGCTAAGCGGAACAGTTGTCAAGGGCGATGTCGATATCAGTCCCTTTCTCGGCAAGAGACTGAGGTTCGAGGGGAGCAGTTTACGGAGTCGCGATGAAGCATACCAAAAGAGACTGCGGGACCTGCTGGTCGAGCATGCGTTGCCCAGGCTGGTGGACGGGAGGTTCAAGATCTTCATCGACCGGGTCTTTGAGATGGACGAGATCCAAAAGGCGCATGCGGTCTTGGAGTCCAACCAGACCATGGGCAAACTCATATGTCGAGTGCCTTGATGTGCTTGCAAGTTGCCGCGCGTGTTGCATATATGGGGCCCCCTGGTAGACTAGACAAGACACTGTACAGGACACATATTCGAACACGCGCTGATGGCCACCTACAGTCAAGTTGAGGCCCTCGAAGTCGTAAAATTCACGCGCACCTATCATAGTTTCCTAGCTGGAGAGGTAGGTATAGATGTCTCAGGAACGCAGCTGGACTCTGACCTCAGACACGGGTAATAGCCAGATGAACCGGGCGGGCATAAATCTGCTCGTCTACTCACTCGTCTACTGTATATTACTTGTGCTGATGGGACCAGTCGGCAGGTCCCCCCCCCCCCCCCCGCCTCCCCCTTCCCACCCGGCAAACATGTGCAGGAAGGACCGCAAAAAGGGTTGAGATTCGGCTGGGAGACATACACATACACTGTTCCACAGTTACATACCCGTTTTTGTGCGTGTACTGGATGCCAGCCGTCATGGATGTCACAATGCATGCAAATCTAATTCACTCTTCACCCTCCGTTACAACGACCGATATCAAAAATCCCCATTCCCCATTCCCAGGTTTCACAGTCTCTCCATCGCGCGGTATCATCTTACACAATATACCGGAATTGCGGGTTCTGTGTGGGCGTGTGGTGTCAGACCGTGTCAGATGGGGAATTCATAACCCGGCTTGAGGGCTGCCTCCCAAAAAGGGGAGGGGGGGACAACTTACAGTTTTGTCGGTCAAGTCGTCCTCGTAGGCATGGTCAAAGGCCTCCAGCGTACCCGTCTCGTCTCTCTTCCGGTTGTCCCTGAGACAGAGGTAGCGATAGAACATGGACAAGACCACCACGGCGACCGACGTGGCCACCACGGTCGCTAGCCCTGGGGCGTAGACTGGTGCGTCTTGCGTGCGGAACGTGAGAGGCGCGACAAAGTTACCTGCAGGATTCCCACGAAAAGGTGTGTCCCCGGTCAGCCAGCAAATCCGGATGGAAACAGGGCAGGTGAGCTCGGGAATCTCGAGTCTTTGCGCCAAAGCAAGAAAAGAAAGGTTCTTACCAATGCAATAGGCAACGAAAATCCCCGACGACGCCAACGATCGCTTGGTATAGCCTGCCGTGTTGGCGATCTGGAGCCCCAGCTGAACCACGTAGCCGGCAGCGAAGCAGGGGAGGATGACAATCCCAAACATCAGGCCTCCAATGGCGTGTCTCGGGAGAGCCCAGAGCAGCACCGCGGCGAGCACAGTGACCAGTTCAGCCACCGCCATGAGATATGTCCTTATGTTCTTAAACTTGTAGGCGAGGTAGGGAATGATCAATTCGATGGTCCCGCTGGCAGACGAGAGAGAGGGTAAGCAACACCACACCCATCAACGGTCCTAAGGGCTGGCTGGCTCGAAACTTACGTGAAAAACCCCACGGGTACCACCAGGAGCAGAGAGTTGAGCGTGTTGAATCCGAACCCGGAGATGATCAGGGGCGTGAATGTCGAGACCGGAGCGTTGGCAAACATGGCCAACAGTGTGATCAGGAACATGATCCAGAATTTCAGGTCGAACAGCAATTCAATCATTTGTTCTTTTTTGAAATGCGTGTTGCGCACGCCCGAGTTGTTCGATTGCAGCCGGCTCACGGCGATGAAATGCTCGCGCTCGGTGAATCCTTTCGCGCGGATCGGATCTGGCGGGAGGTAGAAGTAGACCACCACTGACCAGAGGATAGTGATAGCGCCGATAAAGAGATACATGTACCGCCACGGGGACAGTGCACCCTTGATATGCCCGAACCCGTAGTTGATTAGGGGCGAGAAAATGGACACGTAGCCGCAGGCGCAGTACCAGACACTATTCCAGAGTCAGTCTTGTTCGATCCAGCGCCGACGATTAGCGAACTTTACTCACCCTATCCGCAGGGCTTGCTCATTCTTCTTATAGAACTGACCCACGACCAGCATGAACATCGGGCTGACTCCTGACTCGATGAATCCGAGGAAGAATCTCTGCGCGAAGAGGCCTTGCCAATTATGACATGCCGGTGTGCAGATCAGACAGATGCCCCAGGCCAAGATTATGCCCGCGGCAACTTTTTCGATGGGAAAACGCTGAGCCATGATAATGGCCGGGTAAGCCCCGGCCATGAAGCCCAGGTAGAAGATGGACGAGGCGAAGGAGAAGCGGTTGCCCACGGTGAGGTCCAGGTCGGTGCGGAGACCGAACAGTGCGGCTTGCGAGATCATGGCTTTGTCGTAGTATTGCAGGCCGTAGCAAATGACGAGGATCGGGAGGAGGCGGCGGTCGATCTTCCGCCTGAGCTGTTGCTCTTCCTTGTCGTCCCATGTTTGCGGGCCGGTGTAGCGTGCTAGGACCTTCATCCCTTCGTCATTGTGGCGGTCGTCGATGGCGATGGTGGCCTTGAGGTCTGTTTGACCCACCGCCTCCTCCAGGTGGATGGAGTTGTCCTTGGGTAAGGCTGCCATGCTGATGCCCAGAACCGACCAGGTCTAGCGACGAAGCAAGGGGGAAGCTCAAGATACTCAGTAGGCTGCGATGTAGATGAGCACGCCGAGACACATGCGCATTATGGATACCACACCGTGACTAGGAAGAGGAGCAGCTATAAATAATGAATTGATCGCAGCCGCAGAGGTACGGGAAGTAGTCTGACCATTCTCCTCAAGAGTCTGGAGACGCGGGTACCCATGGGGTGCGGAGGGTATGCCGGGTATCCATCCATCCATTGCCATGGCAGTCGGTAGTCGGTAAGGGACGATACGAGCAGAGGCTTTCTCCAATATAATGGCGCGGGTTGGACGTACTGTCTGGAGTATAGAAGGCGGAGAAGTTAGAACGGAGCCAACGGTTCTTGATTGATCTATCGTGTCTATCTATCGAAGCTCGGGTGGAACAACAAGTCGCCTAACATTCCTCATAGAGTTAGGCCAAGCACTAATACCGCCTAGTCTTCCCCGAGAGGTTGGAGCAACTCTAAGACGACTGCCGACTACCGAACCTATACCGAGTAATGAGTATTCACTGATTTCTGAAGCCGTCTCCCTTTCCCCAATCTCGGCATAAGATTCAGCTGCTCAACCGGTTTCTTATCACGGACCCTCTCTCGTCCTGTCATATATCCTCATCGGGACGACGCGGAGCTGACCGTTCTGAACATGACTTGTCTCGAGTGCCTCCGATCAAGGATTCCGTCCATGAAAACCAACCACGCGACCGATACTCCCCCCTGTATCCTCTCTGGGTTGTCGTGTTCTGAGCATCCTCTACAACACCTGGTACCATGCCAGCTGCAACCTTCTCACGGGAGAGAGGGATGATGGTGATATGGGGTGAGGTGCAAGACAAGTCGATCAACCAAGAGGATCTCAATGAATGGTGGACGTACGAGCACCTGCCGGAGCGTCTGGCGATCCCGGGATTCCGACGAGCTCGTCGCTACTACGCCGTGGCGGACGAGGATGCCAAATCCCAGTACCTGGTCTGCTACGAGGTCTCGTCCCTGGACATCTTCACCTCGCCCGCGTACATGGCCGCCCTGAACAACCCCACACCCGCCACCCAGACGTACATGCCCCTGATGGCGTCCATGAACCGTCTGGTCTGCCGCGTGGTCCAGTCGTGTTCGCGGCCCGAGTTTGGCGAATGCTCCGCGTCCGGCACGGGAGCCACGCTGGTGCTCATTACCTTCCAGCCCCCGACGTCGCAGGACCTGAGGGACGAGCTCGGCGGGTGGATCGCGGAATCCATCTGGCCGAGTCTGTCGAGCCAACACCAGAGCCTCCTCGCCATCCACCTGCTTCGGTACGACAGTTACGCCTCGCAGGCTGGCAGTTCGACCAAGTCATATGAGAAGGTCAGCTTCCAGTCGGCCGCGACGGGCGCCAGTCCCGAGAGATGGGTCATCCTGGTCGAGTTGGCCGAGCCTATCGCGGCCCCGTTTGCCAAGCATCGGGTCGTGACGCACAGCATTGTTCACAAGTTGAAGAGATTCGCCGGCGAGATTGAGTCTCAGGCATTTGGACTCATTTGTGCCTTGAGCGAGTAGTGTGGATATATCGAGTACTCAGTACAACCTGTACCCGTCAAGGCCTGGGGCAGACGAGAGTCATTACCAACTTACATCAATAGACGACAGACCAACACTGCTATCACATACCGAGTATATTGTCTACAAAGACGGTAGTATCAAACCATGCACCTATCATATGCGGGCTCTACAAGGCTACTGCGCGAGGCTACTGTGATACTCGGCGTATGAGGTACAGGGACACGCAACCGCGCAACCCGCGCAACAAAGTTTCTCCGAGCGCCGAGCCTCATCCACCCAAACGGCCGAGTCCTCAATTTCGCTTCTCCCCCCTTTTTTGCGCGAAATTGGGTCCGAGATAGACAAAGTGAATAATTACGAGTGGAGAGTGAAAGCTCAAAGCGAGATGCGGTTCATAATTTCGCTGACAATGATAAATCTCGCTCAACTTTTTCTGTCATCTAACAATATATCCATAATGCCCATACCCCACATGATCCGTCATTAGGTTACTACGCCCTTACTCCGTACGAGGTACTCGTGGCACAAAAGGTAGATAGATAGCAAACATCCTTTCCTTTCCTCCAGTCGACGTTCCTCTAAAATAATCGAAATTGTCATCTCCGTACCTCGTAAATGTCACGCTCCCCCCTGATACAAGTAGAACCGTACCAGATCCTTGTCCAGATTGGCGTCCAAGGTCTCGTGATCGTAAGCTGTGACCCTTCCTGCTGCTTTGCCACCTGGAGGGTACTTAGCATTGGCATGGTCACCAGCTCAATGCCTCGCTCTTCAAAGAACGGCCATGTTCGTTGCTGGAGATAAGGGGAAATGCGACCCGGTTCTTTCATCTTGAACCGCAGTCTACCTCGTCCTGTCGAAGTCGCTGCATGCTTTTTCATGTTGCACCGTCCAGCAGGAGTGACGGCTCGAGAGGTAGCTCAAAAACTCAACCTTGGTCCGGTTGCTGGTGCCACCGAAAATCACCGAATATCTTGAATCAAGATCCAATCAAGAAATCGGCGCCTGGAATTCATGATAACCGCCCGAACAACTGCGGTAGAAGGATTGATCAAAATGGCGGGGTTGTGGGCGGTCATGCTGGAGATCCTGATTTCCGCGACAGATCACTGGGACTGCTCTGCGAACCCGAGCTGGGTGTCTCGCTCGATCCACCACTGAGGATGCGCGCCAACCTTTCGAGCCTGAGCCGTTGGATAGGGTGATAGTAAAAAAACTTCTCTTGAAAGTTCTTCAGCACATCTAGGGTGTCGAAATCTGGATGCGTCTCCTGGAACCGTCGAATATGCTCGACAAATCCAATCTCAAAGAGCTGCTCGATGAACCACCTTTCTTCTTCACTGCCAACCATAGAACACATGGCGCCGATTGTAAGCACCCATGTCTTTAGCTGGACCAATCCTTCCCACTGGCCATGTGGTTCGTCGACTGACCAGAAAATCGTACGCAGCTTTGGTGCAATCAGGCCTCCTAGTCGCTTTAGCCCAAGTATCACCATAGACGTCAGTATCCACATTAGCAATCCGACGCGGATAGCGTCGAGGCTAGTACCTGGATATTCCAGGGCCAGGAGTCGATATCGAACAGCTGCGTGACGCCACTGTAGCCATCTCGCGGCGTGTTTTGACGCCTCCGGTGCTCCAAGCGGTGCATGATGTAACACCCACGAGCATTCCGCCGTCTCTTGTATGATCTGCACCAATTCCTTCGGAAAATGCCCGTGAAGACATAAGCGTTGCAAAGCTGGCGCGGAGCGGCTCAAATCTTGTCGGGGAGCAAGCTGAAGCTCAGGCGGCGTGATATCCCAGTACGGCCCAGGATCGTATTCGCATGGCAAGCTGCAAGGTTCTAGAAGAACAGCAGACATATGCCCGTCCCCGATGATGAACAATTCCTTCAACGCTGGGTCTGGCACATGGTGTAGGCCACCCCAAGAATCGAAGAGCGCCTTTGCTGCTTGCATATGTATCTTCGCTGCTTGATAGTTTTGCCGGTAGGCATCCGCCGCGTATAGGTGAAAGACGATTAAAAGCAATTGTTGTTTTGGAGCAGAACTGAAGCGTCGCCGCACTGCCTTCAGAGCATTAGCCATGTACTTGTCCGTTCCCTGACCCGGGACCAAGTCCACGTTCTCGACTCTGGCGGACATGCAGGCTAGCATGGCATTCATTTCAACTTCACTTTGCATGGCTCTTCGAACGACCTCCACAGCGGTAGTTTTGTGGGTGTACGACCCTCCCCGAGAGGCCCAACTCTCAGCGTGCCATACGCTCGGATGGAAGTTTTCGCAGAAATAGCGACAGAGCCTTGCGACATGTGGATCAAGTTTGACGACCGATTGGCCAAAGGGGTCGAGAGAGGTCGAGGTGATCTGAGTGATATCCTGAGGAGATGCCACGGCGCGCGGAGAATTCAGCAACACCACTGCATTCTCCACAGAAGTCTTCGCGGGCGACTTGGGTGTCTGCGGCTTGGAAGCCTTTTTGCGAACCGGGGCTTTTGACCCGGGATTTCCCCGTGTCGCTATCTCGGCGAATTTGGCACGCGGAGACGGTCGAGAAGGTAGACGTATCTGATCGCCGGTGTCATCTTGCACGGGCTCACTCTTTACGGATGGGAGAGATGGCGACAAGTCGGCGAGGACAGGATCCGGCGAAGAAGCAGCTGCACCTCCTCGAGCAGCGTTCTTCCTCGCCCTGTTCCCGGCGCGGCTGGCGCTGGTGGCAGAGCGCCGATGTCGACGACCACGCTGGACATGAGAGTTGATGGATGTCTGTTCAGCGGCATCGCTGCGGGTCAACGAGGCGCTGGCGGCGTCCTTATTGACGAATAAGAACTGAGGCGGCATCTTTTGAGGTCACGAATGGTGGAAGCTTTGTGGATCTTCATGGTCAACAGCAAACAGCGGTTGCAGTCATGGGGTCCCGAGGTCCTGGAGATGGAAGCAATGCATTGTCGATATCGGGGGTTTTCCCTTTCTGACTCTTGGTGGGCAGGGCTCCGATTGCCTTTGCAGCTTTGGGAAGCTGTGTCTGCAACTCTTGGTCGTGGTATGATGGGCCCAAGGGAAAGACGAAGCGAGGCTGGTGGGCACTGGGAACTGGGTACTGGCACTGGCACTGGGCACAATGGGTGAATAATCCGGGGTAGGCGAAAGGTGTGTGTCAGACTCTCAGAGAGGGGAAGCCAAAGGGAAGCAAGGGCAACGGGCAACGGGCAGCGGGCAGAAGATGTGGCTTTTAGCCTCGGGCCTAGAACCCGGCCCGCATCATCGCTCCGTGACGCCATTCCTGAAGCAGCCCGCGCTAGGCGATATTGGATGAAGCGCGGTGCCACGCCACCTTCCAATCGTGATTGCGTTATTACGACACCCCCAAGCAGTGCAAGCACCCACCAAGTGGCCCAACCCTTTCCATGTGGTTCCAGGTTCCTCGCTCCAACTCATGAGATAAAGGCCAATTGCGAAGACTGGTCAGATCTTTCCTCAAGGGTGTGGTGGATTTTCATCTCTCGTGTCTACCTACGGCCAGCTTCTACATGCGCGCGGTTGATATGCCTCGACGCCGCTCATACATCCATTCGCTCAAATAACACATTCAGCAACAGAGCCTCCAACAGATAAACAACTGCCCCAACTCGCCCAGATCAAGCCTCATTTTCCCTGTTGGTAAACTTCTCGTAAAACTCCAGAGTCATCGCCGCAAGGAAGCACGGGATCTGCTTCTTCTCCTTCACCCAGAAATTGATCAGATCTCGGATTTCCGCAGCAAAGGGGCTGTCGGGCCCTCCGCTTATCTTCATAGTCCCATTGTCCCCGTCGAAAATGATGTAGTGGTCGTCCTCTTCGTCCTCGCTCTCGTCTCCCAGATCATGAGGCCGTCCATAATACATACTCGAAACTTTGGCTTTTCCGTTGGGAAGAAAGTTGACTTTGTATCCAAGGACGCTCGCAATGACATCCCGGAATTCTGCAGCCTTTTGCGTCCAGATCTCTCGTTGTCGCCTCATCCGCTTTTCTTTCTCGGCCACTACCATTTCCATATCCTTGAGATCCAGCTTCAGTGCATCCACCGAGCTGGCAGGGACTACTTTGGCGTCTTCAGACCCATCACCCCTCAACTGTGTGAGAAGCGCCTTGTTTTCTTCCTTGAGCGTCCGTAACGTTGACATTTTGATCGCCTCAGCTTTAGCTGTAGGATTGTCCCGAAGCTCCAGCACTCGTGTTTTAGAGCTCTCTCGTAAGGCTTTCAGTTGTGCTTTCGTTGCTTGAAGATCCGTGGCCAGCATTTGGGACTGCTGAGCGGTCTTCTGCAACGCGATCTGGAGATTCTTGTTCTTTCTCAATAACGCACCTAGCTGTGAGTTACCTCCTTCGCCTTCGGGCTCCTGTGAATCTGCAGGTCGCTTTGTTCCGCGTGGCTCGTCAGAAACAGGAGCGGGGGCTGCAGGTGTCGCTTCAAGTTTCGATAGATCAGAGTGGAGTGTCTGCACCTCAGCCTTGTATTGATCCACCAGGTTTTCCAAGTTCTTGATCTGTTCAGACCGTTGCGCATCGAAGTTCTGGTTGTCCATCAAGACCGTCTCCTCGGCGTCAAAGGTCTTCAATTGAGCTCGGAGATATTCGACCTCTTTGACGGCAAGGACCCGTTGTCGCTCTAGTCTCTTGTAGGCTTTGTTGTCCTGGCCAGCGTCCGTCTGCGCAGTCTTCGTGGATTTCAGATTTTCCACTTCGGTGTTCAAGACTTCCTTCTCTCTTTCCAGTGCTCTGATGATCTCGTCCTTTTCTGCGAGCTCGCTTTCAACTGTGCCCAGTCTGTCCACGATTGAAGCATGCTCTATCCGTTGCTGGATAAGGGCTTTGACAACAGCCTCAGGAGACTCGAATTCGCTTTCTTGCCCGTCGCGCTGCAGAAGGCTCGTCCACGTTCTCTTTTCATCCTCGAGTATCTCTCTTTGTATCTGAGCTTCTCCCAATTGTCTCTGCACGTCCTTGAGCACTTGAAGCTCGATTTCTAAACCGTGTTTCTGTTCTTCGACGACCTCGACACTGCGGTGCGCTTCGCGCAGTCGCCGCAGCTCAGCCAGTTGTTCTCTGTTGGTTGCCTCGAGCTTTCGAATGTGTCCCATTTGTTCAGAAAGCTGGTTCTGCAGAACGTGCATCGCTTCGCTGTCTCCGGAGTGCGACCTCAGCGCGGCGACCTCGGTTTCGAGACCCTCAATTTTCGCATCCCGTTCGGACAAGCGCGTCTGTGATGACTCGAACTGCTGACCCAGATCTTCCAATTGCTGTCTGACACTGTCCACGGTCTCTTGGAGGGCTGCACGTTTTGCCTCGACATCATTGAGTTGGTGTTTGTAGTGCCTTTCTTGATCAGCGAAACGCGCCTGCGCATCCGTAGCATCTTCCTTCAAAGAGGCGGCTTGATCTTGTAGATCGCGTAATTGCCGTTCCAGCGCGGCTTTCTCGTTGATTCTCTGGTCCTGCAATTCGCGCAGTTCCTTCGCAAGCGCCTCTTGTCGCTGCGTCGCCTTTTGAGCAGCGCTTTCGGCAGTCTGATACTTTTTGAAGTCTGCATCTGCCCTCAGTTGTTGTTCCCGCAGCTCTTTCTCATGCTGCAGCGCCAGAAGACCTCGCTCCTGCTGCAGGTTCTTCAATTCGTACTCGAGGGAGTTGATCTTCGCTCGGAGATTTTCGTCTTGGCTCGGGTCTGCTCTTGAGACAGAAGGCTGGCGGAGTCGGGACTGTCTGAAGGGCTGCGAAGGATTCTCAGGTGCGCCTCCGGCGATGAAATCGTACGAAGGTTGCGTGCTTGTGAGTCGATTCTGCCCAGCTGCGGAGGTTGGTCGAGGCAGCGCTGATTGCCCGCCCGAGATGCTTTTGCGACCGGAGAGAGAGGTCCTTGAGGTCGACAAGCGCATGCGCTTGGACGCGGGCGAGCTCATGATGCTCAGTGCAGTTACAGTGAGAAAACAGACGACTAATTGGTAGATGAGGAGGCTTGGTGGAAGAGCAACTGGTTGTTTACACACTCTGCTTTCGGCCTTGGTACAGCCCACGAAAACTCCGAGGATACGCCGGATATCACCATCCCTTCCCCTTCCCTTCCCTTCAACGTCCTTCCCTTGACCTTGCATTGCCTTCAACTTCAGCATGTTTATGTACCCGCTCGCTAGGTGTGAACAGCCTCCTCCCCAGCGTAGACCACGCGAAGTCCTCAATAATCGAATGTCGCCCACGCTTCTGCATTCCTGCCTTCCTGTCTTTCTGGATGTTCTTAGTCCGAGTCGCTGGTGAGGTTTCGTTCCTTTTCACAGTGATAGCAATGCTCGGTGAGGCTGAAGCAGTCTTTAAATTTGCCGAGGAAGCATCCAAGACAAATTCCCGGCATGTCTCTGATGAATTGGTTGACAGAATCGTTCAGTTCTGCCGAGAAGTCTCGCATGCAGTATCTACAATTGTGGGTACATGCTTCCCCCTTCAGACTTTTCCAGGTAGCGTTGTTGCTGGTGAGACTTGCAGCTACGGCTCGCACGTTGTATGCCATCGTCCGCACCGTTGGCGCGCATGATGCCCCTATTTCGGGTGTAATCCCTTGATGCTTTAATTGAAGCATCAAATACCCGTACTTGTTGGATTGGCAAGTGGGTGCGGTTTCCTTGAGGGGAATTTTTCTTGCCAGGCATGCGAATATTGTCGACAGGAATCGCGATTGACACTGCGTCTGACATGTCTTCATGAGATCTGTTGATGTCAGAGAAAGCCTTGGGGACAAAAACGAATTGGAGCCCAAACCTTTGACTTCACAGCAATTTTCAGCTTCGCTAGCATCCTCACGATTACGCAAAAAAGGAAATCCTCTGAAAAGATCAGAACCCTTGTCGTTTTCCAAAATAAGCTCTCGAGACGGAACACGACGGCTGCATATAGAAGCTCCATCCTGTCATTGTCGAGCTGCGTTCTCCAGATCTCAGCATTGTAAATATTGTTCCAGTATGCCAGAGAAATTATGTCAATTTCTCCAATGACACTGGAAAGCCTGGTCAAAACACACGGCTTCAATGTTGGAATGCATAGTCGCATTTCAGCGGCCGTTATCAGCTTGAGCAGATCCGTCTTTTTGAGATGATCGACATCTTCGTATTTGTGGTGGAATATCTTGAGGAGGTTCAAGATGATTTTTGGGTCATCCTCTGGCAAGCAAATGACCTTGGTTCTTCCTTCGATGAACGATGATGACAACATGCGCGAGAACACCTCCGAGGCGAGGCTGACAACTGTTCCAGACACCTTGATGTCAAGGGCGCCCTTGCCCCTACCGACTTGGAAGAGAACATCGCCGTCGGGGACGACTTCGACTAGTTCGGCGATACGCTGTTCTTGTACGTTTCCGTCGGACTCCATGGCGTCGGCTTTCCGTTTGACCCTTGCACAACGGCGACGGAAATTGGAGTAGTCGCTGTCTAGATCAGCCATGATATTTCCGAGAGGATATTGGGACCCGCGAGAAGGAGAGGAGAGAGCGGATTGGTGTGAATGAGGGTGATGGCTTGGGAGTGGTGTGAATGGTGAAGGTTAGAAGTGAGATGGTCGAGCGAGAAGACCAAGTGAGAAGAGAAGAGGAAGTGAATTTTGTAAGTGTAAGTAATGCATTCACTCTGCCTCTAGCACTGTAGTTACTCGTTGTGCAGGGCTCCTTCCGACACAACGACACACCTCCTCTCCACCTGACATATTGACGGCAAGGTGAGTGTTGCTCCAGGCCTGCCTGCCCACCTGACTGGAGAATACAGCATCTCGACATCTTGGGTGTTTCCAATACTCCGCCATCTACCATCACCTCCACTGTTCCTGGTTTCTTCCGCCTTCGAGATCTCTCAACCTTACCCTACCCTTCGTTGTTGTCATCTCTCAAGGCGGCGCATCATCGAACTACACAGCGGCCAGAATGACCAGGGGTTGAGACACTATTCGAATCTTCGGGGGGAAGGAAGATCTAAAGCAAAAAGTCTGGAACACCAGCACGAAGAAGCGGGACTCGACAGGGCTCTACAGGCCGGCACGCCGGATCCTAGACTGACAACCTGGGTATGTCCCTTGAATGATACATCTTGTAATCATATTATCAGTCCAGGTACGAGAAAATGCACAGCAAGCTTGACCCTTTACAACACTCTCGGGCTCGCGGAGGGGAGGGCGTGTCACTTCCCACGCGTACACAATTATGCTTGACCACTGTTCGGGAATTCATTCATACCTGAGTCCAGACTCGCCAAGATGAAAAGCTGGATCATATCGTTGTTTATGCCGGAGATGGGCTCGAAGGACTACTCACAAAGGGCCGTTTCTCCCACTACCAGTACTGCGCAGAATGCCTGGGTAATAAGACATGTAAAATTGTAATGCGAAGGAAGCGAAATAGGTACGATATTGCGAGCAGATAAATAAACATGGATCTCGCTGCCCAATCCTTCCCTTCATCTCCACATATCTCCGCAAAGAGTTGCTTCGTACGAAAAGCGCGGCGCTCTTCCTTCCCCCAACAACTACATTAGATGGCGACGACTGCCACAGCCCCTGCTACTCCGAGCAACGCCCCATCAACCCGACGACACCGCCTGTGGGCAGCCTAGATGAGGCAGCGCCGCCGGTGTAGACGGCCACCAGCGAGGTGGCGTTGGGCCCCAGCCGGTGTAGCTCGATGGTGTGGCCGTAGTCGCGGTCGCCGCATAGCTGGTCGACGCTGCTGCGACGAAGGTGTTTGCCGGCGTGTAGCCACCGGGAGTATACGCAGTGGGAGAGGCAGCGGGGGTATAAGCCGGAGGAGGAGCGCCGGGGACATATGGCTGCCAAGAAGAATAACCTGGCGCACCTCCGTAAGTGGTCGCTGTGGCTACTGCGACTGTGGCAGAGTAGTGGCCGCCGTCGTGCGGCGGGTGTCCTCCCTCACCGTGCTCGTGCCCGGCAGGTCCGTACGTGGTGTATGGCTGGAGTGGTGCCGTCGGAGTGACTTTCCAAGGGCACGACGCCGTCAGGCTGGTGCCCTGGCATGTCGAGCAAGGGTAGATGACTGCAGGAGGAGCCGCCGTGGGGTTAGATAGGCAATGGATCTGGAGTTTCATTCATGTCAGTGGTGCTGTGTGGCCAAGTGGAAAGAAAAACCTTTCGTAGAGTGTGTAGGACTGACCGTTGTGGCCGTGATGAAATCCGTCACGGTAATTCCCTGCGACTCGAAAGCGCACACGTAACATGGCATCGACGGGATCGGCGTGTTGTAGATGGGTTTCTGGTAGGTCGAGAGCACACTCGTGGTGGTGTACGTGACTTATGAGATATTAGTATTGTGGACGGCAGCGAAAGAAAAGTGGAGAGGTATACTTGTGCTGGTAGGGTCAATGGTGCTGCATTGCTCGATTTCCGTCACTGACACGATGATCTCAATGCCAATGCATTTCCAGTCGGGGACGGAAGGCGTGATGTAGGGAGGGGCAGTCCAGGCTCTTTTCGATGTCGTTGTCGTAACCGGAGAGACTGTCGTGGTGGTGGGTTTCGAGCTGACAATGGGAGTTTGAGGCCTCGAGCTTGTCGACCGCGTAGTCGTTGTGTTTGTGTAGGGCTTGGATGTAGTGGTCAGGACAGACGTCGTGAAGGTTGTTGTCGTGCTTGAGGACAGGGTCGAAGAGGTCGAGGTCTATTGAATGGTTAAACAAACGAACATTAGCTGGGGCTATTGTATTTTTCCCATACCGTGGTAGAAGTCGTCGAACTGCTGGTGGTTGTGATGGACCCACAAGTGCCATCTCAATTAGCAATGCCGCTTTCACACTTGCAGCTCTTGGAACAACCGTCGCCATCCACAGTGTTGCCGTCGTCGCACTCTTCGCCGAGAGAGGGCTCAAACACCCCATTGCCGCAGCCGGCTGGCGTTGCACCACGACTCAGAATATATGGCAAACCGGAATGGCCATCACCATAGGTCTGAGTGCCAGTGGTGATAACGCCGTCTGCAATTGCCAGGGCTTGGAAACCATTCTGTCCAACAGAGGGATATGTCGAGAACGCCTCATGAGTGCTGTAGGACCAGTTCGAAAGGTCATCGTCGGTAAGGGTCTCGATGGCAGGGGACGAGGCCACGATATGAATCTCATTGTATCCTCCTGCACCATTGTTGTCCTGACCAAAGACTTTGAAGTCGCCAAAATAGGAGAGGGCCGGCACTGGAGTATCGACTTCGGCTGTGTCGTAGTATTGTGAAAGGGAGAAATACAATCCAGTCTGGGAGGAGCCGGATGCAGAGACGCCAGCGGCTGCAAACTTGATGCTGTTGTCAATGAGCACAGCCGCCCCAGCGACGCCCTGTGAGTCGTGATTAGATTGATCGGCACCTGCACCATGTCAGCGGGATAAGCTGCCCCAGGGCCGAACTGCTTTACCGTGTATGATGACGTTTCCTGTGACAGCAGGACCCCAGGTGGTGTTTGTGTCTGCCAGAACCTGGATCAGAGTCACATCGGTAGAACCGAAAGCATCACCAATGATGATTGCTTTGAAGGCTGCAAAGTCAGAGGTCTTCATGGCACGCCAGTCTGTCTCTGTGACCACCTTAGTGGTGAACCCGAGGGCAACGGCATGCTCTTCCTCGTTCCCAACCAGATTCTCTAAGAAGAGGAGGTCTTCCGCAACGACGGAGGCTACGGCTGCGAAGGCCGCTGCAAGCGCAGCGAAGCGCATGATTGAGGAAAGGAAAAGGAAAGAAAATCAGGATACCCTCTAGGAACCGTAACGAATGGCTGCAGTTGGTAGAAACGAGCGACTTGGGACAAAGAGAGCGAAAGAGAGTACCGACCGACACCAGATGTTTGAGAGCTGTGACGGCTCGCCTTTTATTGGGAAGACACCTGGTCCAAGCGACAGCCAGAAAACAGGCTGCTGTGCATCACTTTCAGGAGAGACATGGTGAGTGGCAAATAGCAATCGAGGTTGCTGAACCCAAAGAAGCCACAGAGAACTAGATGCAGAGGCAATTACCTGAGTAGATGGGCAAGGCAGAAACACCAAAACTTACACACTCCTGAAGCTCGTATAGACATTTAACAGATACTGCAACGGGTGATGGCTGACAGACAACACGAAGGCCGGCAGTCTGGATTTTTGAGATGTCGTGCCACAAACCGGGAAAATAGAAATTGTGGCGTCTCGTCCAGACTGATTCCAGCCTCACAGCCTTGTTTGACAGTCTGTAGTCGGTAAGACAGCAATCTCCCTTGCAGTCCGATATACGGGTTTCGGCCCCGTGCTTGAGCGGCCATGGGTGTCAAAATACTGGCAAGTAAGGTGCAGCCCTCGGCTCGACTATGTTGTTTGCAAACTCAATTTTCCTTTCCACAAAGTCTTGGCCGGCGTCAGGAGGTGATTGTCAGCCTTCTCAGTGACCGGTTCGATGGAAGGTGGCGGCTTTTGTGGCAGTCTCGAAAACATGCAGACCGCCAAGGAGAAATTTATGAGGTTGGGGGGATTCCGTGGACGAACAATGAGAGACACAACCTTTGGTTGAGTGCGGAGGCAGCACCAAGCGGGCATTTCTTGCGATCAGAGGAAGAAGAAGCCATGCGCAATCAATATCTTGAAGCTGTTATGCAGGGGAATGTGAGGTCCATGTGCTTAGTCTGTTGGCTGCAAATGTCGAAAGCTGGTGAGGCTATTGAAAAGGGGGAAGCGTTAATCAATGTGATGTTTACCGCGCTAGCCTGATATAGCACAACATGTCTTGGCGAAATCCCCGTGCATCCACACGCTGGTGGCGCTGACCGGGCCAAGGTTGGAGGACACAACCTAGCGATCTCTCGAGTAGTACAAGAGCTTCGATGCCGTCTTGCAGGAGTACACCGCCCGTGGCGGGCTCTCCTCATTCCCGTAGAGCGCAAGCAGTTCTTCCCAGGCGTCCCATGATTCGAGAACGCCATCCTCGCCAACCTTTCAGGTCCGCGCACCTGCTCAGACATTGTCTGGCTAACGTCAGGTAAGGTAAAGAGGGCGATACAGGAAGCCAGGTAGTCAACAAGCGACCTGGGACCGTCGAGAAGGAAAAGAGATGGAATGAGCGGCATGAAAGTTAGGTGGATTGCAGCACGAACATGCCGACGATGTATATCTCCTAGCTGCTTGCTCTGAATCTTGAACGCGTCCCAGGATGCTAAGACTCCCCTTGTATTCCTCTTTTCCCTTCCGCCGTCTCATAATTGGAGCTTCGAAATGAGTTAAAACAGGACGTCAAAATACCACATGCTAGCGACCACTGCCCCTGGCCTGCCCGGGTTTGTGTCCCATAACCACCGCACGTTCCTCCCTCTCTCGCTCCAGATTCATATCTTCCCACAGGATCCAAATGATTTCGTCACCATGGCATATCATAGACTTGATCCGAACTAGTCCAGGTGGATTTGGGGCAGAGGTCAACCCTGGTGCTTCTCGTGGTTGCGAGTGGCGTGAAAGTAAACCTCCCTACCAGTAGTGAAGCAGACAAGACAGGCCCCTGGGATCGTGTCCAAGTGTCTTTTGACGACCACTGACAATTCGAACGCAATATCTCTCTGGCAGAACACACAGGGTTCTCTACCGCCCATAGTGCACAATTCCGTTGTTCCGGGTCTCAATAGCTCCTCCCAGGTCCCTGTTTGCCGTGAGAGACTCCGAACCGCAGCCATCGCCTGGGAAATTGATTTCTGATATTTTCCAGCTTCTCCTGGTTTGATACTCTTGCGAGCCAAGCACAAGATGAAGGAGCCGTATCTGCTGACTGAACAGGTCCGCCGCGGAATCAACCGCGGATGAATGAAGCCTTTGTCGAAATTTTTGCCAACACACTGGAAGACGTCGTCAAGGAAGTCATATAGTCGCTGCTTGCGGAGCTTGTCAAGCATTTCTGGAGGAGGAAAAATTTAGGGATGTGCCCGTAACTACCGAAGGACTGTGATACTTACCTCGAAGGCTGATTTGGCCCGAACGAAGAGCTGGCTCGGCAAATGAAGGTATTCTTGGGTTGCGACTACAAGGAGAACATGACCACAGAAGTAACATATGCCTCGTCGCGAACCAAAACAAATCATCCAGCTTGAAAACTGCAGCGAGGCCTATGCCCTGTTCGATGTGGAGCTCAAGTGAGTTCTTGTGCGAGATTCGATTCTTGCAAGTTGCGGTGAGGTCGTGTTGCTTGTCCTTGAATGCTTCTAATATACCACCCAGCCTCGTAACAACCCAGGGTCTTAGCGTCTTCACACAGAATCGTGCATCCGCCAACTCTGCAAGCTTCAAGAGCCTTGAGCCGTCGCAATGGTTGAGGTTCTCGATCTTATGGTGGACAATGTTGCAGAAGTCCAGGATAACCTCTGGATCGTCTTCTCTCAACTCAATTTCTTTGCACCTTGCTTCAGTGAATGACGACGAGAGCATTCGAGAGAAGACATCTGACGCAAGGCTGATGACCATCCCCGAGACTCGTATTTCAAGAGCATCCGCCCCTTCGCCAACCTTAAGTAGGACATCTCCATCTGGTACGACTTCGACAAGCTTCCTAGAGCGTTTAAGTGGCTCTTCGCCGTCTTGCAGACTCCCCCTGCGTTTGAGGCTGGTGCTCATGGTGGGATGGAGCAAAGAGGTCGGGAAGGCTACTAATGTTGCGTTCGTATGCAGTCTTTTTGGTGAATCCTACCTGTCAATGCTGTCAGCAGTTGTCGGCGTGCGTGAAAAAGAGAATCTTATAGAAGAAAAGAAGCCTTGCCGAGCTTCCGAAGAAGGAACTTGTAAGCATGTGACAAAGGGGAGGACTTACACCAATGACCAAAGACTGAGATTCAGGTGAGTTATCCATCAGGACCCTGAGGCGAATGGGTGGACTGGAGTGGGCAAAAGCTGAGGTTTAGGTGGAACACCCTATCACAATTGGTTAGGCGACCGTGGAGGTATAACAGAGACCGATCAAATTCCTTCTCGAGAACGACCAGGGAGCTCAAACCTTATGAGTTGGTTTAGATGTTCAGTCGAGCATGGCTCAAGGGTCCGCAAGCCCAGAAACCGTGGCTCGAGGAGCGTGGAAGCATTGTGTCCAGGGGCAGTATCAAGATTCTCAGACAAGGCAGCTGCTCGTGAAGACCAAGGTTCCAAGTGGTAGTGTAACGGACCAACCGATCGGATCCGGTCTGAGCGCCCAAGGCAGTCCGAATGGTGAAGAGGGCCATAGTTCAAGGATTTCCGAGGTGCAGACAATCTGTTCCATTTTGCAACAAGCATTGGAGACAAGTCCCTAAGGTTCCCGTCCCTGTCCCGGCTAGGAGATCTTCAACGAGGGTCTTGATTCGTAGATATCGCATCGGTGGTGGATGATATGACAAGGACCTTTCCAAGTTGGCTATGCTGCCATTTGGAGTTCTCTCGCGGACGGAATGCTGGTCAAGCACTGTTTAACGAGCCCCTCCAGACACGACGTCAACTCATCTGGCTCACTGATTTGCGGCCCCAAACCCTACTCGGTCAGCACTGCCACTTCAATCCATGAGAAGTTATGAAGGGCCTGGATATTCGGCCAGGAGTAGGGGAGCGACAGAGGTAGGTTGACCTCAAGGAGAAATGGGTCAAGATTGCATAGATCAAAACGACGAACAAGTCTGGTTGTTGCACAGCACCTCAATCAAACAGTAAAGAAGATTCGGCCATGCTGATTGAAGAGAGACTTCACAAAAGAAAACGAAGGTGGGAAAGTTGGCTCGAGAGAAGGCAACAGGAAAACGGCAACAACTTAACCTCAACTCCTGCTAGGACCATTTCTTCTTTTCCCTCCGGTGCGATATCCTTTCACCAACGCCATGTGTCCCGTCATTCTCGTGGGAAGGTCACCACCACATTTACATTGGTAAATCGCGACATTTCCAGGATCGCATTTTCAGGCCTCATGCCTCAGGCCTCATGCCTCGAGTCTTGCCCTCTTGTCGCCACCATGTTCGTCACCGTGTTCTTCCACTGCTCCATAACCCGTGCCTTCATAACCGGTGTCAACCTTGTCATATCCGCTCTCAAAGTTGCGCTCTGTCAGCTTCTGACCATCCACGTTGAAACTCTCCGCCTCTCCCATATCGGCATTGAACATGTCCTCCTTCTCGCGCATGACTCCTTTGCCCTTTTTGTCCACGCCCCTGCTCACCATGTTGTATGCTCTTCTTCTCTTGTACCGTCTCCAGCACATACAACCACCAGTCAAGAGGACGAGAAGGACGACGGCGCTGACAACAGCAATTACAATGATGTACTTTGTGGCAAGACCGCTGCTGTGCTTTGTTGCGGAAGAAGGAGTGCTGTCAGAACTCAGTCCGGCGCTGGTCAGTTTTTCCGCCGCATGAGTGATCTTTTCTGGGAACCGAGTAGATGTAGTGGTTGGCAGGCCGAGGACTGAGGTCACGGCATCGTTGGCGACTCCTGCTTGAGCCAGCTTGCCCAGAGCATGGGTGACCTTGGAGCCGACGACGTCGGTGGTCGTTGTCGGGGAGTTTCCATTCGCCAGGTTAGGTACAGAGCTTTTCGCGTCTCGAATGCCCAGGAGCAGGCGGTTTGGAATGAAGTCCATATTTGAGTATTAGTTAGAAGAGGAAGGGCAAGTTTTTGCTTTCAGGATGAAATAACAGCCAGGTTAATCAACGAAAGAGTGACTCGGTTCGAAAGTACAAAGGTCGAAAGGAAAGCAGGACTTGACAGCGAAACCCAGGGCGCCAACGCTTCGCAAAAGGGAATTCCAAAAGATCGACGCGAGGGCAGCGAAGGGTATCAGTATATTAGGGAGACATGTGGCGGCGTATAGAGAACCAGCCCATTGCCAGGCACGGGAAGGGGAGGTGAGCATAAGCACTTGTACCAAAAGCTTCGGCACCTCAGACGCGGCTTTATTGGGCGACCGGGTCTTGTAAGCAAAAGGTGCCCGATATAGTAGCAGAGCCAGATTGCGCAGGATGGGACAGGCGCTGGATTGGGCAATTTCTGGATCTCAGCCCCAGGGCCCCTAGTCTATGTCAGCTTTGGCACTCAGCTCGTACCGCCCCAGGGCGAGCCCGGTCACCAAGCTTTGCACAAGCCTCAACACTTGGCTGGGGCTTGACTTTATCTGATAACCAACAGACCATGCCCTGGACGGGGTCAATGATTCGAGTGAGGATGAACAAAGGTTGAACAGTGAACTCTTATTGGTAGAAAGGGGACGAAGCTGAAGAAGACGGTGTCCGAGACTAAAGACTCAAGCTAGGCGATACCCAAAATGACGTTGAATCAGGAACCCGATATCACGTGCATATACTGACTCGCGCGCCTGAAGCCCGAGATCTTGCTGTCGCCATGGTTGTTCTGCGCCTGCGGTTGTGCACGCCAGCAACACGGTGGTAGCGGCAGTTCATCTGCCCAAACCTCCCGAGATGGCTCGTGGCGCTGGAAAGCGACCCAACAAACCCGCCACCAGCTCGACCACCCACACAAAGCCGCCTGCGAGCACTACCTCCGGTCCTCCCACCCCGTTCCACTACGCCCCAACTACCCTCAGACCCTTCCTTTCGACCCTGCCCACGGACCACATATACCTGGTTCACCTAGATCACACGCCGCCGAGTCTCAAGAAACGCGTCTTCGCTGTCCCCGTCCTCCTAAATCTGCTCATTACCATCGGACTCTGCATTCGTCTCTACTATGCTGTGCCAATCTACCTTGAACAAATCATTACGATATTCGGATATGACACTGCATATAAAATTGATACCGCCACTGCAGCGGTGGGGGAACTCGTGAATGCTGTCTTTTCACGAACAGCCTTACTCATGCTCGACTATGCTATCTTTGGCTTGCTTGGAAGCTGGCCCAAAGAATTTCTCTTTGGCAGCCGACTGTTGAGGTTCGTGGGCCCGTGGGAATGGCGGAGAACGATAGGCTTCAGGGATACGGAAATAATCGTGCGCAGAGGCAGGAAATGGGACACACCATTGCTTGTCGGGGACACCCCAGATGAGGTAAAGACCTGGAAATTGGACGAAGAATTGACCATTAAAGTCAAAGTCGATCCAGCTATGCGGACTGACACTCTTGCGAAGACTGGGTATCTCCTCCTTGACAAGGACTGGGATCTCGACTTCAAGGCGATGCTGGACGCGCATAGGCTAGTGGAGAAAGGTGTGATCCAACTGAAAGACCTTGAGAATCTAGCTCTGGTATACTATGAGAAGCAATGGTTGGTCTGGAAAGTCCATGAATCGCAAGATATCACTGCTATGGGACAGCGGCAGGACAGCACCGTGGAAAAGTTCAGACGAATTCTTACGGATCTCGGCGCCGAGGGAGTCTTCTACCGCTGGATTGAGATCGTCCAGTTTGAAACCTCACAACCTGGAGGATTCACGCAAGGACGACAGGCTGAAGCAATCCGCGAATTGAGGACTCGCTTGGAGAAGAAGGGGGTGGACTACGCCAAATTTTGGGAGGACATAGGCGGACAGGCTGGTCTCCCCGGCTTTGATGTGCAAAATCAAGAATGATCTACGATTACGGCCGACATTGAACAGTCCTTCTGAAGCTTCACATTTTCTTTACCTGCTGTTGATGCAATATGCTGGCTGGAGCACGTGCCTGTCCAGTTGACGAGGCTGTCGTGCAGCCTTGCCTTGTGCAGATCGCCCGTGCCTTGCATTCTACCCCGCATTCAATTGAGTCCAGCAGAGAAAAGTTTCCAATGCCCGCTTTCCTCGCAGCACGCAACATACCACGACGCCTTCACCTCTTTACCGTCTGCAAATATGTCTTCACCTAGCATCTATCTCGCCGTTATTGGCGTCGGAGGTGTCGGAACCTGCTTTCTATCTCAGGTCTCTTCGCTACCTTCTCGTCTGCGCCCCACACTGATCTTCCTCTCCCGTTCATCGAAGCAACTCTACAACACGTCCTACTCCCCTGTGTCTCCCTCCGACTTGCAATCCTCCACCTCTAAGCTCCTTTCAATTCCTGATGAACTCGTCACATACCTCTCGTCGGCCCCCGGAAAGGTCATCCTCGTGGACAATACCTCGTCTCAAGACGTCGCAAACGCATACCCGTCTTTTCTAAAAAAGGGAATAAGTGTCGTGACACCGAACAAAAAGGCCTTTTCTGGAAGCTTACAGCTCTGGAACGATATCTTCTCCGCGGTCGAGCAGGCCAATGGAAAAGCCATGGTCTATCATGAATCCAGTGTGGGTGCCGGTCTTCCCGTGATATCCACGTTGAAAGACCTGGTCGCGACGGGGGATCAAGTCACGCGCATCGAAGGTGTGTTTTCAGGAACCATGTCGTTCCTGTTCAACTCCTTTGCCCCCGTCGACGGCACCGGAAATGGGAAATGGTCTGAGATCGTGAAACAGGCCAAAGAGGCGGGATACACGGAACCAGATCCCAGGGACGACCTGAACGGGATGGACGTCGCGAGAAAACTCACCATCCTAGCACGTCTGGCGGGCTTGAAAGTTCAGGGGCCGGATTCTTTCCCCGTCCAGAGTCTCATCCCCAAGGAACTCGAGTCGGCCAAATCGAGCGAGGACTTCATGGCTCAGCTACCAAAATTTGACGAGCAGATGGAGTCGTACAAGTCCCAGGCCGCTGCTCAGAACAAGGTTGTGCGCTACGTCGGCTCGGTGGATGTTGGCAAAGGCGAGGTCAAGGTAGGACTGGAGATGGTGGAGAAGGGTTCACCCATTGCGGGCTTGAAGGGCAGTGATAACTTGATTTGCTTCTATACCAAACGGTATGGGGCGAATCCGTTGGTCATCCAGGGTGCGGGCGCAGGTGGCGAGGTCACCGCGATGGGTGTCACAGCAGACTTGATCAAGGTGGTTGAGCGGCTGGGATAGATAGACGCAGGTTCCATCCTGCTAAAGGCGAGGAGGCACAGAGATGCCGGCCAAGTTTTTCCCTACAGGTAGAGCCATATATCCAATCTTGCTTCCAGCATTGGAAATTTCTGTCGCGTACCGACCTGGCGTTTTAACCAGACCAGTTTACAAATGTCTTTCACGGGACATCACTCACATGCTCCTTTCTGCCGAAGATGCAAATCAAGGGGCGGCGTTGATGCATGAAGTATCAGAGAGTAAGCTCATGTATTCAATCAGATTGTTCCATCAATCACATATGGACATGAATATCGTAAGACCATTCGTGATATGTACTCGGGTTCTGTAACCCCATTCCAACCTCCGGGTACCTATATCTCCATCTCTCGTGGATCTGAAACCAAGTTCAGCTTCGAAGGTACCTCTTGACAGCCTCTCCCCAGACCACGCCTCTCTTGTAAAAATGCATTGCCGGCACACTCCCTTCCTTCAGCCCATCAATAGCCTGCGCGAGTTCCTCTCCCTTCCCCTCCTCCTTCACCTGGGCAATCGGATACAGATAAGTCTTGAAGGCGAACACCAACGCCTTACTCTTGGGCAACCTGTGCAGCGTCTGCCTCTCGCACCTCACGAATGTCTTATCCACGTTAATGTCCTCGAGTTCCTCAACCTCGTCCCCTTCGTGGGCGTGGTTGGTTCCGGGACCCGCCGCGTAGAGATCCGTGTTCGTGGTGATGGCCCAGTTGACGCGGCGGACGTATTTGCCCACTTCGAGCCGAGAGAAGAATCGGTCCATTGACGCTTCCAGCTTTTGAGGGTAGCCAGGTACAGGGCCATGGATTTTGGCGAGTCGATGCCCGAGTTTCTCGCGGGGGTCGAATCCGCTCGGGCAGCAGCAGACGTAGGCTTCGAGGATGTATTTCGCATCATCAACTGAGTCCTCATCGTTCGGTTTTTCTTTCTTGTCGGTGCTGGAATCCTCTTCTTCGGGAAGGAGGAAGAGGAAGTCTTCGTCCAGGGTCCGACCAAGCGTCTCCAATAACGTTTTCGTCGAGATCCGACGCGATGGTTTCGCAGGGAATAATGCCTTGGTCACCAAGTTCTCCAGCATAAACGTCTTGCCCTCCTCATAGTCGGTCTCGTGTAGTTTAAACATCCCAGGAAAGCGCAGCGGCAGGTAGGTGCCGAAGAGGAACTGGTAGAGCTCCACGACGGCCGGACGAATGCGATAATCGTCGTTTACGGCAACGACGTGCTCACCGTGCTCGGCTATGATTTTCCGACGGTAGGCAATGCGGTCTGCGTAGTTCCTGTCCATCACCAGCAACTCCGACGGTGGGAGGTTCTCAAGTGCTGACTCGTCAGATTCGGCTCGTGTAGAGTCAGCCTCTTCTTGTAGGCAGACAAGAGAAGAGATTTCGCATTGACTAGGTAGAGATAGAGGAAACATCAAGGCAGGATTGGAATGGGAAACTCACCCATGGTCAGATGATATTTCGACTTGAAAGGTCGGAACTGGAGAGGTTCCGTCTTTTCCCAGTCAAAATCTGGTTGCTCTTCCACTGGGGGAAACTCGGGGGCTTTGAGATAACGATTCTCGAAACCGATCTTCTTCGCGGCTTGCTGGGGAGGGAGTTAACAATGACCGCCATGAGGATTGACCGCGGCCAGGGCGGATCGGATCGCTGTCAAAGGTAGTGACGAGGCTCAAAACAACTCACATTCTTGACTCTCACTTGGTTGATGGCAAAGAGGAGGAAGACAACCAGGAGAATGATGTTGGCATAGTTGCCCAGTGTGAACAACGAGGCGGCTTTGAAATCCTCCCAACTCCTCCAGTGCCATACGAAGGACGGCTTCTCGATGTTCTGAAAGCTGCTCATTGTGGCGCTGGGATGTCCGTCCCTGCTGATTTCTGTTCCTGGTGACTTCCAAATGACCTCTTGGTGTCTTGTGACTCGCGACCAAAAGTGAGATAACTCAGGTGTCGTGGTCTGGCAACATATAAATCGGAGGAGATCCTCACAAGCGCTTCCCACCTTTTTGACCCCGAAAGTCGCAAAAGATCAGCTACTCACTAGTATATATCCACCCACCTCGTCGGCTCCCGAGACGCCCAACGACATGGCATGGTATATAGGAGTACTCCGCCCGGTCACATTCACCCAATCGGCCTAGGAGATTTGCTGACTAAGAAATTCCATCCATTCACACACGACATGCTGCCTCTCAGACGCGGTGTGGATTACGGTTCCGCCTAATGCTATCTCCGACTCCCTCTCTCCCCCCAGATAGATCTGCCTGGACTCGCGAGAAGTTGCAGAGGAGGAGGTGAAGAAGAAGGGGGAAGACTATGGCGCTACAAGTCTATATCTCTCACACGGGCGGCGTCCTCACCTTCAATGACCCTGTTGTGGCTCGTGTCGACAACCTGCGGTCATGGATCGAAGCCAATACTGCCATTCCAGCCTCTCGCCAAATCTTGATGACGGCTCGCGGCAAGATTGTCAAGAATCTCAATAACGAACAAGAGGTCTACGTCTACGACAAGCAGTTCCTGTCCCCAGACTCCCAACCCCCTACCCGTGACGATGTCCAACTGAAACCGCTCGCCGAACCCCCTTCGTATCTCGCCGACGAGACCAGCCTGAAAGCATGGCACGAGTTGTTCAACTCCCGGCGCACCTGGGCGCTCGAGGCGGTAGAGATTGCAAGAACAGGCGTGGAGAACATTGAAATATGTGCAGAGGAGGCATCTGTCATTGCTAGGTCCATGAAGGTCGCCCTAGACAACCTGCGGAACCATGTCACGACACTTCAGCAGAGGTTCGAGGAGACAAATCAATGGGCACAGGGCTACATACAAGAACATCGAGAGGTCCTCAAGGATTGGCAAGCGAGTGTAGATACCCTTGCAGAGCTCCCTGTCCGCGAAGATGTCGTTAGAGTGTTGCGGCGTCCGGCTGAGCCCGATAGCAAGGACCCTTCTACACCTATCGGCACTCTTTTCGATTTGATCGACCGAGAGAGCCTACACACTGCTGCGGAGAGTGTCGAGCAAAGCTCGGCCGACTTCGAGAAGAGGCTGCTTGAACTGCAGTCAGGTATGGAGAAACTAAAGCAGGATACAAATCAGGCCCAGGCTCGCTCAACCCAAATACCAGACTTCGACACCAATGCTCTGCTGGATGAGGCTGAGACACTAGCGAAGCGGATCAGCTCTGACTACGAAGATGTTGTACAGATGCAAGACAACCAGAAATCCGTGGTTGCAGCGTCAAGAAAAGCCGCAGTGCATACCCGTGAACTGTTGCCTGCCATGCACGGTGTTGTGGAAGAAATTGTCCAGGCCTCCTTGAGTGCCTCCGAAACGCGAAATACTGCATCTCATGACTGGTATTCGACACTTCAACTCATTTCTGGTATCCAATCTCGCCTCGCAGAACTACAATCTGGCATCACAAACCTGGACTTCCGCGACGACGACAACTTTGCGGCCCTCAACAGGGCTTTTCAGCTACCCCTTGTCTATGGTGCTACACTTGTGGAAGCAACCCGCAGATCCGAGTGGACCGAGCGGATGCGGGCAGAGGTGGACGTTCTCCACGAGGATCTTTCCCAGCAGACCGAGGAAGAGCAAAGACGACGAAAAAAATGGACGGCTTCGCACAGCGAGTTCTTGAATGAGGATATGAATGCCAAAGATGCACTCATCGATCTGAAAGCAACAGCCCCGCGGAATTCCTGGCCATTTGTCAGCAGAGACGAAATATTCGCCTGGGTTGACGACCTGAGAGCACTCGGTATCGATGACGCCGTGCAGTCAGTCATGCAGCGGATGAAAGATCTAGATGCACCAGTCCGGAAGCAGAAAACGAAGCCTTTCAAGAACGGGAGTATCCATGATCTTAGCCAGAGCGCTGCTCTGGGTAGTGGAGATGAAGTCAGGGGTTTACAGGACGAGAAAGCAAGACTTGAGGAGAAGCTCCGCGCTTCGGATAGTCGAGTGCGGAAGTTGGAAGACCTCCTCCATCGTCAAAGCCAGCTCAGCCGGCCTCCTAGTGGGATCTTCCAGCCTGGCAGCGCTGCGGACTTCGAGAGACAGCAGACCCCTTCACCGAGTCCGCTGCACAGACACAGCGACCTGTCTCGCAGGTCATCAGTCTCACTCAGAAGACTATCCAACAATCAGGACGAGAAGTCCTTGGTGCAGAAAATCGTTGCATTAGAAGGTCAGATCCAAAAGTTGCAAGAGGAAGCTCACGCAGAACGGCGCTCAAGTACGGAGAGCAGGGATAAAATGCAGGAAGCGGAATTGGTCAAGCGAGACCTGATGGCCAATTTCGAAGCGCAGAAGCAAGAATTCGAGGAGGAGCGACAATTGCTGGACGACGAAGTACACCGGCTAAAAGTCAAACTGGAAGAAGCCGAAGAGGAGCTTGATCGTCTTAATGACTCCAGGGATCATTTCCGCTCCGAACAAGATCAGACAATGCTCAACTTGCGGAATGAGTTGGAACAACTAAAGAAGACCTCTGCAGATGATGTCGCGGTGTCAGACCGCAGAGTCGAATTGGCGCGAAAGGAAGCAGCCGCGCACCGCGAGCGAGCAGCAACGCTCGATCGCCAACTCCACCAACTCAAGGAAGAACGGGCAGCCGTACAGTCTCAGAACATGACCCTAGCAAACCAACTGCGCTCAATGGAGGATCAACAGCAAGAATACATCTCCATCCTACAAGGAGCACACTCGAACCTATCACCGGCTGGTTCTCCTCCAGATGATCTTCGCCGCATCGTCAACGCACTGGAGATTCTCTCCGAAGGGGCCGCGATCCATGCTCGCGGTCTCGACGACTCTCTCCAACTTGCTACCGCGGAGAACAAATCGCTCGAGGAGAAATTGTCCAACGCGGAAAGCGAGATCAAACTTCTCACGGAGAAACTGTCCACGATGGAAGCGCGGGCGAATGAATTGAGGGAAGACCTCGAACAGGAACGTAGCAAGATCTCGGTGCTGAAGACGGAACTCGCAGGCGAACGCGCAGAGATGCATTCCCTGCGCGAAAAGTTCGCCGCTGGGGAGACTGGCTCTGATGCCCTCCGTCAACAACTCAAGTCTGAAGAAACCAAAGTCGCGGAATTGATGGACCGCAAAGCCCAAGACGAGGGTGTCATTCAGCGCCTGAAGCATGAAATTGAAGACCTCAATCGGGAAGCGGTCAACGCGGCGGAGAAACAGGAGAAATTGCGCAGACACTTTGACAAGAGGGGCGAAAGGGCGAAACAGCTTTCGGAGAGGTTGTTCCACCACCACGATCGAATCGTCCGCATGCTCGAGCAATTTGGCTATTATGTGTCCCGGCAGGACGATACGCTCGTCATCCAGCGTGCAAGTAAAGTCAACGCGAGCGCCGTGCTGAGTGGCAACGAAGGGTCGGGACCTCCAGGCACTTCGATGAAGCGAACCATATCCGGTTCGACGCCTGCACAGCACTACTCGGACCCTTCAGACCTCGACACGCTGTATTGGACATCCGACAACGATCTCACCTCCGAATCGACAAAATACTCGGGCTTCCTTTCCGCTTTGTCGAGACTTGACATGGACAGCACGATCGACCTGATCACGAAGCGCTACAAGGACGTCGAGACGCTGGCGAAGAAATACCAAAAGGACTCCCGCGCTTACCGGGAACGGACGCACCGCTCGCAAGCCGAAGCGCACGATAAAATCGCATATAGGAGCTTCAAGGAAGGGGATCTGGCCTTGTTTTTGCCTACGAGGAATCAGGCGACGAGACCCTGGGCGGCGTTCAATGTTGGTGCGCCGCATTACTTTCTGAGAGAGCAGGATGCGCACAAATTGCAGTCGAGGGACTGGTTGCTCGCGCGAATCACCAAGATAGAAGAGAGAGTGGTAGATCTGAGCAAGAGCATGCGCGGCAACACCTCCTCTTCCACCGTGGGTGTAGCGAGTACGGTGGTGGATGACGGTGGGTCGGCGAGGAGCGTTGACGACGAGAACCCCTTCGAGTTGTCCGATGGGTTGAGGTGGTATATGATTGATGCGCAGGAGGAGAAATTGGGCGCGCCTGGCACCCCTTCCGTCGGAAAGTCAACCGTTATAGCGAGCAACGTCGAGGTCAAGGGCCACATGGGATTGGGCAGGAAGGAGCACAAGTCAAGCATGGGTATGGGTGGCGGTGGCAGCAATGCCACAACGACCATGGTCACTAAGACACTTACCAAAAGCTTGGATAGTCGGCGGTCGAGCTCAGGGAGCAAAAAGAGCGTGGATCTCAAGGGCAAGCTTCACGACCGGAGCAGCGTTAAGGACGGTATGCCTTCGTCGAAGCTTGCACCGTTGGCGCCTATCTCGAGCGACACGGACGTTGAGCAAAGGCGTGCACTTCCACACGATGTGGGCGGCAGAAGTGTGGCCATCCCGGACGACGACGCCCATGCGGATGCAGATGCAGAGAACGAGAATGACGAGTCTGAAGCGCAGAATTTGGCGGATTCGATGACGCTGCAAGCGGCGGGCCAAGGCCAAGGCCAAGTTGGGACTGCCAGTGTACCCAGCATTGTACGCCGTCCCACCGAAAGGAGCCAGACGGACCGGGAGGATGCACAGGTCTTTGAAGTGGTGAGGCGAGATCTTCTTCTCGGCCCGTAAACAAGAAAGGGAACCGTGCAGCGGCTGATCAGAAAAACAGAGTGGTGACCCTGCTACGTCTGAGCTTGCGGGCTCGGCCGCGAGGGAAACAAATCCTCAAGCCTCTGCACATGGCTACGCAGCCCTCAGAGCGACGCAGAATGAATCGCCTCTGACGGCGCACCGTCTGAACAAGAGACCCGTATACCCAGCCCCGACACCGGGAAGTACATCGCAATCACCCTATAAACCGAGGAATCAGAATGTAACGACGCCAGCGGCAAGTCCGACGAAGAATCCTAGGATAGCTGCGGGAGGTGAGAGCACGTCGACTCCGTCACCGTCCGCGAAGCCGAGGGAGAGACCTTGGGACAAATTGTTCAGCATGGAGTTCCGGTCATAGTCATACGACAGGGTCCTATTTCCCGTGCAGGGGAGGCTCTGAAGGTGTCGCCATGAGCAGCTGCAGGTATGCTGTATTGTTGAGAAATGGTTTGGTGTCTCTGTAGCATTTTAGCGCGAGGACTCTCGAGAGTCGTAAAAATGGAGTGACCGATACCCCCCGAAGTTATATCAAGAAGTTGTGTTTAACACGTGAATGGGAGAGAACCGCTCGTTTCTACGTGGTCCTGATGAAGGAAGACTCGGACACTCTTCCTTGACTGGGAGGCTGTCTAGCAACAGCATAATTAGTGCTTGTGGCAGAGTCATAGCATGAGGACGCAAACGCATCAACGTCACGTGCTGAAATTGATCCGGGGTCTTTCCACGTGACTATCAGGTCAATGCGAGCCTGTACCGGTTGTTTGTTTTGCCTCATCACACGTGATGTCAAGCGAGTCGGCCCTGGCCAGTGGCCACATGCATTCTCTTTGCGAATCAAAACAAGCCTGTCCACCTAGGCAGTAGAGATCTTTTGCGGGGGGTGAATTGTGCGGAACGGGTGCATCCCAGCCATGCAGAACTTGTAGCTCTTGCAGGAGTTTATTCTCTTTGTTGCTGGGGGCCTTGCTGGGCTAGGTGCACATTAAACTCCGCGGCAACTTGAAGAGTCAGGCACCCATGAGCATTACTAATCCCTGGCCAGCATGAAAGGAGCGGCGCCAAGATGATGCAACTACCTAGTAGTAGCATTCGGCGGCGTTTGGGGCGCTGCAGCATCGGGTATAGGCACACCCAGGAGTCTGTCTTCGTCCTTGGTACGGCGCTACATATTCCCCATTCCACGGCTTGAGATCAACTGCGGGAAACTCTCAAGGGAAAGGCTAATGTCCGGAAATGCGACCACGACTAGTCTGGTGGGTACGGACGGAACTGAATCCCATCTCTTGTTGAGGAATGCAGGAAGAGGCGCGCTCCCAAGCATTTTGGAGGCAGATGAACAGAGGGGGACGAGAGCCACAAGGACAAAAGTGATACGTTTGAAGCGGCGAGTCGACATCAGAAATAAAGGCACAGTCTGGCACAGTCAACGACGAGGAGGCCGCCGTAAAAGAAACAGCTGATATTTGGTGATAGTAACCCGGGTAGGCAGATTAGCATACCCAGTCGTATGCTCTCCTCGTCAGACCTGTGCCACTTATTTCTGAAGTCCGCCCGGGCGGCAAGAGTTGTTGCCCAAAAGTGGATTTGTTATGATTTGAGCTTGGCTAGTCAACAGCTGTGGAATGAGAAACTAACAAGCAATCAGTGCTAGGTATTATCGTGCTCGTAGGATAGTGCAGTCAATGCCTCGTAATGATTGTCGAGTGGCAGCAATGAGAGTCGACAAGTGGGTGCCGTAAGGTCAGAAATGTGGGAGGCAGGGAGACTGATTGACGGAAGTGGGCAGGTTTTACTGCGGGCCTGGGCCAGGGCGAAGTGAGCTGTGGTCAGGTAGTAGTGCCGAGCAACCAGGAGTGCTCAGAGCAGGAGAGCAGGAAAGCTAGATCAGGAGAGGGAGGAGAATTGAGGGACGAGTGAGTTTGAGTGGAGACGGGGGCAGAGAGAGTGACGAGATCACAGGTCGCAGGGTCAAATCAAGTGCATTGACTGATTGATTGACTGATTGATTGATTCACTCAGCTGGCTCGCTGGTAACCACAAGTGAGTCGTAGAATGATGAGGAGTTGAGAGGGGAATTTGGAGACATGTGAGTGGTAGAGCAGAGCGAAGAGAGAGGCAAAGAGGGTACCGCGTAAGTCAGTACGGACTCTACGGAGGACGGAGCTCGTAGTATTAGTGCAGTCGCAATGGTATTGGTAGCTGCGGTAGCAGCAGGCAACTCGTACCCAGTTCGTTGGTGGATGGTTGCGCGGTGCGGGTGATGCGAAGTGGTGCAAGCGGTGGAAGCTGGCAGGATCAAGATCAACACAACACCGGGGCAGGGCAGGGCAGGGCACGAGGGGACGAGGGGGGAAGGAGAGTCAAAGGGAGATCAGGGAGGGCAGGGAGTCAGGGAATCAGGGAGTCGGGGAGACTGGCCCTCCCCTGCCCGCTCTTCTGCCGTCTGACTGACCCTTCTCCTCTCACTCTGCCATCACTGCTACTGCTACTGCTACTACTGCTGCTCCGCCTCCCACCTCCCACCTCCCATACATTTTTCCTCCTACTACCACTCTCCCTCTCATACTGTACTGTGTGTGCATACTGTGAGCGCGCTGCACTGCGTTACTACTACCACCAAATCACCCTCATACTGGTAAGTCCTCACTTTCTTCCATTGACTATTTTTCACCTTCACCCTCCACACCACCCACTCTCTCCTCCCATAGCTTGCGCGCAAAACTGCGATGCAAAATGCTCGTCTCATCATCCTGCTGCCCTGTTTGCTCCCCTTCGCGACCTCGTCGTCGCCGTCTCCAGCACCCTCCGCCCTACAGCGCTTGACCACCACCACCAACTGCTCCCCAGCCGTCTGCCCACTCAATTGACGCGTCTTCCCTGCGTCGGTGAGTCCAAGCGCACTCGAAATATCCATGGTCATTGCCAGAACACGCGTTTGGGGCGCGAATGCACTCACCCAAAACAATCCCAGTTTGCCTGCGCCCGCTGTTCCCTACTCTCACTTGCAACCACCCACCTTTGTTTCTACCTCCTCTTGACTGTTGTTTTATTTCTCTACTTGGTCGCTGTTCTGCGCTTCTGGTTGCGCTCTTTCCTCTTGGCTCAAAATCACCAATTCCTTCTATCTTGTCCCTCTTGTACTCTGTTTTCCGCCCTCTGTGCTGTACCATGGCTAAACAACCCACTGCGCAGACCACTCGCAACATCACAACCACCGCATCAAAAGTCACCAAGACTTCCACAAGCAAGATGCCCAAAGCCACAGGAAAAGCCACCAAATCTAAGGGCCGCGGTGCCGAAAAGAAAAAGAAGGGTCAGTGGACACCCCTGTTGATGGTCTGACCTTCACTGACGTTTCTGCGCAGACCCGAACGCTCCCAAGCGCGGTCTCTCCGCCTACATGTTCTTCGCCAACGAACAGCGTGAGACCGTTCGCGAGGAGAACCCTGGCATTAGCTTTGGTGCGCCTGATCCACTCTTCGTCCATCGATGACCAGATGAGCTTACCAAGACTACAGGCCAGGTTGGCAAGGTGCTCGGTGACAAATGGAAAGCACTGAGCGACAAGCAACGCGAGCCGTACGAGAAGAAGGCTGCCGCCGACAAGAAGCGTTATGAGGACGAAAAGGCGAAATACAACGTGAGTGACCACTCCTGCTCATGGAACGGGCACATTTTCTAACAAGCTACCAGGCTGCCGATGACGATGATGACGAGGACTAAGCGGTCTCGCGCCCTTTGACGCGGGACCCAAGCTCTTTGGGACAACGTTCAAAGTCTGGTGCCATTTCTCTTTTTCTGTCATCATGTTTTCACTAGCAATGATCGGCTGGGAGGCAGGGGTTACGGGAGTCAGTTATTGACAGGGTCGGTATGCTTCAGAACTGCAGCTTACGCCTGGAATCATGGGAGCTTCAGGGATTCAAATCATGTCGTCGTTAGGTGTGGCGCATGACCACAATCGTGAACCAGAAAGCTGAGCTGCGAACATTGCATACCTTAAGCATACTATGATCCTTGCTGTATACTAGCTTTTTATGCAATGCAATGTCTGGCAAAAAGATCCAATTGATGACTTCTTGCTTGTATTCCCACTTGAGTATTGCCTCTAGGTTGATTGCTCTACGTTGACCGCGCAACAAGCCTTAACACATGTGTTCAAGTTCGTCGTAAACAAACGCGGCCAGCTCCAAAGCCTGCATCACATCACATTGCGTCGTATCTCGCGCCGAATGTTGATGATCCTGCAGGCATCGTCGCGTTTCAGCCCACCCTTGCCTCTACCGCTCTCTTTGGGCTTGGCCACAGGCAGCAGCAAGGCGCAGGGTCGCTCCTTCCAGCCCCATAAAAGGCGAGATGGTGACTTTCTCTCCTTTTTATCAGTACGTGCCTCAATCTCAACAGTGTTTAGGGCCTTGATGCGGACTCTTGGTGCAGCCTCTAGTTAAGGCTCGAAAGCAGCATCGCTTTTTCGACACACACACCACACGTTCTGACGCGTCCCCGTTGCTGGACTCTCAATTTGTCGCCCGGAGGTTTTCCAGCAAGAATGCGGCAGTCCTGCTGACAGACGGTGTGAGCTACTCACGAAACTCAGGTAGGATGCATTCTTTTGCAACAAGTAGAACCACGTCGACCCGCATAAAAGGCTTCGCTTCGCTGCTGCGACTGCTGCTCCAGGGAAAAGGGCTCAGAGAAAGTGTTTGGACGCCTTAGCTTAGGCAGCAAAAACAATGCCCGCAGCATGATGCATGCGATCTGGCCACCTTCCTCCAGAAACCGATATTGCCAGACTGCTCGAATATGGTCCTTGCCTTTTCTCTACGGGTCGAGAAACATGATAAATTGGCCTCTTTCAGGGGCCAAGGTCATTTGAAGCTGGTACGAAGCATGACAGTGGACAATGGTGGACAGCCTAAGAGCTTGTGTTGCGACAGTTCATGCGCATGCTGGACGGTGACAAATCGGCGTGGTCTCTAGGTCTGCATCGGTCCCTTCATCCTTCGGCTTCGCCTGCTGTCCGCTTGACACGTCAACGGCTTGCATGAGGTTTGTCTCCGCGCGAATTACGAGATTCCCCAGTACCAGCCCGCTCTGATCCAGAGCCCGCATCTCAATTCAGCACAAAAGGAGCCTCTCCACTACAGCTCGAGCCGATCTGGATTCCTTTTCATCACTGACTTTGATCCCGAGGCGCATCCCGGTCTATCATGCATGGATCTACTCCTACGAGAGGAGGCTGGGAGAGCCCAGGACATTGCAGAAATTCTCAGTACGATCCGGACCAGCGATCAGGATCATGAGCAGGACATTACCTTGGCGATCACGGGGCTGAACGGCTTGAGCTGGGCGCTGCGGGAGCTCAACAACCAGATCGATGCGGTGCACGGGAAGGTCAACCCAAACTTTGCAGGCGACCTGAAACTCCTCCAGCATAGTGTCGCCTTCACTCTTCAAGACGTATGGACTATGCTGGGCAAGTTACCTCGCGCCCCAGTCGCAGCAGACTATCAAGATGCCTGGAAAGAAATTGCCCGATATTGCATGAACATGGGAAAGCAGACCCTCCACACACGACTAGACACATACAAACTCTTCACCTATTCACTATGCAAAGTCCTTTCAAGGTACAGTAGCACCTGCAGCCCTGAAGTGGCTGTCGCTTAAGGGCATTTTGGTTAGGGAATCCTTCAATCGACGGCATCTCGAGGATTTGCGCCTCGAGATTTTTGATCTTCAAACCCTACAACGCGAAGAAAGACGATTGATATCAGCCTCGGAGACATTCCCTACTCTTTCTATGGTGCCAGTCCAACAAGGTCACTCGCTCCTTCTGCAGGAGTACTGAATGGAACTGACGAGCAGCAGTCATCAGACCTCTTCCGTCCCATGAACGGGTAAGACCAGAGCCTCAACGACCCATGTCGCCGACAACCTCCCAAGACAGTTACGACACATTCCAGCACCAAGCGGTTCCCAGCCCGCCACCCCTTTCTCCAGTTTCACCCGCTTCACCCGTTACCACGTTTTCCACTCTAAGTCAAACATCAAGCGTCGACCCGGATACCAATCACTGGGCAACCAAGATTTTTAGCAATTTGCCCAGTACTCCTCTAGAAGTGGACCCAAACCCGTGAGGGAAATGCCTTCGTTACCATTCAAACACTCACTCACTCTGCTCCTGATCAGGTCTTGCTGTTTCGGCGATGTGGATGCTCGGTACCGCAGGCGACCGGATCCGGAATATGAGAGGATCCTCCAACTGTAAGGTTGGCTGATTGTGGGAGAGATCCTATATTGACTGCGACCAGAAAATTCCCTGGCGGACTGAGGACAAAATTCTACTGGCGTGCTCGCGATTACCGCACCAAACTCGTCTGTGAATGGTATGACAATCGGAAGAGCCCTCGAGTGTCTTGCTTCCCTCTGAGCGAATTGCACATCCGACGGTCTGGGTCATTGCTATACCTTTGCTGTCCCACAGTCCGTGGTTCTAGCACTTGTTGGACCAGCCTCAACTTCACTTCGTACGAATGTCAGTTCTCAAGCTCTCCTCCTAAGCACGTCTCTGATTCTCCTTAGGGCTTGTCATCTTTCATTGTACCTTTCTATCGCTACGTTCTCACGACAGTACATCGCACTTCCACAACATCGACCATGATCTGGATGGCGAGGTCCTCAATTTTGCTGGGTGAGTTGCTGAGACGTCTTGCCAATGACCTCGGGCTGATTCGATCAGACCAATCCGTGACGGCGGCTACCGCCATGTCCTCCGATTGTACCGTGACAAGAAGACGGACGCCGTGCGCCTCGAAGCATCTGTCCTTGACAAAGAAATGAAAGAGTAAGTCAATGCTACCACATCAAGATGCAACGGCTGAGTCTTCCAGCAGCACGCCCATCTGGACTGCTTTCATCACGCACAAAATCACCTCGCCTAGTTGGTTTCGGTGGCCTAAGAACAGCTCCACTGTTTATCTTGCCGAACTTCAACGCCATGTCTTTTCTTCTGAATACTCACCCCATGTCCGCGCAAACGGCGAGCATCTTCTGGACTTTGAAGTGTTTACAGGTCAGTCGTCCCGAAACCCGCTCAGCACTCGATGGAAGCTCACTGGCTTCGTAAAGACGCCGAAGACTTTGTCAAGACGCTCAAAGACTTGCGTGAGGATGTTCGCAGACCGAAGCCGACCAAAAACGTCCGACTCTCTGCTGTATGACCTAACGATCCTAATGACTAATGATACTGACGATGAAATGGGCGGCCATCTTGTTTGGGCTTTTCGACCGTGCGGCAAAATGGAGGCCTAGAACCCTTGGATACCCCCAGCCCTTACCCTTCTTGCCATGTCTTCTCTGCTTAGCTTCTTGCTTCCAAACTTCTGCTTGATTGCGTTGCTTTGCTCATAGCGGAAAAGGGACTAACTGGTCGAGGGACGCCCACGTCGTTGTTTTTTCTACTTATCTTTTCGGTGGCCTGGAGTGTTTCTTGTTGCTAGCGAAAAGTCGACACGCCGATGCTTATGATCCTGCGAGGCCCAAATTCGTGCATTCAGACAGCAGTACGTGGCTCTCGGGACTCGATCCACCTCAATATTCCATTATTTACATATACCTGGAATGATGTGCTGTTGCTTTTCTAGTCAAGGTGAAGTACCTCGTGCTGCGTATGCGTCGGCGTGGATGCCGTGCAAACCGCCTGTCCGGCCAGATTCCGCGAATCGTTTAGCCGACAAGCTGCCTTTGTGCAAGGACGATTGGAGAGAAACGGCCTTCTCCACCTTGATCCTTCACCTTTGTGCTTTATCCGATTCATCTTCGCGTCATTTGCGTACATCGGACATTAGCCTTCGCACCAGAAATATCTCCAATTCCTCCCCGTTATTAGCCAGTGTCAGGGACCTGAGAAACCATGGCTTCTTTCTCTTCGTCGCCCGGTGCCGTTTGCAAGTCTGAAGTTGCGGCTGCCCCATTATGTCGCAGCCAGAGGTGACTCCTTCGGGGACGAAGGAAGCCCTGAGCGTTGAAGCACCACCGGCGACCGTCTCCCACGATGGCGACCCGAGATCGGCGCGGACTACACTCCAGAAGGTGTACGATTGCCTCGCATACGTGCCTCCGAGGTGTCGCTATGACCCTGAGAGGCCATTTCAGTTCTCAATGGCGTTGAATGTGCTGTTTGGTATGAAAGAACCCTCTCCCTCGGACAAAACATCTGTTGATAGCCTGTGCCTCTTAAGCATTCGCGGGTTGCTTCACCGTGGCGAACCTCTACTATACCCATCCGATCCTCAATCTCCTCGCAGACGACTTCCACGTCACCGATGAGCAATCTTCCTATATCCCCACTTTAGCACAGGCTGGGTATGCTGGAGGACTCCTGTTCTTGTGCCCATTGGGAGACTTGGTCAAGAGGAGGCCTTTTGTGCTTTGGCTGGTTTGGTTTACTGCAACATTATGGTACGCCGAGGACGCTTCTACTAGAGTGTGGATGATTAAACTGATATTTGTTGCAGGATTGGCCTCTGCGTGACTAAATCCTTTGCTGCCTTTGGGGTCATCACCTTTCTTACAAGTGTGACGACTGTGACACCTCAGTTGATGCTGCCATTGGTCGGCGATATGGCTCCTCCCCATCGGCGGTCGACGGCTCTCTCTATCGTCGTATCAGGGATGCTTCTGGGAATGCTAATCGCCCGTCTCTTGTCCGGCGTCGTTGCTAAGTTCATTGGGTGGCGCTATATCTACTGGATCTCCTTCGGCCTGCAATACTTCATCCTAGGCTTGTTGTATCTGTTCATGCCAGATTACCCTTCAACAAACCCTGGCGAGAACATCTTTAAGAAGTACCCGGCGTTGTTGTGGGATATTGTGAAGCTCGTGCTCAAGTATCCCGTGTTGGTCCAAGCATGTCTTGTTGGGATGTTCACTGCGACGACCTTCACAAGTTTCTGGACAACCCTCACTTTCCTCCTTGCCGGCTCCCCATACCATTACAATTCCTTGGTTATCGGTCTTTTCGCTTTGATCGGCATCGGCAGCATGACTTGGGGTCCCATCTTCGCCAGGACAGTCATGGAGAAGCATCAACCCCTGTTTTCAGTCATCATTGGCGAACTTATTTGTCTGCTTGGCGTGGTGATTGGGACATATACCGGCAAATTTACGGTCGCTGGCCCCATAATTCAAGCCGTTGGAATCGATATCGGCCTGCAGACCAGCCAGATCGCGAACCGGACTGCTATTTACAAAGTTGCACCGAAGGCAAGGAACCGGGTCAATACAGCTTACATGGTCAGCGTTTTCGTGGGGCAGTTGATCGGTACTGCTGTTGGAAACTCGCTCTATGCCGATGGCGGTTGGATCTCCTCAGGGTCGGCAAGCGTCGGCTTTGTTTCTGCAGCATTGGTCGTGTGCTTCTTGCGCGGTCCACATGAGCAAGGCTGGATAGGTTGGCGAGGTGGATATAACATGCGCCAAGAAGTGCCGAAGAAAACCACAAACAATCCAAATGATACGGAGGCTGTCCCGGTCCGAGACTCGCCTCAGCCATTCAGCGAAGAGAATGCAGAAAAAGCCGTTCAAGTAGAACAGGAAATCGAGGTGCAGGCTCACGATGAGAATCGTGGGAACGACCAGAGTTCGCGATCCTCGCAACGTACTCTCAGTGAGGAGATTCAGCCTTACAGGGAGAAAGACTAGGGTCGGCAAGATGGAAATCCTTGGGCGGCAAGGCTTGAGCTGTGCATCGCATTCTGGCTTCCGACTCAACCGTTGCCGAGACATGAGCGGGCAAGGTGATCTCGCGGATTGACAACGATGCGCTTCGGCACCGGGTCTACTGAGGTCGAGAGGTCAGACTGCACCCCAACAGACTTGCTTCTGGACCACAGCTCATTCGGAAGACGGCTCACGTACCGGAAGAGGCAGTTGGTGATTTACCCAGCACAGAAAATATTGCCTCATGCTGGTCGTATGCGATGGGCGGTATCGATGTCGACCGGTAACCTATCAGAAGGTGGCCTCACCTGGGTTCTTCTCGACCGCCGACAGGCAGCGCTCCATGAATGGTCGATTGTGATGGGACAGTGGAGCTCTTCAAGCGGCGGATGCACCGTCCACGCCTCGGTGCTAGAGTAATGGGACCGGCTACGCGAAGCCTCATGTCGGGGCCTAACAGCACGATTGCGGGCTGGCTCTGATGTTTTCAGGGATCGATAGTGGCCTTGTCCTCGCACATTTGCAGAAGGACAGGCCAGTACCATCTTCAGCGCGGGGAGAGACTCATTCCAAGGGTTTTGTGAGTTCTAGATATGATGAGATGGACGTACCCCTTTCTTCCCCCACAATGTTGTGCCAGGTCTGTGCACATTCCTCGCAAGGCTCGCGATGGAATTTGTTCCACGCTTCTTCCAAGACGCCTTCATTATGGTCTCTTTCTTCCTTTCGCGCGTTCATTGAAGCGCATCCGTCTGCTTGCTGTTGCCGATCATGGCTGTCCCTTCCTTTTCCGTCGGAAAGGCGGCTTGCCACAGATTTCTTGCGTGTTTTGTGTATTTTCACTATGCTTTTGCCTTTACTAGCTCGGTCTATCAGTTGGATTCGGAGTATTCGGGCGCCAATTTCTTCGAAGGCTGGGATTTCTATACGGTGAGTAGCCGAATTGCGAGCGGCTTCTTCGACAATGCTGACACTGAGCAGGGTGGCGATCCCACTGGAGGATTTGTGACGTGCGTGATGCCGAAAGACCAATTGAGAAGCAAAGCCTGACAGTAAAACAGATATTATAGCCAGGGCTCCGCTCAACTCTCGGGCTTGATCAATGCTAGCGATAGCTCACCGATTTACATTGGCACAGACTACAAAACCGTGATCGGATCAACACAGGCAGCCGGCAGACCTAGCGTCCGAATTTCCACGCAGAGATCATGGACCCATGGATTGTTTATCGGGGATTTTAACCACGCCCCAGGAGGAGTCTGTGGAACTTGGCCAGCATGTACGTCCCCCCAGGGAGTGGAACAGATCATGCGTTGATCAATCACAGTCTGGACATTAGGACCCAACTGGCCTTACAACGGTGAGATCGACATCATGGAGGGAGCAAACTTGATCACCAACAACGCTGCGACGTTACATACGTGCGTTACCACCTTGCGACTGAGAATGGGGGCGCTGCTGATCAACCGTTTAGAAACCCGAACTGCACGATTGCTGGGGACAACAGAACTATGACAGGCCAGTTGGGGAACAACAATTGTGCATACTATGTAAGTGGCATGCTCATCTCTGGTGGACGATTCTGACTTGGTCATAGCCTGGCTACAACGTCGGCTGTGGTATAGTCGATAGCCGAACGACCAGCTACGGTGCAGGCTTCAATGCAATTGGCGGCGGTGTTTATGCGATGCAATGGACCTCCGCCTACATCAGCGTCTGGTTCTTCCCTAGAGGCTCGATCCCGAACGATATCACCAACAAGAACCCCAATCCTTCCTCCTGGGGTCTTCCGTTCGCAACTATGGAGGGCTCTTGTGTCATCGACCAGCATTTCCAAGCCCACAATATCGTCTTGAACAATGACCTCTGCGGCGAATATGCGGGCGCAAGCACTGTGTGGAACTCGACGACAAACTCTTGTGCCGCACTCACAGGGTATTCCACCTGCAATGCATATGTGGCGGCGAATCCTGCACCTTTCCAACAGTCGTACGTGTTGCAGAGCCTCGATTGAACCAAACCTTGAGCACTGACCTGTGAATAGCTATTGGAGCATCAACTCGGTTCGGGTGTATCAATTGGTGGATCCCAGTGCCAATGCCAGCTCCACTGGTCCAGCATATATTGCAAGCAATCAGCCCACTCAAACAAGCATATCAACGACTTCATCCTCGACTCCTGTACCGACCACGAGCCTGTGCCCCACGTACAACTTCACGGTCGTCCAGTCTGGCAGTTTCCAGTACGAGATCGAATGTGGAGTCAACATCGGCGGGTCTGATATCGGTATACCATATCCCAGCTATCAAGTCCAGTCATTCGAAGATTGCGTGGCCGGATGCAGCTACTGGAATACTTACAACAGCAGCAACATCTGCGGCGGCGTGACATACCAAGTCAGTGGCAATGCGTGCTACTGGAAACGAAATGTCGGGAGCACTCCCGCGGATCCCAATTTCAGAAGCGCCAGGCTCATCTACTATGCCTATCCACAGGTGACGGACGATCCTCGATATCAGACATCCAGCAGCAGCAGCACGTCCTACGTTGCGACTTCGGTCACGCCTCAATACTATGTCGCTCCAGGGGTCACTACGTCGACATCATTCTCGCTGATCTCGGAGACGCTGACGTCGAGCGTTACGGACGGTATACCTGGATTGGGTGGATCGACGACTGACGACGCTTCTTCAAGCACGTCTATTGTGACGACGACCATGGTGGCGACAACAGGAAGCAGCTCTCAAAGCACTTCGACAGCGATGGTGGGCGCATTGTCGTCTACCACTTCTTCAAGCTCAAGCTCCTTCACTGGATCCACAGCCAGCACAACGTCTGCCTCTATTGTTTTGTCGACTTCAAGCCTGTCGACAGCAGCGACCACAAATGTGGCACCCTCTTCTTCCTCTTCCGCTGCAGCAACCTCGACAATGGCCAGTGCGGCTACCTCAACGAGCGAGCAGCTGCCCCTTTCGAGCTCCGCGCTGTCCAGCTCATCATCTGTGTCACCGAGTCGGTCCACGGCCGTCAGTACTTCGAGTCCTGTCTCTACCTCAGCCTTGTCCTCGTCATCAACGTCGATTCCCCCATCCTCTACTGCCATCTCGTCTGCAACTTCTAGCTCATCTACTATCACGACGGAGGCTCAACCTCCTCCGTCTTCAACGACTTCAACGACTGCCACAACAGTGTCCAGCCCCAGTTCAGCATCCACAAACGCAAGCCCTATCAGCACGAGCACAGTCAGCCCAGTCGTCTCCTCCTCCTCTGGTCAAGCTTCCTCTTCTGAGACTCCGTCGTCTGTCTCTTCATCAATTCCGCCGCCGCCGCCGTCTTCAACAGCCTCTTCGGAATCTCCAACATCACCTCCCACGACCAGCCCACCGACGACCAGCCCACCAACGACAACCATCAGCTTAGTAGCTTCGGAATCCACCTCGTCCTCACCACCGCCGCCGCCATCTTCGCCTTCATCAACATCCAACTCTGCCTCTTTGTCTTCCGCCTCGACTACACAAATCATAATCAGTAGCAGCAGTTCGTCTCCCTCCTCCAGCTCTCCGGCCTTTTCAACCACTGCTCCAGTCACAACAGTCGAGTCAACGACAACCACTACTACAACAGATACTCTTCCGGGCCCGACGCAAGTTTCCTCCTTCACATTTGCAGGCTGTCTGGGTCCGCGGCCGGAGACTGCGTTTGCCGTCAGCTTTCAACTTGTGGAAGACTCCCCACTGATGTCCATTGAGAGATGTGTCGAGGACTGCTCTTTGGGCATTTACGCCGGCATTTACGATACGTAAGTTTTGAGATCCCCGTCATTTGTATTTTATTTTCCCGGGCGACGTGTGAATGGCGATTCATAGCGTACTAACACGGCCTTTTCTCCAGCCAATGCTACTGCTCCTCATACTCGCTCCCCCTCGACACCTCGTCGTCCGAGGACTTTATCCAATACCCGGATTCTGCATGCAACACCACCTGCCCGGGCAATTCCGCGGAGAGATGCGGTGGTGTCGCGCAACTCACTCCTCCAGATCGGCTCGCTAGGAGACAACTCACCGAAGTGAACGGTGACATTATCCTGCTGACCATGTACAACAACACGGGTGTTGATGGCGGCGGCGGCGGCGGCGGTTCCTCGTCGACATCGACCTCGACCTCCTCGTTGACGACAACGGCATCCTCCGTCCCCGCGTCAAGCATGAGCACGAGCGTCAGCATCAGCGGCGGCGCAAGCACCTCCGCGACGACGACGGCACCACCATCCTCAACAACAGCACCTCCAACAACTTCCACACCCTTGTCGTCGTTTTCGGATTCCGGAATTCTCACCTCAACAACAACAACAACAACCACCCCTACCCCGTCGCAGACTCTGACCCTCTCCCCCACGACAATCTCAACGACCTACACCACCATCTGCAGTCCCTGGGATTCGATCTCGTGCCCGACACGGACGGAAACGTGCCTCGCCACGACCATCACGGTCCTGCATTGCGGATGCACGGAGATGCCTCCGCCGCTGGTGCCCATGACCACGACTGTTGTGGAGGCATGCTCGACACTGACACAGGGGCTTATTACATCTCCTCCTGCAGGAGGAGGAGGAGGAGGAGGAGGAGGAGGAGGAGGAGGAGGAGGAGGTAGTCAGGAAGACGAGACAGAGACAATGATGACGACCCTCACCGTCCCATGTACACAATCCATCTCGGCACTCGAGTCCGCCGTCTCAGCATGGTCTGCTGCATCATACGCGCAGGCCGGCGCAAACGCCGAAGCGACTGCGACTGCAATAGCGACAGCGCCGATCGCCGAAGGAGCAGAATCAGAATCCGAGTCAGAGTCCGTGACAGAAACCGAGAACGTCCACAACTACGTGCCCTACAGCTTCCCCATCTCCTTCCCCATGACTACCACCACCGCCGCCACCGCAGGCCCTGCGCCGGAAGCCAACACAGTAGTGACGAAAAGCCTCGTTTTCGCCACGGCAAAATTCCCCTTCTCGGTACCGCTGCTGCAGAATCCCACCAATCCTCCTTATCCTACCGCTACAGGAGGGATCACGAACGGCACGAATCTGACGACGGGTGGGGAGGAGGTGCAGAACGTCACGGTGATGCCTGTCCCGCTGTCGTCTCAAAACACCGCTAACCTCGCGACGGTGGGGGTGGGGATGGTGCACACGGGCGCGGGAGTCAGGTTGTCTGCATGTTTTCTTTCTTTTTCTTCGAGGAGGAGCACTGCTTCGTGGATATTCTCTATCGTTGGGGGAGTCGCAGGTGGTTGGGTGTCGGTGTGGGTAGGAATCATCACCGTCACGACGCATGTGGTGATGAGTGCGGTTGGGGTGTTGATTGATTAGTTCATCGATGACAATTCTGTCCCTGGGTGTCCCCATGGCTGGGACTTATTGTGGTATCATTCTCGCTGCATTTCTCCATTTGAGAGAGTTGGGTTCTTTCATTCGTCAATTCATTGATTCATTCATTCAGCAATTTCATTCCCCAAGCGCCAGCGCAGTCCAGCCCATCCCGTTCCGATCCAGCGTGTGTCCAGCCCTTTTGAAGCATTTTGCCATCGCCCGTAGCCCACGTCCCTGTCAAGCTTGCATGTAAGCAACGGTATTCGTAGGCCTCAACCTCAACCCCAACCTCATAGAGGCATAAAAGGCGTTGCCTTCCTTCCTGTTAACTCCCCCCCAAAAGCGTCCGCCGTCAACATCAGTATCCAAGGGATACCAACCGTTCGCCTGCAGCCTTTCCCCCTTCCTTGTTCTATGAAGAGACTGAGTGCCAATGTCAGGTCCAAGATAGAACAATACGAGAAGAATCGTCCCTGCGGCCAACCCAAGAACCATCTCCTTTGAGGCAGTGTCCCATAGCCGTCAATAAAGCCACCAGTAACCAAGGTTGAAAAAGGTCCTCTCTCAAGACGATGCATGTCCACGCCATAGGCATTAGCCTGTAAGCACATTCAGCCCAGCCCTTCCTGACAAGCCTTTGCGGGCCCTTGAAAGCTGGAAAGCTTCCTCTCATGTTGCGCAATCCATTTCGACAAAGCATTTGCCGACCATATCGTCCCTCTCATGCGGTCTTGCCCGGCAATAAAGTCTCATATCTCTATCATCGAACCTGTAAAGATCGTGAGGGAAAGATTTTTTCTCCCACTCCCCATATTTGAGCTCGATCTGTCTGGAACCCAAGGCGTGGGAGCCAAATATGGTCTTCCAAACCTTGACCAGGAAGTGGCAGACGTCCCAGTGCGAAGAAGGAGGTTGTACAGTAAAGGATTCGTCATCTCCGGCAAGATGGGCCCAAGCTGGATCTGTTCTCTCAATCGTCAAAGGTAAGGCACCTTCATAAAAAGAGTGGGCAGTGCATGCACTGGAAAGGCAGACACCATCTTCCAACTGAATTGGTCCCTCATCGTCCACGATATCAAACAATGGTGTCCAGCTAACAAGTCCTTGTCGTTCCAGCTGGACCGCCTGCCGTAACCACTGCAGACCGCTGTCCAAATAGATCTGGATTTGGTCGAGCTTGAATTTGCGGAGCTCCTCCAATATGCCATCGTAATCTTGAATTCTGAGTTGCCATGATACTCTGTTCAGATCAAACGTAAGTTTCCCTAGTCTAGGACACGACTGTCGAATGGACTGAAGCTCCTCTGCCGAGAAAGATTCTCTAAGGCTAAGACCAGTGCTGTCTTCGGGCTCGTGAAGCTGGAGATCCTGGAGGGTGGCTCCATGTTGATGAAGGATAGCGCGCAGCGACATTTTTCCTCTCCACGACCAGAGACTCAATGTCTCTAAAGGTGGGCAAGTGGCAATGTAGTTCTGCGCCGCTGTTAAGAATGTGTCCGTCCGAGGCGTAGCGGCAAGGTTGATGCTGAGACTCTTCAAATTCGTCAACATTTGGGGGCCGCGTTCAAAATACGACTGGTGGAGAGGGCCTCTGCTACACTTCAAGCTCGTTAAGCACGCGAGGTTGACGTACTGCGACCAAAACTCCAAGCAATCGGCAGAGATCTCCCAGCCATCCAGGGTGAGATGACGAAGTGACGAACTCGGCTTCCTCCCTTGGTCTGGTGGAAGCCAGCTTTCGAGATTGTATCGGAGATTGGTGACCTGGGGACTGTACGGCGCCATCGAGGGATAAGAGATTATCGAGGCAAACCTCAGGTTTGGCGCTGAGCTCAGGATCATGTGGAAAAGCAGGTGGTCTTCGATACACGTGTGCTTTTGAGTCCTCATCGAAAATGAGTTCAGGCAGGTCGCTGCCGCGAGCACCTCCTCGGACTCCAGGGGGGTGTGTAGATTGCTGAGTCTCTTGCCACGATAGATGTCCAACTTCGCATTTGGCTGATGAGCCTGCAAAGCTTCGACGACACCTTTTGTTGGCAGATAGCCAGCGTTCCAGACCACAGTCTTCAAGTTGCTGGCATTGCGGAGCACAGTCTCCAGTCGGTCAAATGTGTGGTGGGATTTTCCGAGATAGGATGAATCACCGTTGTCGTCGGATTCCCCGATCAGCGGATCGATATCGGGCTGACGGACTGTGAGCTGTCGCAAGCCTTGGAGGAGTTCGGGCGTTTCCCATTCTTCTTGTCTCCGACCGGACTGGTCAGTCCAGGTCCGAAGTTCAGAGTCCCAACGGACAGTGAGGCGACGGTAGCGGACAAGCTTAGACACATAGTTGAGGTACTTGCAGGTTTGAGCCACCGCTGCTGTGGTCCAAGGGGATTCATCATCAATGTACCTGAGCACATTCGCAAGGACTTCAGCCTCGAGGCTGAGGATGTTTGAGGTGGCCATCCCTGCTGTGGGCTGAGGTCAGAGGTGGGTGAGACAAGTCACGCAAATTGAGATGTGAGGTGACCATGAAGAGAGAAAGAGAGGAAATGAGGTCGGAAGGCACGGCAGAAGGAGCTCATGTCAAGCTGGCAGCGGTCAGGCAGAGGCAGCTTGATATTGAAGTGAATGGCCTGGGCGCTGGGGTCGGTGAATACAGCCTTATTGGTTCAACGCACAAACGCGAGGCAGGCACCAGCTCACGTGCAACTTTGATATCAGCCTCGTGTATAGATGCTGGCGAGGCTGGGTTGGGGACAGCAAAGAGGGACATACTGTTCAGAGGGCAGGCAGTTGAACAAATCTCTTGTTGTCTAGCTTCTATGCCTTTATTCGAATCATCAACGGCTGCTCTAATCATGCCTATGCATCAATTCATCCTGACAATGTTTCCAATGGCCCTGACGCCCCCAATGCCCCCAATGTCCCCCATCTCGCTAGGCACCATCTAAAGAAAGCCCTGAACGCCGTGCTGTCGTCATTTGTCTCTGGTACCCCGTCCTCACAACTCTATCCAACCCGATTTCTATTGCCCGAGGCTCTAACCGCCATCGCTGTGTTTCTCAACCACAACATTCTAAAAGTCTTCGTCAATGATAGCTTCGTCCAATTCCAAGAGCATCGATTCCTCAAGCAAACTGCTGCTTGCAACGTAGCTGAAACCCCCAAATGGATCAGACTTGCTCAGTGTGCGGCTGTGTCTTCGCGTAAGAGTGTCGATCGCTCTGTCGGTGAATTCTTTAGCAAAGTTCTCGGCCAATTCAGGATTGGTGACCAGAGGCTTGATGGGTGGTTCGAGCTCCTTGGCCTCCAACTTCTTCCAGTCAATTTTCCTGAAAAATCGGTGCTTCTTGATGATGTTGATGTCGTTTGGGCCCACTCCAAGTCGCTTCTTAGGCTCCTTGCGCAACAGTCGCGTGAGAAGGTCTTTGGCATCTGGTGACAGGAAATAAGGCAGGCTCAGCTTCTGATACATGATGTTCTGCTGAATCTTAGTCCAGCTCCCTCCGCCGAAAGGAGGTTTTCCCGTCATGAGATCGCAAGCCATCGCCCCCAGTGACCACCAGTCGCACGCTTTGCCATAGCCCGGACCCCAGTCAGACTCATCACTGCCTCTGATGATCTCAGGAGCCATGTATTCGATCGTCCCCACACCCAGACTATTGCAACGACTTCCCCCTGGTGTGCTCGGATCCTGAACGGCAACCTTGCTCAGACCAAAATCGGTCAAGAGCAAATGGCCCTCGGCGTTCAGCAAGCAGTTCTCCGGTTTGAGATCACGATAGATGACGCCAACCGTGTTATGAAGATAGTCTAAAGCCAAAACAATCTCTGCAATATAAAATGCAGCCACTTCTTCTGAGAAAAACTTTTCCAGTTCCAGGTGACGAAACAATTCCCCGCCCGAGGCATATTCGAGAATCAAGTATAGCTTCTCATGATCCTGGAAGGCGTAGTAGAGATTGACAATGAACGGATGGCGATTGACCAATTCGAGAATGCTTCGCTCGGACATGGTCGATTCGATCCGCTTTTTGTGAACCTTGAGAAACGCTTTCGTGAGTTGCTTCTGCGCGAACAAGCGGCCCGTGGCATTCTGTCGTACTAGGAGCACCGTTCCAAAGGCTCCGTCTCCGAGGCAGCGGATGGGAGTGAAGTCTGCTGCGCTCATCTTGCGAGCAATCATCGAAGTCGCACGCTGATCCGCGTCCATAATCGCGGTGGAAATCGTCGAAGCGACATCGGTCTCCGCCAGCGATTGACTGACGAAGTCCTGATCAATCTGGACATTGTAACTGACCATGTCTTCGTGTGGCTCCTCTCCCTGGGTGTCGGACGCTGCGCTGGCGGCGCTGCTGTTGGCTTCGGAATCCAGGGTGTTGCGGACGCGGGAGTTGGAGCGACTTTGACTGCGAGAATTCAGTGCGTCAAGTTGAGCTTTTAAGCTGCTAATGCCCGGCGACTGAGGTCTTAGACCTGGGCTGGCACCGGCCAACGCAGGCAAACGAGGCATAGGTGACAGAACCCGCGGGCTGTTGCGTGACACATCCGAGTCTTCAGCTCCCGAGTCGACCGGAGTGAAACCTCTGACAGTATTCAACGCTTGGGCCGCTTGAGCCGCTTTTCCCTTGTTTTTCTTCTTCTTCCTCTTGGCCGCAGTCGTCGACAGGATGACACTGCCCTTGACTTCTTGTCTTCCTCTTTCACTCTCCGGTTCGACGAGAGCCCCGTCCTCGTGCGTACTGATCGGCATGGTTTTCTGGGGTGTAACAGGAGGACTCTTGTGTCGAAAGGGGGTGATTTCAGGGTCACCTGGATCGCCGTTGTTATTCCCCAGTGCGATGGAGTTGAGCGCGTCCTCCAGATCGGCCGAGACGTCGGCGGGTGGTCGCATTCCACTTGAGGTTTCTGGGACCTTGTCCATGACGGCTTGAGAGGCTGAGATACTCATATTCGCGGATCTTCTGATGATGCGCACAGGTAAAGCAAAAAGGGGATTAACGCAATGCTCAAGGCCGCGGCGGCTGTAGTTTTACCGTCCGCCCTTGTTCAGGACGGACCTTGCGCCAGTAGCCGAACCAGGAGATGGCCAGTCTTGCAAGAGGCGAGGGAAGATGACGTTGGAATCACATGGGAAAGTGCAACACGTCCGCGAGAGGCAGGAGTGAGGTTTGAAATTGCGGTTGAGGTAGTGACGGCGCTTCGACCCATTGAAGTTGACAAACAAGATTCAACTCTGACGGTAAATGATTGAGATAGACAAAACACCGATAGAGATTCGCGCAAAAACACAGAAGAAGAGGTGGAGCGGAAGGAGGAAAGAATGAGTTGTGGACGAAGAGTGCGAGGTCAGCAAAAGCCACCGAACGCAACCTGCGCCTGGGAATCTTGGAAATTCTGGAGGCGGCAGAGGCTCCCAGTGCGTTGTCGGCCAACGAAAGCGGCAGCATCTGGGTGCCAGTGGGTGGCATCCCGGAGAGGCCAATCAAGCCATGGCCAATTCATCACTAGCAGCCCTGGGCGACCCCGTCTAACCACAGATCTGCCCCGGATGTAGCCCGTGGTGCCCGTGGTGCCCGTGGCTCTCCAGAGCCTGGACTTAGGTAGGCAGTACCTAGCGAGCTAGGTACCTCGTACTTCTCGTTGTCTCCAGATTCCGCGTCCTTCTGTTGCGAGAATCATCGATGGGCTCTGGGGAAAGGATCATTGTTATTCCGCCCTCCCCCGCAGTCATACCATCCTTTACTGAAGCCTCCCAAGGTTTGAAGCACACCATCAGCTCGCCACCACCACCCACGGCTTGCTTGTACCCTGGAACCGCATCTATAAAATCCCGCTCGTCAGACCAAACCAGGTCAGACTTTGTTCTCCTGCAGCATGGCAATCTCCATCATGGACAAAGTTATTTTGAAGAACATGAGGTTCGACATCCCCGTCGGCCTCGATGCCTGGCGACGATTCCGCAAGCCTCAACCTGTCTCGATCACCATAGAGGCCCAGCCAACATCCACCCTCGAGCCGGCTGCTTCCAAGGACGACGTCAATCTCTCTCTGGACTATGGAAAGTTATGCAAGAAGATCTCAGCGGCCCTCCAGAACGCCGATCCTGAGGCCTTTCCCACCATATATGCCCTCATCGCCATGCTCTCGAACACGGTACCGGATTGTGGTCTGCTCACTATCGAAATTTCTCTTCCCAAAGCTTTGCTGCAGGCCAGAGGTGGCGTGCTCTACCAATACCAGGTCGACAAATCAGAGCTGGAAATCGATACATCTAGCCTTACTGTCACAGTCAAACAAATTGCCTGCAACTGCATTATCGGAGTCAACCCTCACGAGCGCATCTACAAGCAGACATTATTCATCGACATCAGCGTACCTCTCGTGGACCCTGCTTTGGGAGTTGGTGCTCTGGAAGAACACTACACCGCCGCTCTGCATGACATGGTTCAAACAGTATGTGAACGAGTGGCAGGTTCCGCATACCACACGATCGAATCACTGGCAACTGCCGTGGCTCAGATTGTGACAATCAACTATGGACACACAGTTGCCAAAGTCCGCATCGAAAAGCCCCACGCCATTGCTACCATTGAAGCCGCCGCAGTCGAAATCACCCGCAGCAAAACATTCTTCGAAAACAAGGACTTTTGGAAGGTCAAGCTCCCGTAATAATTCAGGGGCTTCTTCAGTCGGAAGTTAGGTCGATTATACTCACCCGAGGAGGACGAGTTGATGGTAGAGATGGGTCTATCTGAGTGCTCGGGCCCGACTCGCACTCGACTTCTCTCCAGGTGCCAGGCAGGCTCGACCGTGCAATCGCATGGATGTGCGTGGCCGCAGAGGAATTTGCCGACACTCCCAGCGTCAACGCGGGCAGAGCTTCAATTGTTTTGATTTCTTCTTCGGTCGATGCACCTTTAGCTGGCGGTGCTTTCTTCCGTACATATGGCTTGAAGAAACTCGCGATACGCCGCTGAGGTTGGGTCATACTCCCATTCGGTGCTCCGGATTCGGTAAGCATTCGGTACTTATTCGCTCGCTTTCTGGGCGTGCGCCGCGTGACATTGCTCAATGTGTTGTCCGGATCCAAACCTTCCTGTCCTGGCTGGTGGTCTACTGCTGAGTCGGAATCTCTCCCGTCTGGCGAAGAGATGGTGAGCGCTGTCTCTTTTACAGCGCTGCCGCATAGGTTTTCTCCCTGTGTCACAGTCGCTAAAATTTTCGGCCGTGCTGTTTCCGCTGAGCTCGAAGTTGACGGCCTTGAATGTTTGTCTCCCCGGATTTCATCGCTGAGCATGAATGGGTCATCCTCCTTGCCGCCACCAGATCTGACAAGATCAAATGATGAACTGTCGTGCAATGATATTGTATCCTGCGAAGGTTGACTGCCCTTGACCGACTTGAAATAACCCAACATCGTCGGTGGGTGCCCTTCCTCTAGCTGGCTTGGTTTGAGTTCGGGCGACTTGGGTCTTCGTGGTGCACCGGTATTGGCTTTTGGGCGAGGGCGAGGGCGGGGCGATGTGATGGGTTTTGCAATATTGGTCTCAGGCTCGCTGGACTCGTTCGCAGGGACAACGTAGCTCAAAAGAGCCCCAGGCTGCATACCTCCAGCCTGTTTCGGCTTTCGCACCTCCTTCTTCTTGGGACATTTCCGTGTTGCAAACCTCTTGGGATCATTATTGATCTCGAACTGGATCCGTTTCCATTGTTCGACGTGCTCTCGAGCCCCGATCTCGACGATTGTCTGTGCAATCCACATTTTCTCTGGCGCATCAGGCAGCCAGGGAGGAGATTTGCGCTTCTTAGACGGACTCAGGGGAGCATTGTCGTCCATCTCTGCTTTTTCTGTTTCCCCTTCAGCGCCTTCATTCTCTTCCTCGGCAAGGAGCTGCAGATACTCTGGGCTGTCCTTTTCTGCATCGAGATCGAGTCCGACGATGTTGGCTGGAATCACTGTGACCCTGAGTTCTGGAATGCCACCACTCACGAAATGCTGCCTCCGTTCGGTGATTTGGTCGACAGATGTAAGATACGATGTTGCCGCTCCGCGTCGTAGCCGGTCCGCAAGAAGAGCCGGCGCCATAGCTCGCACAAATTTCCAAGCACCCGGCTTATACATCCATTCGAACATTTCAGCCGTATAGTCCCGGAGGGCTTGAATATCGATTTCTCCGTCCCATGTGTTAATCCATTTCCTTTCCAGACTCTTCACTTCGCTCGATGGTGTCACAGCCGGGTTCATATAATATCCCAAAATTTTCCTGTCTGGAAAACTGTCGGGGATCCGGATCGATTTCCTCTTCGTCTTGAAATAGCCACTCTCGTTGGTCTCCAGCTCGAATTGCAACCTTTCCCTCCACTCCCTAATCCCGTCTTCGCCTCCGTTCCTAACTAGTTCCAGGAGATCACTCCCAAACCCTGCTCTCGCAATTTCGCATGCCAACATAGATCCAATCCCACCGACACCCTCGTCGTAATCACCACCACTCAAAAGCGCTACTAGGACCATTCCCTCGGGATCTAGCCCGCTCAGGTCCTTGATTCGCGGCAAATCCAAAACGCTCACGTGGGTGGGTGTATGGTTCCCCTTCCCATTTCCCTCCTTTGACCAATCCCTCAGCGTAAGGCCAGAACCAAACATGATGGCATCAACGTCCTGCGTCATAACCGCATCCACGACCCCTTCCCGTTGAAGCATAGCACATTCCGCCTCGGCTTCCCCAGGCGCCACGTGCGTCGGGAACCGAAACAAGGAAACTAGAGCCTTCGACATCTCGCTCTCGACACATCCTCCGTACCATTTCGCCACAGTGCGTCCCCTTTTTGTGAGGGGTTTATTCTTCCCATCATAAACAAACACGGGCTGGATGGGCAAGGCTAGTAACTTCACAAGGCGGTAAAAGAGTGTCCGAAGGGCTGGGTTTTTCCCACCTTGCCCGCCGTGCTGGGTCTGGAAATTCCAGATCGCTGCGTCAATAGCGATTCGAAGAGGCCGAGATTGTTTCTGCAGATGCTCGATGGAGAGGCGGGAAAGAGCAATGCGTTCGCCTTTGCCGATTTCTTTCAAGAGGCTGACATGGGCAACAAACATCAAGATTAGTATAGGACTTGGCTCGGAGTGAGGGTTGGTTCTTTCTTCTCCGCTGGAAATCTCTTGCGTCCCCATAGGCAAGCACTTGTACGGGCTTTACGCCCAGTGCTCTCAGGACATGTGGAAGGCATGCTTGACTTACCCGGGAATTCCCATATTCCTCGACCACAAATTCTCTTCGCATCTGAATGGCCCCTGGGGTAGACTGATGCTTCTCAGTATCTCTTGTCTTCTCTCGACGGCATCGAGGCTGGTTGAAAGGGATGCAATTCTTCCAATTAGAGTTATTTGTTGACATCCACGACAACTAAAGCACCGGCAAAACTTCGGACATGGCACAGGAAACTGCGAGGTCCGATAAAGATTCCTTTCATGAAGCGGCAGGCTCGTTCGTGGCCTGGAGAAGATAGGAGCTACAGCATATTGATATGGGAGTATTTGTGCTTGGGCTGCCTGGTCACTCAGAGCAAGATGCTGCGAGGAAAACAGTCGTCTTCCGAGTCAGGAGAGGAAAATGACTAAGCAAAATATCACGTTTCCGATTGGTCAAGCACAACCGCGTCCTAAGAGATTTGAACGACGAGGGCCTAACGTCGTGAACCATTTTCTTTGCATCCAGCTTTGTCCAACAGTCCAGCACTTGCACACTTGCACACTTGCACGGGAGGTGGAGGCGACGACAAGCAAATAGACCGAGCAATGGCATCCACCGTCGCCTCCGCCATCCGCCCAAGTCTCCGCGAGGCGTCTTCACGCCAGCAAGCCGGCAGTCCTCACACGCCCACCGGTCGTTTTGTCTCCTCCGCCCAGTCTTCGCCGGGCTCGTACCCTTTTCGTGCCGAAGAGGATCCCATTATCCTCGAGCTCGATCCTCGCGGCCTCAGTGCCGGTTTTCAGGGCGAAAGTGGCCCACAATGTTTCGTACCTTTCACCTCACAGAGTTCCAAGCGAGTGGGGGACTATCGGTCGTTTCTGCCAGGGTTCAGAAGACGCAGGCAAGATCTCGCAATGAAGAGCAAGGAGTATGAGTTGTGGAGAAATGATTTGAGGGATGTCGATTTGGGTCTGCTTGAGGATAAGTTGGAACGCGCAGTCCGGGAGGCGTACAACAAATATCTGTTAGTGGACGCGGGTACTGCGCGCTTGGTGCTGGTCTTGCCCTCGCTAGTGCCCCATCCTGTACTTTCGACAGCTCTGACGCTGCTATTTGAACGGTGGAAGTACTCTACTATCACGCTGTTGCCGGCACCGACCATGTCCGTTGTTGGGGCGGGGTTACGATCGGGTCTCGTCGTGGAAGTGGGCTGGGAGGAGACGGTGATTACGGCAATCTACGAGTATCGAGAAATCCACGTTCGCCGGAGTGTGCGCGCCATGAAGGCCTTGACCATGAAGATTGGAGCACTATTAGAGAGTGTCAAAAAGGAACAGGACGAGTCGATTCGTGATTCGCTCGTGATGGATTTTGACTTTGTCGAGGAATTCTTGGATCGTGCTGGTGCATGTCATGCATTATTTCCCAGCACGGAAGAGGATCTTTCAGCCAGGACAAAGGCGATGGATCTCGAGGACCAACAACATACTGACGCATTCGGCGTCGATACTGCAAGTATGGTGATCGACTGGCCAACGGAAACGTCGACTCGACCTATCCCTGTCTCCAAGCACGCATTGTGTGAAGCATCTTTCGACACCCTAGTCACACCAAAGACCGAAGAACACCGAGACGATCATGAACAATCCATTAGTCAACTTTTGTACACAACGCTCCTGGCCCTGTCGTCGGATGCTCGGAGCATTTGCATGTCAAGGATCATCTTCTCAGGGAGGGGTTCATTTGTGGCAGGCTTATCGCAACAAGTATTGGACGCAACCAACACCATCATCAGCGAGCACGGATGGACTCCTGTCCGAGGGAAGCATATGAAAGTCAAGCGGAGTAGCCTTGCAGAACTTGCTCAGGGGAGGGCTGTTCCGGCCGATGCTCGGCATGACCTCAACCCTCCGGGACCTGATGACTTTGTTGAGGAACGGCTTTACAAACAGAGATCCAAGGATGCGCACCAGCCTGTTGCTGCCATCCTGCGGCAGGTCGAATCTCTTGGCCCATGGGCCGGTGCGAGTCTTGTTGCCAGTTTGAAGGCGAAATCCTTTGTTGAAATCGAGAGGGAGAGATTCCTCTCTCATGGACTGGCCGGGGCACACCGGGATCTAGATCCCGGTGCGCTTCATCAACAGCGCAGCACAGCAACGAAAGGCGGCGAGAGAACCAGCTGGACACTAGCAGGATGGGGTTGAACCAAGCGTCTGGGGAGCAATTGACTGTTGTTGGCCATCAGTCTTTCCTGATACGGCGGTGGTTGGACATTTCGGATGTATGTTGTTGTCGTTGTTTCACCGTTTCGTCGTCGGGGGCGATAGGTCTTTTCTGCCCGCCCACGCCGACGATAGTGAAACGAGTAGACAAAACATTCCTTCATCTGTCTAATGTCGTGCACTACCTACTTCTCTTTGTATCGGGATACCAACAAACAGCTCTCCCTTTGCCTTCTCCTCTCATGGATCTTTTGTCCCTCTCCCTTCATATCGTCGACAACGTCATCATCCACAAGCATACGGGCTACTTGCCAACTCTTCTCGAATCGTTGTGGGACAGGCGAAAACCTCTTCCCACTCAACTTGTGGCCAGCGTTTATCCGGACGTTGCGGAGACAGATACACCACCCCCTTCGACGAAGGATGACTACACCCTCGTTACAAATAGTGTTGCCAGTCGTCTGATGTTAGTGAAGTCATCCTCGAACCCCTCCCTGGTGGAAACGGGCCATTATGTGAAATCCCCCCAGCCTCTCTAATGGCAGTGAGACGACCGCCTGGTCAATGACCTCGTTTCTTCACGGAAAGGGTGTTGTGTCTTGCACGTGTCCTGTGGAAGAAGAGCGTACGCCCAACCCATCGTCAACACTAACTCGGCTGTTGATGGCGACGTCCGCTTGGCCTCCAGATGTTGTACTGGGAGTTGACAGACTCAGCGAGGACGTCACCACCAACTTGTCACTTGAATATCGTTAGAGGCAACCGCTAATTTCGACCAGACCTCCAGACGATGCCGGCCGGGACACCTTCCACCAAAATCCTCAGTCAAAAACAAGTTTCACAAACAAAGGCTCGAGGCCAAGCAGGAACAAAAGTAACAACCACCACCACCACAACCATCACCATCACCATCATCAAAGATGTCTTCTACGGAGAATTTGCGCGGCAACGACGGCGACGGAGAAGGGAACAACAGCCCCAGCCTCAACAGCATCAAGTCGTTCGTCTCGTCGTTGAAGCGCGCAGCCACAAACGACAGCAAGAAGAGCGACGCGTCGACAGACTCGTCAAGGTACTACGACCCGCAAAACATCCCCGCCGATCCCCTCCCGGACGACCGCAGCGCCATCGAAGGCCTGCTCAACCAACAGCTCAGCGCGCTGGACCACCTGCGCCGCACGGTGGTGGCCCGCAACCAAGAGATCAAGGACTACTGCTCGCGCGCGGCGTACTACTACAACATGAAACCGCGCGTCTCGCCGTCGTTCCTGCGCCAGCTCGACACCGAGATCTACATCATCCGCCAGCAGCGCAACGGGCTGCAAGCGCTGGTGGAGATGCGCCACAATGAGATCGTGCGCATGGCCGAGCACCGCAAGAAGCTGGACGCGGACCAGGGGATGGATTGCACCGTCTACGACATGTACCTCAACTTCCGCCGCATCGGCGAGTGGGAGCAGCTGTTCTCCATCTAAAAATGGTCCGGTCCTAAAAATAAAGAACAAGTGACATAAAGTCAAATGACGAAATGACCCAGCGACGGTTTCGAGACGACGGATGGATTTTGCTCTCAAAGAACAACAAACTCAAAGATGAACATTGGTGAACGGAGACGAGACGAGTGTGCTGTAAAAAAGGGGATTCGAATCAGAATTCTACACGACAGACACCCACCTGCAGTGACAGTGTGCCGTTGAGGGATGGACATTGGGCTTTGGCATGGTGTTCGTACGAGGACACGGCAAAGCAAGCACCTGGATATGGAATGGAAAACCAACGGACATACGTGCAGACAGACGTGTTGATTGTTCGGGGGGCCGCAGGGCTGGAAATTGGGGATATCGAAGGTCCGGAATCAAGCTCACAAGGGGATAATGATAATTCGAATGACATTCGACCGCTTGGTTGATTGATTGATTGATTTTCCTGACTTTGTGTTCCCCTTTTTTTCTCTCCAGTCCTTGACAATCTGCCGCCATGGGCCCCAGGGCCGGTTTTCTGCTTTCCAAAAGGAAACTGTGCGGCGGGAGTGGAGATAACGATTTTGTGCACGGGCTATATACAGTCATGATGGCATGGCAGGGAGGACAATTCGATGTGCCATCTGCTATACTTCAACAAGGCCCAAGCCTCTGCATTTTGCACGGAAATCGTCCATGCCCACGTACGCGCCGCACACGCGTCTCTTGCCCTCGAAGCCCAAGCGGCCGTGCAGGACGCGCCAGTTGTCGAAGATGACGGGCTCGCCTGGCCGCAGCATCACGGTGATCAAAAACTCGGGGCTCTCGAGGATGCGGCTCCATTCGCGCGCCGCCGCGTACCAGGACTTGAGGGCCGTGTGGTTCGGGAAGGGAGAAGAGGTCGGCGGCACCCGGTCTAGGTTGTTCCAACGGACCTGGACCAGCGAGGTCGGACTGGGACCTTGGTGCAGGCCTGGTGGGGACGAGTGTACCAGTACAGGGTAGCCCTGGAGCGAGTTGGCCGTGTTGTAGAATTCCCCCGCCGACGAGCCCAGCGCCGCCGACAGGACCGGGTACGTGGCAAGAGCGCGGTAGTGCTGGGGGAATTTCTCGTAAAGATGCGCGGCGGCCGCGAAGCCGTCCACAAAGGTCGATTCGCCGCCCTTGTCTGCGGGTGTCACGCAGTGGAAGAGCTGCAAGCCCGCTGGGTCGGTGAAGTAGGTCGTGTCGGTGTGTGGTGGTAGGTAATCGTCCGTGTACGCCGTGTCGATCGGGTTGGGCTCCGAGGTGAAGTCCCAGAAGCCGCCGTAATGGGTGGGTCGGATGTGGGAGATGCGTTCCACGAGGGATTGCGTTGCGCTTGGGGTCGGCGGAGTGGAAGGGATGAAGCAGAGGCCGTAGGTGTGGATTGATTCGAGAAATTGTGCCAGGCCTAACGTGGACGAGGTGTCCATGATTGATGGGTAGGGCACTCGAGGCAGGGACGGCGACGAAGGAGACACGTGTGTCCATTTTCTCTTGGGCACCGCTGACGCAGCAGTCTTGTTGGTGGCTTGTGTGAATGGGGGATGAGTCTGAAGCCATTCCCACGAATACAGACTCCTGTGTCTCGCTTCCCCGCCGGTGGTAGATATGGCGTCTGCACTTCCAGATGCTGGTGTCGCCGTCGCCGTTCCAGGCCAAGTGACCTCCAATCCCTCCGGCGTGGACTGGACGCTCGAGACTTTGACCTCCGGGTCGATGGCAAAAGTGTCGAGTTGCCGCTGGTGAGTGCTGGGATGCTGGCATTCCGAACAGGGACAGTGGTCTCTGAGCCAGAAGGACGGATAGCGCAATGCGATTCCCGTGTTAAAGTCGACGATGAGTTCTTGGTTTGTCATGTCATTGACGAGAACGCGCGGAAGGGCGGTGCTACTTGGTGTTGGTGCGGATGTGCTTTGATGTCTGCGGCACCACGAGGCTGTAGGGATCTGACATGGTCGGCTTGTATGGTGCCAGGGTCGACTCTTCGCGCAAGAAGAGATCGTCGCTCTCGAACATGCCCCCGCCGTTGTGAGGTGCCTCAAGCCCTGCCTCACGCGTCCATTGCCTTGAGACGGAGTCTTGTAGGCCGTGTGGAGAGTTCTGGAAACCTGGGATTTCATCATATATAGGTCCTTGGCAATGATGGCCTCCCCTCAGCCTTGAAGATAGTTCGATACCAATTGCACGAGGCACCGACCAGCCTCAAGTAAAGAGACCGACGATTGATGTTGCTTTGACGGCAAAGATGCCTCTTTCGGAGAAAGCTTGGGCGGGCTCGGCACACAATTCCATTGCGCCTAAGGTAGTATGCCACCTGCAATTATTATGTAAATCCTTCTCGTACTTCGTCGACCCATCTCTCCTCATCCTCGAGTCAAAGAACAATATCACTGCCACTGGGTATCGAAGCAAAAAGACGGCATATGGAGCCAAGGTCGCTGTGTCAGGACAACTCTACGATGACCAAGCTGAGTCCCCAGGAAGCTTGTCCCAACGCCTCCACCTTGCACCCTATTCCCTCTTCATGCACAAGCTCGAAGGAGTCAATTAGAGTATATGGAGCTAAACATCCTGGATCATGACCCATCGGGGCAAACTGCCAGGCTCGCCTGTTACGTGCTTATCTTTTGCTAGGCTCAAGGGTGGAAAAATCAACTCCCTTATCGACAAAAATCTATTGGTGATTGACGAAGCTTTTTGCTCTTGCATCATCGCTGAAAGATCGGCCTGCGATATACACGTCCTCGACGTCTCTTAAAAGTGCATACTATGTAAGGTGTAGGTGCTTCTGGATCTTTGTTTTTTGTTCAATTTCTGCCCTCGTTGAGCTGCAATGGAGCAGGAAAAGGTCACAAACGACCATCCGGGCGGTGTAAGGAAGTCGGTAGCATCTGGCGCAAGGCGTCGCTCGAGTCTGCTCGACGTCCGAGACGATGATCTGATCAACGCCTCTGGCCATAAACAAGAACTCGACCGCCTCTTCAGCTCCTTCAGCATTATTTCGACAGCCATCACCACCGGCAATGTCTGGATAGCTCTGGCCGGGACTATCGCCGTGGCCATCTTCAACGGCGGGCCCACCGGCATAATCTACGAATTCATCGTCGTCTCCGTCTTCTACTGGTTCATCGCAGCCAGCGTCGCCGAACTCGCGTCCGCCATTCCTTCCTCTGCGGGAGTCTATCACTGGGCCACGGTCACTGCTGGTCCACGCTATGGACGTATATGCGGATACTTGGCAGGATGGTGGAACTTCTTTGCCTGGATCTTCGCCACGGCCGTGACTCTGCAGATCACGGCAGCCATTATCATCACCATGGCCCAGCTCAACGCTTCGAATTACGAGTACCAGCGATGGCAGGTCTTTGTGGTCTTCCTGTTCTGTGCCTGGCTTTTCGCGGCGGTGGTGCTCTTCTTCAACAAGGCCATTCCCCTGCTGGAGCAAATTGGTGGCTTCTTCATCATTGCCGGCTTTTTGATCACGGTGATTGTTTCAGCGGTCATGCCTCATGTGCAGCATAGGGAATATGCCACTTCTCATCAGGTGTGGGACGAGTTCACCAATTTGACGGGATACAGTAGTTCGGGGTTTGCGTTTCTGCTCGGAATGCTGAACGGGGCGTTTGCTGTCGGAGTGCCTGACCTCACGAGTCATTTGGCAGAAGAAATGCAAAAGTTAGTATTGATCGATTTGCGACCAGGGAGTTCCTCTACTGACAAGTCCCCCCAGTCCAAGCAGGAACATTCCGATGGCAGTGTAAGAATCCCCCATTTTTCTCCTTAGGCTACAACGCTTTGTTTTGGATGTGCAATTGACCCATTTCTAGGCTCTGGCAATATATTGTCGGCTTCCTCACCGGCCTGCTCTTTCTTATTGCAGTCCTCTACGGCCTCACCGACCTCGACAGCCTCTTTGACACGGGCTACGTCTTCCCGCTCGGCGAAATCTACCGACAAGGCACGGGGACTAGCGCTGGCGCCATTGGATTGCTGTTCCTTGTTCTCGCACCTACGACAATTGCGTGCATGGGATGTTATTTGACAGCCTCGAGAGTAAGTGATGTCACCCATCTCCCGCTCCTCTCTTTAGGGACGATTCTTACTCATGGTGACCTAGATTTTCTGGACTCTGGCCCGTGACCGCGCCACCCCCTTCGCCGGCTTCTTCTCCAAGGTCTCTCCGCGTCTCAAAGTCCCTGCAAACTCGATTGTTTTGTGTGCGGTCATTTGCACCGTTCTCGGATGGTAGGTATCTAAGCAGCAAAAAAAGAGGCCTTCTTCCCACTGGCTTACCCGCTTTCCGCGCTCCGCCGCCCACCCCCCTTTTTCTCTCCCTCTCCTCTCTTCTTTTCTCTTCACTCTCCTCTTTAAGTATCTCCTTCTCTAACACACTGCAGCATCTACGTAGGAAACCTCACGGCCTTCAACGCCTTCACCAGTTCTTACATCGTCCGTAAGTCTCCCTTACCTTGCCCTTTGACCGCATCCAATTTTTTTGTTTTTCATGGAGAGTTTCTGACCCTCAAGCAGTCTCGATGGCTTCCTACCTCTCAGCGATACTGCCGAATCTGCTATGCAGACGAACGAAAGTTGTGCCAGGCCCGTTCTGGATGCCCGGCGCGATCGGCCTCGTCGTCAATGCCGTATCGTGTCTCTTCATGATGGCCTTTATTGTTATTTTCTGCTTTCCGGTGCGTTGCCCCACTTCCACAGCCCTAGATAGGGATGCTCACCGCTGATTCTTGTAGTTCGCCATGCCCGTCGACGCCGAGACGATGAGTAAGTCTTCTTCCAATCTCTCCCCAGAGCCGCTCCCGTTTTCTTTCCCCAGCTGATCTTCATACAGACTACACGTGCGTCATCTTCGGCGGGCTGACCATCATCATGGGCGCTTTCTACCTGCTTCTGCGGAGACAATACGACGGGCCGCAGGTGATTATGCTGGGCAGGAACGTGGAGATGACGGCGCAGGAATACAGAAACTCGATGGCCGCGTGAAACCCGGCACCGCGCACTGGACGACGACGGCCTCAGGCCAAGCCACTTGGGGTTTGACGCGTCTGGTCTGTTCTACCTGCGTTCCATTCCACAAATGCCATTTCTAGTCCCGGAGCCCAGTCTTCAGTTGCTCAAGTATATTCAACCCGGTTCACTTTTTTCTGCGCATTATTGGATTCGGTCCGTCTCAATGCATACCGCGGCAAGACTGGAACTGGCCAATGCCCGGAAGGCTGAAACGAGCTATTTCGAGACCATCGCAATTCATTTGTTCTTTTCGACAAAGACAATGAATGGTTCTGTTGTTGCAAACCCCGACAATTATATTCTCTGTCCAGCCAACTTTATTCCTTCGTTGTTTGGGTGGTACGTCTTTCTTTGTTCGAAAAAAACTGGATTGTCTCTTGTTTCTATATTTGTCGACGTGCGACAAATTGTCGATGAAATTCCTTATTATATCCCATGGCACATATAACTCTGTACAGGTTGCTCTTCGCTCTCTGAAAGTCTCACGTTCCCTGGTTTTATTTTTGGTTTCATTTAGTTGTGCGAATTCCATTTCCTCAATAGCCTGTCTTTTCTACATGAGTGCACCCAGACAATCGTCGCCGTTATCGGCATCGGCAGGCCTGGAGATACCCTGTCCAATCATTCAGTCATTGCATAATACGTCAGATATCAAGTCACAAGGAGCGGCGACGGACAAAGTGTCGCGGATGAACACCATTCAAGAAGAATCTACGGAGCCAGGAGACGACGACCATTGCCTGCCATGCTCGCATGCACCGTTGGCGGCTGCTGAGGCTACCCAAGACGACGACAGAACCAGTCAAGCTGATCCTGAAGCAATTTCCGAATATATTTTGAAGATCCGAGAGGCCATAAAGCTGCAGGGTCAGCGGCTGCAGGAGACGCAACTGGAAAGCGAGCAGCTCGAGAAGCATAAGCGTGAAAGTGAGAAGCTGGACTTCCACATCAAGGTTGGCGGCAAGAAGCGGCGGACGTCGTTGCTCTCAGGCGCAAAGGAGCGTGGAAGGAATCTGGTATCCGACGTCAAGGCCCGGAGTAAGAGGCTGTCGACTGTTTTCCCGGTGCCAACGAAGCGCGACACCGCAGTGGTCGAAGTGACATCGAAGGAACAGGAGCGCACGTCGATTCCCCTAGGCCTGGAAGGGACGGAGGGAGTCTACGGCCTCACATCTCAACGAATGAGAATATCTGCCATCTTCTCTCCCATGTGGACGAAGTTGCCCGGACAAGAACAAGAAAAGCCGAAAATTAAGAGCAAGAACGGTACACCGACGTACAGTTCCGCAGGAGATGGACGAACAGGAGCTAAGGGTGCCGCATCCGCGAAGAAATCATATGTTGAGGATGTTGATGAGACTGACAACAGGAGCGACAACGACAGCGAGCTCATGGGCCTCCTCTCGCCACGCTCAGTGTCGTCTCAGCCGGAAAGCTTCGATGCGTCCCATTTCTATACACCAATGATTCCATCTGGCTCGGGACGGGATTGTGAATACCGTCTTGATAGATCACGGTTCAGGCATGCTTTTGATTTGTCGAGAGAGTTGGCGTCGAAGAGCGCCAGGAAAGTCGGGTCCAACGTAGGTAATGTTCTGATGCCACGAATGAAGGGGCGCGGATGGTCAAAACTCCACAATTGATATAGAGGCTCGCCAACAGGATAGACACCGAACACGCTAGTGCTTGTCTAGTTTCCCTTGTAGAAGCCATTGGACTTTATCAAAGTATTTGGTACCAGTGAGGGTAGTATAGCGACAACTTCGGTTGTTCCAACCGAGCCTTCTAGGAGGGTTGTGTTTATAATTTGTTAGGTTAGGAGAAGAAGACAGTAGCTTGCCATGCATACTTTGCACCATGTTGCCGGCGGATCCATCGCCAGGAGGTGCCTTATTCGTATGTGCTTCGTGCCCATTCGCTCGTGTTAGCGAATCGTCATGCCCCCGTTTAGCAATCTCAGTTCAGATCTGATCTCTTTTAAATCCGGCCGGAATGGCTTTGTGGCCATGGCATGACCCTCTTTGAGAACGGCAAGCATCTCATGTCTCCGATATCCTCAAGCCACTGAGGTGTTGATCCCTGCTAGAAGGCCCAGGCATTTTCCCGAAATGGGTCGTGGCCTGGACTGAAATTGGCGCTAGGCGTTGCATCACTTAGTCGGCATTTGTGAGGAGACGCTGCGACTGGACAGGGAAGACTTGGAAAATACGAGGAGACGAGGGAGGGGAGCGATTCGTCTGCTGGTCCCCGAGACGGCACGAGAGCGTGTTGTTCGTCTTGTCATCGTGAAATGGGAATAGGTTTTCTCCTCAGAGCTGCCGCAAACTGCCTGCACATCCAGCAGGGCTGCAGGGGGCCTGTGCTATCGGCCTTTCGATTGTAAAGAGAGTTGCAGCGTATTCAAGGAGGAGTTTGACGAGGTTTGCGCATGTTGTTGGACCATCGTGGTCGGTTGTACGAACGGGGTTTGTGCTTGTCCTTGGCAAGAGCTTGGGGCGCAAGTGGGCAAACCTCTTTTGAAAAGGCCTCAACCTCCTCGCCCTCTCGCTGTTTCTTCCCAACTCGTCGGGCCCAATGACGAGATCGGTCCCCCTACAGGCCATCCGTGGCTAATCTCACGAAGTCACATTCCGTCTGATGCAGGGGAGCTTCCAGAATGCAATCAGCGTCACTCGAGGGCTCCAGCACAATCCGCCGCCCATATTAATCGAAACGTCTTTGTCATCAGCCAGCTCGTGTGACATGGATGGCCTCAGGATCTGTTGCCTTGCACGGGCTACAACGAGACGGCGATGGACAAAGACAACAATGAAGACGACGATGCGAGGGTCAGAAAGCCATACGGTGGCCCATTTCTATTCATCAACAAGACTTCCGAGACCCTGACCCGCAGTCGAGACGAGAGTTTCACTATATCATCGCATGTATCCAAAACACATCGCAAGTGGTTGAAAGAGGAGAAGCTCAGGCGATTGCACGCATCTGGAAGCAAGGCTGTGGCAGCCCAACGAACGATCCTGCCAGCAGCAACATCACGCATCCCGGGGGTTGGTCCGTCCAGTGATGCCTCAGGCGAGGGTCATCCGGGGCCTGCACGGGCGCCCGCCGACCCCAGTCAACTGCAACATGACGGTAGCGCCTCGCGAGCCACTGCACGCCATTCGGCGGGCGTAAGGATACGTGGTGACGAGCATAATAGTCAACCCGTTTACCCGTTTGAGGGCAGCCAAGAAAATATCGACCAACAACGAACGGTACCGCCTGAGGCATGGAACAGGCGTGCTTTGGCGATCAATAGACCCTCGTTAGGGTTCTGGAAGGGTAATTCTGACCCTTTCTCGGCAGCTGCGGTGTCTCTGGCTGCCCCGGACCATCATGAGATCATCCGTCTAGCTCAACGCTTTTTCGTGTTTGTGGCTTGGCCAGAAAAGACGAACGCACTGTGGAGAGCCCCAATAGGCGACACTTCTAGTTCCAACATTCATCTTGACCAGACTATTGCAGATGAAGCTGAAGTCCATGCCCTCCTTGCCGCTGGTTATGCTGTAAGTGGAGGGCTTTCGGTGCATGACTCCCAGAGTTCGAGGTCCCGGCAACTATTGCATAAAGCCAAAGCTGTGGCGCTTCTTCGAGACAGGCTGGCGAAACATGGCTTCTCCCCAAGCGTCACCACATTGATTCGCCTTCTCATTTCACTTGACTTTCACTCCTCCGATAACGAATCAGCACTGGTCCATTTGCGTGGCCTCTGGGCCATTGCGTCGACAACACCTGGATTTTTGCCGGATGCCCAAGAGCTGCTCTTGATCAGCGATGCGTGGATCTCCATAGCATTGTTGAAGAGACCTGAGATATCGCCGGAACGTTACGACCCTGGACCACGCTCACAGCATTCGTTCGACCAGGCTCTCCAAGAACTGGAAAATAAGCATGGCATTGCTGTGACAGACGGGGCCAAGAGCGCCACCCCAGAGGCTGCATTCGATCAAAGCATGTGGAAGATATTGGAGGGCGCCCACGAGATTGTCAATACGAAGAGGATAGTGGACGAGGTCACCGACAAGAAATTACGAGAGGAGGTCGTCCATTGGATGAACCGACGGAGCAGTGCTATTACTGCCTATTGCACGACAGGATACGTGAACGCGACCGAACTCGCACAATCCCCAGAGCTAGACGATGCAAAGAAGGTCAAGCAAACCTTGATGGCCGCGGCGTCTCTGTGTGGGATGATGTTTATGAACTTCAAATTCTTGGATCTGCCGCACAACTACAATTTCAGCAGGACGTGCCAGAAGATCGAGCAAGTTCTGACAAGTGTGTCGCAGGCATTGGCGCGAGAGATTGAACCGGCACAAGACGCCGATTACCTGTGGCTTTTGCTTCTGGTCGCCATGGGCAATGACATTTTCGGCGCGAGGGGTGATATACCGTATTCTTCGTGGCCGGCCACCGAGTTCCACCACGTCTGCGAGCGTCTCGGCATCATCGTCTCAGACCAGCAGCACCAGCAGTCAGTAACGACCATTTTGCATCGGTATCCCTGGTACCCGGAAACGGACGTCTTCCTGCTCGAGCTGCTGCGCCAAAAGGAGCCGCGCGTGAGTATCATCCCGTGGTCGAGATGGCGCGATATCCTGAATCATCCTTGACGAGGGCCATCAGTGGCGGGAGAAAGGAGAGGAGGAGGAGGAGATGGGACGAGAAAAGGTGGCGTTCTGTCAACCAGCTACTGGCGCCGTCGCAAATGTACGGAAAAAGTTCGTCCTTCTGCAGACTGAACCAAGCGCTCGCATCGCCGTGCTGTCTGTCAACCTGGCTTGACTTGGCATGCTTGTCCTGCTTTGCATACGACACAAGGAATTCGGGGATATATGATGACGCACAGGGTGAGGGAAGGGGGATAATTGCAAGGGCGAGCACACTGTTCAGCGGCATTGGGGATTATCTCTATCTATCTCTCTGTTCTGTACGTCTAGTAGCTAACAGCGTGATGATCAAGTATAATATCTAGCAGGCCAGCGCCTTGCTTCGAGAGAGAGAGAGCGCACGTATTAATATGGACAACGTTGATCAAACAGGTCGGGAAGGACATTATCACCACACATGCTAGATTCATATAATCAATTTTTAAATCCACAAATCCCTGGACCGTTCAAAGCGGGACGGTTTTTCATTTATATCTATGTATGGATGCCACTACCTCGTACTTCCTCTCTGCCGTTCCTAGCGGACAGCTTTAGATCTTTCACAATCCTCCTCCTCCTTCTGCTTCTGCTTCTCGTATCCCCTCCCCATCCTCGAGGATCCGAAAAAAAAATCATCTACATTTTATCTTCAAGGTAAAAGGTGCTCATGCGGTACTGGCTCTCGCCATCATACTGCGCCAGCTCCTCGAGGGCCTGCTTGCCCTCGCGCTCGATGGTTTCCTTGATCTCGGGCGTGCGCGGCGTGATTCGGCATTCGAACGGTTCGGGACGCATGTTCAGGCCGTTCCTGCGGGTAAAAGTTACAAAATGTTAAAAGAACCATCCACTCACAAAATATACAGACTCTGTACTGTACAAAACGAAGAAGGGTTGCGCCACGCATGCATGCATAATTCAAGGACTTACGTGTATGCAAAGATGTCGACGGGGATTTCGTTGCCGTCCTTGTCCAGCGCTTTCTGGATGTTGAAGCCCCAGAGCAGTCTTGCGACTGTCAAAAACGTGCCCTGTTCGGCCAGACCCTGGCCGCTGCAGACACGGCGGCCCCAGCCGAAGGTCATGTAGCCCTTCTCGTTCGGGAAGGGCCGGTGGAGCGGGTGGTCCTCGAAGAAGCGGTCGGGGCAGAAGCGGTCGGGCTCCGGGAACTCGTTCTCGTTGCGGTGGATGGCCCACACGTTGCCCTGCACCCAGGTGTTCTTGGGGATGTACCAGTCCTGCCATTTTTAAGCCGAGTATGTCAGTCAAGATAGTTCTGTTTGATAGTTACATGATTTCCAAATTTTCAACCACCGGTCGGCACTTACCCTGTAATAATCGTCTTGGATCGGTGCGTGTGGTTGGCCTCCGATGATCGCGACCGATCGCCATCTGAAAACCTCCTTCACGAATGCGCGAATATAAGGCAGGTCATCGTCCAAGCTGGGGCTTCGGTACGATCCGACCACACGATCAAGCTCCTCCCACGCCTTGGGCAGGACTTCGGGGAAAGCGCAACAGGCCAGGACGAAGGTGATGAGAGTGGAACTCGACGTGTCGCTGCCGGCGCCGAAGAGATTCCCGTTGAGCGAGGCAATTTCCATATTGGACAGATTATACTTGGGCGCCTCGTCGAAGATCTTCTTGGCGTAGCATGTATCGCCATTGTTCTTGCGCACGGCTTCTTCGGCCAGGGCGTAGTAGAATGAGCGACCGCGCCCCTTTCCTGCTCCAAGGCCGCACTTCCAAGGTGCCATCCAGTTGGGGAAGTAGGAAAGCCCTATTTTCGTGGTCAGAATTTGAATTTTGCTTTGATCTACCCGGGAAACTCCAACTTACAGGGGAATGTCTCCATCAACATGGGGAAAGTCTTGCCAGGCACGTTCAATTCCGCCGCTCTCTGCATGACAGCAATGACCTCGGTGATGATGGGATCCTCTTTGCTCTTGATGCGACGATTGAACCCGATAATGCTCACGACCGAGGCGGCGTACCGCTCGAAATGCATGACATAGTCGGCGGGATCTCGGACCAAATCCAGCGCCACGACTTTGCTCTCGTTGTTCTGGAATCCGCTGTAGCTGCGAACGTGCTGCAGACCGACGCCCATGTGGGTTAATTTCCGGTGCAACCGCCACCGCTCACCGTAGAACATGGAGACGATGTTCGACTGGCCCATGGACAGCTCCCCGAAGACGACCATGCGAGGTCGAGACGAGTAGATGCCCGCTCGCTTGTCCAACATCTCGGAAGCCGCCCAGGCATCGCAGATCCATACTGTAGGGCTCCGTCCGATCCAGTATGTGATGACGGGGGTTTTGTACTGCTTTGCGAGAGCCTCAAAGTAGATCCACGGCTTGTGGTCTGGTAATTGGAACGTGTTGCCCACTATCGGCCACGGAAGCGGTCCAGGAGGCTGTTTAAGGGGAACTTGTTAGCCTACTTAATTTCTGATTTTCGGTAAATGCTCGAACAAAGCAGATCGGGATGCAACTGTTCTTCTTACCATCTTCCTCCGCAGAAGGAGCATCCGGGCATAGTCGGCGACCAGAGCCAGCAACCCGAAAAAGGCCAGACCAATAGCAATTTGACTGGCACTAGGGGCCGCATTTTGGAGATGAAGCATTATAGCCATGATGAATCACTAGCTCTGGAAAATTGTATAGAAGTCTCAGACCACCTTATTGTTCAAAGTGATGTCAAGGCGGTTGTGGAGGGGAGCTGGGTTATATTGCGATCTCCGGACGGATTTGTACGAGGAAAGCTTGAACTGTCCGAAGATGCACATCCATGATATTAGTCCATAATCCATATCGGCATGCCGCCATGCGGTGTGTGAGGTCTCGGCATTTGTGCGAGGTTCACTCCTCATTCAGCATGTGTCCCACTGGGTGTGAGAGGGTCGAGGGCTTTGGTGGTTTTGGGAGAATGGACTTGTGTGCTTTTCTGGGCGTGGGGCTTTTGTCCGCCTGTGAGAAGTTCGTGACTTTGAGGCTGGTTGGAGCCCCATCTTCTGGGTGGCGCTACTTTGAGGTTTGGCGCAGTGTGCGGAGGAGGAAGAGGAGGAGGAGGGGACGGAGCAACCAAGGACGTAGTATGGAGATGCCAGAGGAGAACGAAGCATCTGGCCACCTTGAGGCCGGCACCTGGTCACATGTTTGTGGAGTATAATAAGCGAAAATGAGGGGAGACTTCAGCCTGATTGCCCCTCGATATCGAGTTTGGTCGCCTCTATGCATAACACTCTTATATATTTTATTGTGTTTTCGGGGTGATAGCATGGGTTGGATGTGACGGCTGCCAGCGTGCACTATGTAAAGACACCACTCTCGTCGACAAAGCAAGGAGTCGACCCATTGCTCACTTTCTGTCCCACGCACGTACGATGGAGATATGCTCTGGGCACAGGCTTTGATTCGGAGAATGGCCGATCGCCTGGACTTGACTCCTACGATACAAGTACCTAGGCATCTACATACCTAGTAGGTACCGCCGTCAAACACCCGCGCAGTCCATGTACAGACCCTGAACCTCTCGGCGCTGCCCCACCAAAAATCCAGGTTCACGTTATCTGTCTCCAATATACATCCTCAGTCCAGCCAGCAGAGGACAAATGTCTTGCTGTTAGAGTACTACTATCGAACACCGGATGAGAGCAATGTTCTTATTATTTGACTAAGGACTTTTCTGGACCTCCACGAAAGAGGGATGGCAAAGGACATGTCTTATGAATACGACCACAACTGCCCCACCCCTTTGTTTTTACTAAGTATTCGTCCCCCTTGTAACCGGAGATCCCAGATCCCGGTTGTCTTGGATCTTGCATAACAAATACCCAGCAGATCCAGGCCTCCATCCTAGCAATGCGTCGACGGACCGTGGGTTGAATGAGATTGTAGCCATCCAACCCCGTTTACCTTTGAGCAATGGAACAAGGAAGTCTAATGAAAAAGAGGAAGAAGCAGCAAAGCATGGCTCAGAGTGCTGTCCCTCCTAATTCTCGTGTATCTTGGCACATAATATACAAAAGAGAGGGCGAACTTGGAATGTTCAATGCCATCCAACCCGACGCACTCACTCAATTCTTTCTCTTACACACACATCCGTCTTTGTTTCTTTCTGCTCCTTTATCCGAACCTCTGCACCTTCTCGACGCTGTTCACCGAAGTCAGCATCGTCTTGCAGCACACGAAATGTCCATATGGGCCAACTGCTTACATGGAACCATTGCGCGTTGCTGTGGACGCATCGGCAACATGTGATGGTACCTCGCCTTTCGCCTCGCGGTCTTGCTTTGCATACAGCGTTCTCTGCGACGGCGGCAGAGAGTGGTCTGGCTCAAGTGGATCCACGTCAAACTTCAGGTTCGGATGGCCCTCTCGGTTCATTCTGCGTCAGAAAAGAACACCAAGTCAGTTTCCGTTCTGATGTTAAGTCCATGCCGAGCTCGGAAGGACGACTTACTCCACCTCGTTGCTGGCGCGTCTTGCAGCGATTTCCTTGGCCACCTTCATGGACTCATTGTTGAGGTTCGCCTCGGTCGTGTTGTGGTGCGTCGCAGCATGGTTTTCGCGGTCTTCCACCGACATGGCCCTTTCCTTGGGCTTGTTCTGGAAGTGATACATGGTGCTGTCTTGCAATGATTCTAATGTTGCGTGAGGTATCTGACAAGCGTGTGGTATTGAGTTCGAGGGATATCAAGGCTTTTGATCAGACAAAAGATATCCAATATACCTACAACTCATTGATTGTTGGCTCTTTTGAAGTGCTGCCATGCCGTGCAGTGGCCACGCCAGAAATTACATCACTACTGAAAAAAAGAACAGCATCGCATCATCATGTGCGATTGTGGCTGCGTGGCCATGTCGAAAGAAATAACAACTGTGAGCTGCTGTGGTCGAATGAGGAGATACACGTGCCTGCGACCAGACTACAGTGTGGACTGAGCACCTAGGGAAGGATGTACAGAGGCTTGCTGAGTCCCTTTGTTCGGTGTTAGGAGAGCATATCCGCTCAGATGCTCAGGGTATTCGTAGAGTATTTTGCCGAAGCGAGGCTGAAACCCGTCCGGCTAAAATATCCAGTCGAAACGATCACGGATCTGCATACCGTTGGCGTCACTTGCCACATCAGAAGATTCCTCGATAGGTAAAAGGCGCCCATGCTCTCCAATCGATTTGGTGTGGTGTGAGATCGAACGAGCTGGATCTGCGATATGTTGATGTCAGAACATCCTTGCTTTACGCCATCTCAAGATCAGGTCCGGCAAAAGTAAGGTGACCTTCACAAGCGACAAATTTAGAGACAAGCAATTTCTAGCCTCGCAATCACGAAAGCTTGCTTGCACTTGGACGTATCGGCACTCTGAAAAGCATCTGCAAGCAACCAGTTGTAAAGTGTGACTATACTCGACCCCGAACCTCCTTCATGGCACCCAATTGCTCTGGAAGCTGCTGGCTCGATGGAGGGGTTCTCCGACCAACTGTTGCGTCCACGGTTGTCTATGATGCAATGCTGAGCGCGGTCGGTACATTATTCAACGACCTACTTTTCGAGGAACGTCGAAACTGTCGCTCTCGCCGACCAGTGGCTCAATCACTTTCTCAGTCCAGTACTCTTGTTACTCATCAATACGAGCAAGGTGAAGTAACATCCATCGCGCCCATGTCTGGATAAGTACTTGGGTTGGTCCCCAGTCCAAGAGGGCACGTGCATGAATCAGCTCTACAGCGGTTGTGTGACAAAGCGATGGAACGTATGACAGTCAGGGAGATTTAGACATCACTTCGTCCAAACACGAGGAAATACGAATAAGATTCCGAAGGCAGATCGCCCAAACTTTGCCAAAATTCTCCGATATTTCAGGTCTTAGACGGAAGTGGTCGCCTAGTCAGACTGTTGAATAGTCTCGACATCGCTGTTTTGCAGATAGGCCTTAGCGGAGGTGCCAACGGAGGCCCAAAGCTTTACAGCATTCGACTCCCTTAGTCACACAGTACCGTCCCTCCGAAGAGGAGTAATGAGCCCCGATAGCAAAAGGTCAGGATGAAGGAGGACTCTTTCAACGTCCAGGCTTGCCTAGCTCAGAACAAAACCCTCATAGCCTTTGCGTGCACAAGACCAGCATTTCTCCCTATACACCGGCAAACCCGCCACATAGTTCAAAGCTTCTTTCTTCCCACCCTCACCAATCTTGTAGTACCAGCTCTGTGCTTCCTCGAACAAACCCTGCTTCCCCACCTCGTTGCAATGGCTCGCCCGTTCCTCTTCCGCTTCTGGAGTGGCATCGATCTTGGAGTACAGCTCGCGCCGCATGTAGCGGATGGTGTCAGTGATCCAGTCGCCCCTGAAGCTCCGCCGCCGAGGTGCCCGTCGCAAATGCCGTCGGTGCCTGTGGTCCATAGACGAAGAACATGTTTGGAAATCCGCTCACAGACATGCCGAGAAGCCCAGTGTGCGGAGACGATGTAGAAGATACAGCCCGCTAGAATCCAATTCCTGCGACGACGACCTCGTAGGGTCGCGGGAACTGACAAAGAGCCCATGGTCTTTGTTTCTAGCTCTTGCAAACCACGATTGACCTCAAGGCAGCCAGTGGGTCGGCTTCTCGGAACCATACGGTTTTCATAATCCTGGGAAGTCGTCCAGTAAGTACTAATGATGAGTTCCAACTACTGATAACAGGGCGTTGACAAGATACTTCACGTCCAATTAGTTCCGCCTCCATGGAAGGCGACGAAAAGTGTTTCGTTCGGTCGTTTTAGCTGTAGGTAAGCCGTGACTCCGTTTCTACCATATAGGCAGCGAGCGAAGAGGTGGAAATTTTGAGTTTCGTAAAGGCTTCATGGTCTCCCGCACCCCCACGGCGGCAAGTGATGACGAGCCTTCCAAAAAGGGTTGAAACATTGAGCACAATGCCTACTTGTCCTGATCTCTCATGTAACAGGTTCCCGACTCTGGCACCCTACAATGCCACATGATTTCGGGCTGGGATTCTCTTCCGTTGGAGGAAAAGCTGGCGTGTAGTACCAACCTGCCGTGAACGGCAACAGGGATTTCGACATCGGAATCTCGACATGAGCACTTTCCATTTCGATCTTCGGACCTGAGCGTGGCCCTGAGCCTCGCTGCTTCAACCTGAGATGCTCCTGCACGTACTGAGCACGGTGTAGTTCGGCCTGAGCAACGGATCAATCGCGCCCATATCTGGGCCAAGGGGCCCTGTTCCCGGCACCGGCCTATAGTTGCCAATTTATCGCCTCGGCTACCCATAACTTAGCAGCCGATTCTAGTTGAAGTCATAGTCACTAAAGTTCCCTTTCTCTAAATTGGGTTAGTCTGGGTCAAGCTTCGCCATCATCCGCACTCCCCTTGCAGCTCCGCATCCTACAGTTCAAAAATTAATGGAAAAAAAAAAGGAACTCCTCCGCGTGGGCTCGAACCACGAACCTCCTGATTGCATGACTTAACAGTCAGACTAATAGTGACCGTCAGCATCCCGTTTATTTGTTGTGTCAGGACCAGACATACCGCGCTCTGAACTTCTCGTTAGATTTTGAAGTATGTAGACAAACAGCCTTCACTCACAGCCAATTGCTAGTTATCTGTTAGCCTCAAGAACGGAAACAGTCTTTCATGGAGACAGGTACATACCGCCACGGGGGACTGAAGCTCTTACGAGTTTTTGTCGTAATTGTTGACCATGATTTCACCGGTCCGGATTATATAGTTTTTTTTTTGAGCGGGGTAAGTCACGTGCCATCTTCGGCCTTTGCTCCCACGACCAGCCATCGCTGCCCATCTCACTTGTGTTCGTACCCGGGCATCAAGCATATGATCGTGTCGGAGAATGGCAGCCTCGATACGGATAGGTGGTACTTCCTCCGAACGTCTTTTCTAAGTTTATGACTGTTCCCAAAATTATTACTGTCATCCAAATTAGGACGCAAGGGGTTGCCATTTTGGTTTTCCTGCAGACGTATATCTAACTGATCACGTATATAACAGCCGAGTCCTCAAGACTGGACAGGACAGCTATACAAGAGGTGCTGGTCCAAACTAGCCACTTGGATTCCAATCTCTCTTCTTCTCTTGCTGGATGGAGAAGATCAACATCGAGTATGCCGACTCGAGCTTCTTTACAGGCGAAGCGACAGATCCCCGGCCTCCCTGGTCAACTCCCATACGTCCGCTCTGAGATGATGGTCATCCATGAGCACCGATGGAGGTGCTTCGCCGTCAAACTCGTACAGTACCATCCCAGCTGGCATTGTACCCGGTTCCGCGAACTCCAACAAACCTTCCACAATTCGGTATCTGACTGAGCCCCGGAAACCGGGCAGTTTCGTATACTTGTTGTTCAGAGCCTCCCAGACGGACTCATCAGCAGCCTTTGTCTGTACACTGAGCAGGTACTTGGGCCGACTGGCGCTTCCCGTGTTGTCATCGATCTTGCCCACCGTCTCGTAGCTGCGCAGAGCTCCGTTCCAGCAGCTGAATGCACTTCCCATCGACCCGTCTGGCTCGGGAGGTAACAACTTGGAAGTTCTGGGCATGTCATCGAATTGCTTGCTGGTCAGCCAGGCCAAGTCGCTCAGCTTCACCAAGGCGAGGTTGGGCCAGAGTGTCTCGACAATGCACTTCTCTGATGCGGATGGTGTGACGCGCTCTGCCCATTTAGGGTCCACGTAGGTGTCGGCGGTCTGATCAGTGTTTTTGTATCGAAGGAAAAGGCCGCCGTTGCCGGGACAAGCCAGGACATCCACCAGATGCTCTTCATACCACGCGTCAAGCAGCGAGGGAGGCAGGTTTTTATTCAGGATGCTTGTGGTTACCCATAGCAATCCTGGAACTGGGCCTGTCGATGTTGCGGCGGTCGATGTTGACTCTGCAGGAGAGGTAGGTGAGGACATTGTGTCTTCTTTTCCCAAAAACGTTGTACTGGGCCAACGATCCGCTGATACGAAAACCGTTACGAATGTCACAATCGAAGAGCTTCTCCACTTTGAGAGAGGAATGGCAGCTACCTTTATGCATTGGAGGATTTGTCACTATCCACGTTGCCGAGCCCGAGAGATGCTCCGTGCAAGTCTCCCACTTGACCCTCCCTTGATCGAGTCACAGCCCATCCATCATCTAGCCGACCCGGGGAAAGGTGAACGGCATACTCGTACGCATCACTGAGAGGTCCCCTCGCGATATAAACTTCTCGCTAAAACCAGGACGTGCTTTGCCGGGATCTCACGTGCATTGCCAACACATCAGTGCATCGTTGGCTGGCCTTTCCTGCCCCTCTCCGGCAAAGATCAAGCGAACCAAGCGGACCAAGCGTGCAGTAGCTCCAGAGGATTGGTCAAGTTGCATTTCAAGTGGATTGGTTAGTCCCACGACTGGACAAGTTCTTCACACGGCAAACGGCCTCAGGTTTGGTGGTTTGTTGGCAGTCCAAGACCTCTCCGCCCGGGTGACAAGATAGTGGTTGAGCTATTCAACGAAATAACGACCATTTCTTCGAGTCTCGCTGCTGATTGTCCATGACTGAGAGACGTCGGCACGCTTTCTCAGCGGCCCTATGATAAAGCAAAAGAAAGCCCACCCTGCTCTTATCAGCTCAAGTCGAAGTAGAAAGGTTAAGTAAAGGAGGATTTCATGAATCGTAACGCTCGATACTAAGCGAAGTCAATCCAAACCCAGTATTTCATCCACCTGAACCCTTCTTCGAGGCGCCCAATGTGCTTGAGCTGATTGTTACTGTCCCTCACCCCGTCCTCCGCCTTGTTGTCGCTCGTCTCTTGATCTTGATCCCGTCCTTCTTGTTCTTGAGCCTCGCGCCGGGCATGCGCTTCCAACTCCTCTCTGATGCGACTTGAATTATTCCTCCCCAACATGACGGCCCCGACCTCGACATTCCGGATGTTATACTTGTCCGATTCCTGTTGGACGACCTGGTCCCACATCTTTTTCCAGCTCGCCTCGTTGTGCCTGTATCGCGATCCGCCGCCCAGCCGGCGGGGAAACTCGCCGGGGTTCTCGTTGCCCACTTGACACCCACAGATCAACACACGACCCTTCTTGGTGGTGAGTAGCTGCAGGCACCGGCGCGCCATGGTGACCTGCTGGTCCCAATCGAAGAGATGAAAGACGGCCGTGGAATGCAGGATGGCCACGCGCCCGTCGCACTTTTTGCTCAGCTCGCTCTCACTCGAAAAGTCGAACACGTCGGCTGGGGCGATGAAGTGCTCTGCGCGCGGGAACTTGTCCTCGTCCCGGAACAGCTCGTAGCCGACCTCGATGAACTCCGGGCGCAGGTCCCCGCCGTAGATGCGGCTCGCGTCCCCGCCGTCGAAGATCAATTTGCGGATGTCCTGTCCCAAGCAGCAGCCCAGGTCGAGGAAGATCCAGTCATTCTTCCCATCACCACCGTCGTCGTCGTCGGCCACTGCTTTCTTCTCCTTGTTGGACAGCATCGGCACAATATAGCTCTGGTACAACGGGTGACTGGACAAGTCGAGCTCGAGGAACCGCCACCTCCCCAAACACGGGTAGGGGTGTGACTTGAAAGCCCGGTCGCGCACCGTCTTGATGTGCTCCTTTTGTTCCTCGGGCGGTATCCCCGCGTACTCGGCTAACAAAGTCGCGATCCCCGCCGGCACCTGCTCCAGTTCCGGCTTGTAGATTTCGTACGGGTATGCCCTCGACCCCGACCCCGTCACGCCGCTACTCGCTGGCGGATTGTCAGACATTTTCAGGAGGAAAAGATCGGCCTGGTGCTGTGTGTGGTGAAAGTGCGAAGCAGAGGCTCTAGGTTGTTTGTAGACTTGATGGGATATTTGATTCAGACCGAGAGGCTTTTTGAGATTGCTCCCGAGGCTTTGAAACGTATTCGAACGATTCAGTGAGTGAATGAGTGATAGTAGGCGAGGCCAGGCAGACTATATAGCCTTTCTGCTCTCCAACATACCACGACGGGACTGGTGACAAGTAGGGAGATGTCTTGAAAGAATCAACTCGAGGAGTAAATTGAATACAGTCCTCTCTGGTTGAAATACTAATTAAATCATTGCGCGTCCCCGGGGAAAGCTAGATTGGTACGGGACCGGGCCGGTTATGAGGAAACACCTGCGGAGAACAACGTGGGCAGCACGGATTTTCCGTGCCTGTAGGCCCCGGGGTGTACGTAGGCTTGCAAGAAAGTCGTTTGAGTCATAGATTGCGCTCCCCTTCAACCACGACTCTCCGTTCATTACCTGGCCGCGGGGGCCGGCACCGGCTCGCCGCATCGGGCAAATATCGCGAGGTCTGTTTGGACCGGTCTCCGTATTGAGCTGCGCGCAGGCGGCGGTTCGGTGTTTGGTGGGTGGTGATGGTGGTGCGGGTGGTGGTGTGAACGTGGAAATACGGTATCTTGCCTGCAAACGACCTTAAACGCCGAGGTGATTCCCTGGTGGGGGAGCCATGGAAATTTCGCCGGGCGGATGTATTGCCCTACTTGCCCGTGGTCTACTCGTACTTCTCCTGCAGATTATCCTGTCATGTCGTCAGGATATGGAATATAGAGTAACTCGGCACATATCATACCGATACCTGGACTCGTAGGTCATGTTTGCATTTTGCAGCTTTGTGACCTGGGGTGGGTTAATAGGGCATTGGTGAACGGGCTCAGTGCCTGGATAATGTGTCCAGCTAACATCCTCAACTCCAACGTCTAATCTAGCTCTAAAACTCGCTCCAAGAGCAGAAAGAAAGAGGAAACGTCTATAGAGAATTTGCCGAGCCTGAGTTCTGGATTCGTAATTATGGTGCGTGAGTCATAGTATACAAATGGTACATTAACGATCGCTTGCTCTCCTCAAAGCATATGAACTCTCTGTCCCGCCCGAGAAAAAACACCTTGCCGCCAAAGGTACACAAGTGAAGTCTGTAACAAAGAGAGAGATTCGTTTCGTCGCAGTCGTAAAATCGATCCAGATCTGGTAGGGCCCGCTAAGCTCAACCCCAAGGCCGTCGTCCTTCCTGTGAATGTTTAGATGTACGTACATTCCACCTTGTACGCCATCCCAGCACGCGTCTTGAGAGGGAAGCCTGACCAGATCTCAAGTGTCGTAGTGTAAGAGAAAAGGGGCTTCCGAAAAGCTCCAAAGAAAGCTCCATCCTTTCCCAATGAAAGACGGGGTTTTGTTGTTTACGTCTTTCACATCATAATCGCCAACCATTCATACCCTGCTGGTTGTCCTCTTGGCCTGCAAGTTCTTCCAGCCAGGCACAATCAACGACTCTCGTTATGTCCCAGCGTAGGGCTTCATCCATTTCGAGACATCCACTGACCAGCTCGTGAGCGTCGGTTCCGCCTTTGTCCGAAAGGACTGCACGATTCCAATCTCCACCCAGAATAGCCATGACGACGCGAGGCTGAAAGGAATTCTGGAATGGTCTCGAGCCTACAATCATGCTGTAGACACAGACGCCGTAGGCCCAGATGTCAACCGCGGGTGACACAATGGCACGCTCCACGGAAACATCAGCCTTCATTCGGTCCGCGATACGCAGGATCTCCGGAGCGGCATACTCAAGACTGCCCCCTGCGAATGCAGACGTCGAGGTGTCCGCTGGGCCGAAGGGTTTCCGGGGAGGCCGATCGGCATCGTTGAACTCAGGGCTGGGAGGGCCAGACATGCTGTCCGTCGATAGCCACTCCGCCATCCCAAAGTCACAGAGACGAAGAAGACCAGGACCTCCATCAATGCTGGGCTCTATCAGACAATTTTCTAGCTTGACGTCACGGTGTACAACGCGCGCGTCGAGGTGGAGATAACGCAGTGCTGAGGCAAGCTGGTAGGAATAGCTTTTGCAAAGCTCCTGCGGAACCCCTTTGCGGTTGGTCCGGACAAGGTCGAAGAGCGTTCCTCCTGTATTCAGTGGAATGAAGCAGAAAGTCGCGTCGTCCAGTTTATAGACTGCCTCAAGAGGGAGGATATTGGGATGGTTGAGGAAGCGCCATAGCTCAACCTCGTGTTCAAACTCGGCCTGGGCTTGCTCATTCTCCGTTTCATTTTTACCCTCGATCTGACGACGGACAATCTTGACAGCGAGTATGCGGTGCTTACTGTCTTGAAGTTGTGTCACTTGTCTAATCGTGCTGAAACCGCCATATCCAATCTGCTTGCCTAACACGTAATCATCCCCAATGGTCTGGCCCTCAGAGTCGCAGGCGAGGGGTCCTGCGTCAGCTCCCTCCCCATTAGTCCCGCTACTCATAGAAAATGCCCGCAAGTATGAAGAGGCTGCTGATCTAGGTGATCGTGCAGAGCCAGATGTATCCCGCCGAGATGCCCGACCTGCGATATCTCGCATGCTTTTGTTGCGCAAACTCCCTGCCCGCGCGAAGAAGTCTTGCGGAGAGGCGCTGGTGTCGCCTTCTCGCCACCTCTGTGATGCAGTGCGTCGGAATTGTTTGGGCTCGTCGTAGGAGAAGGCCTGATTCGCGATGGGCGAGGCTGCCGCGGGAGAAAGCAAATAATTGTCGTCCTCAGGAACCGCAATGGCTTGTTCATCAGAGGACAAGGCAGAGTCAGAGAGCATCGACATGGTATGCGGCAGATGTGGGTGGGATTCTCGTGCCAGAGCATCCACAGTGGTCTGTAGTAAAGGAAAGCGGCCCTCTCCAACACGGGCTTGTTCTCTCGGTGGGCTTTGCGAGTATCTGGGCAGGTGCCGGCCTGTGATAGGATCATAGTGTGACCGCTCTGACTCACTGTGCGCCCTGGACGATTTCTGTGCTTCGGCCATGGCTTGAAACAAGGAGCGCCCGCGCTCACGAGCCTTTGACGGCTTCTCTAAGGGATCTTGCATGCTCTGCCGGTGTCCCGAGTCTAACTTGATCTCATTGTTGAAGCTGACGGATGGGTTCCGCCGTCGCATGAACTGGTCTATGTAGTTGGAGGGGCTTGTTGAATCTCTGATCGCCGTGGGAGATTCGTTGATTGCCGGTATGTCCACAGGAGGGGTCGCCGTTGCGCGAATGGTGTCTTGACTTGTACCCGAGCTCTTGAACGATGGGCGGGATGGTGCAGAAGGCCTGTCTGAGGAAATATTCGCCTCGCCGGAGATGTCGTTCGGGGGAGAGTCATTGTGGTTGATGTCATGTTCATGACTTGATGAATTCAGGCGCAGACTATGGAGAAGATGGCCGGCGTCAGCCTGCGCCATTCCGCGCAAGAGCAATGTACACCGGAAGATGGGCTTCAGCTAATCGGCAGCTCGAAATCGCAATTCTCAGTGGTGACTTCTCGGATGCGAGATCTGAGAGACCTACGGGTCTCAAAAAGCCGGCGAGCTGACCATAGGGCAGAGGGTCGTGGTGGTGAACGCATGCACGGACTGAGGAAAAAGTGGTGGTGATGGACCTTGGTGTTGCATTTGCACGTGGGGCATCGAGGCTGGAGAGTCGCGCAAATCTTGGTCTGGTCACTGGTGGTGAGAAAAAATATTGGCAAGATTGGCAGGCATTCACACCGAGGTCAGGCACTCAGACGGAGGTATTAGGCACTGCGGCGGCCTCCTATGGCTAAAAGAGCCTAGGACAGGCCTGGCCCGTAGCGGAGGGTGCCGTATCTATCAGAGCGGCGCAAACCCATCGGTCTCTTTGTGCCCTCATTTATGTCCAAAAAGGACGAAAAAGCAACAAAGCGGTCACATGCAATGACCGAATGAAAGAATTTATACCGAGTACGAATAAGAAAGAAAACCTTCTCCGGACCTAATCAGGGCATTGAGCGCTATGAAATGCCATCACGACAACCACAAACTGTGTGGGCATCTCGATAATTGGTGGCCTGCCTCTGGCCGCAAGCTGCAGACGGCTGAGACGGGGCGGGTGGTGGTTCTGTGACCCCCACAAAACGTCCTCAGACCAAGACCCTAGGCCTAGTTGGCGGGCGCCCCAAGGTACCACCCAAAAAGCAGGCGCCGGGAGCCTTTCGAGGGGCGCTAACCATGCTCGCCAAATCGACTCCAGTCTCCCACGGCCTGGCAGGCTGGCAGGCTGGCACCCACTGCCGCCCGAAATACCCAACGCCTAGAATCTTAGGCTGCCCTGGTCCCTGAAAATAATTCGCCCGTTCCTGAGGGTTCCCCTTCCACTTTCCCCCATGTCGATTCAGCGATTCATCAATCCCGCCCTTGAGCAAGAAACTCCGTCTTCCGACCCTGCACCAGCCAGCACCAGCCTGCACCTCCACCCATTGGCACCCCAGCCTGAAACAACTTCCTCCTTTCCCTTTTCGCTCTTTTCAATCATGGCCTGCTTTTGACAGGGGAAATCAGGGCTTCGTTTTTACCCACCTGCACCGCTCCTTCATTATCGTCTCTTGAGTCTTGACTCTATCACGCCGTTTCCACACGACAAAAACGTTATTTTCAGTACCCCAGCACTATCTGCGCCCTGCGCACGCCACTCTCATTCCCAGGATTCCTTACTCGTCTCTCCTCCTCGCTAATCAACGCGTCGCTGCATTCGTCGTCGAGCACAAAGGTGGCCACCACTGCGCCCTCACTGTCCTTACCGCGTCTGGTCTCGAGGATACGGCTCTGACGGCTTCTCTCCTTCGCCCCGACCCTCGAATTGCTGCACACTTGAAGAATTTCTCTTTCGCACCCGTTCTTCCTCAGTCGATTTCAAGTGTCTCTATGCGACCGGTATCAATTCGAAGCCCGTCAATTCTGGTGGGCGGATCTTCAGCGCGACACCCAGTCTTCCCGCATAGATGGTTCGCGCAATGACCACCTTAAAGCCACAGCTTGTCAGAGCTGGTAAGCTCACATCAATGGGAATGCCATCGCTGTGACGAGTCTGCTCACCATGTCATGTTGCTAGATACCCTTGATTTACAAGACCACTCCTCGCCGTCTGCCAAAGACCACTCGAGACAACCCGCACACCCTTCACCATATGGTTATGGTCCCGCCGCTCCACATCAAGCCCAGGCTTTGAGACATGCCGAGCAAGAGTCATATCAGGAGCAACATACAAGTCCAAGAGCCTCGGAAGAGAGAGCCAATGGCGGTTTCCAACAGTCGGAGCAACATTTCTATGACGATCTAGACGACGACCGAGACGATGAACATCCAAACACCCAAAATGCGACGAATGGAGCTGGATACCATGGGCAGGACCTGCACGAAGGGGATGGTGGTGACTCCCAGGACGAGGACATGGACGACGACTTGATGGACAAAATCTCGAGCTCCCCTTCAATTGAAGATGGTAAATACTCCCTTCCCCCTTGGCCGCCCCGGGTCGATTCTGTGGATTTTGAAGCTTCCCCGGCTTCACTATCGACGCCGACTCGAGGCGATTCCTTATCTTCGTCACCATTCTCTTCTACCCCCGAGCATTTCCCTTTGCACCCTTCGCAATCGTGTCACGTCGCAAGTCATCATGGTGAGTACGTCCAGAGTCTGGGTCAAGCGACATCAAGCCGGGACCTTGTGGATGAGCGGGTCGAACCTCTTAAGATCTCGTCAACTATGCTGGGACTGGGCCTGCCAGCACAGCAGACCTGCATTCCACTGTCCGAATCTCAGGAATTTAGGCGGTACTTGTTGCCGCTCGACGACCCTCTCTTGGCCTGCACGGTCGAGGACTACGAGGACGATTTTCTCTACGATGAGGATGACGAATGGGAAGACGAAGACTCTTGCCTTCCCGGGCTCGAGGAAAGTTCTGATGATGACACCGACGATTTTCAATTTTCTGTCAACGAACGCTTCATCGACTCTGGTTGGGGAGGAGAATGCTTACGAGAAATAGAGGATATCGACTTCGAGTTTGTGTATGCGCTCCACACTTTTGTCGCGACGGTTGAGGGCCAGGCCAACGCCACTAAAGGCGACACCATGGTGTTGCTTGATGATAGCAACAGTTATTGGTGGCTTGTTCGGGTCGTGAAAGACAGCAGCATCGGTTAGTCGAATGGACCTACGCAAGGCTTTGTACACTCATCGTTGATTCAGGTTACCTACCCGCCGAACATATTGAAACACCGACCGAACGACTAGCCCGACTCAACAAGCACAGAAATGTGGATGTACGTGGTTTCTTATCTATCTCGTGGTGATGCTGATGTGACGATAGTTGTCGGCGCAAATGTTAGGGGATAACCCCGAAAAATCGAAGAATCCGCTGAAAAAGGCGATGCGTCGACGGAACGCCAAAACAGTCCAATTTGCGCCTCCCACTTATTACGAGCCTTCAGACTATGAGTACTCTGACGAGGAGGAAGAAGGCGAGGACGGTCAGCTCGACCAGATTGGGATGGACGCTTCTGACGATGGCGATCACGCCGAAGATCAACAAGAGGCTTCTGCGGCTTCGGCTGAGACTCAGGAACCGCGAGAAGGCGTTGCTGTCAATGGTATTCAGCGGGTGACCAGTAACGACAGCTTGAAGAATGAGACAGAATCAAGCCCCGTTAAGGTTCAACAGCCACAATCCAGCTCAGAGCCGCGGCAAACGGACGAACTTGTCAAGCGGTCGAGGAAAGGGGTCGTCAGAAACACCGACTCGTTTTTCAAGGACGACTCGGTCGAGACGAAAAAGATCTCGCTAACACCGCGGTTACTGCGAGGTGATTCCGACTCTGGTGGGTCCGCAGAACAGGAAGTCCGCGAACGTCCAAGCCTAGAGACCTTCGATAAAATGGTCGGCGTGGATGACAAGTCAAAGGAGAAAAAGAAGGAGAAAAAGGGTATGCTCAGCGGGCTCTTCAAGCGGAAGAAGGGCACGCAACAGGAAGAGAGCGAAAAGATTTTGGAAGATCCTCGTCAATCTCCAGGATCAAAAGACTCTTTGGAGTCCTTGACCATGAAGCCCGACTCTGGCCCTGAACGCAGGCCGAGCAAATTGCAAAAGACGCCGCCAGGCACGTCACCGAAGGCGTCGCCCACCGAAGCACGACCTCCGCAACAGTCACTCGGACAAGCACCTCCAGCCCCGACGGGGCCGGCGCCTGAACCACCAACGGTGCGCAGAGTCGAGTCAGAGGGTCAGCAGCCCGATGCGTCGGTGCAATCCCAGCCCGCACAAGTCAACCGCTTCCCTTCTCTTACCGAAAAGAGAAATATATTCGCGCCAGTCGCAACAGCTCTCAAGTCTACTCCTTCAATGAGTTCAGACAGTGGATCCTCCATCAAGCCAATCTATACGAAGCGGACAAAGGAGCGCTTTGCAATAGATGAAAGTGATTCAGAGACAGATGACAAGGATGCAAAAGTGGATGAACGAGGTCGCCAAAGCGTTTCGCCTGTTACAGAGTTGCAGGCGCAGCAGCCTCGGTCAGACTCGGCTGCACAAATTTCAACTGCTGCAGCCATAGTACCTGGGAAATTCGGGGACAATAAATTCCAGGCTCAGCCGCCGGCAGTTTCGAGTTCGTCCCCGCTACCACAGGAGAATAATCCATCAGAGTCGGAAGGGACTGCTAGCACTTCGAAGCCCTCGCCTTCGACTACAACACATACACCGTCAACTTCTCGGTCGACACCGACGTGGTCAGACGCGTCGTTAAGATCATACATGGAAAACAGCCAAGACATCAAAGACCTTTTGATCATTGTGCACGACAAATCGAATGTGACTCCAGTGGGCCCGGACCATCCCTTGATGCACAATCTCTTCTTGGATGAGCGGACGAAGCTGGCTGAGATGCAGTCACAGCTTGACACGATGCTGATGTCCTGGATATCGAAGAAGAATGCGACCGTAATGCCTCCAACGACTTGATCAACGCCGAGCTTGAGCGTGGTTGATTTTCATATTGACTATTGTACAGTTTCGATTCTCGGCATGTCAGAGCGGCTGCTCGGCATTGTACCATTAGGGCCTGGTGTTCTTTTATATTGAATTGTGTCACGACGATATACTTAAGAAAGAATGAACGATGAGCGACCAGGAGATACACATAAGGTTATGCATGTGTACAGGCATTTCTTCCGCGCCAGGGTGGGGATGGTCTATTCTATTGGAAAGGTGGGAAAAGGGGGGAACAACCGCGGTATGGATGGAATGAGGTTTCATTTGTGGATATTAACTTTCAGTTGCCATGCCATAGCTTCGACTTGAGCCCCGACTGATTATTGGGTGACAATACGATGTCGGTTGTGCATGATGAAAGATGTACTCGTCGCGTCAAGGAGGAGTATCCCCGAGGGAAAACCATACCTTCAGAAGCGCTCTGCTCTGGGTCGTCTTGTTTCATGCGCCCATACGCGAGTCGGACAGAACTACCTAGGTAATTACTGCTTTCCAGTAGGTTATGCTGGGTGCAACCCGTCCAATCGTCTATCCGACTCGATCGTCGCTATAAAAACACAAAGCTCCCCAACCACCTGAGGCTTCGGGCACTCTGCAACAGTCACCGCGAGATTCGGCCTCCCTGGCTGCGAAATCACACGATCGGCTGGCCCGCTTGTCAGGATCCTGGTTATCAATATGTTCTGATGTTTCCCATCTCCTTAGCTTGCAAACACTCTCCAGTCACTTTGATATCGTGGGCGTGCCCTTCTGGAAGACAAGACGGCGCCACCTGGACCATGAGAAATTCTGCTGTTAAGGGTGCAATTGTGATATAGGTTCTGAGACAGTAGAAGTCTTTGTGAGTGATATGGAAGAGACAGTGGCTTGCGGTGGAAATATGCGTTTAGCCTCGCGCGGGGGGTTTCAGCCTTGTATGGCAGTTAGACTCGCCGCTTGGCACGTGGTCAGGCACGGTCATGCCACCGACCGTTGATGTTCTCGTCTGTTGTCGACGAAGCGGAGCTAATAGTACGACTTGTGCACCATAGCGTCGAGGACTCTTTCTAATACTACCTACATGTCTACCGTAGGTTCGTAGGTACAGCAACAAACTCGTACCTTTCCCTCTGCATCTGCTGTGTGGGTGTGTTTGGTTTATGAATTGACGAAGCTTCGCGATTCTCTGCTTTTCTCCGAGTCCCTTCCCAGAAACTATTTTCCAGACGCCCACGGAAAGTCGCTGCATCCCTCCACAGCCAAAAGCCAACCCCACTTGATGGATTCCTTGCTACAGCATGTCTGTTACGGTACGTTCCCCCAATTCCGCCCGTGCCTATACCACGATTGTGTGCTCATTGGCAATTTGGGTTAGCTCCATACAACCCACGGTGATCTAAAGGTCGAAATCTTCTGCGAAGCCGTACCGAGAACGGCGGAAAATTTCCTCGCACTATGCGCCTCGGGGGCATATGAAGGGACGCCCTTCCACCGACTGATACCGGATTTCATGGTTCAAGGTGGCGATACGTCCTTGTCCTCGAGAAATGCGGGTACAGAAAAGCCCGCCATAAAAGGAGGGGAATCAATATGGGGAGGATATTTTGAAGACGAGATCAAGGTCCCTGCATTGAGACATAGCGGGCGAGGCATGGTGTCGATGGCGAACAAGGGCCCGGGAACCAATGGAAGCCAATTTTTTGTGACGTTCAAAGAGGCGGCGCACTTGGATGGCAAGAACACGGTTTTTGGAAGGGTGATTGAGGGGGCGGAAGAGGGTGGCACGCTGGATAAGATGGAGGCCGTGGAGGTGGACAAGAAATACCGTCCCAAGGAGAAGATTGTGCTGGAGAAAGTGACGATCCATGCGAATCCTTTAGCAGATTGAGAATCAACGGGGCGCAGATGAACATGCCGTGAGACAGACGAACTTGAAGCGATATGACCTTGACGAGGTACTCGTCTGCGGCAGCTTCCCACTGGATGGACCAAATGTACTGCCAAAGCTAAGGCTCAGGAAGAGAATGCAAGACGACGGCTGGAGAACGAAACGAGCCATTGAACAGCAACTTCCAACTACGAATCCAACCATCCAACCGCAACTGAGATGGACGGTAATGGTCAAGTACCGAAGAACGACCGAGCGACAATTCAACCTGCTGGGTCGCCAAATAGGGCCCCTTTTGGCGTTTGGCGTTTGGTGTTCGACCTCTCAGAATGCGCATCTACTCACTCTCTACAGACAAGACTTCGGTGTTAAATGCTCATCCCTCAGACAGTGCGGTTTCGACCTCTTAGGGGGGGCTCTTCCTGTTTTGGCCTACCTTGATCCAACGGAAAGGTCGAGTATGCACCCCGGAAAACCCGATCCAAAAAGAAGCATGGCGACGGACTATCGTATCTCAAGTTCTACTGGATCGGATCGGAGAAGTAGATTCGATCCATCGGGAACCAAATATTCCCATAGGGGTACCCGATTCGGGTCGAACAAGTACCCTTCTAGTCTCACCTGGGGACAGCTGAGAAAGGAATATCACCACATGTTTTAACGTCGGTCGGACACGCCTCTCGGCCGATGGATGTGCGTGGCTGGCGGGCCCCGGGCCCAAGAGCATGGATGTGGTGTTGGCAAGCGTATCCGCTGGCAAAAATGTCAGCCGCTCTGTGGACGGACTTGAAGAGTGGATGGTGTCAGGCAACCCGAATTGGCATGTCGAAGGACGGGATGCGGAGGCGGTTAGTGCAACACGAGAGGATGAGTACTTGACGGATTTATTTGTGACTTGGTGGTGAACCTCGAGGATCTTTACTACCTACTACCTTGCAAAATTAATGACAGTAGAAAGGGAAAGAGATGGCGAGATGCTGACAAGGTGGAAGACGCAGGATTCTCGCTGAATTGCATACCTGGAGATGGATTTGACGCAACCCAACAGCCACAACGGGTGACGAAAGACGAGTGGAAGAGGATCCGCCTCGCCGCCCAGGCCGCTTAGCTGGCAAGATGCAGCAAGATGCAGCAAGATGCATCCAGGTGGGGGCGCAACAATCATCATTGGCGACTTGCAATGGGCGGCGCCTTTGACGATGCGGGTGGCTCGTCCTAACAGCTGGGATAAGGCTGAGGCGCCCTGCCATGAGAAGGACCAAAGGTACCTAGGTATTGCTGGTGGTCCAAGACAAGCGGCAATACTGGCGGCGACTTGGTGGAAAAGAATTACCTTGATGACTATGGCTGCTCCAAGTTCCCTCGAAACATTCCCTGCTTCCATAGTGCTGACTGGTGAGTAATTTTGTAAGTCGTCCATGTCATCACCCACCAGCGGAGAGCTTCGCATCATGGAGATGGAAGGGCATGGCGCAGGGACACGGGCGTGAGTGAGCTCTAGTTAGGCACGGGAAATCCCAAGGAGCACTGGAGGTGGCTCGGTGGGTGGGTGGGCAATGATAATATAGAGGCTGATTCTAGGTAGGCTCGGTAGGTGTGGTAGGCTTTGGGGTCTAGATCTCTAAACAGCATCCCTAGGAATTCAACAGGGTACCTGGCGAGCTGGCGAGCTGGTTGTCCAGTGCCTGCAGCGTCTGCAGCGCCTGCAGTGTCTGCGTGTTTTGCGTGTCCTGCGTCTTGTTGCGTGGAGCTTCACGTAATAAGGAGCCCCGACGCTCTACCGACCGACCGCACTGACCTGAATTGCACTGACTGCACTATTCTCCTCGTATATTCCAAACGTCTGCGCCTGGATCCAGCCGCGCTCATCTTCCAGCTCATCACTCCCATCTTCACCTCATATCTCATCGCTGTATATCCTTGCGAATTACCCATCATCAACTCGTCGTCTCTCGCTCCCACCCCTCCCCGCTGCCGAACCTGGACTCTGCGCACCTCTGACCCGCCCTTGTCATCACCATTGTTTGGCCCCCAACACCACACCGACGTCCACTATTGATCGTACGACAAAGAGCCCATAACAACGAATCCCGCATTGTTTCTGCATGTAACATCCTCTGGCGCCTCATGGGCCTCACACTGTCCCTCAGAAACAGGCCGCCGCAGTTCTCCAATCCCACCACTTCTCTCCGAGGCCGCAGTCACCGGACGATCTCACTCCCGCCCCGTGGTAATGGTCCCAACATAGGCTCGAGCTCAACGAGAAGATGAGCGCTTTTGTGCGAGTATCTGGCCGCCCAAACACAAACTTTCTGGTCGGATACCCGGGGATCTCTGCGACTCTGGTGAGTTGGGATGCCCAAGAGCCAGACGCCGCGTTGCGCCTGATGCCCATAAGGTTTCCATGCTGACATGTATTTCCATATAGCCTCGCATTGAAGGGACTGTCGAAATACGGCCTGGCGTCGGCATCTCAAGTCCCGTCAACGTCTCCATCGTCACAATCTGCCTGCAGAGAAGAGAAAGCATCCACCCCCATGCGGACTCGGTCACCAAGAAACACCTGGCCGCGCCCAGGAAAGAGTCGACGGAGACGGTGGGAAAAGAGATGCTTTTGTTCCGATGTCCAGCCAACAGGGAATATGAAGAGATCATGTACATGGACTTGCCCTTCGTGATATTCATCCCTTTCGGGCGGGGAGGGCAGGAGACTGCCCGACGGGTGCCCCCAGCGAGTCTACAGTTACCACGGCGGACGGCCGAGACATACTACGAGATGGTGGTGACTGTGGGTTATGGAGGGACAGATCGCAAAACCTATGCTTTCCCCGTACCGATTGCACGGTACGACACACTGTCGACTTTTGGCATGTACAATCGACCCGAAACTGCAGAGCGGGTTTCGGATCACTTGGTGACCCTGGGGATATCCTTGCCGCGATGGTCTTACGGGCCTCTGGACCCAGTCAGCGTGTATATCAAGCTATCTCCGAATCCGGATTGGCTGAGCAAGGCGCGTAAAGTGACCATCAAAAAGATCGAGATCGGCATCGACGAGGAGGTCATCTACAACCACGAGGGGGACGAGCCCCAGAGAAAGACAAAGAGTCTGGTCAAGAAGACGGAAACGGTTGGAGTGAAAATGCCCGAAGCGGGATATTTCACCAACCTGGGTCTTGTCTTCCCTTCGAGCGATCTTCGCGACGCGGACGGGATCATGCCTCGTGGCAGATCGGCGTTTCCTACTTATGCAGTGACGGGCTTTACGACGACGGCAGGTCTATACAAGGTGGAATACTACCTGACCATCAAGGTATGTGGGGGAATACCACAACATCGGCGCACATCGTGGAGTCCTGGGTGGCTAATGCATCCTTCATTTTCTAGGCATCGATGGCTGGCGCCAAAGATATCATCCTGAAACAGCCCATTGTCGTTTGTCCTTTGGACCACGCAGCATGCAAAGCGGAGATGGAAGCCATTGAACAAGCGGCTCGAGACGCCTCTCACGTCAACGCGGAAAATCCAATGTTACCCTTGGCCACTATAATCCGCGCTTCGGATCCTAACGCGTTGAGCTGTTTGGGAGTGGCGCTGGTCGGCTCTGTGAAGAAGCCTTTGATTGACTGAGCACTATGTATAGTTCTGGGGAGGATTTAAGGCAAATTTCGATCGCCTCTGCAACAGCTATGGGAGCGACGGATCTTCTAACCCGTGGTTCTGCGCTGCAGAGAGGCTGTCATTCTTCTCAAGTCACATTGGTCCGTTGCACCATGAAGCAATGGTCCACAAGACGATTCTGGTCGGAGAAACGATACAAGCGATGACAGCCCGGTTATCACACTCAAAAACCCGAACATTACGAGGAACGACAAAAGCCTGCACCACCAGTCGCAGGAGCATCCCTGTTCCATAAACAAGGCCAGCAGAGCTTGGATCGCAAACGGCGCGAGACGGAATTCGTCTCTCTGAACCAGGCGAGCAAGCTGCCGCCTGCAGACATAAATCATTCACGACGCTGAACTTTTTGAGGTAAAGTACAGCCCGGCGAACACTACGGCGGGCCTCATTGCACCAGCGGGGAAGTTGGATTTGTTGCAGCTCGTGTTTTTTGACATGCAAGGCGTTGGGTTTGGAGGAGACTTTATTGGCACAAAGGGAAAGGCCACGGCAATGTGACGGCTTGGACTAGGATAGGAACAGCCAGAGGCGCTAATGAAAGATCTAGTCGTACTTGTATTCAGAGACTACTTGCAAGCAGCCAAATTGGGCTCAGATTTGAATCTCATGGACAATTGACAGTTGACAGTTGACAATTGACAATCCACGGCATGGCTGCCACCATTGCTGAGTCCGAGTTTTACGGGAGGCGTAGACACCACAGGCCTGCGAGGGGGAAGAGGAGGACGCAGTACGTAGTGTCTTCCTACGGCAGCATGCATCGCAAGAAGGGTAATGCCATGGACTGAACTCAAGACTGACTGGATAGTAATTGCTTAGGGTACGAGGAGGTACAGAAGACGCAATTGCTGCCGATGTCGGTTTCCGCACAGCAGCTTAAGGTGCAAGGTTTCAACGTCGGGGAATCCTAGCCTTTGTTGTTGTGGTATATATGCCAGGTATAGAATATATCCACGTACACGTACACGTACACTGCGTGCAAGAACAGGAGCTATTCCGTTAGCACCGTGACGGTTGGCATCGAGAGATAATTGCTAGTACATAAAGTCCTAGTCCTCCGCCCTATTCGCAAGGGGGGGAATTTGCTTCATTATATCCTTCCGGGAAATACCAGCGACAAATCCCCCCTTTTCCGGTATAGTCGTTTTGGTCAAGCATTTGCCATGCATTGCTGGATCCATGCCGAGGGGTAGGTATGTAGCACATTCATTCATCCATTCATTCACCGAAGCTGTAGAGGGAGAGATTTTCCCAAGAGTCCTGCGTCAGGTCAGGTTCAACTCACCAACTGGGCCCCCTGTCTGGAACCGATGCACACCTCCTGCCAGGCTTGTGACGCCAAGATGATTTTCTAATCATGGAGAGTATATCGCAGTCGAGGATACTGGTTTCCGGATTCAGAGTAGTGGAGCAGACAGCTCTTGTTCAGACGCCGAGGCGCGCTTTTTGGACATGCTCTGGGATCCTCCCTCAGAAATAGGAGCGTACATGTCACATCCTGCGCAGTATTTCGCTGTAGGGACACACACACACACACACACACACATTAGCTCACTGGCTCCAGAACCATTGAACCAGGACAGAGAAGGGAGGAGGTATTTGAGTCTTCCGCACCTCGAGGATTTTTGTGAGTCAGCCAAGCGTCGGTACACAAGGTGAAGACCTTCCACAGCGCCTGCAGGAAGACGAGATCGGCCACGAGGATGGACAGAACAAGGGTCCCTGCAGACTTCCGTTTCGGCACTTGACACAAGTATTTCGTCGAGATGACAGAGGCAGACGTGCCCAGCGGGCCCGTTTGGTCCTTCAGGGCGTCGTAACTGTCATCTGCGGGGCCGGGGATGGCATTCAAAGTCGACTTCTGCATGGCCGTGATGTTTCGGGAAAAGTATTGCAGGGCCGTCGCGTCGGTGAGAATGTTCGGCACGGCAGTGACCTGACCCAGGTCCGTCATGATTGTCGAGTAGAAGGCCTTGGCCAGGCTGTCGGAAGCGATCCAGACGTTGGGAGAAGTGTCGGTGGATGCGAGGCTGGACACGGTCTGGCCATCAGACGGGGCGTAGACGTCCACTCCAGATCCGCCCCAGGTCTCTGATTCGTTTTCGACAACGGTGTTTGATATGAAGCGGTAGTTGATGTTGAAGAACCCAAGGTCGGTGATATCCCGAAGAGGCCGACTGGCGTTGGGTGGGGAGAAGTCTGGAAAGTTACAAGATTAGAAAATCTTGCGGTTTCAAAGTACCGTAGCACCACTTTTGGGCAAATCGCATACGTATCGTGCCTTTCCTGAGGTTGTTGTCCGTTTCACCACGGATTGTTTGCATCTCGGACGAAACAAATGACCAGTACTGAGATCTACATGCGGTTTTTTTTAGTCCAAGGTGCAACTTGATGTCAGAACCAAAACGTCTTACAACAGTGATTCGCCCCACCAGAGACTGGCCTTGGTCGTCGCGTTTCTGGTCACGAAACTGAACAGGCCGACCTGCGTGCTGTAGTTCCCGGTGGGGAACTGAGCCGTGTCGGGGACGAAATCATAGTCTGTGCTCAAATTGAAGAAGATTGTCCCATCGTTCCCTTGAATGCTGCAGGTAATGAATGCCTTTGCCTTGTTAATAGCCCGATCTCCCAGTTCCTGGAGCGATACATACCTGAAGATACTCGCCCCAGGCATTCCAACCATACTGGGTCACGCTGCGATCTTCGGACTCCAACTCGATCTGTATGTTGTTTACCTGACAGTTCTGGATGGGGTTGTTGAGATAGGTAAGGGCTGGTGAAACGAGGGCGCTGGTCCCATCTGGTGTCGTCCATACGCCTGTGATGGTATATGTGAGGGCAGTTTGGTTGGTGAAGAACCCTAGGGAATTTTTAGTCCCATTTGCCGACATTTGTTCTTCGATGTCATTACTAGTGTTCACTTGAATGTCCTCCGCCTGACACGACGCCTTCATTTGGCCCGTGAAATATGAAGGGAAACGGTCCAGCCATTTGCTAGCGGTGATGGTTGAATTTGGGTCCGTAACATACTCAACACTTTTCCATATGTCAGCGGGGCAGAACTGGTCCGGTTGATAGCTAGAGCTTGTACCTCTGATAGTATCCGGTTGACAACAGGTTCAAGAATGAGAAAAGTACCAAAGCGAGGCTGCCCCCGGCAATGGTCGCGGGAGTGAACCAGCCAAACGGGTAGGGGCGAGAGATACCATAACTGAATATGGATGTAGCCATGGATCCGCGGGCGAGCCCTCGGAAAGAATATGAATGTACAATGAGCCCGTCATGCACGGACTAGACGAGAAGTCGTTGAAGGTCTGGGGCGAGTCTTTCGTACACTTTGTGCCCACATCAACCTAGCTTCAGTGAGAAGGTCCGAAGAAGCTGCAGCCTCCGTTGACGACCGAATTTCACGCAAGTGTCGATGGTCCGTTTGGTATTCGCGGGTGAGTCTGGAGGGATACGACGAAGGGAAAGAAGAGCCATGACGATTGGAAGCCATGCTGTCAATATAGTCGGTCCATGGTAAGGCTGGAGTAGGGGGCCAGAGCTAGCCTCGCTACATGGGTTAAGCGCTGTCTCAGAAGCCTCCAGCCTCCTGGGACTCGAGAAGCTGCCTGGGGCCTTGCCAGCTTTTCCATCAAGTAGCTGAGCCGAGCCTTTTTGCAGGGCTTGTGGACCATGGTTGAGTGTTTCAGCTGTCGATGGCATGGCTGGTCTCTTGTCACTGGTCTGTGTTCCAGGGAGATGGCTGAGTGCTTTGGGCCGGACTGAGTAATGCTAACGAAACAGGAATCCAATATTAAATGGACAACTCGTATAACACAGATCCGGGGGGGATTGTATAACTGACTGACCTGTTTTCACCATTTTGGCGGTCTGGATTGTGATTGTCCAGAGAGGAGATGAATGTTGCAGTGGTTTGCGAGCCGAGGGGCCAACTCGCGTGCTCGCTAATCGTATGGTATGGAATCTCTCCAGGGAGTACCGAGTATTAATAGTCGAGTTGGCCCAACTCGGCCCGTGCCAATGAGTCCATTGCCGCTGCGGCTCCCTGGGGCTCCCCTAGGCACCTCGATTGGTTTACCAGAGAGTTAGCGGGTGATCAAGCTCATCAAACAGGTATACCTACCTAGCATGGTGACTCGTTTAAAATAAGCGTGCGCTCTGTACTCCGTAGGCTCTGAGTCTTGTAGCCTGTAGGAGGTGTGTATCTGATACACACTAGCCACCTATATCCAATACCCTCCATAAAATACTTCGCGGACCGTAGTAAGCCGCACGGGCTCACGCCAGGATTTCGCCTTATACACGTACCTGCACGCCAAAGTTCACCTTTATCAGCAAAGCCAAGTATAACCTTTGACGGGCGAAGAACTTGCTTATCCCAGAGTGGCGGAAAAAGACTACGATAGACATAGTGCGGTCAAGGGACGACGACGAGGACGACGACGACAGGAAGGCCAATGGAAACCAATGCTCAAACCCCGCGCTCCTCATTCCCATATGATCCAATGTCGAATCCCACAAAGTCTACAATCACCACAACCACAACGACCGCCCGGTCAAGGCAGACGCCCTCCCAGCCCAGCGTGACTAGCTCGGAACCCGACGCCGCGCAGGTCCAGGCCATCCTCGCCACGATCCGGGCCAACCTCTTGCTCGTGGCGCGCACCTGGGGCCGCGAGAGCAGACAGCACCGCGAGGCAAGGGGCGTCATGCGCGCGTACCTCGAGGAGAACGTCCTCCGGCATCGAGTCGAGAACCGGCACAGGCAACGGCACGTGGAGGATACGGACGATGGGTGTAGGTATGAAGGGGAGGGCAGGGCAGGCGGCGTGAGAGGTAGGGGAGAGGATGTGCACATGGATTTGGACGAGGATAAGCGTGTGGATATGCAAAGGGAAAGGGAAAGGGAAAGGGAAAGGGACGAGGATTGGAAACGGAACATGGGAATGCATAGAGAGATAGAAGAGGTGCTCGCAGAGTTGAGCCTGTCGTGATCCCATCATGGACCCATGTACTCGTACACCTTCGTGCCTCAGTTCTGTGATGGATGAACATTGGTCGTTCTTGGACTCCTCTCCTCTTCTCTGCCGTGAAGACTTTCCTCTCACCCACCAGCATCTACCGAGGACGAGGTACGTAGACACGTTCAGCCGGACGAAACAGCGCACGGAAATAGAGTACATACATGTTTCTGATCTCGTGTATTTTGCAAGATGGGCTTTTCTGGCCAGACGGATGCTGTCTGCAACAGTCTCTCTTCATAATAGTACATGCTCATGGCCGTGCCTCCCGCAAGGAACGGGTTATTGTACAGCTCATCTCTCATCTCAGGTCGCGCTTTCAAGTCCACCGAGGACGACAAACTTGCTTTGCCCTGCAAAACCAGGATTGCGTCTCTCACCCAAAAACATGGCCCAAGATCCCGGCTCCAATAAAGCGTCTCTCCTCCCGCCTTCATCCCTTTGTGCTCATCTCTGGCAGCCAAGAAAGCTCTTGCTTGGAGCTCGAGCCGTGTCCATAACGGCCGTCATCTGCATTGCATGTTCATGGTTCGTCATCGTTGATTGTTCGTTGTTGCTTGCTGCGTCGAGCTTTTGCCTAGACATTAAGTGGATGTTCCATTAACCAACTCGATTGCGCCTCCCGCTAGAATTATGTTCTTCTTTGCCTAAAGACACACCCGTTACAATGAAACGGTAGTCGACTTCTAACAGAGTATGCTCTGTTCCTTTCTTTGATTCCTGCACATTGCAACCAGCTCACTACACTGCCAAGAGAAGCAGAGCCGAACCAGCAAAGACCAATATCGCACTGTGCAATTGCAGCGTCTTCGACGAAGCAGCTGAAGAGAACTGCCCATCGAAAGGACTGCCGCCGCCACTGTCTCCCCCTGACTCTGGCGAGTTTGACGTCTTGCTTGACGAAACAGTTGATGAAGTGCTCGAACCCTTGGTTGAAGACGACGTGGATGTGAGGGTTGAAGTTGCGGTTTCAATCGAGGTTAGTGTTGAAGTTGTCGTCGAGGTCGACTTTTTGGTGCTGTCAGAACTGCTAGTACTTGTGGTCTTGCTCGCAGATCCGGTCTTGCTCAAAGAAGTTGTGATTGTAGATGCTTGTGAGGATGTCCCGGTGGTGCTCGTTGCTGGTGGAGAGGTGTCAGTTGCCATGCTCATTGATGTGTCCAAAGATGTTGATGTAGAAGTCTGCGTCGCCTCGGTCGTGCCTTGCGGTGTCGTCGCCGTTGTTGCGCCACCACTGCCATTGTCCGCACACAGGAAGTTAACAACATTCCCGACGAAGAGTTGTCCGATCAAGGAGCTTCCATCCGCTTGTTCCCCTGCGCAAAACCGTTGCACAAATTTCTGTGATGCCTCAAGACTTGACTCACAGCCACTCGAGCAAGTGCCTGTTCCTCCGATGCCTTGAAAATCGTTGATATCGCAGTCGTTGACTGGGGTGTTGTACGCAAGCGTGCATGAGGACGAGAAGCCGACGATGGCTTGGATCGAGGGGAATGACACGGTGGCAGATGAGCCCCGTACTAATGCATGGAAAATGATGGCCAGTATCAATTGACCCTGTAACCGTAACTTCATGGTGAACGCAGGTGTCTGTAATTGAGGGGGTAGAAGATGGAGGAGGGTGTCTCGGAGGAGGGCTCGTCAACTGCTTCTGTGACAAAAGATTTGGTCTTGTTTACAGGTGCGGCAGAATCTGAAGGTGACTCTGTCGGTGACTGGTTCACTTGCGAAAGTCTTCCAGATATTCTAAAGTGAAGAATGGAGAGTTGACCAGATCAATGTGGAGTGTCACAAGTCAACATGGCCGTCACCGCCTTTGAAATGGATGAGTTTGCATCGCTCTGAGATTCGTAGAAAAAGTTCGAGGGAGGTGAAGGAGAGTCAGTCGAGAGACAGACTCAATGTCTCTGGCACAACGACGTCTTCCTCAGGAACAAGTCCGATCCGTCGCCAGCGCCAGTCGATCGTGTCCTTGCAACTGTCACCGAGGTCAGGGTGACGTTCACGCCCACTATGATCCGCTTGCCCAGAAGATCAACGCCCCTCCGACGTCAATTCGAACCTCCGGCGGCCAGAATATGCGACAGGGTAATCTTGGAGACGGAGATCTGGTTAAGGGATGCCAACAGATCTCTGCCGATCGCAATCAAAGTCACTCAGCCTTGCAGGAGGACAAAAGCTTCGGCGATGGGTTCCCGAGCGGATCCAGTCCGGTTACAACGAACACTGTGGTGAGGGTGCACCGAAATCAGAAGCTGTTGTTCGGTGAAAAATGTTTGTCCCACCCTGTTATACCAGATGTCCGTCTCTTTTGGCCTGGGCTGAGGGCCTTGTTCTTCTCACGGCGAAAATGCAAAACGTTGCAACGTGGGTTGAGGAGGGGAATGAAGACCGCAGAGGGATCCGCTCGCTTCTTGAGTCTTTGCTGGGGTTTTTTCTGTGACCGGTTAGAATCTTTTAGGGGATATGGGAGGCTCAGCCTCTTGAAGCAAGTGCGCAGGAGAAGAGAGACAGGGAGAATCTTGTTGGCGTCACCTTTGTGAGAGCGCCAGTAGACCTCCGGGGATGCCGGTCATTGTGAAGAAAGTTGGCCCAGCGTCTCCTCCTGCATCCTGCATGGTGCATGGTGCATCGCTGGTAGGGCGGCATTGTTCGGGGCGGCTGGCCATGAGGCCTTCTACGAATCGTGAGGGGAGACCAAGTTCATTCTGCGACGCGGGTGACCCTGACGCTATGCTGAGGATGACGGTGGATGACGGTGGATGATGTGGGCGATGGCACCAGATGGCAACATGGAGCACAAAGTGTATGATCGCCAGGTACGCGAGACATTTGATTGGGGGAAGAAGCAGGTGTCAGGGGTGCCAGGGGGTCAATCTGGCTTCAGTCTCGTGGTGCGGGATTCAACCCGCGACAATCAAGGCGGCTGCGTTGCCAACCACTTTGCAAAGCCCATAGAAGTTTATTCGTATTACGGGAACAATGACTGCCTTGAACAAGAATATACCGAGTACAATCGGGTTCATGCCTGCTTGGTATCATCAGAACTATCTGGGTTATCGTCGCCTTGTCCTCTCATAACACGAGCTGCTGGGATAACTCTTAGCAACTGCTAGAGAGTGGTCTGGAATCCACCTATGGGATGAGAACTCCTCGGAACCGAACCTTGCCGCTGGTCATCTTCTCCATGGCTTCATTGGCCTTGTCCAGTGGGAACTTCTCAATCATGACATGCACACCGTGCACTTGAGCAAAGGAAATGGCTTCTTCGCTGTCAAGAGCGTGACCGCTGGGCCATGCCTGAATGCTGAGGCCCTTGGAAATCATGGATGCCGTATTCACCTCAGCGGGGGCCGATGCTGCCAGGATAATGAGCTTGCCCAACGGACCCAGTCCACCGAGCAACGAAGGAATGAGTTTCTCGTTTGGCGCAGTGAACAGAATGCATGCAGCGCCTCCCAACTTCTGGAGTTGTTCACCAATGTCGCCCTGCGAGGCGTCGATGTACTCATGTGCCCCGAGCTGGGTGGCGAACTCCTTCTTGTCAGAGCTCGACGAAATGGCGACCGTCCGGTATCCCATCTTACTTGCATACTGCAGCGCAAGATGGCCGAGTCCACCGAGTCCCTGTACCGCAACGATCGATCCCGCAAGGACTTTTTGTTGCCTCAAAGCTATTTCTCCAGTCAGTCTCTCACACTGGTGCGAACGACGGGGTCAATGCAAACTTACAATTGAACACCGTCACCCCTGCGCACAGAACCGGACAGAACTCGGCAGGGTCGACGTCGGTGGGTACCCGCACAACAGCCTCTGTCCTCAAAGTGACATACTCCCCGTATCCCTATTGAAGAAGGCGTTCAGCCAAATGAGCATGTGGCCGGCGAGGACAGACCTACTCCGTCCCTGGTGACCCCGTTGATTGCTTCCTTCTCACACATCTGGAAGAGCCCACGCTGACATGAGACGCAGGTGTTGTCATGGCCACCGTGCCACGGTCCTCCGACGCGGTCTCCCACTTTCCAGCGCGTCTCAGTATCTGGCACGGCGGCGACCTCGCCGATAATTTCGTGACCGGGAACAATGGGGAAGCTGTTGCCAAACAATCCGAAGCGGACGGCGTGGTCGGAGTGACAAACACCACAGGCAAGGACCTTGACTAGGACCTAGAATGCCATGGCTTAATGGGGGGGTTGGATGCGATGGATGGATGGATACAACATACCTCACCCGGCTTGGGCAGCTCCAATTTGACCTGCTTGAACTTGATCGGCTCACCTTTGGCCTCGAAGACGCCGACTTTGTACTCCTTCGGGAGGTTTGAGGCCATTTTGGAAGAAGGGAGGAGGGACGATAGATGGAGGGTTTCGGCAGCCTTGGTGATCCAATCCGCGGTCATACAAATCGCCTGACAAAAAGTGCTATTGTTTTGAGCAAGGCAGGAGCTTGAGAGTGAGTTTGGAATTGTTCAGCCGGGTTCTTTTCCAATACGAAGACATTTTATACCTTCTCCTGATGGAGGGGCTCTCGAATTGGAGGGGCCACTGGAGGTATTGTTGTCAAGGGCTAATGATGATGTAAAGGACTGCGGGAAGCAGCTCCTGTAGCTCCAGTAGCTCCATCTGCAAGTATCGAAGCTACGCACCCATCATCCAACTTTTTTTTTATCCACAACTTGTGGTTGGTCGTATGGGGTGTCACTGGGACAGGGGTATAGGGATGCCCGGAGATGAATGGACCAGCCCTAGTAACGTGTTCTGACCTCTTCCTTCAGCTGCTGAAAACCAGAACCCATTTGACATTAACCCGCCTTTCCACCATCCAGTCAAAAGACCACGACAGAGAACCAAGCAACATGCTTCTCTTCTATCTCCGCCTCTCGGGAATCGATTTTAAGACCTACCGCATCCCGTCAAGCGCGGACATTTCTGCGTCTAGCTCTGGAAATGCCAGGACTCCGACTGGACACGGATTTAGGTAGATGCAGGCAAGGCGAAACCACCGCGGTGGCGATTCGGCGATGTGACAAAGACGGATGCATACTTCCAAGGCCCTATACTGGGCACACAGTGTTTTGTGGATTGCGCTGATGAATTCATCTCAAACGACCCATAACCAAATGCGCTTGTCCCTCTTCCCACGCACTCCCCAGTGATCGATACCATACAAGGTATGCAAGAGATGGGCACCAAAGCATTCACTACATCCGCTCGACTATCCGAAGCCGCCCAGGATATTATGATTAGTAAAGGTGAATCTTCAAAGCAGTAGCCATCTTGGCTCCCTTGGCTTCCAAGGTCTGAATTGTCAATCCGACTGACTATCGCCGAATGGGAACCTCCAGATCAATCATTTCCGCAAGGTTTGTTGTTGATAATCGCCTTCTAGGCAGATAACTTGCCACAGTTCGAAGCACGACTTGTCTCCGGACCCAACCTGCTCTACGGAAAACCCTCGAGCCTACTTCGCTGTCAGGCGCCAGCCTGGCGTGCGTCATGCACGGAGAGAAGAACATAATGGTCAAGACTACTGCCGCTGTGTCAGCCAGGCGTGAGGAGGTAGCTCTCAAGGGCACCTCGGACCAGGCAGACAGTGACGATAGTTGATTGACCGCCTGCATAAGAAAGACCCACGAACAGTATTTTAGATGCACCACTGCGGCAACAGCACCCGGGAAATCGGGCACAAAGAGCCAACGACAGTGAGACCTTGCCCCAGAAGTCTGCCCTCGTCTCCATCGTTGGTGGAAGTCACACTTGATCGAAAAGATGTGGACGGAGACGGCAAGCTTGCTTGTGTGTGAGTAGTGTGGATGCATTGTCGACACGGCGAGCTCCAGCGCGGATGTCTTTCGGCGGCAGGTCGCTGGGGCCTGCCCAGTTCACGGCTTGGATTGCGGTTCTCTGACCATGCAGAAGAGGTCGCAGACGTCCCCTCCCTCTTCGCAGACCATCTTTCGGGCCAGTCGAAAGCCCATCTTCTCATAGATTGCTATGTTGGGCTTCTCCTTGGAGGACTCGAGATAGCACCGGCGCCCTTCCTTGTCGGCCATGTCGGTGACAATCCCGAAGAGCTGGCGACCGATTCCTTTGCCCTGGATGCCTGGCCTGACGGTGACAATGTTGCAGAAGTAGTATCCTTCGGGGTCGGTCCAGATTTCCGACTGGGCAATGGCCTGCTCGCGCTTCCAGATCCAATACCGATCCGTCCTCAACCCGCCACGTCCTTGGAACCTGAACAGATTCCAGCCCTGCTTGAACCAGAGGATGTAGTCGTCGATCCACTCGGACCACGTCTGCTTCTGACTGACATTTCTCGGCTTCATCCACATGCTCACTCCCAGCACTCTGCCATCTTTGTCCTCTGGATCCTCGGCCACGAAAAACAGTGCATTGCGCATCCCCCACTCACATTTTGCCTTGAGACTGGCAAAGTTGCGCTCCTTGTTGAACTTTGCGGCGTCAAAGGCCCACAGGTGATAGGGATCATCTGCAAATGCCAACTGGATGCATTCCACCACCGACGGGATGTCTGCTGCAGTGATAGGGCGTATTACAATGCCCATTTTGCCTGGCTGTTGCGTGAAACTACCGAAGATCTGGTTGGACTGTGTGGCGTGAATTCCTGTGATGAGCCGTTGACCGTCGCCTTGAACCTCGAATTGCCATCCAGGAACCTTCGTCGGCCAACCTGTGAAGGGACTCACGGTATGCAAATATGGACCAGGGCCAAATTCGCGTGTGGAAGGAGAAAAGGCCAAGTCCGTGTGGTTGTTGTTAGATAAGAGGCGCCCGCCCAGCGGCCTTTTCTACTCGCGTAGCGTTGCCTAATTGAGTTTTCCTGGTCCAGCCGGCATCGGAGAAACGTGGATCCGAGCTCCACGACTGTCTCTCCTTTTCTCTCTTCTCTCCATGTTTGCTTTCTGTCCGGTTCAATCTCGCCTAGTCCATCTACTCTGTGCTTTTCGCCAACAGCAGTCCTGTCCTCTCTCTGCGGTCAGGCTGTGGCTCATAGATGGACAAATATGACTTTCTCTCTCACTCCCTAAACCAGTGGCAAGTCGACAGCGAATCTCTACCGCTACTTGCTGTCTCCTACGTTCTGTTCCGATGTAGATAGTAATCCGATTCCATGTAGGAAACCCCCAGAATTCCCACAATTCCCACACATACCCAGCACGGGGAGCAGGGTGGAGTAGGGGTTTCTTCGTGTCTCCCTATAATTTGCTGCCCGCCTTGTTGCGAGCAGGCCGTGACAATGACGAGTTCTCCGTCCCGCCGCGGGCGTTGGAGACCTTATCGACGAGCTGGGCCGGAAACCGCAACATGCCGTCCTGGATGGTGGTGCCGATGACCCTACCGGCCTGGGGATTCCACAGGAGACTGTGATGGCAGCCGCGGTTGTCGCCGCCGTTGCTGGTCCACGACTCCTGGACGAACCACCTGGAGGCCCCGAGCTGGTCCACCATGCGCAGGTGGTCGGCCGGGCCGTGGAAGACAACCGTGTGCGACAGCGACGCCATGGTGGTGCGGACTGCCTCGTACCCCAGAGCGCGCTGGATCAGGAAGAGCGAGTTCCTGTCCGACGCGTACAGGTGCGCAGCGGCGTGGAGGTTCAGGTCGTTGGCGGCTTCCTCTCTCTCGCCCGCCTCGGACGGTTGTTCGTCGTCGTCGTCGTCGTCCTGGATGAGCCGGTAGAAGAGCAACTGGCGCCAGCGAGACGCTCCCTCCCCGTTGGGTCCACCACCTGGTTCCGCTGCGCCGTTGTACCTGGCCATGTCGACCTTTCTGCATTCCACCCCAGGAAATGCCGCCGCATCGCGGCTCCAGAACTCTTCTTCTTCCTGTTCCCACCACAGGGCATCGGCGCCGGGTGCGTCGGGGTGGTCCTGGGGCTTCAGGCCCTCAAGGACGCTGCTGTATTCTTTCTGGATATGGTCCCGGGCCATGTTCTGGTACTCGTAGGGTGTCCACTTCTTGATGCCCGTCTCGGATCGCTTGAAGGAGACGGTGGCGACAAAGCAAGGCGACCTCCCCTGAGCGGCGTCGTCCGAAGCTTGGTAGACGTCGACCCCTCTCAAGCAGTACATGCCGCCGTCCCTGATCCTGCGCACGCGGTACACGTACGGAATGTCAATGGCGCCAGGGAGGATGAAGTACCCCGTCATTTGCTACAACCCCCCCAGAACCACCCCAAAGCTGTTAACAATAACAACCCAGAAAGATCTCATATCAGGACCCCCCAACTTGGGGAAACAGAGGGGGAAACGTACATGAACCACCAACCCCTTCTCCACGGTCTTGCTGGCAGCGCACAATGCCTGGGCGTAGACATGTCCTCCAAACGCTCTACGGTGCGGCGCCGGCGGCCAGGCCGGGGTCAGCGACTCGAAAACGTCGCCACCTTCAACCCGTTTGAGAGCCATCAGCCGCCGAAACGAGATGGGTTTCTTCTTGCCCTTGCTCTGGAGCACCTCGAACCTGGTCGGCGGCATGGTTGGTTCGCGGGCTGGTTCGTTTGGGGCGGAACACACCACACTGCAATCAATCACGACCTTGTGGCGCGAAACGCCATTGTACGTTAGGAACCAAGGTAAGCTGGATGTTTGGATCAAAGATCTATCCGGTAGGCTTTGTGCTTGATTTACCAAAACGAGAGGAAGGGGAGAAACGACAAAAAGGGGGAGATCCAAGGGATATTCGACCGTAAGATGGGTAACAACTCTTCAGGTCGCGCGTATATCGGAGGTGAACTATATTATTATCACGGCGTCTAGTTGATCGATACCTAGGTAGTTAGGTAGTATGGTAAGCATCGTAGGCAAGAAAGTGCTTGATCCCTAGGAGAAGAAATCAACCTCGGCAATGGGATCTACAATTCCCCAAGGCTTCATGGAACGAGGCTGAACGACTTTTGCCGAGATTGGAGTAGCTTTCCATTATTACTAGTATCTGAAACTGAACTTGAGGGCTGATGACCTGCATGACATCATCGCCTTGGCAAGGGCGTCCACGGCGTCATCGATTGAACGATGGACCATGCAGACATCCAGAGGTGGCAGTACATATGAAGAGACGAGAATTTTGACCTCAACTCAACACATTCAAAACAGATCAATAACCAGAAAAAGACCTTCTCAATGTCGTCAGACCAGCAACCTTCTTCAGAGTCCCAAGCTTCAATGCTTGGGGGCCACGTGAAGGTGAGTCTCTCTACCCTCCCCACGTTTCCCTCAACTGATCCCGGCCCATTCTGACCTTTCCAATCAGTATGTCCAAGGCGCCATCTCCTCCGCCGTGGGGTACGAATCCGGGCAACAGACAAAAGCCGAGGCCGTGCAGGAGATGAAGGACGCCAAAACCCAATCAGAAGGACAACCCGCGCAGTCATCGCTGCTGGGGACGGTCGAGAACGCCGCCGGCAAGGTCACCGGATGCGAAGGCATGGTGGATGAGGGAAAGAAGAGGATTCCGGAGAAGAGGGGCGTCGAGGAGCAGAGTGGGACAGGCTGAAAACAAACAAAAGTGGAACGAAAGTGAGAAGAGAGAGAGGAAGGCAGAGAATGCTCGCGGATAGATCATATCGGGCCAAGGGCAAGGGAGCAGACGCCCAAGAAAACCACGAGGACATAAAGATTCAGAGATCCCATTGCGACACACAGGCGGGGACCCCGCACGCCGCTCTGACGATGACTTTCTTTTCCGGAAACCCCGATGGACTGGCGTGTCGCCGCCGCCTGGGAGGTTCAGCCTTCTGTCGGTCCCTAGTGGATGGATGGATTCTGCAGGCCGCCTCAAGTAGCCGTGTTCGAGTTGTTCTGCCGTAGGCTTCCTGGAATTTGCAACGCCAGCTCCTGTATTATCTATTCCGCTCGATCTCGATAGACGTGAGCTCATCCCAGTCATACCACCCATGCATCAAGCCACGCCCTCAACCGCCTTAGGAGATGCTTTCAGATCCAGATGGCCAACGTATTATCGTAACTTTTTGAGCTCGTCGTGTCGTGTCGTGTCGTGTCATGTATGTTATCTCATGCCTGTCTCATTGTAGCGGCCACTTCATCTGTGATTGGCCGTTTTGCTAGAGACGGAAGAAAGCCTCAGTCGAGTCCTCATAATCCAGTATTACTTCTCGACTTGGGGAGCGGCACTTCTCCATTCGCCGCCATCTTCTCCACAATCACGCTCCCCTCAAGCTCTTCATCCTCCTCTCTCATCCTTAGATCCTCACCGTCTAGCAGATCGTCAACACCATCCTTGCCAGGGCGAACCTCGAGAGAGTCCCAGTCCTTACCTAGGTTCCCTCCGACATCGGCATCGGCATCAGGGTCCTTGTAAGCATTGCCATAGCGGTCCTTTGCTCTCTCTCGGGCCCTGATTTCGTCGGCGTCAGGCTTCACCCACCCGCCGTCCGGGGATTCGCCTAAGCCCACGCGGTTAGGCTCAGGTCTCAGAAACGTTGGTCCATTGCTCGCGCGGTACCAGCCTGGATCAACCCATCCCGCGATACACTCCTTCGCGTGTTCCCCAAGGGCGTAGAAGCCCGGGTTATCTCGTGGAATAAACATGGACACATGCGCCGTGGTCTCGTCAGAAGCTTTGTCGTTGACAGCCTTGATCCATTTAAATCCGTTTGCTGTTTCTTCGCGCGTGCCTTCTTTGCCTTCCTTTCGATCCCGGTCGACCTGCACTGGTAGATTGCAAAACGTCCTCTCCTTACCTGCCAATGTTTCCGTGATGCCGTATCCGCCACTAGCTCCTTTTCCGAGGTTGGTGTACAGGTTCGCACATCCAGCACCTCGTGCTTTGCATTCCTGCTCTAGAGTTTTGACCCGCTTCTGCAGATACTCTGGTTTGAACAGCTCCCCTACAAACAGCAGATGGTCGCTGGCCCACTTCCAACCAGCACTCAGTCTCTCGCGCTGGGAATACAAGGCAGCGGCACCGCCTGCAACCACAGCACCAGCCGCACCAGCGAACATTGCGTATTTCCCCCAAGCTTGCCATTTGGGGGCGGCCGCCGCGTCTTCCGTAGAAGACGAAGCCGGAGCTGGTAGGGCGCCGATAGATTTCGCGCCAGAGGCGGGAGAGGTTGATGAGACGTTGGGTTCGGACTTGGAACCCCAGCCAAACATGGAGGCAACTTCAGAGTAAGTGTTGTACGCATTGGCGACAACTTTGTGCCCGCCCTCGATTCCGTGGGCTACCATCCCCGGGGCCAGCCCGAGGAAGGGTGTATCGAAAGCCAAAACGCCTTGGATGTGCGGGAACATGAAACTGTGAGAAGTAGGATCCGACTCATGGTGCGATGGTACTGGACGAGAGGTGGAAGTTGTCGAACCCAGCGTCGTGTTGGAGGGGAAATTGGGCCTTTCGGGATTTTGCGCGGAAGACCGCGCTGGAATGGGTTGCTCACTGGCGAGTAGCAGATATGTCTCAGCCGCAACGATGCCTCCCATCGAGTGGCCGGCCAGTATGACATGGACTGAGGGATCCACGGTGGGGGATGGAGTCGAGCGAGCGACCTCCAAATCGATGACCTTGTTTTGCAGCCTGCAGTCGTGAACTCTTAGCATGGCGTCTCGGAGCAGACAGATGCTCGCACTGCATACCATTCTCGAAATCGAGCCACACAGTCGCTCAACTCGCCCCGGGTCTCGAATTTGGGGTATGTCACAGTGACAACATCGATGTTCGGAAGGGCATGGCTCACGAGCGCTCGCAGATGTTCGGGGAAGACAGCAAAGGTGTCATCGCCGCCCTAGAGAGGGCAGCATCAGTATCCTGATACCCAAGGGCTCCGTCCCAGAGGGAATGATCGGATCCAAGGCCACAACGCCGATACCTGACTGCTGAACAGAGCATGGTGTCCTCGTACTCAACTTACTTTGAACCCATGGATAAAAACAAGGAGGAGTGTCTTGCGCATCCTTGCAAAGAGGCTGCTCGCATAGAAGCTGCATCATTCGCGACGGGCCTTAGGTTCTGCTGGGCACCATCCCTATGAGATGGCTCTGTTTCAAGCTTTACTTCACAGCATACTCTCTTTCTCCAGCGGGAAGGAGGGGAAATCTACTGAGCAGGCGTGGCAGATACTAGCTAGGAAGATGTGTGAATGGGCTTGGCATGCGTCACCTGATCGTAGCTCATCAGCTGCTCGCCTGTTACCACTAAAGTCATGAGAAAACTGCCGAAGCATCGTTGGCTACAGGAGAATGAAAGGCGTATCAAGCCTTGGATTTCGATTGGCTTTTGCTCAATTCCTCGCATTTTTCCATCTCTCAAGCTTCGCAGGAGTCAACCTTTGTGACCCGGTTGATGCTGGATCTTCTAATTCTGTACACTTGTTTTGTCTTGTTCAGACAAGGTATTCTGAGCCTGCCGGATGTTGCCATAATACCATCTAGTCCCAGCGCCGTTGAAATGCTTTTTCGCTAAACCGAGTGCTTTCAGCACAAAATATCAAAACAATGCCCGCCAAGCTATGCATGAAAAAGAATGCAATGTTCCCTCACCCCAAGAGGAAACTACAGAGTGAGAAACCGACTCTTAGAATGGGTATTGGTGTTGAGCAATGGGCGTGGAAACATTGCTATGCTGCCAGCCATCGGGATGGAAGTTGGGGAGCGGTCCACTCCGGCGCTCAGTCATCACTTTGCTCAGAGGATGGTAGTGAATCTGGTCAGAAGTAACATTTCTGACTGGCATCTGAAGTGCAGCCGACGGCGGAGGTATCAAAAGCGTGTTGACATGTCGCACCGGTCGATACGGAGACGTGCGATGCGTCAAAAAGTATGAAGGTGATAGCCCTGGTAGAGTGGGAGTAGCGGTATTGTATCCATTAGATGGAGAGGTATGAGCGGAAGGCAGCGTTGTAACAGACCGGGAACCATCGCCCAGACTTGGAACAGGATTTTGGAACAGGGATTGCGGGACTGCAGATATTGGCGTGACAGGATGGGAATAGGTACCACTTGCAGCCGGGTAGACGATTGAGAGTGGCCTATTCGGCTGGCCTGGTAATAGGGTGTTCTGTGCATTTGAAAGCGGTAGTGAGGGTGGCACTCGTGGTATGTCCAACCTTGGGATATCCGGCAATGTTGCTGGAACTCCAAGATCCGCCAGACCAGTGGGACGGGTAGGAGAAACTCTTAGACTGCCAGCAGTGTACGGAAGCGAATTCGCCCTGTTCCCAATGTGTTCTGAAAGCTGGCCAGTAAATTGTTGCCTTTTCGCAGGAGGAAGCTCAGTGGAATAGTCGGCACTCCGTTTCCGCTCTTGATGATATCCCCTCAAGCCAACTTGTTGCCGAAGTGGTGAACTCGGAAGTTGTGTCGCTGCAGACGAAGGATGTGGCAAGACAGGGTAATGGGTGTTGAGAGACGGTGAGACACCATAGGGACTGACGCTGTGATGAGTGGAAGGAGGTGAGGGCAGCTTTTGGGGAAAGCTCTGAGCAGTAGGCGTGACAGGGGTGGTGCCATTTGCTCTGCTCTCATCTACCAACGGTAGCTTGGAGGCCTTCTCGTAAAACGCGCCAAACCTTCCCAATTTGGATTTCCATTCACTCCACTCTGCAGCCGAGGCGTAAAGAGCGTATCTCATGTTGCTCAGAAATTCAACCTCCATGATGTGAATTTCGGTGACTGAAATGCCAGAAACCTCCGCCCACGTCTTGTTCGTGTATGTGTTGTCGTCCAGAAACTTGTTGCCCAGCATTAGGGCAATCGTCAGGAGCCGAAACTCACTGCCACGCTTCCCGCTGACACTGGGGTTGAATCGTTTGAGCCGATAGATGAACAACAAGGCAAGCAGGATTACATTCTTCCCAACCTGAGTGGTGCTGATGATCGTGGTCACCCATTTTCGGAACCCAATTGAGGGTATAGCATCTGGCAGCAACCCTCTGTCGACTGGTACATCCTCTGGGAGATTTTCGGCGTACTGCAATGTTTGCCCTGTTTCAAACCAGAACAGGCATGTAATCTCTGCAGCAAACTCGGCCAGACTCCCTTTGCTCTTGTTCACCGATTCTGGTATCTGAAGATGGGGTGCGATGGCATTCAGATTGCTCTGATCGGAGGCTCGACGGTTGTACAGGCTGACTCCGTTTGCGGGAGGAGCTAGAGCGTATGCATGGTTCGTCAGAACTGTAGATGCGGTGCTGCGTTGGCGAGCAGCGGTGGCACCGTCTGGCAAACCACTGCGGTCCTGCTGGAAAGCAGGTGCAGGCAGGGCCGCATAGCTGTTGCCTAACACTACTCCCGGCATGGCCCTCGAGCCCGGAGGCGTTGGTAAACCGCTGTTGAAGTAGGTCTCGCAGTTATTCCACCTTTTGCTCCCATATGCGTCTTGATAGGATGTGTTCGACGTCGAGTTCGACCGATCCGTAGGGCCAACAGCACTGTAGAGAGCAGACATGGACGACATGAGCTGAAGGTTAGGTTGAGAAAGGCCGAGGTGGAAAAGTTGTCAGTGTTAAGTAGTGTGAGTTGGAGGTGACAGGTGCGGCGGCATGAGCATGTCGCGGACGAAGATGAGGTTTGAAGGATGAGGCTGTGTGGTGAAGGGTCAGGTAGGCTTTGCCGAGCCTAAATGAAAGTAAGGAAAGGATAGTGATGTTCTCCGGCGACAGAGAACATTGCAACAGAACGAGGATCAAGAACAATTCAAGCGAGGAGCATGTTGGATGTTTTGGAGTCTTTTGACAGAATTGGGGGTTTGGAATGAAGGCAAAGTTATTGAAGAGGTGGGTCCGGATGTTTGGCAGCTTGAGAGGGCAGAGGGACTTTCACCCACAACGCCCTTTCAAACAGTGACTGTCCGAGCCCGGGCCCAGTTCAATCAGAGGGATAGGACGATGATACACTGGAGCAATCAAGACTGACAAGAACCGTGATTAATGAGTGAATCCACGAGACGAAAGCAGTCAGCCGAGCAACGCATGCTTCGGCAGGCAGAGTTTGTGGCGGCACCAGGCAGTTGGACCGATGGAAAGGATGATCTTGTATTTTTCATCGCCCATCAAAGCCTGCATCAGGCATGATGCGCCGTCACTCACTCTCCAGGAACACCGGGGCCTTGTCTTGGATCGAAGGCGGTTCGAGGCTCGGCTGTAAAACCGTCAGGGTCCCCTTTCCCCGTCCTAAGGTTGACGAGCCCGGTTCAACCCAGGTGCAGACAAGGGAGACGGAGACGACGCAAGAGCGAGGGGGGGTGTGGGCGGGAAAAAAGAAGAGCAGCAGCAAGTAGTAGCAGCAGTAGTCAGAAGGGCCAGGCAAGCCGCAGAAGTGGAAGGGAAGCTACGACGGCGGGCTGGGTACGCGCGGCGACACCCAATCAGGAATGGGCACCAGGGACAAGAAAGATGGAGCGACAGGAGCACACTGGCGCAAATGATTGCCAGAGTGGACTAAGACGGGCTGGCTGGCGGAGGACAAGTTACAGTCAAAAAGAGTGATGGGATGTTTTGGAAAAAAGAAGGATGGCCCAGGATGACGATGGATGGGGATGGGGGTTGGTCGGAAAGGGGGGGGGGTGAAGCCAGAAAAAGCCAACGGGAAACGGGCAAACGGGGGTGGTCAAAGTGTGTTTAACGGTCCAGGTTAAGATCAAGGTCAAGGTCAAGGTCTGAGCAAGGTTCTGGTTGTTGGTTTGTGGTCAGTCATGGTCATGGTCAAGGTCATGCACACGGTCGAGTCACGGTGATGAGCCATGAATCGCCGGCATCCCAAAGCGAGGAGAGAAGGGGGGGGTAAGGGGAAAAAAAGGTGCAAAATGGCCACCGCCAATTCCATCCATCCATTGCGAGGGGGGCAGCCGACAACCTGACCGCATTTAGCTCGGCATCATTCGTATCAGCGTCCCAGCGATCCAGAGTATTAGCCTTTTTTTGGGCTGTGCAGTGCACCGAGTGTTGCTTTGGCAGTGTGGATTATTTGGGGCCTAAGTGCCAGCCGGATTAACAGGGTTCAGGACTGGTTGGTACTAGTGACATGCTTTACGGGGTACTAGAGCCATGTACGGAGTACGAGTATTATTATCATGTTTTTATCGAAGGGCCACTTGTGGTCCTGAGTCCTGACATGTTCAAAAGCTTCCTTGGGAGGAGGCAGAACAGGGATAGTGGGACGAGTGGGTGGAGGAGGGTTTGGGGGCGTGGTCTTTGCCATCGCCATCGCCATCGTCTTATGCGCCTTCGCCTCGGCCTACGAATCGGAGTGACGAATGGCGACGAAACAGCCGGATGATGGACGAAATACCACCGCAAGGTCCGGGTACATTATGGACTGCTTTGCGAGGCGAGGCACGGACAACGACGTGCTTGGTGGTTACGGGGTTACGGGACGAGACTAGGCAGCTCCAGCAGAATGAAATTGAGACACTCAGGCCGTCCGAACCAGTAGTACATACCTGCGAGGTAGGGCAAGAGGAATTTGACACCCGAATAACTTTGTACGGAGTTCCTAGGCAAGCAAATAATACCAAGTATTGCACGGGGCTAGGCTGGGCAGGGGCGCGGTATGGTATGGCAAGGCAAGGCAAGGCAGGGAGGGCAGAGCAGGGCAAAGGAGCTAGACGGTGCAGGTGAGAACCAAAGTGTCCGAACGAGAAACTGGAGCCTTTGTCAAATGATAATCTCGCTCCGGGATGGAGACTGGTAAGACTTTCGTTGCATGTCGCCGGTCCGTGGCTGCTGCGACTGCGGCTGCATCTGTTGGCCTGCCTGAGTGCCATCGATGAGCAGCAATCCGGGAAACGAACGCTAAACGGGATGAGAAGGATGGACGTGAGCAGCGGTTGGTTGGGTGGCCCTTCAGAAGTCTCATCAGGTGGTGATCTGAGCGGAATTGGGGAGTGGGAGCCGCCAGCTGAGTTTGGAAGCCTGGGGCCTGGGGCCTAGGAGACTGGAGTCCAGGAGCATGTCAGTGAGAAACATTTAGCGAGTTGACAAGCCCTGAGGTTGGATCCCGGGTTCGCAAGGGAGGTCAATCGTGTCGTTTGGAGGCTGCAGCTGTGTGGGAAGACAAGCCGAGCGTGAGGTCCCTCCTTGCCAGACAGGGAAGGCCAACAGAACAAATTATGTCTACCTAGACCGGATGCAGCCACTCGGGCTCGCCAGAATTTCTCACACACTCAAAAGACTTTCAAGTGCCCCGTCACGGGTTGGGGTGGCAGCCCCCCCGGAGGCCCAGCGATGGGCCACAAAAGCACCATGCTTTTGATTTTTCGGCTGGTCTCTTACCGCGCACAGTCAGTGGGCGTCCCGGCACGCAGCTGCTGCTCTGGGCTGCTCTATTATTATTGGAGGATCGTCTGGTCTCCCACACCTTCCTTCTCACCAAGGGCAGTTTAGCACCATGGCCACTATTCACTGGTCCGTAGAGTTGTTTCCGTCGTGGTGTTGCTGCCGGCTCAAAGGTCGTTCGATCATTGTGGACTAGGAGGCCCCAGAGGATCCAGCAGGGCTTCCCTTCGCTAGTTGCCTGCTACTGCAGATTACGAGCGGCGGATGGGCGGTAGGCGTCGATGAGTTGGGCTGCCAGGAGTACTCTGTAGGCTGTACTGCGGGCCAGACAGGGCACAAAGTTATGCCTGAGTAACACCGCATTTCCCGGGCTTAGTTGTCCGTGGCCCGGAAGGAGTCCTGTGGTGTCGAGTTTTAAGGGGGTGCAAGCACAGTCAGTAGTGTTTGGGAGGGATGCTCCAATCCCACCCGGGCAATCCCTCCAGCGACGACTAAGAGCAAGCGCAGGCTGATCCTAGCCTTCAAAGCCCGTTCGCCACGACCAATACTGCGACTGAGCCCCGTTCATGGATGAGGACGGGACTCATCAAGTGACGCCCTGCACCACGGAATCATGTCTGACACTTTGAGATCCTGGGAACTTTGACGGAGTGGAGCTTTGAGATAGAGCACCAGAAACTTCGCTTGCGGCAAGACAAGGAGGCACTTGTTTCCTCTGGAAGCCGATCCTTTCTTCAGAATTCCGTTCTGATTGGAGTCTTGAGGACCACAATAGCCATCGACTTTGGATCGGGTCCTTGTGTACTTGTAGTGGCACATTTTTCATTTTTACGATGGGCCGATGCAGCAGCAGGCCGAAGCGGGAGGCACCCAGGAGGGGCTTTATCCGGCAAGGTACTCGCAGTAGTATTAATTGAGACACTTGAATTCCCGGATCAAGCCACTGTTTGGCCAGAAAATGCTTTGCGGGTAACATCACCAGGCCTTGGCCGGCATGACTTGGGGCATGGTTGGCTGAGAAATGGCCGTGCAGGACGTCAAGGACTCCCTCAGGATACTCGTAGAGTGAGAAGAGCCACGCCGTGGTTGATGTGGGGTTGGTAAGATGGCGAACGAGATGTGCAAATCTTTGGAGCAGATCACACGGAAAAGTATGCAACACGAATACCAACACTAGCAATGAGGTAACATGATGAAGTTTTTGGGTCTCTTTGATTACTAGCCGTGAAGCATTTTGTGGACCATCGAGGCCGTGAGGTAACGAGACGTGGAAATCCATCGACGAAAGGCCACTGGCACACATCGGAGTTCACGAAAGGAAGGCGTTATTGGCCCATTGTTATTTGCTCCTTGCAGACATCAGGTTGTGCTGCTGATGCGTCCTTTACCACCACTACTGGGCCACTGTTAGCACGGTTTTGAAAGCCGTGGATACAGTCCAGTCCTTGAAATCATTGATGAGGGTTCGGTGATACTGGGCCCTGCAGGAGCAGGACATCGGATATTGGCTGGAATTCCACGGCAGGAGAGGCTGGCAAGAGGCCATCCAAGCTGAGCTGAACATCCATGTTGATCGAGATTCCCAGAGTACCCGAACTGGCGTAGAGTATAATCGTTCATACAATAGATTAATTCTCCTGGTCACGGCAGTTACGGGCTTGTCAGAAACAAGGGCCTCCGAGGCGCATTGATACGATGGAAAAAAAGATGGAACATGGCATCAAGGACCGTGGTCAAAGGTATGTACGAGTACAAACATGGGTTACGCCTTTTCGGGGGCCCCTTGGGGGGCAAAAACTCATGCTCCACCAAAGCAGAAACTGCGGCGTAGGTAGGTGAGTTTGCTACTCTGTATCCGGAATGAACGTTAAAGGTCCAAAGGAGATTGATAGGCAGACGAGCGACAGGACGAGTAGAGTGGCTTTTCAGGGGAAGTCCGGTGAGGCAGCTGGAGCTGGAACAAACGGAAGTGGTGGTGGCCTAGTTCTCGTCGCATGGAGTACTGGGTATTAGTTGGGAGTCTGTTCGTTGTCTAACGCGGAGGGAAGCAGTGCAGTAGGCGCAGGCATCGACAGAGAGGTAACCTGGTGATGATGGATACCCTCCGCTTTTTCTGCGAAATCATCTGAGCCGCCGTCATCCAAGCCATGTTCTGTTTCGCATTTGCCATGCGGCGTCCAGGTTGCGAGCCAATCATGGGATATTGCGAGAACTGCAGCCAAGCGTGCCACGAGTAACCTTGGGACTTTCCTCACAGAGCGAAAGTCCAAGGGCTGAGAATACAGGCTCCATAAAAGCTCGTCATGATTGCCCTAAAGACCAGTCACCTACCAGTGGCAGGAAGCCGACGGAAGCGAGAAAGTCGGGGCCAGCTTCAAGATCAACGTTTACCAATTTCGACTACGGGCGCAGGGTGAGATAACAAAGCACACGTAGTCGCACTCCAGGGCTCCGTCCGAGTATGCTGATCACATTTTGAGCGGCTGAGTGACACCAGTGGTGCTGGTGGACGAGGCCAAGCATAACGACCCAGGCTTGCCTTGACGAGGGTTTGTGTCGGGGCTTTTGTCAAATAATGGTGAGGGGACTGTGTTTGATGGTCTTGTTGCTCACTAGGTAATTATTAATGCCTAGTAGTACGAAGGACCCAGACTGGTAGTTGAGGGTGCAGTCACAGCTCCAAAGCGACATTTTCCGGGCAAATAATTACAAGCTAGTCCCGAGTACAGAGGTGGTCTGTACAGTGTCAGCTGGAGATTGAGGTTCGGTGAGGTTGAGGTGGACCGAATCAAGGCCTCAGCCATCTCTCACTTCTCCTTTTCTCCTGTGGGTGCCTGTGCCATTGCCCAGTAGTGCACATCACTGCGTTATTGCGTTACTGCCTGCATATGGCCGCAATTTGCACTCGGGCCCTCTGTTCAACTGACGACTGTACCCCATAATCACAGTCAGAGAGGCAGGGGGCATAGAGGTGGCAACGAGGTCGAATTGATTATCCAGAATGACAACAGCAATGGGAGCATGGGCAGCACACCACAACAGAGCAACAGAGCGTCGCATCTCGCATCGGGCCCTAACAGACGCCCTCGCATCCTACGAGCAATCCAATCACCTCATTCCTTGTGACGTGAATCTCTTTCAACATCATCGTTGCATGTTGCGGCGGCATCGGAACCACCGTCACCACCGTCACCAGCCATGAGCCGCTCCTTGTAGCAGTGAGAACCTTCATTCGTCTTGGTCATCCTGGGTTTCCGTCTCCCTGCTGTGGTGGCTGCCGCTTCTCCTTCTGCTGTGCTTGCATTCGTAATATTGTTTCATTATTTTGATTTGGTCTACCTAAACCATCGGGGCTCGTTTTCGCCAGAGACTGCTCCACTTAGCAGCTGCGCATTCCTCGTCATCCGCCAATCCGTCCGTTGATACCCTGTCTTCGGAAGCGTGCACTTGAGGTTGGAAAGTGACAAGGGAAAAAGTGAGAAAAGGATGAAATGAAAGTGAAAATGACACGCCTTCGCGTCTCCTTCGCGCCCGCGCCCCGCGCCCCGCCGCGTTGCCTGCTACCATTACGGCCCAATTCATTGCCCATCTTTCCTTGATTCCCTCTTACTTCATCATTGTTAGCTTCGAGGCTTGATTTAACTCGTTTTGTTCCAAGTCCACACTCGGCCAAGATGCTCCAATTCTCCTGCTACGACGGCCACCGACAAGACCCGCTGAATACCAGGTAGGTACTGCCCTTGTCACCCCCTGCGCCTCTGGCCCTCTATCCCCCTCCCCTGCCGCCTGCGCTCGACTGACGCGTTTGCACTCACCAGCTGCTATTGTGTTCGTCGACGCACTCCAGAACCTCGGGCATGCAAGCCAAACGGTAATTAGCCTGGTGTCCACTGGCGGCCGCATTCACCCATCACGATTCACGATCACACTCTCTTCCCTCTAACTATCACTAGTGCCCTAGTCCAGCTGGCCCCAGTCCTCTCGCCTCTCGCTTTGTGTTGAAGGTCCAACTTTGCAGAGTCGTGGTCCACGTTGCTCCTCCGTCAAGGAAAGGAGGCCACCTCATTGTCTCCACTGGTGCCACTTATGAGCACAAAGAATGCTTATCACCACCACTTGTCCTGCACCATACGGGCGATTCATATCTTTCCGCGGGGCTAGGGCTGGATGACTCCCTTTGTCTCTTTTAGGGCGCTATGACTGGGCTCGACTTGATACGCTACATATCTCGTATCTGTATGTCACTGCCAAGTGGCTGCTCGGCCGTCTTCCGCTCTCTTGTGCCCGAGCTATTCTCATGATAACGCGGGACCTCCTGCGGTGGTCTCCATATCACTCCTTGTCCCTTCTGACATGAATCTGGAACATCTGCCGCCGTCCGCTGAGTGTGACATATTTTCTCGGGGAGCCCGCTGAATGCAATGTGTTCTTTGAAGCTAACTTACTCATTCCAAATCAGGCTCTTGTGTCGTGACCTGGAAGTGGAAATAACGCGAGGCACCACAATCCGCTCTCGAGTCTCAGTTTCTTTTGACCCCCAGTCAAACGCGATGAACAGCACTCCACAAGGCCGCGTCGGTATTCGCCAACCAGATTTGAATGGCTCCGTGTGCAGGGGAAATAATAACGATTAGGAGCAAAATGCTTCAGTACGCCTGGGATCTCCACCGGTTATTGTTACCCTATCCCTTCTTCAACCACGGCGGCTTTGGTGGCAGACCTAACGTGAAATGGGCAAAGGATGTCTCCCATGCCTCGGCTTGCCAATGATGCCATTTCTGACTACCGCACCGATGCAATAATGCTTACAGAGTATGGCCGGCTGCGAAGGCATCTGCTCTGCTTCCAAGGGGGGAAATTCCTGCACCACGGGGTTCAAAAAATGCGCATCACTCATCACTAGTTGGCAGTTATGCCTGCTGGTCCACTCCAGCACGCCACAATTGAATGATCCGCGACTGGAGCCAAAGGGAACTTTTTGACTTTGGATTGCAGCTCGCCAGAACATCCCAGTTCTCTGTCTGACCTCCGGCCAGCTCTGATCCCGCCACTGTTGATCCCTCTGCATCCACGACTGTTTCGAGAGTCCCGCATTAAGAAAGAGGTTGCCTGGAGATATGCTGGCCTGGGGACTACGGCTCACCGTCGGCCTGCTTGTCAGCTTTCACAACCGGTATCGATTCTAATGGCTCGGTAAGTCCGGGCTCCTTACATTATTTTGTGCCTGTCCATCTAGCTGCTGAGGCAGCGTCAAAGCGCGCAAGATGAACTGCCATTTTTGCGTTATCGAGGGCTTCAAAGGATTATTTCCGGTTGGAAGATTGCACCAGATAAGTTCATGTGAGGGGAGTGTTCTGTCTGATTGCACCAGTCTGCCTGATCACACAAGTACGCCTGTGGTTACAGCAACTCACATGAAGAGGACAAGGAACCATTGACACTCCATCATCTGATCACTCATTCGCTTTTATGCCCAATCCGAAGTCAGAACATCGAGGAGAACTGCCAGATTCTGTGACGAATGCATCGTGTTCAGCGTGCTATTCCTGGACGGAAGACCTCACTTCCACATCGAAGATGAGTTCATTTCGAAGCTTCTGTCTGTGTTGAACGAAACCTCAGACATCTGATACCAGTTATTCCTCAATACCACCGCCGCCGATGGGCTCTCTACCAAGTTTCGAACAGGGGAATTGTGAGATGGATTTGTTCTTCCACATCCGGCAGGAAATGCCTTACAGCAAAGGCAGACTTCATATCAATTCCCCTAGCCCTTGTGATTCGTGCGGCATTTGCAAACTTGATCTTACAGACTTCGTTCGATTTCCACCGTTCGGGCGTACGCTGTTCCTCTTCTTTCTTGCAGAACCATCGATCCTTTCGGCTACCTTCTTTCGAGTGCTGTGACACAAGCATCCATGACTGGGCAACCGTACGGGGCATGATGATGCGGCACAAACGAGTTCACACATAGATCATTCACTGGGAAGAATCAATGATTGTGTCAGTGGACCGGTTCATTTGAGCATTCCTCCGCTCAACGAAGAGGCCGGTACGTCGTATGCCGCTGTCTATAGCAAGACCCAAAGGCCTGGTTTCGGCAAGATCATTGTGTGAACGAACGCGTTTGTCGTCCAAGTTCAGCTATTCTCCTTTCGGCAGTCGTCCAAGATCGCTGACATTCTGATATGGCATTGGCACGCCACGACGTTGACCATGGGCAAAGAGTCCTGAGAAGAGTCTTGTGCTAGTCTGTCCAGAAGCACCCCACGGGGTCTTCAGGATCCAGTTGCTGCGAAACGTTCACTCTAGCAGACTAATCGCCTGTTCTGTCGACGAAGGTAGGCTGCATCAGACCTTTCAAGGATACGTCCAAGCTGCTGTGCTCACACAAACATCCCCTATTCCTGAAGAAGTAGGTCTTTCGTGCTTTATTAGGAAGTCCACCCTTACTTGATCCTGCTACCTACAGGTGGAAGCGGGCAATTCGGAATTCGTTTCCTGCGCGTGTCGTCATCCCAGCGTCATACTAAAAGCAGTCAAACCACTTGGCTCACGTTCAATGTTTGTTTACAATTGCGGCCTCACGTCCGGAGGACACGACCCTGAGTCTCGCATATCCAAGCTTCGACCTCTCCTCGCGACTTTATGTACAATGGCCCCCGAGTCGAGTATCACCGTCGACACTTCCAAGAAACAAAGCCCCATCCGGAATGCTGCTCAAGGAGCAACGCTAAAGGACCAGCTTCCTCCCGCCAAGTCCAGCCAGACATATCCTCAACAAACCTCAGCGGTTTCGGCTGGGTTAAATGCCTCGTTGTTCTTCGTGGGTACCGCAACCACAGTTTTGGAGTGGGAGGGTCTCCGGCTCATGACAGATCCCAACTTCTTACATGCTGGGGACCATGTTCATTTGGGACCCGGTGTCAGGGGGACGCGGAAGACGAACCCCGCAGTTGACCTGGAGGATCTACCGCACATTGATCTCGTCCTCTTGTCGCATTATCATGCCGACCATTTTGACCAGGAAGTCGAAGCTTCGCTCCGCCGAGATCTGCCGATCATCACCACCCCCCATGCCCACAAGCACCTGGCGCACAAGGGACATGGCGAAGCTTTCACGGCAGTGCATGCCCTCGACGCGTGGGAGAGTATGTTCGTAAATGTCACCCCCTCCTCCGCATCCACCAGACGCCCTCACCTTCGCGTGACAGGCATGCCCGGGAAACACGTCGGCGATGGCCTTCTCGCCAAAGCGAACGACATCCTCGGGGCAATTCCACCTACCAACGGATGGATGCTAGAACTTGGCTACACTGGTGACTCGTCAGCCCCTTCCTCAGGCCCCGATTTCGAATGCGGGTATCGGATTTACATTTCGGGTGACACACTCTATGTCTCGGAGCTGGAGAAGATACCCGAGCTCTATACACACGCGGGCAAACCGATTGATTTGATGCTGATACACTTGGGCGGAACCACTGTGCCGGGCCCGCATATGCCGTTGCTCATGGTTACCATGGATGCCGAACAGGGGGTCAAATTGGTAAAGCTGGTGCAGCCAGAGGTTACAGTGCCTATTCACTACGAGTAAGTCTTGATATTCCTTTTTCGTTCGATCCGCCTATTGTCTGCACAAGTCGAAGGAAGTATCGTGGTTGGATGACCGCTGCGCTGCCATCAGCGGACGGTCCTCCTTCCTGACTTCCAGATTGGAGATGCCCGGAACCAACACAGAGAGAGAGAGGGAATTCATTCCTCCATCCATCAAAATGCACCGTTGGAGCGTCTCAGTTCAGTGTTATGACCCTCATCCCCTATTTGGGATGTCAACCAAGTGGCTTAGTTCTCCTTCTCATTTCTTGCTGCCTTCTACGCCCAAGAAACCCTGGCTTCTCTTTGATCCTGTCTCCTCCCACCCCTCTCCCCAGCAAAATAGAGACAAGAGCACATGGCGCCAAGTCCCGAAAATACAAAAATCTAACGTCGAAATCCCTCCCTCCCGTTTCCGGGGTGGGAGGGCCACAATCAAACAGTGACTACGACGTCTTCCTTTCCCCACTTGCAGACTTCAAGGACGCCATCACCAAGGCCGGTCTCTCGGACAAAGTCGTCTACCTCGACCGGGGAGACGAGTTCAAGTTCCGGGTCAAATGAGCCGACGACGCGCGGGGGGAAGGAGGGATTGAGGGAAATAGGATACGAGGACGACGAGCGCAGGCGGATCGAAGAGTCTAGGGAGAGGAGACGTGGGATTCAAAACCAGAGACGGAGACACACACAAGAGGTCGAGCTGGGAAGGAGAGAGTCTGTGGTTATAAACATAGGCTAGCTCGCTAGCTAGCCAGCTACTCATTACATGCAGTGACCAGAAGGAAAGATTCCATATCCATCTATCTAGCCATACGGCGTTCTCCAACTCGTGTCTTGGTGGGGACAACACGAAACGGCAATATCGATGTCGGTTCGCGATATCTCGACGAGGCCGTGCCATGCTGCTCGCATGCCATGCGTAGCCTAACCCACCAGGCAGCAGATGCCTGCCTACCCACCCACCACCTACGTTACTCGTAACATAGCGTGCATAGGTCAAATGAGAGTACAGCCCCCGATGCCACATCATGATAATAACTTAGATTGATCATGTATGCCAGAATTCGGATCCAACGCAAAGACGAGAGATATGCAAAAAAGCAAAGCTTGTTCGGATTCGGTCACCCTTTAACGATGAATGCGTGTTATGCGTGTGCAGGATCCGCAAAAGACTGAAATACTACTATAATACTTCGTTGCACTACGTTATATTAGTGCGAGATACGTATTTATTATATTGAGACCGTCGTTTCCATACATGCAATGCACCCACCCCTTCCTTCCTGTCTGTATCTACAGTATGCTACAGAAATAAAATGAAAAAACCCACACACACGCTGCATTGATCTTGCCATTTTCACGTCTTGCCCAGTGGCCCCTGCCCCCTGCCCATCCCACGTCCACAGTAAATCACCCTCATTAGCGCCACGCCGCGAGGACCGACAAATCTATCGATTATATGTTTGTGGGGCCAAGCTCTTTTGTTCACACACAGTAGAACGCACAAGGAGTCGACCGCCGTGTGAGGACAGCAAACGTGATGAAAATGTCTGCCTACCCCTCAAGGACCAAGGGCAGTCCTAGTCGTAATGGACCTTTCGCTTTGGTGCCCGCCAATGTATCTCAAACCCGGGCTTCAGGTCAGTAGGCGTACTCCCTTTCCCTTTCCCTCGCGCCTTCACGACTCCGCAACCCTGAACGCTGCGTCTGCGAATCCGAGTAATCCTCATAATTCGGTAGTTGTCGTCTTAGATCGCCATAGCTTTGTCTTGCTTCAGTCAAATGTCCATACGCCGACAACCGATCTCGGCTCGACGAGTATTGGTGACTCTGGCTGTGAGACTGTTGGCTGCCATATTGTTGCTGCCCAACCGACGGATGTTGATGGAAGTGAGCGGGCACCTGAGGCGCATAGTCCATGCTCATGCTGCTGGCATCGTAGACGGACTCTCTCCCGGTGGGAGCATTTCCAACTCCATAAAAACTGGTTCGGTAATCTTCAGTTGAAGGGTCGAGGAGCGCTTCTTTGACGTCCCAATGGCCTTGCTTTGTGCCGACGCTGAACTCAAGATCCTCCCTGGTGATGCTGTCCCAATACTAAAGTCCACGTCAGTACATATGAGCGATTTAACGTTTTGCGGGCGACCTACCTTGTACACCATCATGACTCCCAATAAATTGCACACTGTGGCGAAGAACAAGCCGTCAAGATAGTGGCTGACTCCTTCGCAGATTCTCTTGCCAAACACATATAGGATGACCTGGCCAACGATGAAGAAAAATGCTCCGAAGGCGAGATCACCTAACGGCCACCGGTCCTGCAAAGTGTTCACAACAAGGATGACCTGCATGACAAAGTATACCGCGAGGAAGATGGCGTTGATGATATACACAACGATGAAAAGACCTGTCGTGTTCGTTGGCGACAAGCCAGCCCAGCCCTTGAAAGTGAGGAGACTGACGGCGAAGCTGATGAAGAACATGATCAGACTGCCGAGTCGTAGCAACCAAACCGAAAGTGTGGTCCCATCCTCATAAAGCTGAAACCCAACGAACCCGTTGATTAACAGACTCGTGCACAGTGCACTAACCAGGCCGTTCTGCACCGCCACGAACCAAGGATATGCACTCCCACTTGTTGCCTGGATCACGCCCGCGTCCAGCACCAGGCTGATGATGGTCAACAGGCTGTATATGTAAAAGAATGTCAAGATCTCTTTCCTCCCTACAGCTGTGAATTTAGACCGAACGTGGAAGATCATAATGGCGGTCATGAACAAGGCCCCAATATGGGCGAAGTCGCTCGCGGCTTGGAAAATGATTGTATTGCCTAGTTCGATGGATCGCGCACTGCATCCTGGCAACAGGACAGGGTTTTTGGCTGTTGTGAATTCCGCGGGAGGGCCCAAGATGTAACAAAGAGGTAGCGCAGATTGTCTGCAGATCGAATCGAAGGAACCGAAGCCCATCTTGGGCTAAGTGCCCTTAAGAGGACAAGTTCAAGGAACTTTGCAGAAAACTCGACGCTACCAAGCCCCAAAGGCAAGGATTAGATGTATTTTTCTTGCGGGAAACCGGCGGAGTGAGGATGGATTTCGTGATGGGTGCGAATTGTTGCAAGGGGGTGATTGACGGAAACGAGAGGAAGAGCCGACGGATTTTGAGGGGGTAGAAACGACCGACGCGGCTGCTGGATGATAACGAGGGACGGACTGCGATAGAGAATGACAGGAAAAGTGTAACAATGTCTTGAAACGAAGATGATGCCTCAGCGAGTGGAGGAGCAGGTGGTGGTGGTGGTGATTCTAGGGCAACGCAGTCCGAAACAAGGCTCTGACCGGGCCAAACACGACCTTTCCTATATAGGTTAGACCCATATCATTTTGGCATGACCCGGAAATAGCAACACTGGCCAGCCTTGTCAACGAGGCTACGAGTACATATATCGAGTACCGGGTACGCATTGAGCAAACGTCAAACAGTGAGTTCAATAAAGGCTGGCTCATTCAGCGTCTCGACGCAAGACGGATATGCTCAATTGCTAATTCCCTCTGGGTATACATCATTCCTCATAACCAGCACACCGTCACTCGACCTGTGACATTCTTGCGCAAAGACGCCAGTTACTCGCCGCCTACCCAACGCCTTAAGCTAACCCTGGATGCTCTCCTGGTGCTTGACCATGCAGTAAAAAAGAGTAGTCTTGAAATCCAGCCGTCATGCCCTGTCCTGCACGCCATCATCCGGACTCATGCTCGTGCCTTTGGTACTCTTAATTTCCTTGCTGCCTTGGTCACAAGTTGTTTTGCTCTTCCTTGTGCGGCGCCCAGGTGGTGAAAGACCGTCGTCCTGTTGAAGCTCGGTAGATGACGCAGCACATTGATAGACTCAACTGTATCAAACACGCGCAAACGAGCATTGGCGAGTCCGCCGGATAGTACATTGCCGAATTTCTTTCCTGCCATAGCGTAACCTTGGGACATGCGCACCATTTTGCCGTGTAGAGTTTGTGTTTCTTCTCTCAACCTCAACCGGATATCGAAAGGTGTCAACTTGCTCAAGAAGGACCATGTTGCGTTGAGCGGCTTTCCTCTATGCATTCCTTCCTTGGTTAGCCTCGGAAACAAAGCCAAATCATCCGCGATGAACCGTTCTCGCACAGCCTTCCAATAGTCTGAAAAGCTGCTCGCCGTTTCCTGAACATGTCCGCTCAGCATGTTCAAAAGCTCTTTCAGCCGCTGAAACTCGGAAGTCGATCGGTCTCCCAAGGAGACGGTAAACGTCTCACTAAGTTGAGGTTTACTCATGGTCAGGTTGACCTCAATATCACCATGAGCATCATGTGGCTGTAAGTGGACACTGAAAACCCCTTCAAAGAGCTCTTGTACGGACACAGGAAGGGTCTGGTTCTTCCGCTTTAGCTCAACAGACAATGGAGACCGCTTTTTGCGACTCAGTGCGATCTTGGGTAGTCTGACCAGCAATTGGCCTTCGCCTGCGATACCGACTTGAAAATGTAGTACGTCATCTGCAACGGCAGGAATAAGATTAACTGAAGCAATGTCGAGCAATTGTTGAGCACTTTGGCTTTCCTCGCTGCCACTGTGAGTGGAAGTTGCAAGTGTTGGCATGGATAGGTCCGTTCTCGTTGATGGTGCTTGCTCCTGCGCGGTAACGCTGGCAATTATATCGTCGGAAGCTGCGCCTGAGGAGGGGTCGGTCAAGATTGGCCATAAGCCGAATCCCAGAAAACTGTACACGCCGACAATCCAAAGGACGATGAAGACATTCTTAATGAGTGAAGCACTGACTGGTGGGAGAAGGCTGAATTCGCTGCCGGGCTTCTCGCAAGGCTCTTTCGACGAGGAGTCCAAGCCATCATCCTCGCCAGCGTGGTTTTGCTCGGCGCTCGACACAGCATACGCAATGTGCTTGTTAAGGACAGTAGCATCCAAGTTCAGGAATGCCGCCATGTCCAGGGGTAATTTTGGCGAGAACTTGTGCTGCACCTGCATTGGCCGCTGAGGTCGTGTTTCGATGCATTCGTGCAGAGAATCAGAGGTCACACTACCTCGATAATCACCGTCCCAGCCCCGATCCATCCGGATCAAGATCTTCGGTATGCCGAGTTGCTCCACAAAGGAGATCATCTGGCAACTGTCGTTGTTCATACAGCCCTCATCATTGAGATTAACGCAGATGATGGCAATGTCCGGTACAGTCCAACGGGGGTTGCCGACGACTAACCTGGAGCCAGTCCACTTTGAAACTATTTCTGAGTAGGTTTGACTATTTCGAAGGATCAAGTCTTCCTGCTGGCCAAGACTACCGGATGACTGGATCAGATCATAGCAATCAAAGTCAATCAGTTTGTCGATTGCAACAAGGTCTGCAAAGTCTGGTTCTGCTCCGGGCCCAAATGTGTTTGGCACCACATGGTATCTCGAAACAGATGTGGGATTGACGTTGTGAGAGGTCACCGGCCGTGAAACAAGGACGTCGCCGAGTTTTCTCTGAAGTTCTGGTCTGAACTGTTCAACATGTCGCCCCAGTAGAAGAACCTTGAAATAGTTGTGTACGTTCAAGTCTAGACCACTTTCTAGAACAGGCATTCGAATAACACTCAGGCATCTTAGAGTTTCGCCCTCGCCATGACCACGATCAAGCAGTTTTCGGGCTTCTTGCTCAGAGAGAGGTCGGCTGGTTGTATAGGTGCCACTGGGACCCTGCTCATCTTGCCCAACTTCTTGTTCTGAGTAGACTATTTGAGGTGAAGGGGGCGGATCGGGGTAGCTGAATCCTTGCTCTGTGCGAGGGATCAGAGTCGGTCTGCGGTGTAATGCTTCCCTGAGAGTGTCCTCGAGACCATCCTCGTCTGATGATGCACCATCATGGATGTAGACTTCGTCAGAGACGCTTTGAACATCATCTGAGCTATGCACGTCAAGGAGAGATCCCACGTCTGTATGTTCGGATTGCAGGTCGTCTTCGTTGGAGGATTCAACGTCCGCAAGCGAGGCCCAGCTATCGTCTAGTGAATTATGGTCAGGCTCAGACGGCTGCATGGTGGTGGTCGTGGTAAGTGAGGAGTCTGAAGAGGAGGAAGAGGAAGACGAGTGCGCGAGCAGAGAGTCAAGTGAGAGATGAAGAGGGATTTCCGGGTATCTGAGGTCGAAGTGGTGTGAATCGCTGCCTCGAGGGCGAGCAGGCGGTTCCACTTCGTTTCGAGCAGCCTTGCTGTGGTTGTGCTCAAATGTGTCAGTCATATTGTGGTGAGGAAGCCCACGAGGTGATGACGGGGATATCACTTGATGCGGTGGTTGATGGAGGACGAAACGATGCTTTGAAGTGAACCTACTATTTGAGATGGGGTTGGCCCCAGACACTTTCCTTGTGGTCTCAACAGCGTTGCAACTTCTTGTGGACCAGGTCTTCCAGATCCGTGGTTCAGCAAATGGGATGCGGGACCAAGAGCATCTGCATGGACAAGAGGAGGGGGGCTCATTCAGGTACTGTATGGTCATCAACCTGGGTACATGAGAGCGTTGAAGGGGAAAGCCTGCATATCAAGGAGACAGAACGAAAGATGAAGTCACGGAGTTGAGGAAGGTACCTAAGAGAGAGAGACGAGGTAGTTAGGCACCAAACAGATCAGCAAAGGTTGATGCAAGGCAATGGCACATGGGCAAGTGTCAAGACCAAAGCAGGCGTGGCAGGCGTGGCAGGCTGAGGAACTGAGGAACTTGAACCCCGCAGACGCGCGCCCATGCATGCCGGGCTCCTTGGTGCCTGCCCCTCCACCACGCCGCACACGCCGTGCTTTGCCCGTTGGCCTGTCCTCGGATGCCTCTTTGGTGCCTCTCTGCAGGCTCCACCTTTGATAAGCAAGGCTAGGCTCCAGCCTTGCCGTCTCTATTTGTACCGTTCCTATTACAAGGTTATGATGAAGTAGTATATTTTGTATTCACACAGGCCCAACCATACACTTCAATCCCATGGGGTATATGGATGGGTTCTTCTCCTTTGCCCAACCTAAACCAATTATAGAATGGCCCCGGCCCCAGGCCCCAATGCGACGCGACTCGTGACACCAGCTGTGCCGTCAGCATCAGCATCGGCACCACGTCGATTCCTCAATGCCAACAGCCTCGTTAGCCAGTACATCTTCTGGAGTCGGCCTTTCTTGCTGAATTGCCGTTTCTCTCATCGCTTCAGGTCGTCCTTTCTTGTTGCATCACTCCGCTTCTGCAGATGCAGGAGGTAACATGTTCTGTACTCTTGAGAACAAACCCAGACAGTGTGCCTCTGAATCCAAGCCTCTTTCTCGTATTCCTTGCACGGCACAGTCCCTACTGTCCCGACGCCAAAATTTTTGCGTCTCAAATTGCACCAAAGGACACCAACGCCAGGCTGCCATGCAATAATCAAACATCTTGCTCTACCATTGCCGTGAGCGTGCCGTCCCTGGCATTGCCGGTCAAGGAGAAGCCCAGCCACCGGCGACTTCGACCCACTCGGCAAGACAGCTGCCTTCTTTTCCTTCCACGTCTCGGATGTCAGTGTCGCACCGACACCGACATCCAACACCGTTTTCTTTGGGCGGATCTGGAGTAGCCCAGTACTCGTCTTCCTCCTGTCTCTCCTTCTCATCCTCGGTGGTTTTCTCTAGCCAGGGAATTCGCGGCAGCTGTCGGGCTGGAGCATTCGCGGGACAGTGCTGGATTGTCGTGTGGCGATAGCCAAAATCCCGGAAATAGTGGATATCACGAGGTGCCAGGAGGGCACCAGCCGCAAGAGAATGTATAGGAGCATCACCCCACTGAGACAAAGTTAGTTTATGTATGGTTAATAATGCAGGTTCGGAAGAAACTCACCCTTTCCATCCAGAATCCTCCACTTCGGTCCATCATCTCGAAGAACTCATTGTACTCTTTACTTCTGAACCAGTCCAAGCGTGCGATCTCGAAATTACTCCAGAAATGGCACATATTGTATTTCTCCCCCTCCATCGCTTCCCCATCAATGTCCTCAATGTTTTGATGACCGGGCTCGGTCTGTAGGATCTCATTCGGTAATGTTTTAGCTCGTTTGTCATCTGCGGTAGCTTCCTTTTCGGGTTGAGGCTCGATGAACATCTCCCAGAGACCCTGAGACTGGATCTTGTGCTTACGCTTGTAAGCCGAGGCATAGCGAAAGATATTTGGCACTGTTTCCTTCAGTTCCTTGACAGCGATGGTGAAACCATAGGTTTTGTTGGCCCTCGCCATTTCGATGAAAGGATCGTAGGTGATGTCGCAGAAGTATTTGATTTCGGGTTCCAAGCGCCAGTACCATTCGAACTTGTCCAACAACTCGTGTTTGTAGAAGAATCCCGAGTAGAATCGGCACATGTGATGGTAGCTCTCCATGCCACCATACATGATTGCCTGATCCCCTTGCTTGCGGATGCCCTCTTTTGCGACTTCATGATCAACCCACTCCGGATATCCCCACATCGCAGGGTCAATCTTGCCAAATTCCACAGGAGAACTTGTGTAGTTGGTGACAGTGTCTTTGAAATCCTGCTCAAATTCTCCGTCATTGAGAAAAACGTAAGGATAATGGAACCATCGGTTGAAATGTCTTTCGATGCTCTTGATTGATTGAATGACTCCTTCCAGCTCCTTATTCCGGGCAAGGACAACAAAAGCCGCGTTAGCTCGTGGCTGCTTCGCAGCGTCTTCGGGGTTTAGACATCCCGTTGCAAATACTCGATCGTGCTTTTCACTTATTTTTCTGCTTGAGGCGTTAGAAGAGGATTCAGGAGGACGGGACGAGGACTGCGGCATACCGTATTGAAGGAGGCGTGCCAGCCGGGACTAATATTCGTCCCGGAGAGCTAGGATGTTTTATGACAAGAATGAGGATGATCAGGACAACCAAGCTGGGGAAAAGGAGCAGGAAGCCCAATGGTATGGATATGGACGAATTGCCTTTTAGCCTGATGCGCCTGCGGAAGAAGGATAATCTTGAAAGTGTCTTTGGCTTTTCATGCTTGTAGTCGTCCACTGCAGGCGACGTGTAAAGCGAAGGCAGGCGTTTATACAGGCGCTGTGCAAACCCCATTATTAAGGACTTCTACTACCCCGGTCGGAGGAGGGCTTTCCGCGCTGCTTCCAAACTTTTATCTCGCGGACATTCAATCGTCATCGAATGTCGACTTGAGGACGTCAAGGGGGTTTGTGTATTTCGTGCTGGATCGATTTCCAGGTGCCTCTTTTCGCAGGCGGCGAAGGATTGGGACGTGTAGGGTCGGAAACGGAGCTGATAGGGATGAGCGCGCAATGGATTAGGAGAAGCTCAGGACTGGACGGATCGGCGCAATGGGATTAACTTGGGCGATACCAAAGCAACATAATGGGCTCACTGGGTTGATTCAACAAAGTATGAGGACAGATATGGCTCTTCATGGACGTTGGGAGAGAAGAAAAGGACTTTTGGCTCGAAGTTGCAAGACGCTGGCAATACTGGTGATCCACAGCCCGACGGGCTCCAGGGACCAGAAACCAGTGAGAAACCACCACCGGAGGCACCAGAGGCAGATGGGCCACTGAGGAGCCACCTGAGGTTGCGTAGCTGCCAAGACTCCTGCTACCGACCACTCCGTACCTAGTACGAGATACTAGGTATACTAAGTACTACCACCAGTTATGGTACCTAGTAGTAGCGATATCATCAACTCATTTCCCAATCACCACTACCCTCGTCCAGTCAATGCATCACCGGTGATATTCATTCGTGTATGTATCACGTCCATATCGCAGGTCAACCGGGAGAACCTCCTGCAAAGATGCACCACCAGATATTATGCGACCAGCAGTCACAAGACGACACCATGATTACTGCGTATTATTATTGTTGATAGTATTACCACCCACGGTGTCTCTCCTTTTCCACAATTTTTTTGTTTTTGTCAAATGCTCCTGAGAGTGCAGAGTGGCCAAATGTTACGCCCAAATATACTCACCAATAGGCACTTGGTTAGTCAACCCAGGGTTGCCTCCCCTGGCGAGGGGGGGAGAAAGGAGGCTTTTTAAGTTGCCCCCAACAGTCGGCCGACACCCAGGCGGACAATTTCCAGGGGCCAAGGCTCGGTGGGCGCAGCCTAAGAATTGCCTCTCGGGGTGCCAGCGGGTGCCAGTATCGCTGTATCAGTTGCTAGGCGCGTCAGTTTCACGAGGCCGATCCCTCCCGGCTACCATCTGCTCCTCCCACCCTCGATCTTTCTCACCCAGCACCAGCCTCACTTATTCGCCACAGAGCTAAATGAGGAGTTGTTGACGTTGACACCGAATTATCACCTCCAGCATAAACAAGTGGCCACCAACCACCCCGAACCTGCAACCACTTCCATCTTGCGACTCAGTTTCGAAACCTCACAATGGTCGCCTGTTGAACTGCTTCCAATTCTTCCCAACCGATCAAAGTTCTATCGTGATGGTTTGAAACACCTTGTTTGACCCTGCCCAGCGGCTGCCAGGCTCACTAGGCCTCGAAAGACCCTTTTCCCCGCGTTCCTGCAGCCGCAACCCACCCACCGCACGAGGAGGCCTACGTCTGCATCACGAGCCATTGATCTTCACCGCATGGAATGATATAATAGTGACGCCCCTAATCTACGCGCGCCCTGATGGTTGCCAATTCTCCTCTGGCATCCAGCAATCTCCCTTGTTCATCATGGCCGCAACTTCTCCTCTGCGCCCGTCGACACCTGCTCGACCTGTTTTCAACGCTCCCCATCTTTCTCCGAATCGAATCCCTTTCGCCTACGCCTCTCAATCGTCCTACAAATCGGGTCATCTAGGTCTTGACGTCTTCTCGCCGGTTGACCAGAATGGGAGCTTTTGCTTTGACCGTGTGATTAAGAGTGGGAAAGTACAGCGGCGGGTCAAGAACAAGGGAGCCTGGAAGCCGTCATGGAAGCCGGCCTACCTCGTCCTCCGGCCGAACCTCTTGTCCGTCTACCAAAATCCAGATGAGACCGATCTCAAAGCTTCCATCACCTTGTCTGAGGTCACAGCTGTTGCACGCGTTCGAAAAGCCCACACCGAACATGTGTTTGGCGTTTTCTCCCCTTCGAAGAACTATCATTTTCGAGGACTGTCTGAGGCAGACACCGAGGACTGGATCATGCATATCCGCTTAGAAGCAAGGACCGACGACGATAATGATTTGGATCTTAGCGCTCCGCAGCTCTCGAACAAAGCTGGTGACCTATCAAACCCTTATGAGTCCACCGACATCTCAGCAGATGAAATGCATCGTGCTCCGGGTTCCCCTGAGGGGAAATCGAGAGCGATTCAGAACAGAACCAGGAATGGGTCACTGCTAGCGAACAGCCAAGGGCGGCCTTCCAATCTCCAAGAGTATTCCGGAAACGAACAATTCACAACGTCACACTCCGACTTCTCAGATACCTTGGGCAGTTCATTGCCAAAAAATTCCTCGTTGTCGCTCACAAAACAACAACCGGCATTGTCACCGATTGCTTCATCACAGCAACTCAGTTGCAAGGTCGAAGCAAAAGGAAATGCACAATTACCCCAACCACCATTACATTCCGAAGCCGTCACTGATCCGGAACGTGTGGTCCGGCAGGGTCACCTACAAATCCTAAAATCTCACAAAACTGGTGTTAAAGGGTGGAAGTGGATCTGGGTCGTGCTGCGTTCACGGAGCCTGTCTTTCTACAAGAACGAAGCCGAATATGCGGCCGTGAAGATCCTACCGATGCACTCCATTGTCAACGCCGCCGAGATCGACCCCGTGAGCAAGTCCAAAAATTTCTGTTTCCAGATCATCACGGATGATAAGACGTACAGATTTTGTTCCCCGGACGAGGAAGAGTTGGATAAATGGCTGGGAGCACTGAAAAGCGTGTTGAGCAAGCGCAACGAAGTGGAGAAGGCGCTCGCTGCAAAGGCAAGGGACAAAAACCGGGAGAAAGGGAAAGGCAAGGCTAGTTTGGAAGGCGCTGCTACATTGGTCCTGCGTCAGCAAGCTGTTTGATTTATCTCATTTGCTCAACGGCATTGGATACTTTATATCCGCGTCAACGACCGGTACGACCTCGAATGTGCATACCATGGCTGCCGTGGACTCTTTGCATATACAATGTGCCAAAGTGACGAACGGGGACGACGACTATTTTACCACTCTGGATGATGAATACAGCAAGGGCACGAGCATTTTGGCTCGTGCAAAAGAGCCAAAAAGTCTTTGGCCTTTGGAGTACGGGGAATAACGCTGTATATGCATTGATGAACTTTGGATGACCAAACTACTTGGAAAAGCGTATGAATACCCCTTTTGCGCTTATTTTGCATGGCATATGAGGTACACTGGATAGCACAATGAAAACTATACTGGGATTGCAAATTGCCGTGGTACAGAGTACACATCCTCTCTAGCAGGAGACCAGGCTCACGGCGCCGGTAGTGATGGAAGCTCCGAATGCTCAGTACACGATCGGCACGAGACAATTAACTACCAGGTATTGTTCGGACCGCATAATTTGGCAAGTCAGGCGAGCGACGACGTTCACGATGTTTTTGTCGCCAGCCTTGCGATTCCAATGCCAGCGTCAGTGGTACTCCGAATCCTCATCTCAGGCTGAATCACACGGCATAAAGATTGTTCGTATAAATCCCGAGTCAGATCTGGATAATGAATGAACAAAGAATACAATGACAGACATTGTGTGAGAGATTGGTAGTCGTGTTGGTATTGGCGGTGGTAATGATGTGGTTGTGGTAGTACAGATCTATACATGTAATACCTGCGGCGAGATAGTCAAGCCGGAGGGAGCATTTGAGAGAGTTGGCCAGCCTCTGATACACAACCCACAATCCAGGATAGATTCAAAGGATGGCCCGTGTGACGAGCAATGTTGCCTGACTCCGGTAGAGGTGGGCGCTTCCAAGATCAGGCGGATTTTGCTGCCTTTGGACATGTCGGTGGAGTTGCTCAGAGGACCCCCTGCTTTGTCCTCGACTGAGCGACCTGATCATATCCCTTGTCTTTCGAGGACGCTTTCTCGCCAACGGCGCATCAAGACTCATCGACCAAAAAGCCCTCTGACCCGTCCCCACAAACCCCTAGACCTGTTCTCAACCACCACATCTTCGTACTCGTCCGTTGGTGACCTGTATGCAGCTTTCTGTTCCGGCGAGCCAGCCCCAGCCTCTTGCATCTCCTCCTGCTCAGCTGAATACTCCGCCATCTCTTCTTCTTCATTCTCTGTCAATGGCCGTTGCTCCCACAACGGTGGTTGCGTATGCCCGTTTGCCATTTCCTCGGGCATCCAACCATCATTGATTCCACTGCCGATAACATGCACGCTCTTGGACACGACCGCTTGATATTGCTGCTGCGGCTTGCCCTCCTCGAATTCGCCCTCGTCATTAAGTCCACGTTTCGTCCTCCAGGCCTTTGCTAAGCCAAAGGGTGCCAACGCGCCATGAACGACGTTTCGTGGCCAAGAGCCTGCGAAGAGTCCATCATTCAAGTCCGCCCAGTACATCTTGATCTCACGCGGTTTGTCGGCCCACTCAGGTTTCGAGATGGCCCTTCCGTTTGATCTTTCTTGGGCTTCAAATGCCTCGAGAGCTGATTCTCTAGCCGCAGAAACTTGTTCCCAGACTGAGCCGGTCTCCGTAATTGGGACCTCGTTGTGACGGAACCATTCCTCCATAGCTTCCTGCTCCGCTGCCTTTGCGACCTGTTGGCGTTCCCTGAAGACATCAAAATTTTGCTGTTTCAGTTCTTCCCGTAACTGAACGGAATCGTAGTCGTTCGGCCCCTTCAGATGATTGTAGTCTTCGCCATCCACGATGTCGAGCTTACGCCCGCGGACTATGCCATGGTGCTCCATACTGAGCTGCTGGACCGCGTTGCGTGTGAGAGGTAGGAGTGCCCGCTCGTGCGCGGGAAGATCCTGGAGAGCCAGCGCTGCCCGTTTTCGGATCTCTGCGGCTTTTGTCTCCAGTTCCCTGCGTATCTTGTTGATGCGCCGTCGCGCACGGTTTGTCATTTCCGAAGCGTTTATCAGCCGCTTGGTTTCCACCGCCGTTACTTTTTCCCAAGGACTGGGTCCCGAAGATATCCAGTCAAGCACAAAAGCAGCGTCGGCAACGCTGGTGGCCTTTTGGTCCATCAACTTTCGTCCCCGCAACTTCTTCGGTAGGAGTTCGTCAAGCTTGGGAATCTTCTCGGTGAGCTCATCACGAGCAGCCATTTCCTGAAGGGTCACGGGGGACCCTAGCTTTGATTTGACAACATCTATATCCTCTTGTGTGGCTTTGATCAAGTCCTCGGGTGGGGATAGCTGTCTTTGCATCGAAAGCTCGCGGAGTTTCTGGAAAGCGAAGAGGCCTTCTAATGCTCCTGCAGCAGTAGGTGGAAAGTGTATGGAAAAGTATGGCGTCCACATATCCGGACGGACCGACGCAGGCACAGTCTTTTTGCCATGGTAAAGCAGCTGCTTGAGGATTTTTGTTTCCTGATACAAGAAGCTTGTTAGCAACGCGACAGCGTAGCACGATTGGTCCCCATTACCTGCAACGTTCTCGTCAAGCTGTACACAACTTGATTAGTCCGAACATGGCGGTAGGCGTAGATGTCTAAGCCATGCGTCTGATGTCGAAGAGCCTTTGTAACTTGAATGTCTTGCGTCGCCTTTTTATTTTTGACCGCATTGGATCCCCCCACTCGCCATTTGCCCTGGACCCATTTTATGTTGAACTTTTTGGGGACGACCGTAGGTTGGAGAACTTGGTTTGGATGAGGTTCTCCCTTTAACATCCTAGGAGGCCGTATACGTGGCATGGCAGGGATGGACATAGGGGGTATCTGATGAGCCATTGAATTGGCAGTGACGGCCGCCATTGCGGACACTGCAGAAGGTCAATGGCAAGATTGGCGCCGTAACAAGGAAAGTCTATCAACAATTCATGTCTGATATCACACAATGCATCAAGCATTTACCATGACAACTTCACGGCGCGGACAAGAGAGTCGAGTGGATGTCTGGTGATAGCAAAGCTCGCAGCTCCAAAAATTCCGCCGTACCAGCTGCGCGCCGAACACGACGGACCAGTTGCTCTTGGCATGTTTGTGTCAGACGTCGCAGCCTCGCGCCCGGCGTCACAAGCCTCGTGCCCGGCCTGTGTTCACTGGCTTTTTAAGCCCCCGAGTACGAGGTACAGTACTCGGGGCCATGATATCCATTCGTTTTCGAGAATGCGGTGATAAAAAGCACATGCATCAATTGACGTTCCAACTTGGACACACGTGGACACTACAATCACAAAATCCAAATGTCTGCTACTCAGCTGCCATGAGACTCTTTTCCTGCCGCCCCCCTGGACCAGGTCCCTCATGAGTTCATCCAATTTCGTTAACACCTTTCTGCTTGCAGTTCCAACCTGACGACTTTTCGCCCAACCATCAAGGTCCCGCTAAGCGTAGATGCAATTTGCAAATATCGTGGTAAATTCCTCCATTTTCATTACTCATGCCATTTTGGTTCATCACCAAAAGTAAGAAGTGAATCGCTCAATTTGCTACGGACGTCGAAGACGCCAGTCCTGATGGAGTCGGTTCAGCGTTGGCACCCGCGCCCAGTGGCATCCAGTTCCTTGGAATATCCATACTCCTGTTCACCCGCCCGCCAGGAGTAAGGGGGTAATCTACACGTGATCGATCCAAGCGATCGTCTTCGTCGGATGTTTCGTCCGCGAGGCGCGCAAAATAATCCGCCAATGCGCTTGTTGAATCTCCAGGGACAATGTTATCGTACAAGGGAGGCGGAGTCACCAAGGGTGGGGGTGGGTCGTCGTCATCAAAGGCCGGCGGGTTGAATGAGGGACTTCTCAGCAAGTGTATAGGTCTTGATTGTCCAGCATTGGGGTCGTTGTGCACGTGTGCCTGTGTAGGCATTGTCAAGCCACCTGTGTCATTCGTCCAACTTCGGCTCACACCAGGTGCTGGAGCCCCGAAATCTGTAGATATATTGATAGACTGAATACGACTTTGGGATATGGGCGGAGTGTTTCGTCTTCTGATTGCAGCGCCTGGGCATCCGCACTCAAACTCGTCGGTGGAGGCCGGAAGACCATCGCCGGCGCTGTAGGCGGGAAGAGAGATGTTGGCCTGTGTTGCGCGACAAGAGAGAATGTTGAAGGGGGAGTCAATGGAGATCTCAAAATGGCGCCGCTTCGTTGAGTCATTCTCATCTGGCCGAGAGAGTCGCATTACAATCTTAGAGCCGTTGTTAGTTTCCATGGGTACACAAAAGCAACGCTATATGCCTACCTTGATCCAATGGTTGACCTGAATATTGGAGTATGTGGTGTCGAAGTGTAATCGCTCGCTTCGCAGTTTGTCCTTCATCTGATGACAGCTTGGCAATTGCACGTTGAATTCCATCTCGGTAGGACCAATACTTCCAGCGTCGTTATCCAGGTTGCCGAGCAAGTTCGTCTGGTCTCTAGGGATATCCTCGTCACCAGCAGCAGCTTGTTGACGATAGTCGTAGGGGACACCACCACCTGCCAGAATCCGCATTGAACTTCCGGGGTAGGATGTCACACTATGTCCATCGGCCCGTTTTTCGAAAAGTTGCACTTTTCTCGTTGGTTCCAGCCTGTGTACCTTTTTATTGTTTGTGAAGTATTGTATGTTCTCCGTCACGAACACTTTGATCCTGTGGCACTGGACCTTGGCGAGGGGAGTCAGTTTGAAAGCAATGGGCACCGTCGAACCGAGTGGAAAAGATTTCCCAGAAATCACAATATCATAGTGTAATTGGTCTTCCCAGTTCCGAGATATTGCAATAGGTTCGACCTGTTCCAAGGACCCCTCTGCGGGCGCTCGGATTAATGTCAACTCCTTCGTGCCTACTAGGTTAGCACGGAAGGCCCCGGAACGCTCGACGAGGGCCTCCAACTCATATTTGACATGGCCGAGGTCGACACTGATAGATTCCGGCAACCTCGAGTCGAGTGGGAGCTCAAAATTGTAGACGTAATCCCCGGGATGGAACACTTTAAATCCCCTTTGAGCGACTGTCGGGCCCCCATTGATTGTGTCACCTTTACCAAAGCTCCTCGAATGATTTGCCTGGAGGGACAGCCGCTTGAGATCACGGGTAGATGGGTGCCCCTTGGCGGGAGAGGCACTACGCTGGAAGAGGTCAAATGACGAAGCTGTAACGCCAACTTCTTTCGATTCCACTGAAGCACCCTTGGAGAGCTGGACAATGTCTGCACCATAGCTATACTCGGCTTGGGGGATCTGAGCATTGAAGAACGACCATGTATGGTTCATGATTGTGGTGGTGTCTCGGAATTCGACGCGCTTGGGAGGTATTCCTTCCGGCCACTCCGTTTCTGATTTGCCCCGGAAGTTCAGAGATATTGATTTCAACTTTGCCTGCTTTTGCACTCTCAAGAGAAGACTCCCACGGAGCATTGTGGTGCTATGAGTGGATGGGTCGTTAGGATCAAAGCCCTGCAGAAACAAGACTGGCTCTGCCAGTGCGATGGAGACAGAGACGCCATTGCCGCTTGCAACAGGCTTTTCATCTGCCAGTAGAGTTACGTTCGCTGCAGGGTGTGTCTCGGGGGAGGGCGGCTGAGCAGGAGCAGTTCGAGCACTGCTGTTGTGTCGTGATCGATGGCCTATAGCGCTGACCACACTGGGACTCCTCCCCCGTCGTTCGGGTGAACGCCTGCCGGCGTCGGCAAACACCATGTCCTCCGTTCCCGCTGAACTTCTTCGTCGGGCCACTCGATCAGCTACTACCGGGTGAAGAGGAACCGATTGCGAAGAAACCGTAGGAAGGTTGAGTCTGAAGAACCTTTTTGCGTGTTCGCGTGAGAGAGCCAGCTTCGCAAGCGCCTAGAGGGCAATAGGATGGCAGGGTAGTTGGTGGTGGCAAGCGGAACAGAGGTAATGGACCTTGTCAAGGGAAAGGAGCAAGGCGAATGCGGTGGCTTGGTTGACTCGAGGAAACTGCAATTGATCGTTGTCAGACTCGCTGGTAGAGCAGCACAGAAGGAGGGACGGCAGACGTAGTTGATGGTAGTGGGCAACCGGTGACAAACAGCAGGATTAACAGTAGTGGGAGGGGAAGTGAGCGAATCTGTAGTGCCAACTTCAAGTTGGATTCCCCAAACCCGCAAGTTTAATTTGAATTGGGAACGAACTTTTGGACTCTGACCTGCTTTTGCGCTTGGCTCTGGAGGCGTGGAGGGAACGCACCTAATGTGGCAGCAGTAACCATTCAGCTGAATGGAGAACTGCAGCGTGATGGACTAGTCGGAGTTCAGGGTTTGCCGTTTACCGAAATGACCCTCCTGGGTGTCACTGGCGCATTGCTTTTTTGTATGTGTGATATACAAAGGTTGAGATGAAGGAGCTCGATGAGTTGATGGAGGTGTTGCTCACTGACCCGAGTGAGACAGACGGCGGGTTTTCAGTACACCACTCCAGTGAGAAATTGTGCCCGGGACAGTGGGTGATGATGATTGAGGATGAGATGATTGGAATAAATGACACGCGGACAGACCAGAGAGTGGCACGCCCGGCCCGGAGATCCAAGGCAAAAGGCCTCAGGTGCTCAGAAGCAGCTTAGGCTCGGTGGGTAACGAAAGCCCAGGCTACCCAGGGACTGCCAGGCTCGCCAGGCGCTTCCCTGACTAAGTCGTGGATGGCAGGTGGGTGGCAGGTGCCCAGGTGGGTGGGTGGTCGTCCAGCGGTGGAACTTGGGGGAGTCGACCAAGGGGTGGCCCAGGCGGGGGCTCGGGCACTTTCTTTTGTTTGTTTGTTTCGTCAGTCAGTCGTCAGCCCGTGCGTCGATGATGATGGCGATGATATAAAGCATCAAGGATCTTCTCGCCATCCAACCTTCCAGAAGCCGGTTTCTTGTGGGGATCGTTTTGACGGATGGACTCCGTCCCCCTCTTCAGTGCTCCTCTTCCCTGTCTCCCACAACTCGACTCAACAAGTAACCGGATTGCCTTCGTTTCGGCTCGGCGGATATTGATCCAGTGTAGCAGCTGATCAGCAATCTGGCTCCCGCAACAAAGTGGAGAGAGACTGAGAAAAAAGAGGCGTGGCCCTGACGCTCCTTGACTTAATACCTTTACATCTTACTCATGTCGTGTGCCTGACTGACATTTGGCGTGCTACTCTGCGTTGTGCTCAACCTTACAGGTGAGAAGCAAGTGGTATCTGACCACTCTCCCTCCCTCGGTGCCTTGACGTTATCGAACCATACCTAGGTATGATTCATGGCGGGTCACCAGGAACCATAGACCGAGTACATTCCGCTATTTTCATTCATATTGCTGGTCGCCACAACCACTGCCAAATTCAAATTCTGACTCTTGAGCCCCGTCAACCTGCCGATCCTCTCGGATGTCGTGGGACAGCTAGCAATCGCCCCTCAGCGAGTGACAACGAAAAGGAAAGTAAAGGCACAAAGAAGGAAGACAAGAGCCGAGTCTCCCGCATGCCGTGCTAGCCACGTCGCCTCTCCGACTCCGTCGATATTCCACCTGTGTTCGGTCATCGAATGGGTGGCCTGGGTGTATAGTTCCAGCTTTAAAAGGTGATGCTGTCCAGTTTATCCAGATTTGTGAGCTTCAAATGTTCCCAATGCCTAGGTTTGCGGCCTCACGATCCCCCGTGTCATCCCGCCCGGGCAGAAAGTTCAAGGCATCAATCCACGCAGCCCAACCATGTCCTATCCATTTCCGCATCTACTTTGGGTCTAACCTCGCAACAAGACATTCTTCTGAGAACACTATCCCCACAATACTACAGAAAACTACTTGCTTGTCTCTACCAGATACTCTCCTCACTCGCGGGCCCTTACCTTCCCCTTTCCTTGCCCGTTCGCCGCTTGGACTTGCCTCTTTCCCACAACCTAAGACCTTGGGGAAGGTCACCACTGCAGCTTGAAGAAGTCAGATCCAGTGACAGCAGCTATGAAATTTTATTTACTGAACAAACCCTGCGGGGAAAAAAGCCATGGGACCATGTACTGTCTCTTCAAGCGATTGTGCCTCGCGCACCATTGTCTCTAAATATGGGTGAGCAGATCTATCTCACGCTAACGCATTGTACCCTACCAAAAGCATATGTTGGATGACAGCGATCACGGAATCTGAAGACGAAACGACTTAGTGCACCCTGAGTCACCGAGTCTGCATTCTTTGTAATGCAGTCGCTGCCACAATCTATATGGCGTATTCTTATGCCTGTGGCACTGCCCTTCTTGGTTTGTTGACCCTGCATAAACATCTCCACAAGATTGGCCTAGCCCACGACTTGTACGAGTATCTCTCCAGACTGCAAACACATGCTCTAGAGTTACGCGTCTGGCTGGGGCTGAGCAAGTTCTACGGTTCGTGCTCGAAAGGGTTACCTTACACCGAGGGTCAGCTACGCCTGACGAGTCTGGATTTGCCTGTTTGGACTTTTACGGATCTCATCCACCTCGCCGCATTGGACCCCTAGGTCGTGCGCATGTTTTCTCTGCCGGAAAAGACCCTGAGGATCCTGGTCAGATGGGAAGTGGAAGGCTGCTCTCCGCGCGGGTTCCAGGGTGCAGTCTGCCCTTGGACAAGTCAGCGGCTTCTTCGGCTCGCTTACCTAGTATCAGATCTGACTGTTCGTGGATTATGCAGTGGACGGCCCGGTCACCGTGCCATGTGGTGCAAAGTGCATGACATGTCATGCGATATTTTCTCCATCTCGCCACAGTTCTCCATGAGAAAAGCCCTTAAAACAGTGGATTTGGCATAGTTTCCGTCTCTCCGCCCCTGTTCCGAGTTCCTCGAATATCTATACATTGATTGCACGTGACCATTGTGGTCGGACCCACAGCCTGAAGGTGATTCTATTATGGTGTGAGCCTGCAGCATGCAAAGGTCCTAGAGAGGAATCATGAATTGTACCTACATAGGTAAGATACGGAGTTTGTGCCAGGAAAAAGAATCCCGTTCCGCCTGTAGCCGCATACCTGGAGCAATGCATGGAATGCGGGTGACCACAGGCCACATAATCGACACCCAATCGAGAAGACCTGATCTGCTTTGAAAAATATTTCCTTTCTGTTAGCTTCAATATCGATACCTAGGTACAGGATTGACAGTCAGGGCCAACGCACGAGATACCTGCCTACCTAGGTAGGTACCTAGGTAGGCACTCGAATTCAAGCTCAATAATGCACCACGACGTCATGCCAAGTGAGAGGAGCAGTGCATCAGGGGCACGACGGAGATACCCCACATTCAGCTCCTTGCCAGGCGCACGCAGGCGCCAGCTGGCCCGAGGGTGGGACCCCGCGTCGGCTAAGTTTCTGTGCCAGCTGGACGCGCCCTTGACGCGTCCCTATCGATGGTGGTGCAGAAGCTCACTCATAGTCTCGCAGCCCTATACTTTAAGACGGCTCTCTTGAGAGTAGGATTGTATGAATTTGTGCTCCATGCTGACCATGCAGTATGGCAAGAATGGAACCTCGGGGTACGCATCTCCATCAGAGGTTTTCTACCGACGTGCTAATTTGCGTTCCTCAGGATCCGCCGAGCAACCGCTCCAAGGTGTAATGCTGTGCTTTACTTCAATCGGCCCAGAGGACAGGGTCAGCAAATTGAAAGGAGCGACTTCTGCATTCTATGCTAACGGAGAGTATAGAGTCGATATGCCGACATTGCAATGCAGATGGGAGCCGAACACAAACTCGACCTGACTTCCGATACAACCCATCTCATTGTTGGTAGCACAGACACCCTAAAATATCAATATGTCGCTCGAGAAAGAGAAGATATCAAAGTGCTACGCCCGGAATGGATCGAGGCTGTTCGAGACCATTGGATCAAAGACTTGCCCCTAGACCTCGACACCCTCACTCAGCAGTATCGGATGCCCACTTTGGCCGGCTTGAAAATATGCATCACAGGCTTTGATGACCTTGCCTTTCGTGCCCAGCTGCAGAAGAATGTCAAGGAAAATGGCGGAGAATACACAGGAGATCTGACCAAGGACGTCACCCACCTCATCGCTGCCAAGCCCGAAGGCAAAAAATATGAATATGGTATGCAATGGCAGAAAAAGGTCGTCAGCCTCAAATGGTACAAGGACACACTGGAGAGAGGCATGCAATTGGACGAGCGACTCTACCATCCCACCGTTCCTGTCTCTGAACAAGGTCTCGGGGCATGGAATCGAAAAGCCCGGCGTTCTTCTCCTCAACCTGGCAAACGCCCCAGGGAAGAGAACCATACCGGCGCCGAACCCTCTCGAAAGCTCCGGAGGACGGCAAGTGCCAAATTCGGGAGCCAGACTCAAGATATGTGGTCGGATATTGTGGGCGGTGCTGGATTCGAGGCCACAAATGTTGAGCCCCCGGTGCTCAAACCTTCGATTTCGATGCCTGGCCTTCGAGAGCTTGCCAGACCATCAACTGCTGCGAGCAACCACAGAGCCGAACTTATAAATGGGGATCCTGCTGCTACCGGCACAACAACTGCGAATTTGAGGTTCCTGACTGGCCGCCTGTTTGTAGTAAAATGCTTCGAGGAGAAGAGGGTAGGTCAAACATCTTGCCTCGTTCTGTCGTCTCCCGCTCCTACCTGCTCACAAAACCTTTAGAGAAAACACCTTCAAAATGTGTTGGTCGAGTACGGCGCGACAATCATAAACGAGGGGGAAGATCCCGAAGAGAACAAACCTGACGATATAATTATCATTCAGCCTCATGACATAGGTAAGAAAGGCTTAACACCAACCGGGCGCGTCGAAGGCGGCTCCAAGGCGGTATCAGAGCTTTGGCTTGAAAAATGCATGCTTGCAAAATCTTTCATCGACCCAGGCAGATACCCGCTCGGACAGATACTGAGTGAACCCCTTTCGTGTCTGAAGGATCTGACCATCAACGCGACCGGCTTCGATGGGCTAGAAGCCGTGCATATCTCCAAGATTGTCACATTATTGGGCGGGAACTACTCGCAAATGTTTGCTACGGGCGTCTCCATACTGGTCTGCAAGGCCGGTAGTGCCAAAAAGGACAAACTTGATCTGGCACAACACTTGGGCATTCCCGCTGTCACCGAGGAGTGGCTGTGGTCAACGATCAATAATCAGACCAAGGCAGATGTTGAAAGCTATCTTGTCGGACAACCTCGGCCGCGAACAGCCAATATTGAAAGGCCAGCGGATAAAAGGAGCGCCTCAGATGACTATGTCGAAGTGAGCACAATTCCTCTCCCACGAAATGCCGGCGACCACAGAGCGAATCAACCATCCAAACCAGTTGGGACTGGAACACCGAATGGACCCGCGCCAGAGAAAGCGGTCAAGAAATCGTCTCCTCATCTCAACATCCAGGAGGAACCCGTGGATGAAATTCATGGACAAGCCAAAGAAGGACCATCTGCTTCTAGTAGTGAGAATGGTGCTTCGGGACGGAGTGAGATGAAAGAACGCTCATATGACGAAGGCCCGCTCCGGGTATTGTCTCCAAACGGCAGAAACGCACGTCTGGTGAACAACCCACCTTGGATTGGAACGCTGGACGGTATCTCGAGAATGGACGATTCAACATCAAAAGAGAACGCTCCAGCACCCTTAATAAGTGGTGCGCGGCCTGAAGTGCAAAGCAAAACCACGGATATCGAAGCAATCAATGGTGCCATTCGAGACATCCTGAACGAGCACTCGAGAAAGAAATCTGCTGGCGGCAACCAAAACGATGCTCTGAAGAAGAAGAACAGGTTATTCGGGCGAGCGCTGAGTAACCTGTCCAACTCGTCCACGGTTTCAAATATGAGGTGCTCAAGAGCCAGTTCTATTGACAGTATCAACACGGACGGAATGGGTAGCGAGCTTGTTACCATGCAGTCAGTCGAGACCCAGAGCGGTGAGAGCACATCGACAGCTGAGAAAAGCACCTTCAACTTCACTGGACGGGCAAAGCAGACACTAGCTGCACTCAAATCAGCTCCATTGGACATGGACGATCCGGATATGCCCAGAAATGTCGGTTTCCCAAAAGAGCAGGATGCGGCACCGCCCATGACACAGCTGGGCTATGAAGACCCGGAAGAAGCAATCTTGTTGCGGGAGAAACTGGCCGCATCGAGAAAAACGGGATCGGGAAAGGATAGGCCAAACGACAAAGGTGAGGAAGCTCCACCTCCGCGGCGACTGAAGTCCGCGGACCGCAAGATTCGAGACGATGATTTACTGGCCAGTGTCAATGGCGGATGGGGTGCAGGACGACGGACCCGGCATAAGCAACGAAGCCCACCGGGTCAAGGAATCAAGGATTTTTGAATAGTCGAATGTTTTCCTCGTCTACCTCTATGATCTTGAGCGGCAATGTTTGTGATTGGTATTTGGCCTTTGTCGAACAATGAAAAAGTCTTGACGTGATTCCATCCGTGGATTTTCCCATTCAAGAATTACTTCTGTATGACTTTCTTGCAATTCGAACCGGGACACCGGAGGGGTGGAACCGCGCAAGCAGACGACTAGGTAATAGGATGATCGACAGGACAGTGAAGTTTCAGGAGCCAAATGGACGGGAAGTCTCATTTAGTATAACAGGAAGCATACGGACCGCCCAAGCACCCAGGCTGACCTGGTGACCCACTGATCGACCATGCGTCAATGAATCTCGGGGGCCAAAGGCGGAAAGACTTTCTGTTCGGTACAGCTCAGGCAGGACTCGTGAGGGACACGTTGAATTGTGAATGCGGTCAGTGAGTGTTGCGTGCCTGAGCTGGGGATAGGCGGTGGACTTGACTTGGAGTTGAGTGTAATTGGGACTTGATGTTAGGAGCAGATACTGAAGCTCTAACACTTGGACGACGAGCTACCCGACTACCCAGGTAGGTATAGAGCAGTTGAAGTTGGAGATCGACAGACCAAAGGATGTCCTTTGTCTGCACTCCTAATAAGCAACAAGTGGCATGGGAGTGTGTGGATTGCAGTGAGTGGACAAAGAATCTGGTAGATGCAGCCCGGGGAAGGTTGATGCCCGCACCCCTCGGGCTCTCGCACGGGAAGCCTCGGCAAGTGCACCCGGGACAAAGTTCTAACTATCTCGTCACTAGTGGCTGCTACTCGCTAGGCAGTGTAGGCACTCTTGGTACCCTTAGGCACCCAGCACCCAGCATTTAGGTACCTAGGTAGTACCCGTACCGACTTGTGGGCTAGGGGCCAAGAGCTGCTAGAAGCTCATGATCTCATGCTTCAGCTCCGCCTTGCCCGCCGTCGTCGCAGCCACAGTCAGAAGACGACAATGTGACAAGCTGGTCACTACGCGCTGAGTGTGACGACAGCCCAAGTTTCATGCTCTCGAGAAGAACCGCCATCGCCTCCTCGTTCGATCCAACAGGCACAAGTGACCTGTGGTGAGTCTGTGACCCCTTGCAAGGATATTTCTCTGGGAAAATCCCCGTCAGCCCTGTGTGTGGACATCGTCTTCTTCTGCTTCTTCTTCTCCTGCGGGTGTTTGGTGGAACAGCTCAATTCATTCGTTCCTTTGCTCTCAACTTACCGCATCAAGTCTCTCTTCGCCATCCTATGAACATCGCCTTACCGGTCCGCAGTCCTCGGTATAGTACATGGCAACGAGCTTTCAGCCTGGTCTAGACCCACCGCTCTGCCGGGGTCTTTCGCTAGGGTTTGTTAGGCTTGTGTTTCAGGTCTTGCGGCTTTTCCTCGTCCATTCTGGTCTCGCGACAAGTTTGCCATTGTTCCCGCCCAATCTCCACCCCGTAAACCTCTGTTCAAACTGCCAACATTATTGTCATCGAGTCGCACTACCCGCATTTGTTCTTTCTTGAGCTGATCCGATTCCCTTCCCAGCTCATCGTCTCACCAGCACCAGCAGGGCTTAGCAAACTTTGAGACGCACTAGGAACCTATGTCACAGAGTCACAGCCCAACCGGGTCCGCCAACTACTGCTATCCTTCCGAGTCCTGACTCGATCCAACATCGAAGCGCCCTCCACTCGACCACCCCCTGCCGCCCTACAAACAACAGGGCTATTGAGCAAACGAGGGGAAAGGCGCCCTCATATACACCATGGCTGACCTCGCCCGCGAGGAGGCCGACCGTTACTTTTCCCACCGTGACCACCTGACTTCTCACCCTGAGGATCGCCACAACGACGGCTCAGACGTCGACGTTGAGCCTGAACCTGTATTTGACAACCTCTCAGACCCTGGTACAGACGACGACGACGACGCTGCCCGCAACATGGCGACTATGACCACCACAAAGACCACCTACCATCTGCCTTCGCAAGTCCACTATGCCAATACTGGGCCCAAAGGAGTCATTGCAGATGCCCAATCCTTTGCCCGTGCCAAACAATCGACCTTTCGCCAACGATTGACCAGCTTTGCCAACAACTTGACCTCAAATGGCAAGGCAGCAGCAGTCCCGACCGTCACGGAGAAGGGTGACAAGCGCAAAACCATCATATCTGGATCCCCCAAATCAACCACATCCTCTGACTCGGACACGAACATTACCCTCTCCGACGACGAAGCCGATTCAGAATTCATGAAAACCTGGCGAGCCAATCGCCTGCAAGAGCTCTCATCCCAGTCCCAGTCTGCCTACAGCTCCTCTCAGCGGAGACACTTCCCCAGCCAACGCACCTGGGGCATGCTCATGGAAGTGGACGCAAACGGCTACCTAGACGCAATCGAAAAGGTCTCCAACGAGACCGTCGTCGTCGTCATGATATATGACCCTTCGTCCAGTGCCAGTGCCGCGGTGGAAGACGAGCTGAGTATGCTTGCCTACAAGCACAACACCACCCGCTTTATCAGATTGCACCATGAAATTGCAGAGATGGAGACGGTCGAGATCCCGGCTATCTTGGCTTACAAGGCTGGTGATGTTTTTGCTACGATATCCGGCGCAAGGGCAGAGGGCCTGGAAGGTGTGCTGCTACAGTGAGTATTACCACATGCTTCCTGCTGGTGATGAAAATGGAACTCGAGCTAATCCCCCATCCCAACAGAAACCGTGTGATCCAGTGATATCTCGACACTCCGAATGTGAAAAATCATGTTATCCTTTTTCCTCACCAGATATTAATATCGCCATGACGATTTTAAATTCAGATACCGCCCACCGCCATGGTTGCTCGGCAACCCAAAAAAAAGGGACGATTCTGATGATCTTTGTCGAATATTCTCCGAACAACCTCCTCCAAGCTAGACTCGTTCTACGAGTAATTTCATGATATCCGAACTCGCTCCCTCGCCGTGAGTCCGTAACCCGGAATTCCTGGAGGGCCTCTTTCTCAGTTGAGCAATCCACCATGGTGGACCTCTGCACTCTCCAGCAGCCCCGCCCGTCGTCTCTCCTCTACGATACCAACGACCCATGTCCTCCGTCTCGTCCACCTCCCGGGGCTGTGTCTCTTTGTCTCCTTGTACACACGACCGCCTAGCAAAGGAAAGCAAAGCAAAGCAAAGCAACAACACCAGCCGTGAATGATCTGATCACTGCACTCGATCACCTCAGGTGCAAACGCACACACACCGCCCTCCGACCAAAAAAAAACCCAATAAGTAAAAAACCCATGGTAGTCAAGCACAGAGAGCTTGATTTTGAAGTTTACCACTTAACGATTCCATCTATGTACGTATGTAGATACCATCACATCAGTACCGACTTCAGGGTACATGAGGACTCTGACTTTGACTTTGGGCTGGGAGGTTCCTGTCTTGTCTTTGGAACGCGGCCACGACAAATTATGTAGACCATTGGATACCTACTCGGTACATAACAAGGAAGAACTCGCGTTCTGCAGTCAGGGGGGAAATTAAACCACCCATCAAACCAAAAAACAAGTTAAAAATGGAACAGTTCATCATCATCGTCATCACATATTTCATATCATTGCTCGATCGTCTCATTTTCTTTTTGTGGTCCCTTGCCTAGAATGCACCTCCATATCTGCCGTCTCTGATATCTAGGTAGGTGGGGGAGACATCTTCTTGGATGAGTAGGATGGCAATATTTCTTTCCCCTTTCTCCCGTTTCTTTCAGCTCCCGGCTTCAATCCCTCCCCTTGCAGGCACTATTCATTGCGCTGTCCAGCCAACAGGCTGTGAGAGTCGGTGGTGGGAGGCACCTGAGACATGAGACATGAGATGGGCAGAATACTTGCCGCCATAGAGTACATCGCCCCGCCTCAAACTCCTGGTCCATCGCAAGTTGCAGTCATACCATGTCATCCAATGCCGTCCCGCAGAGACGCTGCCCGAAGCAGAAACAAAAGAAGAAGAAAGACAATCAAATTTAAACCACCCTTGTTCGATGAACCCTCTCAATCTATCCCTCCTGAGAATGGTGACATGTATGCAGAAACGCTTGGTTCAGGCTCGTTCGCAGATGCTCAGAGATGCGTGCAGCAGAGCGACACGATAATCAAGAGCAGGAAAGGTTTCGCATGAGGGAGAACCAAGGTCATATCATGCCTGAGCACTTCATAGATGTGATGGTACAGAGATCCAACCCTTTTGTCTCCCTGTTCTCTTGCCACGAGAATACGCCGCGCTGTCGAAGCTTTAGATCCAGAAAAGAGTCAGATAAGGACATGTGGTGGCCAGAGGATGCAGGACCATCCTAGCCCTACCCACACGCAGAAGGCGTGATTTTTCGACAGTATGGCTATGCCGATGCTGAAATGGCATTCTTCTCGTTTGTGAAGTCCCAGAGCATCTTAATGAGATTCTCAGGAAGTGTGTAGAGATCGACGTGGAATTCGCCCTCTGTAGGAGAATCAAGCATTAGTAACCACGTATTTGCCCATCATGCACGCAAAAGGGGTAAGGCTTGTACGTACGCTCGGCGTCGTTGCGCATCCACGAGTCCTCAGTTTTGTTGTCATGCACCATCTGCACAACCAGGAGAAGATCATCTTCACCGAGCTTCTGAAGGCCCTCGGCGAGCTTGTCCATGTCAATGACTTTGCTGTCTCCTTTTTTTTTCTTCTGCTGAGTTCCTCCAATCTCGCTTGTGCGTTTCTTCCCTGCGGTCTCGGTTCCGTTGGCAGCGGATTCCCCTGGAATAGGTCCGGAATTGCGGAGCGCCTCGAGAAGAGCACCTTTCGGGTTCTTGAAGGTGATGATCTGCTTGGTCTCATAGCGCGGGTTGGCAAAGTTGAGATCGTGGACGATGTTGTGAACCTTGCCGCTGAGATCTTTCATGTCAATCCGTAGTTCGAACTCACCCCATCCATCTTCAGCGACGCGGAAAGGTGGCTTCTTGAAGGCTGTCAGGATTGTCAGTCGTCAGTTTTGACAACCCGTACGAAGGAAAGAGGTGTTTCGCTGTGATACATACTTTGTACTGCCTTGTCGCCAAATGAATCGTGGAGGTTGTATGTGACCGATTCAAAGATGTCTGCATCGATCTCCTGCTTGGTATCGGCGTGAAGAAGGAAAATTTTCATAGACCAGTGTCTCAAAGGGAAACCCGTGACACCGCTGTCTGCACCAGGACTGTGAATACTGCGTCAGAATATGGACTTGCGAAAAGTGGCAAGCGATGGCAAGTATCGAGAGGTCAGGTGCAGCAAGATGAGACTATAGGTATTATGAAGATGACGCAGGGGTGAAGGGAAGTCGGAGGTCACGAAGGACGCACATAATCTTTTGTTCGGTGACAATTTTGACACTTCGTTTAACCTGGAAGTCTGTTAGCCGCGTCGCCAAATACAAGGAGCGCGACACTGAGACTCACGTCCGGCATGATGATTGTTGTATGGATTGAACCTAAACCGCGAGCTGGTGGGGTTTGGAGATCGGCTAGGTCGCAGCTGATGAGGGCGCGGTTTGAGGCGGAGAACTTGTAGGACGTGGAGAACGACGAGGTGACAGAGAAAACGCTGGGGATGTCGCGATGTTGGTAGAGGACACACTGAGTCTGATGCTGGACGTTGATCAGAGAAAGGAGACCAGGGGCGCAACCTGGTTGTCGCACTTTGTGGAAACGGTCACAAAGGTTGTTGAGTGGATCGATCTGGGGAGCAGCGAGCGGGTGGGCTGCGCCTATATAGGTAAGCAGTCAGAAAAGGCAACTTAGCCGAGTATACATTCACTGTAGACAGGATTGTCACTTACCAGTCTTTTAAATTTATATACTAAGTGAGGAGCAACGATGGTTAAATCCTTTGTGAGATTTTCACATCTCGATTCATTCTTGTCAAGGCCGGCCTTTGAATGGACTTCATCTCTATCTAAAGCTCAGGCGGTACAATGGTATCAATCGACGGCAAACCATGTGATGATTGGCATCATTCTTCCAGATGCGGTGCTCTGCATTGCTTTGCTGGTTGGTAGTTGTAGATTCCATGCTGGATCAATCATCACACATCCCACACCTGGTGTTGTTCAATGCATCATGACTTCTGGAAAAGGGATTCGTTGTCTTGCTGAGCCTTGATAAACGCTTCCTTGAAGAGATTTGCATCTAGAAAGGGTTAGCACATGGGTACCGGATGATGTAGGGACATGCCATACTCTCGCTGTTTCCGAACCGGATTGCCAGGGTCTGGGCCTCTGGCTCGCCTTCGCTGACATCTGCTGCAACATTCCAGACCCAGCTGCGATCGCTACCCACGTTTGGTGAAAGCTTCATGTCAGGGGTGACTATTTTTGTAAATCAACCAAAGTTCATGCGACGGTGAGCCTTCCAAAAAGGGGATGACATACCGTAGTGATTTGCGCAAACCTTGAGAGTCTTGTCTCGACGCATGACCAACCGTGTCTTGCCATTCTCCTTGTGCTTGAGCAGCCGGACATCGCCAGTGCCTCTCTCCTTCCACTCCCTCGAGTCCCGGTCGAACTTGAAGAGTTTGGCACGCATCTTGAAGACCTGTTCCTCCATCTCCTCGTTGGTTTTTGTCTCGACTTTCTCGGTTAGTCGGACTACGGGTTCGAACTCGACGTCGGCTTCCTCCTCCTCGGCCTTGTCCTATGACATCAACACGGTCAGTTCAGGGCTTTCGTTTTTGGTGGGTAGCGTAGATCTCACGTCTTCTTCATCCTCCTTTTTCTGGGCTTTAGAACTGCCGCTGGGCTCGTTCTTTGCGTTGTCATCGTCTTCGACTTTGCGCTCTTTCTTGGCTCCGCCACCAAACATGGAGAAGACGGAGTCCTTGACACCGGTTGCCGCTGCGCTGGCAGTACTCGCGGCGCTGCTGGCAGCTTTGGCAGCAGATTCGGTGTAGGTGGTAGATTTGGTGTCTTGGGCATCACTTGCGGGGGCTTCAGACGAAGGATCACCCAGAGGATTCCTCACGAGGTTGGTCTCTTGTTCGGCAGGTCTCAAGTCGGACGAGGCAGATTGATCCGCCGAGGGAGTAGGTTTGGCATCACCGGAGTCCGCCATGTTTGCGAGAGATGCGAAGGATGAAATGGAGGTGTAAAGTTGGGGGCACTCGAAAAAAGCAGACGCGAATTGAAGAATCGAGGTGTGTAGATTGATGCGATTGCAGGTGTTTGTTGGCAACCCCACACTAAAATCTCAGACTCATACAGAACAACCCATGATTTAACATGCCAGACATTCACAATTACTAGTAGCAGGCCCCTGCAGTAACTGGCCGCCAAGACAGGCCCAGGACAGGCCCAAGACAAACCCCCTTAATGACATCATCCTCCATCTACGCCTGGCGTGACTCGTGAGCAGCTGGTGTGATGTGAATCGTGTTTGCCTGCTCATCTACTACATAGTACCTAGGTAGGTACTTACTGTATCAATATCATCGCCGCCAGTACACGCTGTTCACTCGCTTGGTTGTCTCTATTGTCTCTCTCACGTCCTGGGCGTAAGGCGATGCTCCAATCTAGTAGAGATGCCTCTCCTCGAACTCCCAGACGACGTTCTACCCATCATCCTAGCCTACCTGGATCCAAAGGACTACCTCGCCTTTTGCCGCGCCTCCAAAGCGGTATACTCGAAATATCGACAAGATCCCGTGTATTGGAGACATGAGACCTCGAATACATTCCGTCTCCCAATCAGCCCCCTTCTCGCGGCTGACGGTCCTCGCTGGTACTGGCTATACAAGCGACTCAAGACCCAAACTCGACTTTATACCTGGGGTCAAGGACTGAGAGGGAGCTTGGGGCCTGGAAGAGCTCTCTCGGTGCCTCGCCGACCGCCGACTCATTTTACACCTCATCCTCCCCAAAGGGTCCTCCCTCGCGTCCCTGCACACACTCACATGATACGCCCGTATCCTGGCAGGGTTCCTTTCCAACGAACCTCTTCCAGCTGGCCTACAGAAGCTCACATCCCAGACGAGGTAGGCGTGATTGCTGATCTCCAATGCGGAGGCTGGTCCACTACCATTTTATCCTCTGATGGCAAGCTGTACACCACCGGTTCAATAGATTCTATGAACGGCAGACTGGTAGGCGAATCTTCCGACCATTTTCGGCAACTCCAGTATCTAACTCAGAGCACTTCCGCCATCCGCCACTTTTCTTCAGGCCGTCGTCATGTTCTGGCACTTACTGATGCAGGGAAAATTGTCTCCTGGGACAGAATCAATGCAAAAGGTCTCATGGTCTTCTCGAGAAATGGGACGGATTTCGGCGGGAGACCCGTTAGAGTTGCTGCAGGCTGGGGAGAGAGCTCTGCCTATGTTCCCGATATAGGTATCGTCTATTGGATTCCACTTCAAAATGACCAGTTAGACGAAATGCTGGATGGAAAAGAAGTCAAAGAGAAAGTTGTTCCAGGAACCGCCAGGCGAAGAACCGAGACTGGACACGTTGAAGTCCTCAAGCACGTCCTTCTCGAAGATTATGTCGTATGGATAACGAACGAGTCCAAGGTTTACGCATGTGCTCTTCAGGTCGACGACCCCGACCAGCCCGCTCCAACTCACTCTCCGTTCGAACTCCCGGGTTTCGACGCACCAGGCCGAGAGTTGAAGGATATTCAAGGCCAGTTTCACAGATTTGGCGTTTTCACAGCAACCGGCGAAGTACTTGCTGGTGATATGGGCTACATCAGACGCTGTGCTGAAGCCGTCCGGAGTCAGCCTGACTTACTATCATCAAATGATTGGTCTACCATGACCACCTTGCTTGCCTCCAGACCTCAGGATGTGCCTGCCATGCAGCACACAGGCGTTATAGCACTTGCATATGGTGACTACCACTACCACGCCCTGCACGCAGACGGCAAAATCACTTCATATGGTACGGACTCCCAATGCTGTGGATCCTTAGGTCTTTCCGGGCCGGCGAATGGTGGCCGTTTCCGTGGCCTGCGTCGAGAGAGACCTGGACTCCAGATTGATGCTCAGCTACTTCCTATCGCTAATATCCGCGGCCGTCAAATTTGGTTTGAACCTGAACGGAAAGATTGGCTGCAATGGATGGAAGACCAGCTAGGTCAAGCACATCTCACTGTCAACGGCCAGGCAGCCCGGCATATCTGGGAAACTGATGCAGTCAAGCAAGCTGCATTCAGTGAGTGGGTCGAGCAGGAAGGAAAGCATTGGAAAGAAGGGCCTGCGAGCAATGGAACCACGGAGTCGCATACCAAGACAGCAGAGAATCAGACTACAGAGGACTACGCAAATCTGGGATCCTACTTTCCGATTGCCATCGCGGCTGCTGGCTGGCACAGCGGGGCTTTGGTGCTTATTGACGAAGATAAAGCGCACGAAGTGCGCAGCAAATGGGTTTTGCAGAGGCAAGAAAGCGACGAAGACAAGACGCGCTTGATGCCAGGTGCGTTCGAGAGCCTGGATCTTGATGAGGTGTATGTATGGAAGAGAGATGGGTTTCCCAAAGTGCAGTTACCCAATGGGTTCGAAATGCCAGGGGAAGGGCCGCTGAGACCTTGGAGAGACGGAAGGCCGACTATGCGAGAGCTGGGCCTTGAATGACGGGACCACGTGCGGGTCAGCCCTCTGCAAGGATCGGTCGAATCTCTGGGAGTCTGTTTGGCAAGGTAGCTCGTATGAGCAGACGAGTCCACGAATACCTCGACGATATTCACGACCGAAAGAACGGATCAGGCACGAATCGGAATGCGCTAGCCTCAATCACCTGTTGCGTCTGGCCAGGAGATTGGAAGGAAAAGCACAGAGTCAGAACTTATCAAGGCCAAAGCTGAAAAGTCCGAAAGATTCTGTTTGCAGGACCAACATATGTGGCAACGGCAAGGTGCCGCCGCTACATCTATTCTTCTGTCGTGCTACGGTAGACATGGGCTGCCACCGAGTCCTATATTATCCCAGAAATGCTACTTCCGTTACGCTTTTCTTTTGGCTGCAGCGACATCTTTCCGACCTTGGCTCCTTCCTATCATTGCCAGCTCGTTGCCGGTTTTGCGTGGATCCTGGGTGACAGCTGCTGTTCTCTGGCTTCAACAAGTCTCCTGTCCATCGGGGCTGATCTCTGCAGCCTCAGCCACCGCCATGGCCGTCATTACCGACTCATTACACCTCTTCGGCCACTATTTCTTGTCTTGCCATGCCTTTCTGGCCCCCTCAATCACTTCCTGGTCGGAAAGGGAATCCATAAAGCGTTCGAGCTCTTTTTCGGCTTTCCTTTCCTTCACCCTCTGGGCAATAGTGCTGATGATTGGCTGAGATTGGATGTCTTTCTGCCCGGTGGATCCCAGGAGGACTTTGTTACCCTTGTCTTGAAGATATGCATCAAGACGCTGAGAACGTTCTATGTTCGCCGGACTTAGTGGAGCGGTCACTGACCTAGCAACGGTGAGTGATTTCTCCAACACTCCCAGATAGCCACATACTTTTCAAAAATGCCTTTTGTATCACCCATTGTCGTATTCCAAGCTTACTACGAGGATCGGGTCCAAGTGCTGAAGTCTTGCTGGTGCAGTGTTGGATAGGAAAGAGCGAACCGTCTCCGGCGCAGCAGCATTTTGTAAGTGCGACAGGAGGCTCACTGCTATGGACCATTCCTTAACGTACACGGTATATTGCATATGTACCATTTTACCGATTTAGTAAGGACCTATGGACACGGCATCCATATGTCCCATTTGCTGCTGTCAGCCCCGAAAGTGACCCACGAAAGTGCCCGGGTCACTTTCTGAGAACCCGGCCCTATGTACCATTTTACCGATTTGGAAAGACCCTATGTACCTTTTTTGCCACTAGGACATATGAGGTTAGACCTGTACTACGACGCCCAGAAGGCGGGATGCTCGATTTGCCTACGACTGGGCCAGCTTCTATATATCTCGACTGGGTTTTGCATCTCTGTTGCCTTTAGATTCATACGTGATACTTCAGAGCCGTCGAGTTGTCCATCTGTTAATCACTCATTCCTACTGACGAAAAGTGTGCTCGTCGACATGCCACTGCAGCGCGGCAAGGCTGAGACGACCAGAGAGCCTCAGAGCCGATCCAGACGCATCCCTGATCACGAATACGATCAGTATCGCGAAAAGATATTGAGACTATATAGAGAAGAGCGAAGATCCCGGGAAGATGTCATTCGCCTTCTTGCACACGAGGATGGGTTCTCTTTAAGGTATGATCCGGTCGCTCATCACTAAGCATCGCCCGGCTGGTCGTGTTTCGTAACAAGTAGGGTCTCTAGCTGACATGCAAAGTCTTAAACAACTCAAGCATGTGCTCCAGAAATGGGGAGTCAGGAAAAACATCAAGTCTTCCGACAGGGAAGATGTCCAGAGATACAACATACCCCCGCCAATTCAGGGCTTCGCAGCGCCCGCCAACTTTCACGCCTTTGAGCTCACAACAAGGCTAAATGAACCCGCACTGAAACGACGGAGAATCTGCACGTCTTCTACTGGTTCCGCGGGTGAGCTCTCATTGACCCTAGTTATCGAACGCTGTGTGTTGATGAATAAGGCATTTTAGTGCCTGCTACAAGCAATGGTCTACAACGTCCGTCTTTCGACAATCCCATTTATAACCATGGATTCTCCATTGCGTCAACAGGTCTCGGCTACAGTCAGAGTATACTTGGAGATCTTCCCACCCTTTCCCGGGGCTCGTCACCTCTCTATCAGACAGGACTGACTCTTGATCAAGTATTCGGAACGCAAGTAACTAATCCTGAGACGTCGACTTTCATCAATACCAGCTGGCCAATTGTTCCACAGAGCTTTTCACGCGCTTGGCCGCCAGAGAACAATTACCCTGGTGCAGGGTCTCTGCCGAACCGCGAATCTTCTCCTGAAGTGGATCCAAGAATCATTGCCCGTCTCCTTCTCAATTTGCATTCAGTATGCTCAAAATTCCCGGCAAATGGACGTCAATGGCAACACTTCGGCAGGACTTTTGTCGATACTATCGATTCAGCCGGCTTCGTGGCGCTGTGCAACATCCTGAAAAGTAGGTGGTTCCAAGCTGCGATGAACTACGTGCTCCATTACCCCGAGGCGTCTGCTCGGATGACGGGGCAGCACAGTGCCATAACCATGACTCAAGATACTGGGAGCAATTACTTTGCTCCCCGAAGTATCCTGGAGCCAGAAGGATCGCCAGGCAATGTTTTGACCAAACTGAATAGTGCTGACAACGAAAGACCGAGATGGGGATCAGCCAATGTTATAGGCGTTTGCCAAAGCAAGGAGAGTGACAGAATCAACTTCGCAAGTAAAGAGCTCCCGATTCGTTTTCGAATGGCAGGAGGCAATCCTTCGATCCACTCGGTCTCTATCTCATATTTGCCGCGCCCACGCGCACACACACGGGCCTTGGGTCTATCACTCACCTTGCAAAGCCCATTCGATGTGCGTCAGCAGTCTGGAATCTGTACAGGGCTCAAAACAGTCAATGTAATCCCTCAAGATTCCGACGCGTTTAAATGTATCAAACGAAATGATCTGTCAGGGTTACAGAAATTATTCAATCTTGGACAAGCCTCGCCTTTTGATGTCGACCCTGAGGGTGGCTCGCTGCTTTTCGTAAGTTCCATATATCTTAGGAATATACGAGGCTGGAATTGACCGCATTTAGCATGCAATTCATCAGGGTCGTTTTGAGATTTTTCGTCTGCTTTTGAATGTTGGTGCTAGCATTGAGAATGTTGTGGAGTATGTTTCAGTGTCTCATTGACATCCTACATACACAAGCTAAGTAAATGCATAGTAGCGTCGACATCTTCGTAACGATAATGGCATTATTCCCATTTATCAGAAACAAGCGGGCACAAAATGGGAATTCGGTGAAAATGGCAGAGCTGGTGCGCTCGAAGAATCCCAATTTTTCGTCACCTTTTGAGAATGGCTTGTATAGGTTTGTTCGCATGCACGAGCCCCGGTCCGAGGAAAAGGGACCGGTCGTCGCAAACGTCGTGGGATGTTTGAAAAGCGTCTTCGAAGTGGAATGGCGGTGTCCGTGTGGACAAACACCACTCCTTTTTGCGTCCTTGACCACGAACAGCATTGTGGTAAGAGCTTTTGTTGCAAATGGTGCAGACACCCAGACTACCGATGGTTACGGTCGAGGTGCCCTGCATGCGGCATTGTACTATCACAGCTTTGTTGTTTGCCCCAATGGTTGTGGTACGATGCAATGCAACTTGTCCCATGAGTGCACCTGTCCTTTATACCCACATACTCACCGGGAAGATTACTGTGTAACCAATGGCTTGAGGAAGATTCGAATAGGCAGTTTTCGACTCAAACGGACTCTATTGGTCTTGCTCGTGGACGCAAAATGCAACCCCAATGTCCGCGACGTCTGCGGTCTCACCCCCAGCGATTATGCACGGAGACGCGACAAGGTCTGGAGAATATGGCAGAGGGCGCTCGAGGAGACCGGCTATGCTTACGACGAGGAGTCAGGCGAGTGCTACAAGACGTATCTGGAGCCCCTATGGAGCCAACCTGGGTCCTCCAGATCATCCATGCTAGTGGATGAATCGGACTTCTCAGATTCCGACGTGGATGTGCTGGTGGGTGAACAGGATTTCTCAGATTCCGATCTGGAATGTGTCTGAGACTGCGCTGAATCCCTCAACTACTGGTTACGGGCATGGCTGGTCCCATATTTTCATACTCTCTTGTTTACTGTGCGGTATGATCAAGGTCAGCGAGGAAGAGAAAGGACAAGAAGGAGTTTGATTATCATGGAAAAGGGGGCGAATGGGAAGAAAACCGGTAACGGTCTGCAATATTTATTATGAAGTCATGATGACTCTATTATTCTCTACACATCCTTCCCAGTATCAAGAGATCTGTCTTCCTATATACTACACACGCGCAGACACCGACACCGTCTCGCTCGTTTTTGGTTTTGATCTTCGCTTCTAATGGGTACACAATACTACTGATACTGCTTCGCCTGTACGGGGCGTGAGGAATCCACGGTGACGGGGAAGAGGAGGAAGAGGAGAATATCTTTGAAATAGTTAGATATACGACGAGACTTAAAAAGGGGAACTTTACTTCCTATCCGGGTGGTCGATATAGTTAAAATGTAAACATTCGTTCAGGACCATGCTTTTGTATTTCTATCCAAGGCCGAGAGGTACGTAAGTAGATAGTATAGGTACATGGGGTACTTGAACAGGAGTATATCATAACTAAGCCAAAACGAGCGCAATCTCAGCCACCCAAAAGTCGACGTCCTTAGGATCTATGTCTATGCCCATCAACGCCGTAGTCGTTCCCTGCTTCTGCAGCTGCAGCAGCAGCAGCATTAGCACCGTGGTCGTAGTCATTTCCGTTCTGAGTCTCGACACCACGGCTTGAGCCGTCATGCGAGACCTCCTCGTTCTTCTCCTGCTGATCAATGAACAAAAAGCTGCCGACCACAATCCCGGCCCCGACCCAATATACCCAGCCCTCATAGTGGCCCTGGAGGACCATTTCCCCAACCAGGGAAAGAGGGATCGTCAGGCTCAGACCCACCGTGACCAAAAGAGGAGAGGTCAAGACCATGGCGTACGCCCAGCAGAGGTCGGAGCAGAAGCTCGCGCAGCTGTTGATGAGTAGGATGGTCCAGATTCTCCTTGTGGGCGGGAAGGCGAAGGGTTCGAGGTTCGTGAAATGTAAGATGGGAAATAAGGGGAAAAGGAGGATGAGGTTGCAGGTTCCCACCAATCCAAAAAAGAGGGGCATGTTGAGAGATCGCGGCAGGGCTTTGACGGTTGTCTTCTTCAGGGTGATGGTGTAGACGCCGTAGATGATGGCGGATAACAATGCAAAGGCATCCCCCAAGGCGAGTTCCGAGGGGGATTTGTCCGGAAACGTGTCCTCGCGCTTCGAAATCGATTTCTCGCCCAGTGAATCAGAGCTGCCACCATCCGTCTTGGCCGAAAAGTCCACGCTCGAGATCAACAAGATGCCCGCAAAGGAGGCCAGAACGCCACACAGTTTCCGCCACGTGAATTTCTCCGTGCCCGTGAAGGCGCCGATGAAAAGGGTCCAAAAGCTCGAGGTCGAGGTCAGGATCGTGGTGGATGCGACCGTCGTGTACTTTAGACATGCCATGGCAAAGTAATTGGCGCTGAACCAGAGAATGCAAAAGGCAAAGGCCAGCCGGGCCGTGGGGATGATTCCTAAGTGTTTGCCTTCTTCTTCCCCAGTTGCCCGTTTCTGAATGAATGTCTCGGATTCTGAGTCTTCTTCTTGCCCTTCTTCAGGATCTTGTGCATCGTCATCTTCAATGTTCGACAGCCGTCGATAGCTTTTCCTCTTGATTGTCCGTAACACATTCACTCGGATCGCGTCGTACAGGTCGCCCCGCTCCCGGTGCCGTCTGTACGCCATCCGCACGAGGGTAGGGATCATGGCCAGCATGAAGGTGGAAGTGTTGAGGTAAGTCAAAAAGAAGGGTTTGGCATACGTGTTGTCAGCAAATATGCTCTAGATATGCGTGTTGAAAATTAGCAGCAATTCTCCCCGAATCAAAGGACCAGAATTTCCAAACGCATACACTACCGAGAAAATTGGACATAGTCCATAGGAAGACGACGCAAAGGAGAAGGATCAAGCCCAGGGTATGAGAGGCCAGACCAGCGAGCCGTCCATGGGTACCACCGCGTGCTCGAGGCTGGAGGAGTCTCTGCCTCGAAGGGTCCCTCGATATTCCATTGTCCTCCATCTCAATGTGCTCTTCTTCTGAGGATCGAGATGGAGGAAGACGGACAGTCATACTGTAGGCCCCTCGCCCCTCGCGCCCAACATTGCTTATGAGAAGGAAATTTCAGTTAGGTAAGGACACCCGCATGCGGCCCCTGACGTCCGGGCTCGTGGGGGTTGAACGAGAGTGGCGTAGGAGTAACGATAGGATGGGTTTTTTTTGGCCTTTGTTCCCAAACTACTAAACGATAAGTGGCTGAGAGATGAAAGTCAAAAAGTACTTGGTGGTATTGTACCTAGGTAGATAAGGGACAGGCAAGACTAGACGGAGTGTGTGGTCATTGCGCAGGAACCGCGGAAGGGCGAGAGGGCAACGCGATGCGGCCATTTCCGCTTCAGCGCCTGCAAGGAGTGAAACGCAGCCAAAGCATGTCGTGTGATACACTACGACGACTCCTAAGCTTGTGCCACCCACCCCAAGGATCGGATTCCAAAAGTAAAGGCACCTCTATCGCTCAGAGGACCCCTGCTGGCGCCTCTGCAACCATGATCCTTACAGTCTATTCCTTCCCTCAGCTTTCGGAATGCTCATCCCTCCTGCTGCCGGCGCCGCTCTGCTCGAGTCGTGTCTTCATCGCGAGCCGCTTCAAGAGACCAGATGCCGTGACCCCAGCATTCTTTCACCAGAACTCTCGTGGAGAGACCCAGATACGCACATACTAAGGACGGGACTTGAAGCCAGGGAGGCTGCTCCCAGCTGACAACGCCATGGCACGGTTTCGCCGGTGGTTGTCGACGCGGCGCGGTGATTTCGTGCTCAAACGATAAGGGATGTCCTTCGAGCCAGAGCTTGTGGTATGATGCTTCACGGAGTTCATCTCACGCTTCTGCTTCATTGCCTGACAAAACCGATCATCGTCGGGGGGACAGCCATTCGTTCGCCTCAGAGAAGAGCTTGGCCTCCTTGACCTCTGTGCCGGGCGCTTGACTTGCGGCATAAATCTACTGCCAGTTAGCTCGGGTTGATCTAGACAGCAATCTCAGCTGTACTTACAGCATCCCATATCTTCCAGGCTTGATCGAGACTCTTAGTCAAGTACCCACTGCCTCGAAGTTGTGCAAACCAATTGTATTTCCCTTCCTGTTGCTTAATGCTGGTTTTAAGTGCGTCGGTTGGCTCAGGTTCTTCGCTGATAGCGTCCAGATACGTCTTGACGGCGATTCCAAGGCCTGAGCCGTTGTCGCTGGAGAATGGGAGCCTGTAAAACCGGATCAGTGGGGTGCATCATGGGGATCGCGCAGTAGAGTATATGTACCTTTGGGCGAGAGCAGTCCAATCATCTCGGTCCCGATCAACGTCACCGTTCAAAAACATGCTCGTCATGATTGTTTCCAAGAGATCTCTGAGAGTCGTGCGGACTGCTGAGATCTTCCATGCATATGTCAAGAGTTGCCTATCAAGAGGCCCAACAAATCCCATAGGCTTGTGCCGGATTCTACCCAAACACGCAACCTTGGAAATCAGGTTTGTGTTAACTTTCCGATCGTGGTCCTTGTCTACAAAAGGATTAGCAGACTTCGGAAAAGTGAAGGTAGAACCAACCAGTCTTTGCTACAGGATCCCCAGAAGCGAAGTTGCCAGTGAAGAGGCCTAATCTCAGCATTTCCACCCCAATGATGGTACTTTCCTCGTCGGCGATTGTCAACGCTGCTTCCAGAGCCTTTCCCCACGTAGTCACATTGTGTTGATCGTCAACATAACCACGAACTTGCAGAAACCGGAAGACTGTGTTGACGACTACCTCGTCAGCAGTTCGAAGAGCTGGGTGTTCCAACTTGCCCGGAGTGATAGTCTTCTTCGCAAACGCAACGTCTTTGAGCGACCGTAAGCAAGGCAAAAATAAACCAGCAGTCTGTCAGATGTCAGCAGATTTACAGCTCAAGGGTCTTGAAACCTACCTCGCCTTTGCCGACGACAGATTCAATATTGGGCCCCCGAACTCTCCACTGGACCAACTTCGGCTTCATAGCTGGGGTGTTTCGGATCTCGATTGTCAAGTTGCTTGTATCCTGAGAAATCCATGGGGTGACCTTGATGATCCGGGATTGATAGTAATAGTGGAGTGACTCTGCCAGGATTTTGAGAGCTTCCGTCCGGAAGGGGTTGAGGAGTTCTATCACCAATCTTCGGTAAGGTTCCGAATCGAAGACTCCCCCAGGAAGCGAAAGCGTGATTTCGCCAGACGTGAGCCAGTTTGGCACCTGCGGGCCGAGCATGCCCTTGGAGACGTAGAAGAACAATTCCTCGGGCAGCCTCTGTCCAACAAATTCGTGGACGTCACCAGGCGCCTCGTCAAAGTTGAGAGGACCAACGACACCGTTCTTTTCCATTATCACATGGTGTTTAATGGTCATGATTGCCTTCTTGTATCGGTCGGCATACTTCATGCTCTGGACTTGAGGGTTTTCGCGATGGTAGTTGCAAAGCTGCATGACACTTTTGCCGGCCCCGTTAAGGAGGGTAATGGCGTCTACAATGCCCGTTGATTTCGCGGTGGCCATATTCTCAAGGATAGGAAAGGTCGGGGTGAAAGAGGTTCCAAGCAAGAGTTGCGCGTCTCGAAGCACGTCTTTGTGGACTTTTAGCATATCCTCGCACACCGCACGGCTGACCATGCTCAGGGTTGAGTCGTTGAGATTGAAATCTGTAACCACTCTATCCACCCCGAAAAGAAAGCACTCGGTGCTGCCCATGACGGCATCAATGTATTGGTCTTCCAATTTCAAAAGATAAGACAACTGTTTTCCCCTGGTTCAGCTTCCACCCCTGCTCACAGTCTCCTCCTGGGCGGGACTCACCTGCGCGGTGGCACTGTACGGAGCAACCATGTATTGAACATTATTATCAGACAGCAGTTTCTGGAGGGTTCGGGTCATAACGTCGACGGGGTATTTGGCCTTTCCAAAGTCTTGCACCGTGCGCTTGCTGTCGCCGTTCATATAGTGATGCCATGCTTCATCTTGTACCCTCCGGCTATCTGCCAGCTGCGAGTCGGGGAGGCTTCTGTTCACGTAGTCGAGGCCGTTGAAGATAAACACCAAGGTGATGCCATTCTGTCGCAGGATGGCAATGTCATCCTCTACGGCTTTCCTGAAGACGAAAGGCTGACCTCCGAGGGCATGCTTGAGAGGCTCTTCGTTGTTCGCATTGAGGCGCAGGTTCAGGTAGTACGAGGCATCGACACCAATAACGGCATCTCTCAGCATTTGCAGCTGGCAGAGCTCCACATGTCTGCTTGCCCACTGGTCGAATTTCTGGACTGGTCGCAATGTCAGAAGACAAATGGCTACAGGTCAAGAGGTGACCATACCTGACATTCTGGGCGGGCGGAGAAGAAGGAAGGGAAGAACAGGCAAACGCAGACGAGGATCAGTGATTCCAAAAGACAAAAGCGACCACAAGAAAGGAGTAAGTGAGCGTAGAAATTGAATCGAAGAAGAAGACAAGGTCGCGCGCTTCTAAAGCAGGTCGATGGAGTAACAAGTGGACGGTTGCGCTTTGGCGGCCGTGGAACTTTCGGAAATGTCAACGTTGTAACTTTTGAGATGCAAACTGCGCGCTAAGAATCCAACCGCTACTGATCTCCGTAGCCGGTACCTCGTACTATTATTAATAAGGGCTTGTTTAGCTGAGGAGGGAACCCGACTGGTGCCCGCTGTGTCTAATTCTCCGCCTTCTCGCCCACATGTCCAGGGGAAGATGCCTGGGGCCTACCTCGTACTGCGGACGCATCGGTGCAAGGCTATACCAGAGTTTCCTGGTGGCCTGGTTCATGCTTTCAGTCAAGCGCTTGACCACGTCTGCCCATCAACAAGTGATGCCATTGCTCCGTCAGCACAACAAGGCAACTTTTTCTCTCTAAGCAGTACTATCAACCTCCTGGGCTTGTGCCCCTCTGAATCCATAGGTTGCGTCCAGCCGAGACATTAGATGGTCTTTCGCGGTCATGGCTCGTTTGCCTGTAGCTCCTCCCCCGTATCCTACCTCTTTGTCTTCATCCAGTTTGTGCTGCGCTACCAGCTTGCTTGGTACAGGTGTCAACTCGACGTCATTCCCCGGGTGTGAGAAATACGCTATTGAATACCTGTCCTCCCCTCCCCTTCTCGCCTCCTTGGGGAAAATGACTCGGTGTACGGTGCTTTTCAAGATTCCATTCGTCCAGTATGACAGCAAATCGGCAATGTTGACCAGAATAGGCGGGAATGTGGTCGAGTGATACCCATCAGGGATTACGGGAACAGGTGCCCAGCTGTCCTCCGGGGTTCGAATCTGGAGGCCGGGCTGTGAAGGTCGCTGAAACAGCAAGGTGATGCTTCCGTAGTCGGAGTGGGCGCCAGCTCTGACATCGACTTCTGGTTGATAGTCCACATCAACGGGGACGGCGGGATAGTGTAGGAGGCGGACAGTGCACCCGCTGGGCTGGGTATGCCGCGAGGAAAAGAAATTGGGCTCTTCAACCTCGAGTCCCAGCCCGAGAAGATCAAGTACTCGATCGCAGACTTGCTTGCATGTCCTCTCAAATTCGGCCAACTCATCGAGATGGCTCTCGAGGAATTTGGGTATAGGCTGTTGCGGCTTTCCATTCAGAAATTCTCCGATATTGAATGCCTCCTTGAAGTCACCTTTGCGCTGTGTCCTGGGGTCGAGGATTTCGCCGTGCATTCCTGTCCAGCCCCGATTTGTCTTGTCGATGCGACACGGCTCTTTTTCTGCTTCAGGCAGCGCAAAAAATCGGCGCGAGAATTCAAACTCCCGATCCACCATGCTCTCCGTGAAGCCTGTACCACTAGTGTTGATGTAGAGGAAGCCATATCTGGTAGCAGCCTCCAATACTTGCTTCCCAACCTCGACAGAGAATTCTGAGATGTCAATGACAGGCAGCTGTATGGCGCTGTTGACCCCTTCGATCGACCCCATATTTGCTGGGTTATTATGATTTAATGCAAAGGTAGACGGTCGACTGTAAAGACAAAGGCCTGATAGAAGACAAGGAAAGGGGATCCAAACCCTCGTGCTAGCACACAGGGTATGGGAAGGACGACCTGGAGCGCGAAGAACACTATTATTTGAAGATAATTTTACACACTGGTAGGAAAAGAAAACTCAATGTATCATACCAACCTTGACATGTCCGGGGATCTGGCTGGCATCGTCAAGCGGCGAGCTCCGAAAAACTCTCGATTCGGGTCGTACTGGACTGGAGCACGATTTTGGATTCAGTCAGTCCGATAAACACAGTAAGATTCAGCGCTGGTGACCCTCAGACTCGATCTGAGTGCTGACAACCGTACATGTTCGGTCGATGTCCGGGACATCCATAGGGAACCCATCTGTCGACAACAGAAAAGGGAACAAGAAACGATTCGTTGCAGATGGTGGTTATCTCAATATTCATCATTTTGTGCACTACTCGGCTCGTCATATTACACATTTGGTGTGTCAGTAACAATCTCTTCAAGACCAGCAGCCTGTGCCTGACGACTCGACGAGATCAGCTCAAAGGTTCAGCAATCCAAAAACACCTCTGCAGCTCATCTTCGTCGTGGACCCGTCCCTTTTTCGCGTCAACGCTTCGTCTTCTGCTACCTTCGTGGATGATATATACTCCCAAAGTCTTTGCATACCTCGTTCAACAATATCGATTCGCTGTACATCAATCGTGCTGGGTGTTTTGCCAAAGGCTGAATGCGGAAATGATGCTGAAAGCCCAAGCCTTGAAAGGTCGACAAACTCCACGGCGCCAACGCCAACGACGCTCGATCCAAATACTCCACGGCTATGCAACTGCAAACGGCAATTTATGCATTGGTCCTGCGATTGAGATATGCGTTTTCGAGGTGGCACCAGTGCCTGTGCATGCTCCACGATTCCCGCTGGCATTCCTAGTCAGAGCAGTTAGCATCAAGTGTCACGACTATCCTGGGATCAAATGTCATACTTTACTGCAGTATTTCGTGCGACGGCAGCGCCTGCATTTAGCAAATTGGCGTGTGTATTCCTCCCATTTCCCACACTTGTAGTTGGCACATTGGCGAATTCCTCCTCGGGCGTCGTCCTTTCGGCACAAATTGCGCATGACAACGCATGCCCAATATTGCATATCTTTTGAGTGGTGACGGACGGTAAACTTCTCCACCAGAGGAAAAATGTTGTAATCGTCAGGTTGCAAAAACTCTTCGTCTTCGTCTTCGGTGGGTTCTGGAAGAGGTGCACAGCCTCGCATCGGTCCATAGATCTTCTCAACCTCTCGATCGATCCTAAGTCGGGGAACTAAATGCGTAGCTTGGAAATAATGTCGCAGATAGCAATATTTGGAGATATAAGCAAGTAATTGCAAGCCCATTAGAACATCCTCATCACGGGGCATCAAGGCGGTCGTGGCTGTGGCAGTCGCGTTTCTCAGGAAGAAATTTGGGTATGCATTGAGCGGGATTGCAGGAGAAGCAGCAGTGGTAGGCGCCGGAGGAATGGGGGATACACCCATGGCCTCGAGACCACCAGCGCCCAAGGGGTTACCCATACCTGCGGTGATTGGCGTCTGTTGTGCAATATCGACGTTGTTGTCGATTTCTCGAGCCTGTTGCGGAGGTATTGCGAGGGTCAGTGGTTGTCGGCCATCCATGTCGTGAAGATCGTGAGGACTGGGATCTCGGGTTTGGACCCTACTCTGACCTTCGGCTGGAGCCTCGGCATCTAAGAGCTCGTCGTCAGGGCCAGCCACGTCATCCATGCCCATATCGTCGTTGTCGCCTGTAGAATTCTGGTGACGGATGGACGGCCTTCTCATGCGGCGACCAACGGGAGAGAGCATTCCGCGATGGAGTGGTGCAGATGGAGTGTAGTCGGCGAGTCGGGATGAGATGTCACGCCTGTATTTAGTGGAGGTAGCATGGAAGGTAGTCTATCCACCTCCCGGACTGGCCGCAATGAAAATCCGTCGGACGCATCCATCGAAGGCACTGCTGTAGCCGGAGGTTGCAAGTTGAGAGATCTGTGGAAAGAATTCCTGCTCTCGTGGCCCCGGTTGTGATGGTGCATATCACGTCGGGGAAACATTGTCCGTTCGGGAGGTGAGGTGAAAACGCTTGGAGGCATAATGCTTGCTCCCTCTGCCGGCCCTGTTTCTGTGGCGCCAAAACTCTGCGAAAAAGATTGTGGTAGATCCAAGGACGGAGGGGGCGCCTGGCGACGATTGGAACGGTGATCGGTGGCCGCGTGCAGATGCTCAAAGAAGGAAGTCCTTGGTGCAGAATCTTGTGTTAGTTCTCGAGACAGTTTCGAGGCTTTCGAACTCCCCGAGTGCTTGGATCCGTTGCGTTTCTCCTGCTCAGCATCGGCCTTTGCCTTTTCCATTTCGATGACCAAGATGTAGTCCCACAGGACTGTCGCAATGACAGGGACCATGTCTGCTTCCACCACGCGCGTCCGCACGTTTTCTGAGCCTCGGACACCAATATTTACGATGCATTGAAAAGCGAGATTCCATTTCCACATGTGCATTTCATCCTTGCTCCGGCCCTCCTTCAATATGCAGACAAGGCGCTCAACGCCGCCATCGACTGTAAGGATATCGCGAATACGTGCGGAAGAAGTCGTCAGGTATGCTAAGTGATTGAGGGAGTTTATAAGGGGGAGGGTCGAAGTGCAATCCAGGGCTCGGCGGTCATAAAGGGTGGTAGTGATATGGACAGAGGCCTTGTTGACATTGGGGATGCTGAAGTTGACTTCTCTCATGTTGGCCAATGGTTTTCCACCATGTGATATCTCGATGTGTGTAGCTTGGTATTCAGGTGGGATAAATATATTTTGTTTCTTGAGTTTCTCACAGCGCAACGGACGTATGAGCTGTGGTCACTCCCCGGACGCTGACTTGTACTTGGGCCGCGACGGCGTCGAGGGTCGGATCCGTCACCGGACAAAACCTTGTCTGGCTATCTGCAAAGTGTTACAGGACAAGCAGCCATCAAGTGAAAGACACAGACTGGCGAAGTTGGGTGTGTACCGGGGGAACGATGACCGGCGGAGGGCGTGAAAGGTTCGAGAGGCGGGCGTCAGGGCTGGATGTCGGCAGCCAACAAATACAGAAGATTGTTCGTTGAATGCTCTTGATGAACGTTGTCTCAGCGAAAGGGATTTGCAAAGGGAGTATAGGAAGAATTAGTAAAGAGAGTGTGGCGGCTGGATTCGAGGACGCGGAGTTCGCAGTTTGGGAGGCGGAGGTCAGGCGAGGCGAGGCGAGACGAGGCAGGGTAGGACTCGACAGATCCGCCGCTCGGAGGACTTGGCCAGCTCCTGCTGGTGGGAACAACTAAAAGCAGCCTGAAGGGGGAGAAGAAACGGGATATGGCGACGCAGCCAGGGCAACAGGAGAGATGAAAGGGATTTTGGGCGATGATGGTGACTCGTAAGGATGGATGATGGAGGGAGGAGGTGGTGGTGAGGTTGGAGTTTGAGTGATGGTGCACTGGTGGTGGTAGTCCGTGTCGATTTAGCGACTTAGCGATTTAGCGTGAAGGGTTGCAAGGTTACAAAGGCCAAAGGCGCGAGCTGCGAAGCCCAAGGTGAAGGTGAACAAGCCTTGCACCTTGTTGGAGTCTTGGAGACAGCGTCCACAGCGTCCACAGCGTCTCAGATTCAACCAGCTTCACCCTCGATTGGTACCGTCACCCTTTTGGTTCAGTTGGTTGCTTGACCCTCAGCAGCCTTCAGACTAAGCTCCCCTTAACCACTCTTCTGGGCCCGTAGACAAACCTACTGTACCTGGTCGTCCCTACAAGTTACCTACGTGCACTGCTGCTCCCAGCCTGCGTTCTCATCCCTCGTCCGTGGTTCCTCCCCCCCAGTATCCATGCCCAGCAATTAATGAGCCTGCGCGGCGAGGCCCTGCTGCCAAATGACGAGCACCCGCCTCGCCTCTGCAGACACAAACAGCTCTTGTCGCTGATTTTGCTCGTCTCCACCGGCGCAATCTTGTGGGCAACCCTCATCCTGCCATGTAATTGGAGCTGCACCTTTACGATGCGACTGCTACAGGACTGGCCCGTTTCCCAAGCCCAATTGCCCTGGCCCATTCTCCAGCAGGGATCTCCGACCACGGTCCACGGCACGAAGTCAACAGCTTTCTTTTCACTTTTTGCATCGGGTGGAATTCGTCATGTACTGGGCAATGAGCACATCAACCTCGACAGCCACGAAATTAATTGTCCGCGGTAGGGAAGGTATTTGATGCACCTGAAAGATATTTGGGCAAATAAGAGCCAGAATAATCTGGCTCGCCGTGTTCTCGAAGCGTGCTTCTCGATTTTCTCCGGACACCATCAAGCGTCGAGCAATTAGTCAGACACAATAAATCTCTGCCGAGCCAGGATGCTACTCGTTATTGTGGCAACGGTACCCATCGCCAATCAAGATGAGGCCCGGAGATGGCTATACGAGGGACCGCTGGTATGTTCTCCGTTGGCCAGGCCCCTGGTGGATGACTACTCCTTTGTCCATCGTTCTCGAACTGCTGCGTGATAATGTTTTTGTCTGTTTTGCTGCTCGTGGTATTGAGAGGCCACTCTGTGGTCAGTGCTGCAAGAGTCAGTCCCAGAGGTCTAAGCCCGTCGATGCCCAAGGTCTGGACCTGATCTTCAGTCTTCGCCAACCCATCCTAGTGGGCTCGTTCCCGCTGACTGGGGTCTTGATCCGTACATTTCCCCCTCCTATCTTTGGTTCCTTCCCCTCAAGCACATCGAGATACTTTCGATGGGATCCCTGAAACTATGCAGAAGGCACAGCCAGATTTTCAAAACCTGTGTATATGACGTGGTCCAACAGGATGCACCTTCGATCATAATAGGCTGGATTCATAGAAAGTCGCTTGAAGGCCTATTTTTGGCCCGATCGCTGGGTGCGAGAACGGGGGCTGGTCGCTCTTCCGAAGCGCCTATTCGGCCAATCGCCAAGATCCTCTCTCTATATCCTGATGGTTCCCATGCAGATCTTCTTCCATTGCTGTTAGTGACCTGAAGTGTCATGTCAATAACCAGCTGCGGCTGCTTGCTGCCGACAGGGTAAACCGTATGGAATGCACTATTTCCAGGGCCATTTCTCGTATTCATGCATGGCAATGCTTCTCATCATGCACGCCCAAGGGATGTAAGTCTGTCAAAGGGCGCTTCGTCGACGTATCGTTCGGTTCTGCGCGGGATCAATGCGTGCAGAGCTATGCTGTCGACCCTGATATTTTCGTCGACAGGCTATTTATGAGCCTTTGCAAGTCGACTCACCATCACAGAAAATTGACTGAAGACAAATACCCTACGCACCAGGGGGAACTGAGAAGCGCCCGATCACGCAACAACCGCATCTGATCTTTTCCCCTTCCTTCTGCGTTGGTTGACAAAGGATTCAACAAGAGGTACGAGGTACATGTATTGTTGCTGTCTTCGATGCGGACTCGACTGCGCTCTTTATATAGTTCTTCTGACTCGGCCACATATTTAGGCCGATTCAAGCGGCCGTGTGTCCGCATACCACCGCCTTCTCTGACCCGGATTTGGCGGATATACAGGAATCTCCGCAAGGCTGCGCACACCACTCACACGGCCGGCGTCTTGCCAGCACCGTCTGATGCCGATTCTAACAGATGTTTCTGGTTTAGCGTTGATTACGAGGTAAGGAGAGCGAAAGTTGATTTCGTGGACCGCATTATTCATATGCTCCCTTTTTGCCTCGGAATGGAGTATCCCTTCGACGGAAGCCCGCCGAGGTCGAGTTGCTTTCCTTTTTCAGCGACGCAAACCACGTCATATATGGCTATGTTGTTTGAAAGAATGATCTACCGAAAGCTCTGTAGTCTGCCTGGTCATGCATGTCCCTTGTGTTGCTTCAGGCATGGACGGAGTGATGTTCGTATCTCCTTGATCTTGCATGAACGCTCTTTGGCTTCCAGCCAGGGCGTTCAAGTATAAAGTCGACGAACGATGTCTTGGAGGAGTATCACAACTTCAAAGCAAGACTCAGCAGCTCGAACCTCGAACCTCAAATACTCAATCTCCAACGCGAAATCGATACATTGAAACCAAAGTTCGAAATGGCTACATCCCGGGTTTTGTTGACAGGCGCCAATGGGTTCATTGGAAGTCATCTCCTCTCCCTCTTCCTGGAAAAGTCGTGCTTCGTGCAAGCCGTGGTTCGGACCGAAGCTAAAGCTAAACGAGTGATGAAAGACTTCCCCGGCGTCGACAAATCTAGGCTCGACTTCTCCATCGTTCCAGACATCACAGCGCCGGGAGCCTTCGACCAGTGCATCAAGGACGCTCAACCCCTTGACGCGATCATCCATGCCGCGTCCCCATTCAACTACACGGAAGCCAAGACCCCAGCTGATTTCATCGAGCCAGCAATCCACGGCACGACGGAGATTCTGAAATCCGCCGCGAAGTATGCACCGGGACTGAAAAGACTTGTCATCACAAGCAGTTTTGCGGCGATCGGGAACCCGATGGATCTCCAAGGGAACGGCAAAGTGTATTCCTCGGATGTGTGGAACCCTGTGACAAAGGAGCAAGGGTACTCGGGCGATTTGAGACTGGCGTATTGGGCCAGCAAGACCTTTGCAGAGCAGGCCGCCTGGGAATTCATGAAGACGGAGAAACCGAGCTTTGAACTCGTCGTCCTCAACCCGCCCATCGTTTACGGTCCCCTCCGGCACAGCATTAATTCGATGAGCGATCTGAACACGTCAAACACGGTTCTCTGGAACCTCATGCAATCTGAAAAGAGCGCTCCGGTCCCAGAGGACACCTTACACATCTTTGTCGACGTTCGCGACCTGGCAGTGGCACATTATCAGGCCGCTTTCGCTCCCGGGGTCGGCGGTCGTCGGTTCCTCGTCACCCCCGGCAGCAACACCAACCAGGAAACCTGCGACATTTTGAGAAAAGAGTTCCCGCAGCTCGACGACAAGATCCCGCTGGGTCAACCGGGCAAGCACGCCTTACCTGCGGGATCCTTCAAGATCGACAATTCAGCATCACGGGAGGTGCTGGGGGTGACGTATCGCTCGTTTGAGACCACTGTGGCGGATACTGCGAGGAATTTGTTGGAGGTGGCAAAGACGTTGAGCGCAGAGGCATGAGATGATGAGGTGGGCATGATGGAGATTTAGTGAGGAATGTTGTTGGAAATGAAGGTGGTAGATGTAGTGGTAGTAGTAGTAGTTGAGATGAGGATTGTGGAAACCAATGATACATTAAACCTCCCTTTGCTCCCGATCCTCCATTGTATTGATGCCGCTTTCACTGAACAAATCGACCTCGACTGCCAAAAGCGAGCGCTGCCCAACCTGCAATCAAGCACATGCCTCCCAGGGGCGTCACGGGACCCAAAGCCTTGAAACGCTGAGGATCTAGAACGAGCAGATAAATGCTCCCACTAAACATCGTCATCCCAGCCGTGAAGAGTGCAGCCGCAACCTGTGGGACCGCTTAGAATGAAAGACTCGGATAACACGAAGAAAGCAGGTATAACCTTATTTTTGGGGGCTGCTGCTGCTGTTAGAAGGAGGACTCCGCTATGAATTAACTGTTGGAAGAGAGATCATGTCAGTTTTTGCCTCGAATGCTCAATCAGTTAGTTACCTGATATTGAGCAGCGGTCGACCAGTTTGCAAGCCTTGCCGGGTCGCTGATGTGCTTTTTCAGCCCGTGAGCTCCAAACGCGCCGAATGCAACAGAGGATGCCCCGTAAATGCATCCGATGGTCCAGAACATTGTGGAGAGTGATAACTCAAGCAACGGAGAGGAGAAAGGTACTTCGGAAGACAAACAATAATAATACCCGTAAAGAAAGAGGACAGAACCGAAGTTGAGGCCCCCAGCGGGATAGAACGAGCAGTCATGATATCCGGTTTGGTACGTTTGCTGAGTTTGCACCGTTTGCATTTTGATTAGCATTGGCAGGACCAAGGGCGAGCTGGGATCAGTGAGAGAGACAAGGTTCACTGTTTCGCCGAGATTGAGACTCGCGATGTCATGCAGGAAGAATGGCAATGCAGCAATAATAAGTTTGCTGGCCCTTCTATTGGATGGAACAAGTCTCGGTGGCAGCTGTTTCCAACTTGAAGGCCAGAACTCTCACAGGAGGTCCCAGCAACTGCTTCCAGACTGCCATCCTTGAGAGAGTTGACGCCTTGCATAATGAGGGGTTGTGTGCGGCAGCTTGGCTCTGGAGGGAACTCCATAATATGTCGGTTCAAACCGCTGCCGTTTTCGAGTCTTTTCTATCCAACGTTTCCACGATTGCTATTCAAAATCCAGGAAGCCTTCTCCGACTGTCGTGAAATTCAACACTGTTCGATTAGCGAAAGCCACGTGTGGTTCGTGATAGAGACGGAGGATCAGCAAAGTGTAGATCCTCCTGACTAGGTGCCTGGGGCACCGTGCGTTATGGAAAGGTAACCTTCGCCATGAATGCTATTATCCCGACAACGTGTGCAGAGATCAAGGCACGCATCGCAGATAGACAGCCATAAGAGTTGACACACGTACGTAGTGGACACAACGATAAGCCCGTGGGGATGATGTCCAAACCTAGTGCAGCTAGTGGACCGATAGTGGGTGGGAGGATCAGCGTCCAAGTGTCTCTGGCATGGCGAAAAGAGCACCAGGCTGGATGGGAGGGCTGCAAGCGGATTCGAAGACGCACCTCATCTCTGCCTCCTTGCTGCAAGAGCGGATACCCGTCGTAAAAACGGGGGATCGGGCGTTGCACCAACTTATCTCTAGCCCACATTAGACGCGGCCGGGCAATTTCTCTTTTGCCTGAGTTGTTCTCGCTTCCCAATTTTGTCCCCAATTCCCAGGCTGGTTTCTGCATGTTGGATTGGCAATTCATATTCCCTGGCCTGCCTGGGCTTAGGCCGGTGCGCCTCTTCAGAGCTTGAGGGCCACCCGGCAGGCTTCCCCCGGGCCAGCTCCATGTTGGGCTGCTCCGTAACGCAGCAATCGGGTCTCCCATGAGAGCCAGTAGAAATGGAGACCAGCCGATGGAGGGAGGTATTGTTCGCTACGATCTCGTTTAGGAGGATTTCACAGGTTTTCTCGTGTTCTTTTTTGTCCGTGTGCCGCGGCCGCAGACTGGCCTGAGACCCCTATGTGCTGCATCCAAAGTTGTTGGACCATCAGGGCTAACTCGGCGGGGAGAGGTTTCCATCAGAAGGACGGTAAGGGTGGTGACAGCGACGATCTGTAACCTGTAGAGCCGAACAAGATTGGGCACCTGACCCGAGGTTGAGTGATGGGATTGTGGTGATGGCACTGATGGGTTGGTTGATGTTTGAAGGTCGTGGATTGTGTGTCCCTTTGTCACTCTCTCGTACTGCTAGCAGGACCCTCGCTCTCATCTTCCGGACCCGGGACAGTTCAATCCCTGCTCTTTGGTGCCTTGAGTTCGCCAATTGAGACCGGCCATAGGGGGAAAAGAACAGGGGAGTCCAACCCCCCGAACCGACACCATCCCCACTTGGAGTTTAACGAACCAGACACCAAGAATCAAGAGTGCAAGGACCCAAGGTCCCCCCCCTGGTGCCCGCCCTGGTGCCCCGAGCCCCAAGAAGCCAGACCCGGACCTTCCAACTGTGGCCTCTCTCCATTCCTTTTGCACGCCTTCCCCCAAGCACCCAGAAGGACTGGCCCTTTTCAATCTGTGACCCGACCTCACCACCACCTCCACCACCACCACCATCAAGCCCTCAATTTCGTCGACGACTTTTTGCCGCTCTGCAGGCGGTCAATTGCTTCGTCTTCTTTGGCAAAATCCCAGGCTGGCCTTGTCTCCCTCTCGCCGTCGATCCTCTCTGCACTGTACCGCCATCCCGAACCTCCCAATCGCAGCTCTTTTGGCCCCCCCAGTATTTTATCCACCTCATCCCTGATACCTCGCTCGTTGGAGCTCCTGCGCTCGTTCATCGCCCACCGTGCCTGAACATTGAACAGATATCATCCATTTTGCTGTGCGCGTCGCTCTAGCGAGGCTGACCTTTTGACCTCTGACATACTTGCGAACTCCTTTTGCACTCTGGTCCGACGAGGGGCCCGAGCGGCACGATGTCGACCGACTTGACGGGAGAGCAGATGCAGGCCAAAATCACAGCTGCCAGAAGAGAAGCAGAGGGGCTCAAGGACAGAATTAAGCGCAAGAAGGATGACTTGGCTGATACCAGCTGTAAGTCAATTGACAAACCCTCGATTGATTTAATCTCATGCGCAGCCTACCTGCCCACCACTCTGCGGATTGCTAATCAACCGGGTTTGCAGTGCGACAAGTCGCTCTCAACAATACAGAAGCCTTGCCTCGGATAGGCATGAAGCCCCGAAGGAATCTCAAGGGCCATCTCGCAAAGATCTACGCTATGCACTGGTCAACGGATCGCAGGCATCTGGTGTCGGCGTCTCAGGACGGCAAGCTCATTATTTGGGATGCCTATACCACTAACAAGGTCCACGCCATTCCCCTCCGTTCCTCATGGGTCATGACCTGCGCATATGCCCCCAGCGGCAACTACGTTGCCTGCGGCGGTCTCGACAACATTTGCTCAATTTACAACCTCTCCACGAGGGAAGGCCCGACACGTGTGGCTCGTGAACTGTCTGGTCACTCTGGATACTTGTCCTGCTGTCGTTTTGTCAATGACCGAAAAATCATTACCTCTTCTGGTGACATGACGTGTATGATGTGGGATATCGAGACGGGCTCCAAAGTCACCGAGTTTGCGGACCATTTGGGCGACGTGATGAGCATCAGCATAAATCCGACAAACGCCAATATTTTCGTGAGCGGCGCCTGCGATGCCTTCGCCAAGTTATGGGACGTGCGAACCGGGAAAGCAGTTCAAACATTTGCCGGTCATGAATCCGACATTAATGCCATTCAATTTTTCCCGGATGGAAACGCCTTCGGCACCGGCTCGGACGATGCCTCCTGCAGGCTCTTCGACATCCGCGCAGATAGAGAACTAATGTCTTACCAGGTAAGTTTTGGACTTCCATTGGTGTTCCGTTACCACGCTCTCGCTGACATCTTGATAGAATGAACAAGTTCTCTGCGGCATCACTTCTGTCGCCTTCTCGGTTTCTGGCCGATTACTCTTCGCAGGTTACGATGACTTTGAATGCAAGGTTTGTAAAATCTGATACATAATGTTTGCTTCGTCACAGCTAACCAGATTCCAGGTCTGGGACACATTGCGTGGTGATAAGGTCGGTTCATTGAACGGTCACGAAAACCGAGTCAGTTGCCTTGGAGTTAGCAATGACGGTATTAGTTTATGTACTGGCTCATGGGATTCTTTAGTAAGTCACCATTGCTCTTTACTGACAAATCTGGAGAACTCGGCTGATGCAGTTTTGTAGCTCAAAATCTGGGCATGGTAGAAATGGCTGTGGGAGAAGGATATACTTTGTTCCAACAACGGCAATTTGGCTTCAAGGTCAGCTTCGAAGTGGCGGGCACCATCAGCAAAATCACCTTTTTTGTCCACGATCCTATCGACAGCTTCTGACGATTCCCTTTTCCTGGCCCCTAACTTGACTGTCGCGCGAACCTCAGGGCTCATTTGCTTTTTCACCAATGCCCTGAGAATCTTCTACTGGATAAGCTTTTTCTTGTGTGCGGGCTCTCTACAGGACTCGAGGAGGGATCGCTGGTTTGCTTATGTTTTCCTTCAAGACATTGGCAAGATACCGTGCGCGTTGTTTCCAATCCACGACCGTTATGACCGGACATTGGTGCGAGTGGAGTTCATTACCGTTCTCCTGTTTCGTGTCTAATCTTGACAAACACAATTTTCAAGCTCCTTGCTTGCCTCACTACAACAGAAAGTCAACCTTTCCTGCAGATCTGGCGAGTGAACTGCAGTGAAGGAAAAAAAAGGGAAAAGCCCAAAATGTGAAACCCCGGATATCGGCAATCTTGTTCCATCGTTCTTCTGCGTGCGTTGTGTTCCTGAGACGAGATCTAGGGGACCGAAACGACTTTCGCGGAAAGAGTGGAAGCGAGGCGCAAGTATCGGGGAGGATGTTATAGAGGTGCTGAACTGAAAGGGCCTCAGCCATGGCGAGCACGCGACCATAAAAAAGTTCTCTCAAGTGTCCAATTGTTTTTGTGAATGCGAATCGATCACAGCGAATTCCCAAGGGTTTTTTATTGTTCAAATTGCAACGGGAAAGGGGGGGAAGGGAAAGGAAAGGCAGGAGGAGTCTGTTGCGTCCGTCTACCTATCAGTCTTGATCTGTGCTCTTGCTAGTTGGGGGAGGAGCCTTTCCTAAATTCCATCCATCTTCAGTGTTCATGCTACCAAAGGCTCTTTTTTTTTGATTCACTTGTTCATTGCCGCCTTCGGGGTATTTTCTTAACTTGGATGGAGATACCAGCGGTCCGTGAGATCGGGGTAGGTCGAATTGGCTGCGCCGTACCAGTGGCCCCGAACAAATAGCAACTGGATTGTGAGTGTTTGTCTGTAGACTCGAGTTTCATTGAGCTCAGCACATGGGATTGACTGGAGCGGGGTTGACGCTGACTACTAGGTATATAACCTGGGATGAAATCGTTCATTGTTCAACATTGAATTGCCTGCTGTAGTTGTATATATCTGTACACGCCATCCCGACTCGCTTGCTCCCCAGAACCTCGAACCCGAATTCGAGAATCAAAGGCCCTGCAAATCATAGAAACAGGTACTCCGTATAGAAATGTCCCCCTCCAATGAATCCCCAGTGCCAAGTGCACCCGGTGCTGTCCATGGCATTCGAGTGGATGCAGGAGCCCCGAGAAATTCTGGCATACCTCTCCTTCTCTATGCCCAAAGGCCTCTGTGAGTACCGTTTCCAAGAGATGGGGAAATCCCTCGTAAAGGGCTGTCCGAATCAATGACTCGGTACCCATGGCTGGACCCATCCAATCTGACGTCAATTTCGTCCAAGCCATCCACGGGAAGCTCGTCAAATCTGCGCCGTCCCAGGTCGTTCCCTAACAAGCACACCCATCTCTCTCCTGGTCAAGGTTGATGTTGATCGGATCCGAAAAGTCACCACCATATTCCTCACTTTCTTCCTGCGCCAGCGCATTTCTGGCAATAACTTCAAATGCTTGTTCCACGTTGATGCTTTCCTTGGCGCTGGTCTCAAAATATGGCATTTGCCCGCGACTCTGGCAGTAGGCGTGCGCTCTCTTTTGCGAAACCATTCTTCTATCTTCGCCCAGGTCGATCTTATTCCCCAATACCACGAAGGGGAAAGATTCCGGGTCGCGGGGAGAGGCTTGGATCAGGAATTCGTCGCGCCAGGAATCGAGGGTCTCGAATGACTTTGCAGAGTTGACGTCGTAGACGAGGACGCAGCAGTCTGCGCCCCTGTAGAACGCCACGCCCAGTGATTGAAAGCGCTCCTGCCCGGCGGTGTCCCAAATTTGGAGCGTCACGATCCGATCATCGACGGTGACTTCCTTGGTAAGGAAGTCGGCGCCAATCGTGGCTTTGTAGGAGGTGGAGAATTTCTTGTTCACCTGTGGAAAGGTCAGAAGGCGCCGTTTGAGGAGTGAAGAACATGGAGAGAGCGCCGTACATATTGGTTCATCAAACTAGTCTTGCCCACGCCGCTGTCTCCTAGAATAATGACCTGCGCAAAGCCATGATCAGTTGCGTGCATCGACGGGCGATAAAGAGCTACGTGGGCAATGATTACCTTCAGCAACACCTTCTTCCTCGACGCCATGACTGCACTTGATGTGTTTGTGACTTGTGCTGTCTCTACAGACTCCGAGAACACAAGAAATCTCGTGCTGGTGTCACAGACGCTGCTAGGCCGGCTTAGTTGGCTTTATGGCGTTGGTCTGAGAGGTAGTTCTCCGCTGGAGAGTCACGCGATAGCCGGCTGGTGGTTCCCGAGGTAGATACGAGTAAAGAGGATGTGGCTGTTGCCTGCGCCTTCAGTCTTCTGACCTTGTAAGGCAACCGGAAGGCGGTGTTGGGGTGTGCGTGGGTGTGGGAGTTTGAAGCTTGGGAAGTCGAGATGGAGGATCGAGGATGAGGGCAGCGACAAGTCGATCGGGCGAGGGATCGTTGGTTCTAGCGGTTCGAGGAGCGAGCAGCCGTCATAGGCTTATAGCCACTTCTCGGTACTAAGTACGAGGTAATATTAGCCACCAGCTGCCACTTCTCCATTCTCCAGCCTCAGACTGAAAGCCAGTCAACGTCTCGCCATAGGGAAGGTCAGCCGGGGATCAAATGCCCGGCGAGGTCCACCTGGCACCTGGCGCCATGTTCTTTTGGCATTCGTTGAAACTAAGAAGCGTTGCTGAGCGTTGAATGTGTTTCTTACCCGTAGATTTCTCGTCTCCTTCCAACTACATTCGCTCCTTTTGCCTCATCTTCTATTTCGAATGGATCAGTTCCGGAATGACTGAGATTAGATGACCGGGTTCAATCATGGCAACATGGAAAGAGCAATATCTGGCAGCCTTGCAAGACCGAGACCGTGTAGAGAAGGCCAACCTTGCGCTTTACGAGTACTGTACCAAGCTGGCAGATGAGAGGGCCGAGTTGTATAAGAAGGCTCGACTTGCAGAGAAAGCGTCGCCTTCAGAAAACACGCCTGTGCCGGAGCCTCCTGTCACCTCTCCAGGATGGGGCATCAGGAGAGTCACCTCGCCATCTATCCAGGGAGGAACTCGCCCAGACTCTCCTTCGGCAACAGCCACAGCCAGCATCCTTGCCCAGTTGAGGCAAGACCTCTCCAAAGCCCAGACTGAGCGTGCCGACTTACAGTCCCGCCTGGACACGGCACTCCGCGAGCTCGAGACGCTGAAAGGAAAAGCCAAAGCGGACAGCAAGCGCATAGCACAACTAAATGCCTCCGTCTCGCAGTTGACTGTCAAGCTGAGAGACCGCGACGAGGAGCTACGTGGCAAGGCTAAGCTGATAGAGGATGTCCAGGACGAGAACGTCACGCTGAATCTGGAGCTCCACATGGCGGAGGAGAAGGCGCAGAAGTTTCAAAAGGACAACCAGGAGCTCGTCGATCGGTTGATGGCCATCAAGGGAAAGGAGGCTGATAAGATGAATGAAGAGGGCAAGTTCGGATGATACGAAGATCTGGTTGCCAAGTTATGTACCTTCTGCCTCTGCTCTGGTACTCAGCGGGAGCTTAGCAGGGGAGCCTCGAAGAGGTGGAAGAGACGCACTGCGTGCCGGTATTGAGACAACTCCCACTCCACCCTTCTACCAGCCTCGTCCGCAGCTGGCGGGTCTCGAAATACTGATATTGGAGCCACGGGTTAGACGGAAGGATCAACCATATTGACCCAGGCGCTGCTGAAATCGCTGCAGAGAGCTCAACGAATTGTAAGTCATATCAGGAAATCTTCCCCCTTACAACTTGCCCAGGTAGATCCAGGTTACCTAGGTACTGACAGGTGGATGACACAGTGTGACGATCTGAACAGCAGCGCTCATTAAACGAGGGTCTGAATAATCCAAAGACTAACTAGGTATGCAATGGCACCTGGCCATTGGCGTAGTGAATCACATCTAGGAGTATTGTCTGTTCGTCCCACATTGCTCCGATGCATGGTGCTCTCAATCACCCAGCGCTATGCAAAATTGTCATCAAAGTCATTTCAGACCAAAGTAGATCGAAGACCCAACCCCCTTGCCAAAATCATGCTTTCTACCTTGCAGAAGCTCTGGTTATCCGGCGAGCTATCCGCGTCTAACAGTTTTCGAGCCCACCCATACTCTTAACAAATGCGTTGAGCTCCCTGGAGTCTTTGCGGTGGTGATACCATTTTCCCGGATCATCCGTCCAGCTGACCATGGAGCTCCACCTCTCCTTCTCCACGACCGTCAACACATTGACGGGATCGTTCACGTTTGAATCCTTGATCTTGTGCGCGGGGGACCGGAAGGGTTTCAGGCTGACGATGTGGCATCCTTCTTTCAAGTCGAGGAAGACGTATTTGAGCTTGTCGTTCAACTCGGCAGTGAAGGCTTGGTTGTTGACGAGAATGACATCGGCTCGTTTGAGGACTTGCCGGACTTGTTCGTTGGTCAGGAAGTTGCCGTGGATGAGGTGGACTTCACCCGGTTTGATGCCCCAGAGCCGGCATCGGGCTGGGAATTCGTCGGCCTGCAACTGGGCCAATGTATTAGGATTATCCATGACTTCGCAGCCCCATGACTCGGCCCCGGTCTCCAGCGCGGCTTGGAGGACACAATTACCGACGCCGGACCCGAGATCGATAAATACCTGGTCGGACTTGAGATTTGTCTCCTTGAATATGCGGCTGAGAAATTTGGGTAATAGTTCGCCATAGACATTGTCGGAGAAGCTTTCGTAGTGCCTCACCAGATTGACCTGTGGCGACACTGTCCGAGCGTAGATTTGATTTTTGATGATATGCTCCACCAACCTGAGATCGACGCGGCGCATCTGATCCAGTTTCTTTGCGATCGTTCCGTCCTTGCGCTTGTCGGCCACCAGCGCGTTGAATTTCTCCACCACGTTGACGTATTTCGACTGAGCTCCGACGCGCCCTCTCATTCCAAGCAAGGCCTGGCGGTGCAGCTGTTGCACAAGGCCTGAGCCGTCGTCGCTGGTGACTTTTTCTGCGGACTGACTGTCGAGGTAGTATTCCGCTACGATTTTCATGGTTGCCTCGATTTCATCAAGGGGTTTGAAATCAGAAGTGTCCGTAGGCTTGACCAACTGGTATTTCTCACTCTGCAGGGAAGTCGGGTATTGAAGCTCGATCGTGGGGCATTCATCCTCATCCCCTTCCAAGGCTGTGAAGAATGCTTCGTACTTGTCTCGGCCATGTTCCACGAGAGTGCTGTTCGCAATATCATAGGCGTGCACCATGTGAAAGCCGCTACCATCTTCTTGAGAGAAGGCTTTGAGATCCCTCACTTTGCGCTTTTCGTCTATGCTCTCTTTGCGATCGAGGCGGACTCGCTTTCTAGGCTTGTTGTCGTCCTCTTCACTCTCGTCGTCGGAACTTGTCAACCTCGGCGTCGATACAGCAGGAGATGCTCTTTTCGTCCTATTCTGTCTTTCTTTTTTTATCCGTTCAATAGGCTCTCCACTGCCTTGCCTTGAATGTACGGAAACTGGAGTGCTTGACTTTCGAGGCGTACTCGCGGTACGGGAATGTCCGTTGCTAAGAGTTTTCCGGGGGCCTGCAAGCTTGGAGGAAGAGACAGATGGTACAGATGGTAGAGATCTTGCGGCGGGCTTCGTGGTTGGATTGACAGTGACAACCTTGGTGGCAATCTTGAGAGGGGCCTTTTTGGCCTTCAAGGCAGCGAACGACAAGGGTCGAGACTCCGCAGGGAGGGACCCCATGTTGAACCACAACAGCAGGCAGAGACGAATATGCGGGGATATAAGTTAAAGTAAAAAGAGCGTGGTTGAGATCAGGTCGACATAATAAAAGGCAAGGCGAGCGTGCGACAGCACAATAAGTAATGAAGGGAGAAGATGGCAGATGGGTGACAGGCACACGACTGAGGGAGCGGCGGCGGGCAAACAAACCTGAAAAAGAATGCGAGCGAGGCGCACGACTGCGCACCGCTACGCACGGGGACCTCGTACCTGCATGAGTTTTTCCGCTCAGCCTCACCAGGCGAAAAGGGAATAGATCCGCCAGTGGCTTGGCCTACGTCATTGAGGTCTTTTCAGTCGGAGTTGCATATTATTACCTAGGTATTATATGAAGGCCCGACATTGAATACATATTACCTAGGTACTAGGTAGGTATGTGTATATATGTATGTAGTAGTACCATTGCCTTCTACTCTGTTCGTAGCAAAAACATCACAGCTCCGGTGACGAGCTGTTGCGCCGTCTCGATCTATTCGATCCTTCCCAACGTCTTTGACCGTTCCAACGGCTGTCTCCCCGCCCGCCGCCGTTGAACCTCTTGTGACGATAATCTCTGTCTGATCGATCGCGGTCGTCAGGCCTATTGTCGTTGGAAGGGGCTGGATGGGTCTCCATCCATTTTTCAAGTCCATCAGCAATTTTCGGACCCCATACATCCTCGCCGGCTTCGAGATCGGAATAAGTGAGTGCCGGAATGAAGCCTTCAGGAGCAGGGTCGATATTGGTGTACTCGCCTTGCATGCTCCGAACCAAGGCTGCCATCGTCCCGTGGCAGCCGCAGGCGATACCAAGATCATATGCAAATGAACGCACGTAGAAGCCGCTGCTCACAGTCAGTCGAATGCGGGCCGCTGGAGCGTTGGCAGGTTGAGCTTCTTGTGTCGGGAGATGGTGAGTATGCAGCTCAGCCTTTTTGTCAGGCGGAAGCTTGTTGCTTTCGCGCTGTTCTCGGTACCTCTCCTTGGAGGGGCTCCTGGGGCTGGTGGCTGCCGCTTCTTGCTCCACTGACTTCTTTGTCGCTTCAGCCCCGGCCATTAGTCTCCACGCAATGGATTTCTCCTCGTCGCTTGCTTCCTCCGCTGGCCACCTGAAGTCATGCTCCCCAGGACCGTAGAAGTCAAGCAGTGTGCAGTCCGAGATCTCAATATCCCGGCTCTCTAAGGTCCTAGGTAACTCCCTCCCACTGCGAGCATACTCATATAGTTTCATGCCATCAATCTTAATTGCACTGTAAATTGGCGGAATCTGCTTCATTTTGCCCCGAAAGTGCGTCAATCTCTCTTCAACCACTTGTTTGGTGATGCTTTCAGTCGGCGATTCTGCCACTATTTTCCCCATAATATCGTATGTGTCGGTGCTTTTTCCGAATAAAACAACAGTCTCATAGGTCTTCTTGCAACCAAGGAAGTCAGAGAGGGACTTGGATCCTCTGCCCAGTCCAACAATTAAGACACCGGTTGCCATAGGGTCCAGAGTGCCACCGTGGCCCATCTTGAATATCTGGTCATTACTCCTCCTTTTGCGCCGTTTTGGCTGGTGTCGATCTTGTTCTTCTTGGGCTTTTCTTGTCTTCTCGAGCAAAGGGGCAAAGGTTTTGGACTCTGCAAATTTGTGCTGCAGATCGCGGAGAACTTGAGCGGAAGAGATGCTGGGAGGCTTGCTGATGGCTAATAGACACGGAGACTCGTTAGGGTATGGACGGGAGAGCACAGGGCAGAGTCGTAGGAGAGGAATTGGCCTCACCGAAGACGCCCTCGAGGACCTTTCCTGACGGCTGGGCCATCTTGAGAATGAAAGATGGCCTCATGCGATAGACAAGGTCTGTCAATGGAGGCGCCGCACCCTCGCACCAACCCAGACTTTGACGTTCTTTGTTCAAGAAATGAAATGGTGCGCAGGCTTCGAGAAAGGTTATGGAATGACACGAGCACCTCGGATGCGGAAAAACTTAGTGGAGCCACACGTGAGCCACAAATACTAGGTAAGAGTTACTTAAGCCAATCAGAACCCGAGGATCCCGCTTGGGTGCCTCTTGGGTGCCTCTCTAGCCAGGGCTTTGGCTCCCACCGAGCCACTACCAGCCTCCAGTCTCCTCCCTCCTCCTTCCATCTGCTCACCATCCAAAAATGCGCGTCACTCGTTTCTGTCGTCCCCTCCTTACCACTGGCACAGTTCAATTGCACCCACGACCCTACGCGATCCACGCTTCGTGATCATTCCAGCGACAGTCTACCGCGACATGACGGCTAGGTCCCGCGCCTTGCCTGCTCAATAGCGCAGTACCTCGCACACAGCATGAACCTCGCACTCTTATTTGGACATGTCCACCCTACCTGAAGAACGAGTTCTGAAACCCCTCGATCCCGTCCCCAACGATGTCAACGACTGGCCGGATTTTGCTTTGCGAGAAACAAAAATCTTCTACCAAGGAAAAGGCCGATATGCAGATCTGCTACAAGCCTCGGAAGAGACACCCCTCTGTGTCGTGGGAGAATTGATGCCTTTGGACGACGAGCAGGAACATATTGGTACGGAAGACTCTACCATTGTATCTTTCAGGGTTGCTGACACAACCTATTAGCCTTGATAGAGAAGCCATTGTATGCACGAATAAAGATCGACAACGTTACAAATTACAGCTTTGGTCAAGATGACAATGGGAAGCCTGTCATTTGGGCTGCGGGAAAGGCAGGCTGGTACGAGATTTCACCCTCAGATCGCTATCTGAGTCATTACAACGACACATTAGAGGCCATCGATTTGTTCTATTTCATGGTCGACCAGCATCAGAAGCTCGCACGGAAACACCAGAAGTTTGGCTTTATGATCGACCCATTTCTCACCGAATACCAGAAGCACACGGGCTATCGGATTGACGACGATGACGAAGCCATGGAGACGATCCACAAACATCACCGCTTCCTTCTCAGGCAGATGCTTGAAGAGAGGGAAGGGATCGATTGGTCTCAGACGTATCTGTGGAAGCATTTAGCTGAGACTTACGCCGACGAACTGGAGGAGTTGAAGGCCACCTTAGCATCATCGAATCAGAATAGCCTACCAGAGGCTTCCGACTCGTCCGAGGAAGAGGACGCAGACGAAGACGAAGACGAGGTGGACGAGGGACCGCGCCAGGAAAGAGAGGGCACGTCAGAAGGATCCGATGGTGACGAATCTGAAGCTAGTTCCGAGGCAGCCTCTTCCAGTGCGACTGAAACCAAGCCGGAGCCTATTGATTGGACCAGGCCTATATGGGATATGCTGAACATCCTGCGAAAGTCGGCCAACTTCAATATGAGACACTGTGGAATTGACGAAGCCGCCACGGAGCTACAAAAGTTACCTGCATTCGAGGGGTCGCATGAAGACGCAGTGGCCGCTTTTGAACGCTCAGCAGAACCATTACTGAAACTAATGAATGAAGCAAAACTCCGAAAGAAATTCAATTGGTCTACCCGGAGAATATACGATGAGCTGGAAGCCACGCTGGCCGACGTGGTGGCGGATGAGACCATGAAGACTCCCCGCAAACCAGGCGGAGGGAAACCCCAGCGGCACCGAATGAAGTCTGTGCTTCGTCCTAGTGGCGCTAGCAAATCACACAAACGCGCAAGAGGCGTCGTGGAAGAGGACGAAGACGAAGTGATGAGTGACGTTCCCATTTCATCGCCAGTAGCTCGACGGCAAGCTGGTCCTCCGCCGCCCAGCAGGATGAGGGAAGCTACGGCAGATTCGGCACCCAGTCGCGAAGATAGTCCCAGTCGACAACTCAATGGCCATTTGGATCCTGACGCGTTACCTGAGCTACCGCCTGGACCGGAAGCGCAAGAAATGATTGACTTGGTGGCTCAGGAGGCCAAGCGAGTTGGTCGGCAGCATCAGACAAGTCATCTGCAAGCATTCCTGGGGCAGTGGGTTGTCTGAGCGGCGCCACTTGAGGGTCCTTGCCGCGAGCATTTTGTGAAGGCGTTCTGGATCCAATGGCTGTGCTGGGTTAACGAGTCTTCGCACTGCGTTTGTCCTTGTGATTGTGATACCCCATATGCTTTTATATAGCATTTTGTCTCTTGTACTCGGTAGGAAATCGACTGATTTAACAGTCCTCTTTCTTTTCCTGGTTCTTCCCGCATGTTGTGTCATTCACATGAAGCATCACCGAGTAGCCATCCTCTTGCTCTTCCCGGGCCTCTTTGCCTTTAGCTTTCCGCCCTTGCCTTTCATCCTGCTTGCTGAGAATCCGCGCATATCGCCACTGCTGATTGCATCGCCGCTTTTCGCATGGCGTTTCTTACCACCAAAGCCATATTTCTGGTCGCGCCTCTGTCTCTTTGGGCTGGGGCCAGTGCCGCCGAGAGCACCCCGATCTCGGCCCGACCGATCTTTCGCAGCGGGGTTTTCCACGTCGATGTTCTGGAAGAGTTCGTCGTCTAGGTTGCCCTCGGTCACTTTGCCCGTGTCGGTGCCCTTGCGTTCTGATGGTAGAAGATGTTATGTTAGGTTCACACAGATACCAGTAGAGGTTTTTCAGAGAAATGGGTATCAAACTTACTCCTTTTCAACTCCTTGATCTTGTCGAGCGTGTTTCTCTTCTCCCTCGCCCTCTCCTGCTCCTTGGCGACCTGGACCGCCTTGCCGAACTTCTTGGCGTCCCTGAGTTTGCGAGCCTCCTCTGCTGCTCTCTTGTTGGCCGCCTCGTCGTACATCTTCTGCTTGACGCGGCCCATGTGTTCGTCGCTCTTGACCATTTCCGCAAAGTAGTCGGCGGGACGGGTGAAAGGGATCTTCTCCGAGAGGAGCAGGTCTCGCGCGGTGACGACGGCCGTGCGGGCGATGCGATAGAATTCAAGTTCGCGTGTGAGGTCGTCGTTGGGGTCTGGCACCGACTGTGAGGTGGGAGGAAGATCTGAGATCAGGGAGTTGTGGTGGTGGAAGGGTGTGGATTTGGGGTGTTTGATGATCGAGATACGGTTGCAAGCCGCGAGCAGGGCGGGGCCGTTGTTGATGGTCATCTTTTGGTACGGGATCGTGTCCTCCAGGTCTGAGTCTTCGAGGTCGGAGATGGGCACGTCGGATTCATTTTCTGCTTCCGAGGCAGAGGCGTCGACGGGCTGGGCTGGTTGCGGGATCGTGGGAGCGGCGGTGTCACCGTTGTCGATTGCATTGACGGCAGCCCCATTTTGATCCCTTGCGTCTGCTTTGCTGTCCACGCCGTTGTCCTCTTCTGCAAATCCGGCGAAATCGTCATTCTGAGGTGTTTGATGGCTTCCGTCTTTGGCTTCCCCATTCGTCACCTCCTCTCCATCGTCGTCTTCTTGTCTCGCCGTCTCCAGCTTTTGTCTTTTCCGCTTCTCGGCCGCTTTCACTTGTGCCTTTCTTTTTTCTGCCTGGTAGTCCCGCCCTCGGTGGGCATCCAGGGCAGCTAGTAACTTGCTCTTCTTCGGCATATTGGTCGGGACTGTAGAACCTATTCAGGTTGCAGTGAGGAAATTGAGCGGGTGGGAGGGACGGTCGACCTTGCTGTTCCAAATTTTTTTGGAGACGAGCCTCGACACCAAAATTTACTCCACATCACAGCGTCGTGGATGAATTGCCTATTGTGGGAAGGTCCAGTACGGTGGAGCACAATGGGGCACAATGGGGCACAATGGTGGAGCAATCGATTCGTATCCGCACTTTCAATTCCATCTTATGACGGGAGGACCGCATGAGAGTTTCAATATCTACAACTCTCCTACTGTATTCAGTACTGTCCAGTCTACGATGCCTTACGATGGCGAACAGCCTGTGAATATACTCCCAATAACGTTTCTCAGGCGACTTTAACCCCACCTACCTGACCCCCTTTTCCACAGCCTCGTCAGCCGTTGCAATGGTCTTCAGGTTCTCCGCACATTGACATGGTTCTGCGCTGCAGCCAGAGATAGGGGGATAAATGGCATTTCTGGATTCATGTGTCAAGAACAGCATCTTCAATATATGTCTCAATGGGACATACGAGGTCAGTAAAAATGTAAAAGTGAAAACAAGCACTGACTAGCAGCGTCCAATATGTACGAGTAGCCAGCGGAGATGATTTCGGGGCCGAGCCTGCGAAACCTCGGGGCCTATCACAGTGTCACAAGTCAAGTGGCCGTCATTAAGGTTCAATGATGATCGTTCACTGACGCCTGAGGGACTTGTTCAACTATGGACTACATGTGCTGGCAGCCTCGTTCCTGTCCTTTCCAATGTCTCTTTATAAACATGCCGTCCTCCTCATTGCCAACGGCATTATTGCGACGCGAAGAGAAAGACAAGACCTTCTGCTTTGTCTCTATAGTTGAACACCTAGCAAAATGTCCTCTGAAAAAGATGTGCCCGTCATAATCATTGGCGGCGGCATTGTAGGCCTCTCGGCCTCCAATTTCCTCGCTCACCATGGCATACATTCCATGGTGGTAGAGCGCCACAAAGGGACGTCGATCCATCCGCGTGCGAGAAGCGTCAATGCCCGAACTATGGAGCTCTATCGTCGGCTTGGAATCGAGCAACTTGTCCATGATGCCGGTGCGTCGATATCACCGAGCAAGGGCATCTATGGTGGCGCGTCTCTCAAGGAGGTCATTGAGCCTAAATCACGCTCCGCGGGTCCCAGAAGTATGCCATGGATTGGGGTTCTTGCACCATTGAGCCCAGTGACCGGGACATTTGTCACTCAAGACATGATCGAACCAGTTCTCTTGGACGCTGCAAAGGGGCGCGGTGTGGATGTGAGATTCGATACAGAGTGTATCGATATTGAGCAAGATGACAATAGCGTCAGTGTCGTCTTGAAGGATCGGGTGACAGGGGTTAATTCGACTGTCCGGGGACGCTACCTCATCGCGGCCGATGGCGCAGAGAGTCCGATACGCACACGCCTCAAGGTTCCAACGACCGGGAGGGGCACAATGGGCCATTTGCTCAACATCCTCTTCCACGCCGACCTGAAACCTCTTGTTGAAGGGCGCGAATTCTCTCTCTGTAGGATTGAACGGCCCGAAGTCAGGGGCCTCATGACATCAATCAACAACGACGACCGCTGGGTCTTCCACCTTCTTTATGACCCATCGAAGGGCGAGCAACCCTCAGACTTCCCACCCGAGAAATGCAAAGAGCTGCTGCGCTTGGCCCTAGGGATCCCGGACATTGAGATCGAGGTCAAGAGTATCCTCCCATGGAAGCCGTCGGTACGGATTGCGGAGCAACTGCAGCATGGTCATATCTTCCTTGCGGGCGACGCAGCCCACCAGATGCCGCCGTGGGGAGGGCAAGGGGCAAATACGGGCATCGCAGACGTCCATAACCTCGCTTGGAAGCTGGCTGCAGTTCTCCAAAGACATGCGAACGAGTCTTTGTTAGAGACATATGACGTGGAGAGGATTCCTGTGGGAAAGGCGGCTGCCGAGTTTTCCGCAAGCAACGCTGATGAGGACGGAATCATATCAGCAAAAGGACCATTCGGGTTGCTGCTTGTTATAGCCAAGGGCTTTCGTTTGCTCTCCGGCCACGGGATTTATTATGCAAGTCGGGCCATCTGTGCAGAGGACACTTCTCCCCTTGGGGGATTGACTTGGAGGCCGTGGACCTGGCCGAGCTTGATGCTTGCGATCGATGGGAGACCTGGAACTAGGGTTCCTCACTTGTGGGTTGAGCACCTGGGGAAACGTGTTTCGACCCTCGACCTATGTGGCAAGACCTTTGTGTTGTTTGCCGGTGCCGACGGCATATCATGGGTGGAGGCAGCAAAGAAGGTGTCTTTAGCCATGGGTGTTGACATTGCAGCATATCGTGCCGGCCCTGATGGCTGCGATCTGGTTAGTCCAAAAGGCAGTCTCGAATCTGTTGCAGGCATTTCATCTCGAGGCGCGATACTCGTGCGTCCAGATGATTTTGTGGCGTGGCGCCAGAGAAGACAAGTTTCTGATCATGAGGCTGAGCTCACCAAGGCCATCAGACAAGCGCTGTGTCTATCATGATCCGGAGTCGAGTCTTGATACGGAGACTTTTGCTGCGTGCCCCTTGTGGGAGTCCTCGGCTCATGAAAATCCATCTGTTTTGATAGTCAGAATGATGCATGTAAGATTCGCTGCTCAAACGTGTCAACCTGCCGCTTATGATGTATTATTACTTGGACCGCTAAGCCTCGTTTCAGCCTCGCGCCGGCATCTGGACGCAGTGGGCAACGTTTGCTGACACCGTCCCGCAGAAGGGGCGGGCACTTAGCGGTGGATACATCAGCTTCAGTATAAAAGTAACAAAGGTCCCCGGTTTCGTCGCCCAGCATTTGAAGCCTCTAATCGCTCCCGTCTCATTTGGGGGGCCCATCAGTCGGTAAATTTGTCGTCTGACCTCTCCATCACAACCTTCTCGAGGGAGTTCTTTTCGGACGACATATTCCACTCATCAGTCGAGCCTCTCTTTCTACCGACTACAGCCCGGGGAAAGGTTACTCAGCCTGGGTACTTTAGTACGAGCGAGATACATACATCTACATCTACATCTACATCTACATATCCTCCAGCCATACAACAACCACACCAACCACACCGCATCCGCAGTGCACAGAGGAGAAGAAAGAATCTCGCAGCACCAAAACCCCAAGTCCACCGTGGGAACGATGTCCTCCTCACCAGAGCCAATCCCGGCTTTCTACCGCGTCTTCTTCAGCACCATCGACCCCGTCATCGCGCTCAGCGGCGTGCTAACCCAACTCTTCTCCCCGGCCACCATCCTCCGCCTGTACAACGCCTCGTCGTCACTGACCCTCCCTCCCGCAATCGAGACGACCGTGCTCCTCGACAGTTCCGCGGGATACCTCCTCTCGACGCTGTTCCTGCAGGTCGTCATGCTCCGTCTACGGCCCGCGGATCGCACGGTGTGGAAATGTCTCGAGGCGAGTATCCTGATCCAGGACGTGGCGCTTGTCGCGGCCGTGGCGAGGAGTCTGGACGCTCAGCACCGACTCGCGTGGCGGATGGTCACGGGCGAGGAGTGGGGGAATTTGGGCATTCTGGTGGGCGTGGGTGTGCTGAGGGCGGCGTTTTTGATGGGCATTGGCATGGAGGGAGGTCGTGAGGCGAGGAAGAACTTGAAGAGGGCTTGAGGGCGCATTCTTCTTTTTTTCTTTCTTTTAAATCTTCTGGAAGGGGGCGCTTGGGAAGAGAAATTGGTCATCGCGGGAAACCCTCCTCTGTTCCGATGGGAATCTGTTGATTTTTCAAGGCATGAAAGCGAGAAAAGAAAAGAAAAGAAACAGCTTTGTTCAATTTACCCAAGTGATTATCTTTTCCGTCCCATATGCAAAGCCTCATTATCCATGTTACTCGTTACAACACCTGAGAGGCGTTCCGTGGGTCCTTTTCCTTGTCGCGTCAATTCATATGAAAGGTACAGAAAAAAAGAGGAGTCCGTGGTCATTCCCGTCCTAAATGATATCCTTGACCAACTGATAACCTTGACCCAACGTGCCCACGGTCCCCATCTGCGCCGCCGCCACATCGGCAACCTGGTCTGCCGCGTAGCTGGCTGCAGCTTGCAATCCCAAACCCTGGGCGGCTTTCTGGGCCACGGCGACCCACAGCCAGCCGCCCTTGTCGGTCTGCAACAGGCCGATCTTCTTGGTGTCCTCGCTCTTCTCGGGGCTCTTGTGCTCCTCGAACAGGTCGCAGACGTCCTTGACGGCCCGCTCGTGGTTGGCGCTGGGCTCGAAGAAGCCCGCCGCGAGACCGTCGACCGTCAACCGCTCCTTGACTTCTTGGGCCTGCGACGGCTGCGTCAGGAACACCGCCAGCAGGGCCAGGCTGAGCGCGAACAGCGCGTAGATGGCCTTGAGCGTGACGAGGAGATAGAGTGGCACGTATGGCACGCGCACCGCGAGGAAATTGTTTTGCCTCGTCCATTCGAGCTCGTTCCGCACCCCGATCGCGATCCCGGAGCTGAGAGCCACGGCGGCCTGCGAGAATCGGTCGCCGAAGATCTTGGACAATCCCTCGGGCGTTTTCTGATACGCGGCCAGCGCCGAGGCGTCTTGGAGCGCCAGGTGCGAAAGCGGGCTGTTGATGGCGAACGGCGCGCTGAAGACGGCTCCGTAGTAGTCGGCCACATCCTCGTCCGCCTCCAGCTCCACAAGGCTCACCGTGGCGTTGGTCCACTTGTATTTGACCTGCGCGATGGTCGCCGAGCAGCTGATGACGAACACGGTATCGCCGCTGGCGTCGTATTTGAGATAGTGGTCCTTCCGCATGTTTATGAACTCGTCGCCATAGGTATCTACGGGTGGGAATCCCTTTGACCAGGCCAAGAATTGGAGTGGATTCTGCGTGCTGAAGAGGTCGGTGGTGCTGCTTCCGAACCCTACCGGCTGGGTCTTTGCCGTGTCGTTGAAGAATTGAATGCCGACCATTGCCTCGTCCATGGCCGACGTCGCGCTCTTAGGGTCTATGCCAACCTCTCCAGAGTACGAGAAGGACGGTGCGCTGTAAGCGCCGCACGTAAAGCTCGAGCTGACATTGTCGGCGTTCGGTGTGACGTTACAATCTTGTGTGATAACTTGGCATTGCGTCTTGATGGCCAGTGTTGTCGCGGTGAAGTCAAGCTTCGTGTTGCTCTTGACATCTCCGAGGAAGTAGTAGTTGGAACCATTGACCGTGACATTGTAGATTGTGTTGTTCAGCGAGTTGGACATCAGAACCTCTGCGGCTTGCTGTGCGTTGAGCACGCCTTGCCGCTCGCCGTTCGCCGCAGTCCAATTCGTAATGCTGCACGGGTAGCTGCAGCTGGCTTGATTGTTGCTTGGACAACTCCGTACAGCCCAATCCCCTGGCCCACACTGACTGGAGTTTAGACCCCTTCCAAAAGAGAATGTCGTATGGTTCTGCGGAATGACCAATGCAATGTTCATGGCCGTGGTGACTGTACCAAACCAGCTGTCGACTGCGCCGATCGCGAAGCTAGATTGCCAAAGTCAGCGTACGACATGGAGAAGCAAGGGAGAATGGTTGACCTACGTCATGAACACAATGAACGACAGACACCAAAAAGCGAGGGGGACAGGTTGAACAAGGCTCTCGTGGTTTTGCCACCGGTACTTGACGGCATCAAGCAGAGGTTGCGTCCCACCTCCATTGAGCAGCCCGATCAGGATGGATACCTGGTGAGGACTGGGCAGCTTCTCGGATTTGCTGGCAGTAGCCTTCATAATGCGCTGGCCCGCGAAGAAAGCAACAAGAGCCATGGATGCCCCGGTGACGAAGGGGATGAGCTTGGCCGTCCATGAAGAGATCATGTGCAACACTGCTGGGTTGGTGATGGTCTTGTAGTAGAGGTAGTAAGCTGAATCTCCGCCATTGTTTTCGATGTACTGAATATTTTGGAGAGCCTGCAGCCCTTCATTCGTGCTGGTTGTTACTTGCTTCGGAGGAAGATAGACGTAACTGTTGTCAATTCGATTGTACAAGATGGCCGTCAGAAGCACACTGGAGATGACGGCAACTGGAACGCAAGGTGCAAATGCTCCCCAGAGTAGAGACGGCAGAGCGCCCTCCATGTTGCTTTTGACTCCATGATGAGAGGGGGAGGGGGTAGGGGGAGGGCTATCTGAACTGGATTGTGTGGCAGGTGTCTCAACAGCCTTTTCAGAGAGAAGAGGAATCTTTGTAGGCGACAGAGGTTGTTCCGGCACTGCTGCCATTGTGTGCTGCGAAATCAATGTAGAGAACTTCAACACAAACCTATTCAACACAAGCCGGAGGACTGCAAAAACTCAGAACAACCCGCAAAGCTGGAAGCAGGCCACGGGTATTTGAGTCGCTCCATTTCGACAGTCCTTCTGAGAAGGTCATGCACCAGCTTCTGCAAAAGGCAGCTAGGCGAAGTTGATCGCGCAGACTCACATAAGGCAGAGTAGGCCACGAAGGGTGCATGCAACCGACGAAAACAGCAGCGAGATAGACAACGCGAGGGCTGGACGATTCGTGAGGGAGGGTGAAGCCATCCACACATTGGCGACGTGGTTGTCATCCAGTTGGCCGTCAGTGGAACACTTTCCTAAAGGCGTTTTGTGGCTGGCGTAAAGGTGCATTTCAGCTTCGGGAATGGCCCAGTCCAGGCTGAAAGAAGAGCAGCTGTCAACCTTAGCGAGCAGCTGTGTGGGAGGAAAAAACGACCGCCTTGGAAAGGCTGCAGAAACAGCCGTTAGGCTGGCCAGTCATGTCATGTGCAGTGGTCCTTGATTGTTCGCGCCACCTGTGCCCTCCGTCCGAGATAGGGCAGCACACCGCTGCGGGATGTTCTGGACTGGCCCATGTAGCTGAAGTTTATGCATGGCCATGCAGGGCAACCAAAATGCGAAAGGCCAAAAGACCATGGCAACTGAAGATGCTGTGCCACCTACCGGAGGGCGCGGAAACAGGTTTGGATGGCGCCGGAGTATTGTGCCAGCGTTGGGCACTTGTTGAAGTGGTGAGTGTTGAGATAGAATATCATGGACCAGGCGAGGCGGGGGGGTGTTGAGGTGCGGCTGGATTAGACTATCGGAGGGATCAGCAGTGATCATTCTTAGCGGTGCTTAATGGGTGCCACTGGTGCTTAACAGGCCCTCAATGATCCTTAATGATCCTTAATCGATGCTCAGCACGTGGGTGGCAGCCCCGGATTGCCCTGTACTTGGGGTACGAGGTGAGCCCCACTACTTGGTGCCTAGGTAGGTAGCCAGCATTTAAAAGAACTGTCCCGGAAGGCAGAGAGGTCCATGCCCACCTGGCCACCCACTCATCATGCCTGACTCGCTACCCACTCGCACCCGTTCGCCTTTTCTTTCCCTCGCTCGTGATCAGCCAGGACGCCACTCTGGAGACTTGCCCTCGACGCCTCCACGCTCAAACAGTCGCCTCGGATGATGGCCATAGTCGTGGATTCATAGGACCGTATATGAGCGGCGTAACGGATGATACCCTGGTTTCAATGGTGCTAGGATAGACATCAAGTCTGCTGTTCAAGCTGTATCAGGCCTGTTTGGTCACTTCGGAAGATAGATGGCGGATGAGGTACGTATAAGTAAACGCTTCGATCTGATACCAGGAAGGTGTGGTGAGGTTGGGGCTAGGTCATGCTTCTGTGTGGTAGTCCGTCTGTTAGTCCGACAATCGAGTCCGATTCAGAATCAAACTCCTCATGCCTCGCCACAAAGCTTTGAGACTAGAGGGAGAAACAAGGCCAGACAGCAGGATCACAGAAGATCTCTCACACCCGACGGAAGGAGGAGAGGCTTATATATGTATATATGCCTAGGTACTAGGTATATATAGATAGGTACGTTGGTATACCATACATAAAGGTACACTTCGTGGAGAGTGCACGCCGCTCCGCATGAACTTCGGGCAATTCCCCAAGAACAACACCCGCTCCACCCCAAATTCCCCTGGGTTTCACAATTCTGAGCTCGGAAGTCCAGTTCCATTTCCCAGACGACCTCCTCTTCAACTGCACCTTTTTGAGGACTCGGAAACGCTCATTAGGGCGCTGGGGCGTTATAGAGCGTTATTGCGCCGGCATCTTGCGAAATGTATCATCTTACACATGTGAATTGAGTGTCCCTACGCTGATCTGTTTCCGGCCGGGTCGTGGGAAGCACGTCCATTGATTGACTTCTCCCACTTGGTCTCGCTCCTGAGTTGAGGGATCACCGAGGAACAAATAAAACAAAGTCGCTGTGCGATCATGGTGAGTTTGACCACGACAAATCACTGTCCAAAATTCCTTGGGAGACCAGTCCCTGGAATTTCGTCCCGAAAATTCGTGAAAGAAACCACAGCAATGCCCTGACTGAGCCATGCCTATCCAACTAGTCCGCTCCCAGTCCCCCGTCAACTCGAGGCGCAGGAAGCCCGCCGCTTCACCACTCCTCCTCCGCGGCCAACATCGCAGCCTCAAACGGGCCCGCACCCTCGTCATCAGCCTCCACAACCTTGGACAACAACAGCAACCTCCAAAGTCCCAACGACGCAGCCACGAAGCTCGCCGAGGCGATCGATGACTTCTTGGGCGACCTAGAAAAAAGATTCAAGGGCATAAGCGACGAGATCCTGACCAAATTGGATGATATGGCGGAGCGGTGTGATCGGCTGGAGCAGGAGATGCTGTTGAGGGATGCGAGTGGTGCGATGGAGAACGTGGGCGGTGGGAGCGGCGGCGGCGGCGGCGGGAAGGCAGGGAGTACCGCCGGGTCGACCTAGCTGAGGTGTCAAATGTGGTTGGAAACGATCGTTGTTCGACGGGAGATATAGGACGATCGTGACGGCTGGGACGGGACATTTGGGAGACAAGACAGGGCTGCCATTTCTGGACCCGGGCCTCGGGTTCATGCCGAGAGCCGAAAGGGACGGAATGAGATACGAGGCATATGCGATGGTGCGAATCTCGGAGGTATTGACCAAGCTGTTTGAAGGCCAGAACAACCCGGGTCGAGCACGAGATCAAGTCAGCGTGACAGGCAAGACGTCAAAGAGTGGTACGAGAGGCTACGCGTGGATGGAAACTGGAAACCCACAAATTCATTTTTGAACGCCTCAATCTAACGATAGTCAATGTACAGATCCGTTGCCTGCAGACCCTGTTCGCTTTTGTCCTGATCTGCCCGTGTCTTCCAAAGTGCCCACACTCAATGATTCCGCATCAGCTTACAACTCGCTCTTTGGCTCTGGCTCCTTGACCAAGAACTTGGACAGGATATTGCTCCTCTTCTGCATCTCATCAATCTTCTCCGGTGCCAGTCCGCCCTTCTTCAACAGACCCGCCAGTCTTGTCTGTTCTTTCATCGCGTACTCCGGGTTTCCTGTCAACTTGGACAGAGCTCGCAGATAGTAGTCGACAGAAGTGTCCTTCAGGTCGTTTGCCGCCTTCTTGATCTCGGCCGTCGCCTTCTCGATGTCCGTCAAACCATTGGCCGTGACGTATTTGGCGAGCAGGCTATCAATGATTTCAATCGTCCCAGCCTGCGAGTTCAACCCACCGCCCGGAACCCTGTAGGTGCCGGCCTTGGAGTTGACAAAGTCCACCAGGGCCTCTTCGCTGCGAGCGCCGCTGTAGGGTTCTGGTTCGGTAGAGCCCTTGGGGAAGAATTTGATGGTCGGGTAGCCCGTAATGCCTTGGGATTGCGCTGTGGCTTTCGAGTTCTCGGCTTCGGCGTCGATCTTGGCGATCAGAACGTTGGGCTCGTTGACGAAGTCGGCGGCGAGCTTCTCCCACGTTGGTGCAAGGGATTTGCAGTCTGTAAGCCCAGGTATTAGCATCACATGCCCCTAACGCATCGGTCGTCTCAAAGGGACAAACGTACGTCCGCACCAAGGTGCCGTAAAAGCCACCAAAACATCCTTATCCCCACCAATCTCAGATTGGAATGTTGTGTCTGTCAACATTTCAACATGACTCGGTGCCTTCTTTGGTCCCTTGGCCTTGACGCCAGACTTCTCCGTCACGAAAGCCGTCAAACTTTCCAGATCCCTGCCGCCATTGTAATCCTCTGGCTCCGAGCCGGGCTTCCCATCAAACCACTTCAACGTTGGAAATCCCTGGACACCAAATCTCTTGCCTAGGTCTTTGTGCTTGTCCGCATCGACATTTGCAATGGTTACCTTGTTCCCAGAGGTGGCGAAAGCCGTCGCCAGCTCCTCATAGACAGGAGCGAGGTTCTTGCAGTGGCCGCACCACGGGGCGAAGAACTCGACGAGAGCAGGCTTGCCCGACTCGAATACGACTTTGTCAAAGTTCGAGGGGATCAGGTTGACCACATCTGAGGCCGCGGTGAGGAGGGGCAGGGCGAGCGTTGCCAACGGGAGAAGGGAGCGGAGTTGCACCATAATGGCGCCGTATTAAGTGGAAGGTTGTGGTACGGAAGAGTTGAGCTAACACGAACGGATAGGCGTCTTCAGAGAGCCAGGATTGCTAAGTAGATAGAGTTGGGAGAAGAAGATACAGACTGTGAATACTTGGGCTTGTTGGCGGGCTATATACGGGACAACGCCGCTTTATTTCAATGCTTAAAAATCCGGCCTGCGCCCCCTTTTTCAAGGCTGAGAAGCCACTTGTCCTTGCAACTCAGCCTTGTCCCGTAGAGGCCCAATCAACTCTCCTTTCCAAGGATAGATGCACGATTTGGTCAAGGCCTATGATTAGTATTACCAAGTATTGGAAATGTTCTGAGTATCGCGTCTCCCTTCCTCGGCGTTTCTACAACCACCAGACGTCGGTGACGATAGCTGTGACAATATTTCAACGGTCAAGGGTCTTTCGAAAGCCAACATCTCTCTTGGTACAGACATTAATTTAGGCGGGTATGTACGTAGATTGGTACTGTCTCGTAAAAATGAGGGATCAGAAATTCAAGAGAATGTTTCTCTCATTCTCCAACCACATCCCAACGCCGTCCCTCGCCTTCGCTTGTTGCTTGCCATTCAAACATCAACAACTATGCAAAACAATTGGTCGGTGGTCGTGATTGCCGTACACCCTGTTGGACTGTATCCTTCTGTTGCTCATCATCCAGCTCCATATAACTGGTGATATGCGCTGTGAGCGTCAACGAGCACTGCGGGGAAGAGTCAGTAATCATGTTACGAAATGCTGCAAAGTATGAGGTACTTACTCTGTAGTACTTGTTGCTGAGCCTGTTTACTTTCGCACGCACACTGCACACATCTCCCATCCTTCAAATCAAGAAGGACACTCCATGCCATCTCTTCGCGTTCAAGATCCGGTAGACTAGGCCGCTTGAAGTCACTGAGGTGGTACTTGCGACTAACACTTTTCGAATTCGCGTCAGTCATTGGCTGAGAAAAGATCAAGAACCCTTGATCATCAATTCTGATGAAGCGCCGTTTCCATAAAAATGACTCGGGGAATTGTACGTTGACATCTCCAATGTCGACAACATGCATCAATGACTCTGCTATCGAGTTCTCCCTCGTGAGGTCGTGCTGTTCTTGCGTAATATTAACTTGCGACTGATTGACCTCGTCTTTTGTCGCCGGTTGGTTCCTGTTCCGCGCATTCGCTAGATTCGACATCCGCTTCATGAGTCTACTTGTCATTGAGGATTTCGGTTTGTCCTCGGAAATCGATGCGGCGTCGCTGGCTGATCGCGGACCATGGCGTCTGTGGTGGCTCGACTTGGACACTTTGCTTAGATTCGACTCCGACCGAGGCAAATTTGTATGAGACCCTGACCGATGGGATGAAAAGGAAAACCGGCCCTTTTCCGACTTCGTGGGGCTTTTAACCCTGGGTTGACTCGACGCCAGTGCCGGATCCAAGGCCGGCTGATCGGCCTTCTCATGTTCGACGATCAAAGGGCTTCGGTAGAGATTGAGGGGAGTGTGATAGCTAGAACTGGGGGCCAAGGGGGGGTGTTTATTGCTCGAATCACGAACAATCCTTGCTGTAACAGAGATGGTCTCGCCTTTCTGGAGCTTATGCGCATCTGACGGGGGACGTCGTGGTTCTTTTATCGCGACTGATAGAAGTGGCTCATACGGGGCGCCCATTGGAGGCAGTTGCTTTGGGGGTGAGTTTTCGGTTGAAGCATTTGGGGGTTGTTGCTGATTCAAGAGGAATGATGACCGCTTCATGAACGTGGAGAAGGCAGAGGTCCCGGCACTTGTCTCTCGGATTGGCTGGGGCTGTCGTGGAGGGCTTGCATCTTTCGTCCTCAGGACTTCCAAGGCTTTAATGCGTTTAGAAATTCCTGTTCCGAGTGTAGCCTTTTTGGTAAGGGGTAGTTGGGCTGACTCTATAGGTAACGGCGGCCACTGTGGAAGCGCTGTTGAAATGCTTCGTACGCTACCACTGCTGGGCCTGGTTCCATCAGGCGTTGTTACAAGATTTGGTCGACCCGTGGAATGGCTGGAGGTCGGCGGTTTGGCAACCATATCGCGTAAACGATCTGAACTCCCCTTGGACATTATTGGAGTCACTGGCGAGCGTGCCACAGAGACAGGCATAGCCTCATGGACAGTAGCGTGCTGTATTTCGTCCATCAGGGAATCATCTTCTGAAAGGTCTGACGTAGACGCGTTGCCCCCTGATAAGAGTTTTAGGGCCTGTGGAGGTCCCAAGCGCCTAGGTTTCTTCGGAGACTCTACATCCTGTGTGAGCGGTGGATTTGAAGGCTGTTGCTCAGCATCCAGGTTTAGTTCAGGTTTGCTCTCTAAGACGAGATTATCTCCTTTGTTGGCTGGTTTGGCTTCCAGGTAAGCAAGGGCTGCCTTTATATCGGACCTGGAAACATGATTGTCCTCATTATCTGAGGTGACCCTCTCCGAAGTGGCCGGCGGTGTTACATCGACTGGAGCCCCGTCAGACTTGACTGCGGTTTTGTCGTCCTGCGGGAAAGCTTTTGGCGTGAGAGAGGAGCTTGTAGCTGATGACAGAGAGCGGCGAGTACGGGAACAATCATCCTGTTCGCTGAAGGAAGAGGCTTTCGTTGAAGGCTCTTCCGAAATGTTCGTCATAATGGTCGGCGACGTTGTATAAGATGACTGAGTTAGCTTCGACTCCTCGTCGACGTTTGAGAGCTGCTCCTGACTTGGAATTGATGATAGACGGGCACTGGAACCGTTGGCGCTCGCATCCGACTCCGACGCATTGTGAATGTATGTAGTCGACGGGGTCGATGATGCGGCTGAAGCTGCTCTTTGGGCCAAGAGCATGTTCCTTTTCCGCAATTGCAAGGCCTTCATCAATCTTAGCTTTTCTGGTGTGGTTGAGGAAGCATCTCCAGTCACAGAAGCAGGCCGGAGGATTGCAGAGCGACTATCCCCACCATTATAGGGAGCGTGGAGGTAGGACGGCGACGGCAGAGGCGGCGCACCACTGACAGACTGCCCGACGGGAACAAAACGGCCAGGGACGCTTCGACTCGACTGTTGAGAGCCAGGCCGAAGACCGAGGCTCACTAGAGACTTGTTGTTCACACGGATCGAGGTTGGAAGGTTCGCCACCGGCCGTATCCCTGTGCCGCTGTCTGTTGTTCCGGACGTCTTAGGACGATGACTTGGCTCAACGTGAGGTCGCGGTCCCAGCTTTTTCTTCTTTGGCTTGACTGTTGTATACGATGCCACGTTACTACTCCATTGGCTGATACTGTCTGATTCAGCTGCTGAAAGATGACGAGCGTGAGGGCGAGGGGTAGCCGGATCAGAGGCGCCGGCTGTTGCTGTAGCTGTAGTGGTCTCGAGAAGGATGTTGCTGGTGGCTTCGAAATCTGGAGCTCTTGGACCTTCACCTTCGCTAGTAGAAGGTGGCGTCGGGTCGGGCGTCGCGGGAAGCTCCTTGTCGACGATGGAGGAAGGTAAAGGCGAGGGTAATGGTGAGGCCGGTGGTTTGGGTGATGGGAGAAGACTCTCTTTCCGCGGAGGATGAATATTCTTGTCTGGTAGAGGTGGGCTTGTGGGTTTGCTGTTCGCGGCGGCGGCAGCCTCCTCTTTCCTCTTTGCCAGAAGAGCTTTTGCAAGGACTGCGCTTGCCGGCAGTTCATCGAGTTCATGTCTGCCATAAGCCGCGCTCGCCGGCGATGTCACCGTTGATGCCTCCTCCAGCTTTGGTGTTAGGAAGCGAAGAGCCAGGCCCACGTTCCCCTTCTCTTTCTCCTTGTCCTCGTCTGCTGGCAACACGGCATCTTCAGCATCTTCAGTAATCTCGTTGAGTCGACGCCGTCGCAGAGAAGAGCTTGACGAGGTCAGTGAAGAGGCGGAGGGTAAGAGCATGGTACATAAGCCGAGGGCGGATTCGGACAATTCAGAAGGCGCGGTGAAGGAGAAGACGGTGTCATGAGGTGTGATGGTTTCCAGGACGGATTGAAATTGCACGGTAAGCCGCACTGTAGCGGGTGAAGCAGGTCAGTGAGAGTCCAGAATCTCTTCAAGCCCAGCGCATCCACGCATCCACCCACCTTGCAGCAGTCGAGATGTTCCTTCTGGCACATATTTGAGCACGACCTTCTTGCGCCGATACTGCACCAACCCGTACAGGGGCGATTTCTCTGCATATTGTTCAATCACTGTCCGTACAGCCGACACCCCCCCTGTGCCCTTGCTCAACAAATCAACCGTGTCGCGATTGACATATTTCAGTAAGAACCTGGTTCATGTAAGCAGGCGTCACGGCATACGGATTGCGCAGGGCCATGAGGCAGCACAACGTCAAAGTAATGCGCGACTTACCATCCTCCTGCGTCCGCCTGAGCAGCCTGGTGTGCATCGGCGACAGCAGCTCCATCAAGTCCATTCAATGACATTTCTCAGCCCTCATTGAGAAGGCCCAAGCCTGCGCAATGGTTCAGAATCTGATTTCATACAGCCCAGGAGTGAGCAAAAGGCTATACAAAGACTAGGAGACGCAGAAGAGCAATGAGCCCGACGCCAACGGCGAGCAACTACTACTACAGCCCTCTCAGCTTGGGGACGCAGCTTCGAGGGGAAGCCCACATGCAGGACGCAGGACATTCCGCGAATGGGACACAGCGCGACATGCTGTCTGCGGTTCAGGGGGGTGTTGCAACGGGCCAAAGTTGGAGCCACGACAAGGGTAGCCCGCCGACAGTCCGTGGCCGATGTGCCCTGGTCAGCCCCGTTTCTGCGTGATGCACCATGGTGAAGCTGACCTTAACGCTGAAACTCCACGAAACTCTGGGCCCAAACGGCTGATGCTCGAGCATTATTCGCCCTTGTCTCCAGTTTCCACGAGCCAATTTCCCGAACCCTGCATCTGACTCTGCGACTAGAAGCAAGCGAGACCGGCGCTATGCCTCTTCCACATCCTTGAATTTCCTCTTCTCTACGTAAAACAAGCGAAAGTCTGTCGCAGAATCTACACCCTGGACATGGCTGATCACGAATTGCGAATTGTTGTCGATCTCACTGCTACAATCTCGACTGCCACAGAATGGAGCCGATCTTGACTCCGGAGCAGAAGACGAGAATGATGGCTTGCACGAGGGAAGCACAACAGGATGCAAATTGGTCTCGACCAGTATTCTTCTTTGGTCTGAAACAAGCCGGGGAACTTTTTTTCCGTACCATGTGTCAATGTCCAAGACAGGGCTCGAGCTTTTCCTCCATTGCTTTTACGTTGAGCATGGCGATTCCCCAGTCGTCAAGCCATGACAAAATGTTTGTCGCTTTGCAAGAGAATCTCGAGAATGTCGTGCTCTGCAGACACGCTTCCGACAGACAGAAAGCACACACAGTGCCTTGATGTTGCTTCGAGGAATTTCTGATTTCCCAGAATCATCGATCACTGCGAACTATTGACACACCATCTATTCGCGTGGCTGCACGTTGAAATAATCATGTCATGGGACCATGAGGAGAGGTCGGGGCACCAGCGGCACGCCGCTGATTAACTATTGCGCATTATAGCGACTTGACTGACACGTAGCGAACTGGCCATTCTTTCCCAGCCTCTTCACGAGTTCAACGCCAAACCACGTGAAGCGGGTTCAGATGTTTCGGCGAACGCCGACCACCTCTTTACAGCGGCCCTGTAAATGACGTTGGGTACTAGCGTTTGAACCTCAGATGGTTCTTTATAGAACTTTTCTCCCACGGAGGATTTTCTTGCGTTCGAATCAAAGGCCCCCGGGGTTACGCAGATGACTTAAACAGGAGACGTATCTCACTTATCATGGCATCTCTTCCACCGACATCAACTCTGCCAACACTGGATGCCGAACAAAGGGCACAAATTCTCGACACCCTCTTCGAGCCGTGTCTGCAACTGCATACACTATCCGTCAGCTTACTGCGGGAACAGTCATTCCCGACGTACGATTCACTCATTGAAGCGGTGGGCGAGCAGTTGCTGGAACTCCACCGATCAAACTTGGAGAGTGATCAAAAATGGCTGGAAGCCATCTTGTCCGCTCATCCGCGGTTAGGTGAGAAAAAGGTTGAAAGTGAACAGAGTCGTAAGGAGCAAGCGCAGCTGAATCAAGGCGGAGCGGAGGAGGCAGAGAAGCTGGCGGAGATGAACCGCAAATACGAAGACAAGTTTCCGGGTCTACGATATGTGTACGGCTTCCCGCTCCTTCTGCTCCGCTGTTTCACGTTCTTCCCTACCATCCCCTTGCCCAGTGACCTTCGTGGTTGTTGATGAGAAGACAACAGAGTGTTTGTGAACGGACGAAGTCGCCCTGTCATCATGGAGGACATGCAAAGGCGAATAGATCGAGGAGACATTCAGCTGGAAAAGCAAGAGGCAATCAAGGTAGGTGGTACATTGCTTTCGACCCCACGCAGCTTCAGTGAAGTCAAATCTTCTAACAAGTGCTACTCTCCTTGCCTAAAGGCCATGTGTGATATCGCAAAGGATCGCGCGAAGAAGCTGGGTGGGTAACGTCGCATGAGGGACAACGTCCTCTGGTGTCGCGATGAAATCACCACGAACAACAGGATTAGCAGACAGAACACTCTGTCGGGCATTTGACAATAGCCTGCTCAACTTGCTCAACGTGGTCCAAGAAAACATTCGTTCGTACCTATGTGCGTCGACCTCGCAGTGGCACAGCACTCACTCCACTGCACGAGTTCGAGGGGTCCCAACGCTCCGAGTCTGACCAAATACAAATACAAATCCGACTCTGGTTCTCTTCGTCCCGAGGAGGCGTCTTTCTTCTTTCCCTCTTACCCTCCTTTCCCTCTCGTCGCTGCATTTTGTGAGGATGTGCTTATGTTTTGCCTCGTACGCGCGGGCGGGGGGCTCCTGATAGGTTACTGCTGAAGGCCGAAGGCCATCACTGCTTCACGCAAGATATAGCATCGGGATAGGATGGGATGGTCTCTCTTTCCAATGGTTTGTTCCGCGAGCCCCAGTCCAGGCGACTCGCTCGGCACAGACAGACTATACAGACAGACCGTCGTATTACGATTCGCTTATTTGGGAGCAAAACCCATCAATTTCTTCATGCCCTCCACCGACTTGGTTGCTAGTAGTCATTCGACATGCATATTTCTCGAGTTCCCATTCCCGCGCCGTTGCCAAAGCCCTCCCCAAAAGGGGCAAGTAAGTCCAATTGAAAGAAGTCATTCAAGTTGCCGGAGGCGAGCCAGTTCAATAGTAGTGGACCGTCCTGTCCCTTCGGCAGTTTCAAAACAGCTAACAAGAAGTCTCTCATTTACCGGTCAACTTCTTCCTTTCATCGCCACTATCCTCTTCTTCGCCATCGCTCCACTCGATCCCGTCGTCGCCGACGGCAAAGATGGTCTCGCCATCCAATGACATTCTCGGTTGCGGGGGGTTCAGAGGCTTCTGAGAAGGTGCGGATTGGGTACTATTCTGCAGCGCCGGTGCCGGGGAAGGCCTCCTCGCTGGAGTCGGTTCGTGGGCAATAGCGTCCGTGATGGACGTCGCTGCTCCCCCTCCAGAGGGAGGAACTGCTCTTTCTTGATCTTTTCGCGCGTTGGCGGCTTCCGGGTCGTCGTCGTCCTCGATGGAATCGGCGATGCTGCGGATTTCGAAACCGTCGTCGTCTTGGGCGAGCTGTCAAAGAGCGAAATTGTGTTAGCTTCTTCATACGGCGCTTATACTGGGACACAAGGGGCAAGAGAGGGGAGTTTCACCTCGTCACTCATCGCAAATCGTCGATTATTCGCAGTCGGCCTCCACAGATACGCAATGAACGCAATGTTGAACAAATACACGATGTTCAGCCATCCGTCCAGCACAAACCATCTCGTCTGCCAATGCTCCGGCACAAAGTTCGCGGAGCCCGACCCGGCAATTGCGAAGCTGTTGATGAAGAAAAATGCAAAAATGACCAGCACACTCCCTAGGATGCACCAGGATAATTTTTTATACATCATTGCCTTGGACTTTTGTTTGCGGTCGATGAGATCTTTGATGGTGACGTTGAGAGACGATAATGTCCACACATAGAATGCTGTCATGGTACCCGCGAGTGGAAGAATGACGAAGAGAATCAAGGGGCCGACAGATTCAGGGGTGACGGCCATAGAGGCGATGGCGTAGATGACCCCGAAAACAAAGTGAGCGGCGGCGAGGATGCGGACATAAATCATCGTTCTCCCTAGGGAGGGCTTCACCACTCCATAGCCCATGCAGACAATAAGCAGAAGGAAGAAAGAGAATGAGTTTCGTCCAGCGTTGAGAATCGAGACAATGATCATGAAGACTTTGTTGAGCGCATTGTTCCCATGACGGTTTTGATAGTCGTAGAATCCCCAGGTCATCAGCTGTTCGACGATCAAGAAAATGATGATGGCAGTGATGTAGTTTTGCACCGGGAGGATGTCGGAGCGGTTCTGGAAATAGAGAAAAGCCCAGAATATACCCAGCACCGCGTAGACAATGGTGAGGCCGCCGTAGAATGGAAGTTTGGCTATTTGAGCTGCTGGCAGCTCACCGTACGCGTTCCTGAATGTCACCACTCCATTGTACTCGTGATCCGAGAAAGCGTACGTCGAGACGCAATAGTAGCCCGTTCGACGGATGGGGTAGTTGATGGCCTTTGGATCTTTCAAATGGATGGCTTCGTTCGATATCGGGTTCCTCGAGGCCTCTGTGGCATTAGGGGCCAGTATGAAAGCGCCAATATCCTTCTCTTCACATAACCCTTGTGCGACAGCGTCGGTGGTGCATATTGTCTCGAGATCTCGGTAGGACTCCCCGCCAGGCGGCATCCTGCCTATCAACGGCTCATCTTGCCATTCGAATATGATGAGGCTTGCAATCGGGTCTGAGTCGTCTTCGGTGTGGTCCGGAAGGAACTTGACGAGGATGAAAGGATCTATTGACCCGCCCCAAGATTTCCGACTGTACATCCCTGAACACCGCTGGCGGTGCTCGTCATCTTCTTTCTAGTCATCGTCAGCGGGCTATACAACAACGCACCCCGCTGTTCTCACAATTTGGACTTCATTTCCGGCGACAATTGCTGCAAGGTATGCCAGCAGGCTGAGTGAAGGCACCCATCGGCGCATCGTGTAGGCAGGACCGTTGCGGCAGAGGTACAAACAGTCAGGAGTAAGAATTGATGCGGAACACTGTCAATTCAAGGACTTGAACTGCTTCAGTCGGAGGGCACATCAGGAGGACAAAGCGAAAGCCATGTTGTGTTGGAAGGAAAGTTACTCCTGTCTGCGATGTTGTGAGCGGGAGGAGTACAGCATACGTCGACACGTATTATTTGTTCGGAGACATTTCCAGACTCCGCCATGGCGCAGCTGCTTCACTACGCAGAACCATTTCATCGATTCTCATGGGTTGCTCCCTGGAATCAAGGCATTTTACTCGAGCAAATCCATGGTGGCAGTACCATATTTCATGCAGACTCACACGCTCGTCATATTATTTACGCACCGCTTACAACAAATGCTGAACCTTCGCTCGAGCTGCAGCTCGCAAAAAGTGGTAGGCAAGCTCACCACCTGGAATGACAATGCTTCAGGGCTCGGTGTCCTCGAGAGGATGAACCATCGTGTGCTTGTCCACCTTTCTTGCTTCCTGACTCTCACTTGAATTTCGTTTTCCCTATCAAGCTTCTCGCCGTCTCACAACATAATATGAGTGGGCCCGGAAACTCCGCGTCCCCCTGATGTCCTTGCTCTTGCCCATCATCACAATCCAGAATGTCATTGATGGTCTTGAAAAGCTCGGTTGCCACTGCGCGATTGCTTGTTAGTGTCACAATCTGGCTAACCCAGCCATAAAAGAAGACTGAAGCGTTGATAGGAGTAAGCCGCGACCTGTCCTTCACCCGGGCAGCGACGGAAGTAGGAAAGGGTCTGCTTGATTCAATAGCCAGCGCCACTGAGGCGGAATTCGGGTCAAAGAGCTCATTCACATCAAAGTCGATCACTTTGACGGGGAATCGTATCTCTGTCGGGACAGCGTGCATTGATAGTTTACTAAAGGCTTGCCTCAGGGTCGAAGGCGATTGATCTCTGTGTTGTCCCTCGCCCAAGAGGATCTCGGCCCGGCTCAACTCACTCGGTGTCCCCATGCAGTGAACTATCTCTCGCATCCGCTGAGCAGCATGTGGAGTACATTCTAAGTCTCGTGCGGCAAGGAGGAGATATATGTTGTCAGGTAGCATTGGTGAGGATATTTCAGATTCGATTTGGTTCACAATCGCCTTGTGATAAGTCTCAGATTTGTGGACAGAGGCTGACAATAGTTGCTGCCTTGGGAAATGTGATATGTCAGAGATCAATGCCAGCAGTATCGTACAATCGATGTTGATGGTGCTGGTCAAAGGCACAGTCGGCGCGGTGGGCGTCATGTTGTCAAGATCAAGCTGCCGACCCTCACTGAGTATACAGATATCCATATTGCATTCGACAACAGCGCCAGTTGCGCGTAGGTCGGCAAGAAAAGCATCCACATCGGGGATGATACCTTCGCGAATTTTTGGTAAGACAAATCGAATCTGTGGGTGCCGAAATTGAACTCTGACTTCTTGGGCTGCGATCTTCAGATCCTCGGCAAGTCGCACAAGTTCAAGTTTACTTGTCCTCATGCCATCATTGTCAATCTCAGGGACATGTGCGTCTTCCGTGTCGCTATCGTCATCAAAATCTCCGTACTTTTCCCAGCCTTCCTTGGCCATCTCGAAAAGGAGGCGTTTCTCCGTCAAAGTCGAGATTTTGATCCATTGCAATCCATTGTCAGCAATGATGTCCACCAGAGTCTCTTTCTTTTGTGCATCCCTCAAAACTTCTGTCCGGCTTACCATTTTCTCCCTCCGACTTTTTCCATCTGCAGCGCTGTGCTTTCCTGCAAAATACATTTTCTTGCCCAGCGCAGTAATATGACGGCATGATTTTGCGGTATGCCAAACAGCTTCGTAAAAGGGCAGGTTAGAGCTTCTCAGCGCGTGTAGTTGTGGAGTTTCCTCATTTTGCTGGATCGGACGGCCGACAGTACTCAGAATGTTGTTGTTGGAAGTTGTAAACACGCGTGCTATCTTTTCCAAGATCTTCACCTCTGACTCGATTCCTCGTTTGAACGCTCGAGTTTCTACTTGCTGTTGTTTTCCTCGCGCCTTGAGGTGGGTCTGATATAATTGAAATTCCCGTAGCAAGGCGCTGGCACGGCTTTGAAGACTCCTAAGCAGGTCGGTAGAGCTCGGTGGGGAAGGCCCGTTTTCATCGTGATCGTCCGAGACAAGCATTGAGCCCTCTTGTTGAATTGCGAGAAGAGATTGCCAGATCACCAAGGACAGGCAACAGAGTCTATTCGAAAGGTGAGAGAAGTGCTCTTGCGAAGATTGTGATCCTGGAAGTGAACTTTGGCTGGACTCATTGTTGCGGAGTAGGTATACCGAGCGCACTTTTCATTGGCGGAACCAAGTGCACTGCCAAGCATCGTGTTTTCAACAGAGACAGCGTCTCAGCCTTGATCCGCCCGTGAATGAGAACATGCTTGGCTGCCAGGTCTCATTCCAAAGTGCTGAATGGTGCAATTTATCCTTCAGAGTTCCGGATTCTTGATTTGATCGCCGGGCAGCCACATGCACACCCTGGTGTCTGCTGTCACAAGCATGTTGTAGCGGGGATTGCATTGTACCACAGGCGCCTTGATTCCCCGGCTCGTCAACCGAACCATGGGCTCCTGTCGAATGTCGCTGACATTATGGGTATCCCAGACGAGCACGTCTGGCTGGTCGCCAGCCCCACCAACGACATACCTCCCATCTTGTGTAAAACAGGCGTCTCCTTGACCGAGTGGCTTTCCAGATGTCGACACCGGAGCCGCCCGTCCAGTACCAGCCGTCTTCCCCAGTAGAAATGATTTGACCGTTCCATCAAAGGCGTCTAGCACGAAATGACCATGATAGTCGGTGCCGAGAAGCATATTTTTCCCGTCGTTTGAGAACTCTAATTTAGTCCATGCGCGACCCTTTGTGGTTGGGGTGTACCTATCCTCCTCTGCGGCCATGTCAAAGGTAGCGAAGGGCGCTTTATCGAAGTTTCGGACATCGTACAGAAGGATGGATGAGGTTGACTGCGACGCTATCGCCATGATTTGCGCAGACGGATCGTAGGCTGCGAGGTAGGGAGTAACAAGTTTCAGTTTCCCTTGAGGACTCCTGGAGTCCAGGTCCCACAGACAAACCATGTCGTCATTGCCGCACGACAAGAACTGATCGCTGCCTGGCGACAGTGCTATACAAGTTACTTGTCCCGTATGAGCTGTAAAATAGCGAACGAAGCTCTCGTTGTGAAGTTCCAGTAAGCGCAGGGAATCGTCCTGCTTCGTACTGGCAAACAGAACATTGCGCGGATGGTGAGTAAATCGAGCCAAATGTATGCCATACTTCTTGCTGGGTATCGTCTTGGTTCTCTTTCCCTCTTTTATATCGTAGACATGCATCGTTTCGTCGTCCGAGGCTGCAACGAGGAACTCGCCCATGTCGTCGAAATCAAGGGAGGTGACACGACTCTCGACTCCATCTGAGCGAGTTGAGCCGGGAAATTGCTGGACGTAATCAGCAGAGGCTGGAAAATAGCGTAAGAAGCACCTACTCTTGCAGGCCGGTATTGCTTGATGACATCGTGTACTTTCTGCTGGGGAAGCGCTGCCATGGCTAACAAGCAGGAGGAAGGACTAGGCAGCGCCAAACCTTGCACATCGACGCGAAGACGACTCCAGTGAGTGTGCAACGAGTGAGTCTCAGCAGAGAAAGAGCAACGTCAACGTCAAATCGCGCAACAAGAGACGTATGCTGACTCTGAGTTGGTGGCACCTGGAATGCTTTCGTTCATGTCATGAAGAGAAAATTCCCGTTTCCAGTACTTGAGTTTACCTCTCCTAGTAGTGGTACCTGGACTGCCTGTGGCCCTAATCACCAGTTGGAAGATTCGCCATGGGCCCCGCCTAAGATCTAAGCGGTCTGTCGGTAAACCGCAGCCTAGTGCGCCAATCCCAGCCCCCAAGTTTAACTATGCGAGCCTCTTAGGTAGCACCAGGTGCCTCGGTGCCTACCCCAGTCCCTGAAGCTGACTCCAATAATACGGAGTAATCAGAGACCTCCTGCGCTGCTACTCTGACTCCGACGTCGCTTCGTAAGAGTCCTTGAGAGGGAGATAATTTTCTCGTTTGAACAGCCAAGTGTCGCAAGCGCAACCTCTGACACTCGCTGACCTGCCACCGCCTTCCTGACCTTGAGGACCCTCTCGTCTAGAAATATGTTCTGCTCTGTCACATCATTTCTACAGTAAAATCCCGACAAGTTCAGGCGTGGAAGGGAAGAGAAGGAGCCACTCGAGCACTCGACGCCTCGACCATGTCAACAACAACAGGCGCATTTATTGCCGGCGGCATTGCTGCTTGCGGAGCCGTCACCGCAACACACCCCTTCGAAACAGTCAAGATTAGGTTACAGCTTCAAGGAGAATTACAGGCCAAAGACGTTGCAGTAAGGAAATACAAAGGTGTCTTCCACGGCGTCGGGGTCATCCTTAAAAACGAAGGCCTGAAGGGAATATACAGAGGACTCGGAACTGCATACATCTACCAGATACTATTGAACGGCTGTCGATTGGGATTTTACGAGCCGCTACGAGCGGCGTGCACCAAGCTCATCTTCAAGGACACCAATGTCCAGTCTCTTGGTGTCAACATTTTTTCCGGCGCAGCTTCTGGTATCCTGGGGGCTATGGCAGGGTCGCCTTTCTTTCTGGTCAAGACCCGACTACAGTCCTACTCTCCCTTTTTGCCTGTGGGGACGCAGCATAAATACCGCAACGCTTTCGATGGGCTGTCCCAGATTTATAAAGCAGAAGGTGTAAGAGGTCTATACCGAGGCATGGGTGCGTCGATGGTCAGAACCGGAGCAGGAAGTTCAGTCCAGTTGCCGACATATTTCTTTGCCAAGAGACGGTTAATTCGCCATTTCGGAATGGAAGATGGCCTTGCACTGCATTTGATGAGCTCAACTGCCAGCGGCTTTGTAGTCTGCGTCTTTATGCATCCACCGGTAGGTCTCTTTGTACCCACTCCGGCTTCTATTTGCTTCAAGTATTAATCTATGACACAGGATACCGTCATGGCGCGATTGTACAACCAACACGGCAATTTGTACAATGGTATTTTCGACTGCCTCTGGAAGACTATCTCGACAGAGGGTGTTCTCAGTGTCTACAAAGGCTTCACAGCACATCTTGCTCGAATACTGCCCCACACCATCCTCACGTTGACGCTGGCAGAGCAGACAAACAAGCTCGTACGCGGAGTTGAGAGCAGGATTCTACCAAAGTCTCTCACGGAGAAGCTTTGAGATGCATAGTTTGAGACACTCCTGCTTAGCGTTGCATCGTACGGCGTTGGTTAGGACTGGCGTCCATCACCTTGAGACTTTGAGGACCATGTCTTCTGGGAACAAGGCGGATTTCGTGTTGGTCAAGGCTTCTAAAGCTTGCTGTATCCATGACTCGCAAGCCAAGCGGAATCGACAACCTTGACTGACGCAGTATCATCAACAAGGACTCCCATGATGGTGGAATGTGTGCGTGTTGGGAGGATCATTCTGTTTTTGTCTCCTGCAGGCATTCTCCAGAAAGCATGGCTGTATCTTGTACTGAGTATTGCTGGACAAGTCCAGAAGCATGCCCGCCGCCTTTGGAACTTCAAATAGCACAATGCACGGCTCAGTGCAAGGCTGGGGCGCTGGCGAGACCGATCTCGGAAGGCTGCTGGGTGGCTATTGCTGCCCCATTCGGTATGGGCGGTAAGGGCAGAGACGCACGTCATTCAAAGTTGTGCGGATCGAATCAAGATCAGATTAGATCACATGATAGACCGAGAACCTATTAAGCCTGTAGAGTTTTGCGGAAACTTCAGGCAGCTGTCTCTCATCTGGGGGTCGAATGCCTAATTAGAACAGGCCTCTTCTGAAGTCCATCCGATGACATTGTTCAGTATTTCGTAAGGAATCCACTTGGCTAAGGCTCCAAGGTCACAATCACGGGTGTTTCGTGGTGCGTTGTTGTGATGAAGTGGATCAACTTCGGGTGCAGGCCAGTACGTGGTACTTTAGCCCCAGCCCGCCAGAACACGCTCGGTCACTTTGTCGCGGTCCACGCTCTAGCGCGTTCATGTTAAATACCCCCAGCAACCAGTTTACATCTCTCTCAATCGACATTTCTCTTCCACCTTTGCACTCAACAACCACGGTTACTTCGACATCAATCTACCTAAACACCTTTGCTTCTTTGTTCTCTCATTGCTTCTCCCTCAGAATTGAACAATGACGACCCAAGTTACGCCGTCAAAGCAGGTGTGTTTGCCACTTGCATCATACATTTTTCTCCGACATGTACACATTACTAACAATACGCGCAGGCGGCTGCAAGCCTCGAGAGTCTCAAGGTCAAGGACAGTCCTGTCAAGAAGCTCAACTTCAATGTTGAGGACAAGGAAAACATGCCTGTTCCCTTCGAGTCCACCGTGCCTACCGAGTCCACGGTCAAACCCGAGTTAGAGGTCGAGAAAAAGTCTGCTCCAGAGGCACAAGAGAAAAATGAGCAAGCCCAGGTCCCCAAGACCCTCAAAGAGCTCGAAGCTGAGGAGCCACTGCTACAAGAGAACGCTCATCGCTTCGTTCTCTTTCCTCTGAAGTATCATGAGATAGTACGTGTCTTGGCTAGCAGCACAGTTCCTCCCGCATCCTTCACGCTCGTCCCACTTAAGGTGTTCAGAGCTTCACGACTAACACTCTTGCACAGTGGAATATGTATAAGCGTGCAGAGGCCAGCTTCTGGACAGCGGAAGAAGTTGATCTCTCCAAAGACCTTCACGATTGGCACAATCGCCTAAACAACGACGAACGCTACTTCATCTCTCACGTCCTTGCTTTCTTTGCTGCCTCCGACGGCATTGTCAACGAGAACCTACTTGAGCGCTTCAGTGCCGAAGTGCAAGTACCGGAAGCCCGTTGCTTTTACGGGTATGCAATTTCCTACCGCCTCGTGGCCACATTGCTGATGGGTTTTTAAGGTTTCAAGTTATGATGGAGAACATCCACTCGGAGATGTACAGCCTTCTCATTGACACCTATGTCAAAGATCCCAAGGAGAAGACATACTTGTTTGACGCCATCGACACGATCCCTTGCATTCGTAAGAAAGCCGACTGGGCTTTGCGATGGATCTCAGACAAAGAGTCGAGCTTTGCCCAACGACTCGTGGCTTTCGCAGCGGTCGAGGGCATCTTCTTCTCTGGGTCCTTCGCATCAATCTTCTGGCTGAAGAGCAAGGGTCTCATGCCCGGCCTCACCTTCTCCAACGAGCTCATCTCTCGTGACGAGGGTATGCACACCGACTTCGCATGCCTGCTGATGCAACATCTGCAGCACAAGCCCGACCCACAACTCATCGAAAATATTATAGTCGAGGCCGTCGGTATTGAGAAGGAGTTCCTTACCGATGCCCTCCCCGTCGCGCTGCTGGGCATGAATTCGAAGCTCATGTGTCAGTACATTGAGTTTGTCGCTGACCGGCTGCTCCTTGCTCTGGGCAACAAGCGATACTACAATGCGCAGAATCCGTTCCCATTCGTAAGTGGTCTCCAATATCCAGCGCAATGGATATCTGGCGCTGTCACGTTTTCTAGAAATGATTGGACAAAGGCTTCTGGTCTGATGTCCATTTGATTCAAATGCTAACTGTACGAAATGTTTAGATGGAGAACATCTCACTCGCCGGCAAGACCAACTTCTTCGAGAAGCGCGTCGGTGACTATCAAAAGAGTGGTGTGATGACTTCAGCCAACAAGAAGTCCGAAGAGAAGTCCACGTCGCCCAAGGAGGAGAAGACGCAGGGCGAGAGCAACGGCATCAGCTTTGACGAAGACTTTTAGATCACATTGGATCTTTCACGACGATTTCTTTTCCTGTATTGTTCAAGGCGTCTAATCGGTAAACGAAGGAAGAAAACCTAGAAGGTGCTCCATCCTCTCTACATTTGTTATACCCAACTCAAATCGGCATTCGTCACCAAGAAAAGCAGCGTGACGGTTTCAAACGGGTCTCGGGTGAGGAGTGTATGGTGTTGTTTTGCTGAACTGTTTTGAGAACGGTCTGCTTCTCCTCGTGTGCATAGGTCAGCTAGACAGAGAGGGTCTTGCTTTTTGGTTAATCATGAAGAATTCATAGCGTGGTGAACTGGGAGGTTGTACGAAATACATACTAGTACTTTGAATTAGAAACACAATCACAGCTGTAATTGGTGTCTTCTCTCTAGTTTCCTTTGCAGATGCAATGCGAAATTTCGTCTTGCTTTCCATTCCTTGCTGCACACCAACCTCATCGGCCCAGTCTATATTGATCCACCGCTAGCTACCGAGCACGAAAATGATCGTGCGAGACCATCATCACTTGAACAGTTTCAGCCTGGTCTCCTGGGAGACGACCCCAGCCCACGACGCTATAATGGCAGGGCGATCCTAGACCGCCCTTTTGCCGTCGTTGAGAGGCATTCAAACCTCACCAGATCTCTATTCCTGTCACTTGCCTCATTCGCAATTGAGCCTCATGGTAGTCATCCTCCGTGTGATAGCCTTTACCGGGCCTTGTCATGTATCCAACAATGACTTTGACATGCCGGCCAAGCTGGCTACCCGATGGGCAGACGGGAATAGCGGTATGTGAAACCAAACCACTCAGGGTTGACTTCATTTCTTCCCTTTCTTCTTTTTTCCCTTCCCTCCTCCACCCCCTTGCGTCACAGCTGGCGGAGCTGTCACAACCTTGTCTTCAATCTTGGTCGTCGCAGCGACGGATCCACCATCGACGTCCATCTTATCGCCATCTACACCTGTGCCCGCTCCCGGTGCCGCAGAGACAGCTGCTGCAGCAGGCATCTCAATGACCTCCCCTTTGGCCAGTCTTCCTAGTCCATTCAATAGCCTCCCAACTTCGGCAGCCTTGTCAGTTCGGTATTTCAAGCATAGTCCGCTCTCTGCGTGGTATGTTTTCAAGGTAAGGACGGCAGAACGCTCCCGCTTGCTCTGCGGTTGTGATGGAGGAGAGGTTGTCGCAGCCGTGTCTGTTGTGGAAGCCCCAGATACAGGATCATCTTTCCCTCGTGACTCCTTAGGTTTTGATTTGGCTTTTGTGTTGGGTTTTCGAGGTAGAGCATATTTTGTCGTGATGCGTGCTGAAGGGTACGCTTGGATGAGGAGCGACGACTGGTGCAGGTAGGTATGCAGGTCTGTGAAGTAGGTCATATTCCGGACTTGGACACACCCTGCGTCCTCTGTTGCCTCGGCTCTCAGGATGTAAGGCCTCGTCGTGCGAGAACCTTGTGGGGGATGTGGTGTGAGTGACTTCCGCAAGAAGGTGTGATTTTACGACACCGTTGCAGGGAAGCCAACCAGTATGTTCCTTCCGACAATGACGTCAGCGAGGGTTCGTTGTCGTATGTCGGCCTATCCCACTTCCCGCATTTCAAGAGGGCATCCTGAGGGTATCAGTTTGGTGTCCAGTTGCTTCAGTTATTGAATTAATTAGAGCCGGAGATGCGGGGCCATTGTGAACGCGCCGTAAAGAGAAAAGGCGAGAGGAAGCCGAGTCTTGGCGGCGTTGGTGGAAAGACAAAGAGCTAACTCGATTGGCTGACATATTATCACGTGCACAGCGTCACAGGCAGGGGCTTTATCCGATACGATATACGAACCGCCTATCAGCTCTTCTTCGGATTCCGGACACATACAAATCCCGACCACATCATACGATACATATGATGCTGCAGTATGGAATTCAATGTTTTGGCCTCATTGTCAGAAGACTGGAAACAAAGGCAAACCCTCATGCAAATGGGACTTCAGACGGAGGCATTGCCTCCGAGGCTAATTATGCAATCGTTGAGCGATTTGGCGGTTGCGAGAGGAAGTGCATTTATGAGGGACTGTGTCGGCCTTGACGTCTCTCTATTATGGCTGTGTTGTTCACTTCCTCGCCGAAACAGAATTGATTACTATCGCAACATCAATGGAATCAACCAGTCAAGGGCAAAATGATAACGGTGAGGACGAAAAGAATGTCTCCAGTACGGAGTCGCAAAGGGGTGCTTCAGATTCGAGCTCGAATGAAAATCTCCAGCGCACCCACTCAATGTCCAGCAGCGTGAGCAACTATGAACCGATCATGGAAGCCGACCGTGCTGAGATCACACGGGTTGCCAGTGAGTTAAAGGCAAGACTCCCTGGAGATCGATGCAGGCCTCAATGAAAGCTTGTCAAATCATCACAGCTGACAGAGGTTCGACCAGCGCGACAAAAGTCATGATCCCGCTCTGGATCCTTCCGACTCCGCCTTCGACATATACAAATGGGCCAAGATGGTCCTGCGGGAAGCAGAGGGCGCGAACATCAAGCTACGTCGTGCTTCAATCACATTCAAGAACCTGAACGTATCAGGCTCTGGGATCGCCATGAATCTCCAGCCGACGGTAGCATCATACCTTCTCGCTCCTTTGCGCATAGCCGAGTGGATCCGCTTTGCGAAGAAGCCGCAGAGAAAGATTCTCACTGGCTTTGACGGCGTTGTGAAGCCTGGAGAGATGCTGCTGGTCTTGGGACGGCCCGGAAGCGGATGCTCGACGCTCTTGAAGACTTTAGCCGGAGAACTCCATGGCTTGAAAGTAAAGGATGACTCGATCATACACTACAGTGGTAATACTTGCCTGGCCTCGTCAGCTTGCCTCATGGATCTGATATCTTGATAGGAATACCTCAGCAGCAGATGATCAAACATTTCAAGGGCGAAATCGTCTACAATGCCGAAGTCGATATACATTTCCCCCATTTGACGGTCAGACAGACTCTCGAATTTGCTGCTGCCATGCGTACTCCACGAAATCGAATCTTGGGTGATTCTCGGAACGAAAACGTCAAGAGAATGACCGCCGTAGCAATGGCCGTTTGCGGGTTGACCCACGTTCAAAACACGAAAGTGGGAAATGCCTATGTACGAGGTGCATCTGGAGGAGAGAGGAAGGTAAGCAGGCTAGTATCTAACAGGGTTGTACGCTGACTCTTTCGAAAGCGAGTGAGCATTGCGGAGATGCTTCTCTCATTCTCACCTATAGGTTGTTGGGACAACAGTACGCGCGGTCTGGATGCCTCCTCTGCTATCACGTTCGTCCGTACACTCAGATTGAGTGCCGATTTGAGCGGCTCTGTCCACGTAGTCGCCGCCTATCAGGCTTCCCAGGCGATGTACGACGCCTTCGACAAGGTCGTGGTTCTGTATGAGGGTAGAGAGATCTACTTTGGTCCAACCAATCTTGCCAAGGATTACTTTACAGAGATGGGATGGCTCTGCCCAGCTCGCCAACCAACCCCTGACTTTCTGACCTCAATCACAAATGTGGACGAAAGGAGAACGCGACCAGGATACGAAGAGAAAGTCCCCCGAACTGCTGTCGAATTTGAACAATACTGGCGAAAATCAGGACTTTGCAAGTCCCTCCAACAAGAAATCAGGACTCATGAAGAAGAAGGTTATGGCTCCGCCGCAGCCGATGAATTCAAGGCCGCGCGCCGCGCGGTCCAAGCGCACCATGTTCCTCCGAGCTCTCCCTACACTGTTTCAACGCCGATGCAAGTTCAGATTTGTACCAAGCGAGGCTTTCAGCGTCTATGGAATGAAAGAGTGATCCGACTCACGTTAATTATCGGACAAGGAAGCATGTCCCTCATTATCGGCTCCATTTTCTACGGAACGATCAACGATACCAACAGTTTCTTCGCAAAAGGCTCTACCATTTTCTTTGCTGTGTTATTGAATGCTCTTATTGCGGTCACGGAAATCAATCGTTTGTATGATCAAAGACCTATCGTGGAGAAGCAAGTCTCTTACGCGTGAGTGTGACCAAGCTCAGGTGGTTTTTGAAGCGCTCCGCATTTCTGCGTTGCACTTGGGCACTCCCGTGGTACATGCTGATTTGAAGTAGTTTCTACCACCCGTTCACAGAGGCATTGGCAACTGTGATAGCGGATCTACCAGTCCAGCTGCTCACCGCAGTGATCTTCAACGTTGTCCTCTATTTCCTGTCAGGTCTGAGGAGGGAAGCGGCACAGTTTTTCATCTTCTTCCTTTTTGCCTTTGTGACAAGGCTGGCAATGACCGGACTGTTCAGAACGATCGGCGCAGCGACCAAAACAATTACAGAAGCACTGGCGATCGCAGCCGTGTTCGTCCTCGCAATAGTAATCTACACAGGGTTCACAATACCTCGACCGGATATGCATCCTTGGTTCAAGTGGCTTTCATGGTGCAATCCGGTTGCATATTCATTTGAAGCACTTCTCGTCAATGAGTTCCATGGAAGACAGTTTCCGTGTGGCAAGTAAGTCATTGTCTGGTTCCTGGTTCCCACTCTACTGACATTGTTCATAGCTTTGTTCCTGCGTATCCGAACCTAGTCGGGAATACGTTCATTTGTTCCGTTCCCGGTGCGGTTGTTGGCCAATCCACTGTATCCGGTGACACATATCTCGAACAATCCTACGGATACAGTTACAGCCACATCTGGCGGAATCTTGGTATATTGATTGCTTTCTTGGCTTTCTTCATGACAACTTACCTCGGAATAACCGAAATCAACTCAAAACCAGAAGGCAAGGGAGAGGTCTTGCTTTTCCGTCGCGGACATGTACCACGCTACATCGAGGAGGGTTTGAGACATGAGAACCAAGAGGATCCTGATGCTCCGCTCGCAATGACCGGGAGAAATAACACCCAAGATGAAGAGATCCGGGCCATTCCGCCGCAAAAAGCCATCTTTACCTGGCACAATGTCAACTACGATATTCCGGTCAAGGAAGGGACACGCAGGTTGCTCGACCAAGTATCAGGATGGGTCAAGCCCGGAACGTTAACAGCCCTAATGGGTGTATCAGGTGCTGGGAAGACAACACTGCTGGATGTTTTAGCCCAGCGCACCTCGATCGGGGTTGTGACTGGTGACATGTTGGTGGACGGAAAGCCGTTGGATCCCAGTTTCCAACGAAAAACAGGTATGATTCCTGAATGGGCTTATAGCTCGATCCAGCTCAAGGACTAACAAAAAGGCAGGGTATGTTCAGCAGCAGGATCTCCACCTCGAGACCTCAACTGTTCGCGAAGCATTGCGCTTCAGCGCCGTGGTCCGTCAACCAAAATCTGTCTCTAAGAAAGAGAAATACGAGTACGTGGAGGAAGTGATCAAGGTTTGTATTTCGCGGGTTTGGCACAAATATGGACATGCTGATTGTGTTGAAGATGATCAACGCGGAAGACTTCGCCGAGGCCGTAGTTGGTGTACCAGGAGAAGGACTCAATGTTGAGCAACGGAAACTCCTTACGATAGGAGTCGAGCTCGCTGCAAAGCCTGCCCTCCTGTTTTTCCTCGATGAACCAACCAGTGGGCTAGATTCACAAAGTTCCTGGTCTATCCTCAGGTTCCTCCGAAAGCTTGCCGACCATGGCCAAGCTGTGCTCTCGACCATTCATCAACCAAGTGCGCTACTGTTTCAGGAGTTTGATCGCCTACTTTTCCTCACCACTGGAGGTCGGACTGTCTATTTCGGCGACATCGGCTCCAACTCGCAGACTCTCACCAGCTATTTCGAGAGACAGGGAGCCAGGCCCTGCACTGATTCGGAAAATGTGGCAGAGTACATGCTGGAAGTTGTCAACCCTGAAGCAAGTGCTCAAGCCAATCATGATTGGGTCGAGATCTGGAGAACAAGCGAGGAGAACAAGCTGATGCTGGCAGAGTTGGACCAAATCAACCTGGAAAGAAGCAGAATTCCCGTGGAGGACAACAGCGTCACGAACCTTAGCCAGTTCGCCGTTCCGATTTACACGCAGACCTATCATACGACGATCCGCGCCTTTCAGCAGTATTGGAGAACTCCCGGATATGTCCTTCACAAGTTTGGCCTTGGTGTTGCTTCAGCTCTGTGAGTTTCTCTTTTCGACAACGCATTCGGAAGAGGGAAAATGGGGCGCTGACCCGGGAATAGATTTATTGGCTTCTCATTTTGGCAGTCCAACAGCTCTCAACAAGGGCTGCAGAATGTCCTACTCAGCGTCTTCATGCTCACATCGATATTCACGGCTTTGATCCAGCAGATCATCCCCAGATTCGTCATCCAACGATCACTTTACGAAGTCCGCGAACGCCCGTCAAAGGCTTATTCGTTTGTGGCGTTCCTCCTCGCCAACATTCTCGTGGAGATCCCCTACCAAATCCTGCTCGGCATCATGGCATATGCTTCCTATTACTACTCAGTCTTTGGGTGAGTTTCTGAATCGTGGAATTTCGGTTATCTTTACTAAACCCATTTCAAAAGCATACAATCTTCCGAAAGACAAGGTCTTGTCTTATTATTCTGCGTACAATTTTTCGTCTATGCAAGCACATTCTCCCAAATGGTGATTGCAGCTCTGCCTGACGCGGAGACGGCTGGCATTATTGCAACGCTCATGTTCGCCATGTGTGTTATATTCAACGGGTGAGTGTGGCGAATCTTCTTGCTTGTTGTTCGCACGCACAAATTGTAACTGACCTTTTCCCATAGCGTGCTTCAACCACCGGACGCACTTCCGGGGTTCTGGCACTTTATGTACCGCGTGAGTCCCTTCACCTACATTATCGACGGCATCGTGGCGACAGCACTACACAGTCGCAAGGTCGTGTGCGCGGAGAACGAGTTGAGCGTCTTCTCCCCGCCGCCAAACATGACTTGCGGCCAATACCTCGCCCCTTACCTCCAAGTGGCGCCCGGGACGTTGTACAACCCGGCAGCCACGAGGAACTGTGAATACTGCGCCCTGTCTCTAGCGGACCAGTATTTGGAGCCTCGTGGCATCGCGTGGGGCCAACGCTGGCGCAACTTTGGCCTCGTCTGGGCGTATGTGGTGTTCGATCTCGTCATGATCCCCCTGCTCTACTACAACTTCCGGATGAAGAAGTGGCGCGGCAAGGTTGGAGCGAGTAAAAAACGGAGGGGCTTGAATACGACTTACTCTTGGATCCGTACGATTGGAAGGCTTTGTCGAAGGCTCCTTACCGGGCGTCGGGAGAAGCTGCCCTTGGAAAAGCGCGCTGAGAATCCCCGCGTGTACTAATATCATTTTCTTATGGTCGGACACTTGTTTGGTAGCAGAAGGGATTCCGGCTGGACATTTCGCACCATATCTGGGCTGTATCATTAGACGAAATTCAATATTGTCATTTCAAGAGCGCTCACTCTCGACCTTCTGACTACAGTCTTGGGTAGCTGGTCCATAATGGCTCCTACTCTTCGGGCCCCCTTTGAATATTCAGCCTCGTGTAGTCGATCACGTGGAGATGGCTTGGCACATCTTGCCATGGCCCATGGCATCGCTTCCGAAGACCTTTTCTGCTCTCCAGTCCGAATGATGAAGGATACATCAAAAGAGTGTTGTGGAAGAGTCTGGAGCGAGGAGACTTGCTCTTGTGGCTATTATTGGCCAGTTCATCAGACTTTGTGTTGGTTTGGAAGCCGGCTCTGACAAGGCTGTTCAGCTGAGGAGGTGAACACGAGCGCCGAAACCTTAGGTCGCGAATCAAGAAGCGTGGCCCCAGAGTTGGAATACGAAACTCACTCAATGGGAAGCTCTCCATCTCTTCGCATGGTTTCTTTTACGAAATCCGTTGGCAACGTGGGCCAATGGCCAACTTCCCAATATCTCGTATCGCGGCTTGAAGACGAGCTGTTTATGCCTACCCCTCGTTTTAGAGAAGGCAGCTGAACCTCTGGAAACCATTTTACTTTGATAGCAAGCACGTGGTACATTCTCTACCCTGTGCGAATGGAACGGTAGGTGATGACCCGAGATCGAGTGAAGTAAAAGGGGGAACCTGCCTCCCCAGATCTGCATTAATTTTCTGTGTGCTGCATGTCTCTCTCCCCCTCAAAGGAGTGGCCTTTCAAGCAAGCATAGTGCACTTACCAGCGAAAGTTCTCGTGCCCAGAACACTTCACATCGACTTTCGTCCACAATGTCAAACGTCCCTGTTCCTCCCAATGTGATGGTGCAGGTATTCCCGAAGCCCGGCAAGGAGAAGCGCGTGGAAGAGCTCATCACCCATGTCGCCGAGCAAGTTCGCCAGCATGAGCCCTGGATCAGCTTTTACCGTCACTATAAAGCCAAGCATGTGGGCGGCTCGTCTGAGGCAGACGGTGGTGAATATGTCATTGTCTTTCGGTAGGTATATGCTTTACTGCTCAGTGCCATCCGATGAGCTCGCGCTCTGTCGGGAATGTGCCCCGGAGGATGTCTTGATTGCACATAGGAAAGGAGGACCTGGGGAGTTTTGACTTGAGTTGTAGCTGCTACGGGAAGTTGGGACGCACAGCTATGGACACTGGACGTACTGCACACATGTCTTTACATTCTCGCCTGATTCATTTCCGCCTAGCTGACTTGTGTTTTTCCCGTCACCCTGAACAGGCTCGACGACATGTCGAAGCTTCAGTCTCGGCGCGACATGCAGCACCACCAAGACCTCGGCAAGACCATCCGTGAGGAGGACCTGTTGCGCACGCCGTTGAAGTATACCGAGCTCGAGGATATGGGGTTCTGGAAGCGGTGAAATGGTTCGTTTGTTGGACTGTCTTAGTTTACGCGGAGGGTGGACAGCTGAGATGAGATGAAAGAGAAAGTTGGGAGGTTGGATGGGGAATGCTCCAGGGTATAAGTATTGGGCGCCATCGAATATGTCTTTTGGTGAAATAATTAAACACAGCGACCTCTTTTCCCAGCTTGCGATTGCCTACCTTTCCTTTTCTCCCAAGGGTCTATGGCGTCGCCTCAGCTCAAACCCTCAAGTCAGAATCAGAAGTCTTCGCCTTCGCTGTCTTTCATGACAGAATGATCCGATTATTCAGGTGTCATTTCCTGAGTTTTCCGTGCGCATCTTGTAGAACTGCACGACTATTAGAGGTTTGGATCAAAAGTTCACAATGCCTCCTTTGCAATAGGTGTGACGAAATGGCGCCATGCCAGATCAGGATAGGCCTGCCCGGAGCGGCTCTACAATGAATGCGGAGAAGTTGAGGGTTCATCGACAAGTTCGTTCTGTCTCATCCTGTGAACCGTGCTCGACACCACAAGGAGAACGTGAGTAAAGCCTTGCAACATGCCTCCAAGACTCAAGTCTGGTATCTTTCGAACATTTGTATGCCCGGAATGCCAGCTCCGGAGCTTCTGTCGCGATCAACCTCTGGTCCGCCGCAGCTTCAGTACTTCCCCGCGGCTCGACGCTGCATCATCTGCCCGAAGCAAATACCTCCATCTCACGAACCGAAGCATCATCCGCCTCGCGGGGCCCGATGCTGCCCTTTTCCTGCACAACCTCATCCCAGCCAAGATTCTCGACATTGGAGGCAGCACGAACCCGATCTACACGGCGTTTCTCTCGGCACACGGAAGGATATTGAACGACGTCTTCGTCTACCCACCCGCCCCGGCTGCTGGTGATAAGCCAGGGGAAGAATGGCTCATCGAAGTTGATTCGGAGAGCGCGGGGGATTTGTTGAAGCACTTGAAGAAACACAAGTTACGGGCAAAGTTTACATTGGAAAAGGTGGATGGACAGAGGATGGGGGTGTACTACACTTGGCCGCCACCTACCAGCGGGAGTCAGGACTTTGTGAGTTCAAGCATTACAGGTGGTCTGGGGGGGCAAGATCCCCGGCCGGGGATGGGCGTCCGCTGGCTGCTCGACGAGGTATCCTCAAAAGCAGGCGTGCTACAGCGATTGGAAGACACGGGGAGTCAACCAGCCACGATGGAGGAATACACGGTCCACCGCATGCTCAACGGGGTCGCGGAGGGACAGTCCGAGATCATCTCCGGCCACGCGCTGCCGCAAGAGAGCAACCTTGATTTCTTTGGCGGAATCGATTTCTTCAAGGGTTGTTACTTGGGCCAGGAGCTGACCATCCGGACGCACCACACCGGCGTGGTCAGGAAGAGGATCCTACCGTGCCAACTGTACGATCCCGACGACGCCGAGCCGTTGCCTGGGGGTCAGGAGCTTCCCGAGTACAGAGCCGATATGAAGATGCAGCTGCCGCCTCCAGGTTCAAATATCTGCAAGTTGAAAGCGAAAGGGCGAGGGCGCAGTAGTGGCAAGTGGCTCGGCGGAGTGGGCAACATCGGGCTCGCGCTTTGTCGCTTGGAGATGATGACGGATATCCAATTGACTGCGGACAGGACGAACTATGACCCGACCGAGCAGTATAAGGTACAGTGGGAAACAGCGGAAGGTGGAGAACAGCAGGGGGTCATGCTCAAGCCGTTTGTGCCCAGGTGGTTGAGGGAGGGTGTCGAGCAGAGTCTGCGGAGGAAGGAGAAGAAGGCCAAACCCAGAAGAGAAGAGGAGGAAGAAGAGGAGGAAGTTGATTAGAGAAAGGACTGTCCTTGAGTCCATTGGGGGATTCCAAAAACAAGGTATCTCGTCTTCTATGGACGCTCAACGTGTCTCTACATGCAAACCTTAGAGGTACACATCACTAGGATCCATCCACGCCGCGTGCTTCCTTGGGTTACTACCCTTCGCAGCCTAGCCAAGCACGGGTTGTAAGTGAGCTCGTCTTTACAAAGCATAATTTTCCAGTATGTTCGCCAGATGGATGCTCGGGCCTTGGTCGGTCTATCGCAGTGTCTGGAATGGACGGTCATGGAACCCGACTTGCTCTAAACAAATCGAGCGGCACAGGTCAGTCATGGTGAAACACAGGCACCTTTGAGCACTGTTGAAATCCCAGTGCGAACCCTCCCTGTTGCGAACGCCATCGGTGGAAGGCACGACATCTTGTCAGACTTTCTGCTGCCATCTTCAGCGCTTGACGACTGACAGCAACTCACTGACCAAAATTTGCCGAGAGTCAACTCCGGGACGGATGCTCGAGGCTCTGTGTTTCGGCAGCAATGGAAATTTCATGGCGAAATGCTGTTGCCGGAAATTGTAGGAGTCATGAGCCATACTTCACGGTCAACCGCCATCGGTTTCCTTTGTTGTGGCCCACTCGACGCTTTCGATTCCCTCCCACGGACCCCGTGCCACCACCTTCTTAGCTATAGCCAAGGACTTGAACACAATGACAGCAGTGCCCAGTAGGACCTTTCTATCTCTGCCTTCGACACGACGTTTCTTGTCTTTCAGCACCAGGACGTTCTCGACATCGCCGGCGGCGAAGTTCTCCTCGAGTGCCTCCTGGTCAATCTCCAACCCGTCTGCTTCCTTGATCCAGCGCACTTTGACAGATCGGTCTATCGAGCTGGAGGATTGCTCTTCCGCTCCCGCCTCGGTTGCTGCCTGTGTCCGGGCATGTGCCTCTTGAGCCTTGTGTGCCATTGCCGCCTCTCGCTTCCTCCTGTTCTCTTCAGCGATGCGCTTGATTTCGAGTTCCCGCTCGGTCCAGGTGCGCTTCACGCCGCTCACCGACGGGGCCATTCCTGTGGCGACGGAGCCGCCCTCTCTTTTCTCCAGCTCTTCCTTCATCTGTCGTCGTCGGCTTTCGAGAGCAGCAGTCTCCGCCAGACGCCTTTGCTTGGCTTCCCGCGTCTGGTCATATTTTAATTTCTCAGCCGCGTCTGTGAGAATATTAAGCGCGGTTTGCAGGAGCTGGAACTTCTCCAAGGTCTCGGGCGTGGGCTTGACTTTGTCCGGGTGATAGAGCCGCGAGGTTTGCCTGTAAGCACGTCGAATTTCAGACTCTGACGCCGTTGCTGGGATTGACAGCAGTTCGTAGTAGTCGACAGACATGTCTGCCTCGTTTGACGGCGCCATGCTTGAGCAGTAGTCTGTCTAGGTGGACGCTGTAGTTGTTGGTGGCTTTTTGTAGGCAAACACAGACCAGCGCAGAGGCGGAAGGAAGGACATAGGGACTGTATGCTCCACACTAGCAATTACGGTGCATCACACAGCTCTTTAGTGTAGTGATTTGAATCCTCAGATACTCGGCCGATCCCAGAGCTTCACAAGAAAGCATCACGTTTAAATCAAGCAATATTCCACAGTCCGTAAATGCGAGTAATACAGTTCTTTAAGGATATGACACTTTCTGTGGAAATTCTGTCGTCCCAGAATGCTTCTCCGTACAAGCGTTGTAGGAACAGTCGCACCTTCCATGTTTCCTATGTGATTCTCGATTTCCGTCGCCTTTCTTGACCCAACGACACCGACCCATCCTTGTCTTCTCTTTGCTCTTCTTACAACATCTCATTGAACCTCACTCTGCTCTTGATATGTCATTTCTCTAGATCTCTTGAAGATGACCAGGAGGTATGACAACTCGCCTGAAGCCAGACTTCGACCAGAACTATCATGATCTCCCCTGCCCTGCCCATATCGCTTTCGCCGTTGCCGTGGTCCGATCGAAACCACCCCAATCGTCCATAGAAGGTATGAACCTGTCGCGTCTGAGAAAATCCTGGCTGATTGTCGGTCAGAATACCTCGAGGAACTTCGTCAGGCCATTGTGACTCGGTCCCACGAACCCTCCATGACGACTCTTGACTTTGACGCAGCGATGTACTGGAAAAGTTCCTATCACAAGGCCGAGACAGAGCGGTTGAAGGTGGCCAATGAGCTGGATCGGCTGAGAAAAGAGAGAGATTCTCTTCTGGCGGGTGAGGAAGACCAGCTTTCGAAACGACAGTCAGCTGTTGGCAAACGCAAACGAGAGACTTCGGCGGTGTCGGTGAGAAAGGCCCAGCCAGCAGCCAAACAGCAAAAAGCCAGTCTAGACCTCGGAAATGACGATAGTGAATTGGAAATCGACAGTCTCAATATACCTCTCACAGGTGCGTCCCCGAGATTCAAGATAGCAGATACTAATCTGCAGCAGATCGTCAATCATGGCTTCATGGCTTCATATCCCTCCGTCACAGTCTGCGTCTATCAGATCCTGATCAAGATATCCTTACGAATTCCATCAAAGCTGCTGCGATTCCCGTCACCAGGTTACTTCGGAAGCGGCTGCGCGCAACACGAAAGACTTCCGCCAAGCAGGAAGACCAATCAGTCAAAGACCTTTGTGTGGCTTTCAGGAATGTCTACCCATCAATTCTGAAGGCTCTGGAATGCATCAAGCCACTGACAGGCGAGGACGGTGAAGAGTATTACCCAGCTCATCCCGACCTGGTCAGGGCATTTCAAGCCTTTCTGGGACAGCTCCACAAGCTCGCTTTGGATGAATACACCAGACAAGAGCAAGAAGTCAAGTCGAAGCGACGAGGGTCTGCTCACACGCATGAAAGCTTCGCACTGTCGAGTGAACCAGCCGTCGCCGAGGCTAAGGAGATAGTTCGGACGCTGATGAAGATGATAAAAGTGCTCGACGTCGCCAACGATGCCCACTGTGAACTCCTGGAAGGATACTTGTGCACTCTTCTAGACCATGTTGGCTCATCCTTGTCGCTTCTGGTCTTTGCGGACTTGACCGGGGCGAGCAAAAAAGGGCCAGGTCTGCTTGCACCACAGGGTTTGCTGGATGTTGCGCATCTTGACGCGAAGTCTGCAACAGGTACAGCTACAATTGAAGGGCCATACATTATCTGGATTTTGCGCAAGTCTGTGGAATTTTTGCTTGCAAACACCAAACACATGTCTGAAAAGTCCCAGCTCATTTTCACATTGCAGCAGTCCAACTCGAAGGAGATCGCTCAGGGCAAAAGTCTTCGTCGGCGAATTGAAGAAACGCTTCAAAATACCCTTCTTCGAGGTGTTTTTGGGGATGATGACGACACTTTCGACAACTCTCTGAGGCGTGAGGAGGAAGAGGAAGAGGATGTAGATTTGACAAAACTGGTGGAGGGGATCAGGGAGAAAGAATGCTCCCCGGAATGGTTCATTGGAGAGGTCTGGGCACATCTGGGCTGGGATATCTTATCTGGAAGGAGGAATGTTTGAGCCTTTGCATTTTTGGCGATCTGAACGGAGCAGTGGTAGACTTTTGAACCGCCTTGTCGAATTTTCAGGTCTTGCCGGATGTACACGAATTTTGAGGCCTGTCAGCTGAACCTCCTGCAGCTTTCCCAGACGATTCGCCGCGACATGACACAGTCTTGTCGAACAGATAGTGTTATAAATCTAAACCAAGCACTCTGATGGCATTTTCACCCAATATCTTCCTCTTTGCGACCTCGTCTTCTGGCAAGCAGCCGTCAATGGCCCCCTTATTACTCTCCACGCTCAACCACTTTGCCTCCTTGTCGTCTCCCAGGGGTGGGAAGAATGGATGATCGGTTCCAAACATTACTCGATCCACGCTTCCTGCCGCCTCGATGGCGGCTTTCAGCCCGGGCTGCCCATATATAACGGCATCAAGATAAATGTTGGAGTGCAGCACATCCCATATTGAGCGCTTGGGACCTTGCCTGTGACCGCCGTTGGCGACAAATTCCCGTTCGTGCGCCACACAGGATTCAATTCTCCCCGCCAAGAAGGGCAACGTGCCACCTGAATGAGCCAGAAGGAACTGCAGCTGTGGATGGCGGTCGAAGACGCCGGCGAGGTACATCCTTGAGACAGCGATGGTCGTTTCCAGGGGGAATCCCAAAGCCAGGGGTAAGACATGGCCGGACTTTGCGACGACCTCGGGGCCCCCAAAGGCGGAGTCGGGCAGGCCATAATGCGGGTGTAAAAAGACCAACGTCCCAGTGGAGGACAAGGCCGAGTAGACGTCATCCAAGGCCGGGTCGTCCAAGCCATTTCCCAGACCTGTCGTGCCCATGATGACGCCCTTGACGTGGCGGAGCGACTTCAAGCGATGGATTTCGCTTACGATGTCCTTTGCTGGGGCGGATAAAGGGAGACAGCCGAAGGCGTAGAGTTTCAGGCCATCATGAGATGACGACCCATTGTTCTCGGCACACGCCCCGTCGAGATCGTCGTTGATTTCCTGCGCCGTTTTCAGGGCCGTCCCGGGGTCGAGGAAGTCGAGCCAGGGATTTGCCAGGCTGATGACGCTACAGGAGATGCCGTGTCGGCGCATAAAGGCCCGCTTCTGGTCGAAGGACGAGTATGTGCTGTCGACGGGCCGGCCCCGGAGGGATTTGGGGCGGGATGGGTCGTCGTCTGAGGCGAGGATGATGAGTCGTGGGTCGGAGTCGGGAGTTTCATGGATGTAAGGGACTGTTGTGCGCGAGGAGAGGAGTTTGATGTATGAGGGCGGGTACATGTGGGTGTGGATGTCGACGACGGGAGGATCCATGTTGGCGGTCGTGAAGGGGCGCAGCGGCGGAGGTGTCGTCGTTGTCGTATAGTTGTAGTTTCAAGGTGTGTCTGCATATATGACTCTTCTCTGTTCTTGTCTCCTTTCTGGCAGGTGTGTATACAAGATGGTGATGATGGATTGAAGACGATGAAATTGATACCACGGGCACCTCCGCCACTAGCCATGATTCCTTATCAGGCTCCCATCCAATCATTGTCCTCTTCAACACCTGCCGAGAACAGACATTTTGCCTCCCTCGTCTGCATAAAAGTCACCCGAGTATATTTTTTGGGGAGATGTTGGGTTTCCTATTGCTCCTCCATCACGCAAAGGAGACATACCCCAGATTTCAAGTGTCTGCAAGTGAGCCGCATTCTGCAAAGAGCACGCCATTGTCGCGGAACCCAGGGAGACGATATCCACTACCATCCCCCCTTCTGACTCGTTGTTAGTAAAGGCAATTCTCCGGCTGCCTCTTCCACTATTACGGACGAGAACGATACCCATCCAGAGACTTGCTGCCACGCAACTGACTCAATCACACTCCTAGACCCACTTCAGCCTCGCGAGAAAGAAACATGGGCTCAGCAGGAGAAGTCCCAGAAGTCGCCCAAAAGGGTGTAGAACAAGATGATCTGATCATGCCGGTACGTACCTATTAATGGCTTCGTCGTACTTGTATGTGTCGGGCCTCATTATTGGAGCTGCTCCATACACGCTTTGCACCACCTGCCCCTTTCTTCTACACTCACAGACACCACCTTCCCCTTTCGACCACCTAACCTCTCACAGCTGATTGACTTCGGGGCCTTCATGCACGGTTCTGCAGCCACCAAGAAGGCCACCGCCGAGCAAATCTCCCACGCCTTCAAGACCTCGGGCTTCCTGTACCTGCAGAACCACGGCGTGCCCGAGGACCAGGTCTCGCGGGCCTTCTCGGAGTCGGCCGAGTTCTTCAAGCGGCCCCAGGAGCAGAAGGACGCCCTGAGATGGACCACTCCGGACAGCAATCGCGGCTACGTGACCTGGGGCCGCGAAAAGGTCACGCAATCGGACGATCCCGCAGAAATCGCCAAACTGCGGGCCTCCAATCCCGACCTGAAGGAGTCCATGGAGATCGGTCGTGAGGGCGTGGACGGGAAACCCAACCAGTGGCCGGCACACCTGGACGAAGCTGGCGCGACCTTCACCAGGGACATGCAGCGCTTCTTCCTCACCCTGAAGGACCTGCACGTCAACGTCATGCGCGCCATAGCCCTGGGCATGGGCATGGAGGACGAGCACTTCTTCGACGGCTACACGGATGCCGGGGACAACACCCTCCGACTGCTGCACTACCCGCCCGTGAAGAAGAGTCTTTGGCGCGCCAACCCGAACCAAGTCCGCGCGGGCGAACACTCGGACTACGGCTCCATCACGCTGCTGTTCCAGGACGACATTGGTGGCCTGGAGGTGAAATCTCCCAAGGGCACTTGGGTGCGAGCCAAACCCATCCCGGGGACCATCGTAGTTAATGCGGGCGACCTGCTTCAGCGCTGGAGCAACGACCAGATCAAGTCGACGAATCACCGCGTGATTCAACCCCCGCCAAAGGACGAGGATCTGGCGGACGAAGATCCCGACGCCACGGTCCCCGCTCGTTATAGCATTGCCTATTTCTGCAATCCCAACTTTGACCGTCGGATCGAAGCCTTACCGGGCACCTGGGAGGAGAGTGGGAAGAAGTACAAGGGGATTAACAGCGGGGATTATCTGGTCATGAGGCTGGCTGCGACTTATTAGCCCTCTACTTTGGGTCCTGTAAGATGGTTCTTCGTGCAGCACCGTACGAGATTAGCATGAGACTGGTGGATACGTAGGGAGGGAGGCACCAGTCTGCAATTCCACACGACACATACAACTTGCTCAGAGGTCAGGCCTTGATATGAACAGAGCAGCGATAGGAATGGACACGGACACATCGTGAAAACGCACGACGATCTCTGATTCGACATTCCTTGTTCCCCTTTCCTAATCTACCCTACCAGACAGAGTAGCGAAACACATATTTTCCTTTCTTAGCCAGGTATGTAGCCGGCTTTCCTCAATCCTCCAGTACCAGCTTCCGACGCAGGGTACGAACACGAACTACACACAGCAAAACAGTCAATGGTATATGTGTTTATATGGGTATATATATACATATATAATATAAGAGTGACTCCGTCCTCAAAACAGCCCAGCACCAAGACACCAGAAAACGCCAAACATGAATCGTTATAACCTTATGATGGACATAGAACCAGAAAAAAAAAGGGGGCCTCAGAGGCTAGAGGTCAAAACAGCTTCGGGGTGGGGAGAAAAAGGTGAATAATAAGATTTCCCGCCCACCCCCCGGGGTCTGGTAAGCTGGCGATGAAGTTCAAAACAGCAAAATTCGATAGGCGTATTTCTACCTATGGCTTTCAGTCATGCTCATGCTTCGCCACCGACGGGACTTCGTCTGCCGATTCCCAGCAACGTCGACGACCGGGCTGTTTCCGGCGCGTAGACCCCCGGCGAGGGTTCTCTGGGCATCTCCATCGCCATCGCCGTCGGTGGCAGTGGCAGTGGTGCTCCTCTACCTCGCATGGCCGCAGGCTCAGGGCTCGGACTTGGTCCACTTACACTCGCGCCTCTTGAACGGCCGCCACCGCCGCTGCTGCCGCCGAATCTCGAGTACTCGCCTCGGCCGTCCCGATCGCCGCCCCTCATCATGAAATCATTAAATCCCGTCCCTTCGGGCCTCCGCTCCCCGAGCTCCCAGTCCTGGTCATCCGCGCCGTCGGCACGGGCGCCAACGTCGACGCCAAACCGGCGTCTCTTGCCGATGAGTCGCCGCTCGCGCCACCAGCCCATACTGTAGCGCTTGCCGCCAAAGACGGTCTCGAACTGGGAGTCACGCATCCATTCCGCGCCGTCGGTGATGATCTGTTGACGTTCATCCAAGTCGGCCTCGTCACCATTTTCGTCGGGTCCGGCGTGGATGGATTCGGGTCGGTTGCCACCAACGACATCATCGTACCCGAATGACCGTCGACGGGGTTTGCCGCAGCATTCGCACAGTCCGTCGTCGGCGCTGTGGCACAAGTCGCTGCCCGCGAGGAGGGACATGGTCCCTGCGACGGAGCACGGATTGCATGGGAGGACGTGGCGGAATTTCGTGGTTAGCCATGCGGATGCGGCCAGGGCGGTCATGAGGCCGAGGAGGATCTGGAGGATCAGTTTGCTGTCTTTGTCTTGGACGAGGCGTGGAGTGTCAATTGTGGTCGGGGAGGTTATTGTGGAAGACGAGGTTTGGCGTCGAACAAGGCGGGTTGAAGTATTCACGCTGTTCGAGACGCTGCGCATGTTTGCGGAAATGGCCTGCGCCATGTAGATCCGATAAAATCTGGTGATTGCGTCGACGAGGACATCTTGGTTGTTTGGCCCGGCTAGAGATGCTGGGTCATGGGGTTGAGAGCCGTTGATGACGGCTTGGAAGAAGATGTCAAACGTGCTTGTACTCGACGGGTTGGTCGCCGGTGTGCCGCCCTCGCCGTTGAACACGGTCATTTCTTGAGCGAGGTTGTTCTGGATGCGGAAATCGAACGTCTTCACCCCACTGTGGTTGCTGAGCGGATTGTCGTGCAGGAAGACGCTGCTCTCAACCACTGCTGGTGGATGGCTCGAATCGATGGTCGTGCTATTGGGAAGCAGCGTGACATTTGCGTTAAGTCCTTGGATCTCCTGATAGCACACCATTGTCGTCACTTGGCTCCTGTCTGTGCTGTCGAGTTGAAAGTGGCCGAAAGTGAATGCCAAACTTGGGCAACCAACTGGTGGATTGTCGCTTATGTACTGACCACGATTCTCGCCATAGTTACCGTACGTTGTCGCATTCTCACCGAACAAGAGATCTAATTGAGCACCGGCAAATGTTCCCTTTCCACCTGGAGGCAGTGCGAAGTTGTTTTCGTAGAGGACAAAGTTATCCGTTCCAGTGGTACCGCCGAGCTGACATGAGTCTGGAAGTGCTGCTCTAGCCGTGATGAATGCTTGATCCGTTGCGTATGCGCTGTCGTCGCCGGCCTTTTGCGTGCTTAAGGAGAACGAGTCGCTGGCAAGTACATCGCATTTGAGATTGGCGCGAATAGCCGGAAGCACGTGGGATGATGATCCAGACACGGTCGTGAGTGTATCCTTTGTCAGAGCGGAGTTGTTCAGCGATAGCTTTGGAAACACGAGGCCCTCGTAGGTGAATTGAGGGTAGCTGAAATTCTGGTGCAAGATCAAATTCGTGATGGCCGCCGCTCCATTGTCGTTAGAGAAGCTGTTTGGCCATTGAAGGTCGAAAGAGTCCACTTGAGTAAGCGAAATACTCGCCCCATCAACAGTGTAATGCTGGACGTAGTACAAGCCAGAAGCAATGACGGCCAGGACACTGGCCACCGTAGCTGCGGTGATACTCAACATGGCACCGAGGCTCCGCGTCCTGAGAGCCTGTAAGAATGCCAACGGAGGTGACCTCCCGAGAATATTGTTGAGGACTGATCTTCTGTGGATGGCATTGCCTTCTGCCAGGTTGTTCCACGGAGTGAACAAAGCCACATTAAAATCAAGCATGTTGACCAGCGCTGCCAAAATCAGCATAACGAGACCGGGGATGTAATGGCTGTAGATTTCGGTCCATTTGTCGTCGGCCACGGTGTAAACCCCATTATGATCGTCAGAATGTCGCTGAACGAGCTCCAACGCCACAATGAGGCCCAGCGGCAGAATCAGGGTAAGTGTCAAGACCGGAAATGTGGCTGTGATCGGTAACCACCAATTAATTTCCATGGTCGGGTTGTTGGTCGGTTCGTCTGGCTCGCCCTCTGACGTGACAATTTTGAAACTCCTCGTCCCGGAATCTGTCGTCGCGATTGCAGTCCCAAATTCGAAACCTGCGAGGGCAGCTTTTTGATTCGCAAGGCTCGGTGCTCCCTGCTTCCGCAGCAGTCGATTCAGCTCCGTACTTCTAGTCAGAGTTGTCGCAACTGCCGCAATAGAGCTCGGATCGCGTGGAACAACTGCTCTAGGCGCGATGAAAATCAAGGCAATGCAGAAAAAGCACAGGAATCCAGAAGCCGAAGCCATCGTCCACACAGAAACATCGTTGACCCGAAGCCTCCGTTCTTGACGAGTCGCTTTTCCTCCTTCCACAGTGCCATCGTCCGGAGCTCTCAAAACTTGATGGACATACTGAGATAAAATTCCATTGGACATGTCTTGGGCAGCGGATATCATTGTTTCCGGGTTGATCAAAGTGTCGATGTTCTGAGAACCCTGGGTCAATGCCATGAGCGTAAATATAGCGCTTGATTCGGAAATAGCGTCGTCGTTAGTCGTATCGCCAAAGAGGACTTGCGCAGCGATCGAAGCTTGCGTCAGGACATTGGTGGCATTCCAATCCGAAAATCCTGGAAGTGTGCTATTGCTTGCTCCATCTTTCAGCGTGACTGTTACGGCGTCATCACTGCTGAGTAGCCGGGTGTTGTTAGTGACCTGGGCCCTAGTCATCGAATACGAAGGGTTGCAGAACACGTTCGTTACATTGTTAAGGATCCTGGAAACACCACTTGCGATGGTGAATGAACCACCTGCGAGGTCGGTGGCGTTGTCAAATAGTGTCTGCTGGTAACTGATGTCGGTAATCGTGAATAATAACCCTGACGGACCATTTGAATCAGGAACACTGGCATTCGTGGTCCCACAGAAGACCTGCTGCATAGTACCATTGATCTGGCGCGCCGGGACAATCTCAGTGTATGGATTGTCCGCTGGCACACTGACTGAGGAAAGTTGACGGCACACATCACCCGCATCGATGGTGAAGGTGATGTTGCTCGAGGTCGCAAATGCGCTTGCTGAGTTGGTGTCGTTCACAATCCGCGGAGTCTCCAACTGCACATTTAGTATTTTGCATGCCATAGTCGGCACAAAGGCATCGACTTCGCCAGATATTATCGCATCGTCGCCAATTGGGGTATCAGAACTGACTGTCAAGGCACTGTATGCCAGATCCAACCTAACACCATTTTCCAAAGGCACACCCTGAGCCATACTCCCATAGTATGCATACACCGGCTGGGCCGAGAAAGTCGAAGGATTGAGGGCGGTGTCCGGGTCGAAAGAGTCCGTGCTAAATCCTCTGGCATGGACGGTCGCACCCTTCTGAGCCACCTGTGTTGGAAGAGCGACCAACAGTCCCGTCGCAAAGACCGTGACAACTTTTAGTAACATGAATCCAGTGATGGACGCAATAACGGCAAAATGACTGTTTTTAAACGCTTCGAGTAATGATACAAGTTGAAAATTCGAAATATAATCGACAAGAAGACTTTCGGACGGTTTGATCGGTCCGTCCTGGAGGGCATCGTAGGGCATCGCCAGTTTGGAATGGTGGTCCACCATTCTCCAGGCGGCCACGACGACAACGACGATGACAGTAGGCGTGTACGCCCATGCATAATGGTTCGTTCCCTGGTCAATGTGGAAGCCATCATTCTGCTCATCAAAGTGCCAGAGGAGAATCAAGGCGATCAGAAATCCGGCAAAGACAAGGGCGAAGAGTCCCAAAAACCATTGCTTCAGCCAGAGGGGAGTCCACAAGACCGGCCCCGGGCCGTGAGGATGGAGTAGATAGCCATCGTCCGTGGCGACGGCCGAGTGCGGGCGGAATTTGATGGACTCGGGCTCGTCTTCCTCTGGGACCGGGGAGATGGGCACATATTGGCGAACTTCTGGTCTTTGCGAGAATCTCGGCGCATACTGTCTTATGGCTGGTGGTGGAGCGTGTACTGAGGGGAACCGAATAGGGACTGGTGCTTCTAGTTGAGCCGACGACGACACCTGCTGGGGTTCTGGCGAGGGCTGTCGGACTTCTGGTAACAATCGCTCGGAGCTGTCCTCAGCAACTTGAGCACGGCGCTCAGCGTCGGTGATGGGGACATTGAGATAGGCGCTGGGTCGACTGTCTTCTTCCATGATTTAGGCCAGAAACTGAGGGCGACATTGTTGGTGTGTCGGTTGCCTGGGCCTAATCCATCCTCTCTCCTTTTTGTTCTGTCTTGGGTTTGTTGTTCTTCGTCCTGGAGATTCTTGTTTCTTTGGTAAAGAGTTTCAAGAGACTTGGACTTGGGTTTGGGTTGGAATGACTGCTGGTTTTTTCAGGCCAGAAATCCGAAGTTGCCATTCGAGTCCAAGGCCCAGCACGCCCAGGGACAAAAAGACCAACCAAGGCCCCAGGAACAAGGACACCGGACAAGACTAAACGGGGCTCTTCGCTTGAAGCCAGACGCCTGGTGCGCCTCAGCCGCAAATGAAAAGAATAGCACACGGGGGTCTGGGCAGTGGGCAGTGGGCAGTGGGCAGTGGGCATTAATTGATTTGGCCTGGGGGCCCGAACCTTGCTGCTTGGTCCCTGGGTCCCTTTGCAAAGCGACGGCCGCCCAAGTGGCAAGGACACGAAACACGAAACACAGCCTTCATCTCGCCTTAGAAGCTGGGCTGGTTCTGGTCTAGCACGCCACGTGAGCCTTGTTCACTCTGGCTTGCTCCTCACTGTCCTCAGCCTCTCACACGCCAGCTTCTTATTCCACTCTAGGAAGAAGCCACTCACTCCGGGTGCCACTACTGTTGAGCGTGGGTCCCTGTTGCTCTCTGCTTACTCTTCAGCTCCTCGTACCTTTCCGTACACTCTCCTCCTCTGTGTCGGTGCCCACGCCGTGACTGCGCCTTCCCCAGGCTATGACTGAGAGACGGGGGCACTAATACCCAGTACCTAGCACCTACAAGATCCATATCGCTGGCTGTCAATATTCCGGTCGATCACGATCCCGTTTGCCCCCTCCCTCCCACAACATGATGACACGAAAGAAATGGGAGTTCTTGTGGCGGTGGATAGGGTGTTTTAGACATGGGATCTAGTCCTCTTTGTCTAGATTGCCGATCGACAGACACGAGTTTGCGCAGCGCACGAGTTATTACTCTTGCCAAAGGACCTCAATCAGCGCAGCCAAACAGCAAGTAGGTGGACAGAAGCAACCGTAAGCTGCATCGCATACAATGTTGAGCTTATTATATCTTTGCTCCAGCTGCATCAGACTCCGGCTAACGCACAAGAATGCTTTGCAAGTGGCGCCTAAGGCCACCCTCGCTTCCTTCATTTCTACCTTCCGAGCCTTGCGACGAATTTCTACCTAGACTCAAGTCTGATGCCATATGCATATTTAGAGACTCTGTTTCCATCCTGAATTGAATCCTACTCATTGCACAGGTAACTATCCAGCCTCTCGCAACGTTCATCAGCGGCATCTTGATAACCATCGTCATAAAATTCCCTTGGAGCTCTAGGTGAAACACTCCGCCCGGTCGCCCATATGCCATTTCCATGGATTCCGTACTCCTTGCGCTCGAACAATCGGTGGCCAGGCGCGCCGCTAGAAATACACCATTGCCAAATCACTTTTATATTCCTTTGAATTCGATAAGATAGCCTGGTGACAAGGAAAGGTGGAGAAAGCCCGTTTAGACAATCATCTGGGCCACTCCCCGCCCACCCAGCGTTGTGCTTCCCACAAATTCCTGCTGTTTCAACCCTGCCAGTGCGTAGCAAGCTGCCGCCAAGGTTAACACCACGGCGGCGGCAATCAAGCTGCTGGCCTCGACAATGATGCTGAGCCATTGGACCAGGGCCATGACGCCGTAAATAGCGGCGCGCATGTAGTTGGTGGTGAAGCGTTTGATAAAGGCATCGAATTTGGCGGATGTAGGGCAGATGCGTAGCAAGAGCGGGATCTCGATGAATATGAGAACGAGGGCGGAGCAACTGCAAATTCAAGGGTTAATCGCGCAACTTCTGGGTCGGTAGAGGGCGAGGAAGAGACGCACAGTAGTATGATACTGAATAAAATGAGCAGGTTAAAGTGGAAGATGTTGGCGATACCCAAGGCAAACCCCAGGATGATGCATAGCACTCCGAGCCTGTCGGTCCACATGTCAGCCCTTTTGTTTGGATCCTTCGAGCCGCTCTGTATTGTGCCCGACGATTCATTCAACCGGATGAAGAAGCATATGGGTCTTCGCAACAAAGTCCTGCTACGCACAAGACCACAAGATACCGTGGGTGAGCGGGCGTAGAACGAGATGAGACTTCTTACCATTGCCCGTAGATGCCTGCGGACAGCTGTCAGCTCTGACCCAGTGCAGTCGCAGCACCGACCATAAGAGAAACTCACTGAAGTTGCGCATTCTGAACTCGTCCATGAGCGCCATTGTGAATTGCTTGCCCGATAGTACGGGGCTGGATTAAGGGTTTGGAAAGTCGGAGAGGACAGATGTGGCACAAAGGCACTTGTTTCAATGCGAGCTGAACTGCGGCACACTTTTTGGGTCCAAGCCGCTCGTCGCTGCAACAATGCCGGCTTTTTAATCGCTATGCGGATTGTATGTGGACCGTAAACCGTGAGGGTATAGAGTACTCGGTAGAGAATTCAAGTGAACGAGTTGTTGCAACGGTTGTCTGTGTTCGATCAAAAGTTGTCGACAGATGACGGACTGCGGCTGGATGTTGTGGCAGGTGCAGCACCGAGACAGGGATGCGCCTTTAACCAGGGACCCGAGGCTAGCGCAGGGCAAAGTATTGAATACCTAGGTACCTAAGTACTTGTACTCGTAGGTAATGGGGACCACAATAACAATCTTCAAGGGGCTTTATGAGGTCCAAGGCTCGACAAGAATTCTTACTCGCGCACCTTTCCAGGGACCTTTCTTATGGATGCAGAGGGAAAACGCAGCAGCCTGACAGTGCTCAGCCGAAGCAGCGCGTGGCGCCACAAGGAGTCGTATTATTGTCCACGCGTGCGTCTCGGATCGCCAACCCAAAAAAATAATCATTAGGCCACTCGGGAATGCAACTCGGAATTGTGGCAGCCTTGTCCGTTACTGACTCACTGTGTCTGTCGCTGTGACGCTTGCCCCAACAATATGCCGGTGGAAGTAAACTTGGTGTTGGTTATGTCCCATCTGTCATCGCGCTGCCTTCTTCCCTGCTCGCTCAATGCCTACATATCATTGTGTGCTTTGCAATCGCTACAACATCCTCCTTCCTGCCCATACTGCGCCGTCTGCTATGCATGACCACCTATCATGTGGACCCTGTTCCGAGACCAGTAATTCGCAGAATGTCAGAACCGGCACGACCCTTTACCGCTGATGAATCTATCCGCTTGCAGCATACACCACTGTCGACATCTGTTAGCCCTTTTCGACGTCTGCTTGGTACTTTCTGGCTCCACCTACGTCTGAAGACGTCGTTGAACACGAAGTAGCTGCCACCCTCGGGGTGCAGGTTGAATACCTGGACGTAGCTCATCGGGTGTTGTTGATCATCGACCTGTTTGCGTATTGTCCATCAGAGAACACACCGCCATAGGGTTTTGACGCTGGGGCTCCAGGCCTCAAGGTAGCAAACCTACCAGCAATGCACCAGTCACCATGACCAAGATGCCTCCTTGCTCATTGGAGGGTTGCGCATCCGTCGTGTCGACTCGGTGTTGGACTTTTTGGAACGGTAGATTCTGCAATATCCCTCTTTCATTAGTGACCCTCGGACAATGTCAAGGATCGTCGATCAGAGAGCCCACGTCTACGTACCGTCAACTTCTCAAGAATAGATTGTGTCCCCAAGAACGGGTCTTTCTCGAATGTAAGCATGGACTTGTCTCTCTGTGCCCGTACTGCCGCGTCAGAAAAAAAAAAATCTAGCTCTTCCTTCCTCTCCCCTTCCAACTCAACTGCACTGGGTGCGGATTCGCAAACGTACGTAGAGAGCAGCCAGCTGTGTGCGATCCTGGTCGAAGGTCTTGTAGTAGAACTCGACGAATTGCTCTGTGTCGCATTAGGGATGCTTGTGTGCTCAGGGTTTCTCATGGGTAGGAAGTCTCACGAGCGATTTGCTGGAAGTCTGTCGGAGATCACTTCTATTAGTCTCACGGTCTTAGAGGAACACATGCGCCCAAGGAAGCCGGAGTGCACATGATGGCTGTGACGAGTTTACACGTACCTCCCATCTTGATGAACTGTAGACTGCTTCTGCGAAACAGGGACGGGGAAAGGATTCGGGGGCTCGCCGCAGAGTCTAGGATTTCGCTTGCTTGTGCAGAAGGTGGGCGCGGAAAACAACAGTGGAAAGTGTATACAAGAGAGGCAGATGCGTGCTTTGCTGGTGACCCCGCGGGCCTAGTTACACAGTAGTACGGAGTACTAGTAAGTAGTAATAGTGAGGGTGGGTGATCGCCAGGGTGGAAATTGTGTCACTCAGTGCAACCGGCCCGCCGCAGCCTCGTTCCGCCAAGAAAATTTCCCACCGCTACAATTTCTTTCTCTATGTACGCTTCGTTCAAGCTCCTCTTCCATCATTTTCCTCCAATTTCTTATCAAGGTCGCCAGTACACCACAATGCATGCAGGTTCAATCTGCTCCATGCTCGCATCGAGACGGAGCTTATAGGCTAGTTTCTTTGTGATAGAGCCACGTTATCTTTGGTAAGCCGGGCCCAATGTCTCCCCTTCACTCCGTGCTTTCGAGAAGAGCTCCGATGATTTTCACCTGTATGCTCAAACGATAACTGACGAGACGGATCCGGCATGTCAAGCCATCCGTCGGTGACTTTAAAAATTATGTCAAGTCTCAACAGTATGAGGAGCCATGAGACGAATTGCACGATTCGGATTGTTACTGTTCATTTCGGACGTTTCATTGCAAGAATCCCCGCTGACTTCTATCATGTTTTGGTACAGATTTCTCCTCTACGGAGCCTGGCCGTGAAGGACAAGAGGAGTCGAGATGTAGCAGAAGAATCAAGCTTTTTGCATAAATATAATTTGATTACCAAGTCTGCAATACTAAGATTTCGAGTTCAATATCTCGAAATGTTGCGCGTCAAGCTCATCACCTGGATGGCATCGATTGTGAACCCATGCCCAATCCAGGATTCCTCCACATTGCTCATAGCCACGTTCATAGTTTGTTCTCTCCAGGAATACCTAGAGAACAGTATTATCCTCTCTTTCCCCCTCTTCCACCTCCACGTTCACCGCGCTCCCCTTCCCTCTTGTGCCAGGGGTCGCTAGGCCACACCCATCCTCTGACCGTCCTGGCCTCCCTTTTCTCCCCCATCTGCGGTTCAGGAATCCACTTGTCCTTGCCGTCTTTTCCCAACTCCTCAACATCGCCATCCTCATCGACCGTGATAACACTACCGCCGTTCCCACCATCCCAGACTCTTTGTCGACTGAGTGTTCCAGCACCACCTACGTCCATAAAGCTAGCCGGCTGGCCGGGCAAAGGCGTCGCTTTGGCCAGCATCAGCAGATAGTACAGAGCCAAGGTGACAGTCATGTTCACTTCTCCATCTGTCTCGTTCCCGTTGCGAGCAAAAGTTTTGGTCTCCACCGCCTCCGCGACTTCAAGGTAGCCGAAGTATGGATGACCGCGATCGTCACATCCGGCACGGACGCAGACGAGTTCGATCTCTGTGATGATGAAGCCGTAACGACAGCTATGGTCTCGCATGCATTTCTGCAGATGCGCCAGGGTGCGTAGGTACTCGACCTTGCGGGCAGGGCCTTCACGACGCATGCCTGTGTTCCAGCGATCGAAAGAACGGACCAAGCCTACAACGCGGCCTCGCGGAAGTCCCGATAGTGTGCGGTCATTGTCACTCGGGTAGTTGGCAAGGAAGTTGGGAATGTTGGCGGAGTTGGCGGACAACCCAGAGCTAGTCGGGGCTGGGGCTGGGTAGAGAGCGACAGAGTTGTTCCCGAGGGACAGCCGTGTAGCAGCGTTGATCTTAGGAAAGTAGATCTTGGAAATGAGATTGGCGAGATCGGCTTCAGAAGCAGGTGTCACAGTGTTCGCGTTGAAGCTAATCAGGGGCAGACAAGCTTTATCGTGTTCGAAGTTAAGTAGCGTCAGGAGATCAGGAATTGCAGACATAGTCTGCAGCGAAAACGATTTCCAGGGTCGAATATTGCGGATATCCCACCAAAAGTGGTTGGTTAGACCACGGCCGGTTTGGAAGGTGAGGTGGCGAACTAGGTTGATTGGCTGTGTTGGTTGGGTCAAGTAGCTGAGCATACTGATCGTTGAGACGGGCGGCAACATGGGAGGAGGACTCATCGAGCAGTTTCTTGAGATCGTATCAAGATCAATTGGCATGTCAAACGTACCCTCCAGATTGATAATTGGAGGCTCGGGCATGGGAGCATTGGTATATGGCATAAAGTTGGTGGCGAAGAGGTCTGGAGATGGGGTTTGTTGATTTTGAGACATGTAGACGGGCATCTGACGGTAGGTAGGATAGCCAAAACGATTCAGGACGTCGCTGTTGATGCTCGATGCAGAAGTCGAGCGGGAATGCGTCCTAATGGGGACACTGAGCTGTGCTTTGGCCAGCCCGGGAGAGGGGTTGAGCGAGTTTGATCGCGAGTAAGGCGCATTCGAGACTGGTGAGATCAAGGACGTACACTCAACAGGCTCTGTTGCACTCCTGTACATGGTAGGTCGAGCATGCTTGGAGGTTTTGGCGACGGTCGACGAGCTCCTTCGGTGGGTGGATGGTCGATGAGCGAATGGAGGCTCGAGAGACGTGTCCTGGGTCCTGATCTTGGGAAGCAAAGTCGGGCCATGTTGACGAAGAACTGGCGATCGACATGGAGTTGTATTACGAGCAGTAATTATCGACTCGGGCGAGTTGTCGACTGTAAAGTAGGACGAGCGAGATACATTGCGAGTATGGCTGTGCTGACCAGCAGCTCCAGCAGCCTCTGGAGGCGTAAGTGGTCTATAGCAGTAAGGTGCCAATGACATTCTGTAAGCCTTCATCAGCACGCATCGTCACAGCCAGGCACCGTCGCAAAAACCACTCACATATGGTAACTTTTTGGTTTAGTCCGGGCAATAGTAGTGGTCAGCGAGAAGCCAGCTTCTCAAGGGTGGAGACAAGAACCCAAAGAACAAAGGAAAAGTACGAGAGGGAAAGCAGATTGAGAATACCAATAACAAGCAGACTGAGTCTTCAGTCTTGCAACTTGAAAGAATGAAAGGCTCAGAGCTCTTGTGAAGGAGGGAGGACCAGGTATAAATGGGTTGACTGTATGCGACCGAGAGCGAGCAGCATGGCGCCCGACCAACAACGTCCTGCGGGTCTTTACCCACCTGAAACGTGGAGCAGGAGGAAGCAAGATGGCAAGGAAACAAACACGACTGACACGGTGTTCGAGAATGCGATGCTGGGTAACCGGCGATGGACAGGATCGCCTATCGACCGCGAAGCGTGGAGCGTGGTACGCGCCAGAGTCATGGAAACATTTGCGCCATATGCAGCTATTTTGGGGGGCGGAGATCTTCTCAGAGAGGGTGTAACAAGGCTCCGGGCGATTTCATCATGTCTTACGAGGCAATCTGTGTCGGCGCTTGCCTGGTTATTTCGAGAGATGAGCTGCCGTGCGACTTGGCGGCTGTTTGACGAGGCCAGCAGAAGAGGCGGCACCTGCGGCAATCTGAAGAGATGAGAGATCACCCGGCGGGATTTGCAGGGCGTGGCTGAGGCGCGCTGCGAGACCCAGGAGGAACCTCGTGCCCGCATTTTCCCTCAGATTGGGAGCGCTTGGAGATTCTATAGCCGTGTATGGTACCTCATTGGTGGTGAAGTTGGCGCGCGATGCAAAAAATACCCTGCGGCCATGCGGGTTGGTGGGAATCGAGGGTGGCGCAGTAAGACGAAGTGGGAAGGTAAAGCGCTATAGGGTTCTAGGGAAGGTTTGCCGGGCTCAAGTCCCGTGCTCCTCCGTCGCGCATCGTTCACCGCTGCTGTCGTTCGCGCGCGAAACCGGCACCAAGTCACATGCACCAAATAATATCAATGCACTCATCATGCATCTGCCGCAGTAGCTGCAGTAGCTCCAGCACGAACGGCACGCGAACAATGAACGACTAAAGGGCGAAGGAATGCTTCTCTCTTCCCAACCTCCTCATTTACATGCAACTGTCCTCTTCCTGCAGCTCTTAGTAACACTCTGTCGCTGATCCTTTGGCCGTCACTGGTGTCCAACGGCTTCGGAATCGAGCCCGTGTTTCATATTACCAACGTTTGGTACGAAACAGGTCGAGGTACTGGCCGACTCCAGGTTGAGCTGCAATGCATGCAAGAGTAGCCGCATTGCACACGAGTGACTGACGATGCACAGCGTCAGTTTCAAGACACTTGAGATCGGCAACCACGCTTCATGATAATTCGCTATTTGCTCTTCTGCTGATTTGAATACTGCTCAGGTGAGCTGCTGCCTTCCAGGAAGTCTGGAGCGACTGGCCCCATATGTACAAGTGTATGCCAGGCCCAATACCACCGGTAGACCTGATCCAATCAACCATGCAATGGAACGCCCTTCTCCTTCTATCGAAAGACCGGTCTACCTGGTCCACCAATGCAAGTCCAGCGCCCGAACCTGAAACGCAATGTCTGGTGCAAGAATGACACAAGTTCCTTCTCTGCTGCTGACTGCAATTATGCCTTGACCTCATACTTTCGTCGGAACATCTCGTCGACCTCGGTCAAGTAGTATGTTCCCGGTACAAGATGCGTGACATCACCCTGCGGCTTGAAATCCTTCTTGAGGTGAGCCTTCTCTCGAAGCATGCACATCTCGTCGTAGACTTCGGGTGCGACAACCCGTCGGGCGTCTAATCGTTCCTGAAGATTGAGCTTTGCGGCCATTTCTGTAGTGTCGCCAACAACCTTTAGGCTAAACATCGAGCTAGCAAGACCGCTGCCGTAGCTGAAGACCCCAACTCTCTTGCCGTGAAGCGTCTTCGGGGCGATATTGCTGATCAGCCCGACAAGCCCGCCGTAAACGCTGCCACAGTACATGTTGCCACACATGGTGGCCACTTGAATGGCAGGCTGTACTCGTTCGGCAAAGCGCTTCTTCGTCAAGGCCATGAACGTCTTCTCGACAGTCTTGTCTGTCAGAGATGCCTGGTAGTCCAAATCTCGCAGCTCGGGCGCAACCTCCTTGAATTGGGGGTGGCTTGGATCTTCGAGGAAATCATTGTACAGGAGCCGTGCGTACGACTTGGAGACAAGCTTGCAGGTGGGAGCGTGGAAGGCCATGAAATCGAATCGATCCATAGGAGCCTTCTCATCCTCTTCCTTGTGCACGCCGTTGCCATTTACGTGCGCATGTCCGTTGACACCGTTTGCCTGCGATTTGAGCGCTCTCTCCCGTGCATTGTACGCTCTGTAGCACGCATCCACAGCCTCGGTGTAGCACCTGAGGGAGAACTGTCCGTCAACATAAGGATATTCGCTGGTAAGATCGGGTTTATAGAAATCGTAGGCATGAGTGATGTAGGAGCCTCGGAGACCAGCTTCGAAAGCAATAGGTGCATCGGGACCGATCAACATGGCCACGCAGCCAGCGCCACCAGTGGGACGAGCGTTTCCTTTCTTGTAAAGGGCGATGTCCCCGGCGACCACGATAGCATCTCTCCCATCCCATGCTGACGATTCGATCCAGTTGAGAGAGTTGAAGACTGCATTTGTACCACCGCTGTAACCGCGTCAGATTTCGAGCACTATTGTTGCGCAAAATGCGTTCACAACTTACTAGCACGCGTTGTAAGAGTCCACGCCCTCGACGTTGAAGTTTCCCGACTCTTGAAATAGCTGCATCAACACTGACTTCACACTTTTGCTCTTGTCCAGCATAGTTTCTGTGCCCACTTCCAGCCTTCCAACATTTTTTAGGTCGATGGAGTACTTTGAGATCAGGCTCGTCAGAGTGGTAAGGCCAATAGAGTAGATGTCTGCTCGTGCGTTAGTCGGGTCTCAGTGGCACTTCTCGAGTTGCTTTGCCACTCACCTTCCCTATCGTCGCAGAAGGACATCCTGGTCTGCCCAAGACCAATTGTGTATTTGCCAGCTGAGACGCCATCGAACTTCTCCAAATCCGCTTGGTCAACGCACTTAAATGGGTTAGCACCTCATCAACTCCAAAGCCTGCGGCCTTGCGTCCTTGCATACCTGATTTGGAAAGTAAATTTCAATGGCCTTGATGCCGATGTTGTGAGGTCGCGCGGCCATGATGTCTGTGGCAAAGGGGTTTTCAATAACACGGGTTTCGAGCTGCCTTTCTCAAAGATGTTTGTAAAATAAGAGACAAGACTCCACGCAGAAGTTTTATCACCAAATTGACACAGGAGGCGGTGAGGGTGCGACGAGTGGGAGATAAATTTTTGTGGGGGGTTGCGCAAACAGAGGGGAGGGTATCTGCAGCAGTTGACCAGGTATTGACTTTCTCTGCTGTCTAGAAGTGTCGGCGACAGAATACCTAGAGTTGAGGTAAAGCAGGTAACAAGTAGAGCAGAAATGTGAAAAGCCTTTTGCGGTGAGAGCGACAGATATTGGGATGCTTTTGTAGCAACCAAGCAACCAGGCTTGTTCCTGACGGCAAATGATGGCAGTAGATGCCCACAAATTTCGACAGGCGAAAACTGCAAGGCCTGTTGGGGGAGGGCGCCCACAGCTAGAGGCCCTTTAAGCACGATTAGCTTCCATTTTAGTGCTTGGCTTGCGCCTAAGGGTCCCCGGGGCAGCCAATGGCATTGGCATGTTGGCGGGCGGTGTGGCTTGGGCGTTGGGCTTGTGGTGGGATGATCCGGGAACTGGAAAAGCAGATTTGATGTTCCTGCATGATGCCACTGCCATGGCCAACCCACCTGGTGCCACCTTTAAGAGTAGAAGGCTCGAAGGCTGTGCGGGTCATTTTCTGGCGTGTGCCTGATAGCACATCAAAAGATGGTTCTACACGGAACTGTCAACTCCGACACCACCATCCCCCCTGAATTCAATAATGGGATCATCACGGCCTTGAGTCAGTGTCTGTGGGTCGAATCTCCTTTGCTTGATTGTGGCCGTCACGACTGTCACGCCGCATGGTTCTATTGTCCAGGCAATGACCTCAGTACGAGGTATATACCTAGGTAGGTAGAGGTGGGTGCCGGGTGTTTGCGATTACCGGAGCTTCCTTATCGCGCCATTGATACCCCACCAGCGCATAGTCCAATCTATAATTCGAACCTCTAGAGATCTATCTGCTACATGCCAAGTTGCTCATTGCCGTCTAATATGCTGAAGGCATAACACTCAGCCGTCCACCGTCCGTGACCACAACACATCCATTGATATATGCACCCGCTCGCGAGCAAAGCCACAAGATGACTCCCGCCATGTCCTGCTCGTCACCGGTTCTGGTTGCAGGGACGAGCTCTTTGCTGAATGTGCCCTCGACATTGTGGATCTCGGTCTTTCCCTGAGCTTGGTACATTCCATGCGTCATTTCTGAATAGTAGAGTCCCGGGGCGATCGTGTTCACTCTTATGTCGTATTCCACAAGCGCCGTCGCCAGCTGTTTCGACAGAAACATCACCCCAGACTTGCTGGCACCATAGCTGAGATTACCAAGAGGCTTGCGGTTGAATCCTCCAATAGACCCGGTCGTGATGATCTGAGGACGGGGTGTGAAGTTGTCCTTTGTTGGGGCAGGCCTCTTCTTATTTGCCGCACCCAGAAGTGGGAGGAATGCCGCGATGGTGAAATGGACACCAGTAATATTGATGGCGTATGTTTGCGTGACCTCCTCCGGTTCAGGCTTCCACATATTCTTGACTAGATCATCGAAGGGTACAGGCCTCTGGTTGGCATCCACGGTTGGCACGGATGGGCCAGAGATGCCGCTGTTTGCCACAAGGACATCGACAAAATCAACCTGCGCCTTGACCTTCTCAAAGCATTGTTGAAGCGAGTCCTTCGACGTCACGTCTCCCACCAGGGGAATGATGGTGCCCCCAGGGACGGATTCGGCAGTCTCTTTCAAGCTGTTTTCACGCCGGCCAATAATGAAGACTTTTGACGCTCCATTGACGGCCAGCGCTCTTGCCATCATACGGCCGAGTCCTGCGCAAAGTGTTAGCAAGCAGAATTTGCCACCGGAGTGCCTGCCATTTCCTAGAGGAGAAAGGAGAGCAGTGTACCTGAGCCACCGCCAGTGATGACGGCTACAAGGCCGTTGACATTGAACAGGTTTCCTGCTTCAATCTTGGGAATATCTGCGGTAGACATCTTGATGTGGGAGGTAAGGGCGTTCAGGAAAAGGTTGGTAACTATTTCAAGGTCGCGAGCAGACGTGCAAACAGACTTGAGTTTTACTCGTACTGGGTGACAATTTCCAAGGTAACAATCAAGCAGATTGTTGTTTATATATTCATTGGGTGTTGGGTGTTGACGTGAGGTCGGACATCCTCCGTACTGCTCGTACGGAGGATGTCCGATTGTTCTTACCGAGCAGACGACTGGCCATCAAATCAATCTTTTTACCTAGGTAGGTACTCACTACTACTAGTATAGGATTAATCGACCACCATTTCCAATCAACTTCATACTCCTACAGCCATGTTGTGCTTCTATGTTGGAGATCTCCCACTCTGAGCCTACGATGCCCGACTGATGGCTCTGTGAGCTTGGGATGAGGGTGTCCCTTAAGGTAATATCAATATCAGAAAGGACCCTTCCAACCTGCAATTCTTCCACAACGGCAGTCGCATGATCTGATCAGTCTATCCAGGCTTGCAAGCACAGAACCCTCCATAACGCGTGAGAGTGAATGATTATGACTTTGGTAATACAAATATGCCGCGAGGTGCTCCTTTCTAGTGTTTTCCAAGACCCAGCTTGCCCTTGAGTCTGTTGAGTCCCTTCGATGGCGCGTAGCTCTCCCCACGATCGCCACTTGTTTGTGCGTGAGACCCATCCGGTAATGTGCCGGGGCTCACATCCCGCTCTTCAGCATGGCGTCTTGTCGGGGCATTCAATGCACCGGTTCGTGCCTCTGCAGGTTTGGTTGAGGCGGTCTTCTGCGCCGTCGAAGCGCTTGAGGCAGGGGCATTCGTCGGCTGCGAAGATGTAGTGCTCTCTGCAATGGCAATAGTTCAGCACACAGATACTGGAGTACGGATGCGTGCAACTCTACCTCCTGCATTCCCTTGATCGTACGGCTCTGTCGCTGTGCCTTTCCCCTGGACGCCTGACAAAGGTTCTTGGTCTGATCGCATAGCGGTATTCTCTGCACCACCCAGCCGCTCAGCAAGTGTCACAGAACATGTGTATTCACTGGTGACCTACCTGGTGCATTTCCTTGGTCGTACGGTTCGTCTAATGTCCCTTTGCCCTGGATGCCTGAGGGCGGCTCTTGGCCTGAATGTGTAGCACTAGTAGCCATAATTCTATTTTCGCGTCAGTAGTCGTTTGGTGGATGCTGTCGAGGTCGGGAACTGCAGATGAGGGTTGCGAAGGTGAGACAGGATCAGAGGATTGAGACAGAAGTGTACGGGTCAACGTCGAGATAACGCGGCAAATCCAGTGAGTTGATTTATGAGGGGTGGCCGCGAGACTGTGTTTGACCAAAAGAAAGTTCCGGGGTTGAAGCATTTGCAGTCTTATCAGCGCTCCGGATCTAGCTCGCTTGCTCTCACCCTTCTTGACTTTGGGATCTCGGCGACTGGCATCAGTCGGCGCCATGTCTTCGAGGCGCAAGGGAGGGCGGGAGTATGTTTTACGTCATACTGCTGCACGCGGAAGATGATTTGTTGTACGTCATAGAAACACGGCTTCGGTGTCTCCCAGGTGTCTCTTCACCCAAAGGTCAGCGATGATCGTACAGTAAAAACTTGGAATAATATTGGCCTCGAAATACTTTTAGATTGCAAATCCCACGCGATTATTGAATGACTTTGCTCGTGTTGCTATAGGGTTGAACGATTGGATTTCCTTACAAAGACTGCATGCAATGGCCAAGGCTGAGACGCCCGCGTCAAACACGATCCTCGCCAGTGGCTGCAATTCATAGTGGTGTGCTCTGTGCAATGGCTGCTACTGACAAGCAGCTTGATCTTGTCGAAAAGTACCTAGTAGTCAACAGGGTCACAGAAAGAGGAAACAAGCAAGCAACACTGCTAATATCGCTTGAGATCTTGCTTGCGGGGTGCCTGTGCGGGCACCCCCCAAGAGTGGCGCAGCGCCAGATCCCTCCTCCAACGCCACAGGACGTCCCACCACTAACTTTTCCCGAAGCAATAAGTAAAACTCAGATATAATTACTATACCGAGTACTGCTCACTACCAGCCAAAGCTTTCCATCCTCGATCTTACAGCTGCAGTTGTTACACCTATCGCAATGACAACAGACACCCAGGCCGATGTTTGTGTCGACTGTCAGGACCGTGACGCCTGCCTAGATATCAGAAACCGGCGCCTATGTGCAACATGTTTCATCCGATATGTAAACTCCAAAATTCTCAAACGCATGGAGTCGTATCGATTCAAAAACCTTGCGGGAGACCAGAAGCGCCGGTTGTTTCTCCCTCTCTCTGGTGGTGTCTCTTCTCTTGTTTTGTTGCAGGTGCTTGACGCCCAACTGCAGAAGCAAATGGAGAACCGCAACAGATCTGCTTACGACCTCTTCATCGCCCGTGTCGTGCTCCCTGATAGCGAAACTCAGGCCGAGGTCGAGAGCCAGTATCAGGGAGTGAGTAGCCGATTTCCCTTGCACAATTTCCTCTCACTCTTCTATCTCCATGATGTCTTTCGGCTAGACGAGAGAATTGAACGGGACCTTATCCACCTTGGGATTAATCGCCAGGATGGCGAGCCAGACGACGAATTTTTACACCGGGTGCTCTCCTCTACTACGTCCGTGACTGCACGAGCAGACTTGAAATCCATTCTTCTCCAGAGGCTGCTGGTTACCATCGCCAAACAAGAAACCTGCGAGGCTGTGCTCTGGGGCCATTCGGATAGTCGTCTGGCAGCTCTTGCACTCGCAGATGTTGCGAAAGGTAGAGGTGGGTCAGTCTCTTCAACCATCGCTGATGGACCGTCTATGCACGGGCTCAACTTTAACTATCCCGCCCGTGACCTGTTCAAGGTTGAGCTTCAAACTTATGCACGAGCTCTACCGGACCCCTTGCTTATAGAGCCGAGAGATGATGTGTCCGAGCGACAAGCCACTACGATTCGCAATACTTCGATCGACGACCTCCTCAGCAACTACATCGATGGACAGGGAGTCAAATATCCTAGTATAATGGCAAACGTGGTTCGAACAGCGAGTAAACTCCAAGTTCAAGCGACTGACCACGAGGCGAATGCTTGCCCCGTCTGCGATATGCCAGCAATGACAAATTCAGAGAGCTCATGGGGAAATAATGTTCTTTGCTATGGATGTGCGAGGTTGAAGCAGGATATCAGAGCTTGAAATCCTCTGCGATCTTTCAGGTCGACAATTTTCATGGATCCTCCTTACCCTGTTTCTTCTTCTGGATCGTTTGACGGAAAAGGAACGCTCAACGTTTGCTATCGCTCTAACGCGAACTCAAGGTGCAATGTCATGTCGAGGTAAAGCACAGCTCACTGTCGCACTGCGGCATCTCAACGAGTACGGGCAGGCATCGGAGGAGGAATGCCTTCTCCGGCTTCGACATCTCGTTGCCTCTCTCGATTGGACCTTCTGGACTGTCGTCGTGAGGTGTATCTTGGAGGAGGGCCATTCTGGGCATTCAATATACCCTCCTCGTTCTGATAGTCGTACTCATCTGGAAGACTCGGGTCTGCAACATTGGCCTGCGGAGTACCCTTAATCCTCTTCTGACCACGCGCACGCAGTTCCTTTTCGAGCAGTACCACATTTCGGGTGTTGCACTTGTATGCCGCATCCGCAAGGTCACCAATGAAGGGAACCAGCCCGATTGCAAAGTCAATGAGGACGTTCATTTGCATTCGCATTTTAGTGGACGAGGGTAGTCCTGGTTCGACGGAACAGCAGGTGCGGTAGACCATGAGAGCAAAGAAGAGGTCGATACAATCGCCAATGCTAAGAGAGGTCAGTTTCGACAAATAGATATTCCAGGCAAAGAGACTAAGCTTACCCAGGGATCAAGCCAAAGACCGCTCCCCAGCCGAATCTTGTGCCTAAAAAGCTTCCGAGGCAAAGGTCGACGCGATAGGCTCTTCTTTTGGCTTTGGTGAGGATTTTCTCCTCTTCTGGTGTCAACCCTGGCGGCAGAGCCCTTCTTCGTTTCTTTGTGGTTTTATACAGCCCTCCGAGTCTCGTAGCGGGTACAGTCTCGAAGTAGGGATCCTGCATCGGTGTTAGAGGAGGCATAGCTGTCGGCTTCGGTATCCATACCTCACGTCCCTCTCTGTTGGACGGATTTTCCTTGAACAGCCTCTTGGCCACTAGTTTTGCTGCGTAAGATGTCATCCTTACGCTGTTCGGGTGGATAGTGAACGAGAGAGAATTGGGAAGTCGGGGGGATTGTAGGGAAGATGAGGGTGAAGGACCGGAAGAGGGCTTAAGAGGCACACAAAGAACCCTTGGGTGACCCTAGTGATGTCCGGGGCTTTATGTCACTGCAAATTTGGTCCTGCCAAACAAAGCCAAGATGAGTGATGAGTCGCAAGAACAAGTTGCTGTCAGAAGCCGGTGTGGCTTGCAGTAAATGATTGGCATTCAGATTCAGTCAAACGGGGCTCTACGCGCTGGATTTCCTTGACACTCTCCCTGCGCCTGTATGCGCGCCAACGTCATTCGAGTCGTCATTTAGTGGCTGTGTCGAGGGTCACCAGCCACAGAGATTATGCACAGCCACTGACCCGGGGGACCTAGACTCTCTCTTCTCTGCGCCGCGTGTGTCTCTCAGTAACCGTAACAAGCCATACCCCTCAGACCTCAACTCGCTAAACGCCCATTCGCGAAACCCTGTCGCAGTGTCTGGACGTGAGGCTGTAGACCCTGCAGCCCATCTGTCCCCGACCCGTGCTTCCTACCCTCCCACCATCTCCAGAGCAGTGGAGATGAACAGATATCCTCAACAGGCAACAAACTCGAGAGATGCAGCTGGAGGATTGTAAGACGCCCAATCCTGGCATGATCTTTGCCTGTTTGCTAACACTCTGCCTTTCCCAGGGCTGGATGACCTCTGTGTCCGATTCATCATAAACCTGCCCCCGGAGGAGCTTGAGTCCGTGGAGCGCATTTGCTTCCAAGTCGAGGAGGCGCAATGGTTCTACGAAGACTTCATTCGGCCCCTTGACCCTTCCCTGCCTTCTCTTTCTCTACGTGCCTTCAGTCTACGCATCTTTCAACACTGTCCGCTTTTCTCGCAATGGTCTGCCCAGCACCATACTACCGCTTTCGCAGAGTTCCTGGCATACAAATCCCGCGTACCCGTCCGAGGGGCCATTCTGCTGAATGAGTCGATGGATGAGGTCGTCCTTGTGAAAGGCTGGAAAAAGAGCGCAAACTGGAGCTTCCCCCGTGGGAAAATCAATAAGGATGAAAATGATCTTGATTGTGCGGTGCGGGAAGTCTATGAAGAGACTGGCTTCGACATTCGCGAGGCTGGACTGGTCAAGGATGAAAAAGACATGAAATATATCGAAGTTACAATGAGAGAACAGCACATGAGGCTATATGTGTTCCGAGGAGTACCCAGAGACGCTCATTTTGAACCCAGGACACGGAAGGAGATCAGCAAGATCGAATGGTACAAGTTGACAGATTTGCCTACCTTGAAAAAGAACAATCATCGCCAGCATGAAGGTAGCGGGACCGACCCTGCATCACTCAACGCAAATAAGTTTTATATGGTGGCACCTTTTTTGAATCCACTCAAGAAATGGATAGCTCAGCAACGAAAGAAGGAAAACCGCTACAGTTCGCACCTTGCAGCACCCCCCATGGTGCCCGAGGACGTGACTACTGAGGATGAACAGAACGGCGTCGGGGCACGCGCTGAAGAACCCTTGCCACTGGCTGTCAGCGATTTGCCCGAAGTTTCCGATCCTCCTGCGGTCGACCCAAGTTCACATCTCAAGGGGCTCCTTCATATTGGAGGCCAGGCTGCCCCGCCTCAGGCAGCGTTGCCACCAAGTCATATGCCGCAGGTTGACACTGAGAAGTCAAACGCTCTTCTGGCTCTGCTGCGAGGCGACTTGCAGGGCCAGCCCGCTGCCATACCACGGACTCCGCTTGAACAGATCTCCTTGCCGCCTGAGGTTCAACCGTCGCCGCAAATCTCACATGTCCGGCAGCCACAGATTGATCAAGCCCAGCCCCCACCTCCATTCCAACCGCGACTCCAAGATCAGGTGTTGCTCCCTGCACAGCCATTTCAGCAGAGATCAAATGATTCCATCTTCGCCTCCAATACGGCCGCTTATCCCTCTGATAACACCCCGCGGGCCACACCATTTCAGAGAACCACCGATCCGTTGTTTGGCCCTGGAGGAGCGATACAGCACGAACAAGCAACCATACCACCAGCCAGCGCGTTGCCTAAGCTGACCAATCATACCAAAGCGTTATTGGACGTTTTCAAAGGAGCGACGAGCCCAAGTATTCAGCCATTAACCCATTTTGAGACCCCAGCCCCGAATGCTTTGAGTCGGGTTGAGACATTGCGGCCACTTCAAGTGCAAAGACAGAACATGCCACCCAACAACCCGCTCACAGCCGATCATGCTATCCAAGGCAATGGCAAAAGCCCGGCCCCTTGGACTTCGAACGCGTTGTTCCAACCAACCGCAAATGCGGGATTCGAAAGCCAGGTCTCTTCTATGCTGCCTTCTGCACGACCTCGAAGTGCACAGCAAACATCCCTTCTTCAGCTTTTCACTCAACCATCCCCACCGAAGCCAACGGAGAGCTCAATCGCTACTCGTCCACCACCAGTGGAGCTCGCAGCGACAGCGGCTACTACTTCGTCTCTGAGATCGAAAGTGAACAAGGACGATCTTCTCTCCTTGTTGGGAAAGAGTGGTCGAGAATCGTCGCGAAACGCAGCCGAGACAAAGCGGCCAAATCCAAGAGAGGGTGAAACGTCTGCTACTATCAGTGGCCCGTTGAATCAACCCGAATTCGAAGTGATCTCCCGGGCGACCAGGCATGCGACAAACGAGATGGGTCGAAGTCCACTTCCGGCCAACAGAACGCTGTACGATCCCAATCAACCAGCACCGGTCAAGATTTTGACACGATCAGAAGAATCTCGCTCTCAGCCTCCGCGGTCTCCGAGAGGGGCCAAATCAACCTCGAGGCGTGCGGCGAAGGAAAGAGCAATGCCAAAGGAGCAAGCCAAACCGTTCCAACCTCAAATTCTTCGTCGGCCGCAAACCGTTGAAGCAGCCATGGCTGGTGGGCTCACCGCTACAAGCGAGGCTCCAAATCAGCAGCCGATTTCGACGGCAGCGGCTGCTTCGCCGCCTGCCGCTCCGGCAGGTTTTAGTGGAAATTCGACGCCGGCCCAGAAGCCTTCCCAAACGGAGGCACAGAAACAAACATTGCTTTCTCTCTTTGGTGGAGGACTGGACACTGCGGCTAGTACAACAACATTGCCGCCCAATTCGGGGATAGTGTCGCCTTTGACGTCCAGTCAAATCTTCAACGCCAGTGGCGAGATGCCGCTATCTGGGACTGAGCCTATCTCTACTCGGACATCCCGTGTGGGTAGCATGGCATCGATCGTGAGTGGGCCAGGAACAGGGCGTGCGGCAGGCGAAAAGCGACAAACTGGAGCTGAGAATAAGGCATTCCTTTTGGGCTACTTGGGCAGAATCGCAAGCCAGGAGCAATGAAATGTGTGGACGTAATGATTGGACCGGGCACGAAGGATATTGGGGGCGAGCTGGCGGCCTGAGACGTTAGGAAGCACATGTACGACGTTGATCGGGACCATTGAGAAGTCAAATGCAATTCTATACGAGCGGCTTCGTATTCGCATTGGTCCTTGCTTAAGCGGGGCTTCTGGGCCCTCGGTCTCTGCACTTTCTCTCGGGACGCTGGCATAATTTATGCATTGAGTGCGTCGGCCAAACATGGTCACTTTTTGCTTCCGACTTTCCTTCGGCCTGGAGGAGAATTTTCGTCCTTTTTTTCCCAGTGTGGTCCCAGTAAGTGCGAGGACATCTTTTTGGGGACCTGAACCACGACGAAAACAGTAAAAGGCCTGAGTGTGAAAGCAAAAGTCGTGGAGTTGTAGAGAGCCAATTGAAGGCGTCGGCAGATGATGAGCTCAGCCGCAGGGAGGGATGATTCTAGCAATGAATGGCTCGACGAGTACCCAACGAGGCTAGCTGAGGTTAGCTGAGGTTTCTATTTTGTACGAGATTTTCACCGGTTCTTCTTGTCATTGATCAGGTGTTGGAAGTATCTGGATGCATAAGTCAGAGACGGGATACGGAAGTAGATGGGCAGCGCGTCTGTAGAAGAAGAGTGGCACTTCCGGCCCCATGCAAGCTCACCGACGGCGTTGCTTGTTTTCCTGACGATCGGTTTTTTTGCTGGCTTTGTAGTTGTCAACGATCTGTACACCGGTTGTTGCTGTTTCGTGAGGCTCAACAATGGCACAGATGGTGGCTGCGCAGGTAGTGGCAATGGGAAACTACTACCTGGCGGCAACGAGTGACGCAAATTTGAAGCCAAAGACACAGGCAGCGGCCGCTATCGAGTCTAAATCCTCTTTGTCATCATGTCTTCCTCCTCCCAGCGGTGCCAGCCCCAGCGAGCTTCCAAAGGTGCCGGTCGCCAGCTCCAATGCGCACATTCAACAACAGCTTCCTCCTTCTCCTTCCCACAGCAGTATGTCATTATGTGATGTCCCGATCAGCAAAGTGTGGTGCCCGAATTTAATGTCCGGCCCGCCAACCTCGTCTCAATTCTTGCTCTGAACCACCCCCCCAAGACCGCCCTATCTCTGGGCCACTGTGCTGACTGTGTTCGCCCGCTTTCAGAACCGGATGCTTCCAGCAGTCCTCGTCGCGATTACAATTACGGCCTGACCCCAGGGACGATCAGCGCAGCAGGCGACATGTCTCCTATCCTGACCGTGGGCTCATCGGAGCCCCAGCCTGGCTCTGAGCCCGTCCTAGATCCCATCTCAAGGGTATCGTATACATACATATTACCCACTTGGCTCGCGGACGCTTGGCTCATTCATAACTCTCTAGCAAATCCTCGAGAGGACCCAGTCGCAAAGCAAATTGCCTGCCTCTTCTCAAGGCGGTGTGCCTTCCAAGTCGCCTTATGCAGACTCCGGTTATTCCGACTCGGGCAGTCTGAAAGCCGAGCCCGTCTCGTTGCGACGGGTTGATAGTAGCAAGTCGGGCAACGAGAAGAAGTAAGTCCCAATGGTGGTGCCTGTTTCTCTCTGTTTTCTAGGCCCCTCCCTTCTCCTGTCTCTGCTGTTCACGAATAAGCACCTAGTTTCCATGTGCTCTCGGCCATCTGCTGATTGCCGGCCCCGGCGCCGAAATTGCGTGAGCTGTGCGGTATACTAATGGCCAATGTCTCTGCAGAAAAGGTGTCTCCTTCCTCAGTCGAATAATGGGTAACAAGAAGCGGGACTCCTTCGACCTTCACGACGACAATGCTTCAGAGGTCGGTTCCGAGTTTCGACCTGCCGGGGTCGAGGCCGAAGTCTTCTCCCAGCCCATCGGCTTCATACCCAAGTTCCCTGCGCCGCCACGATATATCAAGGTCAAGGCCCAATATAGGAAACAGAAGGACTTTGACAGGTTGTTCCTTGCCCAAATACTCTTGGGCGCTCCGCCGTCCAAAGGTCGCAAGCCCGAGATCGACTCGAAGATCCACAGCATCAACGATACTCCCGGCGAGGTTGCTCCCCCCCCTCCCAGGAACTCGGCGAACAATGCGATATGGGCCATGGAATTCTCAAAAGATGGAAGATATCTCGCTGCTGCCGGGCAGGATAAAAAGTTGAGAGTGTGGGAGGTCATATCATCCATAGAAGATCGAGAAATGGAAGAGAAACTTGCAGAGGCCGACAACGATGGGGAGAAGGTCAAACTCAACGCACCGGTCTTCAAGAGTAAACTGGTTCGCGAATATGATGGCCACACTTCGAGTATCCTGGACCTCAGCTGGAGCAAGAACAATTTTCTGCTGTCTTCTTCCATGGATAAGACCGTAAGGCTGTACCACGTTAGCCGGGCGGAGTGTCTGTGCGCGTTCAAACACAACGACTTCGTCACCTCGATCCAATTTCATCCCCGGGACGACCGATTCTTCTTGGCGGGCTCTCTGGATTCAAAGATACGTTTGTGGAGCATACCGGACAAGAACGTTGCATACTGGGCACACGTTTCCGACATGGTCACTGCCGTCGCATTTACGCCGGATGGAAGGACCGCCATCGCTGGTTGCTTAAATGGTTTGTGCATCCTCTACGACACCGAAGGTCTCAAAGCGCACTCGCAAATTCATGTCCGGTCAGCGCGAGGCAAAAACGCCAAAGGGAGCAAAATCACGGGAATTGATACGATCTCGTTGCCTCGAGAAGGCAGTCAGCCGGACGTGAAACTCTTGATTACCAGCAACGACTCAAGGGTGCGAATGTACAACTTAAAGGATAGGACCCTTGAGGTCAAGTTCCGCGGCAACGAGAACTCCTGCAGCCAAATACATGCCTCGTTCAGTGATGATGGGAAATATGTAATCTGCGGGAGCGAGGACCGCAAGGTGTACATATGGCCAACGTCTGTCAATGAACGGCCGGAGAACGATAAGCGGCCGATGGAAGTGTTTGAGGCTCACTCGGCCATAGTCACTACCGCCATTATGGCACCTGAAACGACGAGACGCCTACTGGCGCAATCGGGAGATCCTCTGTACGACATCTGCAACCCGCCGCCAGTGACACTGGTCAGTCGTGCAGACTCTGTCATTTCCTCTCGCGCACCCACAAACAATAGCAATCACTCGGATGAAAAACACATCAGGGATGAAACGAGGCTGTCGGAATCTCCACGTCGTGCTCCCGAAACACCCGCATATTTATCTCGTCATTCGCATCCGGGCGGTCAGATAATTGTCACGGCGGACTACACGGGACAAATCAAGGTCTTCCGGCAAGACTGTGCTTTCCAGAAACGCCGACACGAGTCGTGGGACTCCAGCTCGAATTTCTCCAGGAAAATGCTTGGTCGGAGCGGATCTGTGGCGACTCGCAATTCTGTGAACTCGTCCACCCAACGGAGCTCATTTGTTATGAATCCTAAGACCCAGTCAACCGATCGCATTTTGAGCTGGAGGAACTCTGTGAGTGCCAACGATACCGCCAACAACAATGCGTCGACAAGTTTGCTGGAGATCCGTGGTCAACTGGCCAACAACGAGCGGTCCCGTAGCGCATCGCCTAGGAAGATCCTGGGCCATCGTCTTTCACTCCACAGATCAACAACTCCACGGAAAGACACTCTCACTTCCCCAACATCCCCCGAATATCATTCACCTTTACAACAGATCCAGAACGGTCCGTCGATCACGGTTCAGTCGCCTCTCGCCGAATCACCCGCCAGTTTCCATTCAGCCAAGCAGAAAACTCCGGATCAGGAGTTACTGTCGCCGCAGGTATCGCTGAAGCCTTTGCCCTCAAACCCCACACCAGGTGATCTCCCACACAGCCCCAACGATCCGCTTTTCTTGATGGACCAGCAATCATACATGGCGTGGGATTTGAAGACCACATTATTACCCATGGCCAGCCATATGCCCCGCACGCCTGGTCTGTTAGGGCCGGATGGCAACCCTCTTTCTCGCGCTCCAAGCTACATAAGCCAGTTGTCCAGTGAGCTCACTGGTTCCGAACGTGATCCCAGTCCTGGTGGTAGTATGGGTGACGATGAGCGTAGAGCTTCGGCCGCAGAGAACAAGAACCGCAAAACCCGATCCCGGAGGCGGAGCAGTGTGGCAAGCGAGAGCGATTTGAAATGCAAAACGTGTGGAGGCACAACGTTCAAAGCGACCATGACGGACAAAGGCCAAAGTTTCAGGTGTAAAAAATGTGGAACTGCTGTTTGATTCACACCAGAAAATTTTGGGAGCATTCATTGAAATTTGGATAAGATGTCCAAGGCACGCCAAGGCAAAGGCAAAGGCACTGTGGGAAACCGTGCCCATTGGACTGCCCCAGGCCGCACATGTCTAGGTTTCTCCTTGAGATGTTCGCAGAGGGACGCACAGCTAGATTGACACAGAACCGAGGCCAGAGACGCCCTGCCCTAATGGCGATGACGAAAAGCCTCTGCTATATCCAGCCACGCACGTGCAATGCGCAGACGAACGACGGCCTTTTATTGTTTTGACGAAGCACGAGTATCACGACAGCACTCTATGAGCGTTCATATCATCGATGTACAATATTTGGACTACAAGACGGCAAGAAGGACAAATTCTATCTAGTACAGGCAAAGGATCGAGTTGCACATATGAAAGTCAAGGCATACGCAGACACATATATACGTAAGGACATAACCAAACACGAACAGAGAGCAGTCTTGACTGTCTGCCAAATTGGTCAGATTGACTGACTGGCTTTCTTGGAGCATGGCATGATGGTTGTGAAATATGGACAGAGGAAAAGCAGTGTACTCATTCTCCCACTTGCTGTGAGCAACGTCGAGGGATTGTCTTCGCCTTTCTGTATCTCTCTTTCCGTCCGCATGGCACCTTTTTTCCTAGCATCGAAATTTGGGGGCTTCTTTAACTAGACCTTGAACTAAACTTACTTAAAGCTCTTAACTAACTTTACCTTCTAGGCATGCCTAACTAGTGCCAAGTCAAATGCCAAGAAGAAAGGCGCCAAACGGACGGAAGGGGAGATAGCACGTCACTGAGGCAGTGGCTTCTACAGAGTACTAGCTTGGTATCGTAGTTTATACTAGGTATTCACATTGTGCACTAATGTAACGGCACGTTACTGGAAGGACGGAGGAGCTCCAAAGTCTCTGTATTGCACTAAAGTGGCTTTTGAAAACGTCGGTACAAAACTGGGAAGGTCTACAATAGATCCCCACCTTGAACGAGACTACCTCGCCGGGGTAAATGAATTAGATAATACTCCGGAGGCCGGAGTATCTCCCACAGTGGGTCAAACAGTCCAATCGGATGGAGAGTAAGACCTTTACTCCCGAAAGGTTGTATACCTGACATTGAGCATCATTTATGGATGCAGGAATTGCAGAGATCTGTGCATTTCAATATTCTCTGCATCTTGGTAACGTGCTATACAATATTGTATTAGTACATGCCGTTCTTGCAGATTCAATATCAGCTTGATCCTGCACATTCTTCTTGCGCGATCAGTCGCTATAATGGGATCTTCTTACAATGGGCTCCTCCAAGGTAGAATCTCCATCATCTCCGTCGTGGCCAGTGTTCTTGCTTTGGTATGATGACGCACTTCTGGCAAACCAATCAGTGGTATAGCTTACCAGACTCACTACAGGAGTTCTTCATGTCATCTACAAAGTTGTATACAACCTCTACTTTCATCCACTCGCAAAATTTCCTGGCCCTTTCCTGGCAAAGATATCCGATGCCTACTTTGCAAGAATCAGGCAAGCTATGTTGACCTTTATTCGCCAATGTGCGACTGATCCTCCTTTTCAGCACTTCTGGGCGTCTCGCAGATGAGCTTGAAAGGCTGCACGAAAAGTATGGCAGTGTCTTGAGATATGCACCGAATGAATTGTTGGTCATCCTCGCCTCTGTTGGATGTTGGGCTCACAATCAGTGAGTAGGGACTTTGCCACGCCCCAAAGCTACCAGGACATCCATGGAGCCCCCAAAAAGGGCAGCCCGATCTTCATCAAGAGCAAATCCTACGACACTGGGCCCGAGTCTCACTCGAGTATCGTCCAAGCAAGAGACCCCGCCATACATCGCGAAGTGCGGAGGATGTTGTCAAATGCGTTCAGCGCGAAAGCTCTCAGAACGCAAGAAGACGTGGTGATCCACTATGTCCATCTTCTCATGGACCAAATTAAGCAGCGGAGCAGCAGGAACGAACCTCTCAATATGCATGACGTGAGTTTGTCATACATGCCAGTCTTGTTATTGACGAGGTTGCTCACTTTGTCTAATTCTAGTGGTTCAATTGGCTGACCTTCGACATCATTGGAGACCTCGCTTTTGGGGAGTCTTTTGGGGCAGTCGAGTCCGGACAAGGTCACCCCTGGGTCGAGCTCGTCCTAGACAGCCTTCATGTGGGTGCTATAATCGATGCTTGCCGACGTCTCCCGATCCTCCTTCCGTTTGTGCCATTTTTGATCCCTGCCGGTCTCAAAGGCAAACGAGACGAACACTTTCGCTATTCATGGGACAAGGCTCGACGGCGCATGGAGAAGCAGAATGATCGAGAAGACTTCTTCTCCTCGCTACTCAGGGAGAAGGAGAAAGGACGAGAAATGACCAGAGATTTCATCGTAAGCCAGGCAGAAACCCTCGTGGTCGCCGGGTCCGAGACCTCGGCTACATTTCTGATAGGTAAGACAAGTGCCAATTTCTGTCCACAAAGCACATTTTCCTGGTCGATATCAGCCTAATATATTTCGCTATCGAGCTCAGGCGTCACTTTTTACCTCTTGGAGAACCCGGAGACACCTGAGCGTCTGAAAAGTGAGATTCGTCAAGCTTTCTCCGACGTCGAAGCCATCACGAGCGATACAACACAAAGGCTGCCATATCTCTCAGCCGTCATCGACGAGGGTCTGCGCATCTACCCGCCCGTGCCAACTGGAGTACCACGCGAGAGTCCCGGTGCCATGGTCGACGGTCACTGGGTTCCCAAAGGTGTTGTAGTCTCATGCTCAAACTGGGTCAACACGCACAATGCAGACAACTTTTTCGATGCAAAGGGGTTCCATCCTGAGCGCTGGCTGCCCGAAAATCACCCTTTTTATGACAAAAGGTATGGATCAGACGTGAAGGAGGCCTCCAGACCTTTCAACATAGGGACCAGAGCTTGCCTGGGCATCAATTTGGCTTACATGGAGATGAGGGTTGTTTTGGCCCGGCTAGTCTGGGAGTTTGACTGGGAGCTGGTCAACATAGATTTGGACTGGGAGAAGCAGAACAAACTGATCGTCATGTGGCAGAAGCCTGACATATGGGTGAAATATTACCCTGCGAAGAAGGCCTGAGGAGGAGGCAGGAGAGGGGTTGGTCATCTCTCTCATACTTGGGCTGGAAGGACAATATCACTAGAGAAGACAGCACATAGTTAGCCCTTTCCAGTCGGCTTGAGCAGGCAGAACTCCCGCTGAGGATACCAATCCAGACTCTGTTGCCGTCAGTACTCTGCAGCGAGCCATCGGTATTATGTACAGAACATATACAAAGTTCGGCGACATTACACCCTTGCCTAGACCTTTGACCAACCAAAGAAGGATTTTGGTCTGAGATCAAGGAGAGAGAGCATGGAACAAAACCTCAAATCAAGTAGCTACTTCTTCTCATCATTTAGCATACCATTGCACTCAAGTATTGTCAGACGGCGCTTGATGTTGGTATACATGAAATCTCGACCACGCCCACTCCTACGGCACATGGCCTTGAGGAATAGGACAGGCCTTAAAATCCAGCCTAACATCCACATGCTCAAGCATCTTCGGTACCAGTCTTGTCCGTCTCTAGATTTAAGATCTTGATCAAATTATGATGCTGCCAGTAGCTTCTGTACCTTTTCCCGAAAACGTAGAGAGGTACGCTGAGGAGACAGAATGCTCCCACAATGCCGGCAGTGATGTCGAAGATCTGCACAGGTCCCGCTGACATATACCAGTCAACAATCACGTCGGCGATTCTGGATGCGTTTTCCGTGGTCAGCAGGCGCCAAAAAAGTGAAAAAAAAAAAAAGGAAAAGTGTTGATGGCTGGCCCAGGGCGTACTCACCCGTATCCAACAAAGCTCCTAAAGACCATGGCCATGATGAAGATCTCGGTGCTGTAATTTCGGAAAGCTGCGAGAATGTATGTGTTGACCGAAATAGCAATCACGCCTAGGCCGAACGAATTGAGGCCCCAGCAAAAGCAGATGAGGTAGACGCTCTGCGCCTGGGTGATAGCGTGACCCTCGCCAATCATTCCCGCGATCGCGAAAGCGCTGCCCACGAACACCATGGGAAGATGGAATTCGGGTTCGAAGACGCCACGGTTGCGGCGGCTCATGGCCTTCGTGATTGGATCCGCGATGATTCCCATGATCAGGCAGGCCAACAGGGCGCCTATCATCGAACCCACGGAGGTATAGCCGATTTGGGCCGTGGTGTATAGGTAGGGTGGGCCGGCGAAGAAGATGGAAGCCATCACAGCGGTGGTGATCTGCCAACAGACTGAACTTCCGTAGGCGAAAACGGCCCACAGGGCGCTCAAATTGAGGAGAATGGCGGGACAAGCGATCACCATTTTGAGTATCGAATCTTGGACAAAGATGCCATTGTACACGGCCATCTGCTGCAGCCATGTCTTGGGCGGAGGAATGGTCGAAGCAGTGGTCGCGCTAGTCGTCGTACGACCAAGTTCGGCATTCTCGGCCTCGGCAACATCACGTTCGTCTTTGCCGTCTTCCTGTACTTTGATGTCGTTGTCTTTTCTCTGACGTCGCTGGTGTCGATGTTCCACGTAGCCCAATTTCTGCAGGTCCTCGTCTGAGCCGAGGACGTCAATCTCATAAATTGCGTCTCGCCTGTACACAGTTTCGGGCATGAAGAAGATGGCGGCAATGGTCTGAACGGCGAGCAATGGCATCAGGATGTGAAAGTTGTATTTCCAGCCGAGGTTTGTAGTGATGGGTCCTGCGATGATGGAGACCGCGACAGTGGCGGCTGTCCAGACCAAGATCACCAGTGCCATTAACGGCGCCCGTTCGTGCACAAAGAACAGATCGCCAACCGAAGACAAGACCAAGGATTCGTAGGCAGCAGACGCTATGCCCTGGATGACGCGTGCCGCAACAAGCTGGTTGTATCCTGTGGCACATTCGCCAATGATACAACCTATGAGTCCCAGAACAGACGAGAGCAGGTATACTGGACGCTTGCCACACTTTCTGGCCCAGGCAGAAATGAAGGGCCCGGTCGCGCCGGAGGCCAGTTGCATGTACCCTGAAAGCTTGCTGATGGCAGTCGGGGATTGCTTGAGATCCATTGAGATCCGAATCAGGCCAGGGCTGAGCATTCCTCCCTGTGGACGATGCACTTTGTGAGCGACCACCTTTCGAACAAAGCATGCAATACCAATCACACATGTCAGATACGTACAGCCACCGAAACAATAAACAAGGTGCCGAAGGCGATGATTGCGAATACGGCATATTTCTTGGGATTCGACCAGTTGAGAGGGTCGTTGGGATCTTCCGACGGTTGAGGCGCGAGAATGATGTTGTCATCCTTTCCACGCCCGTGTTTGAGAGGATTCGTGACGGCTTCAGAATGAGCAGCCCGTTGATCCAGAAGGACTGTACCAGCAACGTGGTGTTCTGCCTTGATCTCGAGAATTCCGAAGGCCATGATGAGGCCGGAGTAGCGGCCTTGGGATTGATGCACTCAAGAACATAAGTGATGGAGTCGGGGGGGAAGAAGTCTACCAGCTAGAACCACTCTAGTATAAATAGAGACGGAGTATTCCTCTCACCAGGACGTCCCACTATGTCCTGAAAGCATTCCACCAACCCAGGTACCCAAGTCAGCTCCCCGCTTCCCCAGCATTCGATCCCCACGGGTTTCTGGGATACCAATGGCAACATACTCTCAAAACGGCTGTTCCCATCCGAGTCTCGTTAAGGTTGCAAGGTTTACCCGAGAAAACTGGACCCTGTGGAACCCCCCCGGGCTCTTTTGGGGGCGGGGTTCCACCCCCGAACGTGAAATGCTGGGGACAAAAGGTCGCTCCGGACAAACTAAAACCTCGTTCAGGCTTCTCACAAGAAGGTCCGGTGGCTGAAGGGGCAAATAAATTTGCAAATTTGGGTGTTTCGAAGAGGGTTTAAAATGTAGCAAATGAACTGTGCAATTTTCGAGGGTATATGGATTCACCATCTAATAACGACAAGATGGTCCGGGATCCGCACCTAGTTAAACCTTGGGCAAGGCTCGGATCATCGACATGCAGCGAGAAACCTAGGGGTTGCACTGTCACCCGGAGTAGTTGGTAGCCCAGGCGACGACACGCAGGCGTTGGTGGATATAAAGTGAGCCATTATTGAGCGTGTTGGTCTGTGCCATTGCGCCGCGTGGCCGCCTTCAAGGTTCGCGTGGCCGCCTTCAAGTTCGCACAGAGGCCGTTATCTCAATGAATGACTGTCCGCGGCCGTAGTCGATTCGTGTTTCTGCGAGTACAGCCCCAATCTACCTCAGTGCTTGCACCCTTAGATCTCAGACTTTTCTGCATGCAGATTTTATGATGGTAGACGTCTCCAAGAATGTTTTCGCTAGAGATTCGTAGCAAAGCGAGATAGAGCTGCTCTATCCAGGCTCGTTCTCGGGACACAAGGTTTGAAAACCTGATCACTTGTCTGTTATCTCCACCCTCACAAAATGTTGCTTGAGTACAACTGGCGCAGAATTAGTGCGGCCGAGATAGAGGGCGCGTGTTACCCGGCAGATCCTGGCTCCAAGTGCAACGCTGCTGTAACTCGCTTTATATAGCTTCTTTAGCGCTCTCTCTACTGGCGCACAGTGTCTGCGAGCTGATTAATTGCTGCTCGAGGTAGAGTACACATTGAGGCGCTCACACTTGGTCTGCAAGATAGTTCAAGATGTTCCAGTGAGTTGATGTTACGCGTAGAAAGTAGGACGCTCGGGATGGGGATGGGAGACATTAAGAGGGATCGACGGACTTTTGCTCGTCTGCAGTTCTCACAAGACGACCGCATGAGAGCGGGGCTTAATGTCATTGTGCCATCGTTCGAGGGTGTGTTGGCGTCTCTGCTAAGCTCCATCCCGTTTCTCAAGAAAACTTAAGAGTGATGCATGTGCTGTACCGAAGTTCCCATGGGGCAGAATGATTCAAACTTTGAGAACGGAAGAGGCTCGTCGCCAAGAGATAGAAAATCTGCCCGCTTGACTTGCCCTGTTCGGACACCTCAGGCTGCAGAAGATGCCACCCAGATGCCACCCAGATGCCGCTCCAAGATATGCTTTCTATGTCAGAGCTGCTTAACCTCTGAGCTCGTCATTTGCTGCCGCCGGAGTACCCTATACTTGGGGGAGGCTGATGGCCAACTGTTCTCTACCTGGCGAGCTGGGTAGGTACTCTGATTAAAACAACAGGACAACATCTCCGTTGTCTATGTCTGTCTCTGTGCGTGCACAATGCGTACTCCTGCGTTGCAACCCTCTTGCCCTTGCCCTGCCTACATGTGTAGCATCCAGGTAGGTGAGTTGGGACGGGACGAGGGTCAACACAGTTGCAATTGCGGGGAAAATCCGACAGTGGGATAATATGGGCGTAAGGTTAGTCGTCATCATGTTGCTCACGGCTGATCTGCCTTCAGACATCATTCAACCTTCAGATCTCAAGGCAGAATCATTCATTTTGACGACTTCAACGGATGACGATGGAGACTGTGCCATGCAAAACGCACTGACTGATACTCATCTCCACGGGAACAAGAACAACAATCGACGTTAAAAATTGATAGATGCGGAAATGCAGGGACAGACATTTCATTGCTTATGGGCTCTGTTTCGACGCGAAATGGCACATCCCCATTGCGCTGCAGCCAACTCTTCTCCTTTAGAATCGACTTTTCGTTTCGTCAATGACACATCCTCTTCCTTGGGTTCCCTTTTCAACTCTCGTGGCATTTGACATGCCCGATTTGGAAGACACGACCTGCCGAATCGAGCTTCGGTCGATATTGGTTGGAACGACGAAAAGCCCTGGATCCAGAGAGGCTGTAGGAATAAACGATTTACAAGTGCTTCCGTATCGCTGCCTCGAGGGCGTTCTTGTTAGCACCGACGACCTCGTCGACCTTCTCGCCGTTCTTGAAGATCATGAAAGTAGGCATGGCGCGGACGCCGAGTTCCTGAGCGACGTCGGGGACTTCGTCGACGTCGACCTTGTAGAAATCAACTCTATCCTTGTATGCGTCCGACTCGGAGAACTTGGCGACTTCGGGGGCAATGACCTTGCAGGGACCGCACCAGGTGGCAAAGCAGTCGAGGACGACGAGCCTGTCGGCGGGGGCCTGCAAGATGGAGGTGTTGTAGGAGGATTTGCTGTGGATGGGGTTAACACCGTACTTTTTGGCAGGTTTGGGAGCACTTCCAGCTTGCTCCTCTCGCAGCTTGGCTTGGTGGTAGGCTACATACTCTGCAAGGTTGTGGACGACCATGTTGGACGATGACTGCGAAAACTGACTTGAACGTGTAGTTGACAAGGACCGCAACGAAGTTGTTCTGGTTCGGAGAGGGCTTTTGGGTGTGAGTAGGAGGCGCTGGAATTTGATGGAGGAGGAACGGATTGAGGCGGCCAGCGTGAAGGTTATATAGAGGTGAGAATTGCGCAACGACAAGGTTGTGAGGCTGAAGCGATCTAGACTAGGAGGGGTGGACGGTTGGATGGACGGCACCACTGCAGTTGATGGGTGAATGAGATAAGGGGGGTAAACGGATGGTGGGTGGTGGAAAGACAAAGACTGAGTGAAAAGATGACGCGATTAGAAATCCAGCCGAACAAGTTGCTGCAGCTCCGTCAGTATTTGAATTTGCGAGGTCCCCGAGTACAGTACTAACAGTAGTACTAACAGTAGTACTAACAGTAGTACTAACAGTAGTACTAATAGTAGTCGGAGCCACCCAGAGCAGCGAGTTTCCCGCAGGCACGAGAAATGAAAGGGGAGAGTGGATGAACGGAGGGGGTGGATGACAATTCCATGTTGACGTCATCTTCTCCTCCACGTGATATGATGACAATACGCCAGTCACCCACCAGCATGAGAGCATGACAACTTGAACATTTACCTAGCACCCACTACCTAGGATTTAGGTACCACCTACCAACTACAGGCCACCGTTGGGTGACCGTAAACCTGACGGAGCATTAGTTAATCCGCATTCCGTATATAGCGTATAGCGGGTTAGCTATCAATTCCGACTTGTTTCCTGCTTCGGAGTAATTGCCTGATTGTCCGCTCCTGGCTCCATCTGGTGCCTTTTTCTCCTTCACAAGACCTCTCGCTGTGTACCTTGTACAGGTGTCCATGTAGACCGAGTACAAAAACTGCCAAAGATGCCAAAGTTGCCAAATCGGCCAGGATTCGGCTCCATCGTGGGTGCCCACCACTGACAACCTCTTCGCAAATGAATTGCTTCATTCAGCTATATACCCCCCTGGCCCTAAAACTAGACTCTCTCCTCCCGCTAATTGTGCTTCAATTCAAAATCCATCACAGAAAGGGCAAGTGCCTTGTGTCCCCCAATGTAGTAAAAGAAACTCAATCTTAAAAGAGCGATCTGGGGTATCAATATTTTGCATCATGAATGTCGTAGGAGTGATCTGGCCAACCGTCCCGACGGCTGTCCCCGCGCTGACAATGGGCCCTTTGCTTCTGCGGGCTGAACATAGAAAATGGACATAGGAAAAATGGATTGTCGTCGGTGGCCTCGGCACAGCCTTGTCACTCGGTCGGTGGTACGATGGGCTGCTGTTCCCGCTGGGCTGGTGGGACAATTTGAGGAAGGCTGCCACTTCGTGGAGCGCTTTCCGACTGTGTCGAAGATCGCCGAATGTCCAGCAGCCGCGCGCTGCCGGCACTGATATGCTTCGCGTGGCCTTTGTAGTCCACACTTCTGGCGCGTAGGAGCGTGGTTTCTTGTAGATCCGTTCCAGCGGGTTCGCCTTCTACAAGTTCACCCTCATCCTCCACATCCGTGCTAGCTCTTCGAGATGCGCCCAAGTCGTCCTTGCCCGTCTCCTTCAACAGCCCTTCCTTCGAACGTGCTCGATGAGGCTGCCGAATCACGGTAGCTTGTCGCGCGACCCCAGCGTGCCATTTCTCATCTTCACCTTGAGCTGCTGAGGTTTGAGGGAGATCGGGAACGGGGCTTTGCTGGCGTTCCCGCTCTAGATCGATGACGTTACTACTTGCTCTGCGCCCCGCCGAAGCGGCCGAATCCCGCCGCCCACTTGGCCCCGGGGACAGCTTGTTTAGGTATTCGTCGTTTGCGAGGTCATCGTCCTCTGGTTCGAAAGAACCAGGAATGGATTGGGGTGGGATTGAGGACTGGCTTTGTCGAAGCGGGTGACTCATGCCACCTGAAAGCCTCTTGGGAGGCTTGCCTGACAACCAAGATCCTTCCGAGTCAACTGACGCCAGTGACTGGGACATGCCATGCCCTGAGGTGGTCCCGCCCATCTCAATGTCAACACCTTGAGGGTGGCGACCTTCAGTTGCCCCGCGATCCAACGCTGCATTACTCGAACTGGTGGCAAGACTCCGATTGTCCAAAGTTCCCGACAGTGAGTGTCGTGGTTGTCGAGATGCCTGGCCGGCTTGCGGGCTAGTCATCACTTCCGGAGACTGAACACGAGAATCTGGAGGGGAGATGGGAAGTTCAGGCAGATCTTCACGGAATTTGGACATGGTTCTTTGCGGAACCGAAGAGGAGTCAGATCTTCGAAATGTTCGCGGGACCATCACAGGTGGGGGCTGTTGCTTTCGAGCAGCAAACGACTCGCGTGACGTGTTCGAGAACTCGGACGGCGTGCTTCGACCACGCTCAACGTTACTGGCTTTCCGTCTCCCTCCACGCCTGAAAAAGCTGGTCCAAGAGCTGAGCTGTTGGTTGCTCTGGTCCGAAGCGCGTCGATCAAGCGATCCATATTCTGGAATGTCCGGTGTGATTTCACGGGCAAGCCCGCTCGTTTGAGAGAGGCTTTGGCGGTCAACAGGCCCTTGGGCTGGAGAAATGGGAGGGGAGATTGTCACTGCCTGAGATGCTTTCTCCTCCGTCCTAACCTGAGCCGCAGGAACCGTTCGGAGAGGCGATCTGACTGGCACCGGTGGTCCTTCTTCCTCTTCATCCCCCTCATGCAGGAATGATTCTTGTGTGGGGTCGATATCTTTCTCGTCTTCAAACGGGTTTCTAATGTGTTGGACCGGCATAGCCTGCGAGCTTCCCGGATCAGCAAATGGGTTAGTCGCTTGGTGTTCAGGACTTGGGGGCCTCCGTGCAACAGCGGTGTGCGATGATTCTCCAACATTGCCGAACAGCGCTCGACCTCTTCTTTCAGTGTCTTGACCTGGGACAGTCAGGTCACCTGAGGCGTCATTAGCTCGGCGTCCACGCATTTCCTCCTCGCGTTGCCTATCGGCCTTGCGCTGGAGCTTTCTCTCCAACCGAGCACGGTCAGCCTCCTTTTTCCTTTCCTTGCGTCTTCGATCTCTCTCCATCAACTCTCTCAATCCTCCTGCGTCGAGCTCGTCTGCTAGCTCGTTTATCCTTTTCTTCGACGAAGGGTCCTCCTCTTCTATAGCTTGCTGGACTGAAGGCTTCACTCTTGCAGGTTGCTTTCCAGCTGAAGGCCGAGGGCTCGCCACGTATGTAAGCGTGGGCCTGGGGCTCAATGCTGCTAGGATCCCAATCTTAAAGGAAGCTTGGTTAGAAAGATCCTCAGACTCTTGTATTGTTTCCGGTAACGGCAGAGACACTTCTGACGTCGGTCGTTGCAGTCTTCTGTTGAGATCGCCCGGAATCTGTTTGGTGTCTCGCCGAAGTGGTCCAGATCCGGAATACGTGGAGGGCCGCTTCAAAATCTGGATCGGCGAGCTCATGGCGCGCACCTCCCTCTCACGAGCATAGTCCTCAGCCTTTCTCTTACTTGACTTTCTCCGATGGAGTGTCGGGTCGTAGCCTGGACGCTTAGCCAGCAGCGTGGGAGCCTGCGGCAGTGCCGTGAATTCTTCAGGGCCGATGCTTGTCTGTGACATTGGATTGTGTGAATAGATATCAGTACTCTGAAAGCCCCCGTACGAGCCCTTTTTGTAGCCGAGTGACTCCGGTCCGGGCACGCTCATGGGTAAGGTTGAGGCACGGGGGACATTTTCGGGGTGAGAAGGAAGCCGCTGTTTTGAAAGCCTTCGAGGCTTCTCGTCTTGACCGCGTTGACTCGCTGTCCGGCCCATGGTCACAAATTCTTGGGAAGAGCTTGTGTTTCTTCTGGCGCGAAGATCTGTCCGTGTTTTCTCCAGTAGGGAGTTTCGCCCTTGGTCTTCGGCTTGGGTCGCTCGGCCTTTTTTGCCTCCACCAAATGGCCAAAAGCCCATGCTGAGCCCAGCGGTAGCAGATCAGATGGCTGCTGGAAGGGAGCGGCTCGGTCAAGGGACGTGGCTGAGTCGAGGCGGAGGTTCGCAGACCCTGATTAGAGACATCAACGACGACCGGACTGGCGAACAAAGACGAATTCAATGTAGGTATAAGGAGGAAGGCAAAGTAGACTGCCCGTGGCACAGGCGATTCCGGAAATGCGATGTTGTTATTTCGACTTGGTTGTCATAGGGGCGGCGGCGCCACGCGGTCGCGGTTGCAATGTTTTATTTTCCTCGACGACGGGGCAGTCTGGTGGATTCTGAGCACGTTGAGAAGGCAGAATGACGGTTCGTATTGTGGAAACGCGAGGATTCGAAGGCAGGATGCGGGCGTAGTTCGCAGAGCGGAAATAGAGAGCCCTTTGTGCAGGGGCAGCTTTGGAATGAGCGTGACTTGCACAATGGACGCCACCCAGACAGAAAACGTGGTAGAGGAACGAAGCAAGGCAACTGGGCCGCAGGGTGCTCTGCTGGTCTGGAGGATGGCGAATGGCCTCAGAGCAGCACAGAGGTGTCAGTAGTAGTAGTGACGAATGGTGACGATGATGTCGAACGATGAGCGAGTGGCGGACGCGGCAGCAGCACGCAGTAGGGGACCGACCTGCTTAGGGGCATGCAGGTGCTAAAAAGAAAAACAGCTGGAGGCGAGGAGCAAGTTAGAAATGGCAGTTTAGGCTACGGACTACTAGGTATTTAGTCTCGCAGGCGGGCAGGCCCTGGTGCCAAGTGAACGTTTGGCCAGTGTGCAACTGAGAACTGTTAGGCGATCGATGCAGGCTGGGGTGGAGCTCCATGATGCCCATGGCCCCCGTGGCGCCCATGGCAGTCCCGAAGCCCACAATAAGCCCATCCATCCTTTAACCAACTGCTGCACCGTTACAGGGAGGCAACCCGGAGAGGGGTATTGTGTTCTCTCACAGGCACCCACCCGCCTTTGAACAAGCCACCTGCTTGCCCTACACCTCCTCCACGCCTCTAGAGTCAAGACTCAAGACCCCATCCATCACCTGCCAGGTAAAGACCTGCACTGGAGCCACTATTACTGGTGATCCTCTACGCTTCAAGAACCTAGTCTTCCATCACTGAGTGATCCGTCAGAAATCGGCGCAGATCACGCGTGCGAAAGCTCTTCCATCACAGCTCTTGTTGTTCCAAGCAGGTCCATCAGAGATCAGCGTAGTCTGCACAAATGGCATCACAACAGATCTGGCAGCTCGCATTGGTCAACCACCATGATTCGGGGGATATTACTCCAATCATTCGTGGCCGCATGTGCCGACCAGTGCCAGGGCTCGAAGGCGCTTTTCTCATACAACTGATCTCCTTTCTCTCACGCTTTGATTCAGGCTAACTCGACGTCAGGACCGAGGATTCGATGGTCTCTAGACCGTGCCGAACCTTGACCTTGGTATGCCAGATTGCCCTTAAGAATCCGATGCGTCGTCATCTAAAATTCATGCCTTTTGGCCAGAATACGAGGTCTCTGTTCTCCCCCGTGGCAAGGGTGTACGAGCCGGGAAGGCGACAGGAAGTCAGCGAACGTCTTGCTGACATGCAAGGAACACGGCAGACGTTAAGGCACAGGTACAACCGTCATCCGGAAGCGTACGAAGCCATGCCACGAGTCACAGCCGTTATTCCTGTCAGCGTCTCCGTGCAGCGAGAAGAGCCCCCGAGAATGCTGTGAGAGCGCGGGGCAGGAGAAAGCCACAGCGGGCAAATCACGAGCCTGCTCAGCACAACAAGTCTTCAATCGCACTGCGCCCGTGGTGCCTCTCCAAGCCGTGAACAATAATGAGTCGGTCCCAGTTGTTGGCCCAACCTTTGCGAATGGTTGTTTGCCAGCTTGCAAGACTTGTTTCCAGTTTTGATGACGTTTCCCAGATGTGGTTGGTGCGTGGAAATGTTGCTTTCTTCCCTGCTTTCCGTTCCTGGCCAACGACAACGGACTTTGATGGCTCGAAAGGACCGTCCAGGTACCCGAGCCAAGTCTCTTTTCCAAGTCAAAGCGACCTCCAATCCCTGACCAGCGGACTATGGCTAGCTGATAGCCGGCTCATGGATGCGGCGTGGATGGCTGGTTCCTGCATCTGATCGCTTCCTTTCCAAGCGCATGTCTCAGACTCGACAACCCTGTTTCGAGACAGCGGATGATCTATTTCGGATATTCTGACCAGTAATCGCTACCAGTTGCAGTCCTTGCCGGCCCATACCTGCACGGCGCACACGTCCAACGCCTTGAAATCATGCGATATTGATGCATCGTATTTGAAGACAAGGCCGGAAATTCAGCGAGAACGAGGAAGCAACTGGCAGAACAGGAGTTAGAATCCGGACGTGGAGCGACCTGGGGTGGTCTTCTCCGTGCTAGCTAGCGGCTGTGGCGCCTCGCCGTCGGAGTATTTTCAGCCGCCAGTGGCGTCGCTCTTGTTCCCTGTCGGCAATCTCTCGATCGGCGAGTCAAGTTGCAGGACTTCGAAAGCGATGCATCCCCGGTGGCAGGTCACTCTACGACTACAGCCATGCTGTGTGGAGAAGCGAGTGTCCGACGTTGTGTGGCAATTTCACTCATGAAAGCACCTGTGGCCCAAAGAATTCGGCGTCGACGCTTTCATGTAAACAATTAATCTCCATGTGGAAACGGAACATCATCCGAGTACTCGGTACAGATATATACTCGTATTACTTGTACTCGTAGATGGAGACTCCGGTAAATGTTGCCGAGATGAGGACGCTACGGCGGCCTCATCTTACCTTTTCTACGCTCCACTCTGTTCTCATAACCTGGCCCTATCCTCGAAAACTTGGTCGACCAATTTCACGGCTGCTTGGGAGCAACCATACGATGACTGGTACCCGGCGCCTGCACAGCATTAGCAAAAAGATTGTATGCGTTCGAAAGTTGAACCGAAATCGAAAAGAGTTGGCCACATTATGGAGACAGGCAAGGAATGGTCCTGTCGAGGGGACTGCCTTCGGCTGAAGTAGGTCAAAGGAAGGGGAAAAGGACATGGTCGTTACTTACCGCCTGCACCATAGTTGTGCACTGTCCAGACACCCTTGATTTTCTCCTTCTCAATTCTAGTTCCTCCTTCCCGCACGGGTCTGAGGCCGACGCCGTGTCGAATTATATCAAGGTGCTCGATGCCCTTGCCTCCAGTCAGCTCGGGGCAGATGGCGACGCATCGCTTCATGATCCTGACTGCGAGATTCGGGTCGGGCTGCGATTCCCAGCTTCCTTTTTGATAACAACCACCCAAGATCGTCCCACCACCAGCAGCCCTAGTCATGATGTAGCAGGCTTCATCTGGGCTGTCATCTGTTCCAGACGTCGCATACATTGCGGGTGCCGGGTTCCTGACAACGACAATTTGACCTCGAGCAGGGACAACCAACTTGTCTTCAACGCCGCCGATTTTCGCCGCCGAAAGTCCGGTACAGTTGACCACAAGGTCTGCGGGGCGTCCTGAATGATGGACGCCAGGGGCGGCGGCGTCTGCAATGTGTTTGAACACCGCCCGCTTGAGAATGGCTCCATTCTTCAGACATTGAGATACGAGCCAGGGCAGGTATATTGCAGTGTTAATACAGACTGATGTGAAGCTGTTGGCGTTATCGATCTCGGCCGGGAGCTCTGACTTTGGGATTTGGCGAAACTGCCAAAGCCAAGCGTGAGCATCTTGATCTAAGGCCAAGGGGAAGTGTACATGTCACAGCGACTCACATCGTCGAAAAGGGTGCTGAACCATGGATTGGGACTGACAAGCTCAGCAAACCACGCAGCTGTGGCTGAGGAGACGTCCTTTTTACGGTTGTAGATTTCAGTCCTTTGGAAGTGAATACCCGCCTCGGGGTGGTTCTTTGCCAAGTCAAAAAGAGGCTGCCAGGTGTTTCTATCCCAGTCTTCCGCTGGTGTCCCCTTTACCGACACCCTTTTGTCTCACGTTTCAGTGGAAATGTCACGGTTTTACAAGGACGGAAAGTTTGGACTCACGGCATATAGTTTGCGCCAGCCCAGGGCGAGGCATATTCAATGTCATAGTCTCCTGGCATATGCTTTGCAGCAATGGTGACCTTGTATCGCGGATTCTGGGACAGCAGGAGAGCCGTGGTCAAACCAGCAACACCGGCTCTGCATGAGTGTTAGGCCGCATACACACTGAAAAGGTTGAGTCACCTGTGCCTACCCTACCACGACAATGTTTTTCTCAGTCATTGTGAGTGGTCAGAAGCGAGAGTGAATTAGTTTTGGGAATGGGAAGGCAGGCAGAAGGGCCCGGTGGTTCGGATCGTATTGTTTGGACGCCTGGTCAATAGGATGAGTCGAGAATACGCCGATTCTGCCGCACTATTCCAGCCGCGACAATAAGGTAAACAATATGATGGATGAGGACTCCCAGTGAAGAAGATTTCCCTGTCCTGCGGCTCGGCGTGCTCTTTAATACCGTGCCATCTCTCACTCAGACTCCCAAGAACCGCAAAAACTACCTAGGCACTTCTAGCTTACTCACAGGGCGTCGTCCGACCTTCAGAAGCAGAAAAAAAGGTACGAAGAACGCAGCATCGGGCAGCTTGACACCCCACCGATCTCTCAGGCACAGGTTCCGTCATCTTTGTCACGATAACCAGGTCCTTATCAGCTTGGTGTCAGTCGGCCTCCTTGCTTAGCCCCTCCTTCCATTCCGCCTATCGCAAGGCAGCTTGCCCCCCCGAAGACAGGCGCCCCTTTACCCGCTTGGGCAGCTTAGGCGGCGGTCATTGCCAGTTCAGAAGGTAAGCCGCAGCCAAGCAGCGTGGTGTTACTGGTGTTTTGCGTGGCACTCCGTCCAGCGTGGCCCCTCTCCCAAGCCCAGGAGCCCAAAGTTGCGTCTTTTGGGGCAATTGGGAAAGACGGCCTTTCATCCCCCTAGTTACTGCTGCTTTGACGTGGTTTCTGCAATCATCAGGAAGCCCCTGCAGGCGACCACCCTGTCTATTATTTCAACTCTGCCTCTTTTTGCAGGCCCCTGTCATGTCGTTGTGATCGTCCAACACCTCTTCTTCATCGCTTTTATCCCTTCCAAATGCTTGGGTCAATGGATCTGGTTCGACCATGGCTGACCATGCATCCACGCAGCTTCCCAGCATGGTTCGAAAGCCCAAGGCTGTATGGCCCGGTCTGGACAAGATGGGTATGTACCAGAAGCAGATAGCAGGCGACGGTAAGTGACCCTCTCTTCCTCTCTCTTGGCCAATATCAGTCTGACTCGATCCCAGGCAATTGTCTGTTTGCATCGCTTTCTGACCAACTTTACGGCACGCCGGCAAACCACCCCGAGATACGTGCAAGCGTCGTTGACCACATGCGAACCTATCGGCCGCTTTTCGAACACTACGTCCACAAGGACGACGTGCAACAACGACGCACTCTCCGCTCTGCCACATTGGCTTCCCGTCAGGAGCCAGAAGACGCGTTTGAGGAATATTTGTCTCTTATGTCACGTAGCGGGACCTATGGTGGAGAACCTGAGTTGGTAGCCTTCTGCCAGGTCTTCGATCAGGATGTCACAGTGCACCTCCCACGCATCAAGAACTTTGACAGAGATTCGATCCTTTACACAAACGAGCACCGAGGGGACCCGGCTACTGTGCTGCCGCTTCACATTTGCTACGGCGGAGACGAGGTCACGCGAGCACACTACGACTCAGCCCGGAGCAGAGATGGCTCCACCCCAGGGCACAAGAACAGCCCTCTCCTCAGACCTCAAGACGCCGCTCGCAATGGCCTTGTTGGTTCTCCATCTTCGCCACATCTCCTCCTCAGTACTAGAGCGATCCGGAGCAGCAAGTCAGAACTATCCTCCGAGTTCATCCAGGACTTCCTGGAGAAGAGCAAGAGAGACATGGAGAACAATCTGGACCAGCTCAGCGACAAATATCGCGCCCGTAGTCCTTCTGTCACCTCGTCTCAACGCAGCTCGAGCTCAAAGAGATCACTGGACGAGGATGGAGAACCTGTTCGGGCAAGCAAAAGAACAGATAGACGAAAAAGCACGAGGCGACGTGCCGATATGGCTATTGCAATCTGTGAACCAGATCATGAACCCTCTCCGCCAATGCCAAATGACTCGCCGAGTGCAGCTTCACCACCAAGCACGCAAGACACGGACCTATCCTCGGACACCCCCGCTCAAGAGAATACACATCCTAAGATCAACGCCCATCGCCTTGTACCTGATGAAAAGGGCACTAGTCTTGAGACTGTCGCCGACCTTACGAAGCCTTCGCCAAAGACTCAGCCTCGCATCTCAGTCAGTCTGGTCACCAACACAGCGGCCGGTGCATCAGAGTCGACTAGCTCAAGATTGATGTCGGTTGCCGAGAGGCCTAAACCAACGCTGCGAGCATAGGGTTTCTACCGGAGTACAGGTTGAGGTTACTTGTCCAACATTCTTGGTGAGGTGTTCTGCATAGCACGGGTTTGCACGTTTTGATACCCCAGCATAGCATAGCATAGCGTCGGCGGCACAGGGCAGATTACAAAAGATTTCGGTCAGGAAATGGGCCCTTCTTAGAGACCAGACCATGCTTGGGATCCCAAATGATTTATGATGAACCGGTCTTGCAGTAGTAGAAATAATCATCGGTCAAGGCCATGGAGTAACGGAAAGCAGCTCATTGGATCTTTTCTACCAGTCCTCAACTGGTCCCGCCTACAATTTCACAGGCACAAGCGGGTAAACGGGCTACTGCATGAACAAATAAGTAATTGAATCCAAGCTTCTCACTCCATATGGGATCGTGTTGATTACGGACCACCGCTGGCCGTTTGAATGCTTTCGATTGGGTTTGGTTGCTTGGCATACGTGTGGGTTGCCAGCTTCGCCGTCCTCGACAGCAGCTCGGCAGCTTCCCCTTTGTTGTGTTCTGCCTGCGCTGCGCAGTTACTCTAGTAGATTCTGCTACCCATATTATTCCTTCTACATCCTCCTTGAGCATCCATCCTCCGACAATCTACAGTACCGGCCCCATTTTCTACAACTGTCCCTTCGAGCGCGTCCGCTCACCAACTACGTCGCCCCAAACCTGCCACGGTCGAGCCTCACTAGCCCTGTTCAAGTTGCGCTTGAGCCATCATCATGGACTTTTCCAACATCTTGTACGTTTCGAGTCCGCAGCGCGTTTATGCCATGCACGCTGCTGGTTGGGTGTCATGTCCTCGCGCTGATTGCAGACTGTAGCCGGCTGGTTAATCTGGTCGTGGGAGCGATTATGGTTTTGGGAGGTATGAAACGAGTCCAATCCCATCAGAGGCGCAGCGGTCAAGCACTCGTACTAAGAATGCCACAGGAATTAGCCAGTTCTTCCCAGTTGGATTGTCAGTTCTGTCCTCCTGTTAGCGGTCTGCGCGGATGCTAAATCTATGACAGTCGAAGTATCATCGTGGGCATCTATGTGATCATCTTTGGGCTGGGTATGAAAATGACCTCTTCCCAATCATGCTCACGGAACACTGACTGGATATGCAGCTGTTGCCGGACTCGAACTGTTGCCACAAGTCCCACCGTATCTCCCCAAATACGCCAGCTTTCTGTTTTCCTTCCTCGGTCGCGGCATCTGTCAGTCCTCCTAACGATCCGTTCTACTAGACATCCTAACATGACGCAGTCTACATCTTCGTTGGTTGCATCATCCTCGAGGGACACGTTTTGCGAATTATTGCTGGCGTCATTGTAGCTGCCACCGGCGTCGGTTACTGCGCGCTAGAATTTGCGCCCTCGATTGAGCCACCGTCCAACATGCGTGACGCGGATGCTGGCTGGGGCGCTGAACAGGTCTAAGACTGCCTATGCGCAGATGGTCGATTGGGAAACAACTATCGCCTTGGTTGATAACATAATTTTGGTCGAGTTCTGGTCTGGTCGACTGGCAGGTAGGAGGTGACGCCAAGTGAACAACCTTCGGCAGATTGCGAGTGCGAGCACAAAAGCCCAAGTCATCAGAAAGGTTGCGGAGGGAGCAAAACAGGGGAGCGCAAATGAGGCTGGTACGAACATATGATCGGGCATTTATAGCGGTGTATTCATCGTCCAGCTGTTGGAGGTACTGGAAGCTCTCCAAGCTCTGACATACTACGAGTAGCGGCATTGAGGATAAGCAGAGCCAGTCTCTGATACGAAAGTCCAATTTGACGAGGATGGCAATCTGAGATTTAGCTGTGAGTATTAATATCCTTTGGATTGGCAACATTGTCGTCTTCATAATGTTTCATGTACTACTTCAAGTTTCGAACACGTTACAGTGCCCATTGCGGTCTACCTACACAATCTCATAGACAACCACTCTCGGTAGGGGCTAGCAATCTATCAAGTAAGCTGCTGCTCCCTTTTGTCTATACTACCTTTGATCAACGGCGTGTTATTTGCCCAACATCCCGAACGAAGCCTCCTGATCTTCAGCATAGGCTGGGCTGCAGAACTTGATATCTCCAAGAATCCTTCCGTCGACGAAGATGTCGAGTCGATTCTTGCATCTCGACGAACTCGGCTCTTCTGTAGTCTATCGAAGGCCTTGTTTGCAATGTAACCACGACATCTACCTCCTACTGTCAAATACCTTGCTGGTTTCGAGGCTCCAACTCGCATTCCGTTCTGAGTCCATGCACAACCTTTCTGCCCTGACAGCAATTTTACTGGAAGTCACTCGTATAGCGGCGGCTCATCAAGTCAACGAAGTCCACTACCTAGTTAGGGAGGAATACCGCGACTTGAGAGGCGTGTGCAGCTACGCAGCCACTTTCGAAATGTCGAGCGTGGTCTCGGCCCAGGTGGTGTTGATGTCTGTTGCCTGGCTCTTCGTCCTGCCAGTATGCACGGCGCCTACAACAAGGCCGAGAGAGCACAGGCGACGATTGACCTTGCTAGACGTCATGTTCATGAGTACAAGATCTCATCTCGGAGTTGATGAACACTGCACCCTCACAAAGGAGTCATCTTTCCAAAATTTGACCCCGTCAACTTCCCCGCAGTCCGTTCAAGAGAAGGGCCTTGGAAGCGCTCCCAGCAGATTCTGAGGTTCAAGAGTCAGACCACAAATACTCCGTGTTGTTAAGAGATAATCGGAGAGTGCTTGGTCGCGTGGATACTCGCTCGTGGCCCACTGCGCAGAGACACCCCAGACGTGCAGTCTTCAAGTAGACTTCGACTGCTCTTCTCAGGGAATTCTTGAGGGGGCATTCCGGCATTCTATAGACAAGAGAACCTCGGCGTGTGAGCACTGTGCACAGAAATGGAGGCCATGAGCAAGTCATGACACTAGTATAGAACAGGCTAGTCACAACCGAGCCTCCTCCAGAATCGAATTCCCCAAGCGAGGCCAGCGAGGCCAGCGAGGCTAGGACTAAAGTACCTAGGTACCATCCCGGCCAGTTCGGTGGTGGGTGAGTGTCAGTGACAAATACACGTGACCCAAGGCACGACAATCTCAGCCAATCACAAGACAGGTGTTTAATATTACGCCCGCAGGATACGTGGACTGCATGTCGCGCCTCACGAATTCCTCCTCGACTCCATCTGTGCCGTCACTCCCTCCATCTCAGAGGCTGCCTTGGGTTCCTGGGATATTGCTTGACATGCAGTGCCTAAATCCAGCTTCTCGACTTTCCATCAAACCGCCCATTCTCCTATAATCCACCTTGCCGACTTCCCTCGCCCTCACCTGTAAAAGACCCTTCGATAGTGCGTCGCAACGCCTGCCACCTGAATCACTCTCCTCTTCAGCGCTCTTCGCCATACCGACATCACTTTCACGGTTGCCTACGTTCGTTCTAGTTGGGACGCTTCTCTTGCATCTCATAAGCCGACGCTAGAACTGGGTGATTCATTCCGCCTCGATTCTCCCCAGTATCTCCATCCTTGTTGATTTGCAACGTCTACTGCACCCGTTCGCTTCTTTGCCGCTCTTCTTTGGATGGCGCCTGCCTTCAGCTAACAAGACGCCCAAAAGTTGGATCGGCATGTTGGCTGTACGCGGTGCTATGGACCCTTTGCGCCGTCGCACTTCCTTTAGGTCTGAGCGGCAAAATCTGATGCGTCAACCCTCTGCTGAAGACCTGGATGCGGCCCATCAGCTTGTGTCGTCCGCACTTGGTGAGCGCCACGGTCCCCATCTGACCCGTGAAAATAATGCGGGTGATGTTGCCTACGACCACCACCCCCTGGGCCAAGCCAGTCGCAGAACAGAAGCCTCTGAACCACCACTATCAGGGTCCACTGAACATGCTGAGCAGAGAGGAGATACTCCGGCTCTGGGTCAAGTCTGCAGGTATGTAATCTCCACGAACACACCGACCCCGTCGTCCCCGCCTGCCTCAGCTCCGGGGGTGGTCTTGTCACTAATTATCGCTGCAGCAATTGCGGGACGACCAAGACCCCTTTATGGCGACGGTCTCCCACCGGGCACACCATTTGTAATGCTTGTGGGCTTTACCTCAAAACGCGAAACGCTCCACGGCCTACAAACTTCAAGCGCCCAAACTCAGCCGCTCCTCCTGAAAGTCCACGCCAGAGGACCACAACATCCCCGACCGCTTCAGTGGTGTCAGCATCGGCGCAAAGTCAGCCCTCGGCTATCCCCTACCGAGTTCCAGAGCACACGAGTGGTTCGTGCCCAGGTAGAGGAGAATGTAACGGAGAAGGCGGGGCTGAAGGCTGTGGGGGATGCCCTGCGTACAACAACAGAGTCGCTCGAACCGCCAACACTTCGGCTATGGCCAACTTAACGGTCGACGACGGCAACGACTCCCAGAGTGAGGCTGGTCTGAGAACTAGCCCAAATGCATCAAGCCTTGCCACTCAGCAACAGGCGTCTCCCGGAAATACGACCTTGCTCGTTGCGTGCAAGAACTGTGGAACAACAGTAACCCCTCTATGGCGACGTGATGAGCAAGGCCGTCCTATCTGCAATGCGTGCGGCTTGTACCACAAATTACATGGGTCGCATCGGCCGGTACAAATGAAGAAGTCGACGATCAAGAGGCGGAAAAGGGTCGTTCCAGCATACCCAGACGTTATCAAACCCGGTGTCACTACTTCACAACAGCAACAGTCTGTTTCGCCAGAACCAAGTCGGCCGGCAAGTTCCAGAGAGCCAATCCTTGTCGACAATCCGCCGTGGCCAAAGAGGAAACGGGACCCTCCAACGGTAGATTACACCGGATACGTGCCTCAAACACACGTGGATGAAGCCCGGAGCACCACGCAAGACACAAACGAAGACTATGCCACTCGACTTCAACGTGCAGCGGCGGCAGCAGGAGGTATGCAACTCGACCCCGCACTAGTAGACGCCGGTCGTAGCCGTCAGGAACACGATGGTACAGCGCCGCAGGAATCTGAAGATAATATGAACGTTACGAACGAGCAGGATCGCGCCGCCTGGAGAGCAGAAAGAAGGGCGCAGCTTATGCGTGAAGCAGAAGTTATGAGGGCGGCGCTACGTGCAAAAGAACGTGAGATCGACGATCTCACTTGACGTCGGAGGATCTACAGAGTTGCAGATCCATGCGGCTTGTTGGGTTTCTTGTCCATAGAATCTGCATGCGGACATTGTTGGGGAAACATCAACATACTGAAATGATTTAACGAAAGCATGTAATGCACAGCACGGCGCTGGAGGAAAATTCAGCGGATTGTTGAAGGCACGCAGGAAGAAAGCCACATTAGGCGGTACACAAGTACCTTGGTATGCAGCCATTGTGTCCGCCCAGTGATCCGGCCTTCAGCACCCAGCGCCTACCAAGGTAGCTATCTATTCCCGCTTCGTGGCCCAGGACGCCTTGGGGTCGGAAATCCACTTGGCGTAGCACAAAGCGTGGATATGGTCGTGCCGGGGTTGGAGAGACGCACTTTGTAGGATCAAAACGTACCTCTGCCCACTCTACCTCGCCCATCTATGGACTCGTGGACAGTTCATATCCTTTCTATCAGAGCCTTGCACCATCGCCCCCCTTCACAACTTACTAGCTCTGGCTCTCTTTTCTTTCCCCTTCTTCCATCCCCTTCTAATAAGCCCATTCAGACGTGAAGAGCGCTTTGCGATCCCGGCGTGTCGGGGGCAGAATGGGAAAACCTTACCCTTTGCTACCCTCTCTTTGACCACCACTTGCCTGTGCTCAACGCTTGAAAGTTTTGTTGCCGTGTTGACACAGGGACCGGTGCGATGATGATGTTGAATGTCTCCGTCCCCCCCGCCGCCGCCACCACAGCTCGTCTCCGCTGTATCCTCGTCTCCCATCAATATTTTATTTTGGTTTCTGGATCCGTTACGACATGGGTGCATGGCATATGGGAAATCCGATCATTCGCCTCGATTAAGATTTAAATTTGGCTCGGACGAGTTCCATCCTGGGGAGGAGGAAATATTCGTGTTGTGGGATCTTTGGTTAAAAGAAAATATGTTGTGATGGCCGATTTGGCTCATGTCCCCGTGTGCCCTGGGCCATATACTCTCTTTCTCGATTTGGTTTCCTGTGCTTTGATTCGGTTCCATTCGATGCTGTTCGTTCGCCAAGTGGGAATTAGGAGTTATCTCGCGCGGCCTCGATTGCAATTTGTGGTCACTTGCAGGCCCTTGCCGCGGGCTTATGCGGCCGTATGCAGACGTGCCATCCATCGATCATCCCGAGAGTAGCCCATCGGGGCCGCCGAGTGCAAAATGATTTCTCCAGGCTCTCTGTTTCGCTGTTGATTTATTCTGCGCATATGATGCATCTTCTCCGACACAAGCCGGGTCAGTAGCGACACCTCGCTAGAATCAGAACCACAGTTTGATCAATTCCTCACTGACGGCGTTGGGGGTCATGATGCCGTTTTCTGTGACGAGGGCCGTGATCAGTTCCGGCGGCGTGATTTCCACCATCCAATCATCCACATGTCCCGCAGCGCTGTTTCCTCCCTTTTTCTGGCTGGCCGCGTCCGAATCGCGAGCGGCGGTAATCCCGCTGGTGGAGAAGCGCAAGACATTCTGTTCGACCCCCATTCTTCGAAGATCACTGGGTCCGTACCCGAGCGGGAAGTTGCCCACAAACTTGTATGATTCCACGCACACGTGCAGGGGGATGGAACAGGACTTGGCGATGAGTCCGATTTGGTGCGTGCCGAGTTCTGTGACGATGGCACCGTTCTCCAGGACCGCGGTGGCGCCGATGAGGATCTGTGGTGGTGTGGCCGGAGAGGGCGGGAGGGACGCTAGCGCGTAGGCCAAGGCGTGCAGCGGGATTACGGTGGTGGGGATGGAAAGGGTTTGAAGCGAGGTGATGGAATCTGCGAGCGCCGACGAGATTTCCCCGGTTGGGGGAAGGACATAGATGACGTTGAAGGAGCGCTTTGATTCTGCCGCTGTAGTCAGCACGGCGTGGACCACCCGGCTATATCCGTAAGTAATGACCGTCGAGTCCTCTTTGATGAAGGGCAAGGCGTGATGGGCGATCTTGAGCCGTGCTTCATTGGCGCGCTTCACGAACAGAGACGACTGGGCGATGATGTGATGGCGCAACGCGGAAAAGTCGGACGTCGCGAGCGACGACGGCCGTTGCTGGAACGAGCTGATCAAGTACCGTTGAAACAGCTCCGTTCCGGCAGAGAGTGGGATCGGGTTGCGCTGCGACTGGAGCAGTCTCTTGGAGTGGCTCGATAAAAGGGCGAGGGTTTCGGAGATGGTTGTCAAGGGCGATGTGGCGAGGAGGTTGATCAGCGACTCAATGGCCGCGATTGGGGGTGTTATGTTTGGGTCACTCTCAATCAGCGAGTTGTAAGAAGCCACAATATCGAATGTCGTTGACGGCGACGACTCTTCAGCAGCTGCTGAGGGTTTAGACGCCGCCGGTGATGTTGATACTGGTGCTAGGAGAGTTGGAATGATTAGCGGATCCAAAGAGGAAGTGCCGCGTTATTTCCCATAGGACACTGCAGAAGGTTCATCTCAACCCAAGACACCAAACTCCGTCCAAGACTTTCGTTGATCCATGCTGAAAACAATCTCCAGGCCAACGTAGAGTCGTTTGAGTCATAGGAGGAAACGGGGATTGGGGGGAGATGCACTCACCAGTAGCCATGGGGGACTTTCTCCTTTCTTGACAGTATACAACAATGATATGCTTGTACAGGACTACATGCAAAATGGTCTCGGATTTTGACTGGATGTGGTGCTGGCAGCCCGGATCGTGGAATTTGATTTTCTCTGCTGGCGCTTGTATGGAACAGTTTAATTCAGGTGAGCAAGGCTCCGTCAAAGCCTTGTCGGAGGATCTTGGCGTGGGGGGAGGGCAGCCCCCGCGCCTATTCCTGTTTTGGACATGTCAACAAAGCAATGCGACTCCTCCAACTGAGCCTCAGTCATCACTTCGATGTTTCCTTTCTATCAATTCTTGTTAATTGAGGCCGAATCGCTATATCTTCCACAAGCAAAATGAACTCGCAATACCGTACTTCGATGCAACAGCAGCAGCGAGTCAAGAAGAAGGAGGAAGATCCCGCCGATTTTATGCGACTGGTTTGTTGTCTGCGACCTTTGTCCACAAAAAATGTGCTGACCACGTCTACAGTCTGAAAAGGAGATCGCGTCATGTATCAGCGAGATGGGCATCCCATTCCAACCTTCCGACATCCTGAGACCCAATCCGCAGGTCATTCAAATGGTTTTCGAGCACCTCGGCGAACTGGTGATGAACGCCACAAGAGACGCCCTCGATCCTGCCCTGCGCGCTGCCGCCGAAGACGTTTGTTCCGAGTTTCCCGACCTAGTACCCGTGGAGACGAGGCTGCTTATGGGCTTCTTCGTACAACTGCGAACCATGCTCGAACAGTGCGGAATCCAGGATTTCTCGTTCAACGACCTCGTTCGGCCGACCCATGATCGACTCGTCAAGATTCTCTCGTACACCATCAACTTTATTCGATTCCGCGAAACTCACACCAGCGTGATAGACGAAAATTTCAACAAGGCAGAAACCACAAAGGCCAGGATCGAGACGTTGTACACTGAGAATCAGAACATGGAGCAGAGGCTGGAAGAGATGAAGCGCAATAGAAAGGCAATGGAGGTCGCCGTCAAAGAGAAAATGCGACGGAACGACGAATTAAAAGCACGGTTGTTGGAGCTTCGAAAAGGCCAGGAAAGAGTGGCAGAACAGCTGGAGCGCGCCAAAGCCGAGAAATCACGCTCCCAATCAATGTTGGAGGAGAAGACCGAAAGACTGGTACGAGCGAGACAAGAGAGTGAGAAGTTGAGGCCATACGTGTTGCAAAGCCCGGCTGCCTTGCAGAGCACCCTGACTGAGCTATCGGACAACCTCGTACGCGAGAAGGCCCAGATCGATGCGTTAGAGCGGAGATGCCGCGCCCTCCAGACATCAGGTGACAGTTTCAACGTTGTTCAAAACGATGTACAGGCGTGTGTCAAAGTCCTGGAGGAGATTGCAGTGGAGCTCCAGAAAGAGGAGGAAGAAGACGCACGAGCGGCAAAGAATCGCGATGCTCTTGCAGAGCGTGGAAACAACGTTCGCGAAGTGGAACAGAATGAGAAACTGCTCCAGCGGCAGCTGAAGAAGTGGGAAGAACGCATCGAGGAGCTACGTCGGAAGCACAAGGATCGAGATGAAACCAATAAGATCAAAATGGACGAGCTGAGAGAGGTTCAGAAGCAGCTTCGAGATGAGAGGGCTGAGAAGGGCCGGGAGATGGAGAGAAGGAAAGTTCGGATCGAGCAGACCGAGAAGAAGGTGAGAGTCGCTCCAGTGCAACATTGCCGACGGTGGGTCTTGCTAACGAACATTTAGATGGCTGATCTCAAGGAGAACATCGAACAGGAGGTACACTCCGCGCACGAGGAGTATCTCAAACTTGAGTCCCACATCAAGTTGTATATTACGGAAATGGAGCAAAGTATGTGATTCGTTGCAATCTGTCACGACGTTTATGAAGGGATTGATCGACTCGCTGCTGAAGATACCCGGTTGTGTTGGCTGGTTCCTAGCTTTTTGGATTGTATGCGCTAAAGAGGCAAAGATCTTTCTTTCCCTTTTGCTCTTCAAACAAGCATTTCCTCGTCAGGGCTATTCCTGGCATGAACGACTGGATTATGCTCCTGTCGGTTCCGTTCGTGCTGTTCCTCGGCTCTGAACCATCTTGATGCAATCCTCATGACCGAAATGGTGCGGCGTCCCCAGCTTTGACCTGGCTCTCCTATCTTGACCGCTGCACTGAGCAGTTGGACTTCGGCCTGCCAAAGACGCGGACCTCGATTTGGATTCAAAGGGTCATTGATGTCCTTGCATTCCACTAGCTTCAACACACGATTGGTTCGGTAACCAGCAGAAACTGCGGTGGCAAGTGTCTGGGAGAGGCCTTGCAAAGTAAATTCAGAGGTTCCGTGGTGCATCGCCAGCAGATTCAGAATGATGATGGGACCCGGAGGCTGGGTTGAAGGTGCTACTGAGCGTGAGACGTAGCCAGAGAGATAGCCTCGGAGAATAGGGATGCTGGGACAGAAGACCAGATTGACGAACTGACTTGCACTCAGAACATGCAGAGTATGTGAGAGGAGAATGCGTTTGGGTTCAGGCAAGCGCTCGTCTGACTGAGTGTTGACCTCTTCCTGAAGCGGTGGTGTCTGTACTTCGGGTCGAACGCGTAGTTGGTCAAGCTGGACGAGAAGCTGTTCCAGAAAATCTCCTTTTGGAGAGCATATTACCAAGTCTGTGGGGATGTGACTTGGCTCTTGGAGGATGTCTTGGAGCAACTCAAGTTCATAGTCGTAATTGAGGATGATGGAGTTCATGAAGGAATGTTGAGAGGAGAGCCGCGCTTGGTATCTTCAGCCATTGTCTTTTGTCAGCGCAGAGACTTCCTCCGCTTGGATGAGCTGCTCCTGAGATAGTCTAGAGAAGAGTATCTAGTACAGAGTACTCTCCAGACTCGATCCGCGCTCGAGGAAAGAGGTGATGCTGGCCATGCCGCTCTCAGTTCAGTCCAAGGATGAGGCTTGGGGGCAGCCCGAGCGGAGAGAACCTCCCGGAGTTATCCTCTCGGAGTTATCAGGCTTGGCATGCTCGTTGCCGGCGGCATGCCTTTGAGGCTTTGACGTCTCCCACCAACAGAACATCATTCTCCTACACCTTGAACCTTTAGGTTGTACAAGCATGTTCCGGTGACACAGGACGAGAAGACCACAAAGACCTTGTGAAGATGGAATCCATCTCTCGCATTTCGTCCTTGATGGACCCAGGTCAGTCAACATGGATCCTTCCTGGTTGCAGTACACTGACCCAACCCAAGCACGAGACCTGACGGTCGAGGCTGCTCAAAGCATATCCAAAGCCATCAAGGGAGGAAGCTCGTCTGCTCGGAATAACATGCCCTTCGCCAAGCTCAAGGCTCTTCTTGACAGTAGAAGTGATCGCGATATCCTGGATGGCTTGAAAAGAGTGGTCTCGGTGCGGTTTTCCTCGCAAAAGTACAAACCGTGCCCCCTTCGCTTACCGTCGTGCAGATGATGTACCAGAACAAACCATGTCTACCGTACTTCTCATCGGTTGTCAAGAACGTTGCGAACCCTAACCTGGAGGTCAAGAAGCTCGTCTACATTTATCTCCTGCATTACGCCGAGTCCGATCCGGATTTGGCGTTGCTTTCCGTCAACGCCATCCAAAAGTCCCTCACAGACCAGAATCCACAGGTCCGGGCCTTGGCTCTGCGCACCATGTCCGGGATGCGAGTCCCAGTCATCAGCCAGATCGTTTCTCTGGCTATCAAACGGGGCGTGGGTGACATGAGCCCTCATGTGCGAAAGGCTGCTGCTCTCGCGATCCCAAAATGCTACAACCTCGACCCAAATACCCTGCCGCAATTGCTCGACTACATCTCCACGTTATTGGGTGATAAGCAGTATTTCGTTGTGGGTCCAGCAGTTCAGGCATTTCTCGAAGTGTGCCCCGATCGTATCGACCTTGTACACATGCATTACAGGAGTCTTGTCAAGAAATTGGTTGACATGGATGAATGGAGTCAGCTAGCAACCTTGAAGCTTCTCTTGTTCTATAGTCGACGCTGCTTCCCTCGTAAGACCCAAAAAGTCACCAAAGTCAACAAAAAGGGATTTTATGAGGACGAGCCCGAAGAGACCGTCGACACAGGCGAGGTGATGGAGGTGCTGGATCCAGATCTGGAACTATTTCTCCACGCTTGTAAGCCTTTGCTGCAAAGCCGAAGTGCAGCTGTTATCATCTCGGTCACCAGTTGCTATTTGTACCTGGGCACCCCGCACTATCTTCGAGAAGCTGTGGGCCCATTGATCGGACTGATGCGCGGACCGCCTGAAGTGGAGGAAGTGGCACTATGCAACATTGTCCTGGTTGCCTTGTCCGCGCCCGACCTCTTCGTTTCCTACGCGTCACATTTTCTGATCCGGGCACAAGATTCTCCGCATATATGGAAACTGAAGATCGAACTTCAGACCCTCATCTTTGCGCATGCGGCATTACATCTCAAGTCCATCATTCTTAGCGAGCTGGAGCATTTTTCTCACTCGTCAGACGTTGAACTCACACGCGAATCAGTCCGTGCTATTGGAAGATGTGCACAATCGGATCCCAAGGACGCTCACCGATGCTTCCAGGTTCTTCTGAACCAAATATCCAGCTTCGACAATACTCTGGTCTCGGAAGTGCTCACCGTCATGCGTCATCTAATTCAACAGGACCCAGCCTCCCACCGGAAGACTGTGGTGCGCCTGGCAAGGAACTTGGATAAAACCACGAGTCCCGAGGCTCGAGCTACAATCATATGGCTCGTGGGAGAATTCGCAAGCCTCGACCCGGACAACAACATAGCGCCTGACGTTTTGCGCATCCTGGCCAAAGGGTTTGCCGATGAAAGCGAATCTGCCAAACAACAGATTGTCTTACTCGCTGCCAAAGTCTATCTGCTGTTCTTGCAGAGAGGCACTGCCGGTTCTCGTGGCGAGAAAAATGATGCTGCAGAGTCTCCGGGCGACCCTGCAGAGGAATCACACCTCTCAACCGACTTGGACCACCCGATCTCCAAGCTATGGAACTACGTGCAGCTCCTGGCCCGCTACGACACGTCGTACGACCTCCGTGACCGAGCACGGCTTTTCAAAGCTCTGCTCGCCAACCCTGCATCCACCCAACTGGCGGCTCTGCTCCTTCTTGCACCCAAGCCCGTCCCACACTCTCCCTCCCCCTCGGAAAGTCGAAAAGGCCTGATGCTGGGCAGTACCACCCTCGTCCTGGGCACAGACGTGGCGGGCATTTTGGGGCTGCCGGGCTACGAGCAGCTACCAGACTGGGTGAGCGAAGGTCTTGAGCCCGATGCCAAACTCAGAGACGCAGGCGACGGTGGCGAGAAAGACGAATATGTGCCCATGGACAAAAGGACGGCAAGCTCTGTCGCCGCAAGTCGGAGATTAGATGAAGCCGTCAAGGAGCGGGGGTTGGAAAAGGTTGTTGCGGCGGGAACAACCAAGGCAAATGTGAAGCCTAGGACTCTTGACGATTGGCTGGCCGAGAGCGAGGAGGAGGGAGAAGAAGAGGAGGAAGAGGAGACCGAAGAGGAGACGGAAAGCGAGGAGACGGATGAAGAAGAGTCGGAGGAAGCAGGCTCCGAAGATGAAAGTGAGGAGGACGAGAGAGGAATGGCCAGAGGCCTGATGACCTCGCGGCCCTCATGAAACAATGCCTAGGGCGAGATAGGGTCAGATTCTGATCCGCGGATCATGATGCTTGAAACAGAGCAAGAAGAAAGTGCCGCGCACTTCCACACGAGACCTCAGCGGGCAGACTGCAGCAGTTGGGCACTGTGGCTCCTCCTTTCTCCCCGTACGTCTGCCGCCCTCGCTCCGCGGTCTTTTACGATATACGCAGTTGTTTCGTGATCTCGTGAATCATCTCTCAAGGGTATTTCATACCGCTGGATGCAGATTCTGTTACGGCAGTAGGTGCCGCTGCACTGGGATATTCTTGCACCTACGTATGTACTCTTATATCGCACTAGGTACCCCCATCAATGATTCAGTCGTTGAAAGTCGTCCTCCTGGCAGGTACTCGAGGGAGGATACCCAACCTTGGGGCGGGAGGATCGGTCCGTCCGAACTGCGGTCCATGGCGCTGACCATTCATGATTTCCACTGGCAAAAGCCGCCTCGGCCGGTGCGCACGGGCCAACGAGATAAAAGAGAATACCGGTAGGGTGAGGGAGTGTTCTTTTGTTCCTTAAAGGGCACGACTGTCCGGCGTTAATCAATATTACCGTAGGTACTACGCTAGGCGCACCGATGGCGAGACGGGGCGGTGATCCCTTCCTGACATCGAACCAAAGCCGCCTCCCTCGATTCACCTATTTTCCGCAACTACGATCAAGGGTTACCCTACTTGGTACGTCGTTGTTAGGGTGCCGGACAAAGAGCGGGTGGGTTGACGCCCAATTCTCACCAGCCGGAAGCATTCTGCTCTCCAGATCCGAGTTCGGTCAATACCTAGGTAGCTGTGCTTCAAAACGGAGACGACTCCGAATTATTACCCATGCATACCCTACAGCGAGGTCCGTGCAGACGACAAGGCACACACACACACACTCCCGGTTGGTACCGTACGTTTCGGCCGAAAAATGGATATTAAAAACTGGGAAAGAAACTAAAAAGCGCACCGGGTCATCTCGCTTGGAACAAGGACGCGGTAAATACCTAGTACGGAGTCAATAGTGGATCAGGATCTCCCTTCCTCAGCGTTCGGAACTGGGACGAAAATGCTCCTGATGCCCCCGAGTGAGATCGTCGTTGGTGCTCCGTAATAATGATTCTTTTGTTTTGGGTTTCTGAAACGTCTTAGATGATGGGGGGGAGAGGGGGAGAGCTGGGGCGCCTTGCGCAGCCTTGTCATCATCACATCTCACCTGGGAGGGGGTTCTCGGGACGATTGCTCCCGGCTTCCATTTCATACTATATCGTCGTGAGCACGGATTTAGGATATTTCTTCTTTGGGGAGGGATGTGCTCCAGAGTTAGGCGCGTTTCGGGGCACGCGAGATTCTGCGTCGATGCAAGTGAGTGGTACCTTGGTATGACCTACTCGTAGAAGCAAGGGGATGAAACTAGCAGGCGGTGGAGATATTGCACTCGCAGACGCCCTCTGTAAATTTGGTTTCTGGATCTTTGGCTCAATGTCGATTTGGGATGGCGAAGAATGTCGCGAGATCCTCTACCGAGTCCTGTAGATCATTCAACCCGACACGGTGGTACTAGATTGACTGGCTGGGTTGAACGGGTAAAGACGAAGGATGCCCACGGGTACGATGTACCTCCCTTCCTCTGAACGCCGCCATCTCAAAAGTACCTAGGTAGGTATCTAGGTACCTTTGTTCGGCAGCGTCCTCGTTCCGTGCGATAGGCCATGGGCAGATTCAAACTAGGCCCGAGATGGAGAAAGCTGATGGCCTGACAGTGGACAAGGGTTGGATGCTTTGCTTCTTCGGTAAAGTTCCATCGACGAAGCATTCCACGATACAAGATCAAGTACACAGCAGGTACGAGTCCGCCGCCCACCGTCCCAGTGATCGTAGATAACCCATCAGCGATCGGCCACGGCGAGCTGTCTACCGGTAGTCCAAGGTTGTCATCTTCCTTCGTGCCGAACACACTCCATAGCCAGCCGCTAAGGTCTCGGTAAGCCCACGCCTAGCGAGTCCAGCACTCTCGCCTCGAGGACCCGAAGTGACGAGCATCAGAAGAAAACCCCATTATTGCGTCCGTGTGTTCGGCCTGTGTCTCTCCAGGTTCGCTGACAGGGCAATTACCGGGCATGACTTTCTCAGACTTCAACGCTTCTAACAACGTTTGGGGCCCTCCTCCAGGGCTTTTGTCAAGCAGACGACAGGAGGTGTACCATGTACTGGGGACAAGCAGTGGTCGCATGTTTGCCCTCTCTTTCAGGTAAATTCTTCGACAGAGGCTCAAGCCCACCCCGGGGGATGTAGAAAGAATCCGGTTGGCGAGAAGATATCAAAAAGTGTCAATCCACATTTTTCCCGTTGCGGTCTTGCCTGCCTGCCTCGTTGATGTCGCCCAACGGGATCCAATATGGGCAGCTTGGATATCCTGGCGCATTGCCGCTCTTCGAAGCCCATCCTGTCCATAAGATGATATGTCAGGTGATGAAAACAGTTTTCCCCCACAAAAGGTTCAACGGCCCCCTTCCTCTGGCCGATTAGCGCCCGTTTTCCAAGTCGACGGTCATACTTTGTAACCGCAAAGTCTTCGATGCTGAGGGTCTGGCTGACGGACGCTTTGCATTGCCGGGCTATCCCTTCCCGCTCGCTAGGAGAACAGCGATGATGTGGATAGTAATGACTGCGTAGAGAGGTAATTAGTACGAGTGAACAGTGGCGAGCACGGCATATCTTGATAGTTTTGTGTGTCAGCGCCAGCGCCTTAGCATGGACTTTCTTTGCCCGTGTCTTCGGTATGGTTAGGCAGGTACGAGTTAGAACAAGGTTGATACACTGGGCAAAAGGAAGAGATCCACTGCTAATCCAAATCCATGGTGCTGTCCCTCCCCTACTCGTCCTTGTATGATGTGTGCGCACGCCGCAAAGTGGTCATCTCTTTCCTATCTAAAATCTCGTCCGCCGTCGCTCCGGGCTGCGATTGTGCGGAGTAGTTAGTAATGAGGCCAACCGCGAGGGTGCCCTGAACGGAAGGACTGATCTGTCTGACATGGAAATCAAGGAAAACGTGCTCGAGTGCTCCTCTACGCCCTACCCCTTCACCAAGGATCCCACGTTCTGTACAGTGCTGACAGGGGAAACCGGTTTCAGCCTGACCAGACCATGGAGCGAGCCACTCCCATAGGTCTCCCGCGAACTTGAGTTCTCACGCCTGGGGATCCATTGTCTACCGTCGTGGGAGCGTCTGGTGCTGTGTGGGAATCCGGAGTCCGGCTTCGGGCCCTGCAGCGGAAAGCTAGGCTCAAGAGTTGAAAACTTATGTCGTCCATCAATGCAGCGACATTGAAGGGAGATAGAAGGGACTTGAAAGAGATAGGAGACCGAAAACACAGATCCTGCAAGCAATGGAGTGGCGCTCTTATTTCTTCATTTGTATCGTAGAGACCAGCCTCACCAAGAGGACAAGATCGAGGCTGCAGAGTCGCCGTCCAATTTGCCGAGCAACAATCATCATTGCTCTACCATCCTAACCCTTATCCTTCTGCAATTGTACCCGTCGAAATGTGCTCTTGCTGAACGGTGTTGGCGTCAGAACCTTCAGATTCTAATCACCCCGCTCTTTTCCTGACTTCCCTGTATTCAACTTTCCCATAGATACTGAATCCTTCTCCTCCATTGTAAGACCAGCCCTTCTGGTGTTGGTAGGGCACTGAAGCGACCCAAGAAAAACAACACCCAACTCCAGACGAATATTTTCGCTTTTTGCGCTCAAAAGAGATCAAACTTGTGTCAACCGGGGAATCCTGTGAACGCAACACCGTAAACACCACCCCATGATAATTAGGACTGGAACGCCCAGATCGAGAAAGGACAAGTAGTCGTAGAAAAGTCGTCATCGCATCATCAAAATGCTCAGAAAATGTCAAATGTGAGAATGTTGAAAGAGGCTGCGCCCCGAGCGCGGCAAGGGCGCCGGAGGCGAACATGGACCAATGCTAGCTGACAGCGGATGACTCTTGTTGAGCGGGATTCCTCTGTTGGGGTTGTTCGACCTCTGAAGCTTCCTGGCTTGCTTCCTGGGCGGCTCCATGACCTGGTTCAACAGTAATGGTGGCTTCGTGCACACATCTCTCGCAGATCTTGTGATGGCAGTTGGGGCATTCTTCAGCATCGACCTCAAAACCACTTCGACATTCATGGCACGTTCCACCCTCAGCACTTGGCCGGGGAGCCTCATTTACGAGTTCGGCAGGGCCAGTTGTTGTTGGGTCTTGCGAGTATTTCGTCCGGTCTTTCTTTGGCGGGTACCGTGAGCATCGAGTACAACGCCGATGTTGACATCCCACGCAGATTCTATCGCGACCAAATGTCGTGGAACAATTGTGACAGGTGTACCTGACTCTCATTCGTATGTTCTTGTACACTCTTTCTGGGGTTCCTCTGTATCTCGGTTCCCATTCTGCCTCGTCCAGTTCCAGGTTGTGCCTGGCAAAGATTGCTTGTGCTTTAGTGAACCGCATGTGTGACTCGGCTGTGGTGTCCTTCTTGGCATCGACAGGTTCTTGTGGCGATGTCAAGTCAGGTTCGTTAGGCTGTGCGGGCTCCTCCGATGTATCGTCGACTTCCAATTCAGGCGAATGCTCGGTGGGGGGTTCTCTGTGAAGGTTTAGTGACGACGTCTTTGGGGGATTTGATGGCACTGACGGTCTGAGTGTATCTGCAGCTCCTTCCCTCTGGGGAGCGATAGCAGCAGCGGGAACAGGTGGTGTAGTAGTGGCAGATGAAGAGATTTGTGTGGCAGTAGGTTTTTCTCTAAAGAAATCCTTGACTCTGTTCCAGACCGTTTTCAAGCCCTTCTTTTCCTCCGACGGTTGTGCTTCCGCCGCTTCCATTGGCAGAGTGGAATGGATGGCCTAACAGAGGTGGTGTCATAGGAGATAGAAGGCAATCAGCAAGAGCGCACCACACGGCCTGGAAGTCAGAGATCGGGTGGCTTGATGATGCGACTATTGGTTGTTCGGCTGACCCAGGGAATTGGTACAGCGAGGGTGGTGAAGAAAGGCCAGGCGTCGATTATTGGTGGTGCAATTCCGCAGGAGTGGATTGGAATGTGACTTGTCCGGCAGCGAGATCCCTGTTCCCAACGCTGCGGTCCATTGACTTGCCCAGTCGAACTTCCCACACCGTGCCCTTTTAGACAGCCGGTCAGGTGTCGCAGGATAGAGTGATGTTGTGTAGTACTGATGGAAGGGGCTCGCAGGGAGTCGATGAAACGATCAGGCAGGCCAGTGACGGTGTATTGAAAAGTTGCTAGTCGCAGGTCTTAATTGGGGATCAGTGCTGATCCTCAATGGCAGCTCACGGCTAGAGGACCGGTGCCGGAGAATTTCCTCTGGGTGCAAAGCTCACAGTTGCTGATGTGAACGATCGACAGTGTCGCAAAGTTTGATACACGGATGCTAGTATACTAGGCGAAAGACGAGGATGCGGTAGGTAGGGAGGATCAGCAACAGGCGACGAAGAGACCAAGAGTCGAAAGGGTGGAAGAAGACAAAGATGAGCTGGATGGTGCGTGAAGTAGTGTGGAGATAAGGAAAGAAAAGAGGAGAAACCACACGCGGGTGTGGATGTGGAATGGAAGCAGAAGCAGAAGCAGAAGCAGAAGAGGCAACATTGAACCCCGAGCATTGAGCTTTGGAGCGACGAGATCCAACGATGATGCAGCACTTGGCAGCGAGGAGCTGCAGACAGGATTTGCGAGTCTGGGAGTCTGGGAGCCTGGGGGAACGTGCACTGCAGTCGAGGGGCCACTAAGTCTGGGAGCCGGCATGCATTTAGGGTGGGAACTACAGCTGCTAGGCTTCCGGAATCCAGAGCCCCAGCCAACAGAAGCCCGACCGAAGTGGGCGACTCCAGCCTAACAAGCATGTGGAAACTGGACAGCGTGGGTGCAAGAGTCATGGGCTTTTTAGGAGGGCGAGGCACCCAGAGGGGGAAATGCGACCTGGGAATCAAGGAGTTAGGCAGCGAGGCAGCAACACTCTGGGCACTGTGGGCAGGAAGCTTTCAGGGTTAACCTTGGAAGGGGAAGTGTTGGGGTGGGGAGAGGGGAGCCATGCCGTTCTCTTTGTCGGCGCAGTGGGTGCCACCGACCTGGAAGGCGCCAAAAGGGTGCCCGTCTTATCACACCACCTATGGGATCACCGGGACGGCAACAGTGGGCATCCGCAAAGACTTCTGCACACAAGCGACCCGAGACCCAAAGGGAAGTGCCGAATGCTCAGCTGGTTTAAGGTTAGAGGAACGCCCGGGAAGCTGCTTGGGCCCGTGCAGGCCTAGTTCCGCTGCTACTAATGGGGTCCTCCAGGGCGCCGGTGCTATGGCCTCGGGTACGTGGCAACTGCCAGTGCCCCCCTCCGAGCCACCTATCAGCGGTAGCCATGCCAAATAGTACCTCGTATAGAGGTAGCCACCCAGCAAGCTGCTGAATCCGGTGCCAGAATAAATTTCAAGAAAAAACAATGCTGGAGACGGAGCGACTCTCGCGCAGCAACATTGTCCACTAATAATGTCCAAAGCCTCTTGAAAACTCTTTTGCTGTCTCGCCTCCAGTGGCCCAGCCCTTGCCTAGCCATGCAACCGACCGCTTTCGATGCAGTGTTCCTCGGAATTCAACCACTCCTGCAAACCGTGTACAGTACCTAGGTACATGCCATCACCACCATCCTTCGCACGCGTCCTTCCCCAGCTCAAAGGGAAATCGACTTTTCCTCATGCAGTGTCTGACTTCTGCTCGCCTTGCTCACCCAAGGAATCAGCGAAGATCCCTCCGCCGGCACAAGTTGCGCCGATGGCTCCAAGGCAACGGGTGAACTTGCAGCGGCCAGCTCCGTCGAATTTTCTATAACCCAGTTGACCTGCAGCAGCCCAGTCCTTCTTCACTCTAGCCTCAGACCTTTTCCTGCACATCCCCAAACTATTTCTTGCCTCAACCATTGGCGGCGTGGCGGATTCGGCACATTGCCCAGCTGTCAAATCCACCTGGCGCTCTGCAACCTCGCTTGACGAATCCATCGGTGTTACGGCCCATCCCAGCGGTACCAGGAGTCCAGGACGGAGGGATATTGAAAGACCTCTGAGACTACTGGGGATATAATGGGAATATTCAGCCACAGGGCAAATCGTCCAACAGCGGTGAATTGTGGGGAGCGACTCCGTTCGATCCATCCTGATACGTGACAAAGCATACACATGCAACCGACTTCTTCTCGGACCGTCCGAGTTGGACGGCACCCGAGCAAAGAAGGAGAGCCACATTACCAGTAGGGCTTTTCAAAGCTGGTAGACCTGCATACCCCCGCCCAGAATGTCATGCAGGCAGTCCTTGTGGCGACCTCAGGCAGCAGTAACGTACCTCGTAATCCTCCACGCTCGCCAACGCACAGCTGGGTCCCCAACGAGGAGCTCCTGCTTTACTGTTTCCAGGAGGATACGGCTACACATACCAATCTCCAATGACCAAATAATTCACCTACATCCGCTCGTGCCGTTGCTCTGAGCTGCCATGTTGGCCGCCAGATTGTCCCAACTTCGCGCAGCCGTTGACTTCTTGTTCTGTGGAGAGAGCAGCCAGGACAACCTTCCTGCTGAGTTCTTAGCTAAAAGCTTTAAGGTGAAGCCCCAAAATCCTGGTGTACCTGCTTCGGGGCGCCCAGACTTTAGACTGGGGATTGACTCGCCCGGGTGATACTGTGCCCGAGCCCGAGCGATCATCGAACGTTGTCTTCAATCTTCCCCTCAACTCCTAGTACACTCAGGGGACGGCGCAGTGACTCACAGTATCTTCAAATGGGTTTGTAGGCACACCTGAAAGAGCCATGAGTTGAGCTTGCAAGTATCAAATCTTCGGCTTACTACCATTTCCCACCTGGGCAATCTAGAGGCGCTCCAAGATCCGACGAAGCGTTCATCGTGCACAGGCCTTCCCCCGGATCACCTCCCTAGTGGCTCTCGTGGCAACACACCAGGCGAAGCTAAGAGAAATTTGGGCGATCCGTCAAACGGCCAATGACCAGGATCTTAGCGTGGTCATCGACTGCCACATGTGCTGCCACAAACTGCATCGACCCGTGCCAACAAAGTCAGTTTGTCTGGACGCGAAGGTACGATTGCATCACGGTGACCTCGTGGGAGATCGAAGGTGGTAGAAGCCGAGCAATTGCAGGGGAATCCTCAATACGATCATGCAAGTCGATGCTACTGCTGGCCCGGGTGCTAGGTTCTGTACAAGTTCTTACCCCTGGCTCATACGTCTTACAAAGGACAGCGGCTCAGACACACGATTCCTGATAGTCTCTCGTTTTTGTTTCAGCTCCACGACTAACTAATGGCAGGGCCGTCTAAAGTCAGTTTGAGGAGCCCCTCGTTGTGTCTCCTTCCCATTGTCACAACTTCATTCTCAGATGCAGACAGCTCAATACACTGGGGTCGAATAATCGAGATATTGTGCAACGCGCTCGATCCATTTACTCTCAACAGGCCTTTTGGGGCTGGCAGATTCGTCCGTTGAAAGACAGGAAAGCTCGAATCTGCATAACGTTTCCTGGTTGTTGTCTCCTGCAGGCTTATTTGCACGCTTTGTCAAGAAAGTGACAGTTAGTTCCAGAATTGGCATCGAGCTGCCCTTTTCCTCTGGGAGGCTACGCTAGTGTTTGCGGCGTGCCGGCCGGAGAAAACGCTTCATTCTCTTGCAAATGAAGCCTAGACGCTCGCAAAAGTTCTATTGTTCGACATGCCGTTTTTCTCGTGCGATATGATGATTGTGGTTTAGGTCAACTAGGGAGCTGCCTCTTAATCGAGCTGGAGAACAGTTGACGGTGGTAATGAAGAGCAGTGCACAAGTCTCAACCTGCCGAAGCAGCTTTATGTCTCCGTGCTGTGCTTGCTGTAATCTTCAGCGAGGAACAAGCAGAGACCATGAATTGCCAGAGAGAAGCTGCCGTCGAGTTTGCGCCAGGGGAATTATTGAGCTGGGGAGAAGCGATGAGTGATGGGAACTGTTCGGGAAGAATTCGGGATGAGCGAGTGGTGGTCTTGTGGTCGAGGAAGTCCACCATCTCGGTGCACAAATCGAATAAGTTCAAAGCCTCCTGAACAACATCTCTCTGCTCGCTGTCGGTCAGAGTGGATGCTGCTTCTCGAAATCCCTCTTTGAGGTCCCCTTTGAGTCGCTCATCCACATCCACGTCCTCTTCGCTGTGGAAGTCCCAGAACGATAATGGCGGTGTGCCTGGACGCCAAAACTCTGGACCTGCGGAGACGAGCTGCCTTCGAATCCAGCGACCGCCGTTGAAAAGAGCAAGGTACATGGTCCAGGTATAAGCCAGCATGACATGTGGTCTCGCCGACAAGGCCCTTTCAATTCGCAGCCGAAAACCTCTCGACTCCTCCACCAAGGCTTCAAGTTCTTCGACTTGAGACCGCAGGAGTTGTGATTTCAGAGTGTCAATGTCGGTTTGGAGCCTGCTGGACCTGAGCAGCCAGGAAAAGCATACGCGCTCGTAAATGTGAAGCAGCCGCTGATCCAATTGACCAGAAACCAATTGTGTCTCCAAAAAGTTCTCGAAGGCGAAGTATATCTGACCAAAGACTATCAGACCTTTGGTATAATTGAAGGGGCTATCTGCAATTGGCGGTAGAGACAACGGCAGGCGCTGAGTGATCTGCGCATTCAAAGCGTGGTGCCTCTGTCGCGTGGTGGCGCGCAGCTCTTCTGGTAGAGAACTTTGCGCGCTTTCGTTCTGTTCTGGTTGCGCGTTCATTATTGGATGTTTCGAAACCGAGTGTTTGTCGTAGTATTATTGTCTCCTGAGCTTGTCATATATTCACAGGTGTAGACGAAAAGGACAAGGTCAAACGAACGAAGGTCGCTCTGGCAAACGCTGTGTATCGTTGCGAGAAAAGCGTCAAGCAAAGAACATTGTTAACAAAAGGGAGCGAGCGACGTTGTAGCTTCAGGGAGGCCATTGAGCCTTTCTCAGGAACTTTGCCATCCCGCGTTCACCCATTCGAAAATGGGCGCCATGGGCATGTATTTTTCCCTGTTGTTATGCTTTTCTGCCGTGTGGAGTCCGGAAAAGGACCCAATTTTCCTGCGTGGTGACGACAACGACGCGTTCACGGTGCCAAGTCACGCACGCGGGACTGACAGTACGAGAGACCCGAACACGTGATACGGATATGAGTCGAGGACTTGAGGGGCACTAATAACGGCGATGAGCCCGAGAGGGGCCGATAGCCTAAATTCCTTTACCCATGGGAAATTTGGGGGGCGTGCGCAGGCTGTGAATTGTTGATATGAATGACTTCCGCCTTCATTGACACTCCAAGATCGATATTTACGTTTCTGGGGTAATTCAACCAAAAGAGACATCAGATCCAACCAACCACACACATCAAAATGATTGGGGTCGCTATTCTAGGCGGAGGTATGGATCTTGACCTTGGCTTTCGTCGTCGAGTCATGGCCAAAATACTGATTGACTACGCATAGGTATCTTCGCTCGCGAGGAGCACAAGGTGCGCAGCGAAAAGGCTTGGTCCTCGACTCCACTTACTGACATGGCCAAACGCACAATGACAGCCCGCTGTTGAAGCTTCCAAGGACTTGACACTGAAGGCCGTTTACTCGCGCTCCCTAAAATCGGCAAAGACGCTCGAGGTGGACGAATCCAAGGTTGATCTCTACTCGGACGACTCTGGTGCTGGCAAATCTTTGGACGATCTTCTGGCCCGTTCGGACATCCAAGCAGTCATCATCGCCTTGCCGATCAAGAATCAGCCTGACTATATCCGCAAGGCGTTGCTGGCCGGCAAGCATGTCCTCTCGGAGAAGCCGGTGGCGGAGAACGTCAAGGACGCCGCGGAACTCATCCAATGGTATCGGTCAGAGATGGAGCCGAAAAAGGTAACCTGGGGTGTTGCCGAAAACGTCAGATACACGGATTCTTTCATTCGTGCTGCAGAGGTCGTCAAGACAAAGGGTCGGCAATTGACTTTCAGATGCCGAATGCAGACGCTTGTTGAGGGTGGGAAGTACTTCGAGACCGAGTAAAACACATTTCGTCTGCTGCCAGGGCTGTGGAACGATACTGACTGCTTGATAGGTGGCGTAAGGTTCCAACGCACCAGGGTGGATTTTTGCTGGACGGTGGCGTCCACTTTACCGCTGGGCTTCGATTGATGATGGGCAAGGACAATCCACTGGTATCCCTATCAGCTCACTCCGCACAGCTTCAAGAACATCTTCCTCCAGTGGATACCGTTGAAGCTACAGCAAAGAGCAAGAATGGCAATGTGGGTACGATATCGATCTCTTTTGGAACGACTCACAAGGGGAGTGAATGGGCCGTCGGCTGTGAGAAAGGTTCTGTTAGCCTCTCGGGCAACAAGGTCACGTACGATGGCAAGACTGAAGAGGTCCAGGACGAAAGGACGGGTGTACCGGGCGAAGTGAGAGCGTGGGGGGAAGCATTAGCAGCTGGGAAAGTCAACGAGAGTCAATCTCCCGAAGAAGGTCTCGCGGATCTTGAGCTGATTGAAGCCATGCTGCGGAGTGGCGAGCAGGGAGGTGTCCCGATCAAATTAGCATATCAAGCGCTATAGAGGGCGAGCACACTTTGTTGAGAGCCATTTCTCCTGAATCTATAAGCACGAGGATGGCCAATAGATACAACTCTGCCTAGGTGTAAAGGAGTGTAGCGAGTAGTAGGTTGCTACGAGGCGGACGGAAGTGGCCCAAGGCTGGCCGATGACGCTAATCCGGATTTGGGTTGGCTCACTGGTTTCCCGCGCACAGAAAGTCACTCTTGGCATTTGCGAAATTCGACCCCGATTTTCAAACTAGGGCGCCATTGTCGACGACTTCTCCTTCCAACCCTAGTAATTGCTTCAGGTGTCAAGACCATACAGTCGTCAAGGTCAGATCAGCACACTGTGAGAAACCACGGGCGATAACTGACATTTCAAGCAGATGGTCTCCGCAAAGAAGCACGTCCCCATCATCAAAAAGCACAAAAAGGCCTGGCACCGGCACCAGTCCGACACCTTCAAGTGTGTGCCTTCAGCATGGAGGAAGCCAAAGGGTATCGACAACCGAGTTCGAAGACGGTTCAAGGGTCAAATGGTCATGCCATCGGTACGTCCAAATTTTTGGATCCTCAGTTGGAAGATGAAGGAATACACGAGCGCACACGGATAGAGCACTCCGTGAATGCGAGGTGGTCGCACACAGGGACAATGGGCTGACAGAAGTAACGTACAGATTGGTTTTGGCTCGAATAAGAAGACCCGACACATGATGCCTTCTGGTCACAAGGCTTTCCTCGTCCACAACACCCGAGACGTCGAACTCCTCCTCATGCACAACCGAACATACGCCGCTGAAATCGCATCTGCTGTCTCCTCGCGAAAGCGAATTGAGATCGTTGCAAAGGCAAAGGCATTGGGTGTCAAGGTTACCAACCCCAAGGCGAAGATTACTACGGAGTCGTGAGCAAGGGAAAGAGAGGGCGTTGTGGTTCTGTGAATATGATTCACTGAGAGGTGGCCATGAGCTTTTTATTGCCAAAACAGGTCTACAGCGGCGGAAGACGGGTTAGAGAGCAACCTTCTTATGGCTGAGCACTCAGGTCTGTGCGCCATCACCAGGAGCGCCGGATGCTTTGAGAGCAAAAAATGGATACCAATTAAGAACATCAACATGTCCCAGCCTGACATTTCGACGGCCTCTTTACTCCCGCTGCAGCGTTTTTTGCGCGCTATTATTCGAGCTTTCACATTTGCTTATCCGGTCACATCGCCATTGGGGCGGAGGGAAGGCTTGGATTGAGATTCGTCCAGCGAGGACTAATTCCTTTCACGTTCCCAGGGCCTCTATGTGATTTTTAAGACTCGTCTTCCAGAATGCAGACACATCAGGGACTCCGGCTCGATCACTCGTTGCAAGATACTGGACAGAGCGAACCACAAGATGCTCTCGGGGCTCGTAGACAATTTACCGATATTGACCAGATTGCCGCTTTCACCCAGAAGATGCTTGCAAATCAAGTCACGGAAGCTGTAAACATCTGCAACCTTTCTTTGCTTTTCAGTCAAAAGTGTGCATTCGTGTGAAAGCATTAGTACTGCCGACCTATGAAGGTCCCTCCCCATAAGCCCTAGATTTCGGCATAGTTGTGCCGCAGCTAAAAAAACACCCACTGCCAAAAATTTTTGGATGCGGCACCCCAGTCTTCTCCCAAATGGCCTTTTTTGAACCTACCGGCGGACATAGACCAAGTCCCTCCGCCCTCGCAGATATCGCTGGCTCCTTCACCTCGCGTTCTTGCCTATCTGGCAAGTCGCGGTCGTTACCCCAGCCCTAGCATGGCTCTGATCACGACTGAAATCAAAGCAGCCCCATTCTTCGATGACCGGAAGCCGCTTCCAGATCCTCCATCCGTCGCGGTGACACCTTGTGATCCGTGGCCGAGGCCGTACTACCTCGAGAACGGCCTCCGGCGCGTGGCGCCTTATCATTTCACATATAACACCTACTGCAAACAGCGATGGCGGGGACGGGAAATCCTCGACATCTTCGCCGCCGAGTTTCGAGACCGGACACGCGAGTACTACAAGCAGGCCATCGAGACGGGCCAGATCTCGGTTAATGGGAAGCCATGTAAAGATGTCCATACCATTGTTCAGAATGGCGATGTCATCTCACACACGCTGCACAGACACGAGCCGCCCGTGACGGCGCAGCCGATTCGAGTCATCAATGAGACGGACGAAATGATCGTTATCGACAAGCCTGCCGGTGTGCCCGTGCATCCGGCTGGTCGGTACAACTACAATTCGGTCGTGGAGATCATGAAAGCCGAGCGGCATTTCTCATTCAAACCTTTGCCCTGTAATAGACTTGATCGGTTGACCAGCGGTGTCATGTTTATTGGGAAGACAAGCAAAGAAGCGGAGGCGATTAGTGAAAAACTGCGCGGGCGGACAGTGCGCAAGGAATACGTCGCAAGAGTCAAAGGTCGGTTCCCCGACGGAGAAGGTTGGGATGGAGATCCAATGCGCGGCGGTGTTGTAAAATGCGAGGAGAGCATCCTGCAAATCAGTCCCATTGTTGGACTCAATCGAGCGCGAGCGAGCGGGAAGTCTGCGAAGACGTTGTTCAGACGGCTGGCATATTATCCTCAAAAACCACAACCAACGGCAAATCTGGGAGCCACCTCGAATTCTGAGGGTTCATCGAGAGATGGCCAGACAATAGCCCAGCCTGCGCCAGCCATTTCAGGTACTGAGAACGAAGGCTACAGCATTGTCCACTGCCTCCCCTTGACGGGGCGAACACATCAGATCCGAGTCCACCTACAGTTTCTAGGACACCCGATCACGAACGATCCAATATACAGCAACAGAGCTGTGTTCGGACCGGGTCTTGCCAAGAACGATTCAAGCGCAGAGAAGGATGAGGAGATAATATCGAAGCTGAAACTGATGGGGAAAAGTGAGGTCTCCGACTCCGTATCATATGAGCAGGAGCGACTGGCGATGCTGGTGGACCAGACACAACATATAACTGTGTCTGGGGCGGCCAAGTTGAGCGATGCTTCACGGTCATCTGCATCATCAGGGCAAGATCCATACTTCAAGCCGTTACCGGCGGGCACGTTACATGCCGGGTCTCTAGCGGGATCTGGCGAAGATGCTATGCACAATGACTCTCAATATGGGGCATTCGTGAAAGCGCACGATGAGATGGTGGCCGACTACAACAAGCGGAAGGGAGAAAAGATGACGGGCGAGAAATGTCCAGTATGCGACACTCCATTATACTCGGACCCCGGTCCTCATGAGCTGGGCATATATCTTCACGCGCTCTCGTATGCTGATGTGGCCGAAGGTAGCTGGAGCTATCGCAGTCCTGCGCCACTGTGGGCGTTGCCTCCAGATGGTGTCAATGGGCCAAGGGATATTGGTCCGTGGGAGTATCGTGGTGATGAAGTCCTAGAAATAGGCGATGAGAGGGAGGATGAAAAGGCCAAGAATCAGACAGGGTTGATGAAGAACAAAGGCGAAGTCCTTTGAGATGTCGCTCCCTTGCGCCAGAGGCCGGGCAGTACAGCGAGCCGGCGGCTGTCATGGGCGTCATAGTACTCGGATACGGTGGAGGAAGTACTTCGTACTAGGGAGGCCTACATGGCCAGCGCACCACAGGCACAGGAGGTGATGATTTCTTCTTGCGCGCCCGCCAGCCACCTAGAAAATCTTCCGATTGGGGGCCCTGTCCGGAACAAGTCACCACCAATCACCCCCGTCGCTTTACCTCCGGGGGAGGCTAACTCGTCACTGCTAGCCAGCACTGCTAGGACTGCTAGCTAACCGTTCACCTCGTAGACACCCTGACATCCTCTCCAGCTCCAGCCCAGCTCTCCCTCCCACCCCCCCATTTTCAACCTCGCTCTCCCAATTCCTCACTCTCCGATTGCGCTCTACCCATCCTTTCCATTTCTGTGTTGTCGCGCTCGTTCAATTCGCCCACCCACTGACAACCGGACAACTCATCCTTTTCTTTTCTGATCTGGCCTTCCTGTTCACTGAGTTGTTTTCATTTGAACTAGACGGGGCTCTCAGCAGCTGTCCCTGCCACTCCTTGTTGCTTTTCGCCTCGACCATTGCCTCCTCTTACCAGCGCGTACCACTTCTCCTACGCTCAAGTCGTCCGCCGGGAGATTGTGTGCATATTACAGATCACGATGCGACCTTTGCCCAGCAAGCGGAATCCTCTGGTTGCGCCTGGCGCAGCGCCGCCTTGTACGTCGATCTCGTGTGAGCTATGTATCGTTGGAAGAGGAACTGACGTCCAATCCAGATGAAGAGCTGGTGAGCCGTCGGCGGCTGGGCAAGACGAAATTGACGGTCAAGCCGGGCCAAGTGGGAACGTCGAATGCGACAAGAGCAGAAAACCTGGGTCCGTTCGAGTATGCCCATCTGCGGGCTCCTCTACCGGACGACCTCACTGGCTCCGAGATCTTTGCTAGCCAGTCGAACCAAGCTCACCCGGAAACATATTTTCTTATGGTACGAACTGAAATCGACAAACTATCCTGCGCCGCGTCTGACTATCTTTTGCAGAGGAGAAGTAAAGATGGCTTTGTGAGCGCGACTGGCATGTTCAAGATCGCCTTTCCTTGGGCTGCCCACATGGAGGAAAAGGAAGAGCGCGACTATCTGAAGAGCCTTGACTCGACAAGTCAGGACGAAGTAGCGGGCAATGTCTGGGTGGCGCCGGAATTTGGTATGATGTGCGCGCCAAAGCACGATCCTTCAGGCTAACAACACGTCCAGCTTTAGAACTAGCCGAGGAGTATGGGCTATCGGAATGGATCCGAGCACTTCTTGATCCGACAGACATTTCGCAAACGCCTTCCAGTGCGAAAAAGCCTATTGCCGCACCTCCCAAATTCGATCTACCCGCCGATAAGGCTAAACCCACTCCTCCCACCAAAGCGCCCCGTTCAAGAGCAACACGGTCGATGTCGCCAGGCAAAACGGCAAGCCCAACTAAAGCGAAAGCATCTCCGAGAAAGAGACAAACAAAAGCTCAGAAAGAAGCCAATATTGCAAATGCAAATGCAGCAAGCGCCATTCTCCAGTCTGCACTAGACGACACCGCATCTGTGGCAGAAACAACAGAATCGAAACCAGAGTCACCTGCTTTGCCAAGCCCACCCGCAACAAACCCGGAGCCGGAGATGGTGAAGGTTGAGGTCGAACAGACAGTCGAAGTTGAGGGCACAACAGAGACGACTCATACGAATGTGACGGTTGAAATGCCGGCTGGCTTGCCAGAGTTACCTCTCCCAGAAGATACCGAGAAAATGCTTGAGACGGCCAAAAAGATGGTCGAAGAGGCCAAGACTCTGGAAGGCTCTCCGAAGGTTTCCAAGAAGCGCAAAGCGCAAGAGCCAGAGCCCAGCGACATCGACGCGGAACTTCCAGCACAGCCTGCTAAGAAAGCGAGAGTGTTGGAAGAGAAATTGAAGAGAGAAAAGGTGCGAACAAGGGCAGTTTTGGGTGTCACGGCGACACTCGCTATAGCGTGAGTTTCTTTCGCATCCGACCATGACTCGAGGGCTAACGACTACAGCGCTGCAATTCCATACTTTTTCTGAGAGGAAGCTCTTTGCTTATTCTGTTTTCGACTTTTTTGTCTGAGATACCACTTGTTGAGATTTTCCCGGGAGACAGGGGTTCAAATATTGGCGAAGAATTGCACAGGGGAATGAAGACGGAGGGTTGCTTCTTCGGTGGACCAAGCGTTGGACATGAGCTGACAGACACTTTTCCACAAGAAAGGTTCGGGCGGTTACCCAGTGCCTTCAGTATTCAGCATGATCAAAGGGACGCCGAGACCCAGGATCCAGTTGGACTTGCCGAGCTCTTATAAACCAGTACCGAGTACAGACACAATTGAATGCGAATTTATTCGTCGGAAAAAAGCGACTTGGAACAAAACAGATTCCCTCCACCGGCCTTTCGAAGTTCCTTGACCAGAGTGGGCGATAGAAAGGGTGTCCAGTACCGAGCACTCTGACAATCTGGAGTTGATCTGCACACAAGCAGCCGACGATCAGATTGGAAATGAAGCGATGAACACTCCAGCATCCCTAGTGTGATAGGGCATGGCCTCCACCCAGCCTCCATCCAGCCTCCATCCAGCCTCCATCCTCCGCCAGTGTCCAGTCCACGTGATGCTCTAGTCGCCTGTCACGTGATGAAATATGGTGGAGCGACTGCATTCCCGAATCCACCGAACCTCCCAACCTGGCACGTCACTTCGCTCTTGACAAGCTGCTGAAACGCGCCATGTGCGTCGAATATACTTGGTACTCTTTGTTCAACGTCCTCCGTGCTCCGTACCTTTTCGGAGCTATGGAAATCCGTACATTTGACCATTGAACTTGTTCGAATTCCTGTTCATTGGTGGCGCAGTTGTCTAGTGTTGGCCCTTTGTCGTTGCATAGCCTGCGAGTGGTCCGTTCCTCCTTCGTGTTCACGGACGCGGGCGCCCAAACGCAGCCAAACATCGCTTCAGCTGGCTGTTCACCGGCGCCTATTTTTTTCTTCGCATTCAATATCTCATTGCCTTGGCCGGTCGTCACCAAATGAGGCCCCTATGACCGTCCCCTTGGTTCAGTCTTCACGTTCTCCCTCGAATAGTCTAAGAATGTCTCATGGCCACCTCGATCCTTCTGAACACCATACCCATGGACCCTTCGTTTGCGGCATCCGCAGCTTCGCATCACTCCTCCCCGGATCACACATGTCCGCAATGCGGCTTTTTTCTGCACTCGCCGTCCGAATCCGCTCCTGAAGCCGCTGAAACCTCCGAAGCCAAGCGCCGCATCCGAGATCTTGAAGCGCAGGTACGGCTCTTAAACTCCAAAGCCGCCGCGGCGGTAGACAAGCTAGCGGACTACGAGGACGAAATCCAATACCTGCGCGATGCATACTCCAAGTCGCAGCAACAGCAGCAACAGGCAAGATCATACGCGAGGCTGAGTATCCCACCGGGGGAAGGCACAGGCTCGACCACAACACCAGGCCAAACGCCACCGCAGCAGCAGCAGCAGCAGTCGAGGCTGGCAAGCATTAGCGCATTCCTGCCAGGACGGAAGAGAGATGCAAACAATAGTGTCGTGGGACAGAACCCCTTGACTCCAGCAACAGGCACATTTCCGCAGAACAGCGCCGCACTCTTCAGCAATGCCACACTGTCTCCGCCTAAAACCCCCTTCCTGGGAGTTGGAGCGATATCTAGTAATTCGACTCCCATCCTCTCGTCTTCCTCAACCTTGGACAACAACCAATCGACTGTGAGCCTGTTGTCATTGCAATCCTCCCTCGAAGAAGAGCGTACCCTCCGCATCCGTGCCGAATCCTCCTTGTCACAGACTCAAACCGAACTAGAAGAGCTCACAGCACAATTGTTTGGCCAGGCAAACGAAATGGTCGCAAATGAAAGGAAAGCTCGAGCGAAGCTAGAAGAGAGGGTGAAAGTGTTGGAGCAGAGGGATGTTGAGAAGAGAAAGAGGTTAGAACGGTTAGAGAAGGCTGTGAGCCGGATCGAGAGGGTTCGAGGCATGGTCGGCGACTGAGATACCTCGGAGCCAAAGATTGGTTCTATAAAAAGCGAATAGATTGGCCTAGAAGAAGTGTCTATGAGACAAGGTTGTTCCTTCGTCAACAACGGAATCCGACCACCTCCACCATAGCTGTGGTTGCCCGCGCGTTCGAGCACACGAGTCGATTGTCGGTACAGACAACAAGTTTGTCGAACAGCATACTTGAGCGCACAAACAGCAGCGCTCGTCTACCAGGAGACACCGTGGGAGGCGGACTAGGAGGAAGGAATGAGAATGGTGTCTGCAAGGAAGTGAAATGGACAATAAGGCTCGACTTTTGCTATGTATCCGAGTCGACGACGGACCTCTCCAGCAATTCCCAGACCCCGGAATCACCGAATCGGCATTAATTATCTGGGATTAGACATCGACCCTGGAGGCTCGGGGAACACACGGGAAGGTCATGGAAAGCCCTCACGAGTCAGGAAGGCCAGAAGGCGACAACTCAAGTGGACGAAGACGCCAAAAAGGAGGTACGTCAAGCGACTATGCTGGCTCTGGAGAATTCGGATATAAATATGGCTGATCAGCAAGGGAAGGGCATTAGATAGGTCGGGTGTAAAAGCTGGCACACGGGGCATCAATATCGATCAAGTCAGATGATTCGATTTGGGCATGGAGGATATGCGTAGAAGTCCTCTATCGTATATCTCTATGCCATATGATAAATCCAACATTTTTCTCGGAGACAGCTCCTCTTTTCCAGTATTCCAACATCAATGAGGCTTCGCTGGTGTTTTCTTGTCCAATGCTGAAGCGACCTCACTCGTCTCGCCGGTCACGTGGAGCTTGGCACTTGGCAGGTACTTTTGCGACTTCTCCTGCTCTGGTCCTCACCCACTGCTCTGTTTTCCTCTCTCTCTCTCTCTCTCGAGGTGCCTTTGTGTCAAAGCAGCCCATGCCAGAGTGTGAACAGAAACATTCTTGCAGCGGACAAAACAGGCACGTCTTGTGATCACTGTCCATGCAACTCTTCTGACTGCAACTGGAGCTCTCTCGTCATCTTGGACTGTTCTACCAAGCTGCCTCACCTGAATCCACCCGAGTCCCTGTTCATGTCGCGAGCTGCTACGGTACACCCAGGGCCAATGAGTGGACGTTTCACCTCCGTCATCAACAGTACGATGCACTGTGCACACGATGTATGCCCCAGTCGCATCCGCGGAAGGGTTCCGAAGTCAGCACCTCAGCCTAACTATTTGGCATCGAACGAAAGCCAACTCTGCCTCCCACTCATAGCTCACTGTCCTCTTGTTCCGATTGACGTCTTCGATTGAGGCAATAATAATCAGAAGTTGAACATCTTTGTCCTGCGGTTTTCGTCTCTGTGCAGTCAGCTTTATCAGGACCTCGCACGAGCCCCGGCCTGAGGCTCTTTTCGGGCTCCGTCGAGTCAGGTCATAAGCATCAGGCTTGATTTTCTGGAATATTAGTATTGCTCACCTGCAGGAGATGAGATTCCGGTTGTCACACTGTTTTCTGCCTGCAGTGATTGGTGGTTTCTCAGACAATTGCCCCCACTGTCATCAAGACGCCCACCTCCACCCTCTCGATCACTTACGTGTGCGCATGGCTTTGTCGAGACGACGCATGCTCTCTGTCTAGCTCATACTTACTCCAGGCTTAGCCTTGTACCTGTAACGCACCCATGCATGCAGGCTTGGCCCGGATACCGAGTATCAGCCTTCAATTATGCCTCATTCGATGACTGGCAATGAGCACTAGCCCGATGCAGATACACCATATTTGGTTGTCAGATCTCGAAATGGATTTGCAGACGTAAGTGCCCAGGTTTGTGACGACTTGAAGCTTTCTGAGCGCCCCTGTCTCGTCTCATAAACCTGACAAGTGCGCTCTCGCACTGTTCCTCTCAAGACACTTCCCAACGTCGCAGTTGGCAACAGATCAAAATGCGTGTCTCGCAAGGCCACTTGGTGTTTTTCTCTTTGGTCGCTGCCTCAGTGGCAGCCATCCGACTCGAGAAAAGAGCAACTGTTCCAGCGTTTGTTCGTCAGTTCGGTATGAATCTTTGACTCTCTGCATTTGCTCTCTTACTCCTTGACTTTCTCGGAGCTGCAGAAAGAAGCCGATAGGAATCTTGCTACGAGAACAAGCTGATGTAGTGTTCTGACCACAGCTCCGGTGGTGTTTCTCGATTCCACGGAAGCATACCTTCCCAGTTCCATCGCCGCACAAGTGGCGAACACTCATCCTGAGGATTTCGCCGGACGAAATATCTCTACGCCCGCCCCTTTGACCTTGGCCAATCTCAACAGCCTCGATACCTTCGGGAGCAACGGTAGCAACGTCACTCTGACTTCCGACCAAGGCATCCGTGCCCTGCCTTCGTGGTTCAACGGCGCGAAACCCAACGCCAATGGCTCTTTACCCGGCAACACAACGGCCACCGCCGTCGTGACCGTGAGCAAACCCAACAACATCCTCGACGCGTTTTTCTTCTTCTTCTACGCATACAACCGCGGCGACTGGATCTTTGGACTCCCCGTCCTCGAGCTGGGCGACCACGTCGGCGACTGGGAACACGTGATGGTGCGGTTTCAGAACTCGACTCCTCAAGCCATGTGGTACAGCCAGCACTCGTCGGGTCAGGCGTTCACATTCAGCACGGTCCAAAAGTTCAACAACGGGTCGCGACCGATCGTGTACAGCGCCAACGGCACCCACGCAAACTACGCTATTCCGGGCCCCCATCCGCTCAACATCACCGGTCTCAACCTGGGCACCGGCCTGCCCATCCCCCCCGTGACCGACCAGACCAGTCGGGGCATTTTCTGGGATCCCCTGGACAACGCGTTCTTCTACCAATTCGACAACTCGACGCAACAATTCACCGCCTATAACGGCATCGACCCTACGGGATGGTTGAATTTCAACGGCATCTGGGGTGATTTGCAACTGCCCATCAACACCCCGGGCCAGGTCGACCTGCTGGGACAGATCAAGTACGTGAGCGGACCCACGGGGCCTAAATTCAAGGGCCTGGGGAGAGTCAACGTGTGCAATACAGCCACCAACGGTAGCTGTCCCATCCTGACTTCGCTGAGTGCTGCATGAAGAAAAAACAGAAGCCACGAAAAAAGGGTTATGTTGCTTTTTTTTAGCCATGTATGCTTGAATCAATTGGGTAACACACTGGAAAATACACGCATATCCACGGCTTTGGACCCCCTTCTTGCCTCCCCTCCCCTCCCTCTTTGAAGCGCCAACCTTTTGGTCATTTTTTATGTTCCTTGAGACTCCCAGGTATGCCGTTTGGTTTGAGAAGAAGTAGGCCCAAAATGGTGTGTGAATAGTAAATATGCACACACCTATATAAGGGGCGTCCAAAAAGTCCCTTCCTGAGTCCAAGTAGCAATAGTATATGGACCCCCCGTACTCTTTTGTGTGAGGGAGAGAGCACATGTGAGCGAACGCAGTATACATGCTCATCAGCCTGGTCGACTTCCCCATACGCTTCAACTACAGCTCGAGGGAGAAAACCCACAAATCTTTTATCATTTGATGATTTTATTTCACGCTAATCGTTACATGGCATGACGACTGGTATCGTCGGAAGCTCTATGGGACATCAAACTCTCGCGTGGCAGGGACCCATGCAGTCTGATCATCTCGGAGTACTACATCATTAATCTTCGCTTCAATGCTTCATTAACAGAACGCCTCGCTAAGATTGGCAATTTGCTTTGCACCATGCGCCCGACTTCATCATGTATATTGCTCCAGTGCAACGCATCTTTTAGAGCTGAATCACATCCACCTCGCTGAAATCAGGTGGGGCGCCACTGTAAACACAGCGGCCTTTGGAATCGAGGCCTTGTCGAACATTGCTGACCCAGAGATGACTGCTGAAGCGGCCCATCCGGTGCACCTCGTCGTCACTAACGCCGAGTTCGTCCCGCGGAATCCAGATGACCGGCCTTCTGGCCCGGAGCGCACTGTGTTGGAAAGCCCTCTGCACGAGCTTATCGCGTTCTTCGGGTGTCAGATCCTCCAGTTCGTCATTGACTCCTCCAAAGAGAGCATCGGCAAGTTGGTTCCGCGCCGCGCGTTGTGCTTCGACGTCCTTTTCAGTTCCCGTTACCGGGTTGAAACTGTTGAGCTTGTCAAAAACTTCCTTAGGCTGCTGCAGAAGATTTTTCTGATGCCTGGACGCCCCACGGGCCCGCGATAGACTCCTACTTTGCGAAGGACTCTCCCACTCGCCAAAGTTCGATGCTCGTCGGTTGCTGCGGTCGCCCCTGTCGGCCCAGGACCTGCGGTGGCCTCTTTGTGAAATGGTCCGTGGCACAAGGCCTTTGGTCCGGTCGGCTGTCTTCTGGGCTGCTGCTTTCATCATTCGAACGCCTTTGCTTTCTTGATCCAGGTTCATGGCAATCTCTGGATTCTGAAATTCGTATGGCTCAAGGTCTGGCAACTTCTGAGACTTCTGCCTGGTGAGCCTTTCCTGTCTATCCTTTTCAATCTCTTGGAGCTCGATTTCATGTTGTTGGCGGTCTTCTTCCGTTGACTGTCGCTCGTTACGCTCCAGTTGCTCTTCAAGAGCCTCATTTTCATTCTCATCCTCAATGAGTCCTTGTTTCTTTTGCATTGCCCGGGCAAACTCCTCATCTCGCCGTACCGCGTCATCTTCGAGAGTAATAGGGAGATACCTGAACAACGGACTGAACGCATTGTTGAGCAGCCATTGATAGCCGGCGGTGATGATAAGAAGAATAATCATCCCGATTGCTTGCCCCGTGCAGGAGACGTTCCCGTGTTGATCTCTGACCAAGAAGAACATGCCGATCAGAGCAATCTCCATCACATACACACCTACGAAGGTGAAGTTGATGGCGTTGGGGTACAAGAGGCCACCGGTGTCGCGGGTGAAGCGGTTGACGTAAAGAGTATTGTACCGGTAAACAAACCAAAATAGTGAGAAGGTGACGATGTTGAAAAGAAGGATCAGGGGCGAGATAACCGAATAGATCAAACCGATGCAAGCCAGATTGGTGTACACGGGGAAGAATGTTCCCCACTGGATGTTTTGCAATTGGGTCTGTCGTGTGAATTTGGCCCGGGCTGTATTGTCAAACAGAGGAGCAAGGATGAACCACCCGATGAGTGACCCCACTTGCAGCAGCGCTCCAGCGCTCACTGACAAGGCTTGGAGGAGCATGTATGAGAAGAAATAGTTGCTGGCCTTAGGGATGTTGGTACCCAGGAGACTTGGGACATTTGTCCAGCCGTCTACGCTTGTAAAAAGCGCGAAGAATTGGGTCAAGGCTGAGGCAATTGATACGACCAAGAACAACTGGACGAACAGGAAGCAAAAGTAGTAGCGTTGAACCGAAAGCTCCACCAGCATCCCAGAGGGAGTGCCCTGACACCGTACCAGGAAACGGAGAATCAGAGGGAGCAGAAATAGCAGCAGGCCAAGCAAGGTTGCTGGCAACACACCCTGGAGGATACTCCGGATCCAAGCAGGAATTTTGAGGACCCAGTGAAGCCAGCTGTACGCCTTGGCAGCAGTATCGAGCTGAGAAAGAGCCGACGTAAAGGCGATGGGGATGGCCCAGAGGATGATCATACCAACCACAATGACCACAACCCCACCTGTCCTGATGTATGCTGACCACCATGGGATTGACATGTTGTCCCAAATGACGTCGTTGGGATCGATCTCGACCAAGCGTGGAGCCATCTGCTTGGGCAGATGGTGACTGACAGCTTGACACGCCATGTGTGCCGCCACCTGATGATTGAACTGGACAAAGGCGGAATTCATTAGTGGAAACCGTTCAGGATGTGCTTGATCATCCTCTATTTCAACATTGAGCCTAGCAACCTCCTTCCGGCAGTATCGAATCGTGTCAACTTTTTCGCCCATCAGAGGCAGCGAGGGCATCCATTGCCAGCCGAATATCGGTAGTCTCATGGTGTCGCGATCTTTCTCGCTGAGATAACGTCGCCAGACTGCGTCGTCGGGGTCGTGCTCAAAGCCCCATTCAAATGCAGATGGGTACTCGACGGGTTCTTTTTCCTCTGAGCCGAGACCGATGGCTTTTTTGAACTTCTCGAATCTGGACAACTGCTTCTCCGGTCGAGCCTTTTCACCCCCCATTGTACTACCCTGAGAGATTGGGCTTCCTGGTCGTTCGCGAGGCGACTGTTCCATTGACCTTCCCTGGTCACCAACCGAGCTTTCATTCTTTGCAGATGCATCTTTGGCACCTGTTGTCCGGGGCTGTCCAAAACTCCTGTGGTTCTTGGGTGTCGCTGGACTTGCTTCGTCGTTTTCGTCGTGAGAACTTCGGCCCATTTCCTTCCGTTCAGCATCAGCCGCCACGAAGCCATTGGTGGTGTCCATGGTGCCATTGACTCCTTTATTGACTCCACGAATGCCTCCCAGAATTCCTTTGCCGACCTTGTCCAAACCGTGAGTGACCGCAGATATGCCTTGACCAATTATGGGGATATTGTACATGTCCCGTTGAGGCTGAGGGTTTTCTTGTTCCTCATCATCGCTTGACTCCGAGGGAGAGCCAGCCTGGTGACCATGAATGACATCGCGAAGATTATGCTCAACCTGATGAGGGTTACCAGTTGTAGTGCCGTGGCCATGGGCTGCACGATCACCGGCTTCATTTCTAATGGTTGCTCGCAGCTTCTTTTCCTCTTTGCTGAGTTTCTTGCCTGCCTCCTTCTCTGCTTTGGCAATATTCTCTTCGTGCTTTTTGAAACATTTCTTGATGAGCTCGGTCTCGGCTGCCTCTAGGGTTTGAGCGAGCTTATCGCGCTTTTTGATCTTGTCACTCAGCTCGTCGAAATTTCTGTTGATCCAGATGTTTCTAAGCCCGCCGGGGAAAACGTCGTAGAGGCCATCGAGGGCCTCGACATTGCACCACTTCTGAGGGATCGAGCTCACTAGGACTGTGGTAGCAGAGGCACGCAGACGATGCTGGGGAGATGTCAAGTAAGCCTGCCGCATCCGGATGTAGTTGCGGAGTTCGTCAAAAGACACGTAGCATATCCAGACAATCAGTCCCAGGGCCAAGAGCCAGTGAGCCCAATACCGTCCAGTGTGATTTGGAGCGACGTTCCCCCAAGCAAGCTGGTCAAGGCCCGTGACATTACTTGCGTTTTCGTTCTTCCCAAGAGCAAATTGTGCCCCACGACCGTCAATCAGGTTGATAGGGATAAGAATCGGCAGGATGACCAAGGCGGCGGGGACAAAGATCCTAAGCAGCGTCCTCAGATATCTCAGAAAGAAGTAGGCGTCCAGGCCACACTTTTGGACAAATTCCGAGTTGGAGGTACTGGTTACAGGCTTGATCCATTTCCACCAGCCTGGAGGCGATGGATTGGTTCTTTCTCTTTCTGGAACAAGGTATGTCCGGGGTTGGTATATTCTGGCGAAGCGGTCCTTGATGAGAAGAAACAATCCGACTTGGATGCCGAACACCGCTATGGCAGTGACCAGGGAAGCAGCGAATTGACCGGCGCTTTGGCCATTTTTCTGCTCAGCTGCGGTGCTATTCCCACCGATGATAAGTGTATCGTTCACAGTCGACATTTTTGTATTATGCTTGATTCTCTTGTGGAAATCTTCTTATTTCTGCGTAGAGAGGTATTGTATCGTCAAGGCTCGTGGTCAGAGGATTGGTAGTGGCATGACTGGTTCTCTTGCTGACGACCTGCGTACTCGTTTGGGATGGGAAAAGGTGCCGCAAGGCACGTCAGTGACAAGCGGTTATTAGACTGGCGCGGTTCTGGTGAAAGAGACTGTGCTTCCAGGGGCTCGAAACAAGGGCAGAGACAAAGCGAGAGGGGGGAATTAATGAAGGTCGTTGTATGAGATGGAGAATGAAACAAAGATCAACATTAAGGAAAGCAAAGAGATCAAAAAGTTGGATAAAAGGGCTTGGAGAGTACGTGTTCTGTCGATCGAAGGCAAGGCACGAAGATCTCGATAGAGCGTGTGAGAATCGTATGCCTTCATTGCCGTGCAAACGCCAGTGACGTCGTGGCTGGCGCACCGTCAAACGCACAGAGGCTCCCAAAGGGGGCAACGGGCCTCGACAGCCAATCAGTCCAGGTGCTACAGCCCGCGCCCAAGCAGCGGTGCGACGCCTATTCCACCCCTAGTCTAGGCGGCCCGCTTTGGCGCCCGGGTGCCCAGTGGGTGCCCAGTGGGTGCCCACATCGGTTGCGCATGGCAAATACCCAAACAGCCATATTGTTGGCCATCAGGTTTTGGAACCTGGCCCTTCCACTGCACCAACGCAACCACGCACTCGTGGCGCAGCAGATGATTCCTTTTGATCGAGTGGTGGCAGATACAGCATTTCGTAGCGACAAGCGACAGACAGGCGAGACGCCGTGCAGCTCTCCTTCAGCTGCATACCTGCAATTCAGCACCTGGAGAAAACGTGAAACATCTGTGCAAGCCCTGGCAAATCTCACAGCCCGCCTGTACGAATAATAATTTACTCCAGAGTCTGATTCGGCATCCTTGTTAGATGGTAAGATTGAGCTTCGAGCGGTAGTAAGCCACCACCACTTGGCAGCCTTGTGAGCCTCGGAACTAGAAACCTCCCCACGCATCGAGCCCTGCACCTCGCAAGGCTACCTGAGTAAGGATCCTGCACGCCGCATCGGCTCGTCGAACACTCAGCTCTCCTGGAAAAACAAACAAAGAGCAACCAATCGCCTTATTCCCGTCATTGTGCTTTCTTTTCCATGACTTCTGCGTATTATCGCTATCCATCCCCCAGCAACAATGAACGAATCCCCCATTGCCGTCTCCAAAACCCCATCTGGAATCACTACCATCACAATCACTCGCCCCCACCGCCGCAATGCTGTCAATCCGTCCACCGCCCGCGCACTGTACTCTGCCTTCATTGATTTCGAAGAGGACACCTCGCAGAAAGTCGCTATTCTTGCCGGCTCCGAGGGGGCCTTTTGCGCCGGCGCGGACCTTGTCGACCTGACGGCACAATCCAAGCAAGATCCAGCCACTCTAGACCCGCTGGATAGAGATCATCTGCAACCAGTCCAAAATCGCAACTGCGGTCCAATGGGTCCGTCAAGGTTGCAGGTGAAGAAACCCGTTGTCGCCGCAGTGGCGGGCCACGCCGTTGCCGGCGGCCTTGAGCTGAGCCTTTTGGCTGACATGAGGGTGGTGGAAGAGGACGCAATATTTGGCGTCTACTGTCGCCGCTGGGGCGTGCCCTTGATAGACGGCGGAACAGTCCGCTTGCAAGCTATTGTTGGCTTGGGACGGGCATTGGACATGATTCTCACTGGCCGACCAGTTTCGGCGCAGGAAGCTCTGTCCATGGGTCTTGCGAATAGGGTCGTTCCCAAGGGCAAGGCGCTTGAAGAAGCCACGAAAATCGCAGAGTTGCTGCTGAGGTTTCCTAATGCGTGCATGAACGCTGACCGGAACTCTTGCTACTATGCGGCATATGGTGCTGAGAGCTTTGAAGATGCAATGAGGAACGAGTATGACCACGGGGTCAAGGTATTGCAGTCGGAGAGTATCGCAGGTGCTGCTCGATTTGCCGGTGGTCTAGGAAGACACGGCGGGTTTGACAAGTTGTGACTCTTGCTGCCTTGCTTCTCCTGAGCGGGCTCATAAAAATCCATTGATAATCTATGACTCGGGTACTCTCCTTGAGACGTGAGCGTCACTCGTAACACTGTATATGTATGGCCCACGCAGTTCTCTCGTAGATTCTGGATCGCATCCTTTCGTCAACGTCCTCCATAGTAGCCCGCGCCCTCGCCTCCACCAGGATACTGACCTTGACTCTGGTACGGATCCTGATAGGAAGTCTGATATTGATAGTCTTGTCCTTCTTGACCATATCCCTGACCACCAACGCCTTCTCGGCCGTATTGCTCATATCCAGCAGGGGGCTGCATGGGCCTGGGGCTGGGCGATCTGTTACCAGTGCTTGAGCGGTCTCCCAGCAACGCAGCCTCATGCAGTTCTTTTGATCCCCCTAATTCACTGCCACTTGATCCAAGGTCCTGCTCGTCCAGACCGCGTGCCCCACTTCCAGGGAAGCCGCCCATGAATTTGGTGTATTTGCTGAATGAGCCGGGAAGGGGCAATTTATCGGCCATGCTCAGCATATTGCTCAGACCACCACCTCCCCCGTGGTGTTGCTGCGCTGGTTTATGACCCGTAAAGTTTCCGAGAACGTCACCGACCATACCAAGCGGGTTGCTCCCATGACTGCTACTCTGGTGCCCGCCAGGGATCAGGTTCGCTAATCCGCCAAATGCTCCAGAGTTTGAGGACGACTGGCGGCCGCCGCCGCCGCCGTCATGGTGCTGGCCTGGAATGAAACTCGCAAGTCCTCCCAATGGACCAGAACTTGCCTGATGCGCTGCGCTTGTGCTTGGAGAAGAATGCTGAATGTGCGGATTGACGCCGGCTTTGTGATTTTTGCCTGCTCGCACCCCGTCTGAACTCAACACGGTCTCGAGGCTGTGTCCCCTGTCAGGTAAGCCATCCACCCATCTTTTTACTGAAGCGAACATATTCCGGTGGACTTCCACACCTTCGTCTCTGATGGCCGGATGATGGAATATAATTTCGATGTCGCGCATGACCTGCTGCACCGGGACATCAGGGTGTTCCCAAGCATACAGAACCCGTGGAGCGATGAATTTAAGAATCTCGGCCGCAACATTGCCCGCTGGTTCATTCAGCAAGTTGCTGAAATGGTCCTTGCTAAGCATCGAATGTGTAGGATCCGTGGAGTGTGGATCCGTCCAGACTTCGTATTGATGCTTTGCGGACGAATCCAGGACACCCTCACTTCCCGTTTGTAGGGCCTTCGAAATTACGTTGAGAATTGGTCGTACAAAAGGTGCCAAAAGTGAAAGGATAAACACTGTCAAAGTCTCGGTGATACGATCGACAAGCGCCTCTAAACCTGGAATCTTTTCAATGATACCACTGATTGTTCGTACAACTTTGTCGCGGAATGCAAGGATCGGATAGATCTGAGCGATTGTCTTCGCTGGGTCAAAGTTTGGAAGGCCTTCGAGGGCATTTGAAGCGGGCGCACCAGATTGTGACGAGTGGGTGGGCACTTGTGGTGGAACAGCTGATTGCACGGGCTGTGAAGCATGAGGGTCCGGATGCTGTGGTTGCTGTTGCCATGGCTCCATCGATGGCTGCTGCCAACCCTGATGTGTACCGCCGTATTGGTCATGTATATTATACATTTGGGTCACACCTTGATCGTGCCACTGAGGCTGCTGTTGAGGAGGTGCTGGATTGTTAAAGCTTTGCGATACGCCTTGATCGTGCCACTGCGATTGCTGTTGGTATTGAGGCGGATTCTGTTCCCAACGCGGCTGATAACCGGTCTCAGATTGTTGGGTCCAAGAATTTGCATCATACGCCTGAGGCTGCGATGAATAGCTTGGATGACTTGCCCGGTTACCCTCCCAGTCATCTACTCCCCTTGAAGACTCTCCATAGCTCTCTACTCCGCGGTATGCCCCTTGCACTCCATACCCTTCTTGTTGATTGGAACGTGCTTGGGCTTGGGCGCTTGCCTGCAGCTGCTCGGCCTCATCACAGAGACCTTTGGTTCCTGGGACCTTAGAGAGAAGTTTGACCAATGTCATCAAGGGATTTGATGACTGTGCGGCTTGCTGGGCAGTGCCGAGAGCGTTGTCCATCTCGTTAACTTCACTCTGTGTGAAATGGTCAGTTGCCTCTCCAAGAACCGAGTGATAGAAATCAACCATCCCGAAAGTGCCTGTGACGAGGGGGAAAACATGCTTTCCACGCAGGTTGATGGCGGTGGCTGTACCAACATGGGGGAACACATTGTGGAAGCCCATTTCTCGAAGTGCAAGCTCGACATAGTTTGTGTGGGCACCAAAGTCTTCTAGTGTGTGCAAGCCTTGTCCGAGGCATCTTAGAGCCTCAGCAAGATCTTCGTCTTTCCCTTTAAAGAACCCATTGCCATTGGTATAGAGACGACCATGGTGGATGCTGCGTTCAAAGCTGTACTTGACGAAAGCCGCGCTGGTAGCCCAGTCACCTTTCCCATTGGCGATATAGTTCTTCATACCAGTCTCCATGTCGACTTGTAATTCAATGTCCCGGACAGGGGCCCGGAGGCGGACATCGTACTTTCGAGCGTCCTCGTTGTCATTGTAGTCTTTGGGGTTGCTGACGATTCTGTTAGCGTTTTGTTGGCGGTAATAATGAAGGGAATAATATACTCGATGTGCTCTTCAGGTCGATACACCCCTAATCGCTCAGAAGTGACCTCGAACTCGGCTGTTGCATAACCGAACCCGAGGAACGATAGCAGCCAGACCAAGATGCGAATGGTCTCAGGTTGTGCTTTCTTCAAAGCTCCAGTATCCATAGCCTGGGAGTAGTCGCGGAGCCAGTTCCTAGAAACGGGTGGTTAGCCCTGCGTACTTCACGTCAGACCGAGTACGGGGGCGGGCATACCCGAAGTATACACGTTTGATCATCATCGAGTTCCATTTGTGATGGCGGATACACGCCACAGTCTTCAAGACGTCTTCAATATCGCCATGGCGCCAATTCTTCCCCTCTACGGCGGAGATAGAGGCAATATCTGTTCCAAGTGTCAGTAAGGGTATTCTTAGCGGATATCTCTCTAGGTCACGTACTGCCAGCACCAAATGCCTGGGCCTGAAGGGTGAACAAAATCAAGCCCAGAAAGAGGCACAGAAGCACATTTCGCGTGAATAGAGCCATGATGCACCGATGTCTCGCTCACAATGAGGTCGTTGATATCGCTCCAGGCAAAAAAGCGGTGGGATCAGTTCTTGGCCTTGGATGAAGAATGTCAACGCCAAGATGGGATCCGACGTGCCAGTGCTTCTCAATTTGAAGCCTTCACTGCGAGCTCAATTCAACATTGAAATACATATCACCAGCTCCAAGGTATGTCACCCTCTGCAACTCACGTTCTCAGATATACAGTGAATTGACCTTATAGGAGCAGGTGGTATAGTTGAGAGGAGTAGTGGTACGCCGTACAGCGCACGCGAGTACAATGATGTGTACCGAGTACAAGCCACATCTGCCACCCCACTGAGTCGTCCGCCTAATAACCCCTTGCTGATTCTGACCAATTGATCGATTTGTGCTCACAAAGGACTTATCTGCACTGCCACCGGTGAACGTACGCCGGGACACGGCGATGAGTCAACATGCGTTTGGTACCTTGCAGAGCTGAACCGTGAAACAAAGGTCGGGGCTAAGCATGTACTCCTTCAATCCAGGCACAAAGTTAGTACCTAGGTAGTTACCTGATAGTCAGCGGTGCATGAAGAGATGAACTATGCGGAGCTATGACGCTACGTCTCGAATCAGAATAGCGGTGAAGACTTACGAATTATCGGCCATCTTTAAACAGAAACCAATACTCATGATTTTTTCAGCTTTCTATTAACTAGAAATACATCTCATAACGGCGGTTATCCCCACCGACCGTTGTGCTGGACAAGAATGTGGCCCATGAAAAAGTCCGATATCGTTTTAAGCCAGCCGTCAACCGTGAGATGTGCATTTGTTCCATCCATGAGGAACCAACATAGTACCCAACCAGAAAACCCACATCAACCCATCTGGTATCTTTTATATTTCTCATCTGTCATTTCCTCGCCCGCAGGTGCCGAATGTGCAAACTCCCGTAAATCCACATATAATTGAGAACCGCCAATATGATGATGATCGTTGTCTATCATGATCCTCTTGACCTTGGGGATATGCTCGGGAAACTCCATGCTAAAATCAAAGTCGTCTTTTGAATCGCTGTACCACCATACTCCCTGTTGATCCTATCTTCCACAAATAGCTGGTATCATGATGTCAACTTCGTCGAATCGCTATGCCTTTCCGCTCGTTGAAAAATGAACAAAAATTTTCCTCGTCGTGAGATACATATGTACAAATCAAGGGGGTTGAGAAGTTGGAGGTAGGGTGAGAGGGGGTTGTCAGGCACCGGAAAGCACAAAGGCAAGCGACACATCATAACACCGGCCAGAACGAATACAGCGACACAACGGCGAGCACGGAGGTAGAGCACTCCAAGGACAGAGACCCTCTCACCACCGGCGGGCGGCGGTTGTCTGCTGCATCATACCTGGCGAGATGGATGACGGTGGGCTCGCGATGCGGTTGCCCGTGGAGGGATTCACAATCGGGATGGCGTTGTTGCGAGAACGAATCGCCGAGGGTTGATGGATTTTGAGGTTGTTGTGGTTGCCGGCGAAGCTAGGCGGGGACATGTATGCAGACGTGACTGCGGAGGAAATAGACAAGGCGGGCGTTATCTGTTGGGGTTGAATCTGGGATTGGAGGGGAGAGGAATCCGGCGAGCCACTCGACAGCGACGAGCGATCCGACGACCCTGACGTTACCGACTGACGCTTTGCGAAGAAGTCAGTAAAGGATGAAGTTGTGGAGAGAGGCTCGCCACAAACCTCATCGAATGTCAGGAGGTTTGGACAAAACTCTAGATCGTCGTCCAGGTCGAACGACCGTCCTGCCTCAAACCGCGCCCGGTATGCACTTATGCTTGGAGGCTCTGTGACAACAATCTCCTTGACAACCTTAGGTGCACGGAATTGCCGATGGGAGTTCTGGGCCGCTGACAACCGGGGTGCTCGTCGAGACCGGCCATGGTGGCTATGTGTCTGGGGCATAGGCTGCGGATTGGTTGCTTGATGTTGTTGATGGGCAGTGTAGTAGAAGGTCGACATGGTGTAGGAGGATCCGATTTGCAGCTGAGGACGACCAGCAAGTACAAAGAGAGGTCTCGGAGGGGAGTGTAGCGGTGCAGTTGTAGTGTCGAGACGGATGCCAGCTAGGCAAACAGTGGCAAAAAAACAATGGGTGTCAGCTGATAGTCTGATTGAAGCGCAGAGGGTCTATGCTGAACAGATGTTTGGTTGACAAGAATGTTTACAACAGGCGTCAATGGGAAATGTAGGATAAGGCGTGAGAGGAAAAGGCTGAAAGGGAGGATGAGAGTGGGTGGCAGGTGGTAGATAATGGCAGTGTAAAGTGAGATTGAAAGCAGCGGTGGGATGGTGATGTATGGGCAGCTTGCGAACTGGCTGGCCAAACAGGCGGTGGAGGGAAAGGCAAGAAGGCGAGAGAAAAGGCAGAAATCGGGAGAGGTGAGAGGCCAGAGGATGCGAGGGTGCGAGGGCCCAGCGCACGAAGCCGGCGAGGGCGGGAAATATCAGGGCGACCAGCACCACCAAGGACAAACTTGGCCACAAGACCCGCTTTGTCCCAGCTGGTGGTGCCTGGAGCGATGCCTGTCATTCGCTGCTAAAACGTCAAGGCGTCGCCGACTAATGCGCCCTAGTCCGCGACGAGGGCTCCAATTTGCCGGGGACAGCCATGAAATTTGCCTCTGGGTGCCTCTGCCCGACTCCACACGCTCGGAATAGCCCAACGCTCTGCACGCAGCCCTCAGTCCGGCCCTCGACTCCAGGCGTAATTCTGAGCACAGGGACCGACCACACCCGTTCTGGGCACCCACTGGACACCCAGTTGGGGGGCAGAGTTGTTTCGATCCTGACCCGCCCCTCACCCACAATATGCCAGTTGGGTGCCAGTCCCGCTAATCTCTTCCAGCCTAGAGACGAGCGCTTTCTGCACGAATCGTCTGCGCCCTGCCTCCTCCCTGCCCTCATGCTCTCATTGCCCATGGTGCCCTCGTGGTTCTTCCTTCCACCGCCCCCTCCCCAGACTTGGCCTGGAAGCTAACTACCAGCCCAGGCGTAGTCCGCAGCTACCTACGAGTAAGGACGCAGCTACATGTCCTGCGCCCCTCGTCCAACGATGGATGTGGAAAGAATCGCTCCCCTCTCGCCTGTCCCTCATCATCTCACCCCCCAACCGGTGCACGAATCAATTCCATCCACGCCTCGTGTTACCCAATCCGCTTGACGGTTTGTCCTGACCCTCCTGCTTGGACCCCTTCTCACGTCGCATGGTCAAAGCTTGCTCTACGAAGCGTCTGGCCCTTGCAGATCAGCGAAAGTTCTGCATTTTCGGCCTCGATTTGTGCCATCTGTGCCTGACAGGAGGTAACTGCGGAGACATGGTTTGAGCATACCTCAAGAGCTTTCCAAAAGAACAACCCCCTAGAGACACATTCCGTTCGAACTTGTTGGCCTTTTGTCGCGTGATACTATGGGTGTCTCAGCGAACAGGCACAGGTACCCCACACATGCGCCTCAACCGCCGACTTCATCTCCTCCTGTCTAAGAACAACTACGGCCACGCACTCGGCAGGCCCTCCGGAGCAACCCCTGTGCACATAAGAGCAGTTACCACACTCAGGAGCTCGGTTGTCGGCAGCAGCAGAGAAATGGAGGCAGGAGAATCCTTGTCCTCTTTCTCACACATCTCTCTCGTATGCCCGAGAAGAGTTGGTGCTTCGAAATGCGCTCTGCTGTCAGATTTGTCCAGTTCGCACCTCGAACGCGATGTTCCACTGGGCACGGCACGCTGAGCAAAGCAAACGCCAATGACGGTGGTGACGCTGCGATGTCGTCGCGTCCAATCACCTCCTGAGATGTGGGCAACCGTCCGCCTATCTGAAGCTCCCTTTTGCGCCATTGACGCTGATCACGGCATTACACAGCATAACAATGCACGGAAAGGCCGCGGACAAAGTCGCTCGGATCAAGGATTTTCCCCTGCCGACCACCTACCGGCTATTCCTTCCATTCGCTTTCCAGAATCTCTCTCATCTCAAGCACCACGCTACCCCAGATGTTACAGCGCAGGAGAGCTTTTTCTTTACCTTCATAATCGCTGTCACTATCATAATCAGGCCAGGCTTGATTTGGTAGCCTACTATGGCGTTTCCTAGAGTAGCCCGTCCCTTTGCCTTCTCTGAGTTGACGCCCCATATCATGTGGAACTTGACACGACATCAAGATAAACAATTCAGGTCAGTTTGAGAGCAGTGAGTGCGTTGACCGATCTTGTTAGGTATTCCTCTCTTTCCAGAGCCTTGCCCGTCCCAGCAGACACCGGTCTCTGTTCCACAAGTAACCAGTGGCCATGGATGCAAGTTCCTCTCGGCTCCTCCCCTGTTTGTTAAAATCAATGCAGTATCGCTTCACTCGATCTAGACATAAGGCTGAATATGACTTCCCGCTCTCTCCACTGTACGACATCTGCAAGCACACATATCTCGCTTAGCAGATGAAAGTTTACAATGGTTAACACCGAACGGGTCACGGTTTCCCCATGCCTAAGTGACACAGTGTAAAGGAGCCCCGAAAACTGCCTTTGGGCGATTCAGGATCTTAGGCTTTCAAGAGGGTCTTCTGCCTGGTACAATACCAGCTCAAGTCCCAGTATTCCAGCTGCGTCAGGAGATCAGTCACATGGACTACTTCAACATCATGTGCCGGCACCAGTCAGCTATCATGTGCACGAACGAGTAGTTGACGAAGAGACTTCCAACATCGTCTGACGAAGACGAAACGCTATGCGCAACAGCAGCGCTTCCAACACTTCTGATTCTGTTCGCCCAGGCGTTCCCTGCCGTGCAAAATGCCGCCAAAGGTTTTGCTTCCCGCGGTCCTCAATGATGAGGAAGACTACGGCGGTCTTAACCGTTCAAGCATTCGCGGAGAACCAGATGCAGGACGACGCTGTCTTTTGGCATTCGCTCGCCATGAGCAGCCAAGCACAGTGAATCTTGAGTCGTGACACTATGCCATTATCCCGCGTCTTGATTTGTATCCCTCCAACGCCAGGGCGCTTGTGGATGGTGGATGACCTGCGTGGGATTCAGTGCTGGCACATCGTGGGAGAGTTGGGCCTTGTCAAAGGAACGAGCATGCCGTTTGAGGGATTTCCAGACCCTAGCCCGAAACAAACTGGCAGCGAATCTCACGGCACGCATGGCGGGCTACAATTTACACTGAGAGAGCCTGGGCGTGGTGTTTCCGATCCCGTCGAACGGCGTAAAGTGATGGCTATCAGAACTAGCTCTGGTGGCTCTAACCCTCAATGCAGAGCTACGACAATGTTCCGCGCCTGGTACCATCACAGGTGACAGTTAGGAGGCATATTTCCCCTCAGGCCAGCGTATACACAACACAGGTAGATAGCAACCGTCCGTATTCCCTTGGCGACAAAAGGACCGGACGGGTTTTCTTGCAGCAGAGGCGGGAATGAAGCTTGTGGCGTGAGAGCGGCAGTACCGCGACCGCGGTAGCCTGACGATGTAAAGTGACGCACTGCGATGCTTGCGCTCTGTCTCCTGATCAACCCAAGATGTGCGCGAGATAGCTATACATTGAGAAATTTGATGCCTCTGTCCAGAAGCCGGTTACTGTGCGACATGATCGAGGCAGGAGATTAATCGCTGCTGAGCTCTAGACAGGGCGAAGAATGATGCCTTCTCTTGCCCGGGGCCGGCCGCCGGCCCAAGCACAACGGAACGTGTCCGTTCGTCGAGAACGGGATGAGCGAAACCCCTCTAGGTCTTCAGCGGTGGTTCTATCGAGATGTTCTCGGGCGCATTCCGTTAGAGTAGTTTGACATGTCGAGTCGCGCAGTCGACAGGTAGGCCACGTTCCGTGGGAAGCCATCGCCGTCGTTTTGAGTGTCGGAGAAAAATCCCACTTCTATCAAGGATTTTCAACACGGGCTTCCGAGTGCGCGGCGAAGAGGTAGATTCACGAGGATGGGGATGAGACGCATCCTTTCTCCAGGCCCCCTTAGATCGGATCATCGGCCTCTTCTCCCTTCCTCAACCTACTCTGCGTTTCTCCCCCCCTCGTCGTCGGTCCCTCAAGGTTGTCATCCAGCTCTACCAGGTCCCCTTCTGCTGCTGCACGGTGGTCGCCTCCTCTTTCTTGTTCTTGTTCTCGTTCTCCGCCCATGATCATTCGCTCCGCCTGCTCCGCCTCCCCCCTCGTCTCGTCCAGTCCGATATTCCCGCCGGGCTTCCCGCCTTCCTCTCTCCTCCCAATCACGACGTTACCCACGGCCAACATGCCCGCACCCACCCACCACATTCCCTTCAGCTTCTCGCCGAAGATCAACGCGCCGAGCACAGCGGTGATGACAAAGTTGGCCGAGACGTTGACGATGCTGACGCGCGTGGTCGACTCGGCGCGGGTCAGCGCGGACGTGAACAGCGCCCACATCAGGGCGTTGAAGACGAGGTTGAGCACGAAGAATGTGGCCCGGACGGCGAGGTCGATCAAGGTGTTGTCGGCGGACAGGGAGAGGAAGGTGGCGATGGAGGAGGAGAGGTTGGATGTCAGAGACGTGGTTGTTCTGTTTTTTCATTTCGATGGACAGAAGAGTCGATTAGTTTTCTTTGCCATGGTTGAAATGGAATCAATGGACAATAACGATGGCCGGGGCAGGATGGGTTGTCAAGGCGAGATTGGGAAGTTTCCATTGAGGAGCGAGATGGGACTGGGGGCCAGGGTTCAAAAGATTCAAATGGAGGACCTGAGTAAATCGAGTCGTAGAGACGTACAACTTTGCAAAAACACCATTGAACGCCGCACACGCTCCGCTCGACACGGCCAGCACGATCCAGACGGGCTGCCGACGCAGCGCGCGCACGATTGAGGACCCCGATAATCGATCCATCTCGACGGCAGCGCTCCCGCCTCGTCTTTGATCCTCTGGTCCGCGGTTGGGATCCCGCCTACCGCTGACGTCCTTGGTCTGTTCGCGGCGCTGTCCTGGGGCGGCGGGGGAGCGTCGTCGTCGTCGTGCCTGCTGCGACATTTTGAATCAAAAGGAGCTCTCGAAATTCGGAGGGTTTGGAGACGGTGTGGACTGCGCAAACGCACTAGGCTGGCCCAACGGACTCCACGAGGCTGGCCGCAGAAGGGGCGCTGGCTGATTGGCGGAGAGTCGGTATTGCGAGAATCTCCAATGGCCCCCGCCTGTCAGGTCGGGACGAGAGGGATTCATATTATTACTTGGCAGGTTGCTCAATGGCCGTATACGAGTATGAGCCCATAAGAGTCGTGTTTTGTCCTTATCAAGATGCTGCGCAGAGGGTTGCCTCGAGATGAAAAAAAATGACATTCGCTTACAGCACACCTCGTACTTTTGACCCGTCAGAGTTTCCAGCACATACTGTAGCATGCTTGGAATGCACCAAGAGGGCTCGGTATACCCACATTCGCCATAGACGCCGATGCTCCTTACAGGTACTTAATCCGCCAGTCGCTCGCTGCTAGTCCCGTCGTCGATGCAGAAATCTTTAAAACAGCGTTGACCTTTTCCTCCGCTTTCGGCTTGTCCCTTCACTACTCTCCCTTTGACGATTCTTGCGCGTTCTGTTGCGCTTGCTTGCTCAATGACCCTTCCTCGTATTCCAAAGACTTGACAATCCCCAAGCCCTTGGTCTTTCCCTCACGAAACAGTATTTTATCCCCCACTGCCAGAAACTCGGGCCTCTGGACGAATCGAAACGCGACCGTGGCTCGATCTCCGGTCCGAATGTACTCGCGGTCAATCTCAATGATGGCGCAGGTCTGGCTTATAGGTCCGACATGGAGCATCGCTTGGTATTTCGGGCGTATCGTTGTAGGGTGGGACAGGATCAAGACCTCGGCGACAAATTCCCGGTAGACTTTTGGCGGCGGGCCTTCGATCTTCGGGAGCACAACCATGCCTTTGCGCACTTCTTTCTTTCGTATCCTCCTCAGGGCCAGAGAGGCGGATTGCCCAGCGCTACAAGCTGGCACCTGTATTCGCTTCCGCTCAATGGATCGGATGTTCGTAGTCTGAAATTGTCCGAGCGAGTCTGGTCCGACGAGCACGTTGTCTCCTGCGTGAATCATTCCGGATTTCACAACTCCCGACACGACTGTGCCCACAAAGGGGACGGAGAAGGTGTCATTGATATGGAATTCGAAGGGCGCCTGGTCGTCGTAATGACCATGATGCGGAAGAATGTTGAGGAAAGTGCGAACAAGGTCCAGGCACTCTCCGGTGACATTTGAGACTTGGAATATTGGGCAAATCCGCTGGGACACAAATTGTGTGGCTGTCAGGACTGTCTCTTCGTATGTCTTGATGAAAACGGGAATTTTCCTCGCTCCGGGTGATTTGAGGATCCTGGTTAGCTGGGTGACCGTCTGTTCGAGAATCTGGGGAGGGCAGATGTCGATCTTGGTGATGACGACCATGACAGGAACATTCAAGGCTAATGCTAAGCCGAGATGCTCCTTTGACATACCAATCAATCCATTATTGGCGGCCACCATGAGCAGGCAGTAGTTGGGTGCAGAAGAGAGAAGGCCAAAAACAGTAGTCCGAAGATATCGCTCGTGTCCAGCTAGATCGGTAAATGAGATGACCTTTGCTGATCGAGTCCCAATCTCCGCCCAAGTGAGTTTGCGGCCTGGCACGCTGGATGTGACCACTCCACCCTGAGTGTCAAAGCCCATAATCTCCATTCCGACGGACGAGGTACGGCCGGATTCAATCTCGTGCTTGTGGCGAAACAGGTTGACTCGAGCTTTGCCGCGGCCGTCGTCCAGGTTCCCCTTGACAAGGACACCTAACATGGTAGACTTGCCTGCATCGACATTGCCAACCACGGCAATTCGTGTCTCGATGACCTCTTCAGCCGTTGTCGGAGTCTGCCGAATTAGTAGCTTGCCGTGGCTCGAATGGTCGTTTGTCGGGTTTGACTGAGCCTCCTTGTCGCCGCCAACGTTGTATGTCAGAAGGACGTTGACTGCAGCGTTGAGCATCCCGGCCGCTTCAGTGATGCGCTTCATGGCAAGGTCCCATTGCTCTTTCGTGAAGCCCATTGAGTCGCCGCTATCCTCAAGCCCCAAGTCGAAGAGGGTCTCTCCATGGCCCTCGTCTATCCTGGATTGTACAAGCCCCGAGAGTTCCTGAAGCGTCGCAGCTGCGTCATCCGAAGTATCAAGCAGCCACTCTTTTAGTTTTGCCCGGCTTGGTCTGTCAGAAAGTTCTAGTTGATCGAGGATCTCGAGTTCTGCATGGTCTTCGGTAACGGACGAGGCAGCACCGGTGCCGTAACCGCTGTCAGCAGCGACGGAGTCGGGATATTGAATGCGGGTCTTTGCTCGCTGTCGCTCTACATAATCAGCGAAATCGGAGAGCGCCTTACGCCATGTTAGCACTTGAAGCGATTCATTACTTGATCTCCCCTCACCAGCTCCCCTTTGCGACGATCTTGCACCGTCTGCTTATTGCGGCTGCCCATACTTGTATGCTGGTTGGAATACGACATGAGGTGGGAAAATATAACAGTAGCGGATTCGCCCCGCGGTCAGAGAGGTATTCGAGGAATCATGGTGAAGTTATGAGCAGCAGATCACACCATGGCTCTAGTGCTAACGACGCATCTTGAGCTGTACCGTCGTGAGAGATGTGTTGGGAAGATGAAGTAGATGAGAGATCAGAGAGATGTTGAGCCCGTGAAGAAACATAAATAAATACCGAGTACAGCGGAGACAGTGTTGGAGTCATGACAGTGTGTGAGTGTGTACGAGTATGCATGGTGGCACTATCAAGCGGGGAAGCACGAGGCGCGTGTAGACCGAGTTGATCAACTGACTCATCCACGCTCCTCAACGCTCATCCACACTCGTCCCCCCCACGCGCTTCAGCCTCCTCAGGTGTTCATTTCCCCTAACAAGGAGCCTCACTAGCCTCGCTATTTGATTTCAAAAATGCTTCTGCACCGTCACCCGGCCAAGCCAAGTGACTCTTGCACCGTGAACTGGACAGTGCGGTTGACAAGGCGCAAGTCCTCCGACGCACTTCTCCCTGATCCAAGAACTGCAGCTTCAAGTGACTCATTTACAGAGGCGCTTTTCCCGTCAGCAATCTTGAGATTGGCTTTCCGCCGTCTGTCATGCTCCGTCATGAGCTGGGAGTGGACTCGCGAGGGTTTTTGGACGGCCCTTTTGCTATTCTTGTTGAGAATTCATATCGACGTGGATCACTCCGTTTCATGACCCCGGCTGGGGAGAGATCAGGACAACCGAGTCTCCTGTTCGCTTGTCAGCGATAGCAAATATTAGCTTGTTGGCGGTCCACGTACCTCGGACGAACAGCATATCGGATTGTTTCTTCGTTGTCTAACCCATGTCAGTCGCTGCTCGGCCTGACGTTTGTGCGGGTTAGAACTGACCTTGACCGTCTCTTCGCCGTCCTCTTCGTCTTCAATAGTGTAGATCGTCTCTTCGACATCTCCGAGCACAAGATTACAATGGCTATCATACGCCTATCATGTACCCAGGCCGTCAGTATTAGTTCGCTGCGAGCCCGGTAACAAGCATACATGTAGTCTTCCTTTCAGCTCTCGATCTCCACGTAACCGCACAAACACAATCTCATCGAGGGAGAGACGGACAAGATCAAGCGGTTCGGACACCGCATTGGCTCCTTCGTCCGTTGAGTCGGCCATGACGGGCTGGGGCTTGTGGTATATGAAATTAGTACAACGTCGACTACTGCTATGGCTGTTGAAGAGTGGCAGAGCCCAATCCTGGCCACTGACTTGGAAAGAGAGACTTGGCGTCATTTGGCGTCATTTGAAATTTGAGCTGTCAAAAGCTCGCTTGTGTTTGGTGAAGTTGAATGCGAAATCCGTGCAGCGCGCATACATATCGCTCCTTTCAATTCAAGTTCGACGCCAGTTACTTGTCACTTTTTCAATGACTTAGCTGTCACTCTTTCCAGCTCCAGCTCGGGTTGCCGTCTGTCTGCGGTGTATTGATGCATGGCTCGCTGCCTCTGGTGAGGTTAATCAATGGCTTTTCACAACCCTCGCCTAGTCGGATTCCTCACTTGACTCTCCACATTCTTCGTCGACAGACTCCTTCCTCGGCCCAGTGGGATACAGCACTATGCCTTCCCAATGCTCGTTATCCACGACGTTTCCAGCGTTCATCCTCCACTACGACCCCCTTCTCCCCCTTCATATTGTCCAGGCAGCCGACCTTGCTGGACGAACACGATGACCTTCCGCCGATAGAGTATGAGATTAAAGAGGTGTCGGCAGCCAAGACCACTCATGGAGCCAGGAAACTGGTGTCTATGCAGGACTTGGTGGAAGAGAACAATCCCGATCGGATACTCTTGGGACTGGTGTCTCCTCAAATCGGAGACGACTTCATCGAAAATGCAGACGACCAGACTTTCGCACGTGCCATATGCGCCCTGGATCCCGAGCATTTTATTGTGCCTTACGGAAAACTATTTCGCTACTTGAAGCCGAGTCTAGAGACTCAGCCCAAGTTTCGGATCGTTAGATCATTGGAAGAGCGTGTGGCTACATTTATCAATATTCTCGATTCCCTGGTCACCCAACGACAAAAGCGTGGCCATTCCCTTGGCCTCGACGTTTATCGTCATCTGTTACGGTGCACAGCGGCAGCTGGGGTGGGATCGTTTGCTAGGAATGTGTTCCGCAATGCCATGAGGGAAGACGGTATTGAACCTGATTTGGATTGTTATAACTACTTTATGGAGGCCCTCACCTGGAACGAAGCATATAACAGGCACGAAAGGTATCGTTTACGGATAGTCCGGCATAACATGCTTCGTCGGTCTCTGGAGACGAGACCGCTTGGATTCTTTGGTCATGGAGTCGCCTCGCCTCAAAATCCAAAAAATGAACAATCCATCAGGCTCGAAACACTGGGTATCTTCAATGAGCTCGTGAATCAGGGGTTGAACGGCAATGAAGCAACTTTCTGCAATCTCGTGGTCGCAATGGGTCGTGAAGGAGACCTGGGCAGCGTCAAGAGCGTCCTCAAGTCGGTTTGGAATATAGATGTTGATGCTCTGGACAAGTACGACGAGGAGGAACTGGAGAGTCCGACATTTTACGAAGAGGGCTCACCACTTCGGCCTTCTGCACGGCTCTTATTTACGGTAGTCCATGTTTTCGGCACGAACAATGAAGTCGCATTGGGGGGCATGCTCCTCGACTACATCTCGCGCAACTACAATCTGGAAATTCCCGAATACATCTGGACGCATTTACTGGAGTGGACTTTTGTGCTCTCAATCCAGCACAAAAAGGCCAGGATCGAAAGAGGACATGGCGAAGGTCGCATTGCACGAAGGGCGGTCGAGTCGGTGTATCACGTCTTTCACAACGAACCATACAATGTCCGACCAAAAATTGAGGATCTGATATTTCGAGTCAAAGCCAGATCCGAAGCAAGGAAGCTCTACAAGGCTGTTGAGGATCTCCGCCAGTGTATGATCCTGCTTGAGGAGGAACGAACCCACCTCTCCGAAATGTATGACCAAATCCGACACCTTCTCGAAGACGCAGATTATCATTACATCTTCTATGATGGCTTGCCTTCCGGTGCGTTCCTTGATCTAAAGCACAAGTATGTGCTTGCTTCCCTTCAGCTGGAATGCCACATCCAACTCATCTCTGTTGCTGTGCGCAACACCATCAAGCGCAAAGACTGGACGTCTCATGACGAAGGCACCGACTGGCCCTACCGAGGTATTCCCAACATCGTCGCAGAGTGGACAGATTGGCTGCCCAACATCATCCCCTATTACATTCCCACCGGTCACGTGTGTATCTGGGGAAGGGAGTCGCGGCACGCGGCCATCCAGAGTGCGAACTCCCTCCAGACGACCAGGACAGGCACGATGCGTATGCTGCTGGACTCTTATTCACCAACTCGTCTCCGGCACGCGGCGGGGTTCATTCATCGCGGACCCAAAACCAACGCTCTGGCTAAATTTCAAGACGAAGTCCGCAGTGATTCCTCGGGCCGCCTGAGTGATTGGGTACTCCGGTTCGAGGCGGCTGTCCGTCAAGAGAGGTTGAACGATCGCCCCGTCGTGGGTCCGCAGGTACCCGGGCCGGATCATAACAGCGGAGAGTGGACGCCTTGGGGTGGGACGGCGGGGAAAGGGAGGACAACAGAGCGTGGGCGTCGGAAAGAGGCTTCTGTGACGACCTCAAGGGATGATGAGTGGGAGGAGGAGGACGAACATGAAGAAGGGGAAAAGCAGAAGGAGTTGATGTGATGGCCGGGTTTCGGTGTGATACAGGACGTGTGTAACATGTGTAACATCATCCATCATGTGGCGTTGCATATCGCGACTAGTCCCCTATATACCTAGGTAGGAACGCGGTAATGTAGGCTCAAGTTTCTCTGACAAGACAACAATCGCCAGGTCCGGATCAAACTTGCCTCCCCTCTGAATCTTTTTCAAAGCAGGTAAAAAACCAAATTGGATATCATGGACAAAACAAGCAAGAAAAATCGTCAAAGATTATCCTCCCATTACTGCGCACATCCACAAGCCCACCAACCGGTGCGGAGCTCCTGAAAAAAGAACAATTTGAATCGAGGTCCCTTCACTCCTCCCTCGTCTGTGAGGAATTCCTCGTTTGAAGCCTTTACCTCCGCCCAGAAGGAGGGATATGAAAAAAAAGGTGTTAAGAATTTGTGTCTCCCGATTTACTGTTGTTTCCCGCCCCTCTTAGCTGGCAATGACCCGCTCTCTCCTCAGATCATTCACGACCATATACCTCCCCAACCCGATCCAGCCCCATCGGAACCAGACCATTTGTGACTTGTGACCGTGGATCATCGCCTCGCGGGCCTTCCAGTAGCGGAATATGTCGTTGACAAACATGACCCGGTCTGCGGCGCCTTTGGGGCCCGTTGCGGTCTTGCCTTTTTCTTTTGTCAGTCCGAAGATGTTGCCGAATATGCTCTCGTAGATTCCCACTAGCAAAGTGGGGACGGCGTCGATTACGAAAGAGTATTTTCGCACAATGTTGATCGAGGGCAAGGTGTACAGCGTGACGGGGCAGGCGTAGCCAGAGTATCCCCTCATGATTTTCTGCAGGAACAACGAGGCGCCGTGGTATAATGCGATGTGATTTGGATGGCCGGAGATGCCGCCCTTGTCGAAGGTGACGAGGACGTCGATTGTTGCGCGGGGGCCGATTGTCTCCTTTTGCGCCGGAGCGGCTGGCGGGGTTGCGGTTGCTGATATGGAGTTCCGCGAGGAGGACTTTGTGTGTTTCACAGAACTTGATTTGGATTTCCGGCGGTCCTGCTTGTCCTTTTCCTTGTCCGAGGAGTCATGCGCAGGTGTTGTAGGCGCTGATGCAGTAGACGAAGAGTTCAGGTGCGGCGCAAATGCACTGGCCAGCACGAGCGCAATATCCTCGGCCTTCCATTCCTCCTTCATGCCGTCCTTGAATCTCTCGTCATCGAGCACAAAGACGTCCTCCTTCCGCCTCAGTCCCAGTGTCATGGCCGCCTTTTCCAGTTCGAGTTTCCGCGTTGCGCCCAGACCTTCACTGTTGCCGGTGCTCATGCACAAGATCTTGAGGTGGTTTTGAAGAGAAGGGTGAGTGAGGGCTTGCAGGGTCGGCGAGAAAAACATGGACTCGTCGTCCGGGTGGGCGACGAGCAGAATGATGCGCTTGTTGCGCAGAAGCGCAGGCATGGGAGGGAGCATGGTCGACGTGAGATGCCATAGGGCAAAGATGAGGACGGGTAGGAGTGTTAACGTGACGATCGTTCCAAAGGCCATGTTGGAGGAGGTGCGGCTTGAGTCGCAGTGAGCTGTCGCAGATAGTAGTAGTATAAAGCCTCGCCTCGCCTAAGATACTGCACAATTGAGGAGGGTATTGACGCAGTCCAGAGGAGGGGATTGTTTCATCCCAAGCGGTCCTACCAGCAGCATAGAGGTGACGGCTGCAACGGGGGAGGTTTCATGGCGGGAAGGGGCTGGTGTGCGGAAAATTAAAGAGAAACTAGAGGGAGACAACAGGGAAACATGCGACCCGGAAAAAATCGTCCCAAGCCATGCATGAACCGGTGGAGTTGCAATTGAGAAGACGAAAAAGCGGTAAAGGTGGCCAGATCTCAATTGACGGGATACATTTACGGCGCAATGGAAATGGAAATGAAGTGTGGAAGCGGCGTTGCAAGGGTGTGTGTTGGATGGATTCGCTTCGTCCATATCACCCACCCAGTCACCCCACTTAAGTACCTTGCAAGGCTAGGTAGCGAGGTAGGTAGTAACTTGGTCGCCAAATTAAATCACTACTGGCACCCACTGGCAGCCGCAGAGATCGCCAGGAGAATGGAGACAGACAGATGGCACGTGAGACTTTGATTTATTGAAGAACAGCATATTTATTGCCTGGAGGAAGTAGACATTTTGATCGGATCAGATCCTCTTTTCTGTGCTTGTTAGACCTGTAAACCATTGCCTGAAGCCCATCTTTTGGTTAACGTCGATCTTACAGCAGAGAAGCGAACCGGGTATTCTACATGGGGGTAGACGAAGGCGATACTCAGAGTCATCGGAGCAGATTTACCCGTATAGGAACGACATCTACATCTTCTCGGGAGGTAAGAAACGTCCAAAGGGGCATTGCAAGCGGCGGACTTCGGTATCTTGAGCAACAACCGGCGAGCGAGATTTCCCAGAAGGGGCCCTATCGCTCGTGTGTGCTAGCGACAATGGCCCTTCTTGATCGCGGATTGGGCAGGGAAGGGTATGTACCTGGAGAAGAAAATTTGGAAATCATGGACTCCGGAAGCCATAGTCTTGGGAGACTTTGGTTCAAAGCCGTGTCAGCAAGAGTTTCATTGAATGTCTGAATGTCAAGTGAGACCAACCAAAGCCCCTTCAACTCCCAAATTCCAGCTCAGAAAGCATCTTCTTCGTGATGATTGTCGTCAGTATGGCAGTCCCTCTGCAGCAAATACCACGAGTCAACCTCAACATGCATGCTTTTGCAGGTTTCCCTCTTGAGGGAGTGATGCGAACCGCTATCAGGCAGGGCAGAGACAATCCTGCGAGATCGTGCACTTGGTTCCACCATTGACGGCCGTGCTCGCAGCGTCGGGGAAACGAGGCTCAATCTGTTTGCCCGACAGAAATCCAAAATTGCCGCTGACTAGTATCGGTATCTTGTGGAGTAGTCTTTTGGCGAAACCACCAAACCCCGTCCCTTTTTCGCGCCTTTGTAGATCGTTTCGATGATGTCGATAAGTTCTTGCTTATCTTCGAGGACCCAGTTCAGCTTGTTGTTGTTACCCGTGCCGAAATCACACATCATGTGTTTGTTGCGGAAAAAGAACATGAGAGTCACGGGGTCGTAGAGCTCGTACATCTGCTTAAAGTCTGGGACTTGGTCGAGGTCGCAGACGTAGATGACAGCAAAGTTCTTGACTCGGTCGGCAATCTTGTAGAGGACTTCGTCTTGTCGCATGCAGTCGGGGTCCCAGTCACGGCCGAAGCGAATAACCACAAGGCGTTCGTCTTCGGAGAGAATGGCCTGGTCGACGTGCCAGCCGGTAACTAAGTGAGGAATGACGACAGAACCCATAGTTGTGTGGGAGAGGAGGATCGTAGAGATATAGTTGTGGTGTGTGTCTTGTTGAAGGATCTTTGGAGACGGAGGAAGAGGTTAGATGGGTGAATGGGAGACGATTAAAGAAGTGCGCATGTAGAAGATTGGAAGATTCAAGAACATGACATGAAGATGCACTGCAGGCGCCAGCGGCGGCGGCTGGCTTGGCAGTGGCTGCGGTTATCGATAAGGATTTCCCCGCGAAAATTTTGGGTGATCAATTCGAAAAGGTCTCGACTGCCAAACCTGCGTACGACGCCTTCTCGACAGCGATCCCACCATCTTCTCGCTCTTCTTCATTTGATGTCCGAGCTTTGGCCAGAGGGCTCAGGATCAAATATGGCAGCAGCTGCGCAGCCCGATTCGAGGATTGACACCACCATTTCATCCCTACGAAGAGATCTGACCTCCGAGAACGTCCCACTTGCCCGACGCTTTCGCGCCCTATTCTCTCTCAAACACGTTGCTTCGCAGTCTCCTGGGCCACAGGCAACAGCAGCAATAGAAGCAATCGCGGCGGCCTTTACTTCTCCCTCCGCACTCTTGAAACACGAGCTGGCATACTGTTTGGGACAGACCAGGAATCTAGCGGCAGTACCATTCCTTCGCGCCGTGCTCGAAGATAGGGCCGAAGATGCAATGTGTAGGCACGAGGCGGCGGAGGCGCTGGGAGCGCTGGGAGACCTGTCAAGTCTACAGATCATGAACCAGATGAAAGACGACGAGCGCGAGCCTGTGGTGGTGAGGGAGACATGTGACATTGCAGTCGATCGCATAAATTGGGCTCATTCTGAGAGCCGGCAAAGCGAATGCTTGAAGTCAAGTGACTTTGCCTCCATCGATCCTGCACCTCCTCTACCTTTATCTTCAGAAACACTTTCAATCCCGACTCTACAGGCGACACTTCTCGACACTTCATTGCCTCTGTTCCAGCGATATCGTGCCATGTTCGCGCTTCGAGACCTTGCGTCTCCACCAGACCTCCCTACAGCAGAAACTGCCGTCCATGCCCTTGCTTCCGGCTTTAAAGATCCATCAGCACTATTCCGACATGAGGTGGCTTTCGTGTTTGGGCAACTGTCCCACCCAGCGTCAATACCCGCGTTGCTGGCTGTGCTGGAAGATACCGAGGAAGAAAGCATGGTCCGGCACGAGGCGGCGGAGGCACTTGGCAGTCTAGGAGAAGAACCGGGTGTGGAGGAAATACTGAGGAGATTCTTGAATGATCCCGAGCAAGTGGTTCGTGAGAGCGTCATTGTTGCTCTTGATATGGCTGTGTACGAAAAAACGGGCGAGATGGAGTACGCCACCATTCCAACAGAAATTGCTGCATAGCTGGGAATCTGGTTTAGATAGCGTGCATTTCAGACATGGATTGGCGTCAATCAATTGTTCTGAACATCTTTGAAGCCGCACTCGCATCTGTAAAAGACAGTCGTGCCTTCGTCTGCGCTTCGTAGTTGTTTGGTGTGATAGAACATTTCTGGTCGATGGCAGTCAGGACACTCCCTGGAAATGACAGCTTCGACCTGCAAATCGTCGGCATTGATAGCTTGCACTTCAGAGTGTTTTGCCCGAAGAGGAGATGGGAAGGCGCTTGGTTTGGACTTTGACGTTATGACTTTGGAGGAAGTGTCCTTGGTGTACTGGAAACAATCGTCGCACTTGACCATGTCGTTTTGATTTTCGCCGGGGACAATCCGTGGCAGAAGTGAGCCACAAGCATCGCAGAACAAAAGGCTGCCTATTGCGACCATTTTGGAGGTTGGGATGTTCAAGTTTTAGGGCAGATTTGGTTGCAGCAAGGAAACAAAAATTTTGAGCGTCGCTGACTACAAACCTCTAGAGGCAGTTTGGCTTTTGGGATCTTGTTCCTGCAGCGGCCTGGGACCGATTCCACCAATCCACTAAGTGCGATCACAAAGTGCGATCTCATAGGCACCTAGTCTTGCTAGTCAACTAGTATTTACCTAGTATTATTGAAGCCGCAGCTTAACCGAGCGGGATCACCATCTGCCCGTCTGGAGATCCCTTTCCCCAGTGACCAGCGCCCAGCCTAACTACCGGTACGAGGTACTCCCTGCTACTCGTAGTCCTCTCTGCACTCCTCTCAGCCTCTCTTTCATCTCCGCATGCTCGAACCCAAAGCCTGCAGCCTGCGTAGCTGTTTGTCGACTATGGGTGTCATGGCGTGTGTCCTGACAACAACCCTTCCCACATCGACAACTCTACCTTCGTTGGCGAAATCGTCGAGATAAACGCATTGGCGCATCAGTGAAAGATCGAATATTCGCAAGTGTCCATCATGGATCACATGGGAGATACCATAGAGGTCGTCATCCCACGACGACGACCGCAAGATGATTCCAGTCAGAGGCAACTGTCAGTAGACCAGGCTTTGCAATACACTCCCATGACCACGTCGGTTCTTCCAGCGCTCGGTATGCCCACTTCACTCACGAGTTTGGCATCGTGCTAATTCACTTCAGATTGTCTCCCTCTTCCACAACTTGGCTGCCCCAATGACTCCCGGCTCACTCCTCTTTCTGAACGCCAGGCGGCATATCGAAGCGAGCTTTACACTCCCACGGCCAAGGAACGTCTTTCAGTCTTGCTCGATCCCAGCCGTCTATCCCAGATCAAGTTCCCTCGGTCCCCAGTGCAAAATGAGAACTCGGTCAGCGCAGACTTGAACCCTATACAGAAGATGGTCCTCAAAATGTCCAATATGGATTTTACATACCATTCCTTGACAAATGCATCTCAACCGACGCCCAGGAAGAAAACACTGCAGATGCCAATAACCAAACCTGCCTCTACTGCTATTGTCATCGAAGTACCGAAGCCGCCTCCGTCGTTCAAAAGAGAGGATAACGTCGGTATGCAAGATACTGCAGGACGACGGAAACTGACTTTGGCGTCAATCTCTAAGAAGGAGAAGGATGACCAGCTATTAGCGAGCTTTGAGAACCAACTAGGCGAGATCTTCGAAGTTCGAGATCAAATTGACTCCGACGATCCAGGAGAGGGAGCAAAATCCACCAACACTATCTTTGATTTGCCCGATGATGAAGACGACACGGAGCCACGTCTTGCGATCCGTGTACAGGAGAGACTTCAGACGACCATGAGTCAACTCCTAGCCTCTGGTCGATTAGGTGACGCTTCTCTGGAGTATCTTCTGCGGCTTCAACGAATATGTCAGCCAGCCATAGAAACTGCACAGACGATCAACTTGCGAATGCCTTCCGACCCATCAGACGACGACATATCCGCTTGGTTATCGAAACTTCACAAGGCGGAAAGTGGAGCTGCTTCAGCCTGCTCTCTGATTTATACCGTCCTGGGCGCTCCTCAAAATCAAGATCTAGTCAATTTGAAAGCGTTACAATGGTTACCCAATGTACTCGTGAATCTATTTGAGAACTGTTTGATCCCGATTGTGGAGGCGCGCCCAGAGGGGCAAAACAGTCAGCTCTTCACTTACGCATCTGCACACAGCGAACCTCTCAAACGGTTGTTGGATGTCGGCCGCAAACTCCTGGATCTTGTCACACGAGTATGTGTGGAGATTAAGGGAGCCGGTCCAATCGTCAATGCCGCCGAATTCCTGGCGGCAAAGCTCATATTCGTTCAGAATGCCTACAACGACAAAACATCCGCAATTGGATCTCAAGTGTATGAGCGGCTGCGAAAGCAAGCCATGGCGGCTATTTCCAGCATGTACTCGGCCTTCCCCAGCGAGCGATCGGCAATATTGGAGGAAGTCTTGACGTCCTTGGACAAGCTGCCTTCAAATAGTAGGAGTGCAAGACAGTATAAGCTCGGGCCCGGCAGAAATATCCAACTGATATCTGCTCTCTTCATGCAGCTAGTGCAAACTTCAGCTATGCAAACGGATACGAAAAGAAACCGCAAGCCGCGGCGTCAACCTAGGAAGGGATTGGTGAATGCTGACGAGCCAGACGAGAGTGAGGATCCAGCCAGTGATATGGAGGTTGACTCAGGTTTCACTGGGGATGAAGTTGAAAAGGATCCGTTATCAAAGCTGGGAGAGATGGCGCAGAATCTCTTGAATGACGCGTCAAAGAGTGCCCAGCAAATTGTGATCTGGATGGTTGATAAGGCCTCTAAAGTCACCAAGTCTGGGGATTCGCCTTACCGCAATATTCTCGATTTGTTTGTCGAAGATCTCACCTTAGTGCTTCCGTTGACAGACTGGCCAGCATCTGAACTGCTTCTTACGGTGTTGGCTTTCCGCATGAAAAGGCTTGCCGAGACAGACAAGTCGGCTTCTACTAAGAATATGGCTCTCGAATCCTTGGGGGTCATGGGATCTGCAATATCCCAGACTCGTGCGTCTGCTCGAAGCCTGCTTTCATCAATCACAAGAGACGGAGAATCCCACTCTAACCCCATCACTCAGAATCTGTCGGCTTCTATCCAGGATCGACCTCATTTTTCTCTTGAGCCTGACGAACTTGTGTCTGGCCGCGGACCGTTTTCCATTGTCCAGTCCTATTTGAGCCAGAAAGGGGGTGGGAGCTTGGGAAGTAAATCTGCCAAAGCGTATTTCCTTGTGAAGTACGCCGGTCTCATTTATCAGGTCGCTACACAGCCACGGGATGGTGACCGAGAGGTTGAGCTCGACTCTAAGCTCACGTCTATTGTTTTGGCCATGCTACAACAGCTATCCGGGTCCGCTGAACAAAATGAAGTCACAGATGATCATGCTGAAGTTACAGATCAAGAGGCCCAACTAGCCTACATGCTGAGCATCTTAAATGGACGATTCTGTCGAATGTTTCCGGAAATTGCCACAACGCTGAGTTCGTCGATCGAGAGTGATCAGGCTCAAGTTCGCACTCGCAGCCTGAAGAGTATTGCAGCCATGCTGGAGATCGATTCGAGTCTCCTCGATTGGGAATCAACTCTAGCGAATGCAGTGTTTAAATGTGCTTCTGATGACTCCTCTATGGTGAGGGATTCTGCCTTGACTCTGATTGCCAAATTCATCATGCCAAGGCCCGCACTTCAGGAGAGAGCGTTCAGGGCGCTTCTCAAATGCGCGGTTGACCCCAACGTCGGAGTTCAGAAAAGAGCCATGGCTCATTTGAAAGATGTCTATCTGAAGGAGGGGAGACCGGCCGTGAAGAAGGCCATTGCCGTCGGGTTCCTGCAACGGACAGCCGATCAAGAAAGCTCCGTGGCTGAGCTTGCAAAAAAGATATTGGCCGAAATTTGGGTTGATCCCACCCTGACAATGTTGAGTTCTGCAGCTGACTCTGCACATCTGGACGTGGCGATTGAGGATCTCAAATCGCACATTGTCACATGCGTCGGAAGCGACACCTCGCGCCTCGCACCCCTCCTGAAAGAGTTCTTGGTTTGGAAATTGAAGGATTCGAAACACATTGATCAACTCAGAGATCTATGCGCGCGGATTGTCAAGAAACTTCTAGATACCGCCAATGGCTCGGAGGTGGAACCGGTAGAATTGACGACACTGGTAGCATTTGTTGAGGCCCGACCGGAAGCAGTGGTGCCTGCAGACCTTACCAGTTTGAAGAGCTACCTGAAAGACTTGTCGAAGGAGGATAATGTTCCCAAGTTCAAGTCAGTCGTGGCCATATTTCGTCTGGTCCTTCCACATCTGTCCAGCACTCAAGCTCCACTGCTTCAAGAGGTCCAGATGGATCTCCTTAGAGCCAGTCAGAAGCTTGTGCAACGGGAGGTGGTTGAGGAGGTAATGTCTTGTCTGAGAAGCATCGACGGGGTACTGCATGATACCATCAAGATCGTCAGGTACACGATCTCACTAATACGGCACGTGCTGCCCGCGAAGACTCCGCAGGAGAAAGGGCTCGAGCAGCAAGACAACAAGGCGAGCAGAGATCGCCAAAGGAACGTGTGCTTGCGGTTAGTTGGCGCTGTGGGAAAATATATGGATCTAGAACGCTATGGCGGAGAATTTCGAAAAAGCTTTCCTGCATACAAGAGTGGCTCTGTCGCAGGGTTTATTGCAGACTGCGTTTGGGAACACACCTCCAGAAGCTCTCCTATTGAGACCCGAGTAAGAGCGCTGGAGAGTCTCGGCCTCGTTTGCCAAGCATGGCCGGGCCAGTTCAACAAACGGCATGTTCGGGAAACGTTCTTCGAGGTCCTGGATGGTGCGTCTTTCAGTGGCTTGGACAAAAGTGACCTTGAGAGAATGCAGCTCGCAGTACTTGAGATTTTCCAAGAACTGTACGGGAAGCGGGCTGCGGTCAAAGAAGACGAGAAGAAAAGCGAGGGCAATGGGGAGGTCCAGGCCTTGAAAAACATCGGCGGCGACAGCAAGACCCGCGAGGAAGACAGTGCGATTTCGATCATCACCAATACTCTGGTCGACCACCTCCTCCGTATCGTCATGTCCGAGACTGGGCCCAAAGTGCTGCTCGCAGCTCAAACTTTAGCCAGTATCGACCACCAAGGAATGACACACCCGAAACAAAGCACGTCGGCGTTTGTGGCGTTAGAGACCAGCACAGATTCCCAGGTTGGCCGCGTTGCCCGGATTGCGCATGAGCACCTGCATCAACAGCACGAATCCGTCTGTGAAAGAGAGTATATCAACGCCGTATTCGCCGCATTTCGGTACCAGAATGAGGTGTTCAAGGATCCCCAAGGAGGCGTTGTTCCGGGATACACGGCCAAACTTGCAGCGGCTTTTGCGATCATCAGTACCAGTGGTTCAAAGTACGTGAAGAAGTTCATCAGCAACCTGGTTTCAAAACTCAGCACCGAGTACTCCAAGCTGAGTGTAGCTGAGCACGACGTCCCCGAGCATGTGTTGTTTGTTCTGTTTGTGACACAGAACCTGGCATTCTTTGAGTATAAGAAGATGGATGAGCTATTGCATACTGTGCTACAGCTGGAGCTGGCGTTCGGCAGGAACGGCGGCGAGACTGCACAAGCGATCGAGACGCATCTCGGACCCGCCCCTGTCAAGCCGGCCGATACTGAAGGGGAAAATGTGGTTGCCACAGACCCGGCACCTCCTGACGTGGTCGTGGATCCGGCCACGTTAAAGTCGCTGACGGCGGCCGCTTGTGCCATCACATTGATCTCCGAGGCGAGGAACTTTTTGAAGAGACAGTATGGGATATCGCGAGATGTCAAGATGGCGATGCAACAGAACAAGCAAACCAAGGAAGCTGGGAAGGAGCCGGTCAGGGTGCATGGAATCAGTGGAGACAAGTTCTGGCAGAAGTCCAATGCGGTTCTAGAGTCGCTCGACAGTACGAGCGCGATGGTTGCAAGATGCCGAGAATTTGTTGATCTTGTGGCTGTGGACGACGAAGTGAAGATTGCAGAGGAGGAAGCGGCCATCAGCGCCATGGTGGACGTCGCCCCGGACCAACCAGCGAGTGCACAACGCGGTCGCAAGCGCAAGAGCATCTCTGGGTCAGTTGGAGGCACGCCGAAAAGACCTCGAGGTCGACCTGCAAAGAATGGGCATACACGACGATCAACGAGTGTGTCGTCGTCGGTGGAAGACGATCCCGATGCAGATTTTAACGGCTGAAGCAGCATTTACGAATGACGACTACGCTTTGAATGGCATTTCTCTGGACAGTGAACAGGAAGTCAAAGACTTGTGATGCCTAGAGCAGAGAGGAGATTTGCGAATGTGCGGGAATGGACAGTTGCCGGGACACAGAACGAGGAGTTTATTGCGTTCTTATATGATACCCCCATGAGCGCGCTGTCGACTTTGAGGAACCAGGGCGCGTGGTTGATGGGGAAAAAAGGTTCTTGATACCAGGTAGATAGACGAATGTACTTGGGTGCAATGAACAGGCCGGGCATCCAATCAGTCCTTGGCCAAATTGTGATCGGATCGAGTAAAAAGAGAAAGAGGAAAAGGGAGCTGGAAAGGTTTGATAAGCGACGCCGCAGTGACGGATCATGATGATGAGAAGCTCGGATTCTTCGCTCCCCGTTGAGACGTGCTGCCGCTCTTCCGATCGCCGTGTCCATGGCCCAAAGGACCGATAAGTAGTGGGCGAGGTGGATAGAAGGTGGCAGTAGCCTCGTACATACTACTACCATCCACAATCGATGACCTGTGGGTGACCTGTGGGTGCCCTTTGCCCACTTCAAAGTTGTGCCACTCTCCAGTGCCTCCACTGGCCTCTCGCCGCCTCCGGTTGCCCTCTGCCCTCCCTAAGCTCGCCGTCATTCCGTCATATCCACGTATAGCATCATATCCTATCTTCCGCCCATCTCTTCTTTCCTTCTTGCGGCTTGCTTCGTGCTCTCTTGCTTTCTTACTTTTTGGTACTTGGTCAATCCTCCTACAGCATTACTTACTTCGCCGCTCTGGCAACGAGTCCCCCAACCGCTTCGTTCTGGATCTCTGCCACAGTCCTCACCATGAGGTAAACAGCCACGATCCTCTCTCCCTCGACGATGAAGGCCCTTCCTCGATTGGCCCAGGGCGGCCAGCGATACCTACAGATCCCTCTGCGCCCTGTCCCTACCCTACATATCTCTCCTAGACTGAAGCCTATCCAACCACTGAGACCATGCCTGCAATCCTCAAGGGTCCTGTCAACCCTGCGAACAGCCCAGTCACTTTCTAGAAACCCGCGCATTGGGGCTTTGAAGCTCTCGTCTCGTCTCGTCTACCCTACCCAAGCAGTGGCAGTGCGATACATTTCCACCAAAGAGCTCCCCAACCACAGAGGACCGTTTGTTCGCTTCTGTTATCGAATATTCGCATATACAGGCGTCTTCATCGTCTTCTCCGGTGCATTGGTCCTTGCTTTCTTCCTCTATGATGCCTCCACGTATCGCGAAGAACCAGATCCGACTGGCGACATTGCGGTGTCAGAAGCTGCGCTGTCACCCAGAAGAGGAGGACCGAAGAACCTGCCCATTGCAGAGGTGCTGGTAGATGATGAGGATTGCGACCACATGCGAGAGCAAAAGGACAAGCCAAAATTGGTCGTTCTCGGCACGGGCTGGGGGAGCGTCGCCATGTTGAAAGAACTCCACCCAGGCGACTACCACGTTACTGTTGTCTCCCCCGACAATTACTTCCTATTTACACCCATGCTGCCTTCTGCCACTGTTGGAACACTGGAACTGCGATCACTGGTCGAGCCAGTTCGCAGGATCGTCAATCGGTTGAGGGGCCATTTCTTGAAGGCTGAAGCCGTCGACATCGAGTTCACAGAAAGGCTGGTTGAGGTAGCCCAGGAGGATGCCGACGGCAACAAGCAACATTTCTATCTTCCCTACGACAAGTTGATCATCGGCGTCGGCTCCACCACCAATCCCCACGGCGTAAAAGGCTTGGAATACTGTAACTTTCTCAAGACCATAGAAGATGCGCGCCTCATCAAGAACAAGGTCTTGCGCAACCTCGAACTCGCCTGTCTGCCCACCACCTCTGATCAAGAAAGACGGAGACTGCTCTCGTTCGTCATCAGTGGTGGTGGCCCTACCGGAGTCGAGTTTGCCGCAGAACTGTACGACATGCTGAACGAAGATCTCCTGAGATCATTCCCCAGGATCTTACGGAACGAGGTCTCGGTGCACGTCATCCAGTCGCGGGGCCACATCCTCAACACCTATGACGAGGCCTTGTCAATCTACGCCGAGAAGAGATTCGAACATGATCACGTCGAAGTCCTGACGAATGCACGGGTCAAGGAGGTCAAACCTGATCGAATCATCTTCTCACAGATGGAGGACGGGAAGCCAGTCACAAAGGAGCTGCCCATGGGATTCTGTTTATGGTCAACCGGTGTCGCGCAGACTGAATTGAGCCGTAAGATCGCCCAAAAACTCGGCGAATTCCAGAACAACCGGCACGCTCTCGAGACCGATTCGCATCTGCGTCTCCAGGGAGCACCATTGGGAGAGGTCTACGCCATTGGAGACTGTGCAACGGTTCAAAACAATGTCGCGGACCACCTTACCACCTTTCTTCGCGGCATGGCATTCGAACAGGGCAAGGACCCTGAGAAAGTGCACATCACCTTCCAGGAGTGGCGCGGCCTCGCGCAAAAGGTGCGCAAGCGATTCCCCCAAGCGGCCGGCCATCTCAAACGACTCGACAAGCTGTTTCAGGAATATGACAAGGATAAATCTGGGACGTTGGATTTTGGGGAGCTGCACGAATTGCTCGTCCAAATTGATTCCAAACTGACCTCTCTTCCCGCTACGGCCCAACGTGCAAACCAGCAAGGCCAGTATCTTGGTCGGAAATTTAACAAGATTGCAGACGCCATCCCCGGATTCAAAGCCAATGAGGTCGACTTTGGTGACCTAGACGAAGCCGTCTACAAGGCCTTTGAGTACCACCACATGGGTTCACTGGCTTACATTGGAAACGCCGCCATTTTTGATTTCGGCGGCTTGAATTTCAGCGGTGGGTTGATGGCCGTTTATTTGTGGAGGAGCATCTATTTTGCACAGAGTGTCAGTTTCCGGACGAGGATGCTGTTGGCGATGGATTGGAGTAAGAGGGCCCTTTTTGGAAGAGGTGAGTACAATTCTTGCTGAGAGAGAGCCTAGGACTAATGATTGAGCAGACTTGATGAGCTTCTAAACAGTTTGCGGTACATGGCCGCAGAGCGATGCACGAGAAATGACACTGTTGATCCTTCCGGTCAGTTGGGTTTTCTTGCTTCCGAAGCCGCGTCGATCACAACTTCTCGTCTGGATGGAGCAACTCAGCGTTCGGATAGAGTCATGAACCCCAATCAGCCCAGATGTCGGACAGCGTTAGCGACTGTGGAAGACTTTTTGTACTGGGCCCGAGGTTTGACGTCCAGAACAAGGACACCATAGATTAGAGCGGTTGACACTAGAAAGAAGGGCAAGGGCGAAGCAGGTGGGGACCAGAGACTCATGGAAGACTGTCCCTGCGAAGATGACGGGCAAGATCGAAAAGAGAAAAGCGAGTGAAGACGGATCAAAGCACAAGGCAGGACAAAGAGGGAAGAGGAGAGAAGAAATCAAGGGTCGAATGTCATGCACAACCCATTTTCCATCGTTGTATATCCAATATCTTTGTGTTCATTCCATTCTTTGTGGTTGGTTGGCTTTTCTCACTGACTGCATCGCGAAGATTGATTGTCTTCTTGCTCTGTGATCTCCAAACCTCTATGTTCGTTTCTACTCGTCGGTTCCAGTCTTGGACTCAGTCTCGGGGTCAGTGTCGGTGGTGGTGGAGGTATCACTCTCACTTTCAGGTTCGCTCTCGCTTTCGCTCTCGCTTTCGTCCTCGCCGTCCACATCACGAACTATGACCTCGCCCACAAGATCCTTCGTGTCTGCGCCGGAGCCGACTGCCTTGCCTTTCGCTGTAGAACCATCCTCGATAACTTCCCTGAACATCCTCCTTTCGACCTCCCACCTCCGGACGCCCTCAGCATCACAAGTCTTCACCACTTGCTCCTCCACCGCCTCCACCAACGCGACCATCTCGTCGTCGACCTTCCCAAACCCTGCGATCCCATGCCCGCTATGTCCCCTAAGCGTCTTGGCGATCGACAACCACTCCCTGACTCCCGTCCGGGTGACGAGCGTATCACTCCCGCCGGGTACCCGCGTGGCCAGCTCAACGACCCTCAGAATCTTTCGGCGGATGGATTTGTTGCACACGGGGGAGAGGTAGTGGGAGAATATTCTGGCAAACACCTGTGCGCGCCGGAAGAGGTCCATGTCTGCCGAGGTTCGGAGACAGCTGAGGAGGAGGTCGAGAAAATGCTCGATTTCGAGCGCTTGGGCGTTGACGGTCCCTCCTCCTCCGCCGCCGCTAGTGCTCTGCTGAAAGCTCGCGGGAATGTCTGGATCGTCGATCTCGGGTTCGGTCAGGAAGGTCTCCTTCAGCCAGTAAGGCAGGATGTGAGACGCGGACCATTGGGGGGCGCGGAGGAGGAACGTGTTGGTTTTGCGGTAGAACGGGGATGCCGGGTCGGCGACGATGGGGAGGAAGTGGATTGCCAACTCCGCCACTATGGAGGGCGCTGGCGCTGTGGCTGTTGCGGTGGACGTGGACGACGTCGAGTTGGAGACAACACCATGATTTCTGATCGTCTCGCAGAGTTCTCCCAGCAGGAGGTAGAGCTGCGTCTTCTCCTCGAAGGTAGACTGTTGGACGGCGTGTATGACCTGCTGGAGAATGTGGAACGCTTGAAGTCGGACTTCGGGCTCGGGAAAGATGAGACATCGGATCAGATTGGCGAGGCGGCCGCTTTGGATCTCCGATTCGAAATCGGGTTTCGTCCAGCGATCGAGGCCGGAGAGGGATGTTGGGATGGTGGGCGGTGGCGGGAAGGACTCGGCGAGATCCAGGCTGGTGTGCTGTCGTTGTTCTGCGCCATTTGCACTGTCTGTGGAAGCCTCAGGCTGTTGGACGTGCCCCCCGTCGACATCTTCCTCTGGTAAGACAACAGGTCTCTTTCGTTGCTTCTCAAACGCCTTTCCCAGTGTTTCTTTGGCCTTCTCATTCCCATCACATTGCCCCAACATCTCTTCCCTCAAGTGCATCATGACACGATAATTCTCGCCTGCAGAGTCAAGGGCAGAGAAGAACCTGGCGATCCACTCCGCGACATTCTTGACGCCTTTCTTGTCCTCTTTCTTGACCAAATGTGTCCATTGCTCTGCCACGCAGCACGCGAGCAGACTCAAAGGTTGTGCATCGGACAAAAGTTGCTGGGCTTGTTCGAGTTGATCGAGATACTTGACGGGCCTCTGAACAGTGCGCGATATACAGTTGTCCAGGAATTGATAAGTGGCTAGTTCCGGCTGCCATTTTTTGGTGGCGGCGAGGCTCAACATCAGTGCATCCATAGATCGGACATCGGTGTTCAGTACCCCCTTGTCAGACAACACTCTTTTGAGGATGGGGAGGGTTTCTTTCGTGACAGGCTTGTCGGAGTCTTGGGCACAACGTCTGAGCAGCTGTACAATCAATGACACCTCTTCTGATGCCGCTTTGTGAAACCACTTTGTTGCGGGTGAAATGTATGCAATCTGCACGAGGTGCGCCATTTGAGCCAGTATCAAGTCCCTTATTTCCGTCTCCACAGCGTCGGATTCTAAAAGTTGGAGCCTTTTGCTCAAGGGCACACCAAAATCGAATTTCGAACCCGCAGTTATCGAGGGCAGGAGGGTGTGATATGCGGCGATGCACTCAAGAACTGATGTGCGAACTTGCTCGTTCTCGTCTTGCAGCGTCTGAAGGGTGGTGATGACATCCGAGAGGGGCGGGATTCGCTCGATGAAAAGACTGATCAGTTTACGGGATGCTTGCTGCCATAGATGGGACTCGGCTGGTGCCTTGTCAAAGACCTTCAAAACCGAATCGAGCTTCTCGAAACCCACTGTCAACAATCGCGTCGCGGAAATAGTCATGATATCCTCGTTCATCCGAAGACACTTTCCGATCGCAGCTCGTTCGAGCGGGCGTGGGAGGATACTTTCAATAACGATCGACAACGGGGGTGGAGTCAATGGCAGCTTTTCGTCCCAGCCACAGTTTGGGGGCACCGGGAGCTGTACCACGGAGAACAAGAAAGCGAACTGCCCACGCCATCTTGGATCATCTCCTGCTGGAGCAAGGAACTTTTGTTTTTTAGTGAAGTAGTCGGCCACAAGTTCAGGGGCAGCATTGAATATCGCCACGATGAGATCGGCTTGCTGGACATCGCTTTCGGGTCTCAGAGTCTGAATAAAGGCGGAGATGGCCCCGTTCTTGACCGGCACTTTCTCAGAATAGTCGTCAAAGTAGAAAGGAGAATCAAGACCCAGATCGATCATGTTCTCGTCTTCACCAAGAACATCGGGATTTGTTCCGGTAGAGTACCACCCTGATTGGGCAGACAACACCCCCTTTGAAGTCGTACAAACTTGTAACAGCAGTCGCTGGAGAGCATCCCGAACTTCTCCTGAAGCTCCGCTGGTTTCGTCGGCCTTGTAATCGTACAGCTTGCCGAGCGCTGACAGAACACCGGAGTTGAAAGCTCGAACCTTCATTTGCCTGCTGAGCGTGTCATCGCCAATGACTGACCTCTCCAAGCTCTTCAGGGCGTTGGTGACAACAGACACAGGCAAGCTGGATAAATTGCGGATTGCAAAGAAGATGGTTTTGCCATGCGTAATGAACTCGGACTTGGAGGCCGAGTCAAGGTACTTCAGATTCGCCAGAACGAATTCCAGGGCTGCCTGGGATGCACTCACCGAGGCGGCCTGTGCCACTGTTGCCGGCGTTTGGCTTAAGATACCATCGAGCCGCCGGTAGAGGAAATCGCGTCGACTGAAGACATTGCTTGCAAGAGCTCCACCGTCAAAACTGATGATCTCTGTCAAGAGCTGTAGACACGGTGTGATGAGATGTTCTTTGGACCTCGGTGACGACAAGGTTCGGTCGAGTATTCGCAGTTGGTCTCGTTTGAGCAGGCTGTGACACAAGGAGATTCCGAACTCGCGGAACTCGACATGGCTAGAGATCGTCTCGAAAAATTGGGCGAGACAATGAGGAATGGCGGCGAGGACGGCTTCAGCGTTGGACTGGCTGGCATTGGACCATGCAGACAAAAGATCGGGAAAGTCCAGTTGATCATGTGAAGGTGAGGATTGCTCGTCACAGTATTTCTTCAGCCCCGTCAACTGACGACTCCGATCTGGGAAGTCTTGGTTTGTGAGCTGGGACAGAAATTCTGTGAATCGATCGACCGCTGCGCCTGTTAACATGACGGACTTCTCACACGTGTGCCATCCACAACATACCTGCTTTCACATCATCTGGTGACGAGGACGGTGGGAATTGAAGCAGTTGGTGGAGTTGATCCGAGCTGGTGATGGCACTTGAATGCGAAGTCGTAGCGGCTTCCACCTTTCTCCGCTTCCGCGATCTTTCTTCACCCATCCCTACAGACATGGTAACATCATGTTGTACACCAGATGTAGCGTCGAATGAAGAGGCCTAAACATATGCAGGACGTCAATGGTCACTTTTGGAAGGAGACGTCCAGGGAGTCTAGTTTGATACTGAATTCATTTTTGTGCCAAGCTTTTTAGAGTCAGTTACGTGATTGGTCAATATACAGTATCGTACCCCACCCCAGTCCATACTCCGCATTAGGTAATAACCAAACCTGCACACAAACCACCCCAAAGCTCAAATTCCTTCTGTCTGAGCGCTTTCAACCACAAAAAAACAATGAAACTAATGTTCAAAAAGCAAAAAGAGCATGCCAAGGTCGTGCCCGGACTCTGATTGGTCGAATTAGCCCCACATCCATCCAAATATAGCTCTCGCACACTCACCGAACCGGGGTTAGCGGAATACTCTGGGAATCAGAATCCGCTGTGCTAACCTCTACACTACACAACCAGATGTATGGCAAAGTGTGTGGTTGAATTATGTCCAGATTTTGGGACTTAAAAATATAAATTTAAAATCCAGAGCGGGGCTCGAAAGGCCGGCGCAAGCTTCCTCGTGGCGCAAAAGATAAACGGGGGCTCGCAGGGATTGTGCTCGTATCAGTGCCCCCAAACGATTGTGGCTTTGCGAAACCTTGATCTGACCACAAATACGACCAGCCAACAATGAACGTTCGGTAGCTTCTCAACGGCGACACCTCCCATCTTATTGCTATGGACCAGCCAAATTCCATCTGAATTCAGCTTCTCTTAAATTTGCGACACTCATCTTACACTGATAGACTTTTCATCACAATGAAATCCATGCTTCCTTTCAACTCCTTGCCGAACGGTTGCGTTCAACCACATTCTTTATCCGTGGCCTCTTGACCGCGACTTCTGTCTGGATATGGATCCCCAATAACAAAAGCAAGATGGGCTGCACAACGGGCTTGAAGGGGTTGATTCTCTTCATGGAGAGCAACGAAATAGATGACCCATTCCCAGGGTGACGCCCTCCAGTCGTAACGCAGGAAATGGGTCACGACTGAAGGGCGTAGCCCCTGCAGAGACCAGCCTCGTAGGCAAGTATCGACAAACAGTGCAAGGACCTTCCTTGTGCCATACTTTTCAACTCCTCAGTTGCGTGGCAGGCTTTTCGAATGAATTAATGAAAGTAAATATATTCTTACTGGAATGCTTGAATCTTGATATCGGTCTTGTATGACTTGTGCTTTGACGGCTTCGTTGGACATTGGTAAGCATTTACCGGAAACGGACATTGACACATCGACTTGAGGAGGAAGCAGAGACTATGGACTCCCATGGAATAAGATCTACGATTCGAGTCAGTTCGAACTACCGGCTACATGGCCTCAACCCCAGCCATTGAGTGCCCCTGGTGCGCGTTGAGCAGTAGGAAGGTGTTTGTCCCTCTCTGCTGGATGTTTGCATTCACTCACTGGTTCGGGATGCGCTAACATGCGTAGCTACCTCATCGATTCCTTCGGAGGGCCGTGAAATGAATCTCTCAACAGAGTTGAATATGCATCTCTGTGCATTTCTGAGGAGAGAACTTTTATCGACAGATGATGTGTGATGTATGGTGAGGTTTCGAGGAGGGTACCAGACTACCCGTGAGTTGAGAGGGCACGTGAGGCGGAATCCCGCCCACATATAAATTGCGATTTCACTTTCACACATTCTCCCTCTTCTTTTTTCTTCACCAGAGACAACTTGACACAGTGTAAGTGCCCTCATTCCGTTCCCATCCCTTTGCAGCAGTTTGATTTCTTGATGCGTCTGCTACTCTTGGTCCCAGTGACTGTGTCCACTCCTTCTCGAATGCAAACATGGCAAGCCACTGAACACCAGCAAAACGCGGTTGACCAATGTTTCATCAATACCTCACTTTAACCTCAGCGCATCCTATCAGTTCCATCAGGACCATTGACGCTCAGGACACTCCGCTGACTCCTTTCACCTTGTGCTCTCCTCGTTTCATTGGTTTTGTCCACTCCTCAAGCCCCACGATGTCGGCTCACCAGCAACAAATCTCACACAACCGACAGAACGCATCTGCCTGCATACCAGCCGTACCTGAGGCCATCCCATCTCTGCCTCTGGCCATCCCATCCGTACCTGAGGCCATCCCATCAGTACCTCAGGTCACCCAGTCGACCGTGTTCACCTCGACTCGTTTGCCGTATCAATCTCATTTCCTGTCTCAGCCTTGAAAACACAAGAGGAGGAGAACATCACTGACCCTGAGCCAGCAGCAGAAACAGCGGCAACCGAAGCAGCTTCAACATCAGCAGCACAGCAACAACAGAAGCATCAACAGCAGCGACAGCACAGCAGCGACAGCACAGCAGCGACAGCACAGCAGCGACAGCACAGTAGCAATAGCCTCAACAGCACAACACAGTAGCCACAGCACAGCAGCAACAGCAGCCACAGTAGCCACAGCAGCAACCGCAACAATAGCACAGCAGCAACAACAGTGAGTCCACAATCTTTGTTATTTCAGAGATCTCATGACTAATTCCACGTATAGTGTCTTCAAAATGCAGCAGCAGCAACAACAACTTCAACAGCAGCGGTGAGTCTACATACCTATGTATCATTACACAATTGTTAGACACGAGCTAACGCAAGTAGTAGCAAAGCGGCAGAAGCAGCAACAGGAGCAGCAACAGCAAAGGATGAGCAAGTAGCAGTCGTGGTTAAAAAGGAGGAATGAACAGCAGCAGCAGCAGCAGCAGTAGAGCAGTAGTGGAGCAGCAGTAGCAGAGCAGTAGAGCAGTAGAGCAGTAGAGCAGTAGCAGCAGTAGAAGAATGGATTGTACATTAACAGTGTATTGATTACCACTGGCGGATTACTACCGCCTCAAAAGCCTACCTAGTAGTACTAGGTAATATCATGATGACAGTGATACCACCCTGATAGTCATTTGCGAGAAGGTCATGTGTATATCAGTGAGAGGACCATCAAGCGCAGAGCGGTGCGTCCCCCAATTTGAGTCTCAAGTTGTCGCCACTGACAGCAATGCCTCCGCTATACCTTCTGACATGGTATCCTCATTGTCTGCATCTGAGGAATGTTGACTGTTAGATGATAGGGGAGCTCCCTCTACAATCTGTGACGCCTGCGGCCTGCCACAGGTCGCTCCCATCTTACGCCATTACCTCCTTCTAGGAGCAAATCCCTCCTTTCGAGGGGTCGGATGAGCAGACGGGCACACGGCTTGACACTGGCCGCTGCCATTTTTTGCCGTTGTTGTGGTCACTCGACGCATTCGGCATCAACTTCCCTCTTGGAGTACGCTGCCAGTGGCTGCCTGCCTACTTCCACTGCGCCTAACGCACCTCTTCTCACTCCTCTTCTTGTTACTCAGAGATAGCCCAACACAATACAGACACCCATCAAGGCAGTTGGGTCAATACGACTCTGTGAGGCCATTGCGGCCTCGCTCCGACCCCAATAAGCAACAACAACAACAACAACAACAGTGAGTTCACAGTTTCCGTTGATCTAGGGACATCATAACTGATGCTACATATAGTGTCTTCCAAGCGCAGCAGTAGCAATATCAATAGTGACAACAAATCCCGCGGTAGCGGTGAGTTTACACGGCTATATATCACTGCGTGTTCGTTAAACACTAACTTATATAAGTAGTAGTAAAGCGCCTACGGTAGCATAGCCAACGGCAGCAAAATCCCTTGTTAGAAGGGTTGTCAGAACAAGACGCCCACGGCGTCACGCAAGCGCTTACGCTACTCCGTCGTCCTCCCGGCTCCGTTTTCACTGTAAAGCCCGACTTGCACAAGGAGTAGCCGCCAATGTCAATCGTCATCATGATATTGCAAGTCGATTGAGGTGGCAGGATACCGCCAGTGGTAAGCTACCTACTCCCCCTTTACCACTACGTGCTCCCCCTTTAATACTATTGCCGCCGCCGCCGCCGCCGCCGCGGCCGCTGTTTCGGTGACTTTCTTCTCACAATTCTCCTACACTGTGGCTTACTCCTCACATAGGCCGCTACATTGTAAGTTTCCGCCGCGCGCCCAGCTCCGCGACTTGATAGGACTGGTTCCTCGGACTCTTCGAATCACCGCCCAACATGTCGATGGCGTTCTCAGATTGAACTACCCTTGGGTCTGGAGCCAATCCACGATCCAGAGCACGTACCGCTATCTTCAAGACTGGGCTGATTGTGCAGTTGACAGTGAAAGGACCACCCCTCTCAAGCGAGTGAAGGCGGGATCAGATCTGGTAAGCGACAAACTGTCCAAAATCATCCGCGATGTGTACGAATCCTTCTATAGCTCGCCGAAAAAATATCAGAAGCCGCTCAAAAGTCAAGAGAAAACACGCCAATCTCATTGCAAAACCCTAGTGCTGGTGCACCACATCACGACTCACAGTCTTTCCAAGATACCGACAAAAAAGAACCAGGTGTAACGGCAGCAGGCATACTTGGCTAATGATTTCAGCTTTTCTTCTTCATCATCCCCCTCAGTTTCCTCGCAGCACCAACAATCGGATCGCCGGCGTAGATGTCGTAGGGGTCTTTCTTCTCCCGCCCCCTCTCGCCGCCCCATTGAATCCGCGCTTTAGGCTGAGCTGAAGACGACGATGCTTCTTCGGTGGGCTCTGGCACCGCCGCTTCATTTCGGCGAGGCTCGTCCTCATCGCTCTCGCTGCTTGAGTCTTCGTCTCCGCCACCCAGACCCAGTGCGGCGAGCCGGCGCCGCTTTTCCGCAGCGGTTTCTCCTTCGTCGCCGTTCTCTTCTTCCTCCTCAGAACGAATCCTCGCCAGGGTCCTTCTGCGAATGTCTGCCGCCGTCTGACCTTTGCCGTGCCTCATGACGCTCGATCTCACATTATGAGTTGGAACGTCTCCTTCCTCCTCCTCCTCTTCCTCTTCTTCCTGCTCGTCTTCGTCACTCTCTTCTCTCACAGTTCGGTTGCTTTCATGTGTCCTCAATCGATCGGGTCTCGAACGCCGCTGGGGGCTGAAATAGTCATCGGCTTCTGACTCGCTCGCAGTTCTTCCGCCAGCGTCTGGGCGGCGAACACCTAACGCACCGCCGACATTTGCCTCGGTCCGGCCACGCGCTGGGCTCTCCTCGGGCGGAGTCAGATCATCAAGTCCCTCTCTTTCCATTTTCGCGACTCTTTTTACTTCTCGTTTGATGTCGTCTGTGGCGTCACTCCGTTCGACTTCTCGAATCTTATTTTTAGGGTCGAGCTGCTGCATTTGCTTGATGAAGTCCCTTGTCGACAGTCGTCGGCCAGACCCCAATGCAATGGTTCCGGGAGCATCTCGTGTTTTCTTTTGCAGTCCAGTCAAGCCGTATTGATCGGCCCTTGAAATTGTCATTCTCAGGCCGTCGTCGGAGGAAGCATCGCTATTCCGTCTTCTGAAATCTCGCTTTTTGGCAGCATCCTTCGGGTCGTGGTCTTGTTTGTCTGGTGGCGCAGGAGCAGTAGCAGCAGTGCTGGGACCGGCAGCTCCAGGCTGTCGTCCCAGACCAACCCAGGTGCTCATACGGCGCAGACCATCGCGCATTTGCTGTTCCCTTGTCTTGTCACCGCCACCACTCTCGGTAGGAATATTGTATGTCTTGATGACCTCGCCGTCCTCGTCTTCAACAATAACAGTATTGCCAAACTGGTAAGCATGAGCCGGACCCCGCTTTCGTTCGGTCTGCTTGGAGCTCGAAGGTTCCGCATCTCCCTCCTTACGTCTGCCAAAGCCTTTCCACTGATCAAATCTCTGACGCATACTTTTGGGCAAGACAGCTTGTTCAATCTCCTCTTCCAACTCCTCGCCTTCGTTTCTGGGGTGTGGCTTGTGCTTGTGCTTTGTGAATTCTCCAGAATCGTCTTTAGCCAACCGATTGCGGGCTTTCTCGATCGCCTCCACCTTTTCATCTGGCGCCATGTTACTGGTGTCGATCGTGTCTACCACATTTCCTTCCTCGTCCTCAACGATAATATTGTCACCTTCCTCATATACCTCGACGTCTACAGCCGTGTCTGGAGGTGGTGGAGACCGAGCACGCCGTGCCGGTTTCCTCTCCCGCTCAGCTTCAAGCTCATGGCGCTCTGGGGATGAGGTTGGTGACGTAGCTTCGCCACCATCTTGACGATTTTCCGGCGAAGGTTCGCCGGACTTGTCGAACAATGTGTCTGAACCAGACTCCTGTTGCACGAGTGCGGGCTCACTACGTCTTGACGGGGCAATGGCACTCTGACTGACAGGACCTCCCAGCCGTTCTTCGAGAGATCTATCACGCTTCCTCCGCCTCCGTGCTCTGCCAAGACTCGAAGATCTCGAGACCGGTCTCTTCTCATACTCGTCTTCCCGCTGTCGCCTGAGATGGAGTTTGGGAATCCCAATCGGTGGGAGTTCTCCAGGCGGAACTTCCAGCTTTTCATCGATGTCCCATTCCGAGCTCTCCCTGCGGGACATGGACCTTGACTGAGATGTAATCCGGGGAAGTCTTTGCATCCATGCCGGGCCTTTCTCGTTGTCTTGGGTATACGACAGAGTGATGGTCAAGGTGTTGATTCGTTTGCCCAAGGTGAACACGGCGATTGATGAACCATGGACGAGGATGGACGAGATGACCATGAACGTGACCAGGGGCCATATAAGGTAGATTAGCTGATATTCCTCGCTATTTTGAGGGAGCTTGGCCAACGGTATCGCTCCGTCTGTTTCCAATTCAGCACGGGCCAAGATTGCTGCAAAGATGGCGCCCACACCGATAGGCCCAAAATGACCCGCAAACAAAGCCTCGCGCCAAGTTTTGACGTCGGGGATGAGAGGTTTCAGAGCCAGCATGGCAGGGATCCGACGGAACAAGATGACCATGATCGAAATGACAACAAGCCTCCAAGGGGCGAGGCCGTGTGCCTGCGCATTGTACTGATCCCAGGGGATGATGGTCCCAAAGTAAACAAAGTAGGCCAAGTTGAGAAGCAAGTCAATGACGTTGGACACATGGGACTCCTCGGTTTTCTCGGTGAACCAACCGTCGTTCGAAAACCCTACTCCAGCGGCAAAACCAATAAGGAGATCGTCCATACCCAACAGACTCCCGGATCCGGCGCAGAATAAGGCCAGGACGAAATAGAATACAAGGAAACTTTCGCGATCAATCAAGCCCTTTCGCTCGGCCCACTTAATGGCGTGGCGGCCTATGTAGCCGACCATGACGCCGTAGAAAGCGCCAAATATACACTCGTACAGGATCGTAAAACACGTCCAATGGAAGATCACCTCTCCGGCACGGAGGTTGTACCTAACCAAGTAGAGAGACAGATAGATGAACGGGAAAGCCATGCCGTCGTTGCAACCGGATTCGGCAGACAGGACATCTCGAAGATGTTTAGGGACTCGTTTTGCGAACTTGCCCTTTCCCACGACCGACGAAGCCAAGACCGGATCGGTGGCGGTGACGCAAGCTGCAACGACCAGAGACTCCAGCCAGCTGAGAGGGACAATCATCCACCAGATGAAGAGACTGGTGACCAGCCAACCAAAAGTCATGACTGGGACCAAGAGGAAGACGACGGATTTCCAGTGCCTTTCCATGTACGCCTTTGGCAACTCGACGCCGACGGCGAAACACTGGACGACCAGGACGATGCGGGAGAACTCGAGGGTAATCTGGTCGGTGTTACCCCAGGTCAGAGGGTTGATGAGATTTGCCGCATGGGGTCCAAATATCACACCGCATATTGTTGCAACGGTCGCCTCGCCAATGTACAGCTTCTCCTTGATAAAGAGCGAGCATAGCATGAATATGCTGGTGAATCCGCCGAGGATGATGTACACCAAATGCGGTTTGTTTATGGTGAGCTGCGACCACGCCATCTGGCACAGATTTCGTCAAAATCTAGGAGTTGTATAAAGTTGCAAGAGTCTTTGGCGGCAGGTTTGGCTCGACAATGGAAAAACTGTGGCCAGGATTGGTCGCACCGAGTGACAAATCCCTCCCGTATGTATCTCTAAAATATACACAAATATTGATTTATATCGACAACCAAGTTATATTACCTCCTCGGCAGTTCTATCCCCAGTCGTTTCCTTCTCTTTGGTGAAGGTCGTGATGCAGAACCCGCCGCATTCAGAAAACGTCGGACAGCATGCGTGGTTGGAGAAGAGGAATAGTTGGAGTGTATCTCGAAAGGAATCGGTCTGCCGGGAAGGGCAGTGGGATGGTTTCTATAGTGAGTGTAGGGGCTCCAGATCGCAGAAGCACAGTGTGGTGGTAGATGAATGAAGGGATCGAGGGGTCGGAATGGAGACCCTTTGGGGCCTCCTGTATGGGCTGCGGTCGAATTCCCGTGCTGAGATGACTAGGTGGGAAAGGGAGGGTTAGATCCTGCTGTGGTAATGGAGGAATAAGCACACTCAGCAAGGAGAAGTCTTGGGTGTTGGGTGTATATAAATGGCAAAAAAAGGTGGAAAGAGTGACGATCACCATCGCTGTGAGGTGCGGTTTCTTAATGGGCGACAATTAGTGGAGCCGGGATCTTAATAAGGCACCGAGCCACGTCCACTGGAGATCGGGTGGTACCCAGTGGTCTTGGGGGGACGGACCCCTAGAGGGCTTGGGGGCGACGGGGTGAGCGTGGCACTGCGGCATGGCAACTACTACCTGAGTGTGGGCGGCGATAATAATAATAATGTGAGCTGGGGGTAAATGATATCGACGCCCACGTCGCCTCGACTTGACCAACTCCCTTTGTGGAGCCAGTACCTAGGTAACCACCCACAGTTGACCGCAGGCAGTTAGCTGCTCGAGTCCCGAGGCCTGGACCAACCAGAAATAGGTGCCACGTCCACGCCACGCCTGCGCTTCGGACACTCGGCTTGGCCTCTGGGTTGATGGCCATGACAGCAAATCTACCTCCTACTGGTATATCCTTCCTGTTTCTTCATCCATCTCCCCATCGGCCATCAGCTTCAGGAGACAGACAAGCACCCGACGAGGTACGAACTTGGTCAACCACCTCATCCAGCCACCTGATATGCCGTCTCGTCGCTCTTTTTTCTCCTCTGCGCTCAATTCCTCTCCTGTCAATGTCATGCGGACTCCACCGGAGACGGGAGGTCGATTCTACAGCGTCGCTTCATGGTTGGTCAATGGGCTCAAGATCCTCAACACAAGAAGAATGGACGGTCTTGGCTACATGAAATTTCAGCGCCATCTGAACCGCCGTTCCCGGCGTTCTGCGTATATCGTTCTGACTGCTTGCCAGACTGACCGACTCGACTGCACAAGGGCTGATCACCTTCTTCGAGGCTGTATTCCCTCAAGTTGCGGCCCGGTCATTGGCACTTTGTAGTCGCTTCTACTCACCTCATGCAGTCCACAGCCCAACATGTGACAATGCTTGATTACGACTCTTGTCCATTCAGGTCAACGTCTGCTAATCCCTCCAGGACCAGGAAAAGAGAAAAAGAAATAGCTGCTGCCGCTGCAGCGCGTGGCTTGGCCCCGCAGATACTAGCAGAACGAAGAGGGAGAAGCAACCAGTACTGGCCACGAAAAAGCGCAGACTCTCTGCCACAATGCTGCATGTTATTGCTCTCACCCCCGGTGCAAGCTTCAAGCTGCTTGGTTGTCAGTCATCCTCGAGGACCTCTCCACCCTCAAGGGGGGGAACGTCATTCGACTGATAACCCATTCAATTCATCGACGGTCATAAAAATGAGCATCATGTTGGTCGCCTTCGATCCTTTACTTTTATCCATCACCAGCTTCCTCCCGACGTATAGTTACATGCTTCGGTGGCGTTGCTCATTACTAGGTATGAATCAGACCACTCGTCAAGAGAAGATTCGCAGACCGCTCCTCCCATAACAAGTCCATATGTACTCCTCATACATGAAGTCCCGCACTTTTTGGAAGGTCCTTAACCAGAAATGGCTCGTCTCTGCAATTTTTTCGCGTCACAGGTTGTGGGTCTGTGGGGTATATTGTGATCATATGTCCTGATAAATCATATCGACTGGCATCGTCAAGATTCGAGTCAAAATTAAAACAAGTGTCGCAATCAAGCTTGCATCCGTCGCATTTGGGAGAAAGAAGAATTAATCATGTTGGTCAAGGTGACCTCGAGATCGGAGCCTGAGCTTTGCTGAATGTCATCACGGGTTCGAAGCTGAAACCAAGGCTCGCTCCTTGATATGCCCTGCCTGGGTCTCCAGCGACCGCGCCATGAGCTTGAAGACTGTAACACAGGATTAGTACATTGTGCTCCCCACACAAAAGCATTGACTCACCCGGCCACACGGAATCCCTTCCTAGTATGTACGCTGTCAATGCAAGGATTCTGCTGCCATGACCTCCTGCCCGTGCCGCAGAGAGGTCAAATCCGCCCTGGGTTTCGACCTTGCTTTCAGCGCTGGTCAGGATCTCGTCAATCTTCTGTATCAAGGTTCGGTCTTCATCCTCGAGGAGGAGTATGCCTGGTACTTCCAGCAGGTTCATCTCATCGCGGCCAATGACACCCAGATATCTGCCAACCCGTTCTTGGACGGTGGCGATCCACTCTGCAAGGACTTGCGCGCAGTCAAATGCACACATCGCAGACTGCGTTGGTAGCTCTCGAGAGGTGTGTTCAGCAAAACTCAAACCGAGTTTGTCTGACATGGCCAAAGAATCGGCGGCGTAGAATGCTGCCTTGCGAAGGTGTCGCTCACGTCGGGACGAGTGGGATTTCCGGGCTTCCTGCTCGTGTTCTCCTGGTTCCACTTTCATGCCTTCTTCCGCAGGAGTCGGCATTTGCTCTTGATTCTTGGCCTCTGGCTTTTGAGATGGAGAGTTGCTTGTTTGGTCTGGTTTGCCCGGTTCCTGCCCCGAAACCGGTTCGGAGCCCTTGGCCAGCTCTTCCGCCATAGCATCGTAGTCCCGCTGCCAGAAAGCCTCCTTGGACCTCCCGAAATTGACAAACAGCCGGATGTAAGCAAGGTCAAGCAAAGGGACACAATCCGCCGACAAGGGACCGTCGCCAAATGGATTGGGTCGCTCGATGCTATGCTTGGGATTGCTCGCCCATGCCGCTTCCCATGCCGTAAGTGCCGGTTCAATGTGGGCGTGCATCTGCTCCGTTTCGCTTGCGGTCCATTGCCGGCCCAAGTGACGTTGTCGTGTTTCCCAGATGTAGTTATGTAAGGCGTTGATCAGGATCAAGCAACCGAATGTGCTCGGGGTGAGTTCCAGCTCGCTCGTAAGCCCAACTCCGTTTACATTACTGTTTCGCCTTCGTTGTCTGTGTGCGGACATGAGCAAATGTGTCAATGACGCGGCAAAGGTAAGAGCGCCCGTTTCCGCGCTCGCTCCTCCTAATTGGCGCCATGTTTGCGCAGACTCGGCAGCCCAGAGTTCTTCGGCGCAGGGTAGATTCAATCGGATCTCGGAATTGGTGAGTGCGGGAGGATGGTTGTAAGCTGTCACAAGCATGCTCGAAAGGATGAAGACCGCATATAAAGTTCGCTTGCGTTCTTCCATCACCTTCCACTCCAACCAGTCAGAATCATCCATTTCGCTAATCATCGAGCCCCAGCCATTGTTTGGCATTCCACCCATCTGGACGTTGACGTTGGCATCTTTCATGCTTGTTCCGCTGTAGCCTTGAGAAGCCTTTGCGAGCTCCGCACCACGAGCAAGACTCACCAGGGCTGCACAATGGTTACTTGCAAGCTCAGCCGCTGTTTTATCGCCACAGTTGTGGCCATAAATCACGTTCAATAACATAGCCTGGACTAACCAGAGTGGCGTGTCTTCTCGCTCAGCAGAGTGTCGAGGGCCAAATTGTGTTTTGGTCAGGTTGGCCTTGCGCCTCTCTTCGAGGTAGCTGCTAATCAAGCGTTTGGCACACTCGAAGAGGTCTCTAGATTGAGATACCTCATGTTCATATAAAGCCCCAATGGCAGCAATTGCCAGGATCAAGCAACTGCCTCCCCCAGCTACAGAGGCCTGACCAAATTGAGAATGGCCAGAAACCAGCCTGATCGGCGTTGTATAATCTGGCGACTCAAAGTTAAGGGTAGGGACGTGAAGAAAGGGAAGGTGTGGATGGAAGTATTTAATATAGGCAGACACATATCGCTGCAACTCAGATGTGCTGGGAAAGGTGCTGGCGTTGAACCCTTTCGTGCGTGTGTTGGAGCTTGGAGACAACGGCGAACTAATTGCTGGTTGAGAGTACTTGCGTTGTCCAAAGCCTGCATTCTGAGAAAGGCCGGCGATCAAAACATTCCGAATATGATCATTGACCAAATCTGAGGACATCGTTGTGATCGAGCTCTGTTGGAGACTACTATCCACTGAGTTTGTGGAAGTAGTAGAGCCAGCACCATCTCCAGTAAGCGAGAGATGATAACCAGTAAATTGAGGGGCCGCGTGCATGGCGGAAGCGTCCATTGTGGTAAAATCTGGCGGAGTTGGAAGGCTGATATCCATAGCGGTTGCTTGACCCAGTAAGGATTTTGGCGAGACGGTCCCCATTGAAGCATTGACGACGTCGTTAAATTGGGACAACATTTCAATACTCATAGGACTGTTCAACAAAGGCACATGGGCTGCAAGAGTTGTGGACCACATATTGCCTGCAGTAACTGAAGCTTGTTGCATCGCTGCAAGATTTAGATCGCCATTCATGTTCACGTCATTCACTGGAGCCGGACTATTGGTGCTCATGGCCGAGGGGGAGGAGTCATCGATAGCGTTCTCATTGGCCTGAGCGAAGGACATCTGATTCTCGAAGCCCAAAGTCATCCAGTCGAAACTCGCATCGTCGTCGGCCATGGCTTGAGAAGGGGTCATACCAGGAAACATTTGGTGGAAAGGGGAAACCGACGAGTCGAGGCTGAGCGCTTGCATGTTGGTCATATGCAGTGCGTGAGGGTTGATGGTATTTCCTTGGTCGGAGTCGATGCCATTTTCAAATTCGGCGCCAAATCCCCCGTAGGGAGGCGCCGTGCGTAGGCTGCCTAAGATGTCGGTTTGCAGTCCATGGGTCTCCAACTTTGGCAAACTTAAAGCATGCTGATGACCGTGTACGCCGCGGTATTGATATGCATGAAGACTCGATATGGCCGACACGCTGTTATGGTTGGTATGGCTGGTTGAGGGTTGGCGCCCAAAGCTTCCAACGGAATCGGACATCACACTTAGCCTCCGAGTGGCAGAATCCACATGACTGACAGTGTTCGCTCTCGGCCTCATTGTTGTCGTGGTGCTCGCGGTGGAGTTTTTGCGAACACGGCCGCTGGCAACTCCTGCAACACTTTCCCTACGTCCAGACCGGGGCCGTGCTGATGGTGTTGTAGACGAGTGGAGTTTCTGCTGGTGTCGGAGCAACAAGTCACGCCTGGCGAAGCAGCGAGTACATTCGGGGCACGCGAACGGCTTTTCCTTGGTGTGAGATCGCTCATGCCTTTTAAGATGCTCTAGGCGAGCAAAGGATCGCATGCAGGTCAAGCACACATGAGGACGAGGCTTGTCTGTCTTTGGCGCAGGAAAAGCTGGGTTTGGCATGATGTTTTTGGACGCTGTCGAAACCTTGCCCGACGCAGCCTTGTTGGCTGATGTCTTGTCTGCCGAGAGATGGGAATGAGCATCAAACACAGAAAGCAGAGCTGTCTGAAAAGACTCACCAATTTCTGGGGCAGCAGCCTCCGATGTCTCGTTGGATGTTCTTTCAGCTGAGGCCGCCTCAGGCGATGCCACGTCCATGGCGTCGACGGGAGACTTGTTCTCTTCTTCCGCCATTGCTGCCATCTGGCTTCAGTATCTATTGCCTTCCGCTCCGAGCACTGTGCTTGAAACCCAGTTTCTCAATACCGTCTCGACCTAGCGAAGCCTCGAGTGACGGAGAATAGGACAGAAAGCCAGTTGGAAAGTAGCATGCGCGAAACCGCCGTGTCGCTAGTGATCTGCTTGGTTTCGGGTGAAATATGTGGCACTTTGAAATGTTCCTCGGCAGCAGGTCTTGAAAAGGTTGGATTCAATACACCATATATATCCGATCCCTGAAGACAACGTCCAATGCGCCGAGCCACTCAAGGAGAGGAAGTTTCGCAGGTACTGTCACGCTCCAGGCGATTCTGAAAAGGGAATCCGATGCTCCAGGCACAAGATGGTAAAGACTGTACACAAGATTCCAGCAAGGTGGCAATTACTCGTAAGGAAGATGGTCGGGGACTTTTAAGAGATCATGTACATGAGCAAAGACCGAGTCTAGTTTTCTATACAGCTTTTAGTACTTGGAGATATGGTATTTGCGACATGAAGCGAGGTCTAGGAGAACGACAACATCGACGCGAGGCTCGTACACTTACCTGAGTCAACATACCAACAGTAACAAAGTCGCGAAAATGCGCGAGGTCGACGACCGAGGGAGAAAATAGTTACTTTGGCCAGAGGCCGACAGCGCGAGACTGAACCCCTCTCAGAGTTTTTTGCACGTCACAGGTGGGTGGGCGGCAATGATGGTTGGCGGGTGCCAATGCTTTCAAGCGTGCAGGGTGGCAGTACGAGAAGCCACGGGATTGGTAGGCTGCCTCTTCTGGCAGGTAGCTGTCTGTTCTGGAACGCCCGTTGGTCAAGGGATAGGCAGTCTGCTAGAGGGACCCTAGTAGAAGAAAGGTAGTCCCGACCGAGGATCAATTTGCTGTCGGGTATGGCCCTTGGAAGGCTACAGAAGGTATAGCTTTTGCAGGTTTCCAAGCCACGCCGTTTTTTGGGGCGCAGGGTGAGCGACGAGTGACGGGGACACCAGACGGGGAGAGACCCGGGGAAAAGTTCAAGAGAAGAGAGGCCTGTGACCAGTCTCTGTCTCTATGTGCTCTGTTTCCTTTTCTTTCTCACACTCTCTCGTTTGGATGGTACGACTAGGGTGTGGTACGGACGAAACTTGGTGATAGAGAGGCTAAGCAGGGGAGAGGTACTCGGAAAATTGACGGGAGACGGCAGAAGAGGGTGGGTGAGAGGGGGGAAAGAAAGAAAAGAAAAAAGTGAAAAAAAGGAAGAATAGATTAGAGAGCAATTCTCGTCAGAGGACTGGGTGCAGTGGTGCACAAAGTGCATTTGCAATGAGATTTTCTCAGCGCCGCCGACACAGAACAAGGTCTGGAGATTTGGGTCCTGGGGGAGCTGGAGACACTCTGGAGTAGAATTTTTAGCTGGAGCCGGCAGAGTCTGGAGTGTCAAGAAGCGACCGAATCGAACGGCAGCTCGCGACAGGCCTTTGCTAGGCTGTGTGCCGCTTATTGGGCAGCGCCAATTTGTCCACCCTTTGGGGGCGGACAGTTGCCGCACCCACCATGGGCACAAGGCCCTGGTGGGTGCCTGGGGTGGCCCTTAGAAACTAAAGTCCAACGGGCCTAGCTGCGGTCGTGCACACACTGGAAATAACCGGGTTACAGCCTGCAGGCGTGCAGCTGCCAAGTACGAGTATATCCAGGCACGCCTGTGCCTATAAGCTACTACTAGAAAGTGGCAAGGGAGCAGTTTACTGTACCTCAGGAGGTCACTACCTAGGTAGCTGCTACTACCTGGGTACCTAGGTACTTAGCGACCTGGCGAGCTACCTAGGTAGGTACTGGGACACTCTGCCTCTGATCAGGCACTTGAGTTCTTGGTAGGCCGAGTAATGTACTTGCATGAAGTACCTTTTCTTCACGGACGATCCGGTACCGATACATACCTAGGTATAGGCTTTGCCGGTGGCCTAGCTAGCTCACCAGGTTCCTACAAGTGGCCTGCGCCCTGTCTGGGTTGCGAAAACAGTGGGTTAGGGTTCCACAGTGTTCAAGTCCGGAGAACTCGTATGGCCGCCACAGACCCCAGATCCTCTTTACCTGCTCGTTGCAAGTCTTCAATTCTCCACCTCTCACCTCCACCAGATAGGTTACTTCTTGCTTCGACTCTTTCTTGCCTACTGCAGACGTACTTCGGTATTTGTACGGAAGACACAAATGAAATCCTTCCCGAGTCTGCGTCACGGGAAGGAATGCGATGCAGGCGACGAAGCGACGAAGCGACGAATTCTCTTTCGACTGTTGGCCTCCCGGTCTCTTTCGATCCTCTTAGCTGCGCAATCACAGAATCCTCTTTTTCTCTCCCAAGCGTCTCTTCTTGTCCTCTGCAGATGCCGTCAAATGCCAACCATGTGTGGCGCAGGAAATAAGCACAAAACCACCCCCCGGTCCCGGTCACCTCCTGTTCTCAGGCCTGGTGGATGAGGTGGATTCAGAGTGGTTCCCGACTGCATGGAGCGACATGCAGCTCATCTCGAGGGTTCTCAGATCAACGCACAACCATGGTCACTTTTTTCTCCGGCGCTCGTCTGTCTGCCGCTCTGTCAATCTCTCCCCCGGATTTCAGGTAAGCACCTCCAACCCATGGCTGTCAATCGCGATCAGCCCATTGATCAACATTTCACTAACGGTACACTCACAGTTGAGCACGAACTTTTCGGAAACGCCTTCCATCCCTCGATAGGGCTCGGTGTCTCCCGTTCGCCCCAAAATATACTAGTCGTCTATCCGGAGAAACTAAGAGCACGTACATACATGGTGCATGGCAATCAACCCGCCTTCGTACTCGTTCGACACATGGATGAGGTGGATCCACACTGCCGTTCTGTCCCCAGTGCCAGCTTGCAAGTGGCCCAAGCTTCTTCTCACGCTGCTAAGGATCATCTGCTTCCATCCTTGAACTTTCACACCCTCTGCCCCCCGCTGACGGCCGCGAATTCCCCAAATTTTGAGTTGTTAACACCAATTGTTGCTGGCGCTTGTCGACTCAAATGCATCTATTGCGTTCCCTAGCCTGAATGCTGCTTGCGTCCTGCGCTGACCGGAGACTGGGATTGACCTGTTTACCATCTTGGAGAGCATACCTCATTAATACGCCAACCGTGGAAGGACTGCGAGCCCCACCAATACATGCCACCCGGGGGATACCTGGCACAATCCATTTTCTGTGTGATCCATTCGATAACGGCGATACGACGAACTCGGGATATCACGAACCGGAGCCTCTCTGACGGTGAGGGCGTTTCCTTGAACATCTCCACTGAGACCAGTCTACGCCCGCAACGACTACATGACTTTGATCGATCTCATACGCCCCAGAGGCGCCCAAAGAACTGATAATAATATTTTTGGTCTGATCCTCGCGCAGACCCTGGTACAGGCTTTGATCAAGCCCTTGGGTCTGGATGGCCGCCACGGAAGAACAGCATGTCGCAGTCCGCCGATCCTTGAGGTTTGGACATTATGGGAACACGGACCGCACTGGCTGCGCACCACTTGCTTTCGAGCACCTTGGCAGAAGAAATGCTGATCCGAATCCGCCTTCACTTGTGACCCCTGGTGGACCTTGATGGTCCGAGTGCCCACGCTAATCCGCAACTGTGTGCAAATCTGGGGTGGTCATGAGGCCGAGCTCGATCTCTGATGCACTAATTAATAACCTCGTAACAATCCAAATAAGTCAATCCCCAGCGCCCGTCCCCACAATCAGCAAGTGTCACCCTTGCCTGAGGGGCCATGGCGCTTCTAACGACGTGTTGGGATAAAAGGGCTCCGTCGCTTACTGCTAGATTGTGCGGAAGGAGCTATATGTCACCAAGTTAAATGTCGAAAATTACCGCAAGTCCACCCTCCCACACGACCAGGGAGTTGTCGGCCTCTACCTGCGCTTACCGGGCTGCCTGCCGACGCGCTCAGAGAAAAGAAGAAACCTAGGTACCTACTCGTATGCTGACAATCCAGCGATATTTTTGAAGCTGTGAGGGAGGCGAACTATCTTACGTGGTCTCCATTAGAGTTTCTTTTCGAATTGGCCGACTGCCTCTCAGCCTCGAAGAATGTCTACCTCGGGACGGAATTTCAAGTCTTGGGACCTGACTCGACTGATCGTTTCTTCCAATTGGGTCTCAGATGTCCACAAGGCCACGAGTCTCTCTGCGTCCTAGCCATTCGGACTTGGTATGGACAACCGGCAAAAGCGGCCTGCACTCTGCTTGCCGCCACCAATAATAAACAGCCTCGAGGAGACCAATATTACAGCAGTGAGCACCTGACATGTTTCTCGGCCTCATCTCCTCCACGAACCCCGTTAGCAGTCCTCAGCTGAGTCCCTAACAGCATTGGTCGGAACCTAGTCAAGCCCGAAGGAAGGCTGCAAACGGCTCGGTACCATAGAGATGCAACGACGTTTCCATTGGCCAGAGTACAAGGGATCCCATGCATAAGCCGCCCGTTGTGGTCTATCCAAAATAGGAGAGGTACATGTCGTGGAAGCCTGGGCGACCGCATATGAATTCCAAGCAGTGCCAGCCTTGATGGCCCCATTTCGTAGGTGGCTTTTCAACATGTCGTTCTGATGACGCTGCTGCAGTGTGTGCACGAATGAAAGCCATCACTGCGATCGATTCTAAACTAGAATGCCATGCTCTGCGACTCTACCCGCTACTTGCCCATCGCAGGTCGCACTCAGTGCTGCATCACCGGCTTGTATTTCATGCAGCTTGTTAAAGGACATGACGTGTGCGCGGACTCTTGTTCTCTCCAGGTTTGAGGACATCTAACGAATCGCTTTCGAGTACTTCGTCCAGAGGCATATAGGTATGAATCGATTCAATGACGTTACGTTGTCTACCGCACCGATCGTCAGATGCGCAAGCTAAGCATGATGTTGATCACCACCAGCCACCACCTACCTCAGAGATTCCCAACGACAAGCTTTGACAGGATCAATAGCCTGATTCTCTTTGGGCGATCCTGGGACTTACCGGAGATGTATTCCGTACAAGTATGGCTGGCTGTCTACAGGCCTCGATGGGAACGCGGGATTAACCACCGTCTCGATGGTGCCTCGAGTGGCCTGTACGAGAATGCTCGTATTGATGGCGACAACCAGTTTGCAGGTCGGGGGTTGTTGTCGAATGTTCCCGATCCCGCGAAGATGCATGAACTACAGGCTAGAGCCTGGGGCAAGTATCCCTTTAGTTGATCCATTGTGCTCAAGGCTATTTCCACGTGCATGGAGGGGCAACGGGATGTACGAGGAGGGCGTGTGAGGGGCCAAGGGTCTTATCAGCTTCGGCGGCCGGGACACACCAGCCTCCCTGGCGAAAGCTGTGCTCAAAAAACTTGTATATCTCCTCACCAAGGTGCTGGTCATCTGAAAATGTCGGCACGGCTTGCGTCGTGCATCGATCCCGTGGTCGCATGCACATGGCTGGAACCATTAACGGCCGTTGGAGCTCTCCGTCTCCTCAGGGCATGAGATGGCTTGGAGCGTTTCCGAGTGCCACTCCCGACGCACGGCCGCCCCATCATCGAATTACAAAACAATTACTAGCTACGGAAGACTCCTTCAACGGACGGCAAACCGGCCAAAGCCCCGGGCGGCAACAGGACCGTCAAGTCTACCCAAGACCGCGTACACGTGTGGGTACACCTTGGTTCTGCCAGAGCAAACATACTCAGAATGGCGTCTCCCCAAAAGCGGACACTTGAAGGAGACCCGTAGACAAGTGATGGAAAACTAAACCACCTTCCCAGCCTTGGATTGAGAAACTATGGGGGACTTGTCCCGCTATTTCAGGTCAGAATAATGTTACGGGGCGAAGCGGAAAGGTAACCGCACAGAGATTTCCAATGCTCCAGTCGGACTCGTACTCAAAGACGTTGCAATTTTGTTGGGATTCGGTCTACTTGTGGCTTTTCCACGACGCATTGGCCGTAAGTGCGACGTATATGGAGCCTTGCCACATCAACGCAGTTCCTTGTGTGTCGAGTGGCGAGCAGCGTCGTCAAGCACCCACGAGCATTGCTGCTTCTGTTTACAGAGGCGCAGTAGGTGTTAAGGATTGCGAAAGCATGGATTCTCTGTGCTATTCATGACGAATGCCTGTTTCCACGGCGAGCTCATTCTCTCATGGGTCCAGACCCAGGACACCAGGACCCGAAATCCCTCTCGGCCGCTGACTGGGACTACTTGTTATTCGTGACTTTGTGACAGAGGCAGGCTTACTCGTACCATATCGTGGCGAACAATGCAGGCCTGCATATCACGTTGGGGTGCACCGAACAGCCTCACTCGCCCCAGGAAGGTCGGCATTTCGTCGTTTCCAGCAAGGTCAAGAAGTCCCACAGCCCTCAGCAATGAATTGTCGGAAGACGTCGAACCTTCCAGAGCCGGCACTCATGGACCTAGTGGCACGTAGGGAACGTCAATCAACAACCCAGAAGGAGAGCAAGTGGACCTCGATGCAAGTGGCACTCTTTGATACCCCTTGCAACGGGTATAGTAGAGCACGGGAGTTTCTACGATGTCTCGAACGCGGGGGCTCCATCGACGGGCGTACGTGCTACAGTAGTAGCAAGTTCTGGCTTGATCTGTGCGTAGCTTTCGTTTCTTGCTTCGGCCGTTCTTGAGGAAGGTATGGATACTGCATCACACCATGCAAGACATAGTCCACTACCTCCACAGTTGGCACGAACTGCCCTCCCTCGGTGGATTTTCTCTTCGGCCCCCTTGTCTGGTCCCGGTCCGTGCCACTTGGCCTTGGTGGCGTCTCTTGGGGAGGATCAGCGAGCAGCAGCATCCTCTTTTGGGGTTTCTCTCCGTCGCCGAAGGTAGGCAAGCATTCTTCTCCTTCTCGGAGATCCTCGTTCCAAGATCGATTCATTCATCACCAATTGATCTCAGAGTTCGTTGTGGATCGTCAGAGCCAAGCGCGGATTAACACAAAACAGATTGGGCCCCGACAAAAGCTGCTCAAGTTTTCTCCCCAGGGGGAATTCGCACGTGAAAAAGTAGTTGAGAGCGAAAGCAAAGAAGGATACCTACATCATCATACAAGATTCAGATCGTTGTCCCAAAGAGACGAAATCGTCGGTCATAAACAACGGCACCCTTGGCTTGCCGGTTTGAGCGCACACCAGGTACCCCGTACTCCTTGATCAGGCACTCAAAAGGTCTTGCGCTTGGTTTGACACTGGGCTCTTCGGCGGTCGTACAGGATTCCTCCTTCCTCTCCTGCAAGTCCCCCCACAAGTGAAACAGTTTCTCCTTCAGCGTCGCCAGTTCATTCTGGTTTGCTTTGTCCCTCAGATTGCAGGCGTCCATATTCAGGAGGTAGTCTCCATCGGTGTCGGCCACAAGCAATTCCATCTGGGTCGCTCGCCCATCAACACCTGCCGGCGCTCGAGCGTCCTCGACAAGGAGAAGGAAGCGCCATTCCCATTTCAGATTGCTCGCGTTCTCCTCCTGAGTAGGATCGACGTCCATATCTTCTTCAAAGTCATCGTTGTCTGACAATACGTCATACTGTCCGTCTTTTCGTGGGGCAGCAAAGTCGGCAATATTGTCTGGGAAAAAGTCCACAACGCGCACTTTCGACTTGTACGTGCAGTTCTGGAACGGGAGTCGGTAGGCATTGCCTTTCGCCGTCGTGCGGTTCAAAATGTCCGGGTCGAGGATGTCAACAATGTGCTTGCATGAGACCCCCTGATACTGGTTACATCGAATATTGGTGTTGGGTTTCAGGAGGGAGTGCTCGTGTCGCGCAATTGTGGCTGCGGCCTTCTGCTTCTCTTCTTGCAGAGCCTCGGCTTTTGCTCTTTTGTTCTTGCGGTTTCTTGCCTTGGCCCTCTTGTTCTTCGGTTCGTCGTTCTGCTGCTCGCTAGGTTCCTCCCTCTGCCGCTTCTTTGCCGTTTGGCTGGGGTCGCGATAAAATCTGATGCCTTCGTTCTGCACCTTTTGCTCGTATGCTCGTTTGCGACGCAGCAACTCCGTCCGCTTTTCATCGTCAGACTTCACCACTTCGATCAAGGCCTTCTCTGGGTAGTCACGATCATCTCGACAATTGCCCTCGAGCCTCGAGCCATCCTTGTCCATTTTGATTTGAACGTTACGCAGGTATACAAAGCTGCCCAAACTCGCGATGTGTGTAGCAACAGAAGCTTGCCTCTCCCAGCATGTGACCATGATTGTCATCTTTCCCCAGGGACCGGGCCATTTGGTTGACGTTTTGTCCTCGATGTGACCCCACGGGTCGCCATCTCGGCCACCCTGATCATTTGAGTGCTGGTAGTCGCGGAGCCCGTCATTTGTAGTATAATCAGTCAGATAGAGCTCGGTGGTCAAGTCGTTGGGAGAGAAGATTTTGCGCACTTCACCCAAAAGATCTACAAAGATGTAAGCTCTGCCGCTGGGTAAGTCGAGTTGATCAAGTGTACGAAATTTCTCTCTGCGGGCAGGAGCGGTGCCACCATGCGCTTCCATGGTATTGGCTATTTCCAGTTGTGTTCTGGGTTGCGGCTTTGTCCACAGACTTGGATCTTCCTGCTCGGCAATCCATTGAGCATACTTCAACTCGGCTTCGTTGGGAAGAGCTGCTCTAGCTCCTAGAAGGTAGTGATTGCGATCGCCCCCTCCTTGTCCCATGAATCTGCCCCTATCCTTGAGATCTTGGACGGATTGGATCTTCTCCAACTCAGTAGCAGGCAGCACAACCCATGTGGAAGAGGAGTTGGACCACCCTATCGTCTGGCCATTGTAGACATTTATTTTGACATTCCGCAGGATGACGACATCGCCTTGGTCTCTGATATCCGGAAGTTGGTCTTGTTGGCTGTGAAAGAACGAGAAGCGCAGACCTGTGCCAGCTGACCACGCTGGATCGTGCAGCGTGAATCTTATGGTGTAATCTTGTCGACCACCCCGGCACCTTGTTGGAGCGAGAAAGTCGACGCAGACCCCAATGACGTTGAACGGTTTCGAATTTCCTTCGACACTGTTTGCCTCTGCGAGGTCGATGAAACCCGGTGGCAAGGGGACGAAGTTAGAAGCCATTGGTATGTCATCTCATCAGAGAAGCGTTGCTGACGTTGGTTTGCACACCGGCACGGAACCGAACCAGATGTAGGCGCCGTTGAGTGTGGTCGTCGACTCGTGTTCTTACGTAGTTTGATTCGTCCTCGATGAATGTCCAGGTCGCTTTGTATGTGGTCGCGTATGGACGTGTCAATGGCTGTTGGGTGCCGTTCAAACTACTCCGTACTATTTGCCTTAGTAAGCGAAAGCGCGACACGAGCCCACGTGATTAATGCCAAGGAAAAGTGGCATGTGCTTCCCGCCGTGACAAACAGCGACTGCCCTTCCATACGACATCCACCCTGCGAAACTGCAACCCCCGTTTGATTTGCTTCGATTTATTTATCCACACTGGCGCAGTCTCATCACTGACCGCCTTCACTTGCCACAGTACACAAACCCCCTCCTTGCACGAGTTCAGAGACTGTCTCTCGCGGCCTTCCTTGCGCAATCTACTACTCTGAGATCAAGCTTTTGGAAATCATCCTGTTCTTGAGGCCTTTCCCTGAGACGTCACAACAAACATGGCGGAAAGATACATTCCCGAACATCGACGAACCCAGTATAAGGCGAAGAACAGCTTCAAGCCCGATGAGCTGCGTCGTCGTCGTGAGGAACAACAGGTCGAGATCCGTCGCCAGAAGAGAGAGGAAAACCTAGCCAAGCGAAGAGGGGTCCAGCGAGGAAATGGCGAGATCGGTATTGGTGGCCTCACGGAGCCAGATAGCGACGATGAGACGGCGAACATTGAAAATGAGGTGAGGATGAAGTCGTTTGTTTCCTTTGAGTCCGAGGCTGACGGCGGTCTACAGTTGAGCACGGAACTGCCAGAAATGGTCAAGGGAGTCTTTTCGGACCAGATCGATGCCCAGATTCAAGCCACCACAAAATTCCGGAAACTCTTGTCCAAGGAACGAAACCCGCCCATCGAGAAGGTCATCGAAACCGGTGTCGTCAGCCGCTTCGTCGAATTCCTCCGATCCCCTCACACACTCGTCCAATTCGAGGCCGCCTGGGCTCTCACCAATATTGCTAGCGGTAGCGCTGCCCAAACACAAGTCGTAATTGAAGCGGGTGCTGTCCCTATCTTCGTTGAGCTCTTGAGCAGCCCTGAGCCAGATGTTCGCGAGCAAGCAGTCTGGGCTTTGGGCAACATTGCAGGTGACTCTCCTGCTTGCCGTGACTATGTCCTCAGCCAGGGTGCCTTGAAGCCTCTGCTTAATCTCATTGCCGATGGGCGCAAGTTGAGCATGCTTCGAAATGCAACGTGGACCTTGAGCAACTTCTGCCGCGGGAAGACCCCCCAGCCCGACTGGAATACAGTAAGTCACCCTGACATTTTCATCCAAAGGAGATGCTGACAAGGCCTCAGATTCAACCTGCACTCCCGGTCCTCGCAAAGCTGGTCTACATGCTCGATGATGAAGTCCTCATTGATGCCTGCTGGGCCATTTCCTACCTTTCCGATGGCTCGAATGACAAGATTCAGGCTGTCATCGAAGCCGGCATCCCGCGACGCCTTGTCGAACTTCTCATGCATGCCTCCACATCCGTCCAGACCCCGGCTCTTCGGTCGGTGGGAAATATCGTCACTGGTGATGACGTGCAGACCCAGGTGATTATCAACTGCGGCGCTCTGACGGCTCTGTTGTCGTTGCTCAGCTCTCAGAAAGATGGTATCCGCAAGGAAGCATGTTGGACAATTTCAAACATCACGGCCGGCAATTCAACTCAAATTCAAGCAGTCATTGACGCAGGTATCATCCCTCCCCTGATTCATCTCCTGTCCAATGGCGATTTCAAGACCCGGAAGGAAGCTTGCTGGGCGATCTCGAATGCCACTTCTGGAGGCCTTCAGAAGCCTGATCAGATCAGATACCTCGTCTCCCAAGGGTGCATCAAGCCGCTCTGTGATTTGCTAGCTTGCCCAGACAACAAGATCATTCAAGTCGCCTTGGATGGACTGGAGAACATCCTCAAGGTCGGTGAGATGGACAAAGAGGCTGCCGATCCCCGCTCTCCAGAAGGACAGGTCAATCGGTACGCCCTGTTCATTGAAGAAGCTGGTGGAATGGAGAAGATCCACGACTGCCAGAACAACGCCAACGAGGAAATCTACATGAAGGCTTACAACATCATCGAGCGATACTTCTCCGATGAGGAAGATGCTGGCGCCGACATTGAAGAGTTGGCTCCACAAGCTAACGCGACTGGCTTTACCCTTGGATCCAACCAACCTCAAGGCCAGTTCAACTTTGCAAACGGCAACGATTCGATGGACATGTAGAACATGAACATGTAAAGCGTCAAGGAATGCACCTTGACCAATCCCCCGCAATGACAGCTGTCGTTGGCGACGTGCCCTGCAAGCAGCCACATGCAGCGACGCCACGCACAGCAACGGGACTGCTTCATAGCGCCGCGTCCTCGAGAACACCTTCCAAGCCGACATTTTCGCTAGAGTTGAAAGAGAGTACCAACCTCGAAGCACCCCTAACGCGCCCCCATGTCTTTTCGCACGAGCACGGACCCCACAACTCCCACATATCACCAGCACGTTTCCAAGATCCATCTACGACCCCACAACCAAGATGCACCGTCATGTAACCCCTACCCATTCGACACAGCACACCACCTTGTACCCAGCACCCACGACCCAGCATTCGATAGAGGCGTTATTTCGGCGAAGAATGTGGATTCGGTATGGTCGGCACGGGCGCGGAAAGACGCAAGTATGGAAGGAGGAAGAGATCAGGGAGCATCAGAAGTCAGGCAGGACAGCCTCCACTGGTGTCCCTATTGAGCTGCAGCCCCATGCCAATGTATGTCGACTGCTTTTTATGCCCAATACAAGAAATTCACTGGTCAACCGTTGCTTCTGGGCTTCTGCGGCTCGCTCTGTTTTTCCCGGGATGGTAAGATATCTCGGTCTGATCTTGCCCGAGCAGGCCACGAGCTTGTAGAGAAAGTAGCAATGGCAACCAAATGGAGAGCAGGCGTTTGTCCGGCGTTGCGGGCAGGTCTTCTGATCAGGTGCAGGATCATTCCATGCTTTCTCATGAAAAGGTGCGCTCGGACCAGTGAGAGGGGACATTCTCCTCTTTTTCTCGGACTTGGGGCCCTCCATGTCAACGTCCATGATTATAGGAGAAGCGGCCTAGAACCCCTCGTGTCGTGCTTTCGATCCATCAATCCCAGGGCACCTACAGGGCGAGCTGGAAGCAAGATGACAGGGTGATGTAACTCCGTACCCCGCAAATGTGGATGAGGAGATGGGAGGAGGTGGCAGGCATCGAGTAGGGCCAGCTCAGGCTGAGCGGGCAAAGCCAACCACGGTATCTCATTCAATCAGCAAGCAATCCGAGCTGTTGGATGACCGGAACCTCCGCTTTTCTCGTGGCCAGAGAGTGCCAAAGATTGCCCAAAACTGAGTATCGCCACGAGCGTCATGATCAAGGTAAGTGCCGTGGATGACCATCCGCAACAGCCATATATATCTCTGGCTAACGCGAGTCCTGGAACCATGTTCGCTCTTTTTTTCCTTTATTCTTCTCTCTCACATCTGACGGTTCCTCCAAACCACTCCTGGACTAGTCTTCTACTCCTTGTGACGCCCAATCACGCGGCCAGATACTGATATAGGATAGCCAAGGCTCCAATAATACTCTAGTATGTCGTCAACGGAAGTTCGAGTTGGCGGTTCCGGCGGGACAATGAAGGCTGTCAACTATCAAGGCGCCTTCAAAGTCAAGGTGGAGGATGTCCCGAAGCCTACGATCGAGCATCCTGATGATGTTATTGTCAAGGTGACCACTGCCGGTAAGTTTTACAAGCCCAATTCTCCACGGCGCTCGAGAATGGGTGGGAGAAAGGTCACGATTGGAACTGATGGCATTGAAATGTGAACAGCTATCTGCGGATCCGATTTGCATATGGTAAGAGAACGATCCGTGAATAAAACGAACTCTGGATGTTCCACTAACACGACATTAGTATGAAGGACGTACTGGTGCTCAGGCTGGTATTACATTTGGTAAGTCGTCCTTTTGGGGGGCGAATGACACCTACCAACAGCGCTTTTTTGCTAACACGCATGGCCCAAAGGACACGAGAACATGGGTATTGTGGAGGAACTTGGTGACGGAGTCACGCTGCTGAAGAAAGGCGACCGAGTCGTGATGCCCTTCAATGTTGCAGATGGACGATGCCGTAACTGCGAGGAAGGAAAGACGGCCTTCTGCACGGGAGTCAACCCTGGCTTTGCGGGTGGCGCCTACGGGTATGTGGCCATGGGACCTTACAGAGGTGAGAATTTCTTGACGTGACTTTCCACGCCAACGTCGACTTGTGTCTAACATGGATTACAGGCGGGCAAGCTCAGTATATTCGCATCCCATATGCGGACTTCAATGCTTTGAAATTGCCTGCTGGGAAGGAGCACGAGGCGGATTTCATCCTCCTGGCCGATATCTTCCCAACTGGATGGCACGGGGTGACACTCAGCGGGTTCAAGCCCGGAGAGAGCATTGGCGTCTGGGGCGCCGGACCTGTCGGGTTAATGGCGGCATACTCGGCTCAACTTCGAGGTGCGAGCCGCGTCTACGTCGTGGACAGAGTGCCCGAGCGACTGGCCGCTGCGGAGAAGATCGGGTGTATACCCATCGACTTCAGCAAGGGCGATGCGGTGGACCAGATCCTCGAGAAGAACGGCGGGATGGTGGATCGAGCCGTGGATGCTGTCGGGTACCAGGCTGTGGATACCGGTGGCAAGAAGGAACAGCCAAACATTGTGCTGGAGAATATGATCCGGGCGACCAGACCATGCGGCGGCTTGGGCATTCCAGGTCTTTATGTGCCCACCGACCCGGGGGCGCCTGACGAGGCTAGCGGCAAGGGTATGATCAGCATGAGTTTTGGCAAGTTGTTCGAAAAGGTGAGCACGCAGCACGAGCACGAGCACGAGTCCAACCGATTGCATTCGTCCTGGCGAAAGGGGACCAGCCGACACAGGTGCTAACCGTGGCTTTTTCCAGGGTCTTTCTCTGGCCACTGGCCAGTGCAACGTCAAGCAGTACAATCGCTATTTGCGGGACCTCATCATCGCGGGAAAGGCAAAACCCTCCTTCGTTGTCAGTCACGAGATTGCCATCGACGACGCCGAGATGGCATACGACAAGTTTGACAAGAGGGTTGAGGGCTATACCAAGGTCCTGATCCATCCTAATGGACCCTTGTGAGCAGTCAATGCAGGCAGGCCGTCTTTGATGCGCCCTCACAGTCTCCCCAGGAGATCGTGGGGATGCATAGGTGAAAAAAAGAATGCAGACCAAAGCAATTCATTTGAGACAAATTGCACCATTGTGACCCGTGCTCATGGCTCCTTTTTCCACTCTACAGCCTTGTACCAGAAGTTGACATGCGGCTGCAGACTGCAGTATCCTTTCCCAAGCGGCCTGATATACCTACCAGGTACCAGTAGTGATCGGTACGGCGTATTCAACGAAATATTAAAGAGGGAACATAAACCCAGCGGGTCCTCGATATCATTGGTCTGTGTGGGTCTTGGCAATATTGGTGTTTCGACCTTGTGCGAGCGTCTCTTTCTTCACCATCATTCACTTCCGGTTTTCTCAGACGTCGCTTCAAGGTCGCTTCTTCGTTGTATGTACCCGTGTAAATCAGAACAGTGGCCTGGAGACCAATGCGGCTGGTGGACTTTTAAGAATACAGGACGTCCTCCGCATTCTATCCTGCGATGGTTGGTGGGTGAACTGGTCTCTTTTGCTATCCTTCTCCCTCCGTGCGCCGTCTCTCTTTCTGATGTTATGCCATTCCTTTCTTGCGTTTCGGCGACTATGCCTCTGTCATGAAGAAGTACGCATCGCGGATCCGCTGCAATTGCGCTATGAAGGCAGGTCTGAGCACTATCCTTGAACGTTCGCTCGTTCATGTATCAAGACGGGGTCGCCCGAGGGGGGCAAGTACATCGTGGACGCGTTCGGCCACTCGTCGAATATGGTCTAGATAATGCCATCGAACCGGTGGAAGGGCTGGTTGTCGACAACAGTCATGGGAGGAGTGGGCTTTCGCAATCATACCGGCCCTGTCGGCGTTCAGCTCGGTGCCGCACGGACCGAAGATCTGCTCTGGGTCCAGCCAGAGTCCGCCTGCGTCGACACAAACATCTCGGTCGAATTCTAGATACCCTCCACGGCATTGCCAGTGGTGAGGCGAACAACATCTTCCTCGTCGACAATGGGGGTTTCGCCAATCTGGTCCCAAAATTTCCGTACGTCAACGTGACGAGCTCGCAGACTGATCCGAACGTGCAAGGACGAGCGTACAAAGCCGCATGGATGGTGGACGCTTATACCATGTCGATTATGAACCTGACCCGGCCGAGTCCCGACGCCTTCGCCTACCTCAAATCCAAGGTCAGCAACAAATATCCAGTCACAAGATATCAGACGACGGGAGTCAAGCTCAATGGAATCTGTGTCACCAATACTTGGACGTCCATGTTGGACCCGGAAGCCTACTTGTCGAACTACACCTTGGCCGGCGTGCCGTCCGCTAAATATTCCAACCCATTTGGGCTAACTAGTTCAAACTAGAGTGACATTTCATGGCTCTGCGCAGGGCCGGGAGGCGCTCACCACGCGAATCTCACCAATGTTCATGTCGAGTGCGGCATGGTCTTCGGGGGCGCGAAGCGTCGTCATGGCACCATCACCCTCGTCCAAGAGCCTGAAACGTGGTGAACACAGAAGATCTACAGCTGTGCCACAGCAATGAAAGCAAGTGTCAAGGAAGTTCGGTTCCGGTATAACGCGACACGAGAGACTGGTAACGGCCTCAAGGCATTGTCTATTGTAAATGTCAGCGACAAGTCGTACCCAAACAAGGAGGCGATGCCCCTCTAGGGTATTGAATCGCCTGGATAAGATGAACGATGTTCCTCAACTGTGGGGCCTGATTTGCCCAGAACTTGGGCACTCAGTCAATTTGTCCACAATCGGGGCTCCTCAATTGTACCTTCCACGTTACGGTGGTCAAGGAACTCTCACGACTGTCCCAGGGTTTCAGAACCTGCCAGCAGCAGATGGCCCAGCGGATGCCTTGACAGGAGTGTACCAGTACAGCAGTGGCGACTGGGCAGAATACGCGGAGACACCAACATGGCCATGTATGCGCGGTGGCGAGATCTTTCTCAGTCGGCAGCGGCCATGGCCAAGGTTCCCAACTTGGTGTGGACGGATATCGCTGCCAGTATGCTGGTGGGCACGCGCAGCTGGAATTCGGGGAATCAATTGCCTGCCAACCTTCAGAAACGTGACGACGATGGGACGAACAGCACCGGCGGCGACCAGGCCATCGTTCCTGTGACCGTCTATCAGCGGCAGATTCGCTATCATTGGCGATTTGCCATCCCAGCATTCCTGGCTCTGGCGCGGTTCCTCGTGATGGTTTCGGCTGCTTTGGTGTCTGTTGTCTCTGGAAAGGGGCTTTCAGCACGGGTGCGACATAATCTTTTTCATTTGTTGTCAGTTCGCCTGCTGGGCGAAATGCAATATTCTGGAGAATGCGACAAGTTGGCACCGACAAATGAATGAGTCGCACGTGTGGGTAGCAGACGCAGCGATTTGCGCGCTTATGTCAGTCATAATGCTAGCGGTGCTAGCGGCAGCAGCGATATTGGGGTCTCAACCTCACCATTTCCTGGGCAGCAGTATCATCACATGGCCAGCGGCCTGAGTGAGGAGGAGCCGAAGGGAATGATGACGGAAACCATCGAACTACGAGATCTCCAGTGTGGCCGCGTCAGGCCATGCGAGGGGGGTTGCGCCGTCCACGGGATATATGAGGCTCAATGAAAACGAACAGCCCGGATGGCGGACACCCGGACTCTAAGATAAAACAATCCGGGGTGGTCAGCGGCAAGGCGTCAAGCGTCAGGCGTCAGACGTCAGGCTGATGAAGCTGCAAGGCTCGTGGTCTCGGACTGGTGCGCGGGGGCACGCCTGAGGAATCCCGCCGGTTGTGAGAGCTGGGCGAATTTCGGTCAAGGGCCGACATGGGACTGGCAAGGATTCAATGCGCGGAAAACAAATGTAGGTAATCACGAGGTTAGGGTTTAGCCCTCGTGCGAATTGAGCCAGGGTGCCATATCTGTTCGTCAAAAGTCAGGAGGCAGGTGAACTACTCGTCCAGCAGGTGTGGCGGTGAGGGTGAGAGTGATAGGCGGGCACTGTGTGTGGAAAACTAAGAGAATGGAGAGTTGATGGTGGTGGTGACAGACCGACAGTAATGATGGGCAGCAAGCCAGTCACCCACCAGTATAACACGGGCTGGAGGGATTGGCCGCTGGGCCCCGGATATACCGCCGATCTAGATACCTAGGTAGATACCCTAGAAGCCCGACTACGACGAGTAGTGCCTAGAGCATTTACCTCAACTTCTCTCATGGAGTCTCATGTGGTCTGGTCCATGGGGGTGGTTGGGGGTGACGGTGGCTTCTTTAGGGGCCCCTAGATGGACCCTAGATGGATGAATCTGAATTCTCTTCCAGGCACATTTGGCCATCTGGACATTCTGGGAGAACAGACTATTCCAAGGTCATCAAAAAGATCTAGACTGTCCCCAGCTGGGTGCCACCACTGCCACCAGCTCTTCTTCCCTCGCAAAGGAACTTCCCTCCACCCCTCCAATGGGGAGGCCCAGCCGAACCCATGTGGGAGAAACAGACTGCGCCTCTGATGCGAACGGCAGTGACACTCTTTTTTGGCGGTTTTTCACTTTCTATATCCGAGGAATCTGCGCAACCTCGTAACTGGAGCTGCGGCTGATGCTGGTCAATGGTCATTGTTGACTCCTGCTAGATCCCGCTCACTAACCAACGATTTGCCTGGAGTCGGTCACTCTCTCTGTTCCCCCCATGTTTCTGGTCTTGATCATTGAGCCTGTTCTTAGTAGTACGTGTCATGGACTCATGGTCCGTCCAGCCCGTCTCGTCCCGACAGTGACCACAAGCAGCAACCAGCTCCAGTAGCAGTAGTCAAGGCCAAACAAAGACGGCAGTGTTAAAAACATCCAGCATTCCTGGCAAACTCCCAAGGCTCTTTGCTTTGTTCTACTACTCCTTCGACTACTTCTTCCAACCCTCTGCGGTCACTGACTCTGCTGTCTATCAATCCAACCTCATTTTTCCCTGTTATTTCTACATTCTTCCCCCACCCTCTGCTAGCTCATCTTGGGCCCTCAGTCGTCTCCAAGATCACTTAGCAGTCCTCCGTACTCCCTGCCTATCGATAAACCTGGTCCCCTTCCCACCACTTTATCAACGTCCTAGTCCAGGAAGACATCGTCATCGCTATCGCCATCGTCATTGTTACCGTCATTATCTCCCTCGTTCACTACTCGCTGCAACTCAGCAACGTCCTGCCCGTCATGCAATAGAACCAGCGAAGAACCCCGTCCACCTTTCGGGTTGTCGGTGCCGCGTTTCCCTTCGGTAATTCCTCGAATAGACACGAGCGGGTCTTGAACCGAAAACCACTGGTCTGCGCCGTCTCGCCGTTTGGCCCTGCCCCCCCATATCACGCGACCGAGTCCAGTGTATCCCCAACCCACTACTTTCGGCGTCCCAGAGCCTTGCAATCTGCGCTTCCGAGCAATCACGCACCCAAGCCATGCTTCAACATTCGCCCTCTGCCATCCGGCCCTTCCGCAATGACACAAGTTCTTCACCCATTGACGAATCATCAGTCCATTCCGAGCGTGTACCTTTTTTGACGCAGGAACAGACCTTTATAAAGTGCTCGGATCTCGAGGATGGCTCTTTCTCAGATCCCGCCACCGCTACCGCTGCCACCGTCGGCCCCGATGCCCTGAAAGGGCCCACAGTCACCTACAATGAAACCTCGACCTCGTTCGAACACCGCAGCTCCGATATCTCCCCCAGATGGCGCTGGACAAAGAGTCTGCCGGTGCTGAACCAACTGTTGGGTGGGTATCGTACGGTGGTGCATAAGGGGCACGTTGTGGAAAGAGGCTCATTACACAAATCCATCCCGACCACACCGCTTAGGAGAGTGCTACGCCTGCTGGCCCTGACGCTGATGCTATTGTAAGACACCGGGTGCACCTTGTTTCCGCTGAAGCTGCCTGCCTGCTAATCATGAGCACAGAGGATTTCTAGAATTCATTGCGTTGGCATGCGGCCTCGTCCTGTCCTTCTTCCCCGACGATGCAGACGACGAATTCGACGCATGGAACCCCTCCCAGAGATCTCGCGAGCTGGGACATTGGCCGACCGATTTCTCCGCCGACATTCATCCCGTGGCCTGCCACTCGCACAACGATTATTGGCGAAAGGAACCCTTGTTTTCGGCTCTCGAGGCCGGCTGCACAGGAGTGGAGGCAGATGTGTGGCTCTACGACCAAGATCTATACGTCGGACATTCCACAGCGTCTTTGACACCGGAACGGACGCTCCGCAGCTTGTATATCAACCCATTGGTGAAGATTCTAGACCAACAAAACCCTCATACATCTTTCCATCCCTCGCTGGACAACCCCCGGAATGGCGTCTTCGACACCAAACCCTCCCAGTCCCTAGTCCTCCTGATAGATTTCAAGACTGAGGGCCACAGGATTTGGCCACATGTTTCTGCACAGCTCCAACCTCTCCGAGAGCGGAAATTCCTCACTTACTTCAACGGCTCCGCTGTTGTCGAAGGCCCAATCACCGTGGTTGTCACGGGGAATGCGCCATGGGATGAGGTGGTAGCCAACGAGACGTATCGCGATATGTTCTTTGACGCACCTCTTGACTTAATGGGAAAGCTGACTGCCAAGTCTGATACTCCGGAGGCTCTCATGGACACGCCAGGCGGTGAGCTAGATGGGCGATGGATTCAAAACCAGGGTCAGGGGCGCTCTGGTGCTGCGCCTACAGATCCTGCAGCCTACTCCCGAGCCAACTCATACTACGCCTCTGTGTCCTTCAGTTCGGCGATCGGGTGGCCTTGGCGTGGTACCCTTTCTCGCCGGCAGCTCGAAATGATGCGGAAGCAGATTGCGGGCGCTCACGCGTGCGGTCTCAAAGTCAGGTACTGGAGCGTGCCCAGCTGGCCCAGAGGAATGAGGAATTATCTCTGGCGAACAATGGTCAAAGAAGGGGTGGATTATCTGAATGTGGACGATTTGAAATCGGCCACCTCGGGCGACTGGAACTGGGACAAGAAAGGTCCTTGGTTCAGTGGACCGTGGAAGTTCTGGCCATCCAAGGCCGTTGCATGAGCCTAGAACACATGGGACACGAAAACAGCGCCATGACTTGAAGATTGCAGACGAATTTTACTAGATACGACCATATGAGAGACTCCGCGCACAAAGACGAGGGTCATGGGGATGAGCACTTTGGTCGAGATTGACCCCACGAAATAGAGGTCCAAAACTACGAGAAGGGTTCCACGGAATTACAGCTGTCATTCGAATGGCCGAGCCAGGCGTTCATCGGAAAAAGGACGGAGTTCAGCATGTTGTTTCTGCCAGGGACATGGGCAGCATTATGATACCCAAGCTTAGAGCATACATCGGTCACAGGATGAGTTAAATTATTAACAATACTGGGCTTCAAAGTGTGACTTGTTGTGCCTTGTGCCATCCTGTCATTACCCTTCTCTTTGTTGCCTTCCTTCGGCTACTCCAGCTGCGTCAACACCTTCCAATATCATTCTTGATCAGGAGGGTCGCCACTGCCCTGGGTGAGCCTTCTCTGGCGCCCTCCGATCAATTCAAAACGGTCTCATCTCTCTTCCTTTCTTCCTTGCTTTCTACTATCTGACTATCTCCTTTCGCTTTGCAGTCTACATTGTCTTCACTCACCTTACATGTCCCAATTTTGCTTCACATTTACTATCAGCACATTGATCAATATGTCATCCTTGGACGTTAACTCCTCTGTGGCACCGCTGAGCACACTGCCCCTTTCCCACGATTCTCGAGAAGACACCGAAGCCTGCATTTCGACCAAGATAATGGAGAGCAGCGCCGAGGGCAAGGGGGGAAACTTCGCCCAGGACGAAGGACACATACTCTCAATCGACGTTAACCCTTTAGAAGATGGCAGTGCACGACTCACAGCCCGCCAAACACCTCTAGGGGAAATCACTACCCTTAGCAGTGCGCTGCTTCTGATCCTCTGCTTCCAGACCGTCGTTGCCGCAGGACTCCTCCTACTCGCTTATTTCGGCTCCTATAGCACCTCAGCCTGGCTGTTCGGCCATTTCGTCCTGGTCAAATACGCCTTCTTCTTTACCCAGATTGTCGGTCTACGGCTTTACCACAAGATCATACAGCTTTCAAACGTCGAAGGGCTCCGAACACGCTTGCTCAAGAACTTCGTGGTGACCATGATCGGAATGCTTCTGTTGGTTGCCATGGTTTCGCAAATGACGCGCATTTACAATTCCATTTCCGAGGGTGTCAAGGACGTGCAACTCTGCTTAGAAGGTCTGCGAGAGATCCAACAAGAGCAGGGTGACTTCAAGGACAAGTTCTTGTATTGTATATCCCTGTTTGCAGGCGGTCGGAATCAGCGGCAAATTTGATGTTTTGCCTCAAGACCCGGAGACGGCGGGGCAGGGGCCCGTCATTAGAGGCCGAGGAAGACTCATATCAGCATATTTGGCCCTTCAAAAGCGCAACCGATCCCTTTTTTTGAAATTGGGGTAAAACAATGAATGGTTTACATAGAATTCGATTAGCCGCATAATTTGCGTTGTCATTTCACAGTCCTTCTCAGCCTCGAGCCTTGATCAGCCTCGTTCTTCGTAGCCTTGCGACTGCACGTGAAAGGCTCGGATCTCTAGGCTTGGCGAGTTTGCTGCGTCTCCGATCTTTCTCGAAGTCGTACAAGGTCGAATCTTTCACCCATCCGCCGTTGAGTCCAAGTCCAGCAAATATGGCGGCCGCAGCACAGTCTTTATCGGAACGGACGCGATCGCTGTTCGGAAGCTCTTATGGCGAAGCGTCCGATCCATCATCCCTCCCGGTCTCCCTCTCCTTCAAAAGAAAGGTCGAATATGAGAGCGTCCGCGAACTGCCCAAAGCCCTGGCCGAGAAGCAGGCAAAGGCGACAGCGGCGCGAGGACCAAAAAGACCGAAGATGGCAACCGGAAACAATCAGATGGCCTTGGTTAAGAGCGAGGCGAAGCCGGACTCACAAGCCCCGCCGCAGAGTAATGGTATCGGGAGCAGTCTCATCCGCAGACCGAATATGCAACAGCCTCGACCCGATTGGCACGCACCATGGAAACTGATGAGAGTGATCTCGGGCCATCTGGGCTGGGTGCGCGCATTGGCGGTCGAACCGGGAAACCAGTGGTTCGCATCGGGCGCAGGAGACAGGACGATAAAAATCTGGGATCTGGCCACAGGTCAACTGCGCCTGACATTGACGGGTCACATCTCCACGGTTCGTGGACTGGCCGTGTCGCCACGCCATCCGTACCTTTTTTCCTGCGGCGAGGACAAGATGGTGAAATGCTGGGATCTGGAGACCAACAAAGTCATTCGCCACTACCACGGCCATTTATCTGGCGTCTACACACTCTCACTCCATCCCACGCTCGACGTGCTGGTCACTGGAGGAAGAGACGGCGTCGCTCGTGTCTGGGACATGCGCACACGCTCCAACATCCACGTCCTGTCCGGTCACAAGGGCACGGTTTCGGAGGTGAAGTGCCAGGAAGCAGACCCTCAAGTCATCTCCTCGAGTCTGGACGCCACCGTGCGACTATGGGATCTCGCCGCGGGCAAAACCATGGGTGTCCTCACACACCACAAGAAAGGCGTCAGGGCGCTCGCTACTCACCCAAAGGAATTCACGTTCGCGTCCGCGTCGGCCGGGTCGATAAAACAGTGGAAATGCCCCGAGGGCGCGTTCATGCAGAACTTCGACGGGCACAACGCCATCATCAATACCCTTGCGGTGAATGAAGATAATGTGCTCTTCAGTGGCGGCGACAACGGCAGTGTCTGCTTCTGGGATTGGAAGACCGGGCATAGGTTCCAGAGTACCGAGTCTCTGGCCCAGCCGGGGTCGTTGGACGCGGAGGCGGGTATTATGAGCAGCACGTTTGACCAGACCGGGTTGCGGTTGATCATGGGCGAAGCGGATAAGACGATCAAGATTTGGAGACCGGATCCCGAAGCCACGCCGGAGACGCATCCGTTGGACTGGAAGCCGACGCTGGGTCGGGTGAAGTATTGAAGTCTACAGAGCTATGCCTCCGGCTCCTTGTGCCTGACATGGCGGAAATGGATCGCATTGGTTGGCATATTGCATTGAGCGACGGCGTTCTGAGGCATTGCTTTTGGGGAGGGCTATGAGGCGATCTCTGATCACAAGGACCTAGGGCGTGAAGAAAAGTTCTTGTTGCATGGAAAATGAATATGTTCTGTCTGTTTCAAGAAGATAATGGTCGATACCCAAGAGAAGTTTCTTTTTATCAATCTGTTGTGCTGGAAGCTTTTGCAACGCTCAGCGTCCCGCAACATGTTGTGCTTTGGTCTGGCACAAAAGGAATATACGCAATGATAGGACATGACTATGACACATTGCAGTGGTATTGTCCCACACAGCCCTATCAAGATGTTTAGCTTCTTCTTCATCCTGTTGCTGTTGACAATTTCGACGAGCCCTGTGGGCCGTGTTTTGTGGGGTGCCGTCGACCGATCAATCGGCTGGACGAGGCTGACCGCCCTTTTGCCTTCCATGTGTAACTTTACATGAACCACACCAGATGTTGGACTCAAGTGAGATACGTGACTCTTGTGATATACGGAAGAGGAGTTACTCAATCATCACCCTAATGGCCATGCATGAAGAAATAAAAACCAAAAACCCCAACGGACAAACCACCACACAACGAACCGAGCCTCGTTTTGCTCCTCTTGCATGTACTCGTCATTGTACCTGCCATATCAGTTGGGCTGCTGGCCAGCGTGACCAGCTTGAGCTTGCCCGGCCTGGGCCTGCGGTTGCTCCTGTTGTTGTTGCTGCTGCTGCTGCTGCTGCTGCTGTTCTCGCCGAGCTCGATCTCTTGCCGTCATGGCTTGAAACTCTGCTGCGTCTCGCAGGCGGGCTTCTTCGCACTCCCTTTCCATTCTTACATTGTACTCTTCCTCCTGGATTCGTCGCACCAGCTCTGCTTCTCCTGGAGGAAAAAATTGTTAATTGATCGTTCTCGTCATAATGATCTGTCAAGCAAAGCTTCCTACTTACCATCGGTCCACAGCGGCACTACGGCGGCCACGCAGTTGTGCCGGACGGGCTGTGACCAGCAGCTTTCTTTTCCTGTCATGACAGCAACCATTTCACTTCCCTCGACCACACAGAACGCGAACACATATGTGATCGCGTCTCTGCGGAGTAGCAATTCGACTACTTTTGTGCAACGAGATGTGTGACAGCATGAATGGCCGTCCTCGACCAGGTCTGAAACCGAGTCCTGGTCCAATTGAAAGCTTGTGAAAAGTGCAGAGGTAATGGTGCAGCAACCGGTCTTTTCGTCACGGACCACGGGCATGGGCAGATACACTCCTTCCCCCCAAAGACGAGTGTAGACTTCGAAGCTGGGGTCGTCGTCAAGGCTATTGGAGCCATTGAGAAGGTTGCTCATGAATTCAGACATGATTTGTGGATGTTTGTGCACACGAGTCTGCGCATATGTTGGAGGCCTTGAGACGGAGAATTGAAATGTGGAAGGAAGAAGAAAGAGGCTGACAGCTCGAACACAGGTCTGTCGGACTTTATACTCAAGACCCTCCTTCAACCGTCACCGCCTGTCCTTCGCTCGAATCTATGGGAGATAACATCGGCATTTCCTGTACAATGCCACCACTCAGGGCACATCCCAAGTCAAATCGGGTTACACTGCAGCAGGCGTGATGCGGCTCGAGGCAGGATTCGGGCACGTAGCCAACACGTCGGCACGTGCCCTGGCCAACGTCCTTAGGCATCAATGAGCTGTTCAAAGCGGTCAGCTATCCACCTCCGTTGAACCATCACCAGTCTCGTCGTCCTTGACTTCAAAAGGGGGGCCCGTTCTGCGGCCAGCTATGAGAAACGAGGATCTAGGCAAACATTGTCGGTGAGCAGTGTTTTAAAATCAAACTTTTATTGGGGCGTGCTTTCTTCCTGATGGTGTGTAGTGAACAAGAAGACAGTTCCAGTCGACCCCTGCGAATCCATGAAGAATGAGGCAGAAACAACGCCCATGATGCAAAGCTTACAGCCTATGAGCGGACATCCTCCTTGACCGGTCATCTCTCGTGTCGCTTCATCTATCCTATTCCCAATACCATCTGAGCCCGAGGATTAGAGCATCTTTGCGACCCAGATGAGCATCAGCAAAAGGGAGAAGCCTATCTTCCAGCAGCCACACCATGATCGGTTGACCTCTTTGTCGACTGCCCTGTCTATGCAGATCAAGCCACGCATATTCCTTGCTGGTTACTGTTTGGCCATGAAACGCTGCCAGCCGCACCGGGCAATCTCGCTTGACAGTGCACGCATTTCCTCGTCTTGCAACTGATACACGGGCCACTGTGACTTCGGCCCCCGTATCCATCAGGGCTATGAAAGGACGCTCCCGTCCCCGGGCATCGATGTAGAAAAGGGGCTGCCGGGGATCGTCGATAATCTTCCTGCCCAAGATTCGAAAGTCGGAAGGCAACAAGACCGCAGCATCGACCCCTGCTGCAGACATAGGGATGGGCGCAGGCTTAGATCCCTGCGTGACACGTGTCTGCATCTCTGAGGCAGCAAGATACAGATTGTCTGCAGACACGACTGGCAAGGCTGCGGGTAAAGTCCCTGTGCGAGCGTGCCCGTCCAGAACGCACTGATCGGACCGGTCGGTCACAATCATCTGATCTGCAGCATCCGGCGGGTGTCCATTGCCGCCAGGTCTTCCCATGCTCTTATTTGAGGGAGATCTCGATACTTCATACACGCCGACTGGTTGTATACACTTCCCAGAACGACATATTTGCTCGATTATGGGCGACAAAGCTCTAAGGTCATCATAAGGGAATCTGATAACAGCCCAAAACTCTTTGGTATTTCCCTTCTGCCCGCCGACTGCTCTTTCCTCCTGGTCTTTTCGTGTACGTTGGCTGGAACCGTTGTGATACATTGGAGAGATGTTACGGCGTACGTCCCTTGTTTCCGTTCTGTGGACGCTCTTCGTTTCGGCTAGGTCGCGTGTGCCTGAGGATCTGGAGCGACTTCGTACGAGGTTGAGGGCTTTCAGCTCTTTTCCCACGCGGGAACAAGGGTCGGGTGTGGTGATTCAAAACGAGGGATGTATATTCAAAATTTGGGCCAGTCAAACCCGACGTGCTTTGCAGGGCAATTCAGTCTGGAAGGAAAGTGTGCGGAATTGAAAGATCTGCGCACAAAGAGACGCTAAGAAAGGACTCAACTCGAGAATTTTGGCAAAAAGACGGTACCACCAAAAAGAGCAACGAATGTGCGCAGAAACGCAGAGAAGACGGTGAGGGAAGTGCCAGAATGGGCTCGCTGGACAGTCAACTCGCAGCCAATGGAACAGAAAGGGAAGACCGTTAGAGCCTCGTTGAGCAGATCGACAAGTGACGCGTTGAGAAGGACTGGTTGTCGCTGCAGCCGGGTGCAGGTGCCGCCGAGGCGATGTCGACGGGGTGGCCTCCCCCGGGCCTAAAAGCTGCACGGGGGACAAAACAGCTCTGCCTGTCTCGCAGACTCATGCAACTGGGCGCAAGAGCCAGGAGAAAGCCCTCACCACAACGGATCGATACTTGAAACCCAGGAATCCGGTTCCAGCCACCGGGGAGACCTGTCTGTATGCTTGACTTTGGCCTGCGTCGAGAGGGGAACAAGAAGCACCGCCACAGTCGAAGTCTTGCCCCGAAAGAAGCACATTTTGTCCGTCCCAGGTCTCGAAAACCATTCGACATATCTCGATGCTGATATCCCAGACCTGGGTGGGACACCTCGCACTCACAGCAAGGCCCATCGCGATATTGCTTACCTAGGTAGGGCTTAAGTCTCCATCTGGGCTCCATTTGCCCCAGGGTTTCCGGGTCCTGGAAGGGGTGCCGGCGGTTGCTCATTAGCGTGGGTTTAGCCAGTTGGGGCTACCACCAGGCGGTGTTGACAGGCCCATACATGCTTTTCCTTTCTTCGAATAATGTCAGGTAGGGTCGACGTCGATTTCCTGAGAATGGGCACCCCCAGTCGTACATGCATCCAACACAAAAAGATCCAGAATTGTGAGCGTAAATTGACCACAGCTTTAGGCGCTTGTGGCAGCCGCCGACTGCGAACTCATCCATCCACGTGAAAACGCGTCGGTCATTGAGTTCGGGGAATTACTGAAGAACATGCAGGGCTCAGACGATGGACAAGACGCACGCACGAGGCACGGCCCTTCCCATGGTGCCCACAGGCTGCTCCGACACTGGCATTTCATCAGCCCGCTAACGTCTTCGTGGTGGTGTGCTGCCCTTTGAACGCATACCGGGCTTTTCTCTCACCTGTCCCAACTCGCGTCACGTGAGCATGGCCCGGATTCCACGGTATCTGTTTCTAGCGGGGAAGCTCGAAAAGCCTAAAAGGTCGAGAGGTCAACAGTCCGGAAGAAAGGAGAGGGCCAGAATCAGCACGAACCGGCCCAGATATTAAACGACTCTGCTTATCTCCCTGAAATGGAGTTGAAATCCATCAACGCCCAATGCCCCTTTTCCACCTGCCTCTCTGAGCGCCAGATTCCATCCACCACTTGGCCGGCTAAGCGGAGGCGGCCTCCAATAATTATCCAAGACTAGCGCTGCCGCGAAGTGCCTCGGGAGTTGCTGGAGAGCAAGGCCCGTTCCAATCAGTACTCGGTACTTATGGCGAATGTGACGGCGGAGAGGGCCGACGGACTGGCAAGCACAGCGGCAGACATTGGGGGAGTGTTGGCGAAAGGTGGGCGCCATTGAAAATTTGAGCATGGATGCGGACCGGATGGAGGGAGCTTGTCGTCCTTTTATATGCTGTTGTGCAACTCGACACGCAGCCTTCATCCTGGACGGCTCAATCGTGGCGTTGGCAGTCTTGGTCAATCATTCGTATCCTCGTCTGTGTTTCGCCCTATCAACCGCGCCTTTCGCATCTGCATCTTCTACTAGTCTCCAACACTGGCTCAATGGCCTTCGCTGTGACTTGCAGGCAGGCACTCATGCGCCTACTAGGCCAACTAATTGCAGGAAGCCGGGGCGCCTTCATGCGAACCTTGGTTCGTGCGACGATCATGCATCAGGGTCGCAGTCTTCTTACCGCTGCGTTGTCCGAGTTGAATCCATGCATGGCCGCCCGGTCATCCTCCTCTTGTCAGCTGCTCTGCTCCCCCTTCTCCATCGCTTTGGTCTGCAATCTATCCCAGGCAACGGCCGCATCACGTCGGGCAGCAACATAAAGGACAGCACAGGAAAAAGCATGAGGCTGAGCCCTGCCAATTGCCACCTCCCTTAGCTGTCCTTAACATGAGGGCGGCCCTCATGCTCGACAGCCTCCTTGCTACGATGTCTTTCCAACCTGTTGCTTTGTTCTGCTATGCCTGCAAAAATGGAGGGATACGATAAGCTGTGTTCGGACATGGTCAAATATCCTGAATTCGTCATCCTCAGAAAATTCAAGATCCTGAATTATCGTGCATTGTTGTTCAAGCAGGCTGAACTGACTGAAAAGGAGAGCCGTCTCATCTCCCTGATTAGAGAAGACCGAAACTCTGGTGACACTGAACGCCAGCAGTTCGCCTTCAGCTTCGATGCTATGCTGAGATCCACGAGCGACACCGAGGGCTCAAAGGCCCAGAGGGAGCTGATGCAGGACATATGTCGTGTCCTCCCAGAATACAGCATGTGGTTTTTCAGACCTCCCTCAAGCAAGCTCCCTGGCTTTTGGTCCCGCTGACTTTTGTTGTTTTGGTGCTTGAAGATGACTTGCTCCTCCAAAACCGCCAACTCGATGAGCTGCCTTCCGTCCACAAGCCCAGCCTCGAGAGCTTACGAGCATCCCTCATGAGTGCCCCTGGTCTAAGGTTCTTCCTGCACGGCCGCGAATTGCGGATCTGGAGTAAGAAAAAAGAATACGATCTTACATCCCTGCTGGATCATGAGGAGGACCGAGACCCGCTCTCGTCGTGGCTTGAGTTGTGGTTTACAAAGGTCGTCAACAAGCTCTACAGCGACAGGCACTACAATCCGGAGCCCCTGGACGAGGAGTGGGCACCTGCTGTGCCGGCCAAGATGGCTCAGTACCCGCGGCGAAACATCGCGAAGGCCGTCACTCTCGTCACCGCCGTCCTCGCGCCCATCCTTCCCACAGCCTCGGCGTCGGCCTTGTTCGTGGTTAACAACGAGCGTGCTCGCCTGGCGATCATTGTGCTGTTGAGCTTCCTCTTCAGCTTCGCCCTGGCGTGCGTCGGCGTGCCGCGCAAAATCGATTCCTTCGTCGCCACGGCCACCTTCACCGCAGTCTTGATTGTATTTATCAGCAATAATACGGGCTGCGCGTGTTGAAAGAGACATCGCTGCATGGACGCATTGGCGCCCTCATTTTTCGGGCAAAGGGGCGTCGATGTCGAGTCAAGAAGAAGATGGACAGGTGGTTATCAGTTGAATTACAAAGCAGAAGCTCTAGACATGCGCTCTACGTGTGTCAGATCCTGCCCAAATCGAATAAAACTCTTTTAGTTTTCTTGTCGGTGCTCGTTCTTCAAAAGATGACAACTACAGCTATAATCTTATTCGCTTCTACTTGGACCAAAATTGATCTTCCATTCTGTCTGCCTTTGGGGACGTACGAATCACTCATTGTCAGGACGCATAGCAGCGTTTGCGAGACATGCTTGTAGCATTTTTCAGTTCTCTAATGATGGCGAGAACGATGATGGCAGAAATCAGAGAAAAGAGCGTGCCTTCGTTCCTGCTGCGAAGATGAAGTTTTGGAGGATCCGCTCTTCTAGTCAACCACGACGTCGTAGTTGATGGGTGATTTTAATTTTTGGCAGACAATCCGATCACTGGTTCGAATTTTTTTTTCCTCAGACAGGTTTTGCTTTTGTGGTCTTTTAATGGCTTTCTTCTGGGTGGCCCCAATTTCCCGGGCACCTTCCATCTGCCCATTCATGCTGCGGCTGACTGTCAGCGAACAAGAGCGTGCAGGCGAGGAGAACTCTCCTGGAGAAATGTGATGACGACCACGAGATCATTGAGCATGAGAAGGATGCTATTCTTCATCAACAGTGTCAAACAGCAGGTTGGGAATTCGAAGCAAAGTTAGTCGAATGGTTTGAGAGGCACAGGTCTCGCATTCACTACCTAGGTAAGCACGCCACAGGGTAAATCCCATTCTCCAAGAGGTCCACCATCCTGCTCTGGACTCGGGCTCGCCCCCCTGCCTGATACCGTTCATTCAGCTCAGTCTCACCCAGTGCAATGCTCCATCAGCTTTTCAAGTCATTGCCGCTAGCCCTTCCATCGCCTCGTGCGTGGTCATCACCTCGCCAAACGCGAACTCGAACCCTTGCAGCCCTGCTTTGTGCTGTCTACCATTCGCACTCCCACAAGCATCACTAAGAAGCCATGTCTCATACCCTCGATTGAAGGCGGCTCTGGCGGTGGTGTCACAACAACAGTCAGTCATGACCCCGACGACAACTACACGCTCGATCTTCGCATGCTCCAGTATGGTGGACAAGGGGGTGTGGATGAAACCATCATAGGTGTTCTTTGGCACGAGCTTTGGGAACTCGGGCGACGTGGGCTCCGGTAGGGACTCTCCAAGGGTGACGTGCTTGGTTCTAAAGTTCTTGGGCAGAAACTTATGCAGCTCGGGCAGCATCTCTCCTTCTGGAGCCCCCTCGCCGATTGATCCAGACACCCCCCATTTGCGCACCAACTGGCTCGTCGAATTCGCCACCATCTCGGCCTTGGGATGGCCATGCTTCGTGAACACAATGGGCGCCGAGGTCTTTGAAAACTGCTCGCATAGTTTGATGATATTTGGGAGAGCAGTGGTGGTCATCGGAGAGAAGAAGGCCTGCATGTCGATAACAAGCAGTGCCGTTTTGGGAGCCATTGGGGTCTGGCGGGTGTCGGAGCCGCAAACTTGTCCCGTTCGCGCAGCTAGTAAGCGATGGTGTTGGGAAGATTTGAGAGAGTGGTGTTTGGGCATACAACCACCGCTTCTGTCAAATTGGGAGCCAAGATTGGAGTGGAAGAAGAGCAAAGGACAACAGCCAGCAACGTCGACGAGACCAGGGTGGTGGTACTTGTTCGAATCCTTCTGCTTCGCTCATGAGATTTCTTGCATAGGTACACAAGACCAACAACGCCAACAACTCTGGGACGAGGCACCAGAAGCATTCAGGCCAATTACGTCAGGACTCAGGCTGGTTGCCAATCCCCAGCAATTCCGTCTTGTACCGCTTCACACCACCATCACTTTCTTATGAGCCTCACCACCGCTCCCAGACATGTGCGCGGCAACTGTCGGAATGTCTATGCACTGGTATACCAGACCCCATCACTTCCACAGGCGCACGGCTGCCTAGGTGAGGTTGAGATAAGATTGCGGTGATTGGTCGCGTTAATTTAGCTCCCACTCCGTGACGGTGCGAACAAAGCACGAACCGGTGGATCCTCGCATCTGTCAATTCCGCTGCGGACATTGCCTGATTGAGAGAGAACGAATGGGGCCATGGGCGAGGACAACGCATGCTGGTTCGGCCCGGCTAGTCTTGGTCCATTGACGCGGCTGCGCAACAACGCAAGCGTCGCGAGGTCAGGTGGACATTGCAAAAGCGATGACCAGCATTGATTCTTCGAGTTGCATTCATCTGAAGCTACTACAAGGTAAGGGCTCGATGGGATTTTGGCAAAAATGTTGACGTGGTCGGGCGTCACATACAAATCGGGCGCAGGGGGAAGGGGGGAAAAGGCGGTGAGGCTCGTACTGACTAGCCTGTCCACTGCAGGTGGTCACGAGGCTTGCCACGACGTCGCGAGGCTGGAGACTCAACGCAATCTGAAGGACCATGGCCCATGGGAGACGAGACGAAACTTGGAGGGCCGGAGAATTGGCGTTGTTCGCATAGCCGCACACGGGGCGCTGTTGCGCAGACTTGACGACGCCATGATCCCAAGAGATGGATGTGTAAGCTGGGTAAGAAACACTGGCACCAGCTAGAGGAAGGAAAGAGGTCGACAAAACAGCGCGAGGATGCAAATCACGCTTAGCAGGTCATTGGTATTGCTGCCAGCACCTGACCTGAAGCGGAGAGCAAGAGAAAGACGGGGTTTTTTGGTACTCAGACAATTGATTTGGTAGTTTGTTATGTTACAGTTCAGTGTATCATGGGGACCTCATTTGTTAGTGTACCGGGGTTTTCCTTCACTTAGGGCTTCCCATCTTGTTGTCTGCTCGATCAAGTCGCAGAAGAACGGTCAAGATCCTCAATCAACACTCCCACCCTCGCTTTTTTGGCTTTAAGCTTGCCCGGCCCCTCGATGCCGTCAGAGTCCATACAGCCCGACACATCCTTCGAGGGATGTATGTTTTGCCGGGAGATGATGATGATCTAGTGGTAGGCATTGAGGGCAGGCACCCACGTGTTGTTGATGTGCGGCTCGGTTTGATGCAGTTGGCTACTGTTGTTGTCGTTGTCTGGCTCAAAGAAGCACAAAGCACAAAGCACAAAGCACAAAGCACAAAGCACGAAAGCACGAAAGCACGAAAGGCACTATGTTGTCGTCGTCGTGGTAGAAGAAAGTTTCTTCGACTTGGGGGCGGCGGCGAATGCTGAACGCAGGTGGTCTTCTGGCCGCAACGCCCCCGTGGGAGAAGTATTTCTTTCTTAGCGTGCTGTTATTTGTGTGAGCTCGTGGAAAGGGTCTATTGAAAAGCTTGCTTTTCGACTCTTTCCTGGTGTGCATCTGGTTCTGCGTGTAGAGCCCCAGGGTAGTCGCACCAGTCCGAGATCCGCGGGACTGACACCGGTTCTGTTTCTTGAAAGAGGGGCACTCGGCGTGCGTGCTCGATGGACAATGTGAATCGATGTCAAGGGGACATGGACATGATCGTTCATGGAAAGAAACAACCGGGCGTGAACAGTCGATTGCTGCGACACATCTGCTTTGGATTGGGTTGGCGCCACCGCTTCTTCTGGCAGGGCTTGACGATGTTTGTCTGATTGGGGAGCCTGGGAGACCGGGCTCCGCGGAACGAAAAATTAGATCACTTGCTGGAGGGCAAGGATCGAGGTGTTTATTGGGCATCAAGAGACGAACTCCTGAGTACCGAATAAGATTGTGAGCAGTGCGGTCGATATGAGGTAGGGGTTTTGTTTGTTTTTTCTTCTTCAGGTCGAAGGACGAGAAGGTCTTTTCCTTTCTTTCTTCATTCAATGTTACTTGTCAATCAATGTTGGTGCTGGTGTTATTGTTATTGTATCAACTGATGTTGATACGCAAAAGCTTTCACCGCTAGGCAATCAGCCCGCGCCTCGAATGGGGTCCCAGGATCACCCGATCGGTATCATCTTGTAAGAATTCGTGTAATGAATGTGTTTTGCGCGATCAGCACTGCTGATTCTGGACGTGCAAAACGGAATCCAGCCAGTTCTTTGGAGAACGAAGAGCTCGGTGAGATTGTGAGGAAGCTTCGATCCCAGCGGACCACGTGTCGTAGAGAACAGCTCGTCGCAAGCTCTGCAGTGAGGGATCTCTGACCCGTGCAGTATTTTTCCTCGATCACAATGTTTTGACTGAGCGTCGCAGGTCTGGCAGTAATGGTTGCCCATTCTGCTTGAAGAAGTCAAGTGACTTGGCACGCGTATTCATTGCTGGACGATTGATGTTGGAAAGGTCAAGTGGTTTCCAAGTTGGCAGTTGTATTCATTGTTGAGGATTGATGTGTGATTTGAGTAGAACGACAACCCGACACAAATAGGCCCGAGGATTTGCTAACGTGTCTGTTGAGAGTGCGGAGGTCAAGTGGAAACGTTTCCCTCAATCATGGCAGCAATGAAGGCAAGCCACGCGACTCGTGTCGCCGGGCTCAGAGAATTTGAGAGAGCAGGAAACAAACGCCACGCTGGTCAGCCGGCTGGTCTGCGCTCCGTCGGAAAGAGGTTCTGGTCATCCTGATCATGTCAGCGTAAGAGCGCGATGAGAGAACGGAGGCCGACCTACCTTGAGCGCCATGTAATCAAGAGACTTGTTGACGACAGTGTCCAGCACTTTTGAAGAGGTCTTGGTTTCCCCAGCCCGGCTGGGTACTCACGCCCTGCACCGCGCGGAGGTGCCTCTTCTGCGCAGGGCACGATGAGATCGTTTGATGATGAAGTGAGGAGCCAAATGATGACAGAGAAGGCACTGATAGTTGTAGATGGATTTGTGGGCAGTATCTCCGCCAAGCAATGAGGGAGATCAATACGGAATAAAGGGGGTGCGGCAGTTGAGCAAGGTGAGTTCGAAGTGACGCGAAAAGTTGGAGGATGATCGGAGTGGCAGATGGAGATTGATCATCGTCCAGCATGGTTGCTGCTTCGTTGCTGAGTCTGCTGTGGGTGGCTGGCTGTTGTATTCTTCCCAGAAGCAGGCCTTCTGCAAAGTGATTAGAGTGATTAGAGTGATGATCAAGCCGAGTCTCAGAGACTCCAGTAGCTGTGAGTTCAATCTTGAAGTCTAAAGAAGCAGGACCGTGAGGCTCATGTTGAGCAGGTAGCCGAGTGCTTGAACTTCGGGAACCGTGCCGAGCCGGTGGCTACCGACACAAAGTCCTTGTTTCCTTCTCTCACCTACCAGGTACCTAGGTGCTCGTCTCGGTATCGCTTGATCTAGCGACACTTGCGGCCGAATTGCGACGACTACCGGCATCATTCTAACACCATGGCATGCTCCAGGACAACCTCTCAAAATCGACGACGTCAGGAACCGGGTATCTCAGTCTACTATAGAGCCTAACTGGGTAATATGTGGCGCAGTCTTTCACCTATTTACCGAAAGACAAAGGGTTCGAGGCACTATCTTGACATGCGACCTCCCTTACAAACCAGCTTAGCTGAAGGGGGCACAATCTAACGGAGTCTACTCTCCGCAGTTTCCCGAAAAAAGGTCCGAAAAGCCCTGAGATGGCAATGCAAGGAAATTTGTCATCACTGGAGCTTAATAACACCGATGGACAAGGACCAAATATGTTCTTGTGTATGATGAACGCATTTTATGTGGCAGCAGACGCTAGATGATGACAAGTACCTAGCAACGCTTTAGACTGTTGTGGACGGAGCATATTTCGAAGTCTCTTGAATGACCACGATGCCATTTGCTCCACATAGACACAAGCTCATATGAGAGATTGGACAATCCAGTGTTCATTATAGATCTGGTCGGTGATGGTGGCTATCTTCGAGATCTTGTCCAGTCACCAGGACAGGCTCCGGCTTCGTCAGGACAGAGGGTGACTCGGCTGACCGCAGGTAGAAAGAGTCCATATGGACACGGCTGTTCAGAAGAAATTATTTACCTTTTCAAGATCAAGTGCTCTGGAGAGCCACTTACCACACAGGACACGTTCCGCTGTAGCCCAGAAGCCACCGGTCGACACATCTCTGATGGTGTCGATGGCCACAGGGAAGGACTCGAAGGAGTTGGTTCTTCATAAACGGTTGTGCGCAGATGGGACACTCTGGCTCTTCGGCTTCGAGGTACGGCCTTTTCTGGTTCCCATCTCTTGATTTTCTGTGAATGGCCATGCCGATCTCAACCATCTCTGCGTGCATTTCTTTGATGTTTTGTTGGCTCTGCTCCAGAGACCAGTTCCGAGCATCCCGATACAGATTTCCCTTTTCCAAGTCCAAGCTCTTAGCGCGGCGTATTGTGCCAGGGTCACCGTCGTATCTGACAAGTGGTATGGTCTGGAGCAGCGAAATGCCAATGGCTTTTTCTTGTTGTTGTTCTTGTTGGCGTCGACGTCGTCGTAGTCCAGAGCGTTGCAGTTCGGCTTGGAGCTGTAGTTCGTCGAGCCTTCGGAGCGGGCTGTGGCGTCTCACCCAGATGGCCAAGAAGACGATGAGACCGACGATTGCAACGATGACAGAAACTGTGACAACGGTCCTGTGCCCACCCGAATCGGAAGGAGGAGGATGAGGCTGTGGAGCTGTCGCCATCAATGAGTACCTGAGAAGCAAGTTTGAAGGGAGCCAGGCCGAAGCAGCAAGAAGGGTTTGGTAGCGGACGAGGCTTCTCTCATATTGCCACAAGGACCTTGGTGTATGCCTTTTGGCTGCATGCTACTCGTAAGGCCAGACTGAGGGAAATGGCTCATTCTTACAGACGCAGATAAAGGTGCTATTTTACATAACAACAACAGTGGAGATGGCCTCAGTCGTCCTACGCCTATCTTCTGTTACAAGGTTGCCCTGAGGGTCGTGCGAAGGGAGCTGCTCGACACCGGTAAGACTGATCAGACTGATCAGACTGATCCAAACTGGATTACCCTGATTTAGAGTCGACATAAGCTTTCTACTGCGTGTTCCGTCTCGCCGGTAGCAATGAAGTGGAATGAGACTCCACTCAACAGAAAATCTCTCATACCAAAGGCAGAGTGACGGCCAATCAGTCGCAGCTGCTTAGACGGAACGGCGCTGGTTGCTGCCAAGATCTGCGCAGGGACTTTTCCACACTGACATACACAGCAACAAGGCCACCTCATCCGTCTCCAGCTCCCTCGCCCTTCTGCTCTCCCGATGAGAATCCCTGCATCCACACTCACCGACAGTGCTTGCTTGCCCTCAGACGGCGGCGGAGAAAAAAAATGCATCTACTTTCCAATTCTGGCTGTGCGGCAGTGCTTGGTGGGATGCTTAGTTCTCCCCTGGACCCGGAAGCCAAACTCTGCATTCCCAGGGGACAACAAAGTAAAATTTCCCATTATGACATGACTAACCTAGCTACATGACCGATGCCACAAGATGCATACATGCTGCTGAGAGAGCTACACCGTAACACCGCAAGGTCTTCTGTTGGAGACTGGACTGGCCTGTCCTTGACCTGATAGAGTCAAGCTCGCCAGCCTATCCGTCCTTCAGCACATGCTCGACCATGATCTATTCACTGGATCATTTGCCATCATCTGCCCGCCGCGGCCTGGCCGGGCTTTGATGTGCCTGTAGGCTGTGAAGTGATGTCCCACCATCCATGACACAACTGTCCCTCTGTCTTAAAAGGCAGGCTGGCCTGCCCACTCTCCCCTTCTCGCGTGCTCAATCAATCTCCAGCCGTGTTTTTCTCCCTTCTTCTTTCCCCCTCCTTTGCTTTTTCTGTCCAGTTCGAATCTCAATTCTGCTCATCACAATGGCAACTATTCGCATTGCTGACGACGTCCACCCCAAAAATGAGCTGCAGGGCAAAGAGGGGCGGACCGCCGACGCGACCTCCATCTACACCCACGATGATGGCATCTACAACCTGCGCTCGAGGAGATCTTCCCATGACCTGAGTCTATACCGCTCGAGGTCTCTGCAACAAGATGAAGACCCCGGGCTGCGAAAACCAGGCGACTTCAAGGAGAAGCAGGTGCGGCGTGCCTGTAATGCCTCTCTACGGCAACTCAACTGATCTCATCACAGGTCTTCAGTGGCAAGATGCTTCTCTGGCTCTCCTATCAGTCGATAGGAGTCATTTACGGGGACATCGGTACCAGTCCACTGTACGTCTACTCGTCGACCTTCACCTCTGCGCCGTCAAAGGAGGACCTCGTCGGCGTCTTGTCTCTCATCATCTGGTCTCTTATCATGATGGTGACGGTGAAATACATCATAATCATCCTGCACGCAGATAACGAGGGTGAAGGAGGAACATTCAGCACGTACTCCCTCCTCAGCCGCTACATGAACATCACGAATCGCGATCCAAGAGAAACCTCTATGATAAGAATAAGGAGGCACGCCTCGGGCGATCTCGAAGCCGCTGGGCGTGTCATGCGGAAAGGCTTCGAATCAAGTCGCTTAGCACGCGGCATCCTCAAAACCATGGGCGTCTTCGCTGTTTCTATGGTCCTGTCCGACGGCGTCCTCACGCCTGCGCAGTCCGTTCTTGGAGCGGTTCAAGGTGCCCGGGTGGTCAACCCAGGCATCTCGAAAGGCGCAATTATCGGAATCACTGATGCTATTCTTGTCCTCCTCTTCCTCATTCAACCTTTTGGTATCACCAAAATTTCATTCGCCTTTTCTCCCGTCGTTATTATCTGGCTTGGGTTTAACGCCGTTTTCGGGATCTACAACCTGGCTCACTATGATGCCTCAGTCTTTCGAGCTTTTAACCCTGGCTACGCATTTATATTCCTGATCCATCACGGCGAGCATGGATGGAGAATGCTCGGGGGTGTTTTGCTGGCTTTCACAGGAGTTGAGGCATTATTTGCAGACCTGGGTGCATTCAGCCGCAGAGCAATCCAGCTCAGTTGGCTGTGCTACACGTTCCCATGTCTCCTTCTGGCATACATTGGCCAAGCGGCCTATATCAGTGTTCATCCAGAAGCCTACTCAAATCCATTCTTTGAGGCTGCACCTCCAGGGACCATTTATCCCGCCCTCATTATCGCCATTCTAGCAGCAATTGTCGCTTCGCAAGCCATTATTACGGCTACATTCCAGGTGAGTGACTATTCAACTGTGATGCGAGGCGATCGGGGGCTAATGAACTCAGCTACTCCATCAAGTCATGAAATTGTCATATTTTCCACAGCTTTCAGTCAAACATACCTCAAAGATCTTCCACGGCCAGCTCTACATTCCTCTGGCAAATTGGCTTCTCATGATTGGCACAATCCTGGTGGCCTCAATTTACAATAACACGACTTCGCTCGGGAACGCTTATGGTGTTTGCGTCATGTTCGTCACGTTCTTCGACACATGCATGGTCTCGTTGACAGCCATTTTCGTGTGGCGTTTCAGCCCATATCTCGTTGTTCTACCCTGGCTTACGATCGCTTGTATGGACGGCACCTTCCTTTCCTCAGCCCTCACCAAAGTGCCGGATGGAGCCTGGTTTACTCTCACTCTAGCATTTGTCTTGGGCATGATATTCATGCTCTGGCGCTTTGGAAAGGAGCAGCAATGGTTCGCTGAGGCCGGCGATCGGTTCCCGACCTCCCATTTTGTCAAGAAAGGGGCCGATGGCCGTCTACACCTCACTGAGCGATACAGTGGCACAGCCCTGAGCAGCATTAACGGGTTCGGTATCTTTTTCGACAAGGGTGGTGAGACTACACCAATAGTCTTCAGCCAGTTCGCCATCAAACTCACCGCGATGCCCGAGGTGTCGGTATTCTTCCACCTCCGCCCGTTAGAGACGCCTTCCGTACCAGCATCGGAGAGGCACACTGTCTCGAGACTGGCCATCCCGCACTGTTACCGTTTGGTGGTAAGATACGGCTACAACGACGAAGTCGTTACACCCGACCTGGCCTCCGTCATCTATGAGCAGATCCGAGCGTACGTTCTTGCCGAACACAAAACGAAATCGCAAACCAGTGACAATTCCGTGCTCGCGGCGGGTGACGAATGCGCCGTGGAAGACGCCGCCACAACAACAGAGAGCGAGACGGGCACGGGCACGGGCACGGGCACCGAACCCGACGAAGTCAAATTTCAATTCCCGCAAAAGGTCCTCCTGCACCACCAGCACCACCGCGACCTGGAAAAACGCACCGAGGCCCTCGCGCGCCTGGACCGCGCATACGCCTACAAGGTCATGTACATCATGGGCAAGGAGCAGTTGACCATCAAGCACGGCACGAATTACTTCCGGCGCACAATCTTGGCGCTGTTCCTGTGGATGAAGGACAACTCGAGGACCAAAATGTCCAATCTGGACGTGCCGACCGAGAAGCTCATCGAGGTGGGCTTTTTGAAGGAGATATAGAGAACTCAAGCAACAGGAGTTAGGGGTCAAATAATAAAAAAAAGGGGGCGAAGAGGACACTGAAGGGGGAATCGGGGTGGGAACCAAAATCAAAAGTTGGACATACATACTCGGATTCGTTCGTGGGGATAGGATGCCATAAGGGAGATGACGACCTCAAGCCACTCGGGTTTGCACGACTATTTTCACGACGGGCATGATGTTTTCTTGTCTTTCCGAACCACGAAATGTATATATTTACATAGAGCCGACCGATGGACCGATATACAGCTGGGATATCACTCGCGACTGACGAGGAAGAATACTTTTGGATACCTTTAGGGTACCTAGGTACGTCCATACCACCAGGGCCCGCAGCGGCAATGAAAATGCAGCAAAACAAGCGTCCAAGGGGCCATGGCCATGTCCAGGTCAGATCCATGATTCATGCGAAGTTTTCGATTCATTCAGGAATTGCAGGTGCTCATTCATCACTATCATGCCGTGACTAATGCTGGTGGTGGTGCGCCAGAAAAAAGACCCATCCCAGAATACATGCACATGTGCCTTCCGGAGAATATAGTCCCGATCCAAACCCCTTTTCAAGACGGAAGGACAGAGACAGCGGGATATGTATAGTATATAGATGACATGTATCTGTATGTCTGGTGTGGAAGAGAAAAGGCAACTGGGATTTCACTCAGGGGCTTTCCAGCCTCGCATTCTGGGGGTTCCCCGTACCTGCAGGTGCTTCAGCCGTTCAAGTATGCTTCCCCAATCAATCTCTTCCTTCTTCCAACGGACTCGCTAAATTGGACATATCCCCTTAAAACCTGTTGACAACACAACGCCGTTCTTCTGTACAACTCCAAAACAACGGGTGTCTCTGTGGTGAATTTTAACCCTGGGAGATGCAGTCGCTCGACTCCGTGACCTCACAAGTAATGCTTCGCCTATCCCAACTCGAAAACAAATCATAAACAAATCACTGCCCGCTGCATTACACTTAGGTCAAACCCACGCTCCGAAAGAAAAAGAAATTCGGGCACACATGAGGTGCGGCACTCTCTTTTCTGAGCCACGTCGCTCTTGCAGCTGTGCTGCTGTGTAATCAGAGCCAGTATGAATCGATGTTGCGCCTCTGCAAAGAAATCATCACTCCAGAAATTCGTGAAAGGCGCCCGTTGAGGCGTGAGTCGTGATATCTTGGTGAATCCCATACATAAATTTCTGGGGTTATAAGCCGACGTGATCGTTGAGAAAAAAAGCGGAACAATGTACCAATAGCCAGGCAGAGCCGTAGGTTTTACCAGCACTAAGCATGAGTTGAAATTGTATTTGGATGGCAACTTGACATCGTTTCTCTCCTTGCTTGAAGGCTGTATCATGAAGAGTCGATGTAGAAAGCCTTGCGCTGAACACTGCGGTCGTATCTCTGATCAGACCTCTCCGGAGGCGAAGAGCTCGAGATTATCGATAGGCAACGTCAGTGAGATAGCCTGGGCCTCCGCTAGAATGAAATCTGCATCATGCCGTGGTGAGTCCTGGTTAGTGACCAGAAGTTGGTCCATGCCCGGTCGGCTCCAAACCGATGGATATGACCGTGCATCATGTGGGGTTTCCGGTGTCGCATAACCACTTGCTCCGGCATTTATGTCTGAACGCTCCAGTGATGGCCGGCGATCCAGCGATTCTGTCGGTATCAAACTGGACCTCGAGCAAGCGCACAAGCATTCGGTGCTCGCGACGATTCGGTCAACATCAAATTGGACGGTGTGAGAGAGCTGTTTAATAACCATCTTGGACAAGTCAGCTGGATGTGGTTTGTACGATTTAAACATAGGTGGAATACCTTAATAATCCCCAAACACCTAACGGCACCATTGTCATAACAACGCATCGTCGCCAGGAGCCTGATGCCCAATTCTCCCTTCTTCCATGCTTCACTCGGTCGGGATGTGCCATTGTGCGTCGCTATCAGAAACAGGAGACACATGACCGCCAGGAAAAGCGTGTAGATGACGCTCCAAGAAGCGGGAGCTAGCAAACCGCGTTGAAGCATCACCTCAGCGCGAGTGATTGTTGTAGCCGCAATTTTGATGCAAGCTAGTGCATGCTGCGATTGAGTCCTCGTGATGGGTGCGCCGTCGGCCATCTGTATGAGGTAATGCAGAAACGGTTGGTATAGGACGAATTGGCCGAAATAGAATGCCATTTCCAGTTCAAATTTCATGCTGCGTCGTTGTCAGTTAAATTCAGGCAAACGAGACAAGGGAATAAAGCGTACATGGCCGACACTTCAAGCTTTTCGGGAATAAGAGGCAGGCAAGACAACGCTCTCGCCCATTTCCGGAATGCATCCTCTGCGCCTCTCATATTGACAGAATCAACGTTGTCAAAGACAAGATCTTTTGTGCGTTTCCCCTTGTGGCCGCCGTGACTAAATATGCTTCGCACGCCTGTGGCCGTCAGGCTCAACAACTCCAAGTGCTTTGCTGAAGCCAGAAGCTTCGCATGCGTCTCAGAGACATCAACAGGAGGACTGGCCGACTTTTTGGCAAAATCGTTCTTCAGTGAGGCCATGACACCCGGGTCGATGCAATCAGGATTGATGCGAGTCGGCAAATCTAAAACTATACTGACAAAGGTATCGAATTGCAAGACGGCAAGCATAATTCTGAGTCTGGCGTCTTGTTGGACTTCAGTGATTGTGATATCTTTGCCAATGTCTTTGTGTAGGCCAAGCCTCAAAGCCGAAGTACAAGCAATGCCAAGATATGTGTATGCCGAAGTCAGACGAGATGTTGTAACCAGAAAGTAGATGAGACAGAGTATTGTCTGCATTGATATGAGATCAGCACACTGGGCAACGTCAAGCTCCCTCCGAGCTAGAAGGAAATGCCTCGTACTACGATCTCAAGGTTAGCTGCCGACACGGTTCGTGGGAGGAGCAAACATACGCTTCGTTGACAATGTCTTCGCACCCGTGCTTTTTGCGAGACCGGACATCAAACAGTAATGCGATGGCAAGGACTCCGTGGAACAGGGGCATGAAATTATGGCTTGATGCACCAAATTGAAGCGCAGATTCGCTATATAGACGATTGACCATGTCTCGAAAGTCGGCCTCGTGGACGAATTGAATCAGTGGATTACATCTGGTGAAGACGATCTCCAGAAGACCAAGCGTGATAGCTAGACTCGGAAGACTCTGAAACTGCGAAGAATACTGGGTGCCAGCTTCAGCGTCCGGAACCGGTGCGTTGAACAAGGCTGTCGTGGTATTCTGAGTCTCGGTCGTCAAGGCCGCACTGCCGGGCATCCTCCGGAACAGCTCCAGAGTCTTGAAGACGAAAGAGTATCCGGAATAAGAGCCATAGAAGTTGGTTTGGGTGGGTGAAAGGGGAACGAACCGCCCAGCTCTACCCATCATGCTGCCTAGTCGGGTTGACCTGGCATTGTCGTCGTCGCCACTCGAGTCTCCCTCTTCTGAGGGTTCCGGATACGAGTTGTCTAAGGTGTTGAGCACCGAGTCAATGTCGGTGTTTGCGAGAATCTGATTCTGAGCCTTGAGCCGCACAAGCGACATTCGTGCTGCCCGGAGACATGCTTCCAGCTTTCGAATCCTTTGGGTCGGGGTCTCCCGAGGTCTAGTCCCAGGGTCATAAGAACAGACTTGATACCGTCAGCGCAATGATCTTCCGCCAAGCTGCGATAGATGCAAACGGCCTCTCACCATCGTCAGAAACGCTGCAGGGGCCACAAGGCAGGGATCCGTCGCATTTGATTTTCCTCAGACGACATTCGTCACAGGCGCGAGGTGCCCTCCGATGGTAGCCTTTGCGAAAAGACCGGGTAGACTTTCCATTGCTCTGTTGCGAATCTCCAGGAGCCATGAGGTTCAAAAACTGGCATTTTGCCAATTCGATGGCGGCTGAAGAGATAGGAAAAAGCGAGTTCCTATCATGCGGACGGAAAGGTGGGAGTCGCCACGAGGTGTGGGTTTTTTCAACCGCAGCGAACGTTAAGCGATTGGGATGCCGTGGATGCCTGCTCGTCAGGTGCTGCTTCAGCCGTCGGTAGTAGCGTGGGCGGGGGGGACCCAGCAAGCCTGTTTGTGCAGGCGTCACTTGGGCGTCAAGGCCAATTAGAGGGTTGGGAGAATTTCAGCTTCGTGGCCCGTGGGAGGGCGAGTCGCACCTAGAGTCGATCGATGCCCAATCATTGCTAATCAGGGCCAAGCCGGCAGCCTCACCACCTGCAGTCGCTGGCCGCCCAGCCTGCCAGCCTTGTCGCTGCAACCTCAGGCCGCTTTTAACCGCCTCGCCCAGCTTAACAAATTGCGGGGGATCATCAGACTGCGGAACCTTACCTAGGTACCTAGGTACCTAGATACCAGCGAGCTAGGTACGAATAAACCACATACTATTCCCATCTACCCTGCTTTGGCCTGCGTCTCAGCTCCTGCCTCAGAATTGCAATGGCACAGTCGGCCGACGACAAGTTTGCCATACACGAAGCAGCCCGAGAAGGCAAGACCCAAGTGGTCGAGTCTCTCCTCAATGCAAATCCCAAACTGGCCTCCCTCCGCGACCAAGACGACCGACTTCCTCTACACTGGGCCATAGCATATGCCCACCTTGACATTGTCAAACTCCTCATCACAGCCACTCGCTCCTTCGACCCGGACGCTGAAGATGGTTCAGGCTGGACACCTCTCGCCATCGCCGCCTCCCTGAAAGACAATTCCGGCTTGCCCATGATCGAGCTCCTCTTCTCCAAAGACGCCGACCCCAAGATTGCCACGAACACGGGCGTCACGCCTTTGCACCTGGCAGTGTCAAAGAATAACCTGGACGTCTGCAAAACCCTTTTGAAACACGGTGTGAGTGCGAGGGTCAAGGACAAGAGAGGCCAATTACCCCTCCACCGCGCCGCCGCTGTGGGCTCCGTACCTCTGGTGAAACTACTGCTCGAAAACAAGTCGCCCATCAACGCCACGGACATGGACGGACACACGGCTCTACATCATGCAATAAGTGAAGGCCACGGGGATGTAGCTGTAGAGCTGCTCAAAGCCGGAGCGGAGACGGATAAAAAGGATCACGAGGGAAGATTGGCCATCGACTGTGCGCCGGATAGCAAGGTCAGGTCGCATATCTTGAAAGCGGCAGAGAGGGAAGGGATCGAATTCGCCTGAAGCAGGACAACCTCAACGTTGACGGAAACAGATCTCCACCACAGCCGATGCAAGAAAAGATGCATTCGAGATGATCCACTAAAACTCTTCAGATTTGGCCTTATTTCATCGTGTCCGCCAACTGTCGATACATCTGCTTGACATCAACAATATCGGCCTTCAGCTCTTCCACCTGCTCGGTCTTCTCCCCCAACAATTCTAGCGTGGTCTGGTGTCTTGCACTGAGAATGGCATGCTCCTTCTCCAGCGCCTCCAACCGTTTCTCGATCTTCCGCTTGGTCTCGACCTCGCGCATCAGGCCGACGACTTCCTGCCGGGCTTCGTCGCGCTGGGTGGTGAGGCGGGCGAGCTCGTCTTTGGAAGCGGCTTTTTCGCTTTCGAGTCGACGAACGTTGGCCGACATTCGTTCGACCAATTGCACAGAAGGGCCAGCGCCAACTGTGGAGGTCGAGACTAGATCATTCAAGCCTCCGCGCTGAGAGTGCTGGCTTGCGGTTATGGGCGTGGGTGGAACATTCGCGAAATACTCGTCTGGATCCATCGAGGTGACCACAGAAGGCGTCTCTGCAATGGAGCCGTTTGCCAGGCCACGGAAAGATGTCGTAGACTGTTGACGAGGCGGAGTATTCGAGTCGAACGTGTTGGGCATGATGGAGGGTCGCCGACTGCTGCCCCGTTCAAACTGTGTTGGGCTCATGAGATGATTAATGTCGAATGCCAGGCCCGAGCTTTTGCGGATCGAGGTCGCTGGAGAATCTGTGCGTTGGACATGCGAAGCTGCGGTCCATTTTGATTTCTCCTCGTCGATCCTCCGTTGCAACTCCTTCTCCGAATTTCCCTTCTGCTCCTCCAGGTCCTTCAAAGCATTTGCCAGGTCTGTCTCAAGCTGACTCACTTTTCGTTGTTGCCGCCGTGCTTCCTCGATTGCATCCGCCAATGACTTATCCATGTCCGCATAGTTACTTTGAGTGTTAGCCAGCTCCCTTTCCACGTTCTTCAACTTCAGCGTGGCATCTCGCAATTTCTTCCGCAGCTCTGCCTCTCTTCCCACAACCTCATCACGCTCTTTTTCCAGGTTCGTGATCCGACCCAGAAGGGAACTCTCGATCCCTTGCCAGTTCTGGCTCGCTGTGGTATATTGAGTCTGTAGGATCTCAATTTGCCGAAGGAGTTTGGCTTGGGCATGACCGTGGTCTGCTGAGGAGGCCACTTCAGCTCGAACGCGGAAAGACTCAAGCTTGCTTTCTAGGGCGGCTTGTTCACTCAACATTTCGCTCTCCATAGTGCGTGTCTGCTCTTTCTGCTTCTCCAGCTCGCTTCGTAAATCTTGAATCTCCTTCCGCAGTTTCCCCTCAGATAATTCATGCTCGACTTTAGCAACGGTCAAATCATCCTCCAGCTCGACGATTTTCCGTCTTTCCTTCTCCAGTTGTTCCGACTGCACTTTACTCTCCGCGGCCTCAGCCCGCATATTGGCTTTGGACAGTTGCGATTTCATTTCCGCTAGTGTGGCATTCAATGCATCCCGCTCTTTCCGCATTGCTTCAACATCCTTTGCCGCAACAGCATTTGCAGCGAGAGTTTGCTCTGCACGCTTATTTGCAGCTTCGGCTTTCCTGGCTCGGTCCTCCATAGCTCTCAGCGCACGTTCAGCCCGGTCTGCGCGAAGTCTTGCAGCTTCTTGTTCTTTGGCGTTGGTCAATGCTTGAGATCGAACTTTCTTCAGCATGCTTCGAAGATCCATTTCGGTCTTTGACCATCTGGTGCCTTCTTCGATCAGGACAGCTATTTCCGCATCCTTCTGAGAGATCTTTTGCTCCAGACTGCCCGCCTCCGCCGAGGCAGCTGCTTGTCTCGCAGAGTCAGCGGCCTTTTGAGCTGACTGGGCAACTTCTTGACCCAGTATCTCAAGATTTCTTCGGAGCGCATCGATGCGTTCGAGGTAGGTATTTATTTCTTCTTGCATTTCCATTGTCTCGTCCTTATAAGGGTTTGATCCATCGTCTTCGCTGGTTCTCTGCACATCCTCCGATAGTCTGCTCGGCATAGTCTGACCATCCCTCAGTATCTCCGCTGAAGGCCGTGCTGAGTCCAGATCTGGCTGTTCCATAACGATGGGTGCTGTTCTATGTCGTTCCTGCTTGGCTATTGCTGTGGATTCTGATACTGCTTTGTCACTCCCCAAATCCTGCCTCGCGTTCTCGCCTACGTCACTAGAAGTCCGCAGCTCAATATCTGTCTGATCGTAAATCGACGGAGACGGATCTGCCACTTTCGCGATGTCTGAAACCGAAGCAGATGCATCACCTCCTCGTGAAACCGGCCTCGGCGATTGTTCCTGGGAAGGGACTGGGCTTTCCGTACGACTAGCATTTTTCTTTGCCATCGCCCGAGCGAGGCGCTCCTGAAGGCGGTCATTGGAGGCAGAGGCAGTGCTGCTGCTTCTAGACAAATCGGAGGAGGCTACAAAGAGGTCAGCCGTGTGACAAGGTATCCGGTGGGGAGTTTCTTACGTTTCTTGTTGTGGGTGGGAGTGTGTGTTCGTTTTGGGCGGTCGCCCTCTTCGGCGAGTATGTCATCCAGTCTTGACTCGACAGAGGCGACGGCCTGCTGTAGGAAATTCCATCTCGAACCCGGTTTGGAGGTCATATCCACAGTCGAACACTAGGTGGACGACTGCAATAGCTAGATCGACAATGCAAGGTCTATGGGCACTTGCAGTCTCAAAATCAAAGGAGATAACATGGTAGCAGAACAGAAACTGTGGTCAAGGAGAACCACTGTCGAAAGTTGAACGTTGTTGACGCGTCCACGGCGTGGGCAAGAGTTGTCGGGCTGCGAGCCACGAACGGGGAAAGCAATAGGCGATCGTGTTCCCGCGGCGCAGCATGTCACCGCATGTCATGGCCCAGGGTCCCGCTAGCAGCCTGCAGAGAAGGAGCTTCCCGCAATCTGCAACCTGCAACCTGAAATCTGAGCTTCAACATGAACTTGACGCAATAGCTGGCAATAATCTTCTCCCAGCTTTCTATTCGAGATTGAATAGTCTACATACGAAGATTCATGGACCTTGTTGGTTGACCCGGATCTCACAGATTATCTCCCAGAAGACACAACTGCGCTTGTGCCCGTCGGCAAGATGTCATTGAGTCCCCCAGCCTATCTCAGTTCCCTACAGAGCAACATCAGAGCTCGTCCAGTAAGCGCATTGCCCTCTACCCTCGAGGCCAACCTCTGACGATAGAACAGATACCTTGGGACGGTGCTGTTCGAGCCGGAAACCTAACAGAAGACCAGCTCAAGAGAATCAGGTCGGTTGACAAGGTCAGGAAAGAGCAGCGGAAACAGACAATCGAGAAAGATGTGAACAGCTACAGCTCCCTGCTTGTCGGCGGTACAGATGGTGGTAGTGTGCTCGAAAAAGCTTCAAAACGCAGCGACATCGTCCAATACACCCTGGTACTGGCAACAGATCTTATCAATGGTACGATATCCCAGTCCGGGACGGATTGCACAGCAACTTTGACTGACGTCGACTAGATGCTCCAGATCTCGCAAAAGCTATCCTACAGCATCCTGAACCCTACAAGAGCTTCTTATCCTTACTCAATCAAGGGAACAGCCCAGAGGACCCCATTCCACTGCTCTCAGCCACATTTCTCGTCAATCTTATTGCCATTTCTTTAACGACCTCCTCACGCCCAACCAAGCGAGATGACGAGGCGCTCCCGCAGGTCTACTCGTACCTGGCCAAATTGGTCAAGAACCAAGACAGTGGGTTACAAGATATTGGAGTACAGCACATGTCACAACTTCTACGAACGAAACGATCAAAAGAGCTGTTTTGGAACCAGAGACAGGATACCGTTGACCCCTTATTCGATATCCTGAAAAAGGCTGCCGGGGCTGCTAAGGACAATGACTCTACGCTCTGGAGTGGCAACGCTAGCATAAGAAGCAGTGACACGAGGTTTGGCGAAGGGGTAGGGCTGCAATTGATGTACCATGTGTTGCTGGTAATATGGCAGCTCAGCTTCGAGGGTGAGCTTGTGGGTGAAGGTCTTGAAAAGTGAGCATGATCAACTCCCATCGAGTGGTCGAAGCATGGCCCGGGCTAACGTTTACCCAGGGATGAAGAGATTGTGCCGCTGTACACACAGCTGCTGCGGATGTCACCAAAGGAGAAGACCACCCGACTCCTGTTGGCAACACTTAACAACCTCCTTGCAACCAATAAGGAGACGCTGATTGCAACTGCCACAACCGCCAGGCTTCCTGCCCTCCTGAGCAACCTGAGCAGTCGTCATCTGACTGATCCCGATCTATTGGAGGATTTGGAAGCCCTCAAGACGATGCTGGAAGAATACACGAAGAATCAGACAACATTCGACGAATACGCCGACGAGGTAAACTCGGGCCATCTACGCTGGTCACCACCTCATCGTAATCCGACCTTCTGGCGTGAAAACGCACGCAGAATCCTGGAAGACAAAAGCGGCGAACTCCCTAAGAAACTGACCGAGATCCTGTCCAAGGGTTGGGAGTCGGACAAGCAAGTGTTGGCCATCGGGTGCAATGACGTGGGCCATTTGGTGAAGCAAGTGCCGGAGCAGCGGACTGCGCTCGAGAAACTAGGTCTCAAGGCTCGACTTCTGGAGTTGATGGGCGATCCCGACGAGAATGTAAGGTGGGAGAGTCTCAAAGCCGTGGGGGAATGGATGAGATACACGTTCGACAAATGAGTGGCTGGGCCTTTGGCACCAAATTAGCCGCCGATTGAGGCCATGAAACAGGTTGATCGTGCTGAGACATTGAACTCCTCTAGAGTTAGGGTTCGTGGCGGCTACGACGCATTGCTTTTGGTTGCTGTATAAAAGAGTTAGAAAGAACGCTCCACAGATTCCTGAGAAGTACGAGTAATAATGGCCCCTTAATTACATTCCGAACTCCGCGCTCCAGATGGTGCCGACTACCTGCATTACACCTTATGCTGGACGAGGATCCTCCGCGCCTTGGAGACCCGCGGGTGTCGTTCACGCGCTGTTGTCCCACTTCCTGCCGTGTGATCGACTCGAACAAGCATTCAAAGGGACGATGCTGATATTACGTCCACCACAGCCGAAACCATATTTCGATGTCTCGCAAAAGAGTTCTTGGGGAAAAAGAAAGGGACAGCGAGACATTACGAGGCCTAGCAAAGCTAGCCTGGTGTGCCTGGTACGAAAGGGCAATTTCCCCTGCCAATCGTCACGCTCGCCGCCCAAAAAAGTCTCCCACTGGTCGAGTGAGGGAGATCTCCAGAAGATGGGTGTCCCCAGTTATGCACGCACTCCCAGATGAGATCGACAGATGTGCGGGCAACTGGCCCGATATATCACATATCCATAGTACCGAGTACATCCCTTACTCTAGTCCGAAGGAAGTTTCCAGCAAGCATTGATGAGGAAAGGAAGACAAGGGACGTGCGGCAGTAAGTGGAGAGTATTCGCATCTTGCTTGTGCCCCATACAGAGCGGAAGTAGAACGAGGAGCTGGTCTCGGTCCGAAGAACTGGCAGCAGGATGAAGTTGAGCTGAGGATGAAGCTGAAGCGGAGGCTGAGCGGTACAGTCATCAACGTCCTCCTCTGTCTTTGACGAATGATGAAAAGAGAGACGAGTTGATAGGGTGGCAGGTTCTGGTCTGGGTTTTGGGAGGAGGGAGAGCTTGGAGGCACCACAGTCTACAGACACTACAAAGTTACTTCGTACATACCTAGGTACATAAGATACTAAGTAGGCGAGGTAGGTAGGTACCTGAATAGGATGCGGTAAGAGGGCCAAGTTGATTGGAATTGTATGTGCTTAACCGAAGCTGCACCTTGCTTCGCACACAGCCAATGCTCAAGCATGTACCAGTGGCTCGATGCAACCCGAGAGTCAACAATCTCGCTTTGCTCTCAGTCATCAAGCACAGATCCAGGAGATGGTGTCGACGGTGTGCACTGGTGTGCCAGAAGGTACCTAGGTAGCCGCCTAAAGGGTGTTTAGTTGAGGCAATCTGCGGCGGATCCAATGGCATTGAGTGAGGCTATTCCGCTTCGGAAAACACCAGAGAGCCTCAGAGCACCATCCACCACCACCCACCACCATCCTCCACGCGGATCCTCTCCTAAACCATTCCCTCACTTCTTCTTTCTCTCCACCGTCGCGCCATCACTGCCATTCTAGGATTGCTATTTGCATGTGGCTGATCTACATGTTCAAACCATGACCCTAACCATGTCGCTACTCTAGATGGGCGTCAAAGCGTTAGAGTTCCAGAGAGTCCGCCCTTCCCTCTGGCTACCGCCCGTCCGCAACCGGCAGCTGGTGCAGCTGGAAACATCCACCATCACCCTTAACCCCCAATCAACTCCATGAAGGCTATCGACCATGGACGACAATAATGCGCAAAGCTTCGCTTCTGCCTCTCCTCCGCCGCCGCCTCCAAAAGAACATCCTCCTCTTCAGCGTCTGCCCTCCCTTTCCAGCACTATCTCTGCCGCGCTGAAACCCTTCTCTCCCGTCTCCTCCTCCGTCCGCCGAAAACCTCTACCTTCCACCATCTCACCTGTCCTCACGTCGCCTGAGGCTCAGACGACTCAGACACGGGTAGAGTCACCGTCAAAGACAATACGGAGAAAGAGAGTCCCGTCTGATGCTGTACGCCAGACGTATGTTTGGCCGCGCCTTGCTAGTGCTCAGGTTCCCCAGCTGACCCGAACAGGAATTTCGATATAAATCCCCCCATTCTCAAGCGGACTAATACGAGCGATAACAACCCGAACAAGACAGTCACAGACGCTCCCCTCCCTCAACCTCCCGGTGACGCCGTCACAGCTTCTCCCAAGCCCAGTCACGCCTCCAAACGATCAAATGGCTACTCGGTAGACAGCGTTGTTGTAGAGGAGGATATGGGATTGAAACCCGGGTCGAGGCCTCCGCCTCTGCGGACGGACTCGACCTCGTCCACAAAATCACTAACAGTGATTGACGCAAAGAAACCTCAGACTCCGGGTAGCAAGTTTACATCCTTCTTCAGCCGCAAACCTGCCGCGTCGCCGAGCACCGAATCTTCGGTCACAGACATCTCGGATAGAAAATCTCCCCTACCATCCCCTTATGGTCCTTCACCCCACGCTTCAGCACATTCCTCGCAAGGGTACCCATTCCCGTCGGCTGTCCCGAGGCCTCCAGCGTCACAGCCCTCCCAGGACTCAATTGACTTTGATGGAAGTACGTACGCCCAGACGTTGGCCAACAACGATGGCAACAGAATCTCCAAGCTCGAAGCCGAACTCCGCGACATTAGCACGGAACTTGCCAATTCTATCAAAAGAGAGATGGACCTTGAGGACCTAGTCGAACAGCTTCAGACGGAGGGCGCCAATGTCAACCGAGAGACTGATCGCACAAGTGATTATTTCTCAGATTCTGGCACGAGTTCGATCAGGCCGTCGACGAGCGAAGGAAACTCCAAGGAAGAGATCCAGAGGATCAAGAGAGAGTCGGAGCAGCTTCGAGCGCAGCTCAAGGTGGAGATGTCACAAAAATGGCAAAATGAAAGGTCAAGCCGGCAGGCTTTGGAATCTCATATTCAGATCCTCGAGCAGAAGCTCTCGCTGTCCCGTCGAGACAATAACGAATCTGCGGATATTAATGCGAGGGCGAGGGAGTTGGAAGGGGCCCTCGAAGACGCTAAAAGGCGGCTGCTTGAAGAAAGGCAGATCAAGGAGAATTTTGAAGACTTGCTGACGGCGCTTCGCGTCGACTTGGAGCACCATCGGAACGAAAGAGACAACTTGCGGGATGAAGTAGTACCTCAACTTCGCTCACAAATCGAGGGTCTCGAGGCGAGCTTGTCCGAATCACAGAAATCACCCTACGATTTTACGCGAATGCAACAGGAGCTGCAGAGTCTCCGAGACGAAAACAATGCGCTGCAGAGTGCCCGTGCGATGAACATGCAATTCCAATCGATTGCAGAAGAAGGCGAAATCGTTGAATCACCAAGAACTTCAACGGTTCCAGGTCGTGGTAGCGGTCTACAAAGGTCAAATACCATTTTGAACAGATCGAACTCTAGAGCAACGCCAAACCGGTCGAATTCCTTATCGAGGTCGAACTCGGTGGCTAAAGGCACAACCACAGAGAGCCAGCAATCCCTCGCCGATCAACTGAAGGATGTGACAGAACAAAGGAATGCATTACATTCAACCGTGAAGTATTTGTTAAGAAGACAAGAGGCACAAAGACGACAGTTTGAGAAGCGCCTCAATCTCACCGAAGCCGAACGTGATCGAGCAGCTTCTTTGCACGGGCCTAAAAAGGGCGGTTATGAACGGGAAGTGCGGACGCTGCGCTCAGAGATCAATCTCCTTCGGAAGAGGGCGGATGACGCGCTGGAACAAAAGTGGCAATGTGAAAAAGGACTGTCCGGGTTGAAAATGGACCTGGACAGAAGCAAGCAGGAAACTACTAGTTTGCAGACACTGTTACAGGCTCGTGACGAGAGTGCACCCGAAGTCCTCTCATCGTCACTTGAGCAGGCCCTGCGTCAATTGGAACAACAGCGGGATCAAGCTCGGCAGCAGGAATCCCTTGGCTCATTGAAGCATGAGCAAGACCTTGCCGGCGAATTGGAACTGTCTGCACAAAGGTCTGAGTCGTTGGCCGCCCAGGTCAGGAAACAAATGCAAGCGAATGCCGCTTTGAGGAACCGACTCAAGACCGCGGTGGAGAAGGGTGAGCAGAATCAACAAGCATCGGCTGAACAAATCAACGAACTCCAGACCAAGCTCCGCAAATTGGAAGACACCATCACTGTCGCTCAAATGCAATCAGAAACCGCAGTGATGAAGCACGAGGAGGAAGTGCGCGTGTTGAGAGCCAGCCACAATATCCAGTTGATGCGCACAAAATCTGGACACAAGTCACCAGGGTACTTGACGCCCCTGCCTCGGTCCCCGATGTCCCCATTGTTTGCCAATTCCAAAAAGAGCCCCCGTATCAACCAGACGACTTCGGGCCCTGGCATGGCATTGCAGCAGGCCTTGAAGACGGAGTATCTGGAAAATAAGGTAGCCGAGCTGGAGAAAGCCCTCTCGGAAGCAGAAAAGGAGATGGGAGAGGTAGTTGGGCGGATGAACACGGCTCAAATGGGAGTTGCTGAGCTGGAATCGGAAAGGTGAGACTCATTCAATCGAAACACTGGGCGGTTTGCTGATTTCTATCACAGGGACGAAGCACTTCGCCAAACGCGACGGCTTGAAGCAGCCATTGCTGCAGAACGAGAGAAAGTGCAGGCGCTTCTCAACGACGACTTTAATTATAGCTACGCTTCGGATTATTAATGGCCTGTCGGTTTCCCACGACAGTATAGGGGACCTGAGCAGCTGCTGTCCCTTTGATTCTGCATATTCTTGGGACACAACACATATCGAGCGATGGGTTGGAGGCCTGTTATTCTTTTGGTTTGATGAATTTGATGTCTTTTGATTGCACAGTCAACATTTGGCCGGTTTGGGAGCTTCTAGATGTTGGGTTCTGGGTGTTGTCCGGAGTTAAGATGGCACTTGAAGCTCGCTGCTGAAAAGGTGGCCCTTGTACAAAACTACCTACAAAAGTAAAACTAATTACACCTCCAGATGCATGGGGAACTTGAAGAGCATTGGGCTTGGATAGCGAGAACTTGGAGCTTTGTTGCCTGAAGACCCGTGGGATGCGGATGTTCAATCGAGGCTGAGAGGACACCATCACCACCGTGAGGCAAGGGATATATATAAGAACAAGGCATATGAATGTCGATAGCACTCTTCTGTTTTGCTTTTAAGTCGTCTCTTCTACATCGTAAAAGTCTAGTTCGCCAACATGCCAAAGGTCTCGCACCCTGCAGGTGGAGGCGACGAACTTCCCCGCGATCGTCAAAGCCTAGTAGCCTCCCTCGCCTCCTTCACATGTTCAGTTGCAGGTGCTTTCTTTGATCGCACCTCAGATCTCAATCAGCACACAGCCACACGTCCTCAATATTCTGGTCACCCGTATATATTTCGCCAGTGAAACCCGAGACGAGCAGTTCAATTTGTTCGACAATCTAATTTCTCCATCTGCAAAGAGGGTGAAACATGACAACTGGCTTTCAACCAACCTAACCATCTGGTGCCATGAGTGATGCCAACGACCAAACACAAACCCGAAATCCGGCTCTGAGAAATTGGGAGACATAAATAACAAGAAGACTTGCCAAATCCGCAGGTTTTCTGAGGAGTACATCTACCTCCCTCTACTGCCTCTGGTGAGAAAAGGATAGCGCGTCGCCTCAGCCTTTCCTCTCCTACCGACCTTCTTGCGCAGTCGCCCTCATCCTCACTCACTGACGGCCCAGTCACTCCGAATACCAATCGACCAAGACCAACCCTGCACACGCACCATGTCCCCGGCACCAGTTCCTCCCTTGCCGTCATTCATCTCTCACGTCGCCGACCTGTACGACGCGTACATCCTCCCTCAGCTCCCCTCACCTGTGCAATCCATATCCAACAACCTGTCCCCCCTCCTCACCTCAATCCTCTCAGCCGCCTCCAACGGCGACCTCGTCTCGCTCGCCGCCTTTCTACTCACCGTCTACCTCACCCTGAAAATCGCAGACTACATCCGTCGCTCCGTCATCGGGTGGGTGGTCCTCCTCGTCAAAATCGCCATGGTCCTAGTGGTGCTCAACTGCGTGTTTTACGTCAATCGGTACGGCTGGCAAAAGGCGCTGAACGATGCCGAGTGGATCTTTGGAATGGTCTGGGGCTTTGTCGAGGGTAAAATCGCCAATGCGGGAGATGGCTCGGATAACAGGACGGGATGGGCCCAGAATCAGAACCCTTGGGGTGGTGTGTATGGAGGTGGAAGACAACAGGTTCCTGTCGCGCGAGGCAGATCATCAAAGGGGAAAAGCGGGTTCGGATGGACGTGAAAGGGGACAAAAAGGAATTACCTAGGTAGCTCAAAAGTTCCTGGGTTGTACTCTGGGAACAGGCAGGCTTGTTTGAACAGCATCGGTGCAATGGAACGGAATCAGTTCGCAATAAAAGTAATTCATACTGGGTATCTGTCCTAATTTACCCTGTGCTGCCCTGCCCTTGACAGGCAGGAGAACCCCCAGCCGACCAACGCCGACGCTGAAAAGATGGTTTACTCTCTTTGTTACCACGGAAAAAGCCCCTTTCCTTCCTTCAATAAACCGGAGAGATGAAGAATGCCCTCCCAACCCATACCCGGGTGCATTCAGCAATCAGTCCTCCCAGGGCGCGTCTTCTAATTCGGGCTCCTTGGGATCCCGCGGTTCCTGCGCCTCGTGGAACTGAATGGCATCATCAATGTAACTCAGCACGTCGCCGACATTTTCCTCATCGTTGACGTCCAGCTGCAAGAAGGACACCATGCTGAAATCGTCAATCAGACGGGCGACGGCGCGGTTGAGCTGCTTGAACGAACCCCCGGACATGATGCTGTCGACTTCGTGGGCGTTGCGGACGTCCAGTGCGGTGTACTCTGGCGCTCCTGTGCCTATGGCGGGGCCGCCGAATGCGGCGCCGGAGCTAGAGCTGGGCAAGAGTTCGCGGCCGGTATCCTCCTGGTCGAGGAGGTTGGCGTCCGGGTCGATGAAGCGGCGCAGTTCGCGCTTGGGGACTTGGTCCTTGACCAGGTCCATTTTGGAGAGGATGTTGACGTGGGGCAGTTCGAGCATGATCATGGCGCTCATGGCAGACAGAGTGCCGGCGAAGAACTTGGCCTTGTCGACCACAAACGTGGCTTCCAGTAGATACGCGGCGCACAGGGAGATGTTCAGCGGACCCATGCGCGAGAGGTACCGGACCAGTTCAGGTAGTAGGGGGATGTGTGTGTACAATTCGATTTGGCCCGGAAGGTCGAATATGATCAGGTACTCTTCCGTCAAGGGGTCGATGGCCTCGGCCAGCCAGTCCAGGTTTTGTAAGAGGAATTCAAAGCAGTAGATCAGTCCACCGTTGGGGCCCAGCGAGAGCGGCTCTTCCATGACGTCCTCGAGCGAGATCAGGTCCCGAATGTCCAGGTCTGGGGTGTAGCTGAGGTCTGTGGCGGCCGGGTCCAGGTTCACGTAGAAGGCGGACCGGCGGCTGTGGTGGAGATGGGTTATGAGGGCGGTACAGAAGGTCGTTTTGCCGGCGCCTGCGGGACCGGTGACGAGGACACCGAATTTGGACATGATTTCTCGTCTTTCTTTGGGGGAGTGTGAGTCTTGTGGTTTGTGCTGTTGATGAGGGCCTCGTCTTCCACCCTCAACGCTTGCTACGTCTTCCGCTTTGTTTCCCTCCTCTCTCTTTCTGCGGTAGATCCAGCAAATGAATCCGCAGTGACGTCTATAGCAAGGTCAACACCGGGACCTCTTGTGAAGAATCTATCTCGCTGGATGGCTTTCTGATGGACCTCATGCGCCGCTATAACAGCGCTCTTTCCCAATGGCGTTAGCGTCCTTTTGGCTGAAGTGACAATTTTTCTTTTGTAGTCGTAAGACAGACAGACAGAACTTGGAACTTGTGAAGTCGTTGTTGTCTTTTCTGTATTGCTTCATCATCTCTGTCGTTCACATATCCGTGAGGAAAAGGCTGTAAAAATTATGGCGACGATATTTCTGCCACCGCCTTCCGGCTTGACGGGCCCTTGCATTTGCCCAGTCGGATAATAACATGTCTACCCACCGTCAGTTTAGTGAGGGGAAAAGACAGCCGCCGAGAACCGACCTGCGAATCTTCCCAAGCCCACTCGACTTTGGTGGAAGAAGAAGCAAATCAGGCCAGATGGCCTCGGAACCAAGGAAGGAAGCGTTTGCTCACCGCCATCATCACCAGGGCCCCAAATATGAGAGAGAAGAGATGCCGCCTAAGCAGCAGCAGCAGCAGCAGCAGCAGCACGAGGGGGGAGGGGAAACAGAGTTGCCGGCATGGGGCCACCTGGTACTGCCGTTGGTCTGTGCCTGCTTGCGTGCCTAGTGGGAAGTGGACTTTGTGCTGTGCCTAGTGCCTGGGTGGTGCCTAGAGCTCAACTATTGGAGCTGCCGGGGGACATGATTTCCAGGCCAAGCTCTGGTGGGTGTCTGCCGAAGCCGGCCACGGTGGGTGGGTTCCGTTTGGTGTCGATAACGACATCGCCCTGGTGGCTCGTTGGTGGCTCTTCTGTGGCTCTTGTCTGGCCCTGTGAGATTTTTTTTCTCCTCACCGTTTCTCCGTCTCTCAGTCTCGCAGTACCTCGAACCCTCATCGGATACGCATCCTTCCCCCACTTTAACTACTCCCAGGTTTTTCCCTTCACCTACGATTTAATACTAGTCCTTCTTCCACCACCACTACTCCCCGTCTCTCATCTCATCTACTTAACCGACACGCACGCTCACTCTACGTCGACCGGGCTGTCCTCTTCCTTACTCCCCCAAGCACACGCTTCCAAAAAGAAAAGGCTCGGCGTGGTGTCCATCACCTCTCAAACCTCCGCATTCTTTTCGAGACAATCTCTTCCAACTCCCACACTCACACGCACTCTCTTTTTCTATTCCTTGCCTCATTCCTTGTCTCTACATTCACACGACAACTACTGCTAAAATGGCCGTTCTTGCCAACGGAGTGTCCAAAGGCGACACCTTTCTCTTCACGTCCGAATCTGTGGGTGAGGGTCATCCTGACAAGATCGCGTACGTACTCCTTGTTCTCCGCCCGCAAAACGTGTCGAGACTGACAATACCTTTCAGCGACCAGGTCTCTGATGCGATCCTCGATGCCTGCCTTGCAGTCGATCCTCTGTCGAAAGTGGCTTGCGAGACTGCCACCAAGACTGGTACCCCATATTCTCCCTCATCCGACCGCGCCTTGCACTCCTCTAACGTTTTCCAGGTATGATCATGGTCTTCGGCGAGATCACGAGCAAAGCACACCTCGACTACCAAAAGATTGTCCGTAATGCCATCAAGGATATTGGATACGACAGCTCAGAAAAGGGATTCGATTACAAGACCTGCAACGTACTCGTCGCCATAGAAGAGCAATCTGCCGACATTGCCCAGGGTCTTCACTACGATGAGGCAATGGAAAAGCTCGGGGCCGGTGACCAGGGGATCATGTTTGGCTATGCTACTGACGAGACTCCTGAGCTCTTGCCACTGACCATTCAACTCGCTCACAAACTCAACGCCGCCATGACCACTGCCCGCAAGTCAGGCGAACTCCCCTGGCTGCGACCAGACACCAAGACTCAAGTCACGGTGGAATACGCTCACGATGGAGGCGCTGTCAAGCCTTTGAGAGTTGATACGGTCGTCGTCTCCGCTCAACACTCCGAAGATATCTCTACCGAGGACCTGCGAAAGGAGATTTTGGAAAAGATCATCAAGAAAGTCATTCCCGCCAAGTACCTCGACGACAAGACCATCTACCACATCCAACCATCTGGCCTCTTCATTATTGGTGGACCCCAAGGCGACGCTGGTCTCACCGGCCGCAAGATCATTGTCGACACCTACGGCGGCTGGGGAGCCCACGGTGGCGGTGCCTTCTCCGGCAAGGACTATAGCAAAGTCGATCGCTCGGCCGCCTATCTAGCCCGTTGGATCGCCAAATCGCTCGTGAACGCTGGTCTCGCTCGTCGCTGCCTGGTCCAACTCTCCTATGCCATAGGCGTTGCAGAGCCACTCTCCCTCTTTGTCGAGACATACGGCACTAGCACCAAATCCAGTGCCGAGCTTGTTGACATCATCCACAAGAACTTCGACCTCAGACCCGGTGTCATCGTCAAGGAGCTCAACCTCACCAACCCCATTTACTTCAAAACCGCCAAGAATGGTCATTTCTCAGACCAGAGTTTCACCTGGGAACAGCCCAAGACTCTGAAGTTCTAGATTTCCTTGTCTGTTTTCCGTGCCAACACTGAAGTTCATAGCAAGAACCACGAAACATCAGCCTTTCATTTCATCCCGTTGGTTGGTTTTCTGTTGGAGTAAATATTCAAGGGAGAGCACGTGTCACAGTTTTATCCAGAAATAGAGGGAGGCGAAGAATTCTTTCCGATTTCCTGGTTTTCAACAGACTCAGGGTCGGAAATTTTTCCTCAGCTGTCTTTGTTCTTGGCTGCATTTGAAGAGGACGGCCACATCATGGGGCGGAGCTGATTGCGCCCAAACTACGAGCTAATGGGTGCTCACCGAAAGCGAAAGACTTGTATGCTTTTCTTTTTTTGCCTGTCTTTTACCAAAGAAAAAGAATTCATGACGGCGCGGGTTACGTCTTGACGATATTCAACATGTTTCGATGATACCCCCTGCTGCGCGCGCAAGAAAGACTTATGTTTTTGCGGTATGATTTATGTCTCCTAAGGGCATTGTGATGGTGGGATTTGGCGTTCAACTCGCTAAATGGGCACGGGCTGAAGAAGGATGATTCAGATGAGTCGAAAAGGGTTCGGCTTGGGCGGGCGAGGCTCGAGACCGAGGAGACCTTGAGCAATATGACTGCGCGTTATGCTCTTTCCTCCCAACGAGGAGCCAGTCAGTTCACCAGTCAGGGAAGGAAGGGGTTAATACTGCATAGCCTCTCGATGACGAAAAGGACACAACGAAAAAATGGGCAGACATCAACTAACTGCCCACAAAAGTGGAAGAAAGGGACCCCTTCAGTCCTTACATGGTCTCTTCTTTTTCTCAGTGTTCTCTCTTTCCTTTCTTCCACGTCTCTTGTCTTTTCCCCTTAGCAGGGTCTTCAACATCCCATCCCACTGTCTCGTTGCCCATATCCTAATAACCCTTGTGTAATATACCCTCCTCTCCTCTCCTCTGATAATCATCTCCGACGTGGAAACGAATATGAGCGCTCCCTTGAACCTATACCGGATTGAACACCTTAGTCGGAACCTGCACTCGGTAATTACATATCTTCTCATTCTCGTTCACGATCTTCTGTTCTTTGTATGTGGCTGCTCCATAGGTACTACCTCCTACTGCTCTGCACTGTCTATGTACTTCACTCCGTACTTGACGACATCTCCCTCGCCCCTTGCTCACTCGCTTGCTCGCTCACTCCAAAAAAAAGAAAGAAAAAAAGCAAGGATCTCCTGAGCTCATCATTATGTGTACAGACCATATCGACGACGATGGACAATGGGGGTGGTGGATCCAATCGTCGACGGGGAGGGAGAGAGTGTGTGTATGTCTGTGTGTGTGTGTGTGTATGTGTACAAAAACAAAACCAAGTCGAGTGAATGGCGCGGATGGCGGAGCATCTCATCTCTCAACAAACAGAAACTCCTCATCCTTCATCTCTTGCCCGATCTCTCTTTTGCAGATCCTCAAAAACTCCCAATGCGCCTCCAAGTTGAAACTCGCTTTGTTTCAGATCGCTCGAGCATTATCGATCAAGTAGACAAAAAAAGGGACAGTGTGCCTCGCGTATCGCATCAAACTTTCCTCCAGTAGGCTTCGTTGAGCCCAATTTCGCCAAAATCAAATTCCTCCACGTGTATGATGTCCCCATCTAACGCTCGCGCCCTGGCTCAGAAACAATTCAGCGAAGCTCCTCCTTTTCGTTTCTTCGTCTTTCCGTCCTTGCCCACAGTCAACAGCCTCATTCTCTCCTCGAGCTGCGCCCTCGCCGCCTCGGCCTCTCTCCTCTTCTTGACCTCTTCCTCCACCGCCTGCACACTGAGTCTCTCAGATTTTCTTTCCTTCTTGAGGCCCACAAGTTCTTCTTCCATCGCCCACGCCTTCTTCTTCCAGGACTCCGCATCAACCCTTAATTTGTTGGATTGCGTTTCAAGGTCCACCAGCGCTTCTTCCAATGTTGCCGTGAGTTGTTTCTCGGCGTGGAGATGCTTCTCAATGGTGCGCAACCGGTTCTCTTGTTCCTCAATCAACGCAGACTGGCGTCGGTCCCGGGAATTTGTGGAGACCACAGTGCCGGACACGGGTGTCACAGGAAGCGCGACTTCCTTGGAAGCATGGCGGGATTGAGGCGGTGAAGGATTGCTGGAAGCTGGCGTAGGTGATGTGACTTGAAGACCCCCAGGGATGGCAGGCAGAGGAGGGAGTGGGATGGCAGGAGGAGGTGAAGGCAAGGATGCAATTGATGCAGATTTCCTCAGATTCGAAGTCATTGAGTTGGACCGCGGGACTCCATCACCTTGCGGCGACTGAGGACGATGTTGTGACTTCATCGTGTTGGTGCGAGAACCGCTGTCGGATCCTGCTTCATTGATTGATGTACGTTGATTCAGATCCTTCTCCAAACTAGCAATGCGTTGCTGAGCTTCAATCAAAGCCTGATTACCTTGGGCTTGGATGACGGAGAGTCGGTTGTGGTGTTGGTCAAAGCTATTCTGCAACTGCTGTTCAAGTTCTTCGATAATCACCAACTTCTTCGCCTTTTCTGACTCGACTGCTTGGAGATTTGCTTCTGCCTTTTTGAGCAGTTTATCCTTTTCGCGGATCGTTTCTTCGTGATTGCCGACCTCGTTCGCAAGGCTCCGGATGGTATCCTGGTAATTACCGATCTTGAGATTGGCGTTGGCGAGCTCTTCTTCCAATTCAAGCAGGCTCTGTCTGCCGTCGAGCTGCCGCTCAAGTTCGGCGTTGGTACTATTCAATCGGACGTTGGCCTCCGCAACATGGCGTTTCTCCTCCACGAGATCTTGGATATGACTCGCGAGCATATCTGCGGTGGTTGGGTGGCCAAGTGCTGTTTGAGCATTAGAGACGATTTTCTGCACAGTTGATAAGGCATGCTCAAGATCTGCCTTGTAGGTCGCCTCGAGCTTCGCGTGCTTTGTCGTTACTTCAGACATTTGATCATCGTATCCGGCCAGCGCACCAGCATGAGCCAGCTTCATCTCTTCCACCTCATTACTATGAGCTTCGCGAAGGCTCTTCAGATTCTGCTTGGTCATTTCAACTTGCGCCTCTGCCAGCTTGACCTTTTGTTCGAGCTGCTCAATCTCCGCCTTCAACGTAGCTATTTCTTGCTGTTGAGACTTCACCATCTCAGCATGGGAGTCGTAATCCTTGCTGAGAGCGGCATGGAGCTGACGAAGTTCCGCATTCTTCGATGAGAAGTCAGCGTTGAGTATGTGTTGTTCTTCCAGCTGCTGTTTCAGGCTGCTGATAAGCTCTTCGTAATTGTCACGCTCAGTCTGCATTGCGTTGGCGGCAGCAGCTCGGGTAGACCCATCGTCCCCATCTCCAGCGGCTTGCTGAGCTTTCAAAGTGGCGATGCTTGCCAAAGCCACCTCAAGTTCAGATTTCGTACGAATATAGTTCTTTTCGGACTCCTCGACCGCTTGTTGCGCCGCCTCGAGCTTCGACGTCAATTCCTCTATTTGCTGATTCAAAGCATTGATCTTCTCCTCGTTTCCGGTCGTCGATGGGGCTGACTGCAGGCTGGCCTTTTCATCGTGCAATCTCTGTATCTCTTCTTGCAGATCTTGTTCACGGCGAGCATACCCTTCGTGCAGGGATTTCAGCTCAGTCTCTTTTTGAATGATCTGGTCTCTTAACTGAGATACCATGTTGAGGTCGACAGGAGATCCCGCCTTGATGCTGGTCCTCTCCCTTGTCAGGCCAGAAATTATCGTCGACTTTATCTCCATTTCTTTCTTTGCAGTTTTGACCTCCGCTTCTAGAGCTTGGATCCGTTCCAAGCGCGTTTGGAGTTCGGTGTTTGCAGCTGAGAGATGCACCTCCGCGGTTTCCATTCGATCAGGTTTCGACTCGAATTCTTCGGCTAGGAGCGTCCGCAGAGAGGTGACAGATCGCTGACCTCGATCAACCCCGTTGCCGGTTTGTGAGGTCATACGTCTCAGCATACCCGGAGTACCAGGAGATGCAGGCCTGGTCTGCTTGATCTGCGATTTCAGCCGTTCTACAGTGGTCAAAGCTTCCTTGTGATCAGTCTGGAGCTGGGTATATTGCTCAGTAACATCTTTCATGCTCCGTTCGTGTTGCGCGAGGAGATTTTGCAATCTTTCAATCTCTTGCGATTGGACCTCGACGGACTGGGTGGTCTTGGAGACCGGCGTGATGTCGGTATCTGTTGAAGTCGATGATTCCCCAGCCATGGACAATTCCGAGGAGAGCGATCGCGAGGATGGCAGATGTTGGCCATCCTCGTCTTCTTGTGGCTCGTCCGCCTCCTCGTCCACCTCCAAACAAGACTGATCTTGAGTACTTTCATTGGCACCATCTTCCTGCGGAGATATCGTACTTTGGCGTTCCTGCTCAATTGACTCATGCATCTCCGCCAGAGTTCGAAGTGCTTCTTGGTATTTGGCCGAAAGTAAATCCAACTCATTGACGGTTGATTCGTGCTCCAGTCGGAGGTCGAACAATTCTTGACTGACTGCCTCAAACTTCTCGGTAATGAACTTCGACTGCGCGGGACTTGGAAGAGGTTCCTTGTCATGCTCAGCTTTGAGACCTTCCTGTTGAGCTACGGCGGTCTCGAGTTTCTCAAGGCCAGCTTGGTCACTTTCCGCAGACGTTTCTTCCGGCAGATCCTCGACCTGCTCATCAAGTTCCCCGTCCTCCTGTGCTGGTAACTCGGTCGCCTCAGCCGTCTGGAGATCCTTCTCATGCGCCTCGATGACTCCATTTGTATTAGGTGGATTTACAGCATTGGCCTTGCCGTCTTTGTCTTGAATGTGATCGAGCTCATAGAGCAGATTGTCCAATTTGCCGAGACTGCGTTGGCGCTCAACAAGATGTTGGAGTCTCTCGATCTCGCGTTGCATAATCTCCATGTCTTGATCCGCCTCGGCAAGGCGCTCTTCCAAAGTGCAGATATAGTCTTCAGCATTTGTTTCACTTTCTCTTATCCGCGAAATCTCCTTGCGCAGATCGGTGATGATGGCATCGTTCTTTTCCCCGCCAGAACTTTGGTCATCGAGCCTCGCCTCAAGGTCATGGAGATATTGTTCGGTATTCGACTCTCGGTCCATCAGTTTCTGGACTCTTGCATTTAATTGCTGGTTGACTGTCTCAACAAAAGCACATTTGGTCTCTTTCTCGAGGAGATTGCTTTCGGTGGTGGCGAGGGACGACCGCGTGTTTGAAAGATTGTTTTCGAGGAGCTGGATTGTCTTTTCGTATTCCATGACCACCTGTTCAATCATTGCTTGATTCGCCTGCGAACGTTTCAGGCGATCCACCGCACTTTCTCCGACGATGTTGACTTGGTCAATAGGCTCGGTGCCTTTGGTCAGCTCCGAGACCAATTTGGCGTGCCTCTGACTGAGTGCATTGTAGCTCTCCTGAACATCCAACAGCTGATTCTGTAGTTCATTTTCCCGATCGCTGGGACGATCTCCTCGCTCAGACATCATACCCGGTCGGCGGTCGTTGGATTCAGCGCTGCGGATCTGCTGCCTTAGAAAGGCAATTTCGGTGCGCAATCGTTCAATTACGGCTTGCTTGTCGGCTCCATCATCAACTTGCTGGATCTTTGGTTTGCTTTGGATGTTTCGAGCCCGCTGTGCATACTGCACTGTGTTGAGTGTTTCACTGAGGTGAAATTCCGCGGGCGTAACGCAAGCAATCATATATGTAATTGCATTTCCGCCTAGCGAGTCTTGAAGCATCCGTGTTAATTTGGAATCTCTGTACGACACGTACGTCCCTGGTGTTCTCGATGACAGCTGAGAGATCACTTTGCCTAGACTTGCCAGTCCGGCATTGATCGAAATCCCTTCCCTCGCACGGTCGCCGGTAGCGCCAGTGTTCTTAAGCCGCTCACTACCTGCCAAATCCACAAAATGGAGCTTGCTCTCAACTGTCATAGGAGCATCGCCTCCAGACAATTGCTCAACTGGCACTGATATTCGTTTGTCTTTTGCTGAAGGGAAACCTTGTGCTTTTGTTTGTCGCAGATTGATCGTGAAGACAGCGTGAGAACGAGACGATCGTGCGTTGATGGCCGTTGCATCGGTCTGTCGAATAGCGGACCCATGATTCAAAACCCGCATGAGTTCCTCGATAGAGGACACGCGTACTGAGTTGAGGCCTTCTACAAATATCCGACCTCGAGGATCTTCACGAATCTGGACGTTGGCTCTCTCGGTGAATGGCGCGTCTTCTGGGAGTAGCAAATCTCTTGGCTGTTCGTTGTAAATCTCAACGTACGTCACCGACATGTCCCATCCCCTGTCAATGAATGCTTTGGATGTTTGCATAACCTGATTTAAGCTTGTGACTGAATATCTGGTTGGAGTTTTGAGGCCGGAGTTGTGTCTACTGTGGGCAGGACCGCCGTTAAGGCTTTCGAACAAGTGTTGCGCCGCTCGGGGAATAACACCTATCACGACAGGTTAAATGAGTTTGATGATAGCTAGAAAATCCTCACCTTTCAAAGAGTTATCAAATTGTTCTGCGGGACCTGATGTGCCCATGGTATAACTTTTGCCGGCACCCGACTGGCCGTAGGCGAGTAAAGACACGTTATAGCCTTGCAAGAACGAATCAACGCTGTCTTGCAAGTATTCCCACACGGCATTCTGAGTGGTATCTTCACCAAAGACACGGTCGAAAATGAAAATTTTCCGTCCTTGGGGTGACTCAACGGCAAGGCTGGTATTTGTATTTACTTGGACCATCGACCGCTGGAACCTTTGTGGAATAAGATCGAAACCGGGATCTGAGGGACCCAGAGGAGGGCGAACACGGACCACTTCGCAACAATCATTAGCCTTCTTCTCTCCCCTCAATTGATGTCTGCGGTCGTGGACTTACCAACTTTGACCGAAGTTTTGGCGTCTTCATCCGAGGCTCTGCTTCCAATGTGATTGCTGCTCTGGCTCATACGGCTGTTGCTTCTGGGAGGGCGGCCGGCCATGCTTTGCGGTCGATTTTTCTGGAGAGGATCCGGCGACGACGCTGAGTACATGCTTTGAGGTCGCATCTGGCGCGCGCCATCAGGGGAGGCCGGAGGAGAGGAGACCATTTTGGTATGCGCTTCTTGCGATGTTGTGCAGACGGCGCGATCACTCCGATCCCGTTGACGGGTGCGACCAACGTGTGTCAAAGAACCCAACACCTCGAGATCTCTGGCCGACGGGGACGCGTTGTTGTCACCATTAAGCTCCGATTTTCAGGGCTTCGGAAAAAAACATTCGACAAGAAGGGTGTTGGTGAAAGCTTAACAACCTTTCAACTCCGGACTCGACAGGCCGTGGACTCGTGGCAGGTAAGGGTGGGCTCAAGGGTGGGCGGGTCAACGGTCTCGTTTTGGACGGTAGAAGGTGATCAGGAGTGACAGTCGGAGGGGACCGGGCGGATAGGTTCTGATGGCAACGATTTTCCTGTTGTTGATTTTGTTCGTCAAAGACGTTTAACGAGGTCGCCCGGGGAGTGTCAAGAGTGACCGCAGATGCGATACAGCAGCTGGGAAGAGTGAACCATTCGAGTAGTAAACACAGAGGGGAAAAGGTCACACTCGCGCGTGAAAAGAGCAGTCAGGAGTTGTCAAAAAAGTCGAGGCGAGGAGGGTTCGTGCGCGGCCATCTCGCGTTGTGGGATCCCCTAATCAGTTAGTCCTGCTCCTGCCCAAGCAAGGCTTCAGGTACCTGGTTTACCCAAAAAGTGGCAGTAATTGGCAGAATTAATCTCCGGCGGACGCGGAAGCCAGCTAGAGGATGAAGCTAGAATGGACGCGGTTTATTTAGCAACGGCCTTGGGCGGGTGTGGAGGGTCTATCTATGCCTATTGGGCAGGTGGCTGGTGGGAGACCACCTCAGCTGGTTACTGGCTGTCTTGACTCTTGAGTCCTGCCCATGGAGCAGTGCCTGGGGCCATGCCTCCTTGTGCCTAGGTAAGGCAAAAGGACGTTGTGCTTGGGAGCTTATTCGCCGGTTGGTGGATTGGGTACGGCTTGTTCATGCTGCAGTGGGTGGCAGTGGTGGTGGCTTCAACGCCCCGACTGGGGCTAACAGGTGGTTCTATACCGTTCACGGCGAGAGGCACATTGGCCGTCTTCCCGAGCCAGCCATGGGACCAGGATCTGGGGTTTCAGGAATACCCTCTCCTATTCTAACTCAGGGGGAATTCAAGACGGTGCAGTCACTACTGCAGGGGACCTCTTGTCACTCAAGCTCGCTTAAAGCACATCTCTCGCCCTCTTTCCACAAACCTTTGTGTCTGTAACTTTGATCTTTGAGTTCTAGAAAGAACAACCTTTATGAAGCCACGATTCGTTCGGACCAATCCGCTTCTCAAAATGTCCTGCACTCCCCTTTTCATGGTTTCATCGCAGATAGTGCAACAGGGCAGATCTTTGAGGATCGGGATAAAGCTTCCATGTGGGCGCAGCTGGTGCTTCCAACAGTCCTGCTGCCAAACATCAAGGTCCACACAAATCTGACGCAAGCAAATCTTTGCTTTGTAGAATTCGTCGAGCCAAGATGCGTCAGTAGACTGACCATTTTGCACAGCTAGTAATCATAATTAGCTGACACTTATATTCACCAACCCGTTTCTCGCAGTATTTCGAACATAGTGTTCAAATCAATCATGGCTCCATGCACTTGCCCATGGGCCATGGCTAGCAACAACGGCCACGATAACACTGACACCGTCATAGCTGACTTTTGGCTCCGTCAAAGTTTACTGGCCCTCCAACACTACTAGCAGACGTCAACTCCCTGCGCTGTAAATTCAAGTGAGACAAGCGGCCTCACACGTGGAGACGTCCGCCTTCAAGGACTTGGAGTTGAGGCAGGACAGGGTTTCGAGGCTTGAGTAGCACGCTCCGGCAGTCTCTGAGTGCACCAGGGGATCGTGACGCTGCTCAAAAGAGACTGGCTTAGCGGGACGGGACGGGGGTGGCATGTACGCCCAGCAGATCATTCCGTCGTCCTGGCCTTTGACCCTGGCTCGTGCTTTGTCTCAAACTCGTAGTAGTTGGACTTGTGCTGAAGATCAACGCGGGGCATCCTGTATCATCGAGTGCATGATGTTCGATAATGTGACTTCGTTCGAGTTCAACCTGTGTCGGAGACTTGGTTGCCTGCAGGATCTTCGCTATCGGCATCTTCATTGTTATCGTGCTCTTCATCCTCGGAGCCGCTTGAGTCAACATCCTTTGTCTCATCCCCTTTTGCATCGCCGTCCACGCCGTGTTCTTTCATGTAGGCCTCGAGTTCTTTGGCCATCTTCCGGGAGAACCCGGAGGCTTCGACCTCGATATCAAGGCGTCTGTTACCATCCTTGCCAACCAAGCGTCTGGCATCCTTGAAGAGAGGGCCACTATCCGTGCTGATAAATCCAAACCGCCTTGCAAAGAACCGTTTCACGCATTCCACATCCCTGTCGAAATAGAACTCCGCGTTTGGGTGATCCACGCTGACCATCTGAGGAAAGTCTATCAAGACCGGCACCAGCTTGATGTCTTCGCCTTGCTCTTCTTCCTTGATGAGGATGTTGAACTCATTGAAATCGCCGTGTATCAGCCCCAGAGAGCATAAGCGCACCACCATCTCGATCAGCTCCGCATACAGTCCTGCTGGGTCTGGAACCTTTTCAATCTGTCGCAGTGGAAACCCATCAATCAATGACATGACCAGCTGGTGTCGATTCTGGCCTAGTGGGGTTGGGACGCTCAGGCCCGCATCGTGCAGGGCTTGCAGAAAGGCAAACTCTTTGACAGCAGCCAGCCGTGACATGTACATCCAACTGCCAGCACCTCTCTCTTTCTGAGCCTTCGTTTTGGCGTAGTCCCGTTTATTCCGCACGCCTTTTTTGAAGCTCACTCTACCCAGACGATGAATTTTCAGCACCCGTTGTTCGCCCTTCTCATCGCTGACAACGAATATGTCACTCTCTTTGCCGACCCCAATCTGATTGCCCACGCCATAGACTGTGTTATTCTTTTGCAAGGAGTGAAGCGCAAGATAGTCGAGCCCACCGTAGGTCAGTCTATAGCCATCGTATTTCGCATTCTTGACCTTTGCAATAAGATTCGCTTTGGCGAGCAAGGAGATGCTCCGTTGCACATCGCCCAGACTGGATTTAGAGAGGTTGGCGATAAGTGGGGTTGGGACGACTTCATGATTCCGGCTTCCCGTCTCCACGGCCGTCAGGGTGCGCCAGTCGGTAGGGTTGAGGTATCGGAGGGACTTGGTGTCTAGCTTCATGTTTTCTTGAGAAGAGAGTAGTAGCTAATCGCCATTATTGGAATGGTGGAGGAGGACTGCTCCTGGTCGACGGTACGTAGCATGTCACGGGCAAAAATTTTTGTGAAAGGTGAATTGCTGCATCTAATCTAATCTAGAATGGGGGGCGCTGGACCCCACGTATACTCCTCGCAGGAGTCGGTATACACGACGACCCCCACGCTTGAAGTGTCCCATTTTCTTCAAGCAGACTGTTGTGTAAAGACCGCATTCTGATTGACCTTACTCTCTACCGGTGTTACTTTGAATCAATGGGGGCGGTGGTGTGTGTGACTTCGGCAGGACTCCGCCTTCCAGCAGAAACGGGCGCATCGGCATGTCACCGGGTGATGGGCCCCCTCCTAGCATTCGGCATCACCGGTTGATCCGACCGACGCTGGCCCTGAGGACGTGCTACTACAGCTACTTGGTACACAGTCTTTGATGACTGGATACAGCTCGGGTTGTTGAAGGGGCGCACCGTCGAGGCCAAACGAAACAAAACCGAAAACTGGGACGAACAATCCACAAGCATCCCGAACGCTTTCACGGGATGCCCAAAAGAAGAAACCCGAAGGTCGGGACGCGAGCATAGCTCAGAGTCCAGGCTGGCCACGACGAGAAGTCCAGCAACATCGTTCCTGGGAATCCTGTGCGGTGTAGGGCACTCAGAGGAGTGACTCTCAGGCTATTCTAGGTCTTCTGCTCTCCCTTCGGGCCTACTTGCACCGAAGTGCATGTGTGGGAGGGTGTGCGTCTCACCTCACGAGTCACGATGGCCCCTCGAGCACAAGCGGCAAATGGCTGAAGGGAAAACCCAGTCTCTCCACGAGTTCGCAAGCTAAGCCCCACCTAAACAAACCCTCGAGAACGGTCATTTCCCCGCATTGATTCTTGATGAAGCGAGGAGAGGCCGACGGGAGACACAAGGACTCCCCCAGGTCTTATATATCCCACTTCTCCCCTACCACGCTGCTTTCTGTCCGTCTGAGATCTCGTATACCTGTATAGACACTATCAAGACGCCACCCAACATGTCTGCAAAGCACTTCATTGACGACCCGACCCACCTCGTCCAGACTTCTCTCCACAGTTTAACCCTCACAAACCCTTCTGTCGCCTTCGATGCGCAGAACCGAATTGTATACCGGCGACCGACGAAGGAGTTGACAGACAATCCAAAGGTCTCCATTATCACTGGTGGAGGCTCTGGCCACGAACCGGTAAGTCTAGGGCAAGGGTTGTAGTGCAATCCTGGGCCTTCGGGCGCCTGCATCCCCCATCTCCTGAGGACCTTCTTCGCGTGAGGCCTGAGTTCTTAGGATGATGATACTAATCAGATGATTTTGCTTTCCCATAGGCATTTGCAGGCTTTGTAGGAAAGGGTTTCGTCACAGCCGCTGTTGCAGGCACCATTTTCGCGAGTCCTTCCGCCGAGCAAGTTCGCCGTGCCGCTCTTACGAGAGTACCTACAGAGAAGGGCGTTGCTATAGTCACTTTCAACTACACCGGAGATGTCTTGAACTTTGGCATGGCTGCCGAGAAGGCAAAAGCCGCCGGAGTTGACACCGAGTTCTACGCAATCGGCGACGATGTGGGCGTTGGCCGGGCAAAAGGAGGCAAGGTCGGCAGACGAGGCATTGGTGGCTCTATCTTGGTACTCAAGATAATAGGAGCACTGGCTGAAGCTGGTGGAAGTTTGAAAGAAGTTTACAAGCTTACGCAGCAAGTTGCCGGAAACCTTGTGTCTGTCGGCGCGTCGATGGAACACGTCCACGTTCCAGGACGAGAGAAACCTGACCCAAACTCCGACGAGATCATACCAACGGAGGAAATCGAAATCGGCATGGGTATTCACAACGAACCGGGCAGTCATCGCGTCTCCGCAACCTTACCTGAACTCATCAAGACTATGCTGGCGCAGATGCTAGATCCCAACGACAAGGACAGGCACTACGTTGACATTAAGAAGGGCGACAAGACCGTCCTGCTAATAAATAACCTAGGAGGTGTGAGCAATTTGGAAATCGGCGGTATCTTAGCTGAGGTGCACAAACAACTCAAAGAAGACTGGGGCATTGTTCCTGTCAGAGTTATCGCTGGTACTTTCATCACCTCGCTTAACGGCTTGGGATTCTCGGCATCTATTCTGAAGCTGGAGGACACCGGCCTTGGACCAGGCAAGTCGATGCTCGAACTTCTCGATGCCCCGGCTGAGGCCTTCGGTTGGGCTGCCGCCACTCGGACGTCGACCTGGGAAGCTGATAACACCGCCACCATGGAGGGCCACGCAGCGGTGACAGCAGAAGGGAAATCTTCTAATCTGAAACTCGACCCCAAAAAGGCACACGCAACCCTCAAAGCCGGTCTGGACAAGATGATCGCGGCAGAAGCTGAAGTGACCAAATACGACACGATCATTGGAGACGGCGACTGCGGGATCGGTCTGAAGCGAGGAGCTGAAGCTGTTCTCAAGGAGCTCTCTTCCGGCGATCTGCCTGCCGACGCTGTTGCCTTTGTCAATAAAATTACTCCTGTGGTTGAAAACACCATGGACGGCACGTCGGGTGCCATCTACGCCATCTTCCTTAATGCGTTGTCCCATGGGCTTCGAGAACAAGATACTGCATCTTCGACGACCGTGGACGCAAAAATCTGGGCCGCCGCCCTCAAGTCCAGCCTTCAAGCGCTGGGTAAATATACGCCAGCAGTGCCTGGCGACAGGACGCTGATGGACGCGCTCGTGCCGTTTGTTGACACGCTGAGCAGCACAGGGGATGTGAACAAGGCGGCTGAAGCGGCCAAAGAAGGCGCGGAGAAGACTAAAAGCATGAAGGCCAGCTTAGGAAGAGCCGTGTACGTTGGCGCAGAGGATGAGTGGATGGGCAAGATCCCAGATCCAGGGGCTTGGGGTCTGCAAGAGTTTTTGATCGGGCTGGCTGGTGCCTGTTAGGCATTGTATTGCACAGACACAGTCCTTGTCGTCCGCATATTATTGGAGCGTCGACGTTCTTCCTATATCAAAAATCAAAAAATGCAACTTCCATCTAGGCAGCCATTTGGTGCCAAGTGGCGTGAAGAAAATTTGAACATTTTCTTGCTCGTCCGATGCTGGGTTATCGACCATTTGCCACTCGCTCTTTTGTTGCTCCGTCAGGTGCCTGCGCCAAACATCGCATTCCTCCCAGGGCGGTACCAGTATCGGGTTTTGATTGAGGTTCATTGCATACCTTCATTCCCTGCCTTAACCCAGAAATTGTGGATTTATCGGGCGACTGTCGTCCCAGCAAAACTTTCCCGTGACCGTGAATGCGTAGGAACCATAACCGCCATTTTCATGCGCCCCCTCCGGCCAAAGCAGATTCAACTCAACAAGACCAGAATGACGCTATCACCCCTCAGAAACATCTTGCTGATGAATCGGTCCTTGTTAACACCTTTGGCGCCTCCTTTACCCTTCTCCGTCCACATTTCCTTGACGTTCTCTAGTACCATGTTGCAGTGGCGGTCAAAGGCTTTGACTCGCGCGAGCAGCTTTCGGTTGTTCCGACACGAGATTAAAACTTGAGTGTGTGTGCGGGTGGCGGTCATGAGGATGGAGAGGGGGCCTGTTGAGAGTTCGTGCGCCTCGACGAGGGAGACTTCATATTCTCTAGAGATGGGGTGTTAGCATTGTTCAATGAGGATGGCGTTGTCCCATTATGCGCGTTGGCGCGTGGCAAGGAGGTGTGAAATTAGTGAGGATAGAATTCATGAACGCGTGCATCAAATTGATGATGCATGCAAGGGGTAATTGTAGATGGCGGCACAGTGGCCGATGACCAGTGATGAAAGTGGAAACTGTGAGCGGAGCGGAATCCACCTCGAGGGGGGGTGGGCGGAGGAATTGGGGGCGCTGGGAGAGATGAAACATGGGTAAACAGGCAGAAAGGGGGTTAGCGGGAGATTCCACGTACGTCAATTCATTCCTCGGCTTGTTCAGCAGATCCCTAATGCGAAAGAACACCAAAAGGTCAGTAGATTTTCCTCGAGCCTCTAGAACGAAGCCGCCAGCAGATCGCTGCGGAGATAAGCTTGGACCAGGGACAGGGGTATGAGTCAGAAGGGACATACTGGATCTTGGAGGCGTCGGCCATGGTCGCGATGCAGAATGTACTTAAAGAGTCCCGGTTTCCCGTGCCATGTAGAGCGAGGAAATTTCTTTACATCCTTTCTCTGGCAGAGGAATTATGCTCGGCTGAGTTGCCTTTTCTGTGGGCTGCTTCTGGAAGTGCAGTGGTCGAAAGAGGCATAGTCTGGGTGGCCTAATTATCTTGGGCAAGCTTGGGCTCCTTGGGCTCTTTGGGCTAGCTCCCAATTGACATCATCCTTGATCAGCCTGGATCATCCTCCGTCTGCATTGTTCCGAGCCCCGAAAGGCCAATGCAGGTCGCGCCCTCAGAAGCTAAAAAGCCACCCGCAAACACGCGACCAAATCGCGCTCCAGCGACTCTCGAGGCTCGATAGTCGACGCTTCACCCATACCTACCTGTTACACCTCCTCGTCAAGCTCTCAACTGAGCCTCTCTTTCTTTTGTTTCTTTATTGTAGCGTTCCACATGAATGACGCTTCTGTTTGTTCTAAAGCCTGGAACCATTGCCTCGGAGTCTGATCCATTATCTCATCACCATACTCATCTTCTGCTTCTACCAGTCCTAGCACCTTGTCGACCTAAATATCTCAGGACCACTTGAGATTCCTTCTCCGAAGACACCCTCCACGCGTTCCGATCCTCTGCTTCACAGCTTCGCCGCACGTGTCGACAGCTCCTCAAAGCCTGGATAGGTGTTCCCTCCTTCGCGGTCTCCGCCGCCATGGCCACGTCTCCCGCAGATGGCGTCTCCATACGGACGGTCAGACTCAAAGTCCTCTACACGTTTGATGCCGAGCAAAAAGACAACCACCTTGCACGGTGGCCTCAATCTTTAGAAGTGCAGACTGCCTTTATCGACGACATAAACCAGATCGGCGTGATCGATCTGCGAACCTGTTTGGAAGCTGTCATGACCGCCAGTCCCGAACTCGCCACTCTCGTCGATAACGACTACACTATTTACGCATATGATTACTCAGAACCTGATACACCATTAGTTGGACAAGGAATGTTGTCAAAAGCACTGGCTGGCCAAGCTCAAAACACCAGCAGTGATGGCGAGGCCATGGTCACGGGCAAGATCTCCAAGAATATTATGGGCTTGTTCTCCAAAAACGCTCAAGAGACGCTGGAAGTGAAACTTCGATTCACACCTGTGAACACGTTCGCACAGGTCAGATATCGCTCAGGCAGTGTCAGCTCACAAGATGGGATGCGACCTCAGTGGAACAATGGGCCTTCGCTACAGTCATTGCAGCGATCAGCTTCACCGATTGACACTTCGGGCCTAGAGACAATGCAGCGGATGCTGAGTGGCGAGACCCTGCATGGATCAGGATCAGGATCAGGATCAGGATCAGGATCAGGATCAGGCAGCAGACCTGGAACGCCAATAACAACACAGCACCTCAGTCACCCCGTGCGGCAGCCTGGCCATCCCTCCCGGCCAAATTCACGAACGGGAATGCGTCAGTCCGTCGAAGGAAGGCGCGAATCGTTTCAGTCAGGATATTATAGTGGTGACGAGATCGGAGAAGATGGTCCGGCAAGAAAGAGAGCGAAGACGACCAAAGTCGATTTACCCACAAAATCCAACTTCAATATTGAACGACAACCTGAGTCGCTAAGAGTCGTTGCAAGTACTGCATCAAGCCTCCGACTTCATCGCCCTATCGCGGTAAACCCTGCAGCAGCTGTTCAGGCAAACTCTCAAAACGAAGAAGCGGCACGACCACCCACTCCGATTCCTGCCTCGAAAACAGCCAAACCACGAGGAAAACCAGGACGACCACGAAAGAACCCGACTAGCAGCTTGGCCCAAGGATCTCAAGTTAGGGAATCATCACCAGCAGCAGACGTGGGCCCGCAGCCTGAGCTCCTTGCTGTGCCTATTGCTTCGCCTGAGGACACTCGAGGTCAAAGCGTCGGCAGTACACCTGCTAATATCCCATCATCACCACCCGTCATGCCGGAATTTCGACAGCCAGCGATTACTAGTCCTGTACTTCCACCCGTCATCGGTTCCTCCGGACATGACTCAGGGTTTATGAGTGGCAACCTTGAAGATCTTTTTGGAGATGATCACTTGTTGCAATTTGATGACTTTATTGTGGACAAACCAGACGATCAGGACGTGGATGAGCTGTTTCAAGAAAAGCAACGTCCGACTGATCAATATCCCCCCGTCTTTGAAGAAGGCAACGATGTGGAAGAGGCACAATCCACGCAGCGGGGGTACAATGTCATGCCTCCACCCCTTTCTGTCGCACCAAAGCCGCTGGCTAGAGCACAATCGTACACTCCAATGCCCACACCACGAATCAGCATGTCATCACCGCGACTGGCGCCTGCCCCTATTCCGAGAGCTCGGCAGATCATGGAAGAGCAACGTGAGCAACAGCGGAAAATAGCTCCAGCACCCCTTATACCGAAGAGTGATCCCCCACCTAGAGCACTACATCGAGCGCAAACATGGGCACCTGATAGCGATGTACCAATGTCTGATGCTCCTGGAGGCGAGGAGGCCAAAGCAAAGGCAGCGTCCAAGAAGAAGGTCGGCAAAGAGCAGACCAAGGCCAGGTTAGAGAATGCTATCGCAAATGGAGTCATGCCGCCTTTCTGTGACAACTGCGGCGCAATAGAGACTCCTGCGTGGAGAAGAGCCTATGTCAGAGTCTTCGATTGCGCTTGGGATGATGTTGAGACGTCTCTGAACCATGGTGAATGCTGCTTCAAGGAGCCCATTGACCACAACCCCGACGGGACTGTGAAAACTTTCCGGGCCTACAAAGTGGACAAGCGACAAGGTGACGACGATTGGGACGCGATCACGTTGTGCAATCGTAAGTAAGACGGGACTTTATGTGAACACAATGCTAACATTCTTCAGCGTGCGGCTTATGGTTTCACAAGCAGAAATGCCCTCGTCCTGCGTCAAAATGGCAAAAGAAAGATCCCAAGGAGAAGGGCAAGCGCAAACGGAATCCACCAAAAGCCTTTGGAAAGACGAACGGAAGTTCCGGCCTCAGGAGTGATGCACAGAGTCCTGGTAGCGATGACTCTTCTCCAGGTGACTCGGCGACGGATGCGCCTGATGCGGAAGAAAACGACGCTGAAGTATCTCAAAACGACAATGCCGCAGCTGACGATGGTGAACCACAATTGCCGCCGATCCCGCGCTCCCTGCGGGCAAACAGCGCAGGTCCGGGAACTCGAGGTCTACAGGCAAGAACCCGGCACCAGACTGGTGGCAGACAGGTGCAATCAAGTCCTACACGTGCTCATGGATCAGAAGATATTCCTATCGAGATTGATCTAACACCGAAGCCTGTGCGGAGGCAGCTGTTCCCTTCGCCGGACAAAACGCAGATACGCTCGGATTCTGGGGCGGCTAATACAACTACTCATGGCTCTTTGCCAGCGTTTGTGAGACGAAGCCCCAGACTGAATAAAACCAGGGATGCCTTTGCCGTACCAGCAGCGGCAGTCGAATTGGGGGTCGACGGAAAGGAAAATGTTGCGCCTGCCCCAGCAGTGGCAGATGATGGCCTGGCCGAGTTATTCGAGGAGACCCCAGCCAATATTCAGCTACCGCCCATGACTCCCACCCCCAAGAGACGATCTGAGCGAATCCTACTCAAGACACCATCGAAGACGCCTCAACGTCAATTCGGTGCCCAATTGTCTCCCAATGCCGAGCCAATTCCCCAGTTCCGGACCCCAAAGGCCAGGCAAGAACCCCATCCTGCTCTTACTGCGTTGCTTGGCACTGTGCAGAAAGACCTATTGCAGATGACACCTTTCACACGCTCGATTCATGAGGCCATTACAAGTGATCGACCGCTGGATTTGGATCTGACGGAGGAAGATAAAGCTCTCTTGCGAGGCAATGGGAAAAAGGCGACACCTCAGAAAGCCATATCATTTGACTTTCCTGATTTGCCGTCTCTCAAAAATTCGTCCCCAATATCGGGTGACCAGCTCATGAACTTCGACTTCTCAGAAATGACGACCGATCAACTGACTAGTGATCTGATTGATCCTTTCACCAACACTGCGATGACCAGTTCTCCCCCCACGGGATTCTTCGGGTATCTTGATACCACGGATATGGAGAGCGGAGTCAACTCGATGTGGGAGAGTCTGGTCAATGTGAATGCGGTGTATCATTCCGGGCAATCTGCATATCCTGACCCTGAAGCATTGACTGTTCCGGGAGCTGCGGTTCAAGGGGTACGCAGAAGCCCAAGAAAACAGAACGCGAAATGAGATGCCAGCACTACTTGATTTCTGTGGTGGCGACAGGAAAGGTAGTGTTTGTGAAACAGTGGCTACGATCACTCTGCATTTTCCCGATCTGCCCAGATTGGCTACTGTACAGCAGGTGCTTATGACATGTATGATAGTCAGGCAGAGTTTCCTTGAAAATATCGTCGTCGTTGTCGTTGTGCATCTCTTCAGCATACAGAGTCGAAGGTCGGAATCGACTGACTCATATCTTTAGCAAAGCACAATCCAGTGTTTTGGGGCATGCCCTGCTTAGATAGACTTGTCATCCCAAACCTCCATTCACCGTTTTCCACGGCCTCGCGCATTGCTGTGTGCGATCCCAGCCGCTCTAAACACCGTAGGCGCTTAACACCATCATGACCTGTGCTCCTGTCGTGGAAATTCACCCATACGGCCACCCGAAATGACTCTTTTATACTAATGCCCTCCTCTCGTTATCGTCTCAATATCCGCCGTCCATGCCGGCCTCGGGATCACCATAGAAAATATTTTTGTAACGATGGGTCACATCGACCACTGCTTCAAATAACTTCAAGTCTGGAAGTTGGCCATTCTCATTTCGGGGCCATTCCGTGCTGCTGAGAACTCGTAGACCCAAGCCGTGCCCGCCGTCCGTATTGGTAACTTTGCCCACGATTTCATACATGGAGCCAACCGAGAGGTGGGAATCTCTGCATAGAACTTGGTCAGCTTCCAGGTAACTCGTTGATTGAGACATTCGTTCTCCGAGCGCGCAGTCCATACCTCGCCAGCAGAATTGTTACCGAATCCGAGCCACAAGTCAATGTTGCTTGATCGCCGTTGACGTGGCTTATGATTCCCAGCATGCGGACTGTGTTGTGAGAGGTGGCATTCGGGGCAAATGCATGGAGGTGAGCGGGCAGGATTCGGGGTGTTGACATGGAATTCATTTTGTGGTTTGTTGCGTTGTGTTGCTAACTGAATCGTCGACTGCGGTCTGGCAGAGTGCTCGTAAGGACAGTTGGAACAGTCAAGACAGTGCAGTGTTTGCCCCTCTCTAAATCACTTTACGCGATTGACGCGTCTGCACTTCGCCTCCAGAAGCTGCACCGTGCCACCGCTTCGGTCGCGTACAGGTGCCGGTCGGTGTCCATCTCCGAGAATCTACCTCGCACCCGCCCACTTGCCGCCGCCTAACTCCAAACTCCACCCAGGGCCAGTAGGTCATCTAGCGGCGTCCCATCTCGCCGCATGTACAGACCGTCAGTATTTCAATCATCCCACTTTGAATGTTGTACGGCAACTGAAGCACAAGTTAGATGAGTACGTCGCGCAAAGGGAAAGCTCCGGATCGAGGAACAGCGTCTCAACCCCGGTTCCACTCTTCGCCCAAAAGACCAGCCGCCGCTGGCGAGGGCAGCCCCTCCGCAAGAGCCTCCAAGAGACATCGAATCTCAGTGCCTGATCTGCTGTCACCCCAGCAAAACAGCAACTCGAATGATAGGTCCCGAGGCCAATACACTGCGGGAGAGGGCAAGATGGAAGTAGACCACAAGATGCAGTCCGCCAGCACTCGCCATGCCGCAGATGCTTTCGCCAACATGTACGAATTCAATTCAACAAGGCTGAAGAAAGAGAACCTCAACGACCCGGCTTCTGTGCCAGAGAATGGCCGACCCAAACCAGCCTTTGCAAACCAAAGAGTCCCTTTCAATCCGCAGATGGGCCCGAAGAAGCTCGTCGTGAAGAACCTACGGGCCGCCACCCGCTTGGATACTCGGGCGTACTTTGAAAAGACATGGAAAGAGAATGACAAAGCTCTCGATGCCATATTCAGAAACGAGAAGGATCCATACTCCCTGGAAGAACTATACAAGGGTGCAGAACATACCTGTCGGCACGGCCACAGCGCAGACCTCTATGAGCTCCTGAGTGCGAAATGCGAGACCCATCTCAATGACAACGTCAGAGATCGCATCCGGCGGGAAGAGGCACAATCCTCAGATGTCGACGTCGTCAGAGCATTCGTCAATGCCTGGCAGACTTGGCAAAAACAGCTGCAGACCGTCCGCCAGATCTTTTTCTACATGGACCAGACCTATTGCCTTCGTACTCCCGACAAGATGAGTGTCTTGCAAATGGGTTTGACCAAGTTCAGGTCTTCAGTGTTTTATGACCCTTTCATAAGAAACAAAGCACTTCAAGGAGTCATAGTTTTGATCGATTCTGATAGGAGAGGTAACCTCAATGAGAGTGACTCTAGGCTCCTGCGCCAATCGGTCGACACTTTCCACGAGCTGAGCATTTACACCAGTGACCTTGAACCGATCCTTTGCGTCACTACCGGAGAGTATTTCCAGGCATGGAGAGATAGTGAGTCCAACAAGGACTCTCTGGGTGACTATGTCAACAATTGCACTGATCTTCTGACCCGCGAGATGGCGAGGTGCGATTCCTTGTCTCTAGACCGCAATACAAGGATCCGGGTGTCGCGTCTTTTCGATAGCATCCTTGTGGAAGAGGAACTCGAAACGCTTACCAACGAAGACGGCATCTTGGATCTCCTAGAGGACGACAAATCAGCAGAACTAGAGCGGCTTTACACTTTGCTACAGCGTAAAGGTCACGGAGAGTTGATCGCGCCGAGTTTTAGTAAATATGTTGAGACGGAAGGATCCTTGATCGTATTTGATGAGAAGAGGGAATCCGAGATGGTAATTAGGCTCCTTGATTTCAAAAGGCGGCTGGATCATTACCAGAAGTACTCCTTCCACGGCAATGAGGCACTGGGCAATGCCCTTCACAAAGCCTTCGAAACGTTTATCAACAAAACAAAGAAATCCCAGTCGAACTGGGACACGGACAATGCCAAACCGGGAGAAATGATTGCGAAGCACGTCGACCTGCTCCTTAAAGGGGGCGTTAAAGCCGTCCCCCGGCTCCAAACACACAAGCACGATCCTTCCAAGGCCGAAGAAGAGCATGACTTCGATGATGCCGCTGCCGAAGACGCCGAAATCAACCAACACCTCTCTGACGCATTAGATCTCTTCCGTTTCGTCCATGGCAAAGCTGTCTTTGAAGCCTTCTACAAGAAGGATTTAGCTCGCCGTCTACTCATGGGTCGGAGCGCCTCATTCGACGCCGAGCGGAACATGCTCACCCGTCTGAAGAATGAATGCGGTGCTGCATTTACGCACAATCTGGAGTCCATGTTCAAGGACATGGACCTGGCTCGTGAAGAGATGATGTCGTACAATCAGCTCTTGGATGACCGTGGAGGCAGGGCTCCAGGTTTGCCGGACTTGCATGTTAATGTCCTCTCGGCGGCAGCCTGGCCTACTTACCCGGACGTGGCAGTGAACATCCCACCACATATCGCCAAAGTCATGTCCGATTTTGAGACGCACTACAAGGCCAAACACTCTGGGCGCAAGCTGACCTGGAAACACTCCCTGGCGCACTGTCAACTGCGCGCCAAGTTCCCCAAGGGAAACAAGGAACTCATGGTGTCAGGATTCCAGGCCGTCGTGCTCCTGCTTTTCAACGACATCCCTGCAGACAAGCACCTGACGTACGACGAGATCAAAGCCGCCTCGGGCCTGGTCGACGCCGAGCTCAAGAGAACACTCCAGTCCCTCGCGTGCGCCAAGTATCAAGTCCTGCGCAAACACCCCAAGGGCCGCGACGTCCACGAAACCGACACGTTCACGTTTTCACAGAGTTTCTCGGACCAGAAACTGCGCATTAAGATCAACCAGATCCAACTCAAGGAGACCAAGGAGGAGAACAAAGAGACGCACATCCGGGTGGCCGCGGACCGGCATTACGAGACACAGGCGGCGATCGTGAGGATCATGAAGAGCCGCAAGAAGATTGGGCATAACGAGTTGATTGTCGAGGTCATCAAGGCCACCATGAGCAGGGGCGTGTTGGATCAGGCGGACATTAAGCGGAATATTGAAAAGTGAGTATCTTTGCCTCCCCCTGCCTTCCTTCCCGGCTTGCCTTATCCGCCTCCCTCCTCTGTTGAGTTTCCCCCCTCATTGTTCATCTCGCTTGACTTCGCAACGCGAGTGCTAATCCATCACGTGGTCAGATTGATTGAAAAGGACTACATGGAGAGAGAAGAGGGCAACACGTACTCGTACGTTGCATGAGCTTGCCTGCTTGCTTGCCTTGATTGTCTATTGGCCCGCATGCATGCCAACTGCATCCCCATTGGAGACTCAAGCGCACACATAAATAGTTCCAGCGCGGAAGCAAGCCCAGCTGCCATTGCTACAGCCACTGCCATGAGTCGACCTCTAGGGCATGTAAATGTGGTCGGCCGATTGCAAGAGGTGCCCGAGAGACAAGGACCTCGGTGACGCTCCCGATAGATACCATACCCTCCATACCTTTGGATTTTCAGGTATTGTAGGCAGGGACCTCAGGTGGTTGGACTAATACTGTAAGAGAAAGGGACACGCGCTCAATTGGGCACCCAAGCTGGAGTCATGTAATATGGTGGTGACAGGATGATGTACCTAGGTGGCTAGAAAAGACGACCACGACAAATGAAGATCGCAATATTCCAAGGGAGGGAGTTCACCCAACATGGACGTTAAATCAACCTGGCTCTTCATAGTTGCAGAGATGATACCGAGTACTATGTCACTAGAAAGCCCTGGGAACCAGAGTCCGTTCTTTTTACATTCGACATGCGACATGGACGAAACGAGGAACACTGGCACACGCGCAAGAGGTGCCTCGAAAAAGCATTACAACTCCCTCAGATGATGCTGCGGCAAAACCTTCGACTCGATCACTGGAACGTACAGATGGCCGACAACCCTAAGTTTCCCATGAGATGGCCTGTATTGTGCGAGCTCTCCACTGCAGAGACAATCCTGGACCCAATGCCAAATTTAGCTCACTTCGATTCGAACCCTCGTCACTTCAACACGTCTCCCTTGGCATATAACAGGTTCGACTGACGCAAGGCCGTGCAACGTTCTCTTTCAACAACTTGAGCTGGTTGCATGAGCCAGATGACCTTCACTCAGCAGCATTACCTCTAGTATCGCTCGTCTGGACGTCCCGAAGAGCTTCGTCCATCACCGTAATGCTACACGCCCCGTTAGTCACATGTCAAACAGTACAGATATAGCGAGAGAAAAACCTACCTTCTTCCTCAAAGCAGCAAGTCTCTTCTTCTTCGTGTGAGTGTTAATGTAGGTGCCGATGCAGAAAGCCACGACATTGAAAAATGGCACCCAAGTCTGCTCAGGGAGGAATTTCTGGGCGAATGCCAAAGCCAGCGGAGAGGTAATCCAGCTGACGCGCATAACGGGCCAAAAGCCGGCGCGGATGGTGGCGCGGACTTGGTGCCAGGTGCGGGCACCAGCAATGATGGCCATGGAGGCGAGGTAGACAGTGTTTTGGATGGGAGCAATCTAGATTGAAAGCGGTAAGACACTGAACGTTGCTTTAGGGCTGTTGACATACCACTAAGTTGCTGGTCAAGATCTGAAGAATCTTTGCCCTCAAGCTGGTGCGGCCAGCAAAAACCCATTGGAGCATTCCGATAAGAACGTGACCCATGGGAGCACTGATAAATGCGCCATAGGCGGCCATCTTGGGGATTCTGGAGGAGAAATAGTGACCATGCTTGCTCTTATCGTGGGCGAGCCATGAAGCCAGCAACTCTTGCAATGCGGATAATGTGCCGGAGGTCAGCATCTTGGTGCGCAGCGGATTCGATTGAAGCTGTCTTAGGTATGCCTGGAGCGCAACAATGAGTGTCGCATTCAACGGGAAGGGTGTGAGAAGGGGTTCGGACCGCCAGATAACCTGTCTGTTGCTTTCCACCAGTCAAGGCCTCGCCAATCTTGTGGGCGGTGGTCTCATCGCGACCACCGGGCGCGAAAGGCGCCGACGTTGTTCGGACCTGCTCTTGCTCGAATTTGACGGACATGGCGGCGCGCACTCAGAAAACTTCAGACTCGGGAAGGGAAAGAACAAAAGCTGCAATAGACGGTGTCAGTAGACTCGCGGTCGAGGAGAAGAAAGATAGAATGCGGGACAGAAATCGACGCAATCAGCGCTGACAGGAAGGGTTGTTGACAAAAGACGTAACCCTGGTGCCGAGGCGCTGCCACGGGTCACGGACTGTGGTGGGGACTGCAAGACGTGACCTATGGAGACACGAAAAGAGAGAGGGAGAGCGACACTTACCGAGATGATGACTATGAGGATGAATGAGCAATGACTGCGAGCGGGAGTATGGATTGGGGGGTGGTCTGGGATGATACAATGAGTCGACGGGAGAGGGAGAGGGAGATGAACGAGGTGTCAACGCGTCTGTCGAGTTTCTCTAAGATGGGCAGGCCGAGGAGGAGGGAGTCAAAGGGGAGAGGGAGCGGGAGAGGGAGACGGACAGCGCAGGCAGCTGGGGGCAGCCGGGGGCAGTACGAGGTACGAGGCAATACTCGTGCCTACACTGCCTAGGCCCTTACGGGGCAGGGAGCATGAGGAGAATGAGCTGGCAATCTCGATGCCACAAACGCGCCAACCGAGCCAAAGCCAACCAACTCTATCAACTCTATCGAGCCCCAAGTCCACCATTCAGCGTCGCCCGCGCTGCCAAGAAATAAACACGACGCTGAGGGTGGCCCGGAAGAGCTGAAGTCTCAGTGACTCTTTAGAGCTCTCTCACTTCCTAACCACATACACGGTCAAGACGTGATTGAAATACCCAGCACCTGTATGGATTGTATCGGCGGTGACATGGCTACCGTAGCCTTGAGAAGAGACCGGAATCCGGCATGCAGACAAACGGACAAACGCGTAAAGAGTGACGCACTATCCATGACAAGATGAAGCTTTGTCTGCTGCATTGATCAAAGGTAATTGCGAGGATGAACAGACCTTGTAAAGAGAGACATGAGCTCTGCTATAAGGCACGAGAGGGTGGTGGAAAGGTACCCAGATGATCATGAGGTGCTCCTTCCTGCTATCTCGTCCTTCGTTGACTTCAATCCTTCACTCCGAGTCTCTCATCTCCCTGCGTCCCCCCAGTCCCCTCCATTCACTCCACTTCTCAAACTTGTTGACCTGCCTGTTGTTCCAATGTGATGCAGCCCAGCGCCTTCAATTGCCCCCCCCCTCCGTCTGCCGCCATGCCTCTCCTGCGCAGGACAGTCCTCGGTCCTGAGAGACGCAATCCGTGTACCCATATGACCATGACCCGTCTCTATGATCCCTATGGCTCCTTCAAGTGCTCGCTATGCCATAAGCATCCCAACATCGGCTGGCTCTATCGCTGCACCCAGGACACTGGCGGTTTTTTGCCCGAATCCGATCTCATCGACGACCCAATCCTCCCAAGAGGCCGACCACTCGATCGGCATGTCACTACTCATCCTCTGAGCAGTTCCATCGTTAAGGCCATTGGAGACGGTCAATATCCAGGGCAAGAGGTCAAGAAACTGATTGAGCAGAAGGAAGGGGACAAGGATCTTGTCCTCCCCCAGCTTGGGCCAGACGAGAGAAGACCTGCGACGGCCTCTACTGTCACTACCGTTTCGACCACTTCCAGCGACGGTGACAGAACCCTGTCCACTCTGCCCCAGAGCACTACTTTCTCCACCAATTCCTCCGTCGAGCTCGATGAAGAAATAAAGGCGGCCTACGATTGGAAAGAGTTGCAGAAAGTCTGGATGTCCGAGCCATCAGTCCCTCCTCCTGCTCCCCGACCGAAGCCATCTAACCCGGCGAACCTCCCACCGCACGCTAGGCTGCCTTACATGCAACCCTGTAACTTCAAAATCTGCCCTACGTGCCGCCCAACCTACCGCGAGCGCGCCTATCAGTCTCTCGACGAGGTCCTGAACACACCAATCGTACTCCCTCCTGTCTGGGAGTTACAGAATCGCAGAGTTTCTGACGCCGGAATCGTGGCTGGAATTGGATTACCCAAGCTCTCCCAGTCACGATTCTATGCTCAGACCGACCCTGCTAACCTGCAGTCCTTTCACAGCATGCCCCAAATCATCATTGAACACCCAGAAACCGAACAGGAGAATCAAAATGTAAGAGAATCGTACGTCATGGGAGACGACGCAGAAAGACAGCAGCATCATGACTACACCCACCCCCCATCCAGCACACGCAGCGGCTTCCGACACACTGTCCGCAAAGCCCTCGCTAGAGCCCGCCTCGATGATTCTCCTCCCACACATTCAAGCACCAATAAATCCGAGTCTGGCGAGACCCAGGTGCAGCCTTCTCTCTCCCTGATTTTCCGTCGTCGACGATCCCGCACATCCACATTGTCCTTTGCCGAGACACATGGTGGCCGGATCGTGGATACCAGCTCGCTCGAGGACTCCGTCATGTTGATGTTAGCTACGAACACGCCTCTACCTCACACGCCAACCGTGGCTGGTTTTCAACTTCGGCAAGGAACCGGATACCCTCGAGGCTCAGGACGCGTCAACGATCGTGGGAATTGCTTGCAGAGTGCGGAGATCTTCAGCCAGACTTGAGGATGGTGCGCCTGCCTCTCGAGGCCGAGCATCTCAAAGCCATACAAAGGATGAGTCATCCGAGAATGTTCAATGTACAAACCTGCACCTTCTAATACCGGTGGGGTTTTAAACGATGAGAAAAAAGAACACGCACGACTATGACTACCATGTGTTTCGAAAAGCAGAGACAGAGGCTGGGAATAGGGAGTGGGACGACAATTCTGGGAGAAGCAGATGACGATATCTGGGGAGGAGAGTTGCTGCACGAGTTCCATCGTTTATGTTGCCATGTTAGTTGATCGCAGCGCACCGCAAGACTTGAACTATGTCTAATCATTCCGAGCTCATGGACTTGGACCCTTCTTTCGTATCCACGATGTTGGTACATGGTTTGCAAGACTTTAATACATGAATTCTCTCATCGGAACATGGAAGTCCAGCCCATTGCAAAATTCGGCGCCAGGACACCCGCGCTTGGACACCTAATCATTCATGTGTGTGTGTTTCTTCCCTGTCACTATTGCTCGATTCCTTCTTCAAGTGTCTTCGTCCAGTCTGGTGCGTCCTCCACCGACTCACTCGCTCGGTCACTCACTCACGCACCATCTCAGACTATCAGGGGACATGCCGCCCGCGACTCCGAACGCGACTGGGCACATACGAGTCCACCATCCTGTAGTTGCCATAGCCGTAGGGGACCGAGCTGTGCCCACGTCCTAACATGGGAATCTTCGGACGGCCCCTGTTGTTAAGCCTGTCGTCAGGGTGGGGTCTGTCGCGGGCGCGCTCCTGCTCGTATCGTCGACCAAGGGGGTATGCTCGGTCGATGCATCCACCTCGGTCATTCACCGGCGACCTCGAGCGTCGACGGCTACGATCGCGCGAGTATGCTCGGTCGGTTCCTCCTCCTCGGTCGTTTGCGGGTGATGATATGGAGCGTCGTCGGGGGCTCCCGTCCCTTATGCGGTCTTGTCGTCGGTGGTGGCGCTTTGGAGACGATGATCTCGGTGGCGACGGGTTGAGGCTCTTTCCGCGCGCGCCTTCCGTGATGTCCTGATAATCGGAGCTAGCCGGGGTTCCTCGTTCGTCCGCTGAGTCTCTGGTACGGGAGCCGCTGAGACGACGATTCTGGCGACCGCGGGAAACGGCAGCACTCAATGGGCCACACCCCGAGACGTACTCTTGATCGTCATTGTAAAAGCTGTGTGGATGATCTCTGCCCGGCGCGGCAGCATATCCCAGACGGTGCGAGTCGCGGTCATTGTATGGGTATGTGTCTGAGTATCTAGCCCGAGGAGGGTGGCCGTGTGCGGTGGGAAGATCAGAGCTGGCCCATCCGTAAGAGCTCGCCATCTCACCAGCATAACCACTCAAGATATCCAGATGATGGTAATACTTTTGACCGCCTGTATCGCTACCTACCCTTGCGCGATTTTTCTCTTTCTTCCTGAACGGCAGGCTTGGCCCGCGCGGCGTTCCTTTGACCTGGTCCATTTCCGATGGATCGAATTTGCGCTTCTTGCCGCCAGTCAAGCAGACCGCCGTGTCCTTAGCATGTTTGAATGTCCCTTCGAGCTCCGCAATCATCAGGGGATCAGCAACCCTGTTCTCGAGGTAGAGGAGGATGTTTTCGGCCGTGTCACGAAGGAATTTGGCTCTCTTGACTGCCATGTCATTGTCGTCCTTGTCGATCACAGCGAGATATTCTGCTCGAGCAGTTTCATAGACAGACCACAAAACTGCCAATCGGGGTTCCATGTCTTTGCGCAGATTTGGATCGACAGGTAACAGTCGTGGACGCTTGTCCCCAGCATCTTTCGGAACTAGGCTCGTCTTACCTGAGGACAGTTCTGAACGCGGGTTAATCAGATCAGAAGTCACTGGCCGAAGTTGGGTTAGACTTACCCTGTTGTAAGGTCTCTGGCACTAGCACGGTCTGCTGGAGTTTTTGTGTCAATTCCTGGGCATCGTCACGACTTCCGATGTCGATGTTCAGATATTCTTTGCAGTAGAACCTGATAGCAGCGGGGTTGTTTAAGTTTGCTCCATTCTCGGTGAGAATTAGCAGTGTCTTGTCGAAGACCGTAACATGGCCATCTTCGAACGCCTGCGAACGTGATTTGATCAGTTCCACCTGGCGGTTGAAGACATCCAAAAAAGCGTGATTGTAAGAAACCAGAAAGGTGTCAAATGCCGGGTCCAGAGCTTTCACACCCTGCGCTCTCTGAACCAAGACCGGGACTTCGTCATCGGGGCTTCTTGTCAGATGAGGCAGCGGAGAAGAATGGAGGAAGAGAGAGCTGGTTTCTCCGGCCATAGCCGTGACGACGAGTTGCTGGGTTGTACTTATCAGATAGATAGCTTGTAAGGAGAAGGAAGTTTCCCAGGTGAGGAGCGAGTGACGAAGACCGCAGGTATCTTTAGAGTACCTAGGTAACAAAGGTCCTTTCATTCCTTGCCGCACCCTTGGAGACTGTTTTGCTGCCTTGCCTCCTTTAGGTCGGAAAGTGAGGCTGTACCATTTGGCATGGAAGACTTGGCGGACGGTGAGGTATGTTTCCATCCTTTGTGTTGACAAACCCTTTCACCCCTGTCCGTACATCCTGTGGTTATGCTTTGAGATTGGTGATCCCATAAGCTCTCGGTGAGCTCCAAAGCACGTCTGCCAACGATAGCAGGGACGTGGTTGGCAAGGAATAGCAGGCTCTCAGTGGCAATTGAATAGATTATCGCGCCGGCCAAGTTCCTTTGACATGTTGTGATTAAAGAAATGTTTGATCAGGACCTCATCTGTCTCCAATGATCTGGTAAGGGAAATGTGTTGGAAAATGGGTGAGCTGGCCACACCAGATGCGCACAGCAACAGGCCATTTTGACAGCCGACTGAGACCACCTCCTGCACGGTACGGACTCAATGGGAAAGATGGCTGGCGACAGGTCTCGATGGTTCAAACAGCCAACCCAGGCGCTTCTGGTAAGGCTCGACGGTAGGTGCTCAAGTTGTGATGTCGACCCGCCAATTCTCCCGAACATCCTTCAAAGGGATAGAGAACAGGCATGGGGTGGATTGGATTGCAGACGCGAGCTCGTTCATGGAGATCGATCCTTTCGAAGGCATGAAGACATCTATCTCAGGGAAGCAGGAGCCAAAAAGATCCAGATGAATCAAAGGTGAAAAGGTCAATTGAGGGAAGGGAGATATTGCGAGTGAGAGATCTATACAAGAAATAGCAGTGCTCCACCCTGTGAACTGCGACAGAGGCGTGGGCGATCCACAGCGAGAGCGCTGACCATTGATGCACACTGTCGACATGGTTGCAGAGGGTGAAATACACAATTGAGCACGACGGTGAGCAAAGTTGACAGCTGCGCAGCCGCGACTGGCTGGTGCCATCGCATTGGAAGCAGCAGGCGGTCTTGAGCCAAGGGACAAGGCCAGTTAAGCGCCGTAGAGGCAGGTCCTGGGCCCGGGGGAGACACTGTCGCAAAGTGGATTCTCTAGGTCCCATCCAGGGCGGTAGTTCGGGACCCATTAGCCGGCGAAGTTCCTGGCTTGAGTGGCCTCCATAGGCGCTCAATCTTTGCACCGAGTTTCTAAGTTGCAGCATTCCCCTCCTTTCTGCTCTTTCCCTTTCAGACACATCGCATCTGGGCATCTCTCAACATGGTCAATTTCTGCAATAACATCTCCCCCGTCCGCATAGCCAAAGAGGATTAGCCACGTTATGCGAGCAAGAACACACTTGCTGTGCGCATATGCCGACACAGAACAGAACAGCTCTGCCCGTCCTGGTGGCACAATTCAGCAGTCTTCCTAGTACCCGCTGTGGTCAACGTCATTCGTTGGCCGGTCTATTGATATACGGCACGATAAATGAGCTTCCGCCGTAGGATATATGATGATGTTGAGGAGAGCGTAGGTAGTGTGAGGAGCAAGGACGCTCGCCGGCGAAGATGTCAGCGTTTCGCGGCAGATCCAACCGTGAGGAAGTTCGAAAAGTGGCAGCACAATGAGATCTCTCATACTCCTGTTCCAGCGGTCCAGGGAACTTGATCACTGACGACGGTCGAAAGGAATCTGCTGCAAAGAGGCACCGACTTCACTGTGTTCTGCCTGGGAGAGTTCCCGGCAGGGGCCTTGCCCTGGCTGGAGGCCAGGCTAAAACCCCCATCGCTTGACAGATTTCTCTGCCGGATCATTTCGATGCTTTCGTGACATCTTCTGAAAAGCTGACCGTCCCCGTCTGGTCTGGCTCAATGAGGGGCCCGACACGATCTCAAAACATTCGCGGTAGATCAGCGCCCTTCGTGTGAGCACCGGACGTAGGGTGGAGGTTATAGAAAGGACTGATGCGAAAGCCTTATTATGACCTTGATATATTTTCTTGTTGTCTATGTACCTTTCGCAAAATTAGGTTTGGATGTCGCCATCTAGTTGTACCCGAGTTCGTATATCCTGTATGTGTACCGAGTACCTCGTATGTAAACCGCAATTCGTGTAATGCCCTTCTGTTGAAGTATGAAATTCGCTGAAATAAACTTGTACTGCCAAAATTTGGTACCCATTCGCTTTTTTGAAATTCGACATGTTCATTATAACCCTTCATACCTTCTCAATATTGCTTTTGTCGTCAACAGCATACTGATCGACAGCGCTGACAATGTGCGGATTGAGGACGAAAGGTAAGCTGCAATGGCACACAATCATCAGAGCCATTGGTACGATCGCCACAGGTTGTGTAATCCTCCATGCCAGCGGTGCAAAGAACGCCATGTATATCACGCCACCAGCGAGTGGTATCATGACAAGATACATGTATTTGAACTTGCTCACGATCTTTGGGATCTCCTTGAAGAAGTTCGAATTCTCGACTTCCTTCTTGGTCATCTCCCAGGTCATTTCGTACCCGACGATGTGGGCGATCAAAGCTTTGTTGACGTGGAAGCTGAGGCCGTAGAAGTAGAAGCAGTACATCGGCTGCCACCTGAAATTTTCCCAGAGCGAACTAAAGAATGATCGTTCGCCGATACGGGCTCGCATAATGGCTAGGGCGACGTTGCTGAGGATCCAGAACACCAAGACCACGGAGAGAAAGATGGACCATGACGTGGTGTAAAATTTGTCCAGGTCATTCCAGTAAAGGCCAACCAGAACATAGTTGGCAATAGTGTAGAAGAAGCCACTGCCGATGGCATAATCTGTGAGACAAGGGTGTCAGCTCGTCAAGTCCACTATCCGCAAGTGGCAATACTCACATGAAGTCATGTACGATATAATGCTGAGCTTTGAAGACCAATGCATGTCGCAAAACAAAAATTTCCTGAAAAGTTTTGTAAAAGGCGATCTCCACAGCCACGTCCATATGGGATTGAACAAGAGTTCACTGTCGCCGTAAGAGTATCTTTCCCATCGACTGATCTCATCGTATATCGTAAGAGAGACTTGCTCCTTGAACTCGTCCTGATGATAGGAAGCGTATCGCGTGACCCAGTTGGCGCTTTGAAGTCGAATGCTCATGTTGAAATCCTCGGAGATGTGATATTCAGACCAGTACATGACATAGTTCGGATCACCTGTGTCTATTCCGACGTCTTGGAGCGCTTTCCAGCGCACGAAAGCGTTGTGGCCGACGAAGGGGGCGCATTCACCATTGCTGACTTGGAACCGAATCTGCGCATAACACATTTTGGCAAAATAAGTAGCACCGTTCTCGAAGAAGTCGCTACAAATCGCATTCAAGTCAGCACAGTGTCTTATCAACGACAAGATCCGGGGGGGCTTAGGTTGGACAGTCACGACCAGCTGAGACTGAACTTGGAGGAGGCAGGGGGAAGCAACACCGACCCTGAAACTTGATAGACAGACGTATGGTGCTGAACAATAGCGACTTCTGGCGAAAGGAACATTTCTGCCGCTCCATTGATCAAACAGTCTCTAGGCTTTGAGGGACGTCAGCTCAATACTCGCCACCAGGGTGTCCATGAACTTACAACACGAGTATCGGAATCACACATCAGGATGACTTCACCTATACGGATGTTTCCAGCGGCTTTCACTCGACTATCTTTGGCCAGTTCTTCGGTCAAAGCTTGGTGATAGAGAACTTCCTCTTCCGCCGGGTCGATGTAGACTGGGCTTCCATCTCTGGCTTGGCAGTGATCTTGCACGAGTCTTGTGAGAGTTCGCTCGACCTTGTTGGCAAAATTCATGCAGAAGTTCGAATTCGAGGCTTTCTTGAATCGCCCGGTACGAAAGTATCCGTTCTCGCCGTTCATTGGTCGGGCTACCCAGCTGTGATGAAAGTCAGTAAAGGAGTTGCTAGACAACTGTGTGTGACGCCTACCCAATGTTGTTGGCTTCGTACCAGTCGATACGAGCTTGTGCGGCAGCAGGGTCGTTATGAAGGAGGTACCCGAGGCCATCATCGGTGATGAAAATATTGGCTTTTCCTCCTTTCAACTCATAGTCTGAGACTGCAGCCATCAGACTTCGGACCGTTGGCATAACGACCAGCTCCAGCGACTCCTTGTAAACAGCCATTTGTATTGTGACTCGTGGAGGAACGAATCCTTGATCATACGCTTGCTGGAGGTTTGGTTTGTTGGCTGAGAAGAATCGTGTGTTGGTGAAAAGGCCAGTGATGGGTCCAAAAAGCTGGAAGGCATAAGTCATCAGAGACAGAGAGAAGAACATAGCCACGATTAGGGTTAGTGGCTCGAAGACAATCCAGATGAACCGCATTTTATCGCCGTCTGTCAGCATCTCGAGGACGAGATGAGATGTGGTGTAGCCGAAGATAAGGAAGACCAGGAAGAATATCGAACAGGCCATGATCATAGCGCCATAAAGCCTTACTGGGCGGTCGAGGGATTCTTTTTCGAGCTCTTGTTCTTCCAGGTCTGAAACCTCTATGACTTCGGTTGTGAATCTGTCCCTCTTCGATTTGTCCCACACGCTTAGAGAACTCGCAGTCAAAGCTCTCGATGTGGTATGGGCGGCGTTGAAAGGTTCAGCCCCCCATATCTAATGTTCAGTCAGCACCCTTCTGGCTGGCAGACAACATACACCCCAGTCTCGGTTGTCGGAACTCACCAGCTTCATCAATTCCTCTTCCGTGGCGACCGCTTGTTGCAACACCTTGTCAGCCTCGTCATGCCATACTAGAAGAATTCTCTCGCTTCTGATCAATGCCGCGTAGGGAAATCTTCGCGCCTGAGCAAGCCCAATTCGCATGAGGTTGGCCATGCAGTCGACGACTTGGAGATCCAGGCCACTTCCAAGCATGATTCCATGATCTTCTTCACCAATGACATCGAAGATGGCCTCTGTGGAATCCGTAGCAATGGCAAAAGCTGCCTGAACGCCCAGTTTTGCAACCGTGCGGACGAGCGTCTCGGAGAGGTCCTGCGGCTCTACACTGTAGGTGCCATTGGATTGACGCAGGAGGACACCGAGTGGCCTTTTCGGCAGGTTGACATCGAACCAAGCATTGGCAACACCTTTTCCATAGAGGAACTTTGTCATCTAAGACTCGATTAGCTCGGCTTTTCCTAGCATTTTCCGAAAGGTCTTACCGTTCTGAGCCTCAGTGCTTCATCGAAGTTGCCTTTTTCCAGGCGCCTGCTCTGGTGACTCGACACGGACACTCCTGAAGAGTTGGGCTGGGAAAAATGCAGATATTGAGGTCTCGCCAGAGGCGTAGAGGCACCCGCCTCCGACAGTGAAGCCATCGGATGTTGTTGGTAGAAGCAAAGTTCAAGCTTGGGTCTCTACATCAGCCTGCCACGTCGAGTTTGCACCGAGACCTGTCAAAAAAAAAACAAGAACGATGAACTACAGAAGAACTGAGAAGATTTAGATTTGTTTACAGAAAAAGACGGTGGCTTTTCGCTATCTCCCGTGCTAGCCACCGTCCAAGGAGACCCCTGAACGCGAAGCGTAGACTTCCAAGTTCCCGCATGCAAGTTACGCACTTTGTCCGTATGCAAGATTCCAAGGTTCTGCTCGCCTTCGACCATGGTCGCGTCCCGCATTGTCTGATTTCAAAGGCATGGCCGGGGGCATCTGGGCATGTACCGGTAGTCCGTAGCTTCAGCCGTTGAACGTAAAGGGTTCCACTTGGACAACAGTTGAGTGGGGCAAATCTTATATATAAGGAATGATTGGATGTGTTCCTACTGCAGGTACTGCCAGGTACAGGTCTGAGATCCACCTTAGCGTGTCCAACCCCCCCGAATAATAAGGCTTTCCGCAGCTTAGACTTGGAGATCCCGTGGCTAAGACCCGTCCGAGCGTCCCCAGGGCTGAGACACTGCATGGTGTCGGAAGTACAATCTCTGGTCAGGCTATTCAAGGACCTCTGGGCTGCGACGCGACACGGCAGGGACAGCACAAGGGACAGCACATTGTCAGCTCGCCACCCACCGACCAGGTAGACGGTAAATCAGAGGGTTATCATCGATATCGCTTATGAGTTATCACCACCGTGACTCTGCCAGCTTTACCAATGATATCTCCCCGTCAGAGGATCGTCAACGCGGATCAGCACTCTCCGAGACATTGTATCTGCCTTTCTCAGGCGACCTCGCCCAGCCACCTTCCTCATGTGCGATAAGAATATTCTCTATCTCGTTGGAAACCTTGTTTTCAGTTCCTCGCTTAAACGGTTTTAATTTCACGGTCAACTTCTCAACTGTCCCGATTGAGCATTTTACAGGGTTCTTTCACCGAGAGTAATATTGTGGCTGGAGTGGCTGGCATGGCCGGACATGCGCCTCCAATAACGCGGAGATCAAACGTTTCCAGAGCTAGTCTCGCACACCGGTAACGATCAGCCAGTACTAATTTAGAGTCGAGTGACACTGCCTGGGCCAAAGGCTAATCCCACTTCTGCGCGTCGAGCACATGTCTCAACGACTTACGAGCGTGTCTCAATGACCACAGTCGGTAAGAGCACATGAAGGTCGCCACCCATGCCGATCGGTTTTGGTGAACTACCAAACCACCAACAATAGCTCTACGCAAAAGTTGAATGCCGCTACATTATCATTGTCTCGCAGTCACCTTTACGGCCTCTGTGTGTCAGTCAGTCTCGGCCAAAGACGCGAGAGAAGATGACTTCACCGACCGCAAACTCTGATGAAGCCGACTTCGTCTATGCAGTGCATCAAGCAAGTCATCTAAGTCCCCCGACGCCAGATCTCAGAAACAGCGAGGCCGCATCGATAGAGAACTATGGCTACAATCCTACCCGAGAAGGCTCCAAGGAGGACCTCTTCCGAGGCCTCAACAGCTATCGTGTGAGCGGTGTGCGCAACCATGAGTTCAAGACTTATCTGCTGGACGGAAAGTTAGTTGCTCTTCCATCTGTTCACCCCTTTCTAAGTATTCGAGCATCATTGACATCAAGCAGGATTGAGAAACCTTGGACTGAGGACAAGAAATACAAAGCGCCTCGCAAGGGCAATTGGTATATCCTTGGAGGGCTTTTCCTTGCGATAGCCGTCAGCGCTGTTGTGAACTGGAGGATCGCGGTCGGCGTTCCCCACCACGAGGTTCGGCTTCCCATTTTGCGTCTGATTATGGTTTACTGACGCAGAAGTTTCCTTTTGCAGTATTGTCTAGTCTTGGACGATTCCTTCAGCACCCTCGATAAATCCATCTGGAGCCATCAAGTCCAACTTGACGGGTTTGGTACGGGGTCCTTCGACTGGACAACAACTGATGGCCGAAACGCCTTTACTGATGGAGATGGACTTCACATTGTTCCCACCTTCACAACTGCCACAACCGATATTACTGAAAGCCAATTACTCAATGGGTCAGTAGTTGCACGGGCCCCCCCTGGAGCTGCTGAAAGATTCTAACCTGTGGTTTCAGTTATCACCTGAACTTGGAGGACACAAAGCATGGTGACGGTTCATGCACCGCCCCCAAAACTGCCGAGTACTATGCCGATGAATGCAGCAGGACCTCCAACATTTCCTCCCACGCAATCATCAACCCCGTGAGGTCAGCACGCCTTACCACGCAAGGTGCGAAATCGATCCGGTATGGTCGTGTTGAAGTCGTGGCCAAGGTGCCAAAGGGCGATTGGCTCTGGCCGGCCATCTGGATGATGCCCGAAGATTCAGTATACGGAATCTGGCCGCTGAGTGGCGAGATTGATATCATGGAAAGTCGCGGCAACGCACGAGGCTACAAAAACGGCGGAAGAGAGACCGTCTCAAGCACGATCCATTGGGGTGAGCGAAACTCAAAATCTTCGGTTTTTCGATTAAGAGTGAAATCTTGGGTTTGAAACTGAAACAACGTCAGGTACCTCGTGGAAGACGGACAACTTCTGGCGAACCACACAAAAACACAAGATCCAAAGGACAGACTATTCCGACGGCTTCCACACCTTCGGTCTGGAGTGGTCGCAGGACTACCTTTACACGTGGGTCGACAATCGCCTTCAGCAAGTCCTCTACGTCGACTTCACGAAAGAGGATTTCTGGCAACGTGGCCATTTCCAAGGCGACTACGAGAACGGCACGGAGCTCACCAATCCCTGGTACATTTCAGGGAACAAGAATGCACCTTTCGATCAAAGCTTCTACCTGATTCTCAATGTCGCGGTCGGGAGCCGCAATGGCTGGTTCGCGTACGTATTTTTGGCCAGGCTTTTGCTTTCTCTCTCTCTCTCTCTCTCTCTCTCTCTCTCTCTCTCTCTCTCTCTGTGTGTGTGTGTGTGTATTTCCACCATCGCTGACTACTACCATGTTCCATACAGGGACGGAGTCGGTGACAAGCCATGGGTTGACGGAAGAGACTCTGCAGCCTCGGACTTTTACGGCGGTGAGTTTTCCCAGTCGTGTGGACCCTAGACCCTGGACCCTGGACCCCTGGACTCCCGTCTGTTTACACTCTTCACAATCTTTATGGCTGACAACATCCATCCAATTTTAGCCAGGTCGGAGTGGGAACCGAGCTGGGGAGCGGGCAGCGAACGCGGTCTGACGATCAAGAATGTCAAAATGTGGCAGCAAGGTCAATGTAGCACATAGGTGGAACATCAAATGGGTTTGGGGACTACCTAGGGAGCAACACAAGTGGGAGGGTAATAGACTAAGCACACGAAATGGGGGGCGTAGGAGCGCACTCGACTGGGATGTATACAATAATGGAAGGGGCATTTTCGAGCCTTGGTCATGCTTATACCAATCCTTCCGCCGCCAGGGTCGACAAAGGGGTTGATCTTCAGGGGCCAAGCCATAAAGACACCCAGCATGTCGAGAAACAAACAAAACCCCAAGACAAGGAACACGTTCAAACAAATGAGCCATCTCATTAAAGGGGGAATCTATCTATGGAGGGCAGAAAAGCAACCTATCTCCGGTTTTCCATGAGAAATCCCGGGTACACAAGTACAAGCAAGTATCTAAGCAGATAGCCTTCTTGTACTTGGTTGCATAAGCCCTGCCGAAAAAGGGGGAAGCATATCGCCAGTCTATCATACACTCGAACAAGATAAGCTCATAATCACCGAGCCACCTTGGGCACAACCGAGAGCCATCCGCTCGGGAGAAAGGACGCCATTCGCCTGCCACCGCCAGCGCAATCAAGCCCAGCTCCATGGTCCGGAAGCCCCCTTGCAGAGCACTCCAGCAAGATGTTGATGTTGCAGTATCAGAACTTTTGGTAAAGAGGCATCGTGCCCAAGTCGAGTACAGTGGTTGTGCAATCTGGCTGAAAAAGTTGTGTTAAGACAGTAAGAGTAGTCCACGCAAGATCGTCTAAGCCGTGGCTTCGGCGCCTTCAGTCTTGGACACATCCTCCTCCTTCGTGCCGTTGGGACCACCTTCGCTGGTAGTTTGACGGCCCTTGACATACTCGTCGTAGACAGTAAGTGCTTCGTCAACCTTGGCACGCAGAGCGTTGTCGTCATCAATCCTGAAGAAGTTGTTAGCCACCCACCAAAACATTGTACACGTCATTGATAACTTACAACGCCAGCAGTTCCGAGTTGTCCATTTCCAAAAGCATACCAGTAATCTTGCCAGCAAGTTCCGGTTGAATCTGTTGGATCTTGGGATAGATGGCTTCACCAAGCATCTGTTTCTGTTGGTTGGGAGGCAAAGATGCAAGGTTGCTGAGACCACCAGCGGGCACCTCTTCTCGGGCAGGCATCATCTGTCCACGGCCTTGTGGAGGCAAACGAGCACCTGCTTGGCCGCCAGCCATGTTCTGCAAACCACCTCCGCGACCGCCTTGCGGGAACGCGCCACCTCGCACGCCAGTCATGCTCTGCATGTTGGGAGGCATACCCTGCATGCCTTGCATCTGTCCACGACCACCGGCGCCACGACCCATCTGAGCTTGCATTTGGGCCAAGGCCTGAGGATTGTTGTACATACCGTTGACAAGAGCCGGATTCTGGATAAACGGCATCTGTCCCGGGAGACCGAAATTCGGAGGAAGCTGTTGGCCTTGAGGCATGCCACGGCCTTGTTGTGGGAAACCACCAGGGAATTGTCCACGCCCGCCTTGCATACCAGGGATGACCATACCAGGCTGACCGGGGAATGGCATGCCTCCACGCTGAGCCCCAGGGGGCAGGAACTGCTGTCCGGCTGGACCATAGAAGACAGTGGGTTGGATGTAGCCCTGGGGCATACCAGCCGCGGCCGCCTGTTGTTGCTGCCGAAGGGTGTTGCGTGCTTGGATACTAGCCTCAAGCTGACTTTTGCGAACATCCTTGCGTTGAGCGAGGGCAACATACAGCGGCTTGCCATTGACCATCTTCTGGTTCATCTCCGAGACTGCCTTGGAAGCCTCGTCCGGATTGCTGAAGCAGACGAAGCCGAATCCCTTGCTCTTGCCAAACAACTTCTGACCAGGTTTACCGTCTTTCTTGGCTTCTTTGGCATCATCATTGCCCTCTTCATTACCCTCAGTCTCAGTCTTTTCCTCTTCCTCAGCCTTTTCGACATCTTCCTTCTTGTTCTCCTTGTCCTTGTCCGCAGCAGGAGATGCAGTGCGCTCGGCTGCGTCGCGCATAACCTTGGCAGACGTGATGGTTCCATAGCCGCTGAACAGATCACGAAGCTTGTCGTCATCCACGTCATCGGTCAAGTTCTTGACATACAAGTTGACGCCTTGATATTTGGAGGCCTTCTCCATGCGTGCAGCTTCATACTGCTTGCGAAGCTCTTCCTCACGTTCGTGTTTCTTCTGAGCGCGCCCGACATACAAATTCTTGCCATGGAATTCCTTGTCGTTGAGTTCATCCACCGCTTGAGCGGCGGATTCATGACTGGCAAAGTTGACAAACCCGAAGCCACGGCTCTTGCCAGTTTCGTCGCGAGTAATGGTGGCGGAGACAACACTGCCGTACTGCTCAAACAGCTTTGTGAATTCCTCATCAGTGACCGACTCGTCGATGTTCTTGATGTAGACATTGGTGAAGTTGGCCTTCATCTCCTCAAACTTGCTCTGACGATCTCGCTTTGCGATGTGATGACCAACAAAGACCTTCTTGTCGTTCAACAACATGCCGTTGACCGACTTGATGGCCTGGTTTGCAGCCTCGGCGGTCTCGTAATGGACGAAGCCGTACCCTTTCGAGTTTCCGAGCTCATCCTGGGCAACCTTGCAGCTGAGGATATTGCCAAACTGAGAGAAGGTGTCATGGAGCGCTTTGTTGTCGATCGCCGCATCCAAGTTCTTGATGAAGACATTACCTTGTCCAGTCTTGCGGAGGGCGGGATCGCGCTGAGACCACATGATACGGCACGGGCGACCCTTGATGCTAGTGTAATTCAGATCTTCCAGTGCCCTCTCACCATCAGCGGTGTTGTTGTAGTTGACGTAGGCATAGCCAAGAGAGCGGCGGGTGACAGCGTCACGGCAGACACGAATCGAAGCAACCTGGCCGATGGAGGAAAATAACTCGAAAAGCATGGCTTCCGTGACAGAGGGATCAAGCTCGCCGACATAGAGAGAGGCCGAGTGCTGCGCGGTGTTGGGGGTCGCAGAGTAGGGTGTAGGGACATCGTCGCCAGTGGCACCAGACGGGGCGACACTGGTGTCGATGGCGGGTGCGCCGTTTTGGGTAGGAGCATCGGGGCTGCCATTCTGGCCCGCAGCCGGAGAGGCATTAGAGACGTCCGCAGCAGACATTTTCGCTGTCAAGTACCGTCAGAATATGTTCGAGTCAAGACGATGAGGGAAGCAAGACGGTGTGAAGGCGGGTCGTCGGCCCGGCGACAATGGGGTAAAGAGAGCGCTCACTTTTTTGTTTGACTTTTCCGGATCGATTCACGAGGTAACAAGAACGAGGGGATTGTCAACTGTCTTGAACAATGGAGAGGATGTCTTGACGATGCCTTGGTAAGGGATATGTCGTTTAAAGTCGAGCACTGTGATGCCAGTCAGACGTCGTTCACCTTGACCTCTGAGGTCCGGAGCGGTGCAAAGGGTAAAAAAAGGGTTGCGCAGGCAAGGGACATGGGGGATGACTGACCGCACGACCCTGGGTTTTTGAGGGGGGTTTTTCACTTTTTTTTGGTGGATTCACGGGTTTTTTATGGGGGAGAGGGGGAGAACAGCAATCGACTGCGACAAGAGCAGACGATGCAGAGAGAAAGGCTGATGTGGAAAGGTTTGTAGGGGAAAAAAGTTGGTGGTGGTGGTCGAGGGAAGCGGTCGAAAATCAGACCAAAAAGTCAGGCAATCAAAAAGTTCAGCGGTAGGCACGCTATGCCGGTTGCGGTAAGCGCGTCCAGCACCGAACCAAGACGAATGGAACGAATTCTGCGCTCCGAGTTGGTGCCTTTGTGACTGCCATGGCCCTTTCTTTGTAAACACAGTGGCGGTGGCCACGTTCAGTCAGCCTTGCTGCTCAGAAACGACCTGCCTATGCTTGATATGCACTGGAACCTTCCATTCACTACATGAAGCCCCTTTGGTGTTACTGAATCGGCTTGCTTGGTCATAATGGGGGCGTGGCCACTTGGGAAACGGGCATCAGTACCGAATGCACTTGAGCGGGCGCAACATGCTACGCCTCACAGTGCTCTATACTTGTCATCCATGTCGTTTGTTTCCTCTGACCCGGGTTCCTCACACACCGGCACCAGAACGTGGGAGTCGCATGCTTTGTGCTACCACTCCTGTGCGTGTGCCTGACCTGCACTCCAGATCCCGCTTCCTCTCTTGATGCACTGCACAATGACCTTCCAAGCCTCACCAGGGATGCTCCTATAGACATGGTTAGCTCAATAAATCTTCTGACGACTGCAAGACTTCAGCTTTACCCTTCCATCCCAGCACCAGAAGGTACCACTCTCTTCTTTCCCCTTCTCGCCAATCACCTTCAACATTTTTGTTACGCTTTCTTCGGGGGTAATGATTCCTTCCACTTCCCAGTCCACGTCGATGTTCGCCATGTCCCTGGTTATCATGTCAGTCCCACCTCGTAAACAGTGGTCCATCAGTGGTCGACGCTCACGTCTGAACCTCCCCGGGATGGATAGCCAAGACGCAAACAGCCTCGTACTTTCCCCCCTTTCTCTTGAGCTCGACGGCCATGTGCCTGAGCATCTGATTCAATGCAGCCTTGCTGGCCGAATAGGCGCCAAATCCATCTTCATGATCCCTGAACAATGATGTGGATCCGGAATCGGAGGATATGAATATCACCTTGGACGGAGGTGCTGCACTGCTCAGGTTAAGCAATTTCTGTGCAATGATAATAGGCCCAATTGTGTTCGTATGCAGGTGCAGTGCGAAGTCGGTAAAGGATCTGCGCGCGGCTGGCAATCAGCATCATCTCCTGTAGGTGCAATATATTTTCGGGGGGTCTGTACATCTCGGTCGCCCTCTGAACATGTCATTAGTCTTTGTCTTCGTTCGCAGACGAGTACGAATTCTTTCGTACATTGGGATATTTTAGTATTCCAGCATTCAAGACGATATTGTCGAGCCGCATGCCCTTGGCAACCAGTCTCCCCATTGCACTCACAAATGCCTGTCGATTGCATCAGCATCGGGGGACGATATCACCTCACCGGTGGTTTCGAAGTGATCCGGCCGTCACTCACTTCAATGCTCGACTCGTCAGTGACATCGCACTGTTCAATAAGACATGCTGCGGGCCTCGTTTGTTTAGCTGCCAGCTGCCAGATGTGGTTTGCCGTCTCTGGGCTGCGGACGGCCGCGATGACCTGATTTCCCTGCTCGAGCAGTTGACGGACGAGCTCTAGACCTATGCCGCGGGAAGCTCCGATCACAACCCACGTCGACGGAGCCATATCTGGATTCACGTGGTAAAGCAGTCAAATACAGCAAATGGAAGTGAAGACTTCGGCTGCGATTCGAAGTCTTGCTGGCTGTTGGGTAGCTGTGAATGGCATTAAGCAAGTCTGGAAAATGTGAGGGAGTAGAAAGAGAGATGAGAACTGCGGGGCCCTGAATGAGATCCAAAGGTGCACATGCCGACAGCGGAGACAACAGACGTCAAAGAAAAAAAAAAGGAAGGCAGGTCTCGAGAACTGAGGCTCTGAGACGTGGCAAGATAATAGTGTCTCTGTTGCAGGCCGCAATGAGGAAGGAGACAAGGAGACCCCTCCGACCGGAAAGCCCAGGGATGCATGCGAGTGGAAACTAATTCCCTGGGCCTAGGGTACAAAAGCAGCAGGCAGTGCTTTGCTAGAAAAGGGAGTGCATCTGTTCCCTTCCTTTCCACCCTACGAACCGGTCAGTTCGTGGTTTGAGAAGCATCAAGGGTTGTGGAAAACACCGCTCAAGGTGGAGGCGAAGCCAGTGGTTAAAGGTGAAGTCGACCTCGCTGGATCAGCACCGTCAGCGCCACCAGCGCGTAGAGTTGCTGTTGCATCCTCGGCGAGGGGGAGAGAGCGACGACAGGCGGAAAAGCCAGGGCGCCGATCCACAGCTGCAAGGCACCGGGGCACCTGGGCACCTGGGCACCTCTAGCCGAAGCCACCACGACCGTTGTTCCTGTCATTATGTCCATACCTGTTGCTATTGGAGGAGGGAACTGGGTGCAAATTCATGGCAGATGGGGGGCGGCCGGAATGTACGTACTCACCCACCTGTGGTCAATGGTCATTGATCATTCTTAGGTACTCCGCACTCGCAAATGAAAATATTTCCCGACCTCAGCCCTCCTCTGACACAAGGCCGCTGGTAGGGACAGGTTCAGTGTGCCGAAAGCTACACAAGTGAAGCCATGCGAGTCTAATTGAACCGACTCGCCGTCCACGAGTATGACTGGCGAATCTTGTCTCAGATTTTCTGGTCATCTCTCACGTTAATCTATCTACCTAGGTAGGCCACATCAAATTTCTGCGCTGGACCACCACACACATGGCCCTTGTGCTGACTTGGATGGTATAACTGGTCAACCCCAGCATCGACAAGACTGGTATGTGCCTTCGGCCCGATTCGCCAGACTCGCATCGTTTGTTCTTCCCGACGACTTGTTTCACCCAACCCTCTAGATCAGTTGCTGGAAAGCACGGTTGATGGGTGATCGAGGCTTCAAGCCCTTGTAGAACTCGACAGTGGCAACGGCACGCTTGGAGATACCTTCGGGAGTGAACTCGAATTTCTAGCAGATTGTCAGTCACAGCGACGCGATAGCAAAAACAGGCTGAGAACACGAACCTTGTACACCTCCTTGTAAGGACCGGAAGCGCCAAATCGGTTGAGACCGAATTGCTCATGTGAATATTTCTCCCATCCGAGGGTGGACATGACTTCCACAGACAGGGCCGGGATGCCGTCGGGAATGACCTTCAGCTGGTAATCCTTGGGCTGAGCGTCAAAGACTTCTGTGCACGGCATCGACACAACACGTGCAGTGAGCCCATGCTGATCCTTCAAAACCTTGATCGCATCGACACAGATTCCCACCTCGGATCCAGTGGAAACAAGGGTGATGTCGGCATTCTCGGCCTCGACGGCAACGTAGCCGCCCTTGATTGCGTTCTCTATTGTCGAGTTCTCCAACTGGGGCAGATTCTGTCTGGTCAAAGCCAGGATTGAGGGAGTGGATGTTGAAGTAAGAGCCATGTAGTATGCGGCTGACGTCTCATTGCCATCAGCTGGCCTCCACACCATCATATTAGGGAGAGCTCGGAAATGGACCAGTGTCTCAATAGGTTGATGAGTAGGGCCGTCTTCACCAAGACCGATGGAGTCGTGAGTGGCAACATAGATAACTCGCTGGTGCGAGAGAGACGACAGACGGACGGCTCCGGCAGCATATGACACAAAGTTCAAGAAAGTGCCACCGGCCGGGATAAGAGTGCCATATGCAGAAATACCGTTCATGATGGCCGCCATAGCGTGCTCTCGAACACCGTATCGCAGGTAGCGTCCCGTCCAGTCACCAATACCAAGGCTAGGAGGCTGGAAGTCGACGGCGTTCTTCCATCGAGTGTTGTTGCTTCCAGTCAGATCTGCAGATCCCGACAGCAATTCCGGGACAGCTTCGTGAATGCTCTCCAGGACCTTTTCCGAGGTCTTGCGGGTGGCAACCGCAGCGTCTGTTGGCTTCCATATCGGCAGGCTCTTCTCCCATCCTTCGGGGAGCTTACGAGAGAGACGACGGCTGAAGTCTTTGGCCAGGTCTGGGAACTCATTTCCATATTTTTTGAACAGGTCGTTCCATGCCTGCTCGGCGGCGGCACCCTCGGAGGCGTGCTTGTGGTACAAATCGTACACTTCTTGGGGAACCACGAAGGATTCCTCAGGATTGAAGCCAAACTTTTGCTTGACTTGTGCAGCATCATCAGCCTTAAGAGGGTTGCCGTGCACGCCACCGGTGCCCTGCAGCTTCGAGCCAAAACCGATAGTGGTAGTCAGCTTGATCATGGATGGTTTGTCTTTCACCTCCTGGGCCTTCTTGATCGCAGCTTCGATACCTTCGAGGTCGTGATCGCCATCCTTCACATGTTGAACATGCCAGCCGTAGGCCTCGAATCGCTTGACAACGTCCTCGGTGAAAGCGACCTTGGTGTCGCCATCTACATTTGGTCAGTGACGGCCTTCTCGACTTCCGCGCAGACTTTATCTTACCAATGGAAATATGGTTATCATCATAAATGGCAATCAGATTTCCCAGCTGCAGATGTCCGGCAACGGAAGCAGCTTCGCTTGCAACACCTTCCATGGCGCAGCCATCACCGAAAAAGGTGTAGGTATAGTTGTTGATGAGGTCATAACCCGGCTTGTTGAAGACAGCGCCGGTGTGCGCTTGAGCAATCGCCAGACCAACAGCATTGCTAAAACCCTGGCCCAGAGGACCAGTGGTCACTTCAATACCGGGAGTGTCATGAGCTTCAGGATGGCCGGGTGTGATGCTGTCAACTTGCTACTTCTTGTCAGCGATGGTCAAGGGCAGACCCGAATCGGGACAACATACTCGGAAGTGTTTCAGGTCGTCCATTGAGACGGCGTAGCCGAAAAGATGGAGGAGAGCATATTGAAGCATACAACCGTGTCCGTTCCTGAACCAAGTCAGAAATAGCACCACCATCATCTCATGATTTTTGTGACGCAAGAGAAGACTTTTCCACGAGACGGGGATGTTACGGGCATCCTCAAGTGGCCAAATTTTGACCTGCTCTTAACCTTGTATGTAGTCTTCTTTTTTGGCGTGATGGATTGAATGTGGTCATACTCACGATAGGACAAATCGGTCGCGGTTGACATAGTCAGGGTTTTTGGGGTTGAAGGTCATGAACTTGTTGAAAAGAACGTGGGCCACCGGGGCCATACCTGAAGACAGACCCGTCAGAAATAGTTCTATTATGAAGCGCTCAGAGTCACCTACCCATGGGAGCGCCAGGGTGACCGCTGTTGGCCTTGAGAGTGGCATCGACCTGGAGGAAGAGCAGTCAGGAGATTTGCAACTGGAGGTGGAGGGGCAGAGGGCGGTACCGCAAGCAGTCGGATGGTGTTAATGGCCTTCCAATCGAGATCAGAGTAACCCATTGTGACGGACTGTTATGAGAATTGGGGGAAATCAAAGGTGAACAGAGAATAGAGAGGTCGAAAGGGTCGAGCAGAGGCTGTTGAGAAAAATTTAGTGATGAGCCCGAGCTGTTGACTTGTCGGAACTTCTCAATTGAGGCTAATACTTACGTCTGGCTCCAAGAGGGGATGGCGGGGCAGTTGACGGGTTTCGTAGCTGCTCAACTCAATGACCTGTCGGTGGCGCTGGTGGGCTGCGCGGGCTGCGCTTTGAAGTCACTGGTGGGAGACTGGTGGTCACCCAGGTCTAGGTACCTAAAACCCTGAAATCGAAAGCTCTCACTGGCGGAGCCACGGAAGCGGCTTCTGCTCCGGGACGCTTCACGTTGCGCTGTTTTGTGTGTTCGTGTTTTCGGGATTCCCTGTTTGGTTCCGAGTTGGGTGGTTGACGGGGTCCTCAACGAAAAAGAAGATTCTCTCAAGATTTCCATCGCTGCAGAGGGGATCAGCCAGTGTTAAATACTCTGGAGCCACTACGCAGTCCAGCTATGCATGCACACACCCCCCTCCATCCGCATCAACGGTCCAAAAGAACAAATCAAGAAATCGACATTGGCGACAGTAATGGTTCACAGGCGGCAGTACGGGATGCATCGGATTACGGCAGCAATCATTCCACACCATGCTGACTACGTTTCAGAACGCCCAGTCAGTAGAGCGTTTCCCACTTACCCCTTCCAGGCGGACCAAGGGCCTCTGCTTGTCTGAGGTTGACTAATACGATTGATTGCTGTTGCTGAGTTCAGAGAAAAACGAGCGACGTCGAGATTCTCCAGCACGTGTAGCTAAATCATTTGCGCAACGTTTCCTTCGCGTCATGCTCACCACGTTGACACCAAAAATGTTCTTAAGCTCCCCCAAAAAAGGTATACGGAGCTGGCCAGCTCCAGTGTCGCTTGTCCCGGAGAACATGCACCTTTTTTCTCTGCAACCGGGGTAACACCTGGAACCGTGTCATGCCATGGGAATAAAGTGAAACCATACTGACTGGACCCGATAATTGCTCGCCCTTGGCAAAGTCGACCTGCCACCAAATCTCTAACGCCTCGCTATGCAAAAGCAGTCGCACTTTTAGTTTAGTAGCCTGAACCGTAACCACCGGCGCCGTATGGAGTTACACCATAAGGAGTCGTACCACCCCTGAGGGCACCGCCGTATGAACCGAACGCTCCATTGGGAGGAGCCGGTTCGTAGCCATCAGGACTTTGGAGGCCATTCATTCCGTCGACACCAGCGGCCTCGGCGCCTCCCAGGACCTTGATGGTCTCGGCCAGCTTTTTCTGGATCACTTCAATTCCGCCGCGGACGATATCATCTGGTTCGAGGGTGCCGATGCCTTCGACATCGAAGAAGAATGCACTCGGAACAGCATCAGGATCAAAGGCGGCGTCGGCAGCGGACTCGTCTCCTTCCCACGTGGCGTTGCGCTCGTCCACCGGCCACTCTTCTTTGGCGTCTGTCTCATACCAGTAGTCGACGTGGCGCAGCTTATTGTTGGGGTCGTACTCGAAGCCCACGGCCGAGGTGGGTGCCCATTTCGCGTGCTCTTTTGCGATACCCTTCTTTGCGATGCATTCCAACTGAATTTCTTGCCCCTGTCTCAACTTGGCGATCAGTGGTCCGCTGCCATTAACATCACGGATCACTGGCTGGCCAATACCATCCTGGCGGGGATTTGCGACGATGAGGTCATTCGCATGCACGAGCATCGTGCCAGCTTGGGAACATTTGACGTGAAGGCGAAGGACCACGGAACAGTATTCGCAATGGTCGTCGCAGCGATCACAATCTCTGCCATAGTTCAAGTTCTCGTCCACGCCTTTACTGATCAAGGGAACGAGACCTAGTCTGTGTGCGAGATACTCGTCAGGAAGAACAGAGGAGTTTGTGGTAATGTCCACAAGGTCGATCGAGATGGTAGGGATTTCGGCGAGCATGGCGCGGCGCAGGGAGTTTGCGAGAGCGAGAGAGCATGACTGTAGGACAAAATCGCAGCGATCTGATTCGACCTGTCGAAGAGTCAGATCTGCAGCGGGTGAAGAAGAAGTTTCGTCTGGCTTACTTCTCTCACAGTGACTTTGGGACCTGAGGCCTCGACCCCGTCCATAACATCGTCGTTGAAGCCGTTGTAGCCATTATAAGCCATGGCTCCTTCCCTGTGCCTGGATCAGGACGGTGGATACGCCTCTGCAAGGATCAGCGATCGGGAAGGTCTCACCATGGAGTTGGGAAATGAACAGAAGGCTGAGGCAAAGGTGAAGACGCGAAGCGCAAGAATTCTTAGGGTGCGCGCAGGGGATATTTCAAGTTTAATTTTTGTCACGTGATTGATAGGACAGGTATCACGTGTCTGGAGCTGCCTCTGCGCCGTACGAGGTACCTCGTTGGTAAAGCGCCCCGGCATCTATGGGCACCCACTGGGGCTTCGGGTACCTGGCGAGCTGGCGAGGCACGAGGCGAGAAGGCTCATTAGGCTGCCAGGATCGCCGTATAGCCGACTTTGCTTTCGCCAAGAAACGTCCATCTGCCGGCATGGCGTCAACGGCGCCTGTGGGTAGGGAAGGTCAGAAGGTCGAAAAATACAGGACCATCCTCCATTCTCGTCGTCGCCTTTCCTTCTCTGCCTTCATCATCATTTCACACTCGTTCAGATTGCGTGACAGGCTTTCATTGTTCACGTCAATTATTGGTTCGTCTTGTCACCTTGAAGCTTGTGGAATTCTGGTCTAGCGGGATCAGCAAGTTTCCTCCATTTCGTCCACTCGACCTCATCACAAGCGAAGCGTTAATCGATTCGTCGCATTGAAACGTCGGCCTTGAGACCGTGCAGGCATTTCCAGCCCGTGGTTGACCTATTCTGCAAGACGGTCTTCAAGACCTTTTGTCTCTCACTCTGTCTGATCTGAGACGCTGTTGGTAGATCTTTCGTTGTGGTTAGAAGGTCTTTCCAACTTCTAGGCATGAACCCCAATGCCGGCAACTTGGAACAAAGACTGGCAGATGTGATCACGGAGAACACAGAACACAAACTTGTTCGAAGAGTTCCTTGTGGCCTACCTCGCAGCGCATGGCGCAATGGACGAGATGGCTGGACACACTGCTTGTCAGCCTCTTTGCACGCATGGCTGTCGTCCTTGCTCAATTTCCACCCCTCCCGGCCAATGATTCCCTCATCATGATTCCTTCTCCAGTCAACCCGAATGTCTCGGTCAGCTACAAAAGTGTCCCCGTTGGGACTTGTACAACAGTTTTCGAAACACAGCAACAATTCGCTGGCTACATTACTCTGCCGCCAAATGTCTTAGACCCCAGTCAAGGAAACTATACCATCAACACCTTTTTCTGGTTTATTGAAGCGAGGCAATTACCCGAATCAGCTCCATTAGCAATCTTCATCAATGGTGGACCCGGCTCCAGCAGCATGGTTGGTCTGTTCCAAGAGGTTGGGCCTTGTGAAGTTGTGGAAATCGCCAATGGGCAGCTAGGCACAGTTGCGCGAGACTGGGGCTGGGATCGCAGCAGCAACATTGTCTTCATCGACCAGCCCGTCCAAGTGGGCTTCTCGTACGATGTTCTGACCAACTCATCTCTCAATCTGCTCGATGAAACCACTGTCGTCCCACCAACTACGGTACCCATTTCACAACCCAGCTACACTTTTCTCAATGGCACATTCGGATCGGGAAATCCGTCATTTACAGCCAATACGTCTCAAATTGCTGCCCAATCGCTATGGCATTTCCTGCAGACATTTCTCACTTCTTTCCCGCAGTACAATACAGCTCTTCGCACAGAAGCCACCGAGCCCACCGCGGAGGTCCACCTTTTCACCGAGTCCTACGGAGGCAAGTACGGGCCCGCTGTTGGAGCTTTCTTCGGCGTCCAGAATGAGCTTCGTCAGACAGACTCCGAATTTGCTAACACAACCATTGATATTACGCTGAAGTCCCTGGGGATCATCAATGGTTGGATTGACCTTTTCACCCAGACTCCGTATCATCCGCAATTCGCATACGAGAACACCTATGCCATTGAAGCGATCTCCCAACTTGAAGAGCTCAATGCTTTAAGCGCCTACAATAGCGCAGATGGCTGCGAGCAGCAAACTGCATTTTGCCGTTCAGAAGAAGTTGCGCTCGATCCCATGGGCTATGGAGATGTGGATGCGGTCAATGAGGCGTGCTCGCAAGCGCAGTCGTACTGCGAGGCGTACGTAGTTGGACCATACACTGCATCTGGACGATCTATCTACGATATTTCGCAAAACATGCTCGATCCCTTTCCGGGGGCGCTCTACTTGGAATACCTGAACCAGCTGTCGGTCCAGCAAGCACTTGGTGTTCCGGTCAACTACAGCCAAGATTCAGTCGCTGTCTTTACTGCCTTCAATACCACAGGAGACTATGCCCGAGATGACATCATCCAAGATCTCGTTGATCTTCTCGATTCTGGTGTCAGAGTCGCGCTGATCTACGGTGACAGAGACTACATCTGCAACTGGCTAGGAGGAGAAGCAGCCTCTTTCGCCATAGCTGGTGGGGCCGGTCCATCGTATTCGCCATGGTATGCTGCTGGCTATGCCCCCATCGTGGCCAATAGCACCTACGTTGGCGGCGTCGTTCGAGAGTTTGGGAACCTAAGTTTCAGTCGAATCTATGATGCAGGCCATTTGGTGCCCGCCTACCAGCCAGAGACCGCTTTCACGATCTTTTCGCGTATCATTGAAGGGACAGACATCAGCATGGGCATGCCCGCCGATTTATCGACGTACTCGTCGGTTGGGGAGGCAAACTCCTCGTACCAGAATGTTGCTCCTCCAATGGCCGAGCCAACCTGCTACCTTCGCGCCGTTAACACGACCTGTAACACGGACCAGAAGAATATGCTCGCAAACAATGCTGGTGCGATCATCAATGGAGTCCTGTATGATGATGCCACTGATTGGCAGGCACCAGACCCGGGGATTATCACCATGGCTGGGTCGCCTGGCACACCGCCTCTCAGCATAGTGACCAGCCCACCGATGCCAGAAACGAGCACGACGCAGGAAGGATCGCAGACGACAATTCTAAACACCACAGTCACAACCACAGGCTACAGGAACTCAACCTCAAACGCCAGCAGCAGAGAACATACCCCAAGGAAACCGACTGGCAGCAGTCTGCCAACAGGTGTATATACCGCAACAACTGTGCCGCCAACATCAGCCGCTAGCAGAAGTACGTCCGCCAGCGCGACTAACGCCGCGTCGTCGAGCATCCACAGCAATGTTTTTCGTTCTTTGTCACTTTCGCGAGATACCCGGCCCACGATGGCAGCTTTTCTTTACATAATCGGATTTCTGAGTCACGTTTTCGTTGTCTAAGGATTTTGTGAGCGGGAGGTTCTCGCTGTAGTTGAAGTACGGGGAGGACCGTTCTCACAAAGCCAGGATAGCATGAGAGACGTGAGATGAGGACCATAAGAAGCGAAATGAAACGACCACGAAGGAACGAACCATTTTCACAGATTAGAGCGTGGCAGCTTTCTAGGCTCCGAGAGAGGGCCCAGAGAGTCGTGATTGGATGGAATATGAGGATAGGTCTATCAGACTTACCTAGGTGGCCTAATGTCTAGTCACCGCATACATTGGCAATACGTGCCTCGTGTCTCATGTGGGCTGAATCGGGTAGATACTGTAGCGGAAGATGGTGGGCTATAATGGGATACGATAGTAATTGGGTCGCAGCAGCTTTTGTCGTTGTGGAAAGATTGTCTGCTTGTTCACAGGGCCCAAATGCCAGATCAGAACCCATGGTCAATGGTTTGGCCATGTTCTATCAGGGAGAAGGCCAGCGACCCTTGGTTCTAGACAGCTAGCACTTTGAATGGGGAAAAAGTAGAGCAAGAGGGTTCATTCCAAGCTCATTTTCGGGAGTTCCCCCCAGTGTCAAAAATTCCGGAACACAGGCTGCCTGGAGGTGAAGAAGGATGATGGTGATGAAGGGAATGGAAATTGGAGCCAGAATGAAATGCTAGCCATGAGACACGGGAGGATCATTCATCTCCATGCATGCATACTTCGTCGTCAACGTGCAGAACTCCAATGGAACAGTGGGTGGGGGTCTGGGTATAAGTGCGCATGCCCCATATTAGCCTTTCCTCTTGTTTTCTTCATTTCACACCATTAAGGCTGTCAATAAGGGTGAGTTCGGTCCACTGGATGCCCGCACCCTGAGGGATTCGGTTCATTTTGTATGCGGAACCGCGGATTGTCTGCAGGACATTGCATGCATCGTACCATCTGCTGCTACCCACACAATACAACGTACTCGGTGCAGGAGACAGGAGTCGGCCTCCCCATGTTATACTGTTGGATTTCTGCTGCAATGCTGTGACGCTGGCATGCAGGACCGTGGTCACTGTCACCCTCCCTCACCCTTTGAGAAATCGTGGATGGTCATCACACCAGCATGGAGATGGGGGTGTTTCAGTCACACAAGACGGGGGATTTGAAAACGGAAATCTGCAGGCGTAGTCTCTCTGCGCCTACCCAGCCGTTCCGCTGTCGGAATTTGTATCGCCGATACTGGGTTGTTATGTGTTTTTGACCGATTCTCTTCAAGGCGTCTGTGGGTGGCAGGGTACATGGCCAGGTGACCTTGGGTGATGTCTTAGCCTTCTTTGCCGGTGCATGTTTCTCTTCGTTCCATGTCTTCTCTGCTCCCGGATATCATTGTTCTTGCGTCCAAGAAGAGGTCGACTAAGTGAGTAGATGATTTTGCCGATCGGCTGCTGGATCGTGGTCGCCGTCGTTCTGCAATAATATGTAGGTAAATAGTGTGGAGAATAGAGCTGACGGATGGCCGCTCCCTTGTTTTGGCGAAGGCGACGGTCCTATTCTCTCACACTCTGCTTTTTTGCCATTCCTGGGAATTTGGTAAACCCTGGTACATGCGGGAAAACATATATGCTCCTGGAATTCTCTCCATGACTTCTTGTTTCGTAAAGTTACTGAGAGAAGCAAGGTGCATAGCCTACAAGCAATGTATGTAGGGAGCGACGCTCCAAGAAGGGCAAGACTTAATTAGTGCTCAGCTGGGCCAAAATATGAGACCCCAATCTGGAATCTGGTCGTTAGGCCGAGTTGCGGTTCCGCCACTATTATGTTATGATGCTGCATTGACTAGGCGTATAGAAGCCATAAGCCAGCCAGATCCGGAACCGGATTAGCTCCGAACTTGTTACCTTCCTACTTATATCCTCTTAGGAAGGGGCTAGGCTAGTTCATGCTTCCCTGACAAGCCATGTGTCAGCTTTCGCATTGACATCCCTTTGAGCATAAGAAAATGCCCCAGAAAAAGGGGCTGAGATTGGCGTTATGGATATGTCATCTGGTGACTGATTTGTACGCCGGTCATAGTGGACCGTCCAGGTGGATATATAGGCAGCCTTGTATCCGAATACAATACCAGCTCATACAGCCGCAGGAACTTTTCTTGATACGTGTGCTCCATTGGGGCATTATCAATCTCTACGCAGGCACCCAGAGGGGAGTCTGCAGAAACCCATCAACATCGACCGAGGTAGAGGTCCTTTCTGGTACTTGGCAGGCTCGGATAATCGAGTGGCACGGGTAAACAGAGCTTGGTTGGGCGTTGCGCACCGTCTTCGCCGTCTCGTCCGATGTAGCCCACCAGAGAAGACTGCTTGGGCCTGGATACGACATAGCTGCCGTGCGTACAGGAGCCTCACAGCGCCATCCGTTAGATCTGACCATGAATGGGTCAAAAATGGAAACATTTTGACCTCTGTGGCTCGGGTGAGTAATAGCCACGAGGATGACATGCGTTGCTCCAAAGGCGGCGCCATTTAATAAGGCCAACCATTCCCTTTTCCCAGTTGCTTGTGCCAGTAATCGGCTCTCCTTCGATGGCATTGTTCAATTATTAATGAGACATCATCAGCGTGTCGTTTTGGTCGTGTCAGTTCCCCGAGAAAGGGTAGCCGCATGTGCCCAAGCTTGACTCGGAGTACCGCCGCGGAAAGTGTGTCTGCTCGTCAACTTTAACCGTGATGCGGGAAATTTCTTGGACGAACTGGCACTGAGATCAACCACTGGATAGGACGGTCCCTGAGGATCTTTTGCCTGTGGCTGACAGTGTGGTTCGCATAACGTCTGGCTGCTGTCAAGCTTGGGATCGTCTCCGTGAGACGAGCAGCGGTGAATGAAAGTTCCACAACCTGATTTAAGAAGGTGGTCCAGCACATGGCTCCGACTGCGGACCCTCGGAGTCGGAACGGTTCGTGAACCGATATTACATATGGCTCTCCATCCGGGCCTGACCAAAGTGGTATACCATCCGTCTGATATACGTTGTCTTGGGAGAACGTCAGACAGACATTTGTGCCATAGCAGAAATCACACGACAGTTGCACTTGCCGGTAACATGAAAGGAGCGCAGGCGCATGCCCGAAGTTGTCCCTCCAGGAAGAGCCTGGCTCAATGGTCGTGGTGGTTGATATCGCTTTGCTGGCGTGGTCTTGATAGCCCTTGTGCTTGGCTCAATGCAGTAGATCATGATGCCGGGCCACATGTGACAACGACTATGATGCCATTGCCTTAAGGATTGCCCGAAGCTATTCTTGCTCCATGGGTACCTGCTTCCTCCTCTATATTCCCAGTCAACGGGTGTACTTCGGTACCAGAGAGATTTTGGTATGAGCCAATAGGACGATGATGCCTCTGTTCCTTGAAGTCAAGCAACATCCATTGTCCTCGTGGGACAACATGCTTGACAGTCTTTCAGATCCTTTCCCTACATTGGTTCATCCTCGCTAATACTCGACGCGTGTAAATGGCATCTGTTGGAACAAGATGGCTGACTGATGATACAGTGAGACCAGCATCATCCCTCTGGAACGATCCCATTCCTCAACATGGAAATGGCGTCCACGGCAAACACGGTCTTATTTCCAGGCCCGGATGCCGCATTATCGCAGAAAGGAGCATTCAGCCCAAAAGCCCATGGAAATCGTTGGGTGTGGTTGAGGATTGGATCTTTTGGGACACCAGCAATAAGCAGGACTCTCCACTTCGGGAGATATGTGGCGTCTCCTCACAAATCCCGCCTGGGCTTCGTCTATGGGAGGCTGGAAGCTGCATCTCGATCCAGACAGGGGGTTCGGTTCGAGGAAGGACGGAACGCGACCATACAGAGGGCTCAAGCGTGGCCCAAGAGTAAGCACCCTGGACCGCGTCGTCATGGTGAAAGAGGGCTTTCAGAAAGAATAGACCTATTCGTACAGCAGATGGTCACGAAACGGATTGCCCACAGCTCCCAGGGCACTGAGATGTATCAGTCGTTCGACTCGGTCCGGAAGTTGGAAGGATACAAGGCTAGTAGCGGGATGCGCGGAAGAGATTGAAGCCAGCCCTCGTCCCAGTAAGTTCGGCTCCAACGTACTCACGGCATGCAGTGTAATCCGCCGACATATGTCTCTATTCAAAGCCCCAAGAATCCTATGCTCTCCGTCGCGATTTGAGATGGTCGCAGCTGACTGAAAACAGGCCCGATGTCGACTTGGCTATCCTGTGTCAGGCCGAGGGCGTATCGCGATGTGCTCCCTTTATCCTGGGAGCAGGGTGACCTACCCGGCCGAAGCCGATGATACGAACAAATTCACTTTGCATCAGACGACAACAAATCATGACAGCATTAACATCCGCAGACTTCGTGCATCGACAGGCTGCCTCAAAGCATAAACGACGAGCTGAGGCAAGTCGCGGAGACCATCGGCAATTCCCTGTTGACCGCTCGGTTTGAGAGACATAATGTTAGGACATTCGGTCAAATCGGAAGATGGTACAAAACAAAAATCACCCCGGGGACAGCCGCATTTCCTCGTAGGACAGCTCAAGGCGAGCTTTGGAATTCATTTGGGTCAGCACAACAAGACGACAGTCGTCCCCAGTATCATCGTGGCGCAAATGATTACTTAGGCACCGAGAACATCACCGTCGAAATGCTTACTAAAACATGTACGAGAAACGGTAGCCTTATCGGTTAGTAGTTGGTAGCAAGCGCACGCAATTTTCTGCCGTACACGCCCTCGGAGGCCGGAATGTTTCCCTCGATGCTGTTACACGATGCCTCCGAGGGCACATCTACCATTCCCTCAAGGCAGGCAATATTTACTACTAGCGACGTGCTTGGTGCCGCAGAGACAAAAGCTGACCCAGACACAAATTGACATTAGGATCTGGAGATGCGAAATGGATATAATTTGAGATGTGGAATGCTGAAGGAATAGAAAAATGATCGACGCCAATCCAAAGGAGCCAATGCAGCCCTCTTCCGATGCACGTCTTGCGACCGGTCTATT